GAAAAGAGGTTCATCGCGGGTTTCTGCTCGTTTTTCCGTCGGTGCTCCTCCTCGCGCGCCCGTTTCTCTGCGCGCGCACTTTTCTCGATTTCGTCGGCGGCGGTAAAGTCCAGCGGCGGCCATTCTCCGGATCCGACGCCCGCGCGCAGCTCCGTGTGCTCCAGCCGACGCAATTCGATCGGAAGGGACTCTGGCGAGAGGAGCGAAGCGATTGTGGTCTCCGTGTCGTAGGAAAAGTGACGGAGTGCCAGCTGCAAATGGTCTTTTGAGGGAAAACTTTGAAAATTGGGCGTACATGAATGAATTGCGGCGAGCAATGTGTCAGAATCTCTTGGATCGACGCGATTTGCGCTTTGACAAAGTCGTCGGGCGGCGCTCCGAGGTGTTCGAGGTATCCGCATTTGCGTAGCCGTTCGATCGTCTCCACTTCCAGACGACGACGCGCATCTTCGATCGACACGGCCACTTTCGGCGAGAACGGCAACATAATCGCTTCGTGACCGAGTTCGGCGGCGTGGCCCACGAATCTGCAAGAATTTCGTAACTTGGACGGCTTCCAACCAAAAAAAAAGGTGAAAGTATGGAGTTTTCGGGGCTTTCATCATCTGAAGGGTTTTCAAGTAGGCTAAGCGTTACGAGATCTCTAGTTGCGAAGTGTCCTACCTGGAGGCCTTCTCCAATTCGTGGCGCACAGTCTCTCTCACTTTGTACTTCGTGCCCGGCGCCATTTCCACAAACACATTCACAAGCGAATCGGTGGCAAATGTGCGTGCGGCGAACACCTTCCTCAGCGGAAAGTGTTCGAGGGCGGTTGCCACGTCGAACAGTGTCGGGTAGTCGAACGAATTCGTCACCGTCTCGTGCGTCTCCGGCAGCCGCGTCATCCACATTTTCTGCGTTTTCATTGCGTTCCGTTCGAGGAGATCCGTGATTTTCTGGGCGTTTCGGACGCAAGTTCCGACGGCGACGAGCACTTCCACACACAGATTCGCGTATTTCGCACGGTCCGACTGGCTGGTGGCGGCCTCGAATTGCGGCTTTCCGTACATCAGAAGACGTTCCAGCCTCTACAACAAAAAAACTGTGCAAAACTGATTTTCTTCGTAAAAACCTTGTCGAACAGCGCAAAATACTCTTCCACATCGTCGTCGGTGATCGCCCGATTCTCGAGTGCCATTTTGAGGATCCGCGACGCGTCGGGCTCCTCCAGCAGTGAGAACGAGTCGATGAGAGCGTGTTTTTTGTAGTCCGCACTCTTTTTCCATCCGTTTTCCAGCAGAATCGGCACCGTTTTCGTCAGTGCTTCGATGAGGGACCGTCGGGCCGACTCCAAGGATCCATTTGAGGAGATGGCCGAGCAACGGAACACGTCACTACTTCTGAAATCCATTTTTTACGTTCATCAGTTGGAAAACGCCGAAAATTCTTTATTTCTTTAAAAACAAAATTCTCCAAACAAACCTGGGCAACGAAGCGACGACCGCATTGAAAATCTCCATGAGTCCGCCCTCGTTTCTCGCCAATTTCAGTCCTATTTGGTGGGAAACCGTTTCGCAACTCGCTCGCCACTGGCTCAGATCCGAGTCGGTGGCGAGAGCGCCGATTTCTACAAGACGCATTTTTTGTTGGTACCCTGAAATTCATTTTAGGAAGAAATTGAACATTTCGGCAAGAAATTAGTAAAGAAACCAGGTGGGGGCAACCTTTTCAGAAAAGCTTTCAACGTTCTTTAAAAGAGAAATTTCAAAAAGCCAACATGATAACAAACAACAGATAAATGTTCAACAAATCAACAAATCAATCAATATTTCTTATTCCGTCCCATTTTCGACGATTTCTCGTGTTCCTCCAGCGGGGGCCACATGAGAGAGACCTGCTGATGAAGGGATTCGGGCACCCATTCCAGGTACTCCTCCAGCAGCCAATTCTCGTTCGTCAGCCACACTTCTTTCACCGCCGCCCGTGATGTCGTCTGCAAAAAACCTGGTTGAAAAGTGGAAAATTGTCAAAAAACGCACCTCCTTATCAATGAGCGCATTGAGAAGTTTCTCGGTCCTCTGCTGCAATTTGGCCCACGATTTGACCATAGTAGTGGGCGGGGCCAAGAGCTTCGATTTGAACTGCTCCAGCGGCGTGAACACTTGTCCGTCGAGGAGGAAAAGTGCAAAGTACCGGTACATGAGTATGTCATAAGGGATCGGTCGATTCTCTGGCGGCAGTTCCCATTTGGACGGTCCGAACGTGACCTTGACGGTCTTTACGACACAGTCCTTCCGCGGATCGTACTCCGGTTCCTGGTTCTTGTCCTGCTCGCCAAAGTGGCAGTGGCTCTCCGCGAGTCGGCTCAGCCACTCCCGGTCCACCGCGCACACCGCCGTCATCAGTTTCTTCTCGTTCACCTGCACCAGTTCCTGGTAGATCACGAACTCTGGTTCTTCCGAGAAGAGCACCGAGCACGGGTCTATGAACACGTGCTCTTTTATCAGCGTCGTCTCGTAGGCGCCTTTTTCGATTGCCTCCTGGCCGACGGATCGGTCCACGCGACGCGCGAGACGGTCCGAGAAACTCGCAGTCACCATTTGTCTGCAAATCGAGCTTTTTTGATACAAGCATTCGGAAATGTAGGAATGTACACCATTCGTACACCTCATTAGAATCACAGTTTCAAGGTGACAATTCGGTTGCAAAACGTCACAAAACGGTACCTGAGGAGTTGTGCCTGCTGATCGGTGGGCGGCGGGAGGTCGGCGTCCAGAGTGACGACGGAAGACGTCTTTTTGCACGACGCATTCACGATATTCGCGAGTTGCTGCCGCAGTTTCCGTGCTTCCGCCAGAGCCTTCACACGGAGACCCACCTTCTCGCACTCTTTCGCCGAGTACTGGAATATGATGGTGATTGAGGGGAAGGGCAGGATTACACAAGTGTTGCGCGCCATTTCGCAACACTTTTCACTACCGATTACAGCAGTTTTTCAGTGATAAATGGATGTCTCGTATAATTGACAATAGAAACTCGGTTTGCAAGTGCGCTCCATCGTACTTTCCACGAGAAATTAAACTTGCACGCTTTCCGCTTGGAAACGGTGATTTTTCCACTAATTCCGCGGTTCGAGCATCCCAAATGCGTGTCTTACCTTGAGCTGCTCGGCAACGGAAGCGGCGTGCATGAGCACTTTGAGGTCGCCGAGTCTGCGGGCGCCCGTCTGCGAACACCACCTCCGCCGTTCCTTCAGCACCGTCTTCATCAGCTCTTTCGTCTCTTCTGGCGTCGATCCACGGAGCGATGACACTGGGATCAGCGGCTCGCGCACTGCAAATTTCAGAATTTCCTTGTTAAAAACTAGCAAAAAACCAGTATAGTGCGATTTTTCAGTGGAAAACCTGCATTTCTCTAGGCAAAATGTCAACAGCACTAACCCGACAACAGCGAGATGAGTAGGATGGCGTGGTTCATGAGCTCGTGCTGATCGGCCATCGCAATGAATTTCGCGTAGGCGGGTGCCAGCGGGAACACGGCCAAAGTCCTGCCCAACTTGGTGATACGGGCCTCGGTCTTCCCGTTCACAGTGCTCTCTTTGAGTGCTCCGAGTCTGCACAGTCTCTGTTCGGCCGCTTCCAGCATCTTTTCGTCCGGGGCCGACGGGAACGGGAAGTTGACCACCTTCACAATGTTCATCGATTTCAAATGGAGCACGAGCTGATCGGCGGGCTTCGACAGGATTTCCGGGTCAGCGAATTTGACGCAGTCCTGGTAGACGGCACTCGAAAAGAGACGGTACGCGTGGCCGGCGGCGATACGACCCGCCCGTCCCGCCCGCTGATCTGCAGAAGCTTGGGAGATGCGGCAGACGGCGAATCGGGAGACGCCTGTGATCGAATCGTAGAGCCGTCGTTTCTCGAATCCGCCGTCGATCACGTACTTCACGCCGGGAATCGTGAGCGACGTCTCGGCCACGTTCGTCGAAATTACGCAGAGACGCATTCCGGCGGGCGTCTCGTCGAACACTCGACGCTGTTTTCCCATTGAGAGAAGGGAGTAGAGAGGCAGGCAGAAGAGGGGCTCGCAGTCCGCCGGAGGGGCTCCGATTGTGTCCTGGAAGCGGGGTAACTGTTGTTTCACAAAATGGAATTCCGTTATTCTTTGCGAACCGATTTTTGAAGCCGTTTTTTCGGAACAAAGTCATATGTTCTTTTTTACCTCAACTTTCCCATCTTCCACATCTCCGTCTCCATTTTCGAGCTCTTCGTAATCGTCGAACGCCTCGGCGGCTCCCCGTTCGTTCATATCGTCTCCGTCCATCAATCCCTCTTCTTCCTCCTCGTTTTCACCCTCTTTTTCTTCTTCTGAAAATTGAAAATAGTAGATTTTAGGCTTCAAAATCATATGCAAACCTTTAAAGTCCTCGAGCCGAATACTCTTCGCCGCCTCCGCCTTCTTCTCCCTCCATTCCTTCGTTCCCTTCACCAGGACCTCTCCGTTTCGGTCCGTCTCGTACACAATCGGATATCGTCGTTTCAGTTTCGCCATCAGCTGCCTCACCTCGTTCTGTCCCGTCACGAACACCAGAATGGCGCCCGGCGGCAGTGTCTCGTGGATTCTGCACGTTTTTCGGAACGCCGACGCCAGGTAGTCGTCGGGCGTTCGTTTTTCAAAGTGCACAGTTACCGGGTACTGCCGCGCGTCCACTTTTATCACTTTTGGCGTGAGCAGCGGGAAGAGTCTGCGAAAATTATCTTTTTCAGGCAAACATTGAGCCAAACTGGACAAAATTGGGGTTATTGTGGTTTTCATTCAATTTTTAAGCAAGTTTATAGATTTTCTGGTGTTCTCACTCGAAAAAGGTTTTTACAGTGGAAATAGGCAAGACTACACGTGTAATTGTCATTCTTAACGAAATTTCAGCTCCTAATCACCTACTTTTTATGCGTGAAATCGTCCAATCGGAGCGTGGCGGACATGATGACCAATCTGAGAGGTCTCTGCGTTTTCGCCCTCAACGGCACAATCCTGGAGAGCATTCCGATGAGCACGTCGCTGTACATACTCCGTTCGTGCGCCTCGTCGATCAGCAGCACCGAGTACTTCCTGAGCATCACGTCGTGCTCCATCTCCTTCATGAGCACTCCGTCCGTCATGAACAGGATGTTCGTGTCCTCCGAGCGACTGCCCTCGTACCGGATCTGATAGGAAACCTTCCGCGGCTCGCCCAGTTCCACGCCCACGCGCTCTGCCATCGCCACCGCCGCCACGCGCCTCGGCTCCGTGATTCCGATGAGTTCGCCCTCCGACGCGTAGCCCGCTTCGTAAAGAAACTGCGGAATTTGAGTGGTTTTTCCCGATCCTGTCTCTCCGCACACTACTGTTACCTGCAAAACATTAAAATTCATAGGTGCGGGATGTTTGAGAATTTAGACGGTTGAAGCAACTTTTTCCGAGCCGGCACTCAACTCAAAACACCCATGTTAAAATTTCACAAGTTTTTCAATATTTCGGTACCGTACCAAGTTCTCGTTGATCGCCTCTACAATTCGCATTTCCTCTGCAAAAATTGGCAGTTCGGCTCTCGATTTTTGAATTTCCTCGCTTCTCTGCACAATAACCTTTTTTCGATCGATGACAGTCGTGGTTGGCAGCTGAAAATTACAGTTTTTGAAGAACATTTTTTAAAAATTTGATTGTTCAAATTACCGCCAAAATATCTTCGTTATCCGACTCCTCATCATCTTCTCTTTTCACCAGAACGTCTTCTGGGTTAATCGGAACTTCCGAATCCACGTCATCCACGTCAATTTCTTCGATTTTCACTTCTGGCGCCGTTTCCTCCTCCTCCTCCTCCTCTTCACTGCTCGTTTCCTCGTCGTCGGTCGGATAATAGTCTTGTTGAGTCCGTTTTGCTTCCTCCTTTTTCTTTCCCACAAAAACTTTGAGTTTTTCCGGAAAAACTGCTGGTCTGAAAGTTTTTTAGGGGAAAAGATGAACAATTCGGATGTTTTCCTACTTTTCAGTCTCTTTTGCCAATTTCGAGTTGGAACTCAGTTGATTGAGCTTCGAGGGGTCGAGTTGGAACTCGGCGAGCCCGGCGAACAACTCTTCTTGCTGTAAAATCGATAAAAATGAATTGTTCGGGCTGAAAACGGTGTACCGTCTGCTTCAGCGCCTTTCTCGACTGAACTGCCGCCAATTTCCGCTTCGCTTGTTTCGTCAGCTTCGCAACTTCCTTTTCTTTTGCAAAATTCCGATTCTTCTTCCCGCCCGTCGCCGATTTCTCACCGCTTTTCTCCAATTTTTTGCGTTTTTCACCTGAACAACCAAATTTCGTTCTACTGCCCCAAAAAAAAAATCGATAAATACCTGGGACGATCATCAACTCGTTCGGATCATATTCGTCGACGTTTTCCGTTTTTGTTTTGCGCTTTCCCATCGTTTTCTGAAGCGAAAATTGAGTAAGAAATGGAAAAATTAGAGGGAAAAATGCGAAAAACGAGATGGCAATGTAAACGCGCTCCATCGCACAAAAACCTTTTGGCGGACATTCAAACCTTCATGGAAGAATTAATGAAACAATTTAAGGTTTTCGGACTTTCAGACAAGTTTAACAACGTTTAACAGCAAAAATCAACAACATCAAGTGCCAATAACAACAAAAAAGTCAATAAAACGGCAAATAATCCGCATTTCGGGTATACTTCAGTGTATTTCGTCTCAAAAAGAAGGCCGCTGAAGTGTTCTCCGCATTTTTGGCATTTCAGCCAGCAAATGTCGCAGTTGACAGTGTCCAAAACCACTTTGGCGGCAACTTCACTGCCCGCGCGAGCGCCCGTGCTCCCGAAGAATCCGCCGAGAATGCCGCCGATGAAAGTACCGACGACAGGCATGATCACCGATCCGATTGCAGCACCTGGAAAAATCCGGATCCGGCAAAATAGTTTTCTCAAGTGCAAGCGGGGCACTCGCTCGGCGAATTTCCGGCTTGCACCTGGGAAGTCAATGCTTGACAGAATTGACAGTGTTCCTGCTCGTGCCCATTTCATCGTCCATCCTCGCCGCCTTCCTGATGTTTTCCGCCACGCGCGCGCCATCTGTCCACACTTTTCCGAGCTCCGGATGAGCTTCTTCGGCGGCCTGCGTGAGTCTCGCGAAGAACGTCTTCGGCTCCTCGGTGATCGACATTTCTGATCGATTTTTTTCGGGTTTTTTCAGATTTTTTAGAAGAAACACGTTGCGGACCTTGCCGGTTATTAAAAAGTGAGAAAAAAGAGATAACAACTTGTATTAACAGCAGTAACCATCAAAATTAACAATTTATCTGCACTTTGGGCATATCTCCGTGTAGCCGGTCTCGTGGCGACGGCACTCGAAGTGCTCTCCGCACTTTTGGCATTTTGGCCAACAAATTTCGTAGTTGACGCCGTCCAGAATCGCTTCCGTAGCGATTTCGCTTCCGATTCCAGCTCCAGTGCCTCCGAAGACACCTCCGAGAATTCCTCCGATCATAGTTCCGACGCCGGGGAAGATGGCCGTTCCGATCGCGGCACCTGAAGCATTTTACTATAATTTTAATCTCTAAAAGATGGAACACTGACCGAGGCCGGCTCCAGCGAATCCACCGCCGTACGTGGCAGCCGTGGTGGCCACCTGCTTGATTGTGTTCCTGCTGGTTCCGCGTTCCGCATCCATGTCGACCTTTTTTTTTATCTGAATGGCATCGTAGACGGCCGAAGCGACCATGGCCACTGGCGCCACCTTGTTGACCACGTTGAGCACCTGTCCGGCAGCACCGGCGGCCTTGGCGGCTCCCGCAGAGATCTTAATGTGCGGATCCTTGACTCCGGTGATCGCTTTGTTCACATTGATGTGCGGGAAGTTCACTTTTCCGTGCGGCATGTCGACGCGAGCAAACCATTTCGGATTTCCGCGCGCCGAACGGACTGTTTTGTCGAACACCGAAACGACGTTCGACGATCTTCCTCCGATCTTCACAGCGTATTGAACCACATTCTTGGTGATTCCGGCGACAGCACCCTCGGCCACCGATTTGATCGCATTTCCGACCTGAAAATTACTCAATTTTTGCTAAAATTTCGAAGATAAGTACAGGCGAGCACTATGTTTCGCGCCAATCAAATTCTCAGTTTTTTGTGCAACAGAGCGCACTTGCACTGATTTTCAAAAATAAATCACCTGTCCCATGTGATCTTCCTCGCTGTGCTCATGATGCTCTTCGTGCTCATTTTCATCCCCGCAACTCTCGTGATGTTCCTCGTGAAGATCATCAGCGTTTTCAGCCTCTTCTTCATCTCCGCACTCGCAATTATTGTGGTGCTCCGCCTCGTGCTCATTTTCAGCATTTCCAGCATTGTCCAGCTTCTCTTCGTGGCAATCGTCATGAATTTCAGCATTTTCAGCCTCTTTTTGCTCTTCGGACTTGCAATTCTCGCAATGAACCTCCTCGTGCTCTTCAGAATGCTCCTCACACTCAGTTTCAGCCTTTTCAGCCTTTTCTTGCTCGCCGTCCGCGCAATTCTCGTTTTTCTCCTCCTTGTGCTCATTTTTCTGCTGCTCTTCCAGGTGATCGTCATGATGTTCACCATTTTCAGCGTTTTCTTCACAATTTTCTCCATTCAAATGCATGAGCGCGTCCATTTCCACCTCCAATTGAAGACGGAAATGGTCTTCTCCGAGCTCCACTTCCAAATTGTTCGAATCCTCGATCGGAAGCGACATTTTTTGCGAAAAATTGACTGATTTCAGCCGAATCCTTTTTAGGCTGAGCAATCGAATTCGTGGCGAGACCAGCGTCGCCAAAGCGAGGAAATTTAAAAAAAAAAGGCATTTATACACAAAAATCATCATGGTTCTCTGCACTCTTCACACTCCTTCTCGTCCTCCTCGTCCGCATATTTCCGGAACAGAAACGGGCGGTGACACGTCGCGCACTCGGCGCGGAACGAATCGTACTCGGCGCGGTCCATCACCGCCTCCGCCGCCTTTCCGCTTCCGATTCCGCCGCCGATTCCGCCGGACAGACCGCCGATGATGCCGCCGACGATCGTGCCGACGCCCGGGCAAATGGCGGTTCCGATTGCGGCGCCTGAATTGGGAATTTATGAGATTTCTTTGAAAAGGGTTTTTGTAGTAAAATTTAGATTTCCAACAGTTTCTTTGTAATTTTCAACGTGAAAAATGTTGTTACCCAGCCGAATTACTCCTGACGTTCCAGTAAGTTTGAGATCTCGCTTCTCCGTTTTTTTCACTTTTTTTAGGTAAGGCTGTGTTTTCTCTAAAATGCTCAAATTCCCACCCGCAAAAGCGCCTCCGATGCCGGCGCCGTACGTGGCAACGGTCGTGGTGACCTTCTTCACCGTATTCCGCGTCGTGCCCTTCCGCTTGTCCTTCTCGACGTTCCGTCCGATCTGATAGGCGTCGTAGGCGACGGCGGCAACCTGAAGAACCGGCGCCGCGTGTCCGATCGTGGCGAGACCCTGTCCGCCGATGGTCCCGGCCGTTTGGGCGCCGGCCGCCGACATGTGCACCGCTTTTCCCGCCGGATCCTCTTTTATCTGCGGTTTCGATGATGATTTTTCGCGGAAAATGTTTACCCAAGAATTCCCTTTTTTCTTCTTCTTCTTCGAACCTGAACTATTGTCGTCATTATCGACCATTTTAGAAAATGCTCAGAAAATTCATTGAACGTATCGGAACACGTATTGAAAATTCAAAAATCATGATTAATCTGCAGCTTATCGAACCAGTATTCCGCGAAATGTTGATTTTTGCTGTTGAATCGCGAGCCTGAAAAAGTCGATTAAAAAATGCATTTCCAGAAAGTTCCAGAAGTTTACTTACAGCAAACGACTGAAATCTTTTGATACTTCTTCCACGTGTACTCCTCATGAGAAAAAAGGCGCCACATCGGCGCCAAAAAACGGCGCCGGCGCCGTTTGGTGGCGCCGATGTGGCGCCTATTGGAAGGCGCCGGCGCCGATGCGGCGCCGAATTGATGGGAAGGCTGGGTCGAAAATCGATTTTTCGATCGATTCGAACGAATAAAGCGAAAATTATCGATTTATTGATAACTTTCTAATTGGACAATAAAAGCGGGAAAATAATTTCCTAGATAACAACCGAAGAAGACACTCGAACGGAGTAACAATGAAAAGGGCAGACTGCAAATAGAGCTAGCAGGAGCTTTGAGAATTCGAACCTATATGGAAGGGAATAGTACAATATGGAAGGGAATGGTACAAATATGGAAGCGAAAAACAATGACACGGCCGTAATAACAAAATAAAAAACAGATAAAAAAACGGATGGGACCGATGAGTGAAGGATGCTAAAATCCAAGGAGAAAAATGGGTCAGAGCTCACAGGGAGAGGAAATGAAGAATGAAAGGAGTGTAGAGGAGCAGAGAGGAGAAAAAATGATTGGACAGAACAACAGATGAATCCGGCAGAAGCATGATCAGGTAGCCGGGCGTTTGCGCGAGTGCTGGAAAAAAAGGTATATAAATGATTGAGTGGTATTCCGCAATAGTATACTTACAGTTCTCGGTTTCCATCTGTCGGCGACCTGGCCGTCTCCACTTCCAGGAAGAAATTGAGAGTTCTTCTTTGCACCCGACGCACTCGAGCCGCACCGTGTCCCATCCGACGTGATCCAGAAGCATTTCCGACGCCACGTGGCTCGCGTGGCCTCCGTAATACGCGCCGACGACGCCGCCGACGATTCCGCCGAAAATCGTGCCGAGACCCGGAATCACGGATGTTCCGATGGTTGCGCCTGCAAAAAATGCCGTGTTAGACCCGCAAAATTTGAATTTTTGAGTCGAAGCAATTTTTTTTGATCTGCCTTTTTGATCTACCCGCGGCGCCGAATTTCGAATGTTTTAGGCCACGCCCCCTGCGTATAAAAGCTCGGAAAATCTCCGATGTCTTCAATGTTTTTATTCGCTATTTTTATTCGCTATTCGACATTTTTGTTTCTCCATCGAACCGTTTTCTGTGACTTTTTAGTGTTTGTTGTACCAATCGATCGATTTTTTTGTCGCGATTTCGGTCGAGGGCCACTAAAAAGTCACAGAAGGCTCTCGGACGTTTTTATCGATCGAAAAAGTGAGTTTGCAGCCGAAGCCGTGTTCCGAGACGTTTCTATGCGTTAAAAAAATAAAGCTGACGTTTAATTTTGACTGCATAGAAACGTTTCGGATGGGACTTTTGAGCCGATTTTTTTGTTATTGTTCAGAAAAGCCTTTGTGACCGTTTTATGATTGCCTATTCAATTTTTCGATTTTGATTAGGGAGTTCATAAAATGGTCACTCAGAAATGTACGAAAAAGTGAGCCGCGATCTGCGACCAATTTATGGTCATTGAATCAATAATTTCATTTGATTATGACTTTAAAAATGGGTTCAGAAGGTTTACGGGTCTTTTTTTTCAATGATTTATTTTCTTATTGCATGTAACTAGAATAACTAGTCTGTTTTCAGAAAATTCTACTTCGATGGATGGCGCTGGATTTCTTGGATCCTTCCGAAGTCCGAAATGGTTGAGTTTGTGCCGAATCGTGATCTCTGGTCATTTTCGTGCGCCATGCCAATCTGTCTTATTGGTATGGCGTCGTACAAATGACCAGAGATCGTTTTCGGAATCTTTTGTTTTTCGACTCGACAATACTGGAACGAAAGGTGGCGAGAACCAGCCGACGCCATGATCTGAGACCATCCTATCCTGGGAACACGAAATAGTGTTTTGGTGTTCCCAGATAATAGGATGTGTCTCGGAAGGTGTTCAGATCTTTTATTTTATATATCGCGTGTAACTAGAATAACTGGTCTGCTTTCAGGAAGTTCAAACACTCTACGGATGGCTATGGATCCTTTGGAAATGGTTGAGTTAGTGCCGAATCGTGATCTGCGGTCATTCACGGGCGCCGAACCAATGTTTCGTACTGGTTCCGCGCCGGTTGAACGGCCACAAATCGTTTTCGGAATCTTTTTTCGACTCGACAATACTCGATGCTCTACGCGAATTAGAGGTAACGTGAACCGACGCCGTGATCTGGGACATCCGTATCCCAGGAACACCACGCATTTCATTTGGTGATCCTGAGCGATACCGGATGTCTCAGAAGGTATTCGGGTACTTTTTTGAACTCTGAAAATCGTTGGAAAAGGGTGAGTTAGCAGGAATTAGCGCTCGACTGGTTACAAACGATTGAAAAGGTACGTTGAGCTTCAACACAGCATGATCATTTTTCACGTTCAGATTAACTTCTGTTGGCCTATACCGATGATATCCATTTGAATACGGTGAGCCTATCCCTGCCGAACCGTGATCTGCGACCTGTCCATCTTGAGTTGAGCTATACATGCCTTTTAGTTAAACTCAATGATCGGAGAGTGTCGCAGAAGGTTTTCGGACATTTCTTTCTATTGGATTTGCATTATCATTGCTCACGCCACGCCTCCTGTGAAGGGTTTCGGCTCTTTTTCTTCAGTCTCTTACCAGCGCAAGCGCCGAGAGTCCCGCTGGCGTAGGCTCCACTCGTCGCCGTGACGCTCTTCACCGTATTCCGCGTCGTTCCGTGATCGTAGTCCTTTTTCACCTCTTTTCCCACTCGAAACATTTCGTAAACAAGTGCGGCTGTCGTCAAAATCGGCGCGATTTCGTTGGCCTTTTCGGCCATTTTTCCGGCAATCCCTGCTGCTTTTGCTGTGGTCGCCGAGATTGGAATGTGCGGATCTCTGACGCCCGTGATGGCTTTGTTCACGTTAATGTGATGGAAATCCACGTTTCTGTGCGGTCTGTCGAAGCGAATCCACCATTTTGGATTGCCGAGTGCGGAGATTTGGGATTTGTCGAAGATGTTTACGATATTTGAAGATCTTCCGACCGTCTGCACCACGTACCGACTTGCATTTCTGCTCATTGCCACAATAGCACCCCGATAACCGTCTCCAGCCGGTTCTTCTACCGGTTTCTCTGCTTTTTTCTCACTTTTCCGCGAAACCTCGGTTTTTTGCGGCTTTTCACTGCTCCATAGATTTTTCGCGGCGGAACCGGCGTAACTCTTCACTGTCTGAAAAATGTTGGAACTTTGAGAACATTTTACAGATTTTCAGGTTTACCGATGTTCCAGAAGCTACAATTTCAGAATTGTAGGCGTATTTTGCCAGATTTCCGACGGAACTCACCGCCGAACTCAAAAAACTTCCTACTGCCTGAAATTTGCGTTTTTGCACTAACTGGGCCGATTTTAGCCTTACGGACGCTCCAGAATAGACACTTTGCGGAATTTTCCAGCTGTTCTCGCCGCCCGACGATGTTTTCTCACCGTTCCACCAGTTTCTTAGTCTGTCGACGCCCATTTTTGGAGGGAAAAATAAGCGAAGTGAGGAAAGCTGTCGGGGCAGTGTGCAAGTGCGCTCCGTTGAGAAAAGTGAGGGAAGACGTGGAGGGAATTTGAATTTGCGCTTTAACTGTGAAATTTTAGCGAAAATCACTCAAACCGTGCAGTCTTTATTGCAAAACTAGACAGAAAATCAAAGTTCGCAGTCTTTGCTGGTCTAGAATCGCAAAAAATCGAAACGTGGCCGCGCGCGATGGTTCTTTGCTCCAAAACTAATTGAAAGCTCTTCTGCTCTCCCTCATTCTCACTAATTAGTGTCATTTTGCGTCCCTCCTCCTTTTTCTCTCATTTTCCGCCCTCCGCAATCGTATTCTTCGCTTCTTTCCAGCCGAAAAAGCACGAAAAATGGGCGAAGAAAAGAGCGAAAGAAAGAAAGAAAGAGAAATCTTCTTCGTTTTTGGCAGCCGCCACGAAAATCCAATTGCGCGAAACGGAGGCCGGTCCCTCCAAAAAAGAGTGGCTCGCGGAGAGCCCCGACGAAATATTTGTAGCCCGGAGACGAAGAAGACTGGTGACTTCTTCCAAAAATTTCGGAAAAAGAGGGGAGGAACGAAAATTTTGGATTTCTCCTCCCCTACCAAAGCACAAATCCTCATTTTTCACTCTCTTTTGTTTCGCCTCGAAATTCAATGCCTTTCTATTTTTCTATGTATCTCAGTTCATTTTAAATATTTTTTTACGGTTTAAAAACCTTTCGATAGAGAATTTTGTGCTCTACAACTTTCTAGTTGATTATTATTCACGAAAACGCGTAGGCGTTTAGATGTTATCGCTTTTCTAACCCGTACGTTTTTTCCCGTTTTAGTTGCGCTTCATGCAAACTGATTTATAACGCCACCTACGCATTCTGCCGTTTTTCCGAATTTTTAAGTTAGGGCTCAAATGTCTTGTTGCTTCGCCCAAAAAAACGTTTCCCACACTCTTAATCAATTCTCTGCTCCATTTCTCGCGGGTTTCCCCGCCTCAAAAATGTAGTTTCGCGGATTCTTCGTGCTTTTCCAATTAAAAATTCACTATACTCTGCTCTCCGTCGTCTTTATATCTGGCGCCGCCCATCTCCCCCTTCTCCTTTTCAATTTCGCCACTGAAAAGAGCACAAGAATATCTAGGACGAGGAAAAAGAAGAAAAAGAAGAAGGAGGAGGAAAAGGAGAGCTCTGGTTTCCCCGGGGAACACGAGAAGCGACCACAATTCCACTTCCCTCTTTTTCGTTCTTTTACCCATCTTCTACTACGAAAAATACGTACAAATTTCACTGTATTCGTGCATTTTGTCGTCAATGCGCAACATTTTACGACAAAATGCAATTCTATCTTTTCAGAGCCAAAATCTCACCGAAAAGTCATGGTACGATGACATTTGCACACATTTTCACGACACTTTGCCTGATTTCGAGTGTCGGCAGCTTGTTGCGAAGTTTGGACGATGATAGCACAGAGTGGTGGGTCAGCTAGCGCGCTCTACGTTTGCAACGTTTTCGCCAATTTCAGCCTGTTCAATTGTCCGAAACGAGCCCGAAATGTGAGTGTGCCGAAAACGGAAAAGGCGTGCATGGGCGACGACGCAATTATAGGTTTGTCCGGCGGTTTTTGACGCGAAAATAACACGTATTTGCATTTCAGCTCAAATTCTAGACGGCTACAACAAATTGGATCTTCCCGGCGGCGGCCACGTCGAAGTTTCCATCGAGGTTCGACTTTGCATACTAAAAAGCTAAAAACAAGTGAAATTTGTTCAGATTTGGGTACAAGAAGTGTCGAAGATCATCGAAATCACTTCGGAATTCGAGTTGGACATTTACGTGACCGAACGGTGGACTGATCCGTCGCTCGCCTACGCGCATTTGAATCCGTGCAAAAGGTTCGCAACGAAAAAGGGCAGAATGCCGTAAAAGTATTCTTTTTTGACTCTGAAAAGAAATAATTGCAAAATTCCGGCGAAAAAGAGCAAAAATGTGCATTTTGCCGTCAATCCTAGTGTATCGACGGCAAATTACAGTTTTCGGAAAAAATCTGTGCAATGTTCATGGGTTAAAAACGACTTTTGTTTGCAGCAACATGTCCGTCGACGGCGCCACAATTCTCAACAAAATCTGGAATCCGCACGCGTGCTTTGTAAACAGTAAACTCGCGAATATTCACGAGAGCCCGTTCAAAAACATTTTTTTGCAAATTTACAGGTATTTTCTCATAAATAGAAGCATTTCGAAAAGAGACATTTTGCAGTAATGGCTCAATTTGGCACAATTATCGTATCAAACTCACCGGTCCTTGCTCGAGTACTTTGAGGTAAGACAAATTTCCCAAAATTTTCAAAATTGTTTACTTCCAGAACATTCCCAATCGATCAGCAACGTTGTATGTTGTTCTACGAGAGTTTCACGCACAATAGCGATCAGGTAGAAGTGGCGGCCGTGGCCTAGAATCCGACAAATCTCAATTTCAGGTCAAAATGGACTGGATAACGACAGTGCCGCCGATAACGATTTTGAAAGGAAATATAACGCTTCCCGACTACGTTTTAGTCGATTTTTCGGCGAGCAGCGAGCTCAGAGCGAGTTTTCTCAATGGCGCGCACTTGAATTATGCAGAATTTGCAGTTGTACCCGCCCGGAATCTTCAACGAACTCATCGCCACGTTCACTTTTCAACGGCTCTACGGATTTTACATTTTACAAGTCTACGTCCCCGCCTACATTTCTGTGTTCATCTCGTGGGTCTCGTTCACGCTGGGCGCCGAGCAAATACCCTCCAGGACCACCGTCGGAGTCAACTCTCTGTTGGCGCTCACGTGAGTTTGCAAACTCTGCGAAAAAATTTTTAAAAAATTTCAGATTCCAATTCGGCGCGGTCGTGAATAACCTGCCGAAGACGTCGGACGTCAAAGCGATCGACGTCTGGATTCTCAGCTCGATGGCCTTTATTTTCGCGTCGCTCATCGAGTTGGCCGTCGTCGGATACTTATCGCGCGACGGGCAGCACGGATCGATAAAGTAAGAGTGGCCGAACTTTCCGAAAATTAGGCCATTGGTCAATTTCATTTGCAGATGCCGCTGCTCTTGGCTGTGCATGAATTGTAAAGATTGGACAGCACTCAAAATTGATCAGGTAAGCAAAATTAGACTGTACGAGGCTCCGAAATTACGCAAAAATCGTGTTTTACGTATTGCTAGGTCAAGAAAGCGCGCTAAATTCACAAATTTCTGAAAAATTTACGAAAAACTAGGCCTCAGTGTTAGCATTGGAGCGCGCTTGCACACTTTCATTGCAGATGTCCTCGATCGTGTTTCCCGTCAGTTTTTTCGCCTTCAACATTTGGTACTGGTTCATTTTTCTCGGGTCAGTGCATTTTTTTCCAGAAACTTTCTCAGATTATCGATGTCGGCATGTCCCCTCTCAGATGTCCGTCCTTTTACAGTTTTCTTTTCTCCAAAAAAGCCGCTTCTATTGGCGATTTCGAAGAGAATCGATGAAATGAAAGAGAGCATGTGTAGATGAGAAAGAAAAAAAGAGCAATACGTATGAAACTTTATCACCTTTCAGGGTCTTTTTTTGAGTTTTGCTCGCTGCCGCCGCAAACTTTCAGTTTACTGTGTGGTTTTACGTGGCGGTGTACACACACACACCGCCACGCAAAAAAATGCACAAAATCGTCACACCGTGTCTCAGTTTTCCAATTATTTTCAGCAAACTGTTGGTTAGAACGATCTGAAAGTGTCTTCCGCGTGTGTCTTGTCCTTCTTCTTCTTCTTCTTGTCCCTCTTTCTCTAATTTCCCGCACCACCGACACACCAGCACCGCTTCTCGCTTCTTGTGCACTTCTTTTCATCATCGGCAAGGCTTTTTACTTCTTAATTTCAAAAATCGATAATTTAAGTCAAATTCCACCTGAACTTTTCTGAAAATTCAAAAGACGAACCATTTTTCTGTTGCAGCTCTGTTTTCGGATTTTTCAGCAGCTTCTGGTCTATTGTTACCCTGAAATAATTTGCAAATTTCAGGAAAGTCACAAGGACTCACAATTGGTGAATAATTAATCAAAATGTCTATAAACTTATAAAAATGTATATATTCTGTAATTTTACACGAGAACCGATGGAACAAGAGGCGGAAAACACGAAAACTATTGAAGTTCATCGGAAAGCGCTTCAAGTTTGTCGACGAGCACCAAAAGACGGTCGTAGTCGACGTTGAGCGGCTCCGAACCTTCCACATCGTAGATTTTGGTACAATTCACAAAACTGATGGCCTTTTGCAGCTCGACGAGCACTTCCGAGTACTTGGATTCGGCCGATTGACGCTGAAAAAATTGTAGGAGTTTTTCAGAGAAAGAAACAGAAAAAGCTTTGCCTACCGCCTCGAACTGCTTGCAAATCTCTCCGGCCTGCTCGACGAGCCTCTTTCCCCGCTGCTCCATGGCTCCGAGCTTCGCGGCGTGCTCCGCGAGCATCGCCTGTACTCTCGTCGCGCCGGAATCCATTTCGGACACGGATTGCGTGAATCCAAGCAGTTCGTTCGTCCAATCTTGCACTGTCTTCGCCTGTTTCATAAACTTGCTCTCCACGTCGATTATACTCTCCGTTATGTCGCTTTGCTGGTTTCCCAACTGAAGATTGGGGAAGAATTATTTTTTTCGGGTAAAAATTCGATTTACCGAAATAATATCGAGCGATTCATCGGCCGGCTTGCTTTTTTTCGCCACCGGCGTCGTTTTCGCGATCGGAAGCTGCTTTCGTGGCGCCTGTTTTTCGTAAGACAGCGGTTCGGCGAAACTGACACGCTAAACGATTAATTTTAGGGAATTTTAGGCCAAGTTTATCAATTTACCCGATCGTCATGATGTCCCGGTCGTTTTCGGAGCACTGAGCGAGGAGTTGAGCTCATTTTAATGCAATTTTTGCAGAGAAAATTGAAGAGAACAGGCAAAGTTTTTGAAAAAGTGAACGGTAGATTTAAAGGCGCAGAACGAAACATGTGCGGGTCTTGCGACGATTGCAAATTTTCCTGTGGCGCGAACTTTGAAATTCCGGTTTTTTGCTCACATTTCAAGAAAAAACTAACATTTTCCCTTTTCCTGCTGCTTTCTAGCGAACTTCTGTTTGTTACTGCAAAAATTGTATAAGAAATTCATTTTTCGTCACACGAAGAATGGCAACCTGTTAACCTTGAGACGAGAGAATCGGAGATTTAGAGAAAAGTGTTTCGAGTGGGGTGTGTATTCGGAATCATGACCCGATTCCGTCGCTTTCCCTCAATTCCTTTCCGTCCAAATTGATCCGTCACTCAGTTTTCCCTCATTTCTCTTGATATCCGTTCGATGATAACATAATTCGAAAACATTTTGAACTTTGTTCGCAATCGGACAAATGACGTGATTTCTCCTTGACGGCGCGACGTCAATCATGCGCTTAACACAGCGGGAAAAAAAGTGACTTTTCTCCTCGGTTTTTTTTCGATTTTCCGCCCAATACTGTCAAGTTTTACGCTGCTGATTTGAACATGCCCTTCCTGCCGAATTACGAAAAATCTGAAAAAGGTCACAAATTTTCAGTGTTTTCCATCCGATTTCTCACCCAAAAAGTACTATTTGTTTTTGTGATCACACTGCTGACCACTCATCATGTTCTTAGGCCTTCACATCCGTCTATTTTATTTAATAAAACTCGGGCCTGCCCTTATGGCCCAATTCCAATTATCAATAATCGAATCGATCTGAAACTTTGGCCCAAAAATACTTCAATCCAAGTCTATAAAGATTGCAAAGTTTGGGCCCTATCGGATTATTGCAACTGGGCCAAAAGTTTTCCGCCGATTTTTTACCCGATTAGTTGTTTTATCGAAATGCTTGCCGTTTTTATGACAAAATGGGAAAAAGTTGTGACTGACTAGTTATCCGAAACGCTGCCGAACTATTAATCCCGCTGCTTCTCCCATTCGCCAATCGGTTCACGCTCATAAAATTTGACGAACCGTATCGGCGAATATTTGCATTTTGTACGCATCCCCCCGAAACCATCGAACAAATAAACAATCGGCAACATTTACGCCACTCTTTCACACCATTCGCCGCCCGATTCGGAAGCATCGCTTCTCGTAGTCAGCTGTGTCGTGAGAGTGTCGCACCGAAACAAGTTTTGGGGCGGCTAATAGTATATTCGTCCGTATATTGTACAAATCGAGAGAATCACACAAAAAAGCTGGTTCACTTGTTGTGTTCTTCTCGATCATTCGTTTTTCTCCACGTCCGCTACTTGAACAAAGTACGATTTTCGAAAGGTTCTTGACCTAAAATTCGATAGATTTTAGAATATTTCTCTTCAAAATCGCGACTTTTTGGCTTTTGGCTTTTCGACAAATCCGTTTTTTTCCGATATTTCCAGCCGCGTCATGACAATGATCTGTGTTTTGAACTCTTTTTTTTCTCGTAAACTTTGCGCGTAACATTAGCCGCTTTTGAGCAAAAGTTGGCCGAGTAGTTTTTGCGTTCTCAAAGTATATCTTTATCGATTTTTTAAATTTTCAAATTTTTACCTCGTTCCATTGTCCATAAACAATGACAATTTACGCCCTGATGCACCTGACCGATGGTTTACCGCTCTGATTCCGCGCTCATCCATTTCTGGAGATTTTCGATGATCTTTTTCGGGTTCAGATACCTTTTGCATAAAAATCGCACGAAAATTAGAACCATTCCGAGTTATTTAGGCTCTAATCAATGTTTTTTGTGTTTCGGTCATTTTTGTCGATTGTTCGAACATTTTCTTCGTCAATTGTGTAGTGAAAGTGTGGTGGAGACTGTTATCAAGTTCAGACGATCTCTGACATTACCAGTCATCTGATTTACGATTTTTTACGCATTGTAACACTTGAGAAATGTATACCCCTTTGTACCTAACATGATATTTGAAAAAGGAAATGAATTGTAGGCGGCTTCTAGTGTAAGTGTAGGGCCACTTGAAGCTATTCAACGAATCTAGGTAATTAGATCGACGAGTTGCCAACGTTTCGATAATATTCACAAAGGGCCAAGGTCGCCGTAGCCGCACAGAAAACTAATAATTGTTGTGTTCGGGATTTGAAGGGGGTCACGAGAGGAGAAGTGAAAGAGGAGGAGGATTTCCAATTTCCGAGAATATTGCTTTTAGGCCTAACGACGAGAATGTTAGTGGAATGCAATTTGCTGATCGGGCCCAAGTTTTGCAGGCTTTTCGGGCTTGGATTGAAGTATTTTGGGCCAAAGTTTCAGACCGATCGGGTCATTTACTCTGGAGATATACTGATTTATAGAAAAGTCAAACATCTCGAGAGAAAATGATCGGATCGGTCTGAAACTTTGGCCCAACACACTTGAATCCAAGCCTAAAAAGCCTGTAAAGTTTTGGCCCGATCGGACTAGGCCAGAAAGACTATTTTTGCAAGTTTCAGCAAGTGTTCAGTACTTTACAACGTTCGCCTTCCAGTCAGCCCCAAGTTGTTTTCATTTTTTCTCCCAATCGTTTCACTTCCTTTTGTCCTCCCACCTCCTCTTCTTCTTCTTTCTCTCTCCGTCCCGATTAGTGATTAATCCTCCTGTCTTCGTGCGCCTTCCTTCCTTCCTGCAATCATCCTTAAGAGAGTCTCTCGAGCGAACTGTTCAGACCCTTTCGCTCTTTTTTCGGAAAACAACTGCATTTCTCTGGTTTTGAGATTCTGCTTGTGTTCTCCTGACGATTTCCATCGATTTGAGTCAAAGCTGGAGTTTGTAGCGTTTTTTTTTAAATTAATGTACCCCCTGTCCAAGTTTGGTGTCAATCCGATCATTTTCCGCCGAGATAGAGCCTCTCAAAGTTGAGTTTAGTGCAAAAATTTGCCTCAACTTTGAAAAATGGTAACTAACTTCAAAAAATAGTCACAGACCCCTACGAGCGCTCAAAATAATGGGAATCATGTGGAGAATATGGGAAAAATATTAAATGTTTAAATCTTTCGATTTTTTAAGGTTAAAAGGGTCATACAGAAATGCTACAAACTCTAGTTTTGGCTCGTGTTGATCCACAGTATCAACACTCAAACTGCGTGGGCGAAGGGGCACAAGTATTTATGGTAATACCCTCGCCCCACTTCAGAATCACTATTTCGATCCCCGCCATTCCAAAGTTTTGTCGTAAATACTTGTGATTCCATTTTTCGGACACATTCTGTTCGAAGGGACCCGAATCGGATGACGTCGGACATTCGGAGAAGTCGTCAACAAGGGTGTGCCATCAATTTCCGAAGCGATTTTTCATTGGAAATTGATGGAACGATCCGAGTTGTTCGATTGTTGTCCAGAGAACGAGGCGAATGTATAAAAACGGTGCCCCCGGCAGCCGACCAACCTGTTCTCTCATTCTTTTCCTCTTTTTGTGTCTCTGACCACACACACACACACACATTTCTCATTTCTCATTTCATTTTCAGCCAGTCCTCTTCCTTATCATGTTTAACACGCCCGTCTTTGATCATTAAAACATTTTTGCTTTAGCTTTAACGTTCAATTTCAGAACTCTCTGTCCCAATTCTCGGGGAATCGGAAGATCCCCCCGTGAGCCATAGAGGCGAACCCTTCTTTGGACACTTTCATGCCTTCCAGTAGGTTTCACTTTTTTCGGAAATTTGGATTGTGCTCACTCTTTAAAGCCTTGCAAGGAATCAATGCAACTAAAAACATAGATTTCATAAATGTCGGCACAGTACTTGCAGGTAGCAATGCGTCGAACGGCACGTCCTCGTCGACACCGATGACGTCCAAGTACTCTTCGGATCGTCGGAACGGAATGGCGTGCTGGCAAGTGGCCGTCGCCGCCGCCCTCATCGGCATCGGTGCCCTTCTGCTCTTCGGAGGACTCGTCACGCACACCGTACTCGTGCCGAGCATCGTCAGGAGCAGTGTCGAGCAGGTTGGAAACGGGCGAAACACCCAGGGTGGCCCCAAGTTTGGCCAAATGATAAAATCGTCGTTTTTCCAGAACCAACGTCTCGTCGAAGGCTCCGTACTTTGGGAGAAATGGGCGCATCCCGAGTACCGGATACGCTTCAACTTGTTCGTTTACTCGATGAAGAACCCGGACGAGTTTATGTCGGGCGCGATTCCCGAAGTGTCCGGCTCCGGTCCCTACGTGTTCGACAAGAAACTGGAGAACCGGGTGGTGTCGGCCGGGAACGGAACCGTCAAATACCGCCGATTTCTGACGTACCACTTCAACGAGGCCGACTCGTGTCAGACGTGCATTCTCGGCAATCGCATTTGGGTTCCCAACATGATCTATCAGGTTCGCACTGGTAAAATTGGGGGTTTCGACACACAAAACAATTGTAGAAGTTTGTGGAGGCGGCGTCGACGGAAGGAATGAAGGCGGCGGCGACGACGCTTCTCTCGCAGACGGCCTTTCTGGAGGTCGAGGTCGAGGAACTGCTCTTCGAAGGATACAAAGATCCGTTTTTGGACAAAGTCTGCGAGATTCCGTTCATGAATTTCGTGTGCGAAGCGATTTTGGACGTGCCCGAGCGCATCGGACTCTTTTTCGAGGTTTGCGCGATTGCGAGCGCAACAATCATTGCCCATTTTTTAAGGCCAACAACACGGGTTCGAAAATGTACGAAATCGACGACGGCACACGAAACCCGGCGGATCTCGGCAAGATTCTGAAGTTTGACGAAGAGTCGACACTCGACGAGACGTGGTGGTCGACGGACGAGTCGTTGAAGATCCGCGGCACGGACGGCTCGCTTTTCCGGCCGTTTCTCTCGAAAGACGAGAAATTGTACGTGTACGTGGCCGAATTGTGCCGATCGATTTGGCTGGAGTTCAAGGAGGAAGTCGAGTACCGGGGACTGCGTGCGTGGCGGTACGTCGTGCCGCCCGAGGTGTTCGACGTGACGCACCCGGGAAACGAGGGATTCTGCAACCCCTCGGACAAGCAGTTTTTCGAGTCGCAGACGAACGCGACGGGCGGATGCCTTCCGCGCGGACTCGTCGAGATTTCAAAGTGTCAGAAGAGTCAGCCGCCCATCACGATTTCGTTGCCCAACTTTTTGTTCGCGCCCGACGAAGTCAGGCAGAGTGTGAAGGGACTGAACGAGACGGACGCCGAGCGGGACTCGATTATTGTCGACATTGAGCCGGTAAGCGCCTTGAACTTCTTGGACAACTTTGATCGCGATCGGACAAAGCCCATTTTTGCAAATTTCAGCGCATCGGAGCAGTCCTCTACGCCCGCCGTGCGTCGCAAGTGAACATTGAAATGTGGAAGGGAAAAAATTTGACTTTTCCGTAAGCCGCGCCCCTTTTCTCATTGCCTAACCGCGCTTTTTTGAGAGTGAACCTGAAAAGGATGAAGTCCGCACTGGTGCCGGTGATCATTCTGCACGAGACATCGGAAATCGACGACGACACGCTCGAGTACATCCGCTCGGAACTGTACGCGACCGAATCGATCGCCTACACGTCGTGTGACGTCACGATGATCCTCGGAGCCATCATGCTCCTCATCGGATTCATCTTCTTGGCTTTGACGGTAAGAAGAGCGCAAAAACTGGCCAAATTTCAAAAATATTTGCAGCTGGGTCTATTCGACACTCTGCTCGGCGGTCGACGGAAACGAGCCGATGGCTTGTCGCCAGAGCCCCTTCCGCCGTACGTGGCAAAAGGAGAACCGAACGGATTCCACCACCATCATAACCACGCCTACACATGATCCCCCACGAAGCCTCGGAAAGCTTTACCGCCCGCCTGTAATGTCTAGCTCACACATTCTCAGATTTCATTGACACTTTTAGATCCGATCCCAGTTTTCCCCCCACTTTTTTGTTCAATCCCGACGGGTCGCCTCCCCCAACATTTACATAATCTTGTACTCTAAACATTGACAAAAAACGACAATTGTAAATAATAATTATTTCACCTTTTCTCTCTCTCTCTCTTTTCAATACAATAACAGACATTTGGGACTGAATATTTGACAAGGGGAAAATTGTACAAAAACTAATAAAAACACGAGTCGAATTATCGCAATTTCAGTAAGAATCATTGAGAAAAACGACGGAACGCCCACGCATTCCGTCCGGTCCGGATCCGTACGAAAACGTGGCGTTTGGCGAGAAGACGGGCTGAGCCATTTGACGAAGAGGAATACTCGAATACTGCGAACTCAGATTTCGCATTTCGAACGACGAGACGGACGGTTCGGAGAAGGACGAGTAGTCCAGGTAGTGGCCGCGTCCGTTGTGGTGGTGGCTGCTGCAAGTGCACTCTATTCGACTCGGACCAACGAAATTTTAATTTTTCTGTGTTTTTTTGGGCATAGGTGTTTTGAGTTGAGAGCAGGCAGTTCGCGACAAGCGAGTGGGAGTGGCCTGGTTTGGGAAAAAGTTTCTCAGCCGTAAGGCTGACTTTTGGTGGGAAAATTGAATTTTCGAAATTTTTTCGGCGCAAATTTCAAATTTTCAACCAAACTAACGTGTGCATCCGCTCGGCCTCCTCCATTTCCTCCCACAGCATCTCCTCGCACACCTCGTCGATCATCATTTGCCGGGCGACGAACGCCTCCGTCTTCCGTCTCGCTTTGACGTCCGAATAGAGCGAAAAAACGACAAAAGTGTAGTAGGAATGAAAGGAAAAAAGGGCAGCGGAGGCGCAGAGTCGCATCAGAAGAAGCCGTGTCCGTTGGGGAAGATTCCAGAGGCACAGCGAGACGATGACGAGGCAGAACACGGAAAATGCGATCTGAAAATCGACTTTTCAGAAATTTCGGCATTTCCCCTTAAAAATTGTGAAAACCTCGCAAATCAAGAGTGCCCAGTGTAAAAATGGCCGCTTTTTGAAGCATCCGATCACGGAAATGACAAGGGAAATGAGCCAAACGGAGCACAAAACGATGGAGCCGACGAACACGTTTCCCTGATTCCACGTGGCAGAATTTGTGAAATTGACAACGAAAAGGTCGGGAAGAAAACAGAAAACGAGTAGGAGCACGAGTTGAACGATCACGAGCGGGGTGAGCGTCAAATATAGCGTCTGAAGCGAAACAACATTTTTTTTTCATGACAATATTGCGATTTACCCGGATTCTGACGAGTCCGCAGCAGTGGCGGGTTGTTTGGTAGGCGGGCAGCTTGGCGCAGAACGAGAAATCCATCGGCTTTGACATTTTTGCAGTGAAAATGGTGCGAAATTCGAGATTTCGTGGTGAAAAATTCAAAAATAAAAAAAGAGCTACAGTAATTTGTTGATTTCGTGGCGAGACCCGGAGAGGCGGAAGCGTTCCGCGCCTTTCACTACCGTATTTCTCGGGGAAAAAATAAGGCCGTACCGTTTGGGAAGAAAAGAGAAAACGAGAGAAACGAAAAGGGGAGAAAGGGGTACGGTTCAAGTATGGTCAAGAAAATGTTCAAGAAAAAATACAGCAGAGAAGCTCGAGTGGGACGATAGCAGTGTTTGAGACGACATCAGCAGTACATGCAAAGAGAAATATTTATAGGCTCTTGCGATTTCTGAGGATCCCATCGCTTCCGAATGGGATCCAGTGATGTTGACACACTCTCCTAGTTATGTTCTATTTGTTTTGATTCATCAGGGCTCTTCGGAATACCTCTGTCGGCCGCCACCGCTAAAAACCCTGGCAGAGTGCACAAAGAAGCGACCGTCCGTCAGGCTTGTTCTATTATTGTTCCATTTCCGACTTTACCGCGACTGTAACAGGTTGTTAGGCCCCTCCCCCTCCAGTTAGTCATAATTTGCAATTTGGGCGCATGATTTTGCAGTTTTGCCGCACGCAATTGAAACTCCGCTCCTTTAAAGGAAATTTATCGCCTTTTCGTTTCTCCCGTTTTCGCGGTTCCCCTTTTCGAATTTCCCCTTTTCGTTTCTCTCGTTTTCTTGTTTCTCCTCAAACGGTACGGCCTCGAAAAAATCAGAGAAAAAGTGGGAATTTCAGCGAAAAATGTCTGAAATTGTCCGGTTTTCGATTATTTTTGTGCTTCCAAATTTTTCCACTGAAAACTTGTGTGTAAAATCTGAAATTTCCAGTTTTTCCACTGAAAATCGTATTTCTACCTTTTGTTCTGCACTTTGTGTCCAGATGCCAGTGGTACGTGCAGAATGCAACATTTTGACCACAAAAGATGTAGTGATCAGTGATCTCAAAGCGCTTTTTTCATTTTTTCCACTAAAATCTGCGGGAAAACATTGTTCCAGATGAAATCAGATGTCATTATTGATTATTCTCTATTATTTTTTGCCTTAATCACGAAATTTCCGCGTTTTCTGCCCATCAGAACCCCCGGCGCCCAGTTCACATGATTCGCTCGTTCTTCGCTTTCCGTCTGCGTGTCTGCCGTCTCCTCGCCCTCCGTTTTCTCTCTTTCGGACAAATCGACCCGCCGTCGTCGCTTTTTCCCTTTTCTCCTTCATTTCCACCCAATCAACACGTCGTTTTTGCTTTTCTTTGCTCTGAAAATGTCTCTTTTATCGATTTTCGGTGGTTTCCAGATGCTGTCCGCGAAGTGCCCTCAAATGCGCGTGTTTACGCAGCGCATCGCCGTCTTTTCCACGCAAGTTCAGACCGATCCGGCGCCGATTGTGTTCGTCGGCAAGGGAACGACGCGTAAGGATTCTGAAATTGGAAAAATGCGGAAAATCGAGTCTCTTGGAGTTTCAGCTCGTCAAAACTCGCTGCTCGGACCCAACGACAGTCAATATCCGTTCCAGGGAGACGTCTCTTTTGCGCACAAGGTTTGCCATGTAAAATTTGTGATTTATCACTAAACAATCGTGATTTTTGTGTTAATTTCCAAAAATTGTTTCTGGGAGACTCAAAATTCACTCAGTACGTGTTTTCTAACGTTTCAAACGCGTCTCAGCTCAAAAAAAAATGCTCAAAACCTGGATTTGCAACTAATTTTTCCAAAATTCCAAAACGTCCAAGTTTGCAGCCGCTGTCCCTGCGCCAACAAGTGGAGGCCTCGCGGATCGAGAAAGCGCTCGAAAACACGGAGCACTCGCTGATCGCTCTGCTCTCGAACAACGCGATCGAGGTGGATCGGACGCACCTGACGCAGATCAAGGAGGAGGCGATGGCCGAGTTGCAGGCGAACGCCGCCGACGTCGAGATCGAGCTGAGTGCGGTGGAGTGCCCGAAACTGCTGAAGCGGGAGATGAAGTACCTGTTCCCGCAGATGGAGACGCACAAGATGAAGGAGATCACCATTTTCAACCTGACCCAAAAATCGGAGTTTGACATGAAGGCGTGGAGCGAGGCGATGGAGGAGGAGCGCGATAAACTGACCGCCTCGTTCGTCATGTCGGCCAACGCCATCTGTAAGACGCTCAACCACTACGGCTACTGGGCCGACTTCATCGACCCCTCGTCGGGCCGCCCGTACATGAGCGACTTCACCAACCACACGCTGTTCGAGACGAACGAGATCTACAAACAGATGGGCTTCAAGATCGAGGACCTCGGCTGCTGCAAGGTGCTGCAGCACGCCTGCTGGGGCTCGCACGCCTTCGTCGGCACCATTTTCACCGACGCCCCGCTCGACAGCATCGCCGTGCGCGATATCATGCGTAAAGTCACCGAAGAGGTACAAAAATCGCACTATCTAAGTCAGAAAAGACTGCAAAATTTGAAGTTTTGTGTTTTTTGAGCTGAAAATCCGTAATTTAACGAGTGTCGGCTTAATTTTCAATGAAATGATGAAAAGTTTCTGTATTTTGAATTTCAAACTCGCGCCAACCAAATTCTCAGTTTCATTCGCAATAGAGCACATTTGCATTATTTTCGAAGAATAGTTATTTTTCTGAAAATTCAAATTTTCCGCAATTTCAGGTCAACGAGGACTACTAAATGCACCCACCTCCCACGTAGAATGCCATAAATCCCGCCGCCCACGTATATATGAGTCGATTCTCTGTCCGATGTTCGATTTCTCTCTGTAAAATAATTAGTGTGACACGAAATAAATTTGAACGCATTTTTCCCACCTGTCTGACATGTCAGACGGGTGCACTTGTAAATACACAATAAAGAATTTATGTCGAGCCCGAAATTTTTCAGATTTTCGTCGAAGTTTTTAGTCTGAATACTTTGGATGATTTTGAGAGCAATCCGTTGAGAAAATGGGCTTCAGATGACGTGCACGACGTCCAGTGAAGAGGAAGAGGCGGACGTTCCACGGGCGGCCCTTATTTTCGACGTTTTTGTGTTTTATTTCGATCGATTCGTGGTAAATGCAAAAGTTTTCATCTACAAAGCGTTTCATATAAAATTATCGATTTTCAGAAAACGCTTCCGTCGTTCACCGGCCAAATCGTCGTCCTCTTCTGTGTTTTGCCCGTTTCCGTCTCGATCGCCGTCTTTCTCGTGACCGCACTTTTCAACTTTGGCATCGCTTTCGTCGCGCAAAGTAAGACCGCATTTTCTAGGAAAAACTCATTGAAATACCGATTTTCTGCCCAAAACTGTTCATGGACTTTTCGACGAATTGATTTTGGGTAAATCAACAATTGAAATGGAAAACGAATAGAGAATCGTCGAATTTGTGGCCTAAAATTCCGAGAAAGCGATTGCAGCGATCTCGAGCGTGGTGCTCCTGCTGCTGCTCGTCCCGTGCCTGACTTTGTGCGTGCTCAGCGCCATCTCGACCGCCTACCTCCTCCAAATCGGCCATTTCGTCTACCGCCGACTCGTCCGACCGCCGCCGACGCACTTCCGAAAACTGGAAATTGAGGAAAAGCTGAAAATCTCGTAATGTGATTTATTTATTTATTCGGTTCCCCCCGTTATTACATTCCACTCGCGTTTATTGATGATTCTGTACTATAATTAGGATGATGTATTGATAGTAATGTTGTTAATAACAGAAAATAAGAGAGATTACAGGTTTTCCACTTTTAACTTTTTAAAAAGTTCAATTTTGAACACAGTGATTTTAGAGAAGTTTATGTAGGATCATGGTACACGCAAAATCTTTTAAAACTATAACAGTCGAGAGGAACAAAGAAAAAAAACGGAAAGCCGAATACTTTGTACCCCCCACGCTAATCAAACTCTGCACAGGAAAGTCTTCAGAGAATCGTGCCATATACCATTTCGGACGGACGCACTTTAAACCCGGACTCTCTCTCTCTCTCTCTCTCTCTCTCTCTCTCTCTCTCTCTCTCTCCTCCTTCACTAGTTTGTTTCTTTCGGTCGCAATTAGCACTGGTAGTGATCGGTGTCTTCGTCTTCTCTCCGTTTCACCCACTGATAAGGAAAGGGAGAGAGAGAGAGAGAGAGAGTGGAAAAGTGGAGACATTGATTAGGGGGGCCGCAATTGAAGTTGTTATCTTGTCACTCATGATGCCCGTGTCACTATCTCTCTCTCTCTCTCTCTATCTTTCTTTCTTTGTTCTTTATGCCCTTCTACTACTCCTTCTTCTTCTTCTTCTTCTTCTTCGTCTTTTTCTTCTTCGTCATTACTTTTTTTGGCTAAATTTGGCCTATTTACTGTACGTTCCAAGCCAAAAATGAAGTTGTGGGCTTATTCACAGTTTGACAAAGCTACAGTAACCTTGTGCGTGGGCGAATGGAAAAGTGATCAACTAGAGTTTTGTAGGAAATGTCTTGTACTATACTTTTGCAGTTGACAACTTTTTTGTACGCATACGTATAGGACTACTGTAGGTCTTGGAAGATTATGCTCTGGAGGCACTGCTGTTAGTGATCCCAATTTTCAAGAGCTACAGTAGTCCGGTACGTGGGCGTATTAAAAAGTTGTCAACTACAAAAATGTTCCGCTAGACATGATCTATAATACTGTAGTTGACAACTTTTCTGAACTTCTCCACCTAAGGCTACTGTAGCTCTTGGAAGTCAAAACCCTTGAAGCGAACATCAATTGTACCCTAACTTCCAAGAGCTACAGTACCTCTGCGCGTAGTCGTACAAAAAAGTCATCAACTACAAAAATGCTCTACTAAATGTCAAGAAACCACAAAAACATTTCTAGAACAATAGCTCATCTCGAAACTCTACAATATCCGTTCAAAGTTCACCCATTTCCTCAGCTAAAAAACCCCGATATTATCCATTTCCCCGCTTCAGAACCATGACGAACGAGGCGGCGATCACTCTGGCGGCCGCTCTTCTCGGCTCTTCCTACTTTCTATATTGTAAACTTTTGAAACAGGCAAAGTTGACGCTTCCGCACGGCCATTCCGTCGATCGGCAAGCCGTCGAGGTCAAGGTTCGTTTCGATGGCCGCGACCGAGGAGTTTCCTAGGCCACCGCCCCCCAAAATGACTATTGTAGGGTCAGCCGGGAGTGTGGAAAAGTGCCCTGATGGAGAATGAGCCGGAGGACGTGCTCACCCGTTTCTATCCGGAAATCGCCACAATCCACGACATTTTTGTGCAGGGCAAAAAGGTAAAAAGACGATTCGAATATTGTCCATCCACCAAAAAATGTTGTCCCCCCCCTCCTCCCCAATCATATCATCTTTTGAAAAAGGTGGGGTGATGTCCTTTCCTCCCCCCGTCTCGTCGCCGCCGAACTTTGTTTTCTTATCTCATCGACACGCGGGGGAGTATGGCCTGATATGCGGGGGACGGGGAGAAAGAAGGATGGCCTAGAAAAAGTTAGGCCACCACGTAACGAGTATTGTAGGAGAGCAACGGAGGACCGTGCGTCGGAACGAGGGCCTCCGCCGATGCGGACTACGCGTTCCTCACCTACAATGAGGTGCACGAGAAGGCGCAGAAACTCTCGATGACTCTGGTGCACGAGTTCGAGCTCACTCCAGGTAAGCACGGTGGGGGGAAAAGTTAGGCCACCCGCTGAAAAAGTTAGGCCTTGATTCCAACTTTCAGCGAACACGACGAACGTGGGCATCTACGCGCGCAACTCGCCGCAATGGCTGATCAGTGCGCTCGCGTGCATCGAGCAGTCGATGGTCGTCGTCCCGTTGTACGACACTCTCGGCGCAGAGGCCGCCGCGTTCATCATCTCGCAGGCCGACATCTCCGTCGTTATCGTCGACTCGTTCAAGAAGGCCGAGTGTCTCATCAGCAATCGGCACAATATTCCCACTCTGAAGCAGATCATCGTCATCGATGGACACGAAGTTGTCGGCGGGGCGGTGAGTGCTTTGGAACTTTAGCTGTAACTCGAAAACTAAGCGTTTAGACTGAAAATAATCAACTATGAAGTTGAAGATCTAAAAATTCTCTACATTTTCTCTGTTGACTACTTTTTGAAATAATCAATCGTTTTCAAGTTACAACCTTTCAAAGTTGAACTTTTGCACTCCCAACTTTGGAGTGCTCTATCTCTGTGAAAAATGATCAGATTGACACCAAACTTGGACAAGGGGAGGGGGGGTGTACTCTCATTTTTTTCTACAGTACTAGCATGACACTACAGTAACCCTTCTCTCCTTCCAGCGAACCATCGACACAATTCGCGTGGAGACGTTCCAAAGTGCGATCGCGCACGGCTCCAACTACGAGTTCACGAACAATTTGCCGCAACCGGAGGACGTCTACATCATCTGCTACACTTCCGGGACCACGGGCCAACCGAAGGGGGTCATGTTGACGCACGCGAATATTGTGGCCAACATCAGCGGATTTCTCAAGATTCTCTTCACCTTCCAGCCGTCCATGATCGATACCACACAGGTGCGTGCCATTTTTGGGGCGCGTCCTTCAGCCGATTTCTGAATTTTCAGGTCCACATCTCGTACCTGCCGCTTTCGCACATGATGGAACAGCTCACGCACTGGACGCTCATCGGATTCGGCTCCAAAATCGGCTACTTCCGCGGCAGCATTCAGGGATTGACCGATGATATCAAGTGCCTCAAACCTACCGTGTTCCCGGTCGTTCCGCGCCTCTTGAACCGATTGTACGACGCGGTTACGGTGAGCGCTTTGCAAATTGTGATGTAACTCGAAAACTAAGCGTTTAGCCGGAAAATGATCAACTGCAAAGTTGAAGATCTGCAAATTCTCTACATTTTTTCTGTTGACAACTTTTTGAAAAAATTTATCGTTTTCAAGTTATAAGCCTTCAAAGTTAGCATAAGCCCCCCCGCTTGATTTCTCGACGGAAAATGATCGGATTGACACCAAAATTGGACAGGGGACACTTTATACTCTCTAGTTAATGCTAGCAAATTTCGGACTGTTCAAATTTTCAGAGCAAAGTGCAGCAGCAGGGACTCGTGGCGAAACTCGTCTACAACTTTGCATTCGCCCGCAAACTGAGCCAGGTGCGCGCCGGAAAGCGCACCCGTGACACAATCTGGGACCGTCTCGTGTTCCGCAAGATCCAGGAGCAGATCGGAGGGAAAGTGGACCTGATGGTCACCGGCTCGGCGCCCATCTCATCCACCGTTCTGGAGACGTGTCGAGTCACTCTGGGCGCCACAATTGTCGAGGGATACGGTCAGACAGAGTGCACCGCGCTGGCCACTTTCACGTGGATGGGCGATCCGAGCACCGGTCATTGCGGAGCCCCGGCCCCGTGTGCACTCGTCAAACTCGGAGACGTGCCCGATTTGAACTATTTTGCCAAGGACGGAAAGGGAGAGGTGCGCTATCTTTTAATGTATTACTTACTGCACAGTTGCTTCTCGAAACCGTACAATATCCGTTTTCCAGATCCGTATCAAGGGACCGTGCGTCTCGAAGGGATATTATAAAGATCCGGAGCGGACGGCCGAGCTGTTCGACGAGGAGGGCTTCCTGCAGACGGGCGACATCGGAGAAATGCTTCCGAACGGCACCATCCGCATTATCGATCGAAAGAAGCACATTTTCAAGTTGGCGCAGGGCGAATACGTGGCGCCCGAGAAAATCGAAAACGTGTACATCCGAACGCCGGTCGTGCAGCAGGTTTACGTCGACGGAGACAGTTTGCAGAGGTGGCTGATCGGTGTGATCGTGCCGGAACCGCAAGTTTTGATCGAATGGAACGAGAAGCACGGCGGACTGGGCGCCGCCAGAAGTTTGGAGCAGATTTGTGAGGACGAGAAGGCGAAGGAATTCGTGCTCGCCGAGCTGCACGCCATCGGAAAAGCCAACAAGTTGAACTCGATCGAGCAGGTTAGTACGCGTGGTCTGGCTTTTTTTTAGGCAAAAATACGTTTTTTTCTGGAAAATATGGGAGAAATTTCAATTTTTTGAGTGTGGCCTAGATTTCCGCGATTGGGTTTCTAGGCCATGGTTGTAGGCCAGTTTTTTCCTCAAATTCTCGCCAAAAAACACGAAGTCCACCCGTTTTCAGGTCAAAAAAGTTATCCTTTCGGCGGAGCCGTTCACCGTTGAAAACGGACTTCTGACGCCGACGCTGAAGGCGAAAAGACCGCAACTTCGGCTGAAATACAAGGACGGAATGGCGGAGGTGTATGCGAAATTCCCCAATTTGTAGTCAATGTATCTTATCGACTTTTTTTTTCACAAATTCTAAAAAAATAAACTTTGAAATCGAATGATCACAACCTCTTGGACAAATCAATAAAAAAAATCCGCAAAAATTATTAGTTGGCGGCGTTGGCGATGGCCGACTCGACGGCCTTCTTGATTGTCGAAATGGCGGCCGTCTGATCGGGCGCTCTGATGATTCCGGTGCCCGAAACGATCGCATTCGCGCCCGCGCGCGCCGAGATTTCAATGTTTTCGGGCGTCACGCCTCCATCCACCTGGATCGTCAGCGTCGGAAACTTTGCGCGGATCGTGCGAACCTGCAAATGCTTTCTATTGCACTGGAAAAGGGAAAGCTAGGCCACCTTTTCCATTTGATTCTCCATGAATTTCTGACCACCGAATCCGGGCTCGACGGTCATAATCAAAGCATTATCGATGTGGGCGGCGTGTCTGCAAAAAAGCTGATTCGCTGAATTTTGAGGAAGCTTTTGAAAAATGCCAGAAAATTCCCCGGACCTCTTAAAATCGATAATGCGCTCACTTCAGAATGTGCTCGACAGAAGTGCCGGGTTTGACGGACAGTCCCACCCGCATTCCGTTCTTCCGGATGTGCTCAATGAGCTCCCCGACCGCCACGTCGCCTCCGTCGACGGCTTCGTAGTGGAATGTGAACTGGTTGGCGCCCGCCGCCGCCATCGGCTCCACCCATTTTTCCGGATTCGACACCATTAGATGGACGTCGAAAAAGGGGCCGGAGCCGAGCGATTTGCGCAGCGATTCGACGACCGGATGGCCGAAAGTCAGGTTCGGAACGAAGTGACCGTCCATCACGTCCAAGTGCAACCTGAAAAACAACAATTTGCTAATGCTTTTTCGAAATTTCATTTTCCAGTGCTTACCAGTCGGCTCCGGCGGCCAACAATTTCTTGCATTCCGAACCGAGCGCCGCCAAATCGGCGTTAAGAATCGATGGACAAACGTAGGCGCGAAGGGACATCTTAAAAAGAATACAACATTAAAAATTGTTTTCAAATTATAGATATTCACCGAAAAATGTACAATTTTTCGCACAAAGAAAGCGCAAAAAATGAGAAAAAATTCATATCGAGTACCCAATTGTGTGTGTGTGTGTGTGCGTGTGTAGTTCACATATTAAATGGAAGAATATTATAGGTCATCAGCAAGAAACATAAATATTTACACCAAAAAAAAGAGGAAAAATCACAGAGAAGACGGGCGGTTAGAGAGTGCGGTGAAGCAATCGATAATCTTATCAGTAGGGAGCGCGGCACATGTGAGGGGAAAATAGAAAAACAAAAACAATCAGGTGATGATCCAGTAAATGGTGAAAATGAGGCAGGCCGAAATGACGCCCGCCAGGATCAGAGTGTTCTTTTGCTTTTTCGTTTTGATCTTCTGCATCACATTGTTGATCGCCGGGTACTTTTCTGCAAAAAAATGTGGATTGAAAGTGCGCTACGCCGCTTAGCGGTAAATTTTGGACGAACTGCTAATGTAGAGCAATCGATTGGAGATTCCGCGCAAGTTGATGCCCTGTCTGGCCACGTTCTCCTTCGTCGACATCGCCATTTCGATGTGTTCGTCCAGAAGCCGTTCGCACGACTGAATGTGCTCGTTCTCCTGAAATCCGCTGCCTAGCTTTTCCTCTTCCACTCTCTTCTCCTCCAAACCTTCAAATACATGTCGTATCCTCTGGCCCGGTTGTTCAGTGTCGTGCTGTTCCGTCCGTTTTCGTTGGAGCTGCTCAAGAGGAGCTCTCTCTGGAGCACCTGGTCGACATTGTTCCGCGAGCGGTGGTACTCGGTACCGTAGTCCCTGAGGATCTCCCGATGACGACGCAGCGTGTGCTGGATCGCCGGATTTGCGGCCCACGTGGCCGACGAGGGCGCCGAGACGACGTCGTTCATCTGAACACAAAATAGATTTGACAAGAGAGCATAGACAATTTTTTTCAATTTCTCCGTGCAACTTGACACCTTTCTTAACGACGACTGTGAAATTTTTAAAGCTAGCCACTTGTCCTGAAGTTTTGTGCCTTTAAATTTGAGGGGTATACGGTCTTCCCATTTTTCTCACAAACAAATTACGCTTTCATAACATCATTCTGACTTTTTTCAAGTGTTTTCTATTTTACATTCCTAGTTCGTAATACTTTTACTGTTGAAAAGTCTTACATCGTCGTTGACATTGGTCAACTGCTCGATGAGTCCCTCGATTTCGGTGGTGAGTGTGCGGAAGTTTGACTGTCGCGACGAGACCGTCTTCTCGTCAATGTCGAATCCGCCGTGCGCGGAGGCCGTCAGTTTGTTCAGCGAGACGAGCTTCACGTCGATCGAGTTCTCCGTGCTCCGCGCCTTTTTCCGCAACGCTTCCCACGTTTCTGACATGATTTCTGCAGGGAAACTGATGGTTTTGTAGGTGAGAACGGGCGGAAAAGGTATGTGAATCGTTAAAGAACGATTGGGAGAGTCGAGAACAAGAGAAACAACAAAACATTTATTGAAAACTTCAAAAATTGTGCTCCTATTGCTCATCGTCGCTGATTGCCTCCGTTTTGAGATCGCCGAGCCTGGGCTGTTTGCGCGACACGACCGCTTGAATTCGTCCGGACCGATTCACTTCACGCTTCGACGAGCCTAAATGTTTTATATTTAGACAGTTCCGGCTGAATTTCCAACAAAAAGATGGTGTAAAACAATAGAAAGTAAAAACGAAACGAAAAATCGATGAACGTCTCTTAATTCGGAAGTCTGCCGCTACCTTCTCGCTTCCTGTTCCTCTCCGCTTCTCGATCTCCGCCCACGCTCGGTCCGAATCGTTTCTCGCGATTGCCGCGTTGTCCGTGCCGCCGCGCCGCTGCCGCGTTCCTTTCCTCGCGCAAACGGTCTCTCTGTTCGATGCTTATCTCGTTGGCGTAGCTTGCCGGACGAGTGTCGATGTATCCACGTGTCGTGTAGGACGTCGGACGATGATGGTACTGGTGGTGGTGGTGGTCACTACTCGGACGGCTGCTGCAATTGTCGTCGGTTGCTGTGGAGTTGGGAATTGTCAGGAATAGTCTAACACATATTTCGGCATGGAGATTCAATTACACAAAGCCTGATGAGGTGAAAACGTTTGCCCTTTCAAGTTTTTGATCGCAGAATTCTCAGCAGAGGCTGGTGCATCTCAAAACCGGGCAGAATGTGGATCTGCTCGTTTTGGATCGTAGATCTTACCAGAAGGACGAGAACTACATCGCGATGCTTACAGGTTTGTGGAAGAAGTTAGAAGATATACCCTACAATCGGGGACGTTTCAAAGTAAGCGTGCTCATAAGATTACAGCAAACATCAATAATCGACATCAGTCTTGAGGTGTCTAATGCTCAGAACATCAGAATGAACCATACAAACTGTTTGTCGCTATTAGAGTTTCAAGCACAAAAATTCTGATCTCACAGTTCGTTTGTGTTGAACCTAACTGATATCAGACAGTCTTGAGCTATGAGAAAGTTGGTAAGAACCGTCATTTTCTCGCGAAAACTAGGTTTTTGAACACTCAGTTAACAAACAAATAGCAATGAAGCCCAGCTTCTCAGGGAATCTGGTTAGCGCCAAGAATACGACAATATTCTTACCTTCTGCGGTCCCTGTCCCGTTCCCTGCTCCTGGACCTGCTCCGCTCTCTTCCCCTTCCGTACTTCTCCAGTTCCCGAATCTCGCGCTCGCGCATCTCGATCCACCGTTCGCGTTCTCGCAGCTCGGCCTCCCGTCTCCGCACTTCTTCCTGCATCGCCATTTCGATCTTTTTCTGCTCGATCTCCTGCAGTTCCTGCTCGATTTCCGCCAGTCTTCTCTGCATCGCCGATTGATCCGATCCTCCGGTGGACGTTGTCGGCCTCCACGCACTTTGATTCGGCATCGAAGTCATTGGATCTGATAGCGAATACGAAGAGAAGTGAGTGCTCAACGGCTCCTGGCTCATCTGCTCAGCTCTTACGACCTCGCTGATAATCTCCGGAAGGACGGAAGCGAAAGAAGAAGTGGGCGGGGCTGGCGAACAGTTCAAAGACGGAAATGCGGCGGAGGGGAAGGCGGTGGCGTAGGAGGAAGGAGCGGAGGAGCCGGGGAAACTCGAGTAGGTGTTTCTCGACGGATAGGAAGAAGAGGAAAAAGAGGAAGTCTGGAAGGGTGTCTGGTAGGGATCCGGTTGTGGTTCCGGGGTGTTCCAGTTGTTCGGTTGGTTCGGCGTTATCCTGCAAATGTTGACGTTTTTGAGGAAAAATATGGGAAAAATGAAGCGCGAGACAATTTTCACCCACCAGTCGTTGTTCAGATACTGATATCCGCCGTAGCCGCCTTGATAGTGTCTGGGCTCATTTCCGCGATAATCCGGGATCATCGATCGATCCGTAACCGGCGGCTCGGCGATCAAGTTTGCCATAAGCGGCGGCGGTTTTTTATGTGTCTCCGCCTGCTGCTTTTTTTGTTTATTTGACAATTTTGGCGGGCCAATCGAATTTTGAGCGTTTTTCGCCGCCTTTATGGTCATTCCCTTCATGGTTTTCAGCACTTCGGCCACCGCTTTCTGATCGTATTCCAATTTGGGCGCAAACTTCGCACCGCCCGTCATGATTTTTGCTCGATTTCTGAGCCACTGGTACTTCCAACGCCGCTTCGCCTTCTTTTTGAAGTTTTTCGGTAGGCCAACAATTTCGGGCACTTTCTGAGGAGTTTTTCGAGTATTTTCAAACATTTTTTAGCAGGTTTTACATTAATTTCATGGCAGAAGAGGTTGTACGCTTTTCTCTCCTCCTCTGTGAGCATGGTTTCGCAGGCGGTGAGCGTTGCGTGCGCAATTGTGTCTTGAACTCCCGGAGGTTTTGGTTTTTCGGGCGGTCTGCAAGGAAATCGATGATGTTCAGTGTTTTTCTATTAATTTTATTACTTCTCCACCTTCTTCGTCTTATTTTCCTTCTGCATCGGCGTCCGCTCCTCCGGCGGCACTCCAATTACGGGAATAGCCTGAATTTCGCAATTTTTGAGCCGTTTCAGGCAATTTTTCGTTAATATACCTTTTGCATTGTGAAAAGTATGAATATTTGAGCAGCTGAAAATTTTTCCAATCGGAAATGAATACTAAAACGTCATTTATCCGCCCAAAAGTCGTTTCATTCAAGTTGCAAGGTGACGACAATTTCCGCAAACACCGTCACGCAAAAATGCACACTTTCCGACGTGGCGAAGCACAGATTCACATGAATTCAGAGCACACAATGAATTTTATGACACGAATCAATAGAGAAAATAACCGTTAAGAGAAAAATGAGTAGTAATTATAATGTCAGATGACTAGTAGACGAGGATTTCGCCGCCGAATTGATCCTCTGGCTTGTATCTCGTTCTGAAATGATTTTTGTGCATGAATTTCAACGGAAAGATAATAAATACTCGATAAATCGCTTCGCAAGAATCTTCCCGTCGTCTGTCGGGTCGGAGAATGCGATTCGAAGGCGTCGCGAGCGGAATTCCATCTGGCGGTCCTGCGTGGTGGCCGCATCGAGCAGCGAGTAGGCGATCTTGGTCCTCCGCACAGTCGGATCCACCCAAATCCGATCGACGCCGACGATCCAGTCGTTCAGGTCCTGCCCGTTGTTCACTTCCCTCCGAGTGACGTCCGTCCACGCGCGGAACACCTTCTCCACAATGCAAATGCCGCCAATGTACATTTTGTTCTCGCGCACGAGCAAAATGAAGAAAATGCGCTTTTCGAACGCCCAAATACTGTTCCTTTCGCACTTGTACCCCAGCTGCTCGTTGATTTTCTTCATGTGCTCACTTATGCACCGTTTGAACGGTTCTTCGACAAAGGTTCCCAGAAAGAACACTTTGAAATCGTTGTGATGACGAGAGTGGAACTGCCTGGAACGGGAAAAATCAGCAAGTGTTTCAATTTTTAAAAACAAATTTTTACATAAAAGTTTTCATGAAATGGTCCGGAATTTGGAATCGATTCAGCCAGTGAGTGTGGAACTTTGCGTGTTCGCGAAGGTCTTCCGCCGAATCCACACAATAAATCATGCCGCACTGCAAAATTGCGTGTTTGGTATTTTCAGCGTAAAACCGACGAAAAACCTCTTCGCAGGCAATGTTTCCGATGTATTTCTGGCCACAATCCAGCACCGTCTGCGATCTTCCTAAATTTTTCATAGTTGTTCCGCTGCTCCGCCGCCGAACAGCCTTTTTTGCTGCTTTTTCTGAGTGGAACGCCTAAATTTCCCCTGGAAAACTAGGAAAATACCTTCTTCTCCTTCGAAAATCGGTCTTTTCGGGCATCTCAAAGCGTTCACGTCGACTTCGTCGGGATTTGTGGTGGTTGGTGGTGGCGGAGACGAAGCTCGCTGCCTTTTATCTTCCGGTTCGTTGTTTTTGACGAAATAATCGCTGATTTTGCGTTTATTGGAGTTATTCGAAGGCGACATGGCTGAAAAATTGCTGAAAATCGACGGGAAAACGGGGAAGAGAATTCAAAGTTTCCGCGCTTCTTGCCGCGCAAAACCGTGCCAGGGCTTTGCGAAATCGAGTGCCAGGGTTGCAATTCAGACTCCGCCCCTCGCATTTTCCCAGAATTTTATGTTTGTCACCTTCAAAAGAGCCTTAAAACGATTTTAAGAACGCATATAAAATTTTGTGAATTTTTAAGGTAGAAAAAGCTCAACGCCAGAAAAATCGATAAAAGTTTATTCTCTAGAATTTCAACACAAAATCGTGGCGCTTTAGATACATTTCCGCGGGAAACACCGTCGGCAGCACTTTGACCGTCTTTTTGAGCACAATTCGACGAGTCGCCGGCCGGAGCTCCAGGTAACGGGCGACGCGGAGGTGCAATCCGTTTTCGGCGCAAAATTCCAGGCGTTCGCACAGTCGATAAGTCACAATTCGATCGATCGGAAGTCCTGTAAATGAGGCTGTTGTAAAATGTCTAGATTCGCGCAAAAATTACCTTTTTCCGGGTCTGCCAGACATTCGAGCACTTTCCATTGTTTTTCGGTCAGCTCATTGAGCGGAAATTGCAAGCGGACCATGCTCAGAGTCTCTGCGGCTTCTGTCGGGAAACTGTGCTGAAATTTCGAAGCTGCAAAAATTCTTTGTTGCTTAGTTACCGAGACGTTATGCAAATTTACAAAATTAGCCATTTTTCGCCGGATTTCTATGATTTTCAAATATTTTTCTGCTTTCCGAGTAGTTGCCACACGTAGGAAAAGGTCACGTAAGAAAATGATTTATTCGGCAAGAAATTAGGAATGATTTAGGATCCACATCGCTCGAACACCTTGTACAAATCGTGCGCGTCGGCCAGCTGCCGTATCACTTTGTGCTCTTTGAAGCTCTCGGGCGGGATGAATTTGCGTTTGACCAGCGGGAAAAGGATCTGTTTGACGAGCGGTTTCCAGCGCATCGACGAGAATTCCGAGACGCGTTTGTCCGCGGTGACGAAGCCGTTTTGCAACGAAAACAGGTCGCCGATAGCTCGGCAAATCGACGAAAAACACTTTTCTTCCTGCAAAAATTGTTCTTCTCTTGTTCTATTCTCTATTCTTTATTATTGATCTTCTAAAAACGGTGAGTTTGTTCCGAACCGTTTTCTGTGACCTTTCGATCTCTGGTTATCCTATGTTCTTGGATAACCAGTGTCACCGATTGGTCACAGAACGTCTTCGGACAGTTTTCCTTTTTGGGTGTGCTTAAATTTCAGGTATTTTCACTACTGTTTTCTTTGTCGGCCAAAAAAACAGGTAAATTGCTCGGCGAGCCAATCGGTTCCTAGTTTGTCTCCCGTTGTCCACCTAGAAGACCCAATTTCTGGTGACAAGAGAGGCACAATAGGAACGGATTCGTGTTCGAACACTTTTATTTTCCAAAAGTAACAGCCCAAATTTCAACATTTTTGAAAATCCAAACTCTTACTCCTCTATTCCTTGCGCTTTTCTAGGCATTTTTCGTACTGACATTGAAAAATTAGCTCATCTTCATGATACGCTAATTTTTTGATGTCCGTACTAGAAAATGCTTGGAAAAGGGGGAGGAATAAAGCGGCAACGAGGTTGAACATGCGATATTGTCTGATTTTTTCCAGAAAACCACTAACATCATCATAATCAACGTCCAAAACGAGTGCGGCGATCAGAAACGGAAGCTTTTCGAGCTGCGGCACGTAGTGATGCACAAGCGACGGAATTTCTGTCAATTTCAGACGTCGCTCTCCCGTTTCCAACTCTTGCCACTCCATTTTGATGGCAAAGTAATCGTGGAGCAGTTCGGAGTGCTCCGCGAGAATTTTCTCGGCTTCCTCTCGCTTTTGTGGCTCGGCGAACATCTGAAATGCAATTTTCGGATCGGGCCCACATCTTGCAGGCTTTTTGGGCTTGGATGGAAGTGTTTTGAGTCCAAGTTTTATACCGATCCGATTATTAACGCTGGAGATCCTGCGACAATTTCCTCGTGAATAATCGTGAAGTGAATAATCGGATCCGTCTGAATCTTGACCCTATTATTTTTCCTTCATAATATTTCAATCCAAGTCCAAGAAGTCTGAAAAGTTTGGTCCCGATCGGATAATTCAAACTGGCCTGAAAAGCCGCATAGTTCTCATCTCCCTGGCTGAGCTCTCCGAGCAATTCGAGCATTTCGCCGATCGCGGGCGGCTCCTCCTCCAGCTTATACGATCCGAAATTTCCGAACGAAAACAGTGAGATCTGGTAGAAAAACTCGTGGAGAACGGCGGAAAAGTCGATTTGGTAAAGGGCGGTTCCGAATTGGACGAGCACGGTTTCGGCGTCGACCGAGCCGACGAACGAGCACGTTTTGAAGAGTTCGCGGAGGGAAAGCGAGGCGGTTCCGACGAGGGTTTTGCGCAAATTCTGCAGAGAATCGAAGTGGAATTCGCGGGTTTCGTCGGCGAGCTCCTGCGATTCGTCGCCGATTGTGCTGGCCAACGACACCATTGACACGTCGTCAAACTCCGCCCCTTTTTGGGAATTCTCTTCGGCTTCTTCTTCTTCGTTGAAAATCTCCTGCGAATCCACGATTCTCTCTCGCTTCCGATTCTGCGGAGAATTACATCGAACGACGAATTCGTCGATTTTTCGCTCTTTCGAATCCGTCCGAATCTCCATATAATCGACGCGCTTTTTCGCCGAATTTTCCGCAAATTTTCTCGCAATTTCCGGTTTCTGGCTGCTTTTTCGCACGGCCTCTATCGATTTTATCGATTGGGACATTGAAATTATGGGAATTTGTGAGAAATTGAATTCTGACTCCAATTCTTCCGGAGTTTTCGTGTTTTCCGAGGCCGAAAATCCGAAGAGCTCGTTGATGAATTGCTCGAAATAGGCGCGAATATCGGCCACAATCTCCTCTTTTTCCAGAAAAATCACCGAACTTTTCGTCGGGTGCACGTTCACATCGATGCGCGTTTCGTCGATTTTCAGATGGACTGCGCAGAATTGACAGAAAAGGGACCGGTTCTGGAGGACGTCGTCAAGCGGATGCTTCAGAATATCGCACCGGACACTGCGGCCGTTGATGAACACGCTGAAGAACGAGCGCGACGTCTGAAACGGAGAATAGTTAATTTGTTGGAAAAATAGGCGATGTGTACCAAAAAAACGTACTTTTCTCGTCTGCGCCAATTTCGCGGTCGCCGCGGCGATCGGCTTCGAAATGTGTCCGGAGAACTGGAATTTGAGACGGGCGGACTCCAACGACAACGGCAGAATTGTCTGAAAATGCGAAAAAATGTGTAAAATGCCGAAAAACGGGGGTGCACATCGGCAATATCCCGTCCGAGTAGATGGCTGACGACATCTCGATGGTTTCCGTCGCCTTTCGTCCGAAAATCGGTCGATTGGTTCTGGCGGAGGGCGAACGAAACATCTCTGAAATGGGCAAACTTCAAATGTGTCGAAAATTTCTCGATTTTTCTGATTTTTCACTTGGAAAATCGCCGAAAAACGTGATTTGTACACTCTAAATTACAATCCTTATGATCTCCCGTCCGAGCGCGGGCGCGAAAATACTGAAAATCTAGGCCACGCCCCCTCGCTTTAAAAGGCCCGAAAATCTTCGGTTTTTCTGTTCTCTACTATTTTGCTTCGGAAATGTAAGTTTGTCCGAACCGTTTTCTGTGACGGGCTCATTGCTGGCCAACCACTGGATTTGTCGGTAGCCAGCTAATGTGCCCATCACGGAAGGTTTCCGGCGCTTTTTTGTTGCCTTTTGATCTTCCGGCCAAGCGCCGGCGCAGTCTCGAAATCTAAGGTTTTTCAGTGTATTCTCTGAATTTATCGCCTCCAGATGCGTCTGAATGACCCGTACGAGTTGGTAAGTTTCTGCCGAAGCCGTTGTCTGTGTCCTGGTGGTACGTGCTCAGCCCGATTATTCTATTTCGATCGGTTGAGCACGTATACCATGACATGGAAGGTTCGCGCACACGTTTTCTTTTCTGCTCTTTCACAAAGCATTCAGCTATTCACGAACGGTCGATGGACTGCGAATCGGAGAAGAGTGTCGTAGACCATTCGGGCCTCCTCGCCGCGCGTCGCCATTTTACTCCGTCGCATCGGCAGGTTGTAGAATAGATCGGTGGCGGTGATGCACGTGCCGTTCCTGCCCGCGGCCGCACGTGTCGGCGCCAACATTTTTCCGTCTGAAAATTGTAGAGAAATCGCTTATTTATGAGTTTATCCGGTCGGGATCTCGGCGATTCGGGAAGGAAATTCTGCATTTTATTTTAGACAACGAAATTTCCGTTCAACTTCTCTAATGTCCGGGCTGAGCGAGACATTCGGAGAATTGCAATTATGAAAAAAAGATCGGCAACTTTAGCACATTCTCACCCAAAAAGTCTGCCTGATACGCGCACTGGGCCTCCGGCCGCTTCGACACAATATTCACTTTTGCCACGTGGCTGAGGGAGGCGAGTGCCTCTCCGCGGAATCCGTACGTCTGCATGTGCAGCAGATCCTCGAACTTTTGCAGTTTCGACGTGGCGAATCGCTCGCAGACCAACTCAAAGTCCTCGCGCTCGATGCCCTTTCCGTTGTCCGACACTTGCAGCGATTTCAGTCCGCCGTCCGCCATCATCACGGTTATTTCTGTGGCGCCCGCGTCCAGCGAGTTCTCCACAAGCTCTTTTATCGCATTGTACGGTCGGGCCAGGACCTCTCCGGCCGCCATTCTATTCACCACTTCTTGAGGCAGTCGCTGGATTTTACCCATCTTCGACGGACTAAAAATGCACAATTTTTCACTACTTTCATACTTGATAATCGGATCGGTATCAAGCTTTGCAGGCTTTTTGGACTTAGCCTAAAGTATACCGATCCGATTATAACATTTTGCAAAAACCCGGACAATATCAATCGTAACGAAACACACAAAATCCCATTGAGAAAAAAGTGGTGCAATTCTCTACAATTTATTTTTCGATTGTTCTTCTTGTGTATGTGTGTGTGTGTGGGTGGGCGGAGTGGAGCTACTATCGAGCAGGAATCTGGATGCTAAAACACATCAAAACAGGAAAAGGAGGCGAGAAAATTGACTAGCCGGAGAGGAAAGAGAGAGAGAGAGAGAGAGCCAAAGAGCTCGACCGCACGAAAAGTTTGGCCACGGCCCAGTGTGCGGTAGAGCGCGTTTGCCAGAAAAAAAAAGGTGAGAGAATGACATAGAAAAACACTAAAAAAAGGCAAAAGTAAGTCGTTTTTCGGGATGGGGGGAAATTCGAAATAAATAAATAAAACCAAAGCGGACACAAATAATAAAGCATCATTTCATATTGAGCCGAGTGAGAAATATGAGAAAAATTTTGGGGAAAAAGGAGAAAAAGAGACAGAGAGAGAGAGAGAGAGAGGGGAGCGAGACTTTAAGAACCTGTGAAAATAGTTTACGACAATAATCATATGAGGGGATTGAATACATTTTCGAGTGCGTGCGCCTCGCCGTCTACTGATTCCATTCGCTCTCGTCGACGCCTTCCATGTGATCTTGCTCCAGACGCGTGTCCACGTCGATTTTTGTCGACCAGGCAGCGGCGACCTGCAAAAAATTGAGTTTGAGGCGCAAAAATTGGAGTGCCCTGGCAAAGAAAGTGAAAATTTGCCATTTTAGCACTAACAGGGCTTGATTTTTTCGAAAATACGATGCAAATTCGCAATAGACCGAATTTGCATCGTTTTTCCGGAAAAGCGTGTCCGAGACTGTCACAAGCGACGATACCGACGGCGGGAAATAGAAGGAGAAGAAGAAAGAGGTGGAGGAGGAAAAGCCATTCCAGACGAAATTTCCAGACTTTACAGCCAAAAACTCAAAAATTGAAAAAAGCGAAAATAGCGAGGCGAAAACTTTTGACCCACTTGCAATTATCCGATCGGGCCCAAACTTTACAGGCTTTTTGGACTTGGATTGAAGTTTTTTTTCGATCGGATAATCACAAATGAGTCAAAAGTGGACCAATTTGAACCCAACGATCGGAGGATAATGAAAAAGGTGAACCGAGCGGCTTACCGAGTGATATTATCAGTTACAAATAAGTTTCAATGACCTGAATCAGAAAATTTGTTGGGTTCTCGTCTGAAAACTCTCTTACATCGTCCTCCTCTTCCTCCTCTTCTTCTTCTCCCCAAGTCGGAACCCCGACTTCATGGGCCAAAAGGGACCCGGTCCCTCCGTTTCCTCGCACTTCCTCTCCTTCTTCTACTGCTCCTCCGTTTCCTACCTGCTTCAGATCCGGCTTGTGCGCGGCGCTTTCGACGGCGCAGCTCTGCATGTTGCGGGACAACGGCGTCGGCAGCGGCTTGTTCTGCTCTGATTGCGACGACGTCGACGGAGGCGTGACCGAGGAAGAAGACGCGGCCGGCAGTTCCGAGTGACGGATCGAGGCGGCCATCGGACGAGGGACTGCAAAAAGAGCGATTTTCGGAGAAACGTAGAAGGCAAAAAGACTAAAAATTCAGCGGTAAACCAAATTCTGCAGCAACTTACTCGACGATCCAACTCCGTCGGGTTTGAGCGATCTGAAGACGGGCGCCACGTCGTGTCCGGCCATCCATTTGGCGGCCGTCGTGACCGGTTGCCACGTGACGAGCGCGTCGGGGAACAGATCGTCTTGGAAGACGTCCTTCTTCACGCGCGGTACTTTGAAGCCAATCTGCTCGAGACTCTTGTCCGAGAGCCGCCATCCAAGCTGGAATTCGACGGCCATCACGTTGCACTTGATCTTCTGATGGAACGCGATTCCCTGGCCGCCGACGGGCGACATGAACGGCAGCAGCGGCAGGAGGTACGGCGAATCGTAGATCACTTCGAACATGTTCACGACGCGATCGCCCTTTCCGCTCAGGAACAGCACGTTCGAGTCGTAGTCGTAGTGAGGGACGAGCGGCTGTGTCGCCTGGTCGATGACCTGCGTGTAGATGTGTCGAAGATCGGTCGTCGTCGCGTCGTACATCTGAATCTGCCGTTGCGAGCTCTTCGTCATGCCGACCACGATGATAATGCGATCGTCGCACGCGAACAGAACACGCGCGGCCCGCGTCGACTCGACCACCGCCTTCCGCTCGTAGCACTTTTGCTCAGGGCTCGCCGGCTCGTGCACATAGAGAACCGCATCGCGTCCGACCGAAGCGATGCGCCGTCCGTCGGCGGACCACGCAATGCTCAGAATGCCGCCAGTGTGCTTCACGAATCGCGAGTAGAGACGCGGCTCCGACAAGTCCCACAGTTCGACAGAGCTGTTCGACAGGGCCACCGCCATAAGGTCCTGGGCGAGCGGGTGCCATCGCATCGAAACAATCTTCTCGCCGCCAATCTTAATCGTCCGCTCCGGCTCCATCTCGTTGCGCGGTCCGTCCGCGTCCGTGAAGCGCCACAGGTTGATCTGCCCGCAATCGGTGCCGACAGCGAGTTGTCCGGCGTCGAACGGATTCCACTGGAGATCCGTGATCTGCACCTTGTTGAATATTCCGTCCATCACTCCGTCCGCCAGTTTTTCCGGTTTATCCACATTGTAAATGCCGACGACGCCGAGTCCGGCGAGGGGAACCGCGGCGAACTGGTTCGAGCAGCAGACGCCGTTCGACTCGGGCGGCAAGCGCGTGTTCACGTTCCGAAGGTTTGAGAAGATGCGCGACGATTTCTGGCCCTGCTCGACTTCCACGTGTCGGAACTTCGAGGTGATCTGGCCGACGACACACGACTTCGGACGGACGCGCTGGTTGAGCGGCACGCGGTTCGACGCGCCAATCGGTTTGCGGAAGTTGACAACCTCCTCCTTTGGCTTCTCTCCAAACGTCGGTCCGATTGTGGAGGGCGTCGAGACGGATCCAGTGACGGGGGTGAAAGCTGACGGCGTCGGCTTCTGACTGATCGGCTCCGGCGAGATGGTCGAAACGGGCGACGTCGTGATTTGTGTGCTGCTCGTCGGCGCGCTCCGCCCATTCTCCTTCTCAACGTGTCCATAGTCGAGCTCGCGAACTTCCTCCTTTCGCGCATTCGTCGTTGTCGTCGTCGCGTGTCCGTTTTGCGCGGCCATCGGACGTGGAGCCGGCGGAGCCACTTGCTGCTGCTGCTGCTGGATTGGAGCCGCCGGCGGATTTGGCTCTGGGGGCGGCGGCGAGACCGAGTTCTGCGTGGGTGCCATGCTCACTCTCGGCGGCGCCGCGTTCGTTCCTCTCAGCCACTCCGCGGCACTGCATCCCGGCTCGGCGCCGCGCGTCTCCGGGAAAAGGTCGGCGTGGAAGTCGCGGTAGGAGCGGCGCGGCACGATGCACGGCGTCGGCACGATCGAGCTCTTCGTCAGCTGGTAGTACGTATCGACCTCGCCGTCCATCACGCGCACCCGCCGCTTCGCGCCCATCGTTGCGCCGAGCGTCTGCTCGGGCAGCGTCAACTCGAACACGTGCGACAGGAACGGCTGACGGTCCTGGCTCTCGAGCATGAACAGTTTGTTGGTGCCCTTGCCCGAGAGGAAGACGAGCTTCGTGTCCGGATCGTAGTGCGGAATGAGCACGCCCGTCGTCGAGACGAACTCCTGCGTGTGGATCGGCGCACCCCATTTGCCAGTGTCGTAGACGCGCACCTCCTGGACACGTTTCTGCAAAAAGTCACAAGGTTTTCGCTGATTTTCAGACTAAAAATAATTTCCAACGAAATTTTTCAAAATTTCGCCGGAAAAGAATGACAAAAACGTTATAAGTTCAGGCCGAACACCGTCCCGTTGATGGAAGTTTACGAGGCCGCGTGGCTGCTCATCCTTAATGGTTTTTGCTGATTTTTGAGCCAAAGCTTACATTGGTGAATCCGGTGCTGATGAGTCGATCGGCGGCGAAGAGCACGCGCGCCTCGCGGCCCATCCCTCCGTGGCCCTCCATCGTCTGAATCGGTTCGGCCGACGCGCGCGCATCGAACACCACAATTTGACGGCCCTTGTCGCCCGAGACGGCGAGCAAACGTCCGTCCTCGCTCCAGTCCATCGACTGGACCTTGTCGGTGACTCCGCTCATCTCGGCTACCACCTTCCGCGTCGAAATGTCCGCCAGCATGACCGTGTTGTGCGAGCCGAGCGCCAGCAGATTGTCGGCCGTCGAGTGCGCGCGCAGGCATTCGACGATCACGCCGCCGCCAACGTCCAGGTCCGTCGCCAGCTGGGGGCTCGACTCGCGCGACAGCGTCCAGATTTTGACGGGCTCGTCGCGGCTGCACGTCGCCAGCAACTGGTCCGCGTACGTCATGAAGCCGAAATCGCTGACTTGTTCTGAAAACGGAAATATTGAAGTTGGCGTAAGGTAAGATCTCTTTGCTAGGCCAACTTTCAGTGCAAAATTTGCCAATAATCTCGCATTTCAATCAATTGTCGTCTAAAATCCCCAGATTTCCCACGCCTCTCCTCAGTACCTCCGTGCGCCGCAATGATGCCAATGTCGTTGCGCGTGCGGCGTCCCTTCGCGCCGATCGGCAGCACGCCCATCTTTCCGCCTTCGCCCTCAATGTGAAACGCCAAAAAGTCGGCGGAAGCGTGGATTCCATTGTCGGTGCACGAGAGATTGCCGACGGGCACGTCGAAGATCGTGTCCTGCAAACAGATTGTCGAGTTTTAGGGCCTAACACTCATTTTTGCAATTTTTGTGCTGGACGAGTCATTGAACAAAAAAAAAGTGGAGAAACGAGGACAACAAGACACAATCAGTCAGGACGAATCGTCGATTAAACAAAAGAAAGGTGTGTGCTGGTGAACGGACCGTGTGGATTTTAAGTTTGCATGTGACCACATTCTGCTGCTGCTGCTGCTGCTGCCGCCGCTCCGATTCGTCGTCCGACTTCAGGCGATGGCTCAGCGGTGGCTCGTCGCTTCCGATCAGCCATTCTTCCGGACCATCCTGGAAACCAAGCAAAACAGACGTACACAAAACAGAAAATGGATGCGGGGGCAGCGGCAGCGGCAGCATTCATGCAAACGGGCGGCAACAAAAGGGTACATAAGGGTGACAACATTTGTTTTACATTCTAAAAAGCCTAATTGCAACCCTGTCACGTTCACAAAAAAAAAAAAGAAATCAATGAGTCTCCTACCTCCTTCTTCGGAAGCTTCGGCGTCGTGTTTTTGAATTTTGTCGCTGTAAATTTCCACGACATTTTCTCCTTTTGTGTCTTCTGAAATCGACGAAAATAGCAGAAAATCAATGCGAGAAATCAATCAAAGAAACAAAAAGGGAATGAGAGAACAAGAAAATTGAAGAAATAAAACAAAAAAAAAGAGAGAGAGAGACAGAGAGAGCTTTCTTCTTTTCTTCCAGAACGAATGAAGGACAGCGACAAAGAGAAGGGAAAAAGGGGGCGGAGTCTGAGAGAGGGCTGTAAAAACAGATCAATCTGTACCGCCCGTCTGAGAAAGGAGGCGGGGCGACCGGGTGACTCATTGATTTTTCCCTAAAATCTACTTTTTTACGCGAAAAATGAGGAAAATCAGCTGGAAGCAAATTTTTCAGGAATTCTATTGCAAGCCAGTATTGTGATCAATTTTTCGACCGAAAATAGGCACAAACAGCGAAAATTCAACCAGATAATCGCTCAAAAAACGGGCGAAGCGGGATTCGGTGAAATGTATAATTCGATGAAACGCCGAGCGGCGGCGAGGGCGCTTCACAACAATTTTTCCACAAAATTACGAAATTTAGTGCTGCTCTCGCGGCCGCATCTGCTGCTGATCGAAAGAAAAGTGGATTTTCGAAATCGAAAACGAACGGAGCGGAAAAAACGACCGAAAAACTGCCGTAGTGAAAATAAAGGAGATGGAAAGAGACGCAGACGGCTCCGGTGGGCGATGCGATCCGTCGGGGAAGAGTAGATCAAATGGGCATTGAATATTGGGCGTCTAATTTGAAAAAAAGAGTACTTTTCCAAGCTAAATAGAACTAAACGCTGCGGGAGTTTTTACTAAATTGTACTAGTAAAGTACAACTCTGACTCTCGACACGAAATGACAAATCGAGGCGCGCGCGCTCCGATTTGACACGAGGACGATTCATCAAAAAATCTTGATACCGCCCCTAGTACTCCGACTGCTCGTACCCGTCCGGAGGGGACTTTTTGTTCGGGGAGACCGCGCATTCATATGCATTCGAAATGAGCCACCGCCGCCGCGGCTATTACGTTACGAAATCGAAAAGTTTGCGATTTCGGGTGCGGGATTGAAATTTCGAGAAAATTAGCTTTAAGGTTTGCCGCAAGCGATGAGAACGAGCTCGAGTACAGCAAAATGATTAAAAAAATATAGTGTTCTGTAGCATTTTTGGAGCTTCTGGGTAAAAATTTAGTGAAAAACAGGGAGGTTTTTAGCGGGAAAACTAGTCCGACAAGCTCGCAATCACATTTTTCCTAGGCCATAAAATTAGTGGAAAAATCGCGTTTTCCAGGTAAAAAGTTGCGATTTCTATCGAAAAAAGCTCAAAAATGACCCAGTTCGGCGTGCGTTCGAAGCGCGCAAACCGGCGGGCATGCCATGTTGTTGTTGTGCTCGTGTGCTTCTGCTCCGTAAGCCCACATCGGCTAACTGACTGACCGACATCGGACGGAGATAGAGAGAGAGAGAGAGAGAGAGAGAGAGAGAGAGAGAGAAGGGCGGTGCAAATGGAGGCGAGAGGACATCCCGGCTGGAGAGGGGCTCTATTGCACATATAAATTGCACATAGCTTAACTAGGACCGATCTAATTCCGTCTTCTTCTTCTTCTTCTTCTTCGGACCAAGCGGGGGACCACTAACACACAATAAGCTTTTCCGAGAACCGAACGGACCGACTAATGAATCCGCGAGCGCGCGCGCAGAAATAGAAAGAGGGGCGAGAGAGAGCAAAAGAGCCAATTTGGTCGAAAAGGGACCATATGGGGGCTTCGCAGCCACAAATTTCCGTTCGGCGAACACATATTTCAAGTGTTGTTCTTCATATGATAAATTGTATAAAATCGTGTGGGTGTGTTTGCTCAACGTCATTCGGCCACTGACGACGTGGCACATTGATAAGCACGCTTTCGATAAGATTCTGTGTGCGAGTGTTTCGCATAAAAAGTGGGCAAAAAAGCGAGAAAAAGTGGTGGAAACGATTATCCAATTGACACTTGCGAAAGGAAGAACGAAACCGAAAGTCAAGTGGTTTCGGATGATTCATTTCCAGTGACTAATCACTATCATGTGATGTGATTCATAAAAAACACGAAGAGTTCAATCGAGGCACAGAAAAACCAGCATTTTTAGGGGAATCTAGTCAAACGAGCCGAATTTTTTTTTTAAATTTGTGTTTAATCGCAATTTCTAGCGCCCATCATCGAAAAAACGGCTCTGACAAGCAAAATCGAGTCCGAGGACATGAAAATTGACATTTCAAACTTTCCCAGTGTTTTGTTTTGAATTTTAGTAAAAATTTTGCTTTTTTCATGGAAAATTGACTGCAACGCGCCAATTTTCCAGAGTTTCGCATTTTCGAAAATGTTCACGTGAGTAATGTACGGAAGTAGTGCTCGGAAAATAAACAAACGATGAGTCAGCCTGAAATTTCTTCAATTTTTCGTGGGGGTCTGTGAAAAACAGTCATGTTTTTTCGAAATCCTACAAATGTTGGAACGGTCGGGGACCGGCGCGCCGTCGAAATGATTGCCTCATCGCCACACTTTTAGGTTTCCAGCAAAAAACCAGAAAAAAACAGTTACCATGTAGCAGTGTAGCAAAACGTTCAAATTTCCAACAAAATTCCGAGATTTTAGCTTCACGACGACAATTTTCAACATTATCGTTAAAAATCGGTGGAAACAGCCTGACTACCAAGCGAAATGTCTGGAAATACCCTATCAAAACGCTCTGAAACCAGATGTAACCAATCCAACTGAATCTACTGTATTCTCCAAAGTCCCTCTGCTCCTGCTCTGAAGAACATGTCGCGAGGAGGCTAAATGGCCGGGGCGGGACACAAAGTGCATTACGCAATGTGCCGCGTCAACTTTTCGCCACCGCACCTCATCTTTTGAAAAGCCTCAAAATTAGATGAACTACTTAGTTTAGGAGGTACTTGAGCGGATGCCCTGAATGGGCGGCGGCACGCAACGGGTTAACGAGATCTGTGGAGGACCCATTCAACTCATTGCGATGCTCTCAAAAGTTGTGTGTCTGACCACACACAACAACTTGTTACATACACGTTACTGGTCATTTTAAATGTGCGCAAGGGCGTCCCCCGACAACACCTTTCCCTCCTCTCTTTTTTTTTCAAATTTCGCCTAGGGAAGAGAGCTCTCAGAGGAAGAAATGCCATAAAACATGTTTTGTTCGTCGTGCTCTTTCTCCTTTTTGCTCCCTCGCCTCATCTTTTCAATTTCAAAACGAAATGTATATTATGAAGACTAATTGAGGATTAGTACCGTGAAAAGCGCATAGGATAGGATACCCTCATTCATTTCGTACTACTTTTAGGCCAAATGCCGGAAGAAGACTCGATTGGAATCAATCAAAATCAGGTGAGCAATTTGAAAATTTTGCAACAACAACAAAAAAAACAGCTAGATCCGTAGGCGGCCGTCACATTTGTCTCGGCCGTTTGATTAGGCTAGAGTTACACCCGCTCTCCTCTCTCTCTCCGGTGTCTTTCTCAACTGTTCAAACACAATGAGCCGGAGCAACCGAGGGAGACAGAGAGAGAGAGAGAAAGACAGAAAGCCAATCAGTGATCTGGATATTCATCCGCACCGAAACGCGATCAAATACCAAAAGTGCGTGCGCGTTGAGAGAAAACAGATGAAAGTCGTCATTAGACCACTTATCCGGAATGAAGGAGGTTTCAGACTCTAAAGTACAGTTCAAGAGGCAACTAGTTGGAACCGATTAAGACGTCCTTCCACACGGTTCCAATCTAAAAGTTCGTGCCGAAAACAGAGTAAATTTTGAAAAATCATAGAAAATTACAACAAAGGACATTTTTCAATTTGAAGTCATTCAAATTTCGACTACTTCTTTCGACTTGCTTTCGACTTGCTAAAAAAAATATATAGAAAAACAAGGACAGAAACGTAGAGATTCGCTTGAGACCGTACAACTGCAAAACTAGGTAATCTGGCGTTAAAAAACGTCGAAACTTTGCAGGCCAACTGAAAAATGCTGCTCCTACTCGTACTCCTACTCCAATTATTCAGCAGTTTCGAAGCGCTCACAACGTGTCCTCGTCAGTGCATTTGCCACGAACACAGTATAGCATGCTCGTGAGTTTTACACCCAAAAAATGGACGAAAACGAGCCGGTGCCGCCAAAAAGAAGAAATCGAAAGAAAGAGTGCAAACAGTGAGAGAGAGAGAGAGAGAGAGGCGGAAAGTGGCGGGAGTATCATATGCTTGTACTTATTCTGTCACACTGATAATATCATCAAGATTAGAAAGGGCGTTAAAAACGCAAATTTGTTCATTTCCGAACATTTAAAATTGCGAACAAATCAATCGATAACCAACATCTAGTGACAGTTCGGAACCCAAAACATTTGCATCGAATCAAAAATTCAAAGCGCCGATTTCGATTTCGCCTTTTGCGCGGCGCGTGTAATTCGATGCAATGTCCACATATATACTTGGGCGAAAAAGAGTGACCACAAAGTTTTATGATATTTATTCTTCTTCCAACAATTTTCTGATTCATCACGAACATTCTCAACGAACTATACAAAATATACACTGAAGAGATGAGCTCAAACACTGATGATTCAACTCCGTTTCACTCTCTCTCAGAATTTCGACATTTTCAGCGTTGCGCGCCTTTAATTCTAACGTTTCAGCGTTCAATTTGAAGGAACAGTACGGAAATGTCAAATTCCTGAATTTTGCTATAGAAATACTACAAAAATGCGATAAATCCTCTTTGTTCGAGCGCAACTACAGTTTGTTAAAAATTTTCGTGACGAATCTCTTTCGCACAAGTATACATGTGAACTCTTTGAATTTTCGTGAATCAGTCGATTGCGGATATAGAAAAATCGGTGTTTTAGGCTAATCCGGGTGGTTACCCTCATTAGACGAGGGCCAAAAGAAGCGAACAGATGTCCTTCTTCGCTCAGTGCTTATTAATTTTTCGGGTCTGTTTTGAGGGTCATGAGAACACTCGCACACGTCGAAAACCGGTCCGGAAATTCGTTTTTTTTCCCCTTCCCCCCACGAAACTATTAAACAAAATATAGTGTTTTGTTGATGCGCACAAAATTACACCGCCCATTTCGGGGTCGTGTTTACTCAAAGTGGTGGGAAAACGAAAATGGAGAACGCGCGCGGTTGGCACTTTGCGTGCGCTTTTTTGTGGGAAAATCGTCAAAATGGCCAACTTTTTTGAGACAAAAACGCACGGAACCTCGAGAAATTAGCGATTTTCATTGGAAATGACTGGAATTTTCAGTGCTGTCGTCATATTCTAGTCGGAAAAAGTTTTTACAAAAAAGTGCGAAAACTTACGCGTTTTTTACGTAAAAAACGGGGAAACACAGGAATTTCAAGAGAATTTGTTTGCAAAAAAGAGGCGAATGGAATCGGATGAAACGGGGGGTGTAAAAGTGAAAAGAGTGTCTCCGAAATGGCACTTATCTTGGCGCCAATTCAAACGAAACAGTTCGCGGCGAAGAGGGGGGCAGCAAGTGCGCTCCATTGAAAATCTGCGAAAGGACGGGGCGCGGCGGCCTCCAAAAAATGATGGACAGAAAAGGAGAGGAGAACAATAGTCAAGTGGTTCTGAGAACCGAAAAATGGACGGAAAAAAGACGAGAGACGGAGAGAGAGAGAGAGAGATTACCTTTTTGCGAAACGGAAGACAAAAACAGTCGAACGGCAGTTTGGCGCGATTTGTGCAAAAAAACGTTTTTGGAAATTAAATAAAATTGTGAGTGCCAACCACGGAACGGACGTAACGTGACTTTTTGAGCATTTTCTCGTCGAACATTTCGTCGATGGCGCGTTCTGAAAGCGAACATTGAAAAAGTACGGTTACTTTGGTGGCATCAGGGAAACACGAAAAGAACGAAAAGGTAGCGATGGTGGTGTTCTTTGCGGGTCGGCTTGTACGTATTTAGGGGGAGGCTTACAAGCCACCCGCCCGCCACCCGTCCATTTCCCCCTTTTTCTCTCCGGTCCGTCGGTCGGTCGGCTACTGTAAACACGAAAAGAGCAGCAGCAGCAGCAGTCGAGAGAAAGAAAGAGAGAGAGAAAGAGAAAGAGAGAGAGAGAGATCGTTTGCAGATGCGAGACGACCGACAAACCCGAGCTGATCATTTCCTCTTTGGGAAGCACCTATATCACATCACTTGTCGTGCACACTTGTGACAAGGTACGTTGCGGCAACTGGATTCTCGAAGATCTTTGAGAGCTTCTCAGCTGATTGGAATGAGACGAAAATTGCTAAATTGCAGGTGACCGTGCTCAACGGAAGTTTCGCCGGAGTCGTACTCGTCGAGAGACTCTCTTTCATCGCCATCGGTCAGTTTTTTGGCTTGTGTTAAATCGCAATACTGTTCTAAAACTGAGCTCGAAGTTCCAAGCGCTACAGTAGTCTTGGGAGCGGGTGTATCAGAAAAGTGTCAAATACAAAATGAAAATATACATTCAGGGGTACAACTTTGTAGTAGATCACTTTTCTCTTCGACCACGTACAAAGATATTGTAACGCTTGCAAGTTCGACGGCCTAAAGCGCTTGAGACTCAAACTTCCAGGAGCTACAGTATGGTTGGGATGGGTTGTATGAAAAAAGTGTCAACTAACAAAATAAAGTGAACGTGTAGGCCTATAACTTTGTAGTTGATCACTTTTTTGTACGAGCTCGTACAAAGCTACTGTAGCGCTTCGAAGTTTGGGGGTCTAAAGAGGACTTATCAAAAAATGATAAACTACAAAAATACACTATTCAACGTCTAGATGTTAAAAAAAAAATTGCAAAATGTGATTTTCAGGCCGTTTATACTTCGAACCGTACGCGTTCAAAGATATACTACAAAGTCCGCGACAACTGGTAATCGATGAGGTAATGATGATGATGATGATGCGAAATGCGACAATATATATAGAATGTATAAAAGAACGAACAGTTAGCTATAGTTTCTCTCTTTCTCTCTCTCTCATCCCTATTACTATTACCATTCGAAAACGGAAAGAAAGAGAGAGAGAGAGAGAAAGTACACGTCGACCGGTTCCCGACTATTAAAGTTAAAAGAACGGCGAGAAGAACAATATCAGTAGGGCAGCGGAAATCAAAAGAAGAAGAAGAAGAAGAAGAAGAAGAAGAAGAATGTTTTCTTTTTCATGACTCATCGATTTGTCGGTGGCAGACAACGATTCCCAAGAACAAATGCGATTGCGAAACAAGGCATTTTGGTTGGGGAAAAGAAGTGCTGCGCCTTTAAATTTGTACAGTAACGCAAATTCAAGCAATTGGTCCGCGCCTTTAAATTCATGTATTTTATTGTGCGCACGACAATTTCTAGTGTGTCTAAACTCGAAAACGGTCTGCGCCTTTAAATTTCTACAGTACGCTTTTCGTGTTCATTGTGTTTTCGAAAACTGGCGAAGAAACCCGTGTTTAATTCCGCAAAATTTCCGTCAAAAACCTGCTGCACCTTTAAATTCGGCACTACAGTACCCGGCGTTTAAAGGCGCCGAACACGAGTTGGAAACCAAATTTGCGCCGGCCGAAAAAACGAGAGTAAAACGAGAGTATATCGAACGCGAAAAAGTGTTTGATCAGGCACACACACACACAGCAAAAATGCGCGAATAACTACAATTTCCATTGGCGATGTTTGTGCATCGAATTGGCGGGGCGGAAAAGAGCAAAAGGAGCAGTAGGTAAACTTTTTGGGCAAAGTTTCGGCGGACTGGTTGGGAAAAGGGGGGGTGATTCTGATTCTCCAGAATGCAAACAGTTATGGGGGTGCATGAGAAGGTTAGGTATGCCTCAATATTTGCACATTTTATGATCATTATTGGAATTTGTTCATTAGAAAAATGAATAATTCGATGATAACTCGAAAACTAGAAGAGATCCGGTGAAGTGTCAAGAGACAAAGTTGATCAGCGCAAAAAGAGCTTTCATTTGACATATGTCATGAGAAAATTCCAGGTTGACCCAAAATTAGAGACAAAAATTTTGTGCTCTGAAATCTATGATAATCATACTCATTTTAAAGCATTTTTCACGCTGATCAAGTTTGTCTCTTAAACTATACACTCATCCCTTTCGGTTTTCGAGATACGCCCCTTTTTCAGTGCACAATCCCCTCGCTGGCTCCAGTCGCGTTCGCCGGACTCTCTCACATCGACCACCTATGGTAGGCGGCCTCGAATTTCCCCTGAAACAGATATTGTAGGTTCCGAAACTCGCGCATCGACGTCATCGCCACCGAATCGTTCCATCATTTGACCAACATCGACTACATCTACTTTCACCGCACCAAAATCGGGCGCATCGAGCGGAGGGCCTTCTCGAAAATGTACCAAATCGATCATTTGTACTTCAAAGACGCCGTCGAAATCGGCACAATCGAATCGGAGGCGTTCGCGGGCAGTCGCGTCGATGAGTTCATTTGGGACGGTGTGCGAGTGCACAGCGCCCACGCAACGTTTTTATTGAATTTCGACGCGGAGGACACGATTCTAAAGAATTCTTCACTGTTTCTGGTGCCTGGAATTCGAATTGAGGAGCAACAAAAATTGATCGAAAGGTTTTTCAAGCTTAAAGGACCAGGGAACCCGAAAATTTTTTGATTTTTTTGTTAAATGTTTTTGTGACTGTTTGAATTGTCTCTTATTGCCACTCATACACTGGTGAAATGCTGCCTCTCAAAAATGCCAATGAACGAAACGGCATGCAGTTGGGCCGAAAAATATATAAAAATATATGCGCTTCTCGGCCATTTTATTTTTTCCGCTTTTTTACCGGTTTTTTTTCCAAAAATTCACGGTTTCTCCCATTTTTCAGTTGATTGACATTTGTTCGGCACTTACTTATTTTTTCACTGCTAAAAAATTGTTTTCATTCAGTCGATATGAAGTGCCAAAATGGGAGAAACCGTGAATTTTTGGAAAAAAACCGGTAAAGAAGCGGAAAAAATAAAATGGCCGAGAAGCGCATATTTCTAGGCCATTGGCGCTAGGCCACGGCCACAACTTCAACTGCATGCCGTTTCGTTCATTGGCATTTTTGAGAAGCAGCATTTCACGAGTGTATGAGTGGCAATAAGAGACAATTCAAACAGTCACAAAAAATTTTCACAAAAAAATAAAAATAATTTTGGGTTCCCTGGTCCTTTAATCCTAAAATCCCGAGCGAACCTTTTTTGCAGATGCCTTGTAGAAGCGTGTAATTTCAATATTATGAGCCCCTATGAAATGGGGTGTGTGGTTTTGGAAGTGACAAGTTCGACGATCAGACGAATCGGACCGGTGACCGAGGTGAGTTTTTTTGTGACAGCTCTGCGTGAGGTGCTCTAACTTCTGGAGAGCTACACTAGCCTTGAGAGTGGTTATACAGAAAATTGATCAACTACAAAAATAAAGTACTCATCTGGACCGACATTTTTGTAGTTGATCGTTTTGTGGTACGCCCACGCACAAGACAACTGTGGCTCTTGGAAGTTGGGACAGAAAAAAAAACGCGATTTTTGCAGGACAAGGACCCGCCGGCGGTGTACAGTCCGGATCCGTCGATCAGCACGTCTCTCAACTCGATCCTCTTCTCCAACTGCACAATCGGATCGATCGATTCGGCGGCGTTCACCAACTATTCGCTTTCGATTCTCTCGTTCAACCACTCCACAATCGGATCCCTTCAACCGAAATCGATCCATAGATCACGAATCGATCGGCTCGGTTTTCAGGGATCCGTGCTGAAAGTGATCGCGTCGTCGGCGGTCCGAAGCTCGCGGATCACACAGTTCGACGTGGATTCCATGGAGATCGACGAGATCGGAAGTGCGTGCATCGACAGCTCGACCATCGGAAAACTTCGGATTTTGAGTTCGAAGATCTCTAGAATGAATGAGAGCGTGTTCAAAGATTCGGAATTGAAAGAGTGCCGGATGGACGGAACGCGCGTGCTCCGAATGCATTCCGAAGCGTTTTACGGAAATAATCAGGTGAGTACGATGGCCCTTGTCGTTGCCATTTTTGACCTGACTTTGATACGGTATATCTCGGTCAATTTTAGAGCTTTTTTGACGGTTTAAAAACCAATCGATAGAAAACTTTATGCTCTACGACTTTGCTGTTGACACTATTTTACGATAATGCGTGGGTCTTGAGATATACACCTTTTTCTGCACCCACCACTTCGAAAAAAGGCTTTCTGAACGGACGGGTCTTGCAAACCGGCTAATATCTCAAAGCACAGGCATTTTTTCGAAAACCTGTCAACTAGAAAGTTGTAGAGCTTGAAATTTTCTATCGATTGGTTTTTAAACCGTCAGAAAATCTGTAAAATTAACTGAAAAAAAGCGGTTTTCCAGATCGCCTCTCTAATCGTCACGGCGAACGACCTCTCGACCAGCTCCTCCTCGCCGTCTCTGATCTCTCCCTCAGCGCATCCGACCTCTTTTCTCCTGGCCAACAATACTCTCGACTGTTCCCCGACCGACTGCTCCACCAATTCGTTCCTTTTAAATTCGCCCAAACACTCGCCGCTTCTCTATCAAATCTCGTCGAATCGCTGCCGTCCGCCACTCCAGAATCCGTGCACCACGGCGCGAAATGTGAATTTGGAAGACGTCGGCTTGACGTGTCGCGTGTCCGGCATCGTGGCCGATTGTGCGTGTTCCTCGGCTCACGCATCGGTCCCTATAAGTCTCGCGCTCGATTTCAACGTGTCGATTGTGATCATCGGCGACTGTGAACAGTTGCGAATCGACCAAACGGACCAGAGTTTCTCGCAAATCTACGTCTTCCGCACCTCACAACTCATGGTGCATCGGCTGCCGAGTTCTCTGAAGGTTTTGAAGATCTTCCACTCTACCGTAAGCCTTCTGAAGCCGTTATTCGGTCCGAAAGTCGGCGGAGCCCAAGATTGGCAAATCTCGCACTCGAAAATCGATCGTTTCGGTCGTCATTCGCTCGCGAATCTTCATTTGAGCCATCTGAAACTACAGTACACCCGCGTCCCGTTTATTCCGGCCCACGCGAACTGGAACTCGACGATCGACACGCTGATCATCGAGAATTCGTACTTGGAGTCGACGGCGCGCCTCTTCGAGATCTCCGAGTCGCTTCGCATGCAAAACTCGATCGTTTTCTCGTCGCCGCGCGGTCTCGGCACGATTTCAAGTGCTCAGCTGCAGAACAACACGCTGCTCGAGTGCTGTAGCGCCTACCGTAACCCGGAGGGTCTCGACACGATCGAAATGGATCCACGATGCGATCTGTTCTTCTACGCAAGTCGATGTTTCGACGAGGAACAAATTGGCGGGAGACTTTCGAATCATCTGCCGATCACTTCCAGCACCCGTCGCCTTCGATATTTGTACATTTTGATGCTCATTATTATCATTTGAATTGAACAAAAATTTCATAAGTAAAATGAATCGCTCGATGATAACTCGAAAACTGGGAAAGATGCGAAAAAGTGTCAAGAGACAAAGTCAATCAGCATTAAATTCTCTATCATTTGACATACATCATGACCAATTTTCAGAGAAAAAAATTTTCGACCCCAAATTTGGGACATCTTAAAAATAGGTCATGTTATATACCAATCGATAGCAAATTGCACGCTGAGCAACTTTGTCTCTTGCGCCGAGGCCGTATCTCGTCTAGTTTTCAAAACAACGGCTCGTTCATATCGAACCCATCCTCATAGTGATCGAAATTCAGGTCTGCGCCAAAGTCCTCGTCATCATACTGCTGCACAAACTCTTGATCGTCTCGCTGAAACTCGAAAATGTTCGAATTCTCAGTGGAGCGCACTTGCCTCGACCATCTCCAACCACTGTGCGTTGTGCCATTTGAAGCGCTCGCCGGCGATGCGTTTCGCCCATTCTTTCGAATGTTCGCCCATTATCAAAAGGGCGTTATCGCACACTTCTCGGACCGCCGAATTCGCGTCGTGCATCAAATCGATCATGTGGTGCGCCAGCGTCGAATCCTGGGTCATCAGCCGGGCGGACAGTTCCTGAAGGGATTACTGTAGGTTGGACGGCTACCGTAATCCTATCCTCACTTACCTTGTGCTTCAAAAGTTGAAGGAAGACGTAGAGAAGTTGCACGACGAACTCGTCATCGATCTGCGAGGCTGAAAACGGATATTGTAGAGTTTCGAGATATGCTCAGGGGCCCCAACTTTCAAGAGCTATAGTAGTCTTAGGAGTAATTTTACAAAAAAGTTTTCAACTGCAAAAATGAAGTACACACTCGGATCTACATATTTGTCGTTGATAACCTTTTGGTACAACCATTCCTAAGCCTACTGTAGCTCTTGAAAGTTTGAATAGTTTTGGTTTTTGCAACCTAAACTTCCAAGAGCTACAGTAACCCGGATAGTGCTCGTACAAGAACGTGATCAACTACAAAAACAAAGTACCAGATGTCAAGAGTTTAGAAAACAATTTTGAGAACAACATCGCTTCTCTGAACGCTACAATACTCATACAAAGTTGTTCATTCAACTCACACTGCAAAAGATGCACAAAAGTGTCGATCAGCGGGACCAGGAGCCTCGCCGCGTCCAATTGTCTTGCCATAGTCCCGCAGGCGATCACAATTTGCAGTTGAAGCGGTTTGATCTCCCGAAGTACCGTAATCTCTTCGGACTCGTCGATGCCCTCGTGAAGGACCGTCTTCATCCAGGACACCAGACCTTTCGACTGCATTATTCTACAATATATTTGAAAAGTTACGCGCAGAATCGGATTATTATCACTTTGCCCACGGCGCCGGCTTCAATTCGGCGACGGTGCCCATGCATTCCAATCCGAACGACGATTTGGACTCTGAAGTGTCCGTACCGTCCGTCATCGCAATGTCCAACAGATTCTCCATCCATTTCTAAACCAATTTCCACTATAAAATCATGTAATATCTCGTGGATCCTACCAAAAACATGTTCTGAGTGGCTCCCTCGTGGGTGGAGATCGCGCGGATCACCTTGATCAGCATCAGGTCCTTCGAGGCCGTCGAGAGCTCCATGAGCAAGTCCAGGCCCTGTCCGGACGGACCGCACACCAACTGAGCATTGCGTTTTTCGAGACAAATGTTGAGAAGGACCGCTTTCGTCACCTGGCTTCCCGTTCCGCTCAGCAAGTCTCGCATGAGCTACAAAAAGATATTGTTCTCCAACTTCCAGGAGCCACAGTACTCTTGTGCATGCGCGTACGAAAAAGTTGTCAAATGCAAAATTATAGTTCTAACCATGCTCTTTAACTTCATAGTTGACAACTTTTTCGTACAACCACTCTCACGGCTACTGTAGCTTTGGCAAGTTTAAGGACCATCTGAGGAGCGCTGAAAGAGCTTCAACTTTCAAGAGCTCCAGTAGTCCTAGGAATGAGCGTACAAAAAAGTGATCAACTATAAAAGTGTTCCACCGGACATCAACTTTTCACTTAAACACTTTCCAAAGCCATAGAACATCTCAAAACTCTACACTATCCATTCAAAGTTGTTTGATATTAGCGCTCAACGTTTTCCTAACAGTTCCCTACCAACTGAATAGCGTCCGTGTAGGCCAACATCGCTTTCGCGTCGTCGTTACAGCTCAACAAGTACAACATGTTCAGCGCTTTCTGGTCCTCTTCGATCAGTGAGGCCATGTGCGGAACGAGTCCGCCGTCCACCATTTTCGGCACGTTTTTCGGGTCGAACGAAAAGTTGAACAACAGTTTGATGGCCACTTTGCGGAGTTCCGGATCTTGGATCGGAAATAGTTTGAGCACTTTTTCGACGGTCCCATTCTGCTCCATAACCGCCTTATTCTCTTCGAAAATGCTCAATTTGAGCAGAAAACGAACGGTGGCCAAAGTGAGCGAACTCGCGGGGTTCAGCGACATTTGGAGGCATCTGGAAGCGGACCGTTTCGGCTAAATTTATAGCATTTTATGGCTTACTTGACAAGCAGGACCGTCAAATTCCTTCGCACCATTTTCAGCTCGACACTAATGTCAGTGGCGAGGTTTGTGAGAAGAGTTATGCACGCTGAACAGTTTGGGACCAAATTTAAAACAAAACGTTTTTGTAATACCTGCCAATAACATTCCTTGCTTCCTTATCGCGGTTTTCAGCTTTCTCTGCGTCTCCTGGTCCGCCTTTTTCATCTCGTTCGCCCACAAATCGTAGCGTTTTGTCTCGTGCTCCATCGCGTTCACGCACAGCGAACCAATCTGAAGAGATACGGAAAAATGACACGGAAAAATGCTACAAAATGAGTGTAAAAATTTCAAATTTCACACCGAGCAACTTTTTCTCTTGACGCACACCTCTTTCTGCTCTATTTTTCGACTTATCATCAATTCTACCTTGTGATGAAGCAAAATCTCGTGAAATTTCGTAAATCTCGACAGGTTCACAAAGACGTTCATAATATTCGTGGCCACCTCGAAGTGCTTTTTCCAGTCCTCACGAAAAACACGCGCCAGCGCCATCATTAGCGTTTCTGAAAGGGAAAAAGCAGAGTTTTGATTTTTTTCGGTTACAAACCATTCGTCGCCAGTTGGTTCAAGTTTTGAGCGCATTTCGAGAGCTCACACAGTGCCACGGCTCCTTTGTTTTTCTCCGCCGACGTTTCGCCGTAAAAGCATTCCATGTACTCCTGAAATGGGGAAAAAAAAGTGGGTGACCTAGTAAAAAAAAAAAAACTTACATCAACTTTTGAAATGTCGACATTTTGGACGGTACTTGTAAGGGGTCTACGGTCGAAAGAAACGGCTGATGAGCTTCCTAAACACAAGCGATTACGGTGGACTTGTCGGATTCTAGGCCACGGCCACATTCAACATTTTTGGCCCGACTTTGAGAGGCCGTATCTCGGTTAGTTTTCAAGATTTTCTGACGGTTCAAAAACCAATCAATAGAAAATTTTGTGCTCTACAACTTTGTAGTTGACCGTTTTTTGCGATTATGCGTAGGTGTTGAGATATACACGGTTTTCTTTCTAAACAGCGAATATCTCAACGGCCACGCATTATCGCAAAAAATGGTCAACTACAAAGTTGCAGAGCACAGAAATTTCTATCGATTGATCGCCGAGCCATGAGAAAATCTTGAGACTTCAACGAGATACGGTCCCTCAAAGTTGAACGCCTTACTCGATCGGGCGCTGCTGATCCGTTGATTTCCCCGCTTTTGCAGATAGTACAACACTTGTTCCAGTTGATTTTTCGAAGTCGCCGGAATGTAGGCGCACTTTTGAAGGATTACTGCGGCCAGGGCCTTGATGTCCGTGTCCGGGCTCAGTTCTTTCAGATTTATACTGAAAATGAATCGGTTTCCATTGGAAAATGCAAATTTTTTCAAACATTTTCTGGCTGGCACTCGTTTCTCGAATATTCGCAGGAGAGGCCCGTTTCCGAAGAGGATTTGGCGATGACGAACCTGCAAATTATCGACTTTTTATTAGTCTTTTTGAAAATGGGCTTCTAACTCGAAAACCAGGAAATTTGGGCAAAAACGTTAAGAGACAATATTGATCAGCGTGAAATTTTCCATCTAATCGCATATAACATGCCATGATTCTGAGCAAAAATATTTAGACCCAATTTTGAGCCCAAAAATGTTTTTGCTCCAAAGCATATGATGATTATACTCATTTTATAGTAAATTTAATGCTCTTCAACTTTGTCTCTTTGTCTTAAACTCTGATTTTTCTGCAAAAAGGCACAAAAACGGTACTTACCGGTCGATTGCTCGATGCGGACCACCACGGCCGGCTCCGTCGGGTGCGCGTCGATCGAAACGTGGCTCATCGCGCTGAAATGGGCTCGCGGAGCACACATAAATCTCTCTTTTCTCCTACCTATTATAGCTGACTGATGAGCCGGGACGGAGCATCTAAACGGGGCAAAAAGAGCTCGCTTTCGGCGGAGCGGGCACAAAAAAATCGATAGAGAAATGGGGGGCTGAGCGCGCGTGTTGGGGTGGGGTGGGGGTGTCTTGGAGACACCAGACGCCACCGGGGAAACGGGGGCACACCAGTGTTCTATTTTATTGTTGTTCGAATATTCGACAATACGGATCGGCTTACATTATAAAAAAAGGTGTGTGAGGAACGAAACGGAGAAGTTGGAGTGGTGGGTGGATGGGATGGACGGAGATAGACTTTTTTTCTTGAATACGACTTTTGAATATATGTATATAATTAGAAGTTGCAGAATTAAAACATTAAAAATAGTGGTGGATGGACGCGGATCGAGAGAATATTTCCTTAGAAACGGAGAAGATGACTTTTTGTGAATTTGTGTTGGGAGAGGTGAACGAGCTAGGTGGGTGTATTTTGATGAAAAATTGAGCCGAATTGGAGAAACGAAAAAAGGGAAGGACGTGTTCGATTATTTCTTTTTATAAACAAAGTGGTCCGAAGAGATAAAATAGGGAGGAGGAGACAGTTGAAGGGACGACAACGAAAGCTTGAATTGAGAGAGATGGTCGCGCCCGGGGACGTCGTCTCGTCTTCTCGGGCTCAGAGTAGTCTAGATCATTTTCTTTTTGTTTGAAGGGTGATTATCAGAATATACACAACTTGTGAAGCCAGAAAAGAGGGGATGACAGCCGTGGACGTTGTGGTAGGGAAGACAACAAAGATGAAATTTGGTATTTACAGGAGGACGGTGACGGTGAGAATGATCGATTACTTCTTGGCACCCTTCTTCGGCTGAGCAGGCTGCTGCGCGTTTCGTGGCGGAGTGACTGGGCGATTGGATCCGACTCCGGCGGCTCCGTAAGGGTACTTCTTCTTGTCGGCTGGCTTCAGGATCTGAAAAAACCGAAATAATTGCGAAATTTTGACAAAGAACGACGTTAATTCTCAAAATAGAATGACCTATCACCTCAGACAAATGCCTCAATTTCACCCCGTTTGCGGCAATTTCTTCGAAGAACTCGAATAGATCGCCAGAATAGACTCGTCTGACTTAACCATTGCATCATCGGTGATTCAGCCCCCTCTTTCTCGTTTCTCTTCTGTTTTACGATCCCGCAATGTTTACCTGGAATGAGCACATCAACGTCTCGTCGACGGTCATCATCGATCCGGCGTTATCGAACTCTCCGCAATAGTTGGGGGCGCTGAACAGGGTGACCAGTTGTCGTTTGGCGAAGAACTCGTAACCGTCTTCCACCACCTGCAAAGCGTTTTTCAGTGAAATTTTATAGATCGAACATTTTGGGTACCTGGTGAGCTCTGCAGATTAGATCCAAGTCATGTTTGTGGAGGAACTTGGCAACTACTTCCGGTCCAAACGTGAACGAAACTCCTCGATCATTCTCTCCCCATCCGGTGACATCCTGAAGCGAACCAACTAATCAGTCAATATTTACACGGATATGTGTGCCAGTTTTGCAAAAACTTGTAGCTTTTTTCGCTTTAAACTCAAACAAACCTTATCTGGATCCGACCACAAAAGATCGCACAGCAATCCTTGGTCTGGCACGTCCGTCGGTCTCATAATACGACGTATCTGCTCCATGGACTGAAGATCAGGCGAGAGACCACCGTGGCAGCAGAAAATCTTCTCGTCGATTATTGCGGCAACTGGAAGGCAGTTGAAGCAATCAGTGAACGTCTTCCACAACTTGATGTTGTATCGTCGTTTGCCTGCAAAAAAATCATAAAATCTCGAGACGCTAATCCGCATCAAGACTTACATTCGTCATAGAAACCATAAATTCTGTTGATCGACGCACACTCGTGGTTTCCTCTCAACAGGAAGAAGTTCTCCGGATACTTGATTTTGTAGGCGAGCAGAAGGCAGATGGTCTCCAGCGATTGCTTTCCTGAAATGCTATTCTTGTTATTTATTGGCCAAAGATCGCTTCACGGATACCTCTGTCGACATAATCCCCGAGGAACAAGTAGTTCGACTCTGGCGGGAAGCCTCCGTATTCGAATAATCTGAGCAGATCATAGTATTGCCCGTGCACGTCACCTGCAAAAGCGGATTTTCAGAACGGAAGCGGGGGCGATCGATTGACGACTCACCGCATATTTTCAACGGCGCCTCCAATTCGAGCAGAATCGGCTGGCTCAGGAAAATTTCCCGCGACTTTTGGCACAACCCTTTGATTTCGCTCTCTGTCAGCTGCACATTTTTTCCCGGCTTGGATCCTCTGACTGAAAACAAAACATAACAATATTTTGGAAATATATGCGAAAACAGAAAACAAAAAACTTACCCTCCAAAAGTCTGGAGATTATGTTGTCCAGGTTTAGCTTCTCTCCGTCCATTTGTTTCGAGATTTAGCTCGAGAAAACCCAAATAGATCTGAAAAACAGGGTATGTGAGAAAAAGTGATTTTCAAGCGAAATTTAACGGTAATTACAAAAAATGTTGACGCCATATAACATGAATTACGTCATTTTATTGATTTTTCCGACTAAAAGTTGATAAAAATAGCGGTAAACATGTCAAAAGTCGAGCGAAATTTGGAGGCAAAAGGGCCGAATCGCCGGCACTCATTGACGGGTCTCGCCACGAAAACGCCGCACTACGGTTGTCGGTGGAGCGCACTTGCTGACCCCACCCGTCGTGCTCATTTTCTCCGCCGCCGACGGCAAACCGTTTTTTTCGATAAATTTGCGAAGATTTTTAGAGAATTTTAGTCGAATTTTTTTAAAGCAAAATGTGAAGAATGACAATGAACGCAATAATTCCGACAGTTTACACTCGAAAAATAGCAAAAAGTGACGGAAATTTTTTGGTTTTGTGATGTTTTTGGTTTCCGACGGCGCAATTCGCCGAAATCGAGATAGTACGCCGCCAAAAATGGAAGAGAAACGGAGAGAAAAAAAGGAAAAACATACAGTGTAAACAACATACGCTTTTGTTCCGCAACTCGTAAACAGCAAACAATTTAACACAGAAAAATTGAAAAAAATTGTTTTCCCCTAGAATTCGCCAGAAAAGCGACACGACAGGCGCCGGGGCAAAAAGTGCTCTGTGGCTGATGGTGTGGTCCTTCCTCTCTTCTCGGTGTCGTCTGCCCGCTCTGCGTCTCTCGCCTCGTGCCTCGTGACTACACATGTCTAAAGCACACGTGAGAGAGAGAGAGAGAGCGAAAGAGAGACATCATGATGTCTTTCTCTTCCCGCGTTTGCCCTTCTTTTCCTGGTATCACACGCCCGGGGACCTTTTGTCTTCTTTTTCTTCTTACTGATGATCTTCTCTTTTCCTTTCTTTTCTAGATCATTGATCTACGAATCGGGCACCGCCGTTGTTGTTATTTTTTTGTTTCCCTGCCGCCTCCCTCTCCCTCGCTCTCTCGTCGTCACGAAAAAAACGATTTTTGCCGAGTTCTTTTGTTTTTCCCTGATCGCCACCCGGACAATCGATAATTCCTCGCCAGAATGCCACCAAACGTGCCGACGGGCGGAACCACGAAGCGTCGCAACAAGAACAAGTCCCAGCAACAGCAACGTCATCGACAGCCAGCACAGGCACCGTCTGAACAACCGGTATATAACTTCTTCAACACAAATCGATCGATTTTTCGGCGTTTCTCTCACTTTCCTTTCCCGTTTCGCTTTCGAAATATTCCACCATCAACACACTCCTTTCTCTCTCTCTCTTTTTCCCTTTCTCTCACTTTTCTCACTCTATCTCTCTTTCCGATTGGCATCGCATCGTGAGAATCACCTGACTGACCGTTTTCGAGTGATTGAATTAACTTTTTTCGAGAAACTAAAGCCAAAATTGTGGTTTCTATGAAGAAATGGTGGGGATTGCAGAGTCTTCCGCCGGTAACCGAAAAAGTTGACGAGCCGACGACGGTGGAGCCGACCGTCGAACAAGTGAAAAAGATTAGCGGGGATCTGCTCGATTTCAGCTCGTCCGATAGGAGTAGTTTGAGTAGTCGACCGGTAAGGCATCTCTAGAAAGCATTTTAAAGCACTTATTGTTTTTTTTTAATCGAAAACTCCTTTTTTTTCAGGACTCGCCGGAGCTGGGTGACGAAGCGGTCACCGATCAGACGTCATTGTCAATTGTTCCAGAAAGACCATCACAACTGGAAGAAATGCTGGTGGACATGTCCCTGGACTCGGACGGACCGGCGCCGCCGCCCCGCAAACCGCACAGAGCCGCCCCGCCGGCACTTCCGCCCATGAACACGATAATCTCGCGGCCGAAGAACAACTCGGCCACGTACATCAAGGGCCAAGTGGTCCGGCAGTCGGCCATCGAGCCGCAGACCCTCGCGAATCAGGTCGTCGACCTGCTGAGCATCTCGAAAGGACAGAGCCAATCGGCCCAGATTACCGCCGAAAAGGCCGAGTGGGTCCAGTTGACGTCTGTGGAGAAGGCCGGGGAACCGCACGAACGGCTCGAAGTGCTCATCGTCGGACTATGTCGGGGATACCAGATTTGGACCATGAATGTGAGCATTTTTCAAAATTTATGCCAGAAACGGGGCTTTTTTTAAAAAATATAATTGAAATTGTCCCGTTTTTGTCGAAATTTGAAACATTTCTAAAAAATTTACAAGTGAAAAAGTTTATCTGATCATAAATTTACAGCAAAACGGCGAGTTCGAAGAGGTGCTTTCGGAGCGGCAAGGCCCGGTGCGAGCGCTGAAAGTACTGCCGAACAACCTGAAACTGCGCGGCCGTGAGGATCAGTTCGCAGATTCCCGTCCTCTGATCGCTCTGACGGACGCCTCGTCGCACGTGCCCGACCGCCAGTACTGCTCCGTTTCGATCGTCTCGCTGCTCACCGGCAAAGAGGTGCACAGCCTCAAGTTCGACGAGCCCGTCTGCGCGATCAACGTGTCCGACCAGTTCCTCGTCGTTTCTCTGTCGAACGTGGCGCACGCCTACGACATTCTCACGTTCCGCCGCGTTCGAGTGATCCGCACGGCGCCGTCGTGCGAGAATTGCCCGCCGGCGCTCTCGTTGTCGTGCCAATTGTTGGCGTTTGCCGATCGGAGCCTCGATGTGAATCTGCAGAGCGCCGGCGGATTGGCCGCAGAGGTGGAGGCGACCGCCAGCGAACGGTACACGGATCAGCTGTACAATGCTGTCAGTGTAAGTGCTCAAACTTTCGGGGTTTTCTAGGTCACGGTCATGATCTTGTTACGACTCATCCTTGCAAAGAATTTGGCAGTGTTCTAGAACAGTTTTTGTGTTTTTTCATACCTAAACTTTTATTTTTGCGCCGACAACTTTTCTCAACGTCTTTTCACTATTTCACGCGGCCTGTGAAGCAAGAAGTGATGAAAAGACGTGCAGAAAAGTTGGCAATGCAAAAATGAAATTTATTTCATGGTATACAGGGTGGTCCACCGTTACCCGTACAAAAGTTTTACGCGGCGCGCGTAGGTACTGACGCAATTCTGGTGTGGACCTAATTCAAAATTGTGTATATTATCATGTTTTTAACTATTCGGCCAAGTCTCAGACCAAACGGATTTGTTTCAGCCAAATAGCACCGATTAGTCTGCACCCCGTCCCCATCATACGCTTGTTCACTGGAGGGGTGAGCAGACAAACGATCATGAAACGGCTCGGTATCCCAAGCAAAACCGTTTATGATACGATGTAACTTTTCTCCGGTCTAAACCCACTCTAGAGCAATACCAGAAACAAAAAAGGAATCACCATGATCTCTCCTCAGACGGTCACAGCTACCAGAGAGCGGATCATGAGAAATCCGTATCCAAGCACGAGAATGATAGCACATGATATGGAAATGAGTCCGATATCAATGTAAATCACTCTAAAATGCAAGCTCAGTTTGATACCGAAATATGTGAACAGAAGCCGTTATCATCTCAACTGCCAAAAAAAGTTGAAACGGATTCAAATGTCGAAACTCCAGTTGAGTGGCACGCGCCATGGCGACCATTTGAAGATGGCCTTTTCAGACGAATGACTGTTCCCGGCGAAGGCCAATTTGAATTCTCAAAAATAGTCAGAGGCTTGCTGGGACGTCACTGGAGGCGTATGAAAAATGGTAGGGCCATAATCTGGACCGTGCCATGATTTCTTGTCCCATCAGCTGAACATGCCAATCTCAACGCGTTTTCATCGATAATGGTGACAAAATCAGAAAAGTACGTTATGTAGATGAGGCTTCAACAAGGAAACTTCTTCTTCGGTCTCACAAACACTTCGGAGAACAACATTGGGTGTTCTAGGAGGATAATACGCCTGCTCACACGGCCAAAATCATTCAGCAGTGGTTCCAGGCCAATTTGGCAGCGTTCATCAAGAAGGAAAAATGGTCCGATTTCTCGCCGGACCATTTTTTGTTGGACTATTCGTTGTTGGGGTCTTACAGGCCAATATAAAGGCTAAACCCCAGACAAGTAGGGGAGTGATAAAAAAATTCCTTGCCAGGTAGGGGGTCAATTTGTTCACGGACTTCCCGCGTGCCGCGGCAAACTGTTACTTCGGAAGTCTTCGGGCTGTCATTGTTAGGAAAGGAGGTCGGGTGCAACACTATTAGCTTATAAATATTGTCAAACATCTTAGTAAACGTTTTGTTAAGTCTCATGCCTTTCTGACTTCTAGTTTTGGAATTACCCAAGTTTTATTTTGTACGGGTAACGGTGGACCACCCTGTAATATTCGTCAAGGCCGTGGCCCGGAAAACACACGACCATACGGATCTATAGAGCCCAATTTGTAAATTTGCAGTTCATCTCGCGCGGAGTGAAGTCGATCAGCGAGTCGGTGGGCGCCGGCTCGGGCGGCTCGTCGAAATCCAATCAACCGCAGGGCGTCGTGACCGTTCTCAACCTGGCCGCAATCGGAGAAGACGAGGCGGAAGGTGTGACGTGTCACTACGTGGCGCACGTCGACCCCATCTCGTACATCGCGTTCTCGCCCGACCAACGACTCGTGCTTTCGGCCGACGCGAACGCGAACGTCTTCAACATTTACCTGCTGATGCCCCACGCGACGACGTCCTCGCTCGCCGCCGTCCAGCACTTGTACAAGCTGAATCGCGGAAGCACGCCCGCCAAAGTCGTCTCCACGGCGTTTTCGGAAGACTGTCGATGGCTCGCGATCAGCACGAATCACGGGACGACGCACGTCTTCGCGGTGTGCCCGTTCGGCGGGAAACCCAACCAACGGACCCACGGCGACACGTTTGTGAACAAAGAGTCGCGGTTCCATCGATCGGCAGGACTGACGGACGCGGCGGACGTGACCGCCTCGATCGGACCTTCGAGGCACCGCGCGATGGCCGACTCGTGCTGCTCGCACACGAAAGAGCATCCGGTGGCGGTAAACTCGCCGGTGCTCGCCAAGACGAACGGCAACGCGCGTGTCGGTCCGTTCCCGCCGCCGCTGCTACTCGTCGCGATCGAGAAGATTAAAGATTCGCGGTACACAAAGGAGGATCTGAGTGCGTGGGCGGCCGACATGACCAGTTTCCCGTACGCCGTCTCGCAGACGAACACCTCCGCCGCAGTCGCCGCGAGAAAACGGCTCGAGGTGTCGCGGATGTCGGTCATGTTCCGAATGCGGAGCTACAACTCGACGACGAGCACGAAGCTGGCGAAGACGATCAAAACGCTGATGTCGATGTCGATGGTGGTGGCGAAGGTGGATCCGTCGCAAGGAGTGATCGTAGTGCAGCACGAGATCAAGTCTCTTCGCAAGGATGGCGAATCGACGAACATGGACGCGCCGCCGCACGTGAGCATCGCGCCGATCGGCGGCTGGTGTCTGCAGCGCACGAAGAACAACGCGGACATGCACGCGCCGATGCCCGCGGCTTCTCCTCTGATGGCCGCCGCGACAGTCGACACGGTGCCGTCGAGGGGCCACCGGGACGAGGATGTTTGGACGCCGCACGTCGAAACACGGACCTACCTGCCGCCGCACCGCTGGATCTGGCAGGGACCGCAATTCGCCCTCTTCGAGTACCGAGAGGACCATCAGCCAAGTCTCATGTCGCCGGGCGGAGGAGGAGCGGGCAGCAAGGGACCGCATCCGTCGTCGTCGTTCAAATCGGTCCCCGTGTTGATCGGAACTGAAACGTCTGGTGAGTCGAGTTCTAGAGGGTGTCAGTACGTTTTTGGCTTTTTTCATCACGATTGGTGATATTGATGTTAAAAAACACACAGACGAGCCTTTTCCTACCTAGTAACAATAAAAATAGATGATAAAAGTGGCCGTAAAATCACAAATATGCATTTGACCCGATCTCAGCTCCTTTAGCGATCAAACAAATTCCGGCGGACGCGACACGCATCGAATGTGGCAGCTACACGTCGGCCAACTCGTACAGCATTGATCAGCTGCCGGAACAGCCGATGATCGGAGGATTCGTCGGAGTGCCGAACGGAGATGTAAGGAGTTTTGAAAAAGAGCGATTATTGATTGATTGGGGAGTTTTTGCAGTTGGAAGCACACATTGCGGACGCGTGCAAGGATATTTCGAGTGACGACGACGAGGAGAAGAAGCGGAAGAAGGCGTCGGCGGAGAGGGCGGGGACGAAGAACAACGACGACATTATCGAGGAGTTCTTCGACACGGAGTCGTCGGCGCCGTTCGCTCGCAACGGATCCGCGGGCAAGGCGACGTCGGCAAAGAAAAAGAAGACTCCGCCGGCTTCTGCGCCTCTTCCGGCCATGCCATGCGCCTCCTCGGCGCCTTCGAAATCCTCGAAAAAAGCAAACGGGTCTCGCCGCGAGAAATCGAACGATTCAGACGATTTCAGCTGCTTCGACATGGAGGATATTTGAATAATTTGCGAATTAGTCTATTCAGTTGGTGAAAATCCCGATTTTCTCTTCTCGTAAATTTTGCTCGAATAATTTGAATGTCCGTCAGAAATTAACGGTTTTTAAATTATTTAAAGGCGCACGCCGAGTGGAAAAACTAGTTTTTTTTTCGACTGAATAGACCCATGACCCTCCTTTAATGACTTTTTGTAAATATTTTTGTGTACCTATCCTTAAGTTCCTGAATTTGCGTATTTTTGACCACTGGTTGGTAGCTTTTCCCCTCACACACACTCTCTCTCTCTCTCACTTTCTCTTTTTCTTTCAATCCCGTAAATTGCCTTCATCCTTTTTCGGCTATGTGTAACAATTTTCATGTAATTCGGCCCTTAGAATTCAGGGTAGCCCATCTTTTTCTGCGATGGAGCGCACTTGCTCCCTAGTCGATAGCTCCGCTCCGTCCACTTGATTACGCGCATTTTTTCAATTCAATTTTTTGTAATGAAAAACAATTTTTTTCTGAATTTTTTCTCGCGTAACCCTCAGCCCAGTACTCTAATACTCTGGATTCATTATTGTTTGATCGATTTCTCCCTTTTCTCCCACAACTCTTGTTGATCCCGGCTGGAAAATGTGCGAAGAGGAGGAGGAGGTGCCGATCCGCAAGTTTATGTTTCACAATTTGACGGTCTGCGACAGAGGACATGTGACCTATCAAGAGATCCGTCAAGCGATCGTTCACACACTCGCACAGATTGGGTACGTGAGAAAAACGGCTTGAAAATGCGCGGTTTTCGCAATTTTTTGAGCACATTGATAGTTTGAACCGTGTTTTTGAGCGCTGTTTGAAAACGGTCCTATAACTCGAGAATGACGGATTTTGGAATGAAATGATCAATTAGAAAGTTGTAGGGGACAAAATTTGCAACAACTCTTGTCTTGAACACTTTTCAAAATGATAATTGGTTCTCGAGATATTGATGTCCAAAAATTACAATTTTTCAGAGCAGAGTATTGCCGAGGCCTGAACTTTTGACCCACTTGCAATTATCCGATCGGGCCTAAAATTTGCAGGCTTTTAGGACTTGGATTGAAGTGTTTTGTACCAAAGTTTCCGACAGATCCGATTATTTTCTCTGCAGATATGGCGAGTTTTAGAAAAGTCAGGAGGCCTGAAACTTGGACCCAAAATACTTCAATACAAGTTCGAAAAGCTTGAATAGTTTGGGCCCGATCGGAATATTGCAAGTGGGTCAAATGAATCGTCTAGGATGATTTGCAGATTCCGCGTACCCGGAATCTCAGTGCTCGTCGAGCAATTCGACGCGATGCCCGACGGGAACGCGTCCGTCGATCATCGTTTCTGGGCGACGTTCCAGGTGGATCGGCCCTCGGCGGCCGCGATTTTCGAGCAAAGACACGGGCGGAACGAACAGATTGCACACCTCAATTCGACCGAAAACCGAACAATCGAGACGCATCTGAACCTGCGACAGTACAAGGGATTACGGTACGAGGCGGTCAAGGCGACGCTGAGAGCAACGGCCAAGTGAGCCACTTTCTCTTTCCCTCTAACATATGTGGTCCATGGACATTTAGCCGAATGCTAAAGCGGCAAAATGTAAGTGAAAAACTTTAGAAAACTGGCGAAAAAGTGCTACCGAGACTCGGACGGATACTCGTTGGAAGTGGTCAAGGATACGATACATCTGAAGCGGGACGGACGACACGTCGGCATTCTGACGGTGCAGAGTCTTGCGGAGAATCACAGGGATGCGGTGGAACGGGTCATTCGGGTAAGTGTTTGAGGAGAAACACAAAACGTGTCGATTTCCAGAGACTCCCAGGTGACTTGGCGATGAGAATGCGAAAACTGACGAGAAGGATCGGCCAAGAGTCGCCGGCCAACACGATCACTTCGGCGGCGAAATCGCCCGGACGAAGCATCCCGCCGACGCCGCCGCCCGTCGGAAAACAAGGATTCCGCCGACCGGACACCCCGCGCCACGTGGCATGATCGACTTATGAACTTATCAATGTACACACGTTTTACTGCTACTGCTCACCCATTCCCACTCAAATCTCCTCTGTTTTACCTGTATTTTGATGCTTTGACTCGGATTGCATTGTTTTAGAAGGAATTATTTAGGTTTATCAAGGAAAATGAAAAGATATTAATTGGCGATTCGACATGTTATTAAACAGAAAACTTCTTTCTCTTCTTCTCCCCTATTTCTGCTCAAATTCCACGCGTCACCTCAAACTACGACTTCAAAATTCAATCGTTTCCGCTGAAAGAGATCAAATCGAAAGAGGCCGAGATTTCAAAGTTTCTCGAGGATTTAGGGTCAGTTTGGCACAGTTTCTCAATTATAAACCGTGTCGAATTCAATCTGACACCAACTTTCAGGTCCTCAGTCAGAATTTGGACTCCCGCGACGCCGCCTTCAAATGCGTCTTCTACTGTGTCGCCAAGAGCCGTCTTCGGAAGAAGGGATTCAAAGTTTTCTTTTGACGAAGAATTCCTCAGCACTGTCGGCGATCCGTTCCGACGTCTTCCGATGTCGAAAGTGTTCAAGGAGATGCCCGAGGAGTAGAAGGACGCTGTTCAGGTTGGTTGCAGTATCTGAAATGGACAGAGCCCGGGTTCATACTGTAATACTGTAATCTTAAAAGTTGTAGGAAATCCAGTGTCGAAAATCCTTCAACACTTTTTTTGAATCCTCTTGGCACGGTGCCATGACGTTTCGAAATCTTAATTGTACTTTCCCATCGGAGTCCTTTGTCGGCGTCCTTATCACTAAATAATCAAGACTGCAGGTGTGGAAATTTCAGCTTCAAGCGGATTTGCGGCAAATTTAAAAGCAACCGAATTAATAACTGTTGGAGATTAGTGATAAGGACGCCGACAGAGGACTCCGATGGGAAAGAACGAAACGTCATGGCATCATGTCAAGAGGATTCGGGAAAAGAGTGATATGGAATTGAAGGATTTCCGATTTCGGATGCAAACACTCAACACATTCCGATTATCACTCATTCTCTTGTAAGTGAAACTCTAAAGTTGTTCCGTGTCCATTTCCCAAACCGTTTGTTCAAAAAGACTGTCAAAAAGACTATAGTACTTTTACGCATTCAGTTTATTCGTAAAGGCATTCCCAGGAGCAACATAGATTGTAAAATGTGCAGATACGGATGGGTATACTCGGGGACCGTTTACGACTGTCCCTTACGGTCCCCTTACGATCAAGTAGGAAAAGGGACGGAACCTGAGGGACCGGAGGAATACAGTCGCCACTTGATTCGTGCTCCTCGCAAGACATTTGAGACATTGAAGTCATTGATAAAGATTTGTAAGCATTATGCATTCTGTACTGCTCGTGCATTCATGATTCTTCTAGTTTTGGATGAGAAGACACATTTTATAAGGAATTAGGTTTATTAAGGATAATTAGTTGACATGAAAAGGTATTAATCGGCAATTTCATATGATATTAAACAGAATTAATGATAGTTTCTTCGTTGTCTCTTCCTCTCGGGCTCTCTAGTTTTTTCCACCCGGCATGCGCCTTTAAATAATTTAAAAACCGTTAATTTTTGACGGACATTCAAATTATTCCAGCAAAATTTACGAGAAGAGAAAATCGGGATTTTCACCAACTGAATAGACTAATTCGCAAATTATTCAAATATCCTCCATGTCGAAGCAGCTGAAATCGTCCGAATCGTTCGATTTTTCGCGGCGAGACCCGTTTGTCCTTTTCGAGGATTTTGATGGCGCCGAGGAGGCGGATGGCATGGCCGGAAGAGGCGCAGAAGCCGGCGGAGTCTTCTTTTTCTTCGCCGACGTCGCCTTGCCCGCGGATCCGTTGCGAGCGAACGGCGCCGACGACTCCGTGTCGAAGAACTCCTCGATAATGTCGTCGTTGTTCTTCGGCCCCGCCCTCTCCGCCGACGCCATCTTCCGCTTCTTCTCCTCGTCGTCGTCGCTCGAAATGTCCTTGCACGCGTCCGCAATGTGTGCTTCCAACTGCAAAAACTCCCCAATCAATCAATAATCGCTCTTTTTCAAAACTCCTTACATCCCCGTTCGGCACTCCGACGAATCCTCCGATCATCGGCTGTTCCGGCAGCTGATCAATGCTGTACGAGTTGGCCGACGTGTAGCTGCCGCATTCGATGCGTGTCGCGTCCGCCGGAATTTGTTTGATCGCTAAAGGAGCTGAGATCGGGTCAAATGCATATTTCTGATTTTACGGCCACTTTTATCATCTATTTTTATTGTTACTAGGTAGGAAAAGGCTCGTCTGTGTCTTTTTTAACATCAATATCACTAATCGTGATGAAAAAAGCCAAAGACGTACTGACACGCCCTAGAACTCGACTCACCAGACGTTTCAGTTCCGATCAACACGGGGACCGATTTGTACGACGACGACGGATGCGGTCCCTTGCTGCCCGCTCCTCCTCCGCCCGGCGACATGAGACTCGGCTGATGGTTGTGTGGTGATGCGACGGAAAAGAGTCAGGGAAGGTCAAGAACAAACAGCGCCACAAAAAGACGTCTTGGAAAATGAGCTCGTGAAAGGCTTCTTGCATTGCAACGTTGCATTGCAGTGCAGCCTTGCATTGATGTCAGAGAGAGGAAGTGAAATCCCGCCCACTCAGCCGTGCTTCACCGCGACCACGCCCCTTTAGGTGACAATCACTAAGGTAGAGGAGGCGGAACCGCTACAATTTCCAATAGGGCCAGACAGGTGTACTATGGTACTAGTGTAAAACAAGGGTTCCCTAAAATTAAGAAGGAAGTGATTTGCAGACAAATATCCAATAGAATGTGATAATCTCGCTGAATTTCAGGGGGGGGGGGACTCTTGTTTTTCTAAGGGGACCATCAAAATACCAGGAGTACCCGGAATACAGAGCAAGCGAAGCCGCTGCCTAATTTTTGGCCGCCCGGGGGTCAAATGAGGGTCTCATGTGGGCCAAACGCTCATGCCGAAAGATGCACCAAACTCACCCTCGCCGAAAGCGTTTTCAGAGTGTGCACCTCTCTGCCGGCTTCTCATAGTACTCGCGGGCGTTCTTTGTTTTGTTTACGTTCTTTGTTATATCTGCTTCCAAGGAGCTAAGTACTATTTGGCATGTATCCACTTTGAACGAGGACATACTGTTCCCTTTACTACGTCACGATGGAACTCATTGCTCACTGTTAGTATTGCATCGCTAGTTCGGAACATGAACATCTTTCAGGTCACATTCATGATTCTTCTAGTTTTGGAAGAGAAGACACATTTTATAAGGAATTAGGTTTATTAAGGATAATTAGTTGACATGAAAAGGTATTAATCGGCAATTTGATATGATATTAAACAGAATTAATGAAAGTTTCTTCGTTGTCTCTTCCTCTCGGGCTCTCCGAATCGTTTGATGTCCTGGGCCTGTTGGATGCGGAAAAGACGCGACGATTCGAGCATGGAGAGGGTCTCGGACGGGCGGCCACCGGCAGGCACCACTTTCGGAGCAGCGCCCGGCAGGGCTCTCTTCCGGGCGGCCACGAACTGCTGCAGCTTCTCGTTCTTCCGACGACAACTTCTTGGGCTTCTGGGCAACGGCGACTCGAGCAGGCGGATCCAACGACATCGCCGGGCACTTGGGCTTCCCGGACACGACGACGGGGGCGGTCCGTTTCGATCGGAGCATCATGTCGACGGAGGGTCTGAAAGAAGAGGAAGTTGATGAAGAGGAAGAGGAAGTGGAAGTGGAGGAGCTGGAGGGGGCTAGGGACGGATTATTCTCGGAGCAACTCGAAGGGACCTGTTTCAGAGCAACCACGGCGAGGGCTCTCTTCCGGGCGGCGAGGAACCGCTGCAGCTTCTCGTCCTCCTCGGATGTCTTCTTCTCGGCTGCTGCTGCGACTGTCGGCGCACTTGTTGAGGATGTTGAGGATGGAGTGGAGGATCTGCAAGAAGAAGAAGAGTTAGATGATGAAGAGGAGGGACACGAAGTCTTCTTTTCGGACGGTTGGAGCATTGTCTGGGGGGCACGATTGGAGGCCGAACTGCCGGTGATCTTCTGAATGCACTGTCCCAGCAGCTTGAGCGCGTCTTCCTGAACTTCGACGATTCCGATGAACCGCTTCGCCACGTCCTTAACATATTGTTTGTGAATTATGTCGACGGGCAAGTCCAACTTGATGAGCTCTTCGAAAGAGCGCTTTATGTCGAGACCCGCGCGGATGTTCTCTAGGAGGACAGCGGTCACACGGCACTTTTGCGAGTATCTCATCGTGTGATTTCTGCAAAAAAAGAACTAATTTGAAAATGAGAATGAAAGATTCAAGAGTACGAAATGAGACGGAGCAAGAAAGGAAACGTGAGATTGAAAGTGGGCAATGGTCCAAACGAGAGCAAAGAAAGTGTGCACCTCTCGCGAGGAGGACGCGTGCGCGAATGAATGACGGACTGGCCGGGTATACCTTAGGCCACGCCCCCTTTGCACATCTACACCTAACATCTACAGGCCACGCCTCCTCGACCCCGCGCGCGTTTGCTTAGGTGTAGATGAGGAAAGGGGGCGTGGCCTAAGGTATACCCGGCCAGTCCGTCATTCATTCGCGCACGCGTCCTCCTCGCGAGAGGTGCACACTTTCTTTGCTCTCGTTTTGCATCCCATTTGACTCTGGAAGACCGTTCCTCATTTTTAATCTCACGTTTCCTTTCTTCTCTTGCTCTCGTTCTCACTTCTTCTTCCGTTTGCATTTTACTTCTCATTTTCAAATTAGTTCTTTTTTTGCAGAAATCACACGATGAGATACTCGCAAAAGTGCCGTGTGACCGCTGTCCTCCTAGAGAACATCCGCGCGGGTCTCGACATAAAGCGCTCTTTCGAAGAGCTCATCAAGTTGGACTTGCCCGTCGACATAATTCACAAACAATATGTTAAGGACGTGGCGAAGCGGTTCATCGGAATCGTCGAAGTTCAGGAAGACGCGCTCAAGCTGCTGGGACAGTGCATTCAGAAGATCACCGGCAGTTCGGCCTCCAATCGTGCCCCCCAGACAATGCTCCAACCGTCCGAAAAGAAGACTTCGTGTCCCTCCTCTTCATCATCGAACTCTTCTTCTTCTTGCAGATCCTCCACTCCATCGTCATCCTCAACAAGTGCGCCGACAGTCGCAGCAGCAGCAGCCGAGAAGAAGACATCCGAGGAGGACGAGAAGCTGCAGCGGTTCCTCGCCGCCCGGAAGAGAGCCCTCGCCGTGGTTGCTCCGAAACAGGTCCCTTCGAGTTGCTCCGAGAATAATCCGTCCCTAGCCCCCTCCTGCTCCTCCACTTCCACTTCCACTTCCTCTTCCTCTTCATCAACTTCCTCTTCTTTCAGACCCTCCGTCGACATGATGCTCCGATCGAAACGGACCGCCCCCTGTCGTCGTGTCCGGGAAGCCCAAGTGCCCGGCGATGTCGTTGGATCCGCCTGCTCGAGTCGCCGTTGCCCAGAAGCCCAAGAAGTTGTCGTCGGAAGCGGAGAACGAGAAGCTGCAGCAGTTCGTGGCCGCCCGGAAGAGAGCCCTGCCGGGCGCTGCTCCGAAAGTGGTGCCTGCCGGTGGCCGCCCGTCCGAGACCCTCTCCATGCTCGAATCGTCGCGTCTTTTCCGCATCCAACAGGCCCAGGACATCAAACGATTCGGAGAGCCCGAGAGGAAGAGACAACGAAGAAACTATCATTAATTCTGTTTAATATCATATCAAATTGCCGATTAATACCTTTTCATGTCAACTAATTATCCTTAATAAACCTAATTCCTTATAAAATGTGTCTTCTCATCCAAAACTAGAAGAATCATGAATGCACGAGCAGTACAGAATGCATAATGCTTACAAATCTTTATCAATGACTTCAATGTCTCAAATGTCTTGCGAGGAGCACGAATCAAGTGGCGACTGTATTCCTCCGGTCCCTCAGGTTCCGTCCCTTTTCCTACTTGATCGTAAGGGGACCGTAAGGGACAGTCGTAAACGGTCCCCGAGTATACCCATCCGTATCTGCACATTTTACAATCTATGTTGCTCCTGGGAATGCCTTTACGAATAAACGGAATGCGGAAAAGTACTATAATCTTTTTGAACAAACGGTTTGGGAAATGGACACGGAACAACTTTAGAGTTGAACTTACAAGAGAATGAGTGATGATCGGAATGTGTTGAGTGTTTGCCTCCGAAATCGCAAATCCTTCAATTCCTTATCACTCTTTTTCTGAATCCTCTTGGCACGGTGCCATGACGTTTCGTTCTTTCCCATCAGAGTCCTTTGCATTCTTATGACTAATCTCCGCCGGTAATTAAGACCGCAGGTGTGGGAATTTCAGCTTCAAGCGGATTTGCGGCAAATTTCAAATAAGCCGAATTAATTACAGTCGGAGATTAGTGATAAGGACGCCGACAAACGGCTCCGATTGGAAAGAACGATTGGCATCTCGAAACGTCATGGCACCGTGCCAAGAGGATTGGCCAAGAAGGATTATCGGCACTGGATTTTCCGACAACAATCCTATAACATTTAAAATTACAATATTGCAGTATCATAAGAGTTGAAAAGGATACAATATTGGTGGTCGACAGTTATGATGAAAAGTGTTTTTCATAGAAATTTTCAGAAAGCGAATCTACAAGATCGAGCAGAAGGTGATGCTTGAAGAAGATAGCGACGCCGCCGCCTCTGCTTTTGGGGTGTTTCGGTTGGCGGTAAGAGCGGAAGCACGAGTATTCATTGGAGATGCACAGCGATAACGGGATTGCGGAATTCAGGAAAGTCTCGGTAACAAAAACGAGGTCTGTGGCAGTGGGTGATAGAGATTCGAATAGGAATTGCAGACGTTCGGCGGAGGCTATCGAGCGCGCATTTGTGAGGTAACAGTGAAGGAGTTCCACCGAATTTTGGGGGAGAAGATGCGGTTTTAGGGGGAAAGGTTTATTTACAGGGATTACGGAATTCGTTGGAGATGCCACATTATAGACTCGGACGGGAGGAATAGGTGGTGGTGGGCGCTTGTGATAGATCATGGGATTGGGAAAATGAGTGAGAGCAGAAGAAACAGCTCTTCATAAACGATATTGGCGACTCATTCGAATCAAAGTTCCCACTTTACGCAGATGACCTAAAACTTTGTTCAACTAACCCTGACTCTATAAATCGCGGTCTGGTAAAGCTTAACGAATGGTGTGAAAGCTGGCAAATGAAGGTAGCCCCCAACAAATGTGAGGCAATCTCTTTCTGTCCTTCTGAAAAATCAACGTCTTCCGTGAAAAAAATTGTCTTCCGTCTGCCGTCTTCCGGATTTCAAAATTCAATTTCCGCTCAACTCTGGCGAGCACCCGAAACACGGCACCACCTACCGTCCGAGACTCTTCAACGAAGCGGCGGCCAAATTGAGCGCTGAAGAGTTCGCGAAGCTCTACGCGCAACTGTTCACCGATCTGATCAACAAGAAGACACCCGAAGCGTACCAGGCGCACAACCCGTACTTGGACGTCGAGCTCTTGTTCTTCGAGTGCTATGCGCAGACCGCTGAGAACTATAGTGAGATGAAGACAGGGATTCAATAGTTTCTATCGTTTTGCAGAAATGTTCCGCAAATGGCTCGAACAGTTTGTGCTCTTCCACTCGGACCCCAAAATCACGATCAACAGTGCGAGAGGAGACGCCTCGAGTGCCGAATTCCAGTTGCATATTGACGTGAAGACGAGAATGGGACCGAGGATGGTGTTTGATATGAAGTACAGTGCCACTTTGGAAGAGAGCGGATGGAAGATTCTGTTCATTAATCGAGATATTGGATGCACCTAACACTCAGGTCATTGATAAACATTTTCAAGCATTATGCATTCTATACTTCTCGTACATTCATGATTCTTCTAGTTTTGGAAGAGAAGACACATTTTATAAGGAATTAGGTTTATTAAGGATAATTAGTTGACATGAAAAGGTATTAATTGACAATTTGACATGATATTAAACAGAATTAATGATAGTTTCTTCGTTGTCTCTTCCTCTCGGGCTCTCCGAATCGTTTGATGTCCTGGGCCTGTTGGATGCGGAAAAGACGAGAGGATTCGAGCATGGAGAGGGTCTCGGACGGGCGGCCACCGGCAGGCACCACTTTCGGAGCAGCGCCCGGCAGGGCTCTCTTCCGGGCGGCCACGAACTGCTGCAGCTTCTCGTTCTCCGCTTCCGACGACAACTTCTTGGGCTTCTGGGCAACGGAGACTCGAGCAGGCGGATCCAACGACATCGCCGGGCACTTGGGCTTCCCGGACACGACGACGGGGGCGGTCCGTTTCGATCGGAGCATCATGTCGACGGAGGGTCTGAAAGAAGAGGAAGTTGATGAAGAGGAAGAGGAAGTGGAAGTGGAGGAGCTGGAGGGGGCTAGGGACGGATTATTCTCGGAGCAACTCGAAGGAACCTGTTTCGGAGCAACCACGGCGAGGGCTCTCTTCCGGGCGGCGAGGAACCGCTGCAGCTTCTCGTCCTCCTCGGATGTCTTCTTCTCGGCTGCTGCTGCGACTGTCGGCGCACTTGTTGAGGATGACGATGGAGTGGAGGATCTGCAAGAAGAAGAAGAGTTAGATGATGAAGAGGAGGGACACGAAGTCTTCTTTTCGGACGGTTGGAGCATTGTCTGGGGGGCACGATTGGAGGCCGAACTGCCGGTGATCTTCTGAATGCACTGTCCCAGCAGCTTGAGCGCGTCTTCCTGAACTTCGACGATTCCGATGAACCGCTTCGCCACGTCCTTAACAGATTGTTTGTGAATTATGTCGACGGGCAAGTCCAACTTGATGAGCTCTTCGAAAGAGCGCTTTATGTCGAGACCCGCGCGGATGTTCTCTAGGAGGACAGCGGTCACACGGCACTTTTGCGAGTATCTCATCGTGTGATTTCTGCAAAAAAGAACTAATTTGAAAATGAGAATGCAAACGGAAGAAGAAGTGAGAACGACACTTCACAATGAGGATTGTCTTCCCGACAAAAGAAAGGACTCAAAAATGAGTAGGAAATGAAACGGAGCAAGAAAAGAAAGGAAACGTGAGATTAAAAATGAGGAACGGTCTTCCAGAGTCAAATGGGATGCAAAACGAGAGCAAAGAAAGTGTGCACCTCTCGCGAGGAGGACGCGTGCGCGAATGAATGACGGACTGGCCGGGTATACCTTAGGCCACGCCCCCTTTGCACATCTACACCTAACATCTACAGGCCACGCCTCCTCGACCCCGCGCGCGTTTGCTTAGGTGTAGATGAGGAAAGGGGGCGTGGCCTAAGGTATACCCGGCCAGTCCGTCATTCATTCGCGCACGCGTCCTCCTCGCGAGAGGTGCACACTTTCTTTGCTCTCGTTTTGCATCCCATTTGACTCTGGAAGACCGTTCCTCATTCTTAATCTCACGTTTCCTTTCTTTTCTTGCTCCGTTTCATTTCCTACTCATTTTTGAGTCCTTTCTTTTGTCGGGAAGACAATCCTCATTGTGAAGTGTCGTTCTCACTTCTTCTTCCGTTTGCATTTTACTTCTCATTTTCAAATTAGTTCTTTTTTTGCAGAAATCACACGATGAGATACTCGCAAAAGTGCCGTGTCACCGCTGTCCTCCTAGAGAACATCCGCGCGGGTCTCGACATAAAGCGCTCTTTCGAAGAGCTCATCAAGTTGGACTTGCCCGTCGACATAATTCACAAACAATCTGTTAAGGACGTGGCGAAGCGGTTCATCGGAATCGTCGAAGTTCAGGAAGACGCGCTCAAGCTGCTGGGACAGTGCATTCAGAAGATCACCGGCAGTTCGGCCTCCAATCGTGCCCCCCAGACAATGCTCCAACCGTCCGAAAAGAAGACTTCGTGTCCCTCCTCTTCATCATCTAACTCTTCTTCTTCTTGCAGATCCTCCACTCCATCGTCATCCTCAACAAGTGCGCCGACAGTCGCAGCAGCAGCAGCCGAGAAGAAGACATCCGAGGAGGACGAGAAGCTGCAGCGGTTCCTCGCCGCCCGGAAGAGAGCCCTCGCCGTGGTTGCTCCGAAACAGGTCCCTTCGAGTTGCTCCGAGAATAATCCGTCCCTAGCCCCCTCCTGCTCCTCCACTTCCACTTCCTCTTCCTCTTCCTCTTCATCAACTTCCTCTTCTTTCAGACCCTCCGTCGACATGATGCTCCGATCGAAACGGACCGCCCCCGTCGTCGTGTCCGGGAAGCCCAAGTGCCCGGCGATGTCGTTGGATCCGCCTGCTCGAGTCGCCGTTGCCCAGAAGCCCAAGAAGTTGTCGTCGGAAGCGGAGAACGAGAAGCTGCAGCAGTTCGTGGCCGCCCGGAAGAGAGCCCTGCCGGGCGCTGCTCCGAAAGTGGTGCCTGCCGGTGGCCGCCCGTCCGAGACCCTCTCCATGCTCGAATCCTCTCGTCTTTTCCGCATCCAACAGGCCCAGGACATCAAACGATTCGGAGAGCCCGAGAGGAAGAGACAACGAAGAAACTTTCATTAATTCTGTTTAATATCATATCAAATTGCCGATTAATACCTTTTCATGTCAACTAATTATCCTTATTTTAATAAACTTGATCCTTTCTAAAAAGTCTTTGATCTAGTGTAAAACTACGTCACCAAACGGCAGTCCGTCTTCTTGTTCTTCTTTCTCTTCCATTTCTGTTGACAGCAACTTCAAAGCGGTACCCTACTCACAGAAATAGTCTGAGAAATACGTGATCAACTACAAAGTTAAAGTGAAGTTCAAGTTTCTTACAATATTTTTGTAGAAGACCACTTCTTTGTACATTTACTCTCAATCTTACGGTAGCTCTTTTAAGTTAGAGCCTTCTCATGACATCTAAATTTCAATGCGAACTTCGAAGAGCCACAGTAATCCAGGGAGGTGTGGTACGAAAAAGTTGTCAACTGCAAAAATAAAGTACATGTCTAGCACTTTAATTTTGTCGTTAACAAATTTTTAATAGAACCACTCCCAAGAGTACTGTAGCTCTTTGAATTAATAGACTATAAAATTCGTCCGTCGTTTCATGTGCACTTACGGAAAAATGCACAGAATCGCGTCATCTGTCCGTCCTAATCGATCGATAAATCTTGTATTCTGCTGTTTTACTCCATTTTCCAAATGAAATTCGCACTTTTAGAGCTTCCGTGTCTGGCAAAAAGGCATGTGTTGGCACAAATGTCAGTGCCGATATTGTAAGTTTCACAAATCGATTAAAAATGTTGTAAACGAAACATTTTCAGAATTGAACTTTCATTATGCTCAAAATCGATGCGAAATACTATCAAATCATTGAAAAAACTGAAAATGAGAATGCAATTCAACGACTCCAGAAGCTTTTCAATTCGGCCAGTTGGTCAAGACGAACCGCCACTGCTACAATGGAATTTTGGCGCAGGACCGTTTGTACATAACCGTATACGTACTGTGAATAGTGTGATTTATCGAAATTGGTGAGTCGACAATAGCGGAAAGTTTAAAATTATCGTTTTGGAGGTCAGATTTCAAAAACCAAACTTCAAAAGACTAAAAGTAGTTCTAGAAATGGTCACAGAGAAAAATGATCAACTACAATATTGAAGTTCATGTCTAGCACAACATTTTTGTAATTGATAACATTTTTGCGAAATTACTCTGAAAGCGACTGTAGCTCTTTGAAGTTAGAGCTACCTCAGAACATCTTAATTCCAGTGCGAACTTCCAAGAGCTACAGTAGTGCAGGAAGTCGATGTAGAAAAAAGTGATCAACTACAAAGTTGTAGTGCTAAACACGGACTTTCTTTTTGTACTTGACACCTTTTTGATAGAACTACATACAACGCCATTATCCTTAAGGAATGTGATGGACTGCTCAATCGACTGCAATCCCAGCAATTTCGCCGAAGACATTCTCTCTGCGCTTCAATATTGTCAAGATCTCTTCGCCGTTTCATTTTCTCACTTTTCCTACTGTCTTATCAATTGGGCCGCCTCGTTTATCGAGCATTTCATGCGAAAAGTGCCGAGGAAATGTGAAAGTGTCACTTTGGTGGATAGTTTGAATACCGAGGAAGAAGTGAACGAGATTTTGGATTATTTCGAGTTCCATGAGGATTCTAAGTTGATTCTACACACTTCGGAGGTCGATCCTCATGAAAAAGTAAGGATACAATAGTTTTAGGCAATGCAAAAGAGTTTTCTGCTGTCTGGGATTTGAACCCACATGTTTAAAAAAAAAGCAAAATCACAACCACTGCGCCACGCGCGCCACCGCCGCCGACAGTGCCTAGGGCAAACACATTGTTGGTATCAGCGGCGCCTTGCAACCAAGCTCACAAACAAAATCAGTTGAATTTCAGATATTTCAAGTGGGAAAACACGTCTACATCAGAAATGCCAACAGATTCATCATTGACGATGTGAAAAAGTTCAATTGTAAACATTTGCACATTGAAAACCATCAAATGGACATTGCCACGTGGATTCGGAATTGGAAAGAAAGCTCTGACAGTACTGGACTAGTTTTATTGGAAATTCGGGTCCAAGGAGCTCTTGACTCGATTCTGGACGGTCTGGACCCGAAACCATGGAATCCCACTCGACGCCCACGCGTTTTTCCTCTGAATTCTATGGATTGCGGGCGGTTTTTGGATGTGCAGAGGGCCGACGGAATGATTGCTTCGTTTGGGATCAACCAGGGACCAGAGACGGTCTCAAAGCTTTTTATGTGTATTTGGCATTGAATTCTTGCTCATTTTTTCCATTTTTCTTCACTTACAATTAACTTACAACGTTTTATTTGACTTATGCCATTCTCAGAAAAATTGCCAACTTTTAACGGATATTGTAGGACTAGAAGACGTCCTATGAGTCTAGAAAATTGATTGAAGAAAGTTGATACCGAGTACTTTATTTCATTAGTTGACGACTTTTTTCCACAGCCACTCCTAGGATTACTGTAGCTCGTTGAAGTTTGAACACGATTTTTAGTGTATCATCACTTCCAAGAGCTACAGCACTCTTAGGAGTGGTTGTACAAAAAAGTGGTCAACTACAAAAATGTTACGCTAGACATGTACTGCATTTTTGTAATTGACAACCTATTCATACAATCACTCCCCGGATTACTGTAGCTGTGTTTGAGCGCAAGTTGCATTTTTTCCAAAGTTTCGACATGAATTCAACTTTATTGATGCGAAATATCTAGTCAAACTTAATGGTGAGCTAATCATTAACAGAATTATTCATTTAAGGGATTAGGGGACCACCGGACACGTATCCGGTCCCCACAAGTTCCATGCAAATCGTGGCGTCCTCGACCGATGAGTGTCCTGTCGCCGAAGTTTGCACCTTCTTCTGGAGGTACGTTTCAGCCAACGTTTTCAGTGAATATTTGATTCTCATGAAATTTGACTGATTCGGAGCCGAAAAGAGCAACGAAGTGTCGATGAGATTCGAATGAACGAGACGGAGCGCCTTGAGATCGGATTCCAACGAGTGGCCAACCAGTATCGTCTCTTCGTTTATCAATTGGAACAGTTGGAGCCGGCACTGAAAAAAGTTAGTTAATTATTTGAAAACCTCGAATTTAGTACATGATTTTTGTTTACCACTTTTTTCTACGACAGGTTCTAAGAGTACTGTAGCTCTTGGAAGTTAGGGGTCATGAAACGCATCGGTACGGCTTCCAAGGGCTACAGTAACGTTAGGAGTGTTGGTATCAAAAAGTGATCAACTAGAAAAGTGATGTGAAAGTCTTAAACTACATTTTTGTAATTGACAAGTTTTTTGTCAGACTGCTCCGAAGGCTACTATAGCTCTAGAAAGTTGAAGCTAGTTGTGAGTGATCTACAATATCTGAAAACTCACCGCTTCCAGCGAGACGGCGTTCTCCATGTCTTTGGCGGTGATTCCCGAGAACTTGGTATTATAATCCAAGATCCGAAAAGACGGAAGAACAAAAGTGTCCATCACAAGTCGGCCCTTCACGTCCACAACGCTGACTCTCGCTGCCTCCATCCCATTCAAAGTGTACACCATCTCACAGTCGATCGCATAGATCTTCTTGGATCTGTAATCCGACGTGCCGCGAGCTTTCGGGGAACAGACAAACTCGTCGAGCGTCTGTTTCCAGGTCCCGTGAAACACGTGGAACTCCTGGATCATGCAGCCTTTCGACGTGCCCGCACGGCTTCCGCAACACGGCAAATGCTTCTGGCCCATCTCGTGGTTCCATTTTGGGCGGTCGTGGTACACGCACACGGTCGGCTTTAGGGTTCCGCCCGGAGAAAGGTGAATGGATTGCCAGCAGCGGGCGCACCGGCGTTTCAAGTCTGAAACGTACGAAATTAGAGGTATTGTGTAAAATTGTGAAGACCTAACTTTGAAGCGCTACAGTAGTCTTCGGAATGAGTGTACAAAAAAGTTGTCAACTACAAACTTAAAGTTCGTGTCTAGCACAATATTTTTGTAGTTGACACCTTTATTGTCAAATCACTCCAAAGGTTACTGTAGCTCTTGGAAGTTAGACCAAGTTGAGCGCAAAGTTAAAGAGCCCCTAACTTTCAAGCGCTACAGTACTCCTAGGAGTGCTGGTACAAAAAAGTTGTCAACTAAAAAAATGAAGTACTAGACATAAACATACGTCACAAAAATTTTTAAGGTCATACAATGTCTCCGAAGTCTACAATACTCATTAAAAGTAAGCAATACTTATTCGACTTGAACTTCGACTTCTAATCGCCGCGAAACACTCCACTTTTTCAAACTGACCATGAGGCAAATGCCAATCGTTGGAAGTCGATGCAAAGACCGCCTTTTTGTTCAGTTCATCCCAAAACGGATACCCATTTTCCATACGGTCCTCGTAATCCAACTTCATAAACTGAACGTTTGTATATTGTGCCGCCGGCGACAACTTATGGAGTGGAATGACGGTCGGAGTGACTGAAAAGTCGCAAAAATGTGAATAGACAATAGTTGCGGTTGTTTCGTCTTACCCTCTTCGTCGGAGCTCGATCCGGAGCCGGAAGACGTGCCTTCGGAGCTCGTCCGTTTCTTTCTCGGCTCCAACGCCTCAACCTTCACATTGTTCGCGCGTAGAGTCAACTTTTCGATAAAAGTCATGATGTTATCTGAAAAAACGAGCAACTGAGATATTGTGGGTTCACAAAACCGATGAAAAAGGATGAATGGAAAGAAGAAACGACACAAAACGCGTCAATTTTGTAGAAGCCAGAGCCAACTGGGGACCGGAAGGAGAAAAGAATGAAAGGAAAGATCGAGTGTTCAAGTTGGACAGCTACGCAATCGCGCACTCAGGCGAAGGTATTTCGACGACGCGACGATAGAGATGAGGAGGAGAGAGAGCACGCAAATCTATGATCCGAGGGGGAACGCAGAGGCGGCTCGACGGATCGATCGATAATGCGAAGAATCGATCGATTTGTGTGCGGTGGAGGTGGGTCACGTGGAAATTAAACGAATCTTGACGTCGCTTTTGACACTATTAGACGATCGGCGTCTGGAAAAGTGCGACAAAGGACGGGAAGAAGTCAAGATGATAGTATTGGAGATAAATTATCAGGTAAGACAGGCCAGTAGGTCACTGAAGGCGGTCACTAGGATATTGATAATCAGAGCGTTGAGGTCGCCTTTCAAAAGCAGAGTTTTTGCTTCTTTTTGATAGTTTGAGAAAGAGTGGCTTTCATATTGCGAACGGAAGAGAAGGGAAACGGTCGCTAGGCGACATAGTCCTAGGCTACCAGGTCGCCGGGCTCAAACTGTCGGCGCACAAAACAGTTTTGCTCCATGGGATCCGAACCCGCGACCTACATCTTACAAGTCCAAAACACAACCACTGCGCCACACCAGCAGCACTGGCGGAGTGCGGTTTAGCAATTATACAATTGCGCCAATTCTCGACAAACCCCGAACAAATATTTGGGAATTTTTGTTTAGATTTGCCGAGAATTTGTCTAGAATTAGCGCACCGGACAGAAATGGCGCTCTGTTCGCAATCTGGCCGAATTTCTAGGCCGCGAAGTATTTTTCCGAAAACGTGGCCAAACTTTTCAAACTCGGCCCCGATGTCGCTCAATTTGCACTGCAAAAAGAGTTTCTCAACAGAGCGCCATTTCTGTGCGGTGCCCCTATAATATAATTGCTAAACCGCATTTCACCTGTGAATGTCCGTTCCTGGCGCCCTGGGCCAAAGAATGTCGCGCTTTCTTTTTCTCATAATAATTCCTTCATAAGACGTCACTCCCTCTCTCGCTCCCTCTCCCTCAATGCTTTCTCTCTCTCTCTCTCTCTCTTTTTGTTACCATGACGACGGGCGGTCTCACGAGACACCCTCCTCACTCATTTCATTTTTCATCGCGCCTATTCCATCGCTTGCTAATATGCCCGACGGAGACGTGGTTGCCACGTGGAACGTTCCGCTCCACGACCGCATTCATTGCATCGAGTTCGAGCACGGCACCACCACCGGCAAACGCGTCATTCGTGTCGATAAAAAGGTAAATTTGTGCGAGCAAAAAGAAACGAGGCAAAGAAATTTTAAAGTGAGTGGGGATTGAACCAAAACGCTGCTCCAGCTAAATTTCGAGATTTCTGGCACTGCGCCACGCGCACCATCCAGCCTTCCGCTCTCAGCGCGTACATAACAATGCTCTTTTTTCCAGGAAATTCTGCGCCGCGACTGGATGTTCAAACTCGTCGGAAAGGAGACTTTTAATGTAATTTTTTTTCGAAAAAAATTTGAGCCTAACTTTTGCTCTCTCTTCCACAGGTCGGCGACATGAAGTGCACGATCAACGTGGAGGCGTTGGGCACGTTCGCCTACGAATACTCGCTCGACGTGAACGGCAAAGGCTTCAACAAGTTCAAGGAGGAGCAGAACAAGAAGCTGCACAGCTGGGAGACGTCCATCGACGGCGTCGATTTCCGCGTCGTGCTCGGTACGTCTTCTTCCCCTTCTTCTTCTTCTTCTTCTTCTTCTTCTTCTTCTTCTTCTTCCCCTTCTTCTTCCCCTCTAATTAGTGATTTTCAGACAAAGAATCGATGGAGGTCTGGGCGAACGGGAACATCATCGACACGGCGGTGAGTTTGGCACACGGCTGGCTTCACGCCATCTTCTGAACATTTTCAACTTTTTTTTGCTCAGGGAGAATTCGTCGACAACGGCACCCTCACTCATTTCGAGTTGAACAAGCGTCCGTGTCGCATTATGGCCGAGAGCAGCGGAAAGAAAAAGTTAGTTTGGGAGGGGGGTTTGGGGGGGGACATTTCGAAACCGGCGATCAATATTTTCAGAACGGGCGTCACACACTCGCTCTTCGTCAACGACTACCCAGTTGGGACGGATCCGGATGTGGCGGCGCTGGCGGCTCAGATGGCTTCCGCTCCCTCTCCCTCTTCGCCTTCTTCTTCTTCCTCATAACCCCATAGCTACTCCCTCTCTCTCTCTCTCTCTCTCTCTCATCGTGTATCGTATATCCACTCGATATTCGTTCGCGCCTTTCCCTCTCTTTATTAGCTTTCTGCCCACTTTCCGCCCTTCCTTTTCTTCCGTATATAGTTGTATAAAGTTGCCCGAAAAACAATCGTGTGTATTTTGCCGTAAGATCGTGCAAAAATTGTGCAAATGTTCGTAAAATTTGCAGGTAAATGGGTACGGTAGCCGGAAAACTGTGCACTGTGACACTTTCACCGAACCTTACGACAAATCGCACAAGTTTAGACCTACAGTAACCCATTTTCGTCCCTCTACCCATCTAATCAGCATTGAATCGGAAAAGAAGAAGAAGGAGAAGACGACGACGACAATTGGTTTGGGGAGCGGGGGAGTGATGACAAGAAACACCACATGACCCAGTTCTATCCCCCGGGCGCAATTGATATCAACATTCCTTCTTCTTCTTCTTCTTCTTTCTCTTCCTATCTCGCTAATTTGTGAAAAAAAATCAGGAATGTGTGTGTGTGTTGGCGCCAAGAAAGAGAGAGAGAGAGAGAGACTCGCGAAAGTACTTCACGACTTTGGGGGGCTCACTTGAGAAAAAGAAAAGGCGGCTCTCCGATCCGGTCAGCCGGAAATCGGAAGAGACCCTCGACAAAATGTTGGATAGTATTCGAAAGTTGCGCTGAAGTCGGAACAGGTTACTGTGGAACTTTTACTTTTCCGCCACACTTTTCTACATCACTCAACTTCGAAGCCACGTATCTTGGCTCTTTTTTGACATTTTTTTATGGTTAAAAAGGGATTTGAAAGAGAATTTTGGGCTCTACAACTTTCCAGTTGAACGTTTTTTATGATTGCGTATGTGCTTGCGGATATTGTCTGATTACTTCTCACTGCCAAGGTGGATGAAGAGTGTGGTGATAAATCTACAATATCTCCTTACCGGTAAGTTTTAATAAAATATTGTCAATTACAAAGTTGTAGAGCACAAAATTATCTTTCAATTGGTTTTTGATCATCTCAAAATCTTAAAAACCAATCGAGATACGTAGGGTGAAAGTTAGACCTTGAGGTCTTACTTTGACCCAACTTCCCGCCTGCGCATCTTGATCGAATGTACTGCTTTTTCAAAAGTTAAAAAACCATTCAAAAGGCAATATAATGCTCTTCAACTTTTTAACAGACCATCAATCACATCGACACACGCCCGCTCTACGATTTTTGATTTTCTGCGGCGCGCCGAACGATGTGAGCAAAAAGTGTCCGGTGGTAAATCGATAATATCTCGCCAACTATACGCGCTCATAAAAAATGTTCAACTAGAGAGTTGTAGAGCACAATGTTTTCTATCGAATCGTTTTTTAACAGTGTAAAAACCTTGAAAACCAAGCAAGATACGTGGGGTCAAAGAAAGTACAATATCCGGCTGTTGACCTCGAGCTTTCACTTGTTCCTTTCATGACCGTCCGTCATCCGAATATACGGAAGGGTCTCCCCCTTCTTCTTCTTCTTCTTCTTCTCCTTGTTTTTTCTCTCTCTCTCTCTCTCTTCCGAATTCCCGTCGTCGGCGGGCCAAGGACGCGCTCACTTTCGCCTTTTCCGATCGACCGATCGGCCCCCGGGCCACTCGACGCGTCGCCCGAAAAGATGAGAGAAGAAGAAGAAGAAGAAGAAGAAGAAGAAGAAGACGTTCCTATCGTCATTTGTCACCAATTTGTTTTGTTTTTGCTGTGTGTGTGTGTGTGCCACGTCACCTTTCCCCCCCTCGAAAATTGATTTTTCCTGGTGGTGATGGGGGGAACTGGATCTATTTGTGTTCTATTTGTGTTCAGCCATGTGTTACCCGGGTGACAAATACGAGAATCCTACAAGTTTGGTGCGAAAAGATGGCGCCAAACCGATAACTTTGTTGACTTCTTCTTCTTCTTCTTCTTCTTCTTCTTCTTCTTCTTCTTCTTCTTCTTCTTCTTCTTCTTCTTCTTCTTCTTCTTCTTCTTGTCCCCACACATCGATTTTCCGGTTCGATTCTTCTTCTTCTAAAACAAAATTGATTGGAATTCCACCCCCCCCCCCTTTTTTTGGTCTCAGTTTCGGTTTCAGTTTCAATATCGAAATTCCTTTCACTTTTTGTTATTATATGTAGGTGAGAAGTGGGGAAAGAGTGTTCTTCTTCTTCTTCTTCTTCTTCTTCTTTCGGACATTGTTTGTTGGGAACCGTCTTTGTGAAGGGGGCTGGCTTTGAGAGGGTTTATAAGAAGCTCGATTGATTTTATGCATATCCTAAGGCCTAAGGCCTGAACTATCAAAGTTTGTTAGAAACTAGAAGCGTGACTTCATATAATGCTGAGTTTGAAAGATTATTTGCAACCGTAAAACCAGTGTTCACTGAAATCGTTGTAGCTCGGCTGTCTGAAGAGATATCAAAAACTTGTCAACTAATAAATTGATCATCAAGACATGCTGTCCATTTTCTCAGTTGACCACTTTTTGATATCTCCACCGGCAGCTGAGATAGCGCACTTTGAATTCACACTGTGAGACCTCTTCCGTTAAAAAAACTAAAAATCCGCTTTCCTGCGGTGAACAAGTCTGCAGATCTTTAATCCTCGTAGAATCCTGACAACTTCCACCCTTTTCCCACCTCATAACATCACTGTATCCCCATCCCATTCCATCCCATTCTCAAATGATGCCCTCCCTCATTTAGTCTTGTCGTTTACAACTTGAAACAACTTTTTCTTCTTCTTCTTCTTCTTCTTCTTCAGAATGCCTCTTCTAATCCCCCACCAAATCCCCCCGTCTTGTACAATACTTTCTCCTTGCGAATAGTACTAGTTGTAACGTCCCCCCCAAACTGATAATATCTCTGATAATATTCCGCGCGCGCGCCGCCCGGATTCCTTCCAATCTCGCTCCTTGATCACCACTCTTTTGTGGAAGAAAAGAGAGAGAGAGAGAGAGAGAGAGAGAGACCGAATAGTAGTGTTTATGTCAATCCGCATCGTTCCCCCCCACCCCCGACCATTTCCAACTAATAACCAGTCATGCCCCCGCGGCCAACCAGCCAGTTCTCTCTCTCTCTCTTTTCAAAAAAATGATGACGTGGCATTCGCATTACCCATTCTGTTTCAGATGCCATTACCATTGTGCCGATGTCGAGTACTGTACATCGGAAGCGCGGTGCCGACGATCACAAAAGACGGCCTGCAGGGCATTCAGCAGCCGCTCAAAGAGCGCTATCCGATTCAAGAGTCACCGGACACGCGCGGAATTGATTCATGGTGAGGATTTTTGTGAAATTCGGGTAGATGGCCATTTTAGTGAGTTTCCGGGGGGAGCTGTGGACAGTTTTCGATGAGGCGCACAGATGGAAGAGAAACACGCACTAGTCCCTCGGCCATGTCGATTTACGCGCATTTTTTTCTCGTTTTTTGAGAAAAATGTCCACTTTTCTGTTTTTTTCAGTGAAATAACTACTCTGTCTGATTTGCGACTGAAATTCATGGTTTTGAGTCGCAAATCACAAAAAAGACCGATGCTTTATGGGGCTATTCAGCGTATGTTTGTTTTCCGTTTTTTTCGTTTTTTTACATCGCTGAATTGGATTTTTTGACGTAAAAAAACGAAAAAAACGGAAAACAATCATTTTTTTCACAGTCTGAATAGCCCCATTACTGGAAAACCGAACAATTAAACTTTTCCGCTAAAAAAAAGCGAAAAAAATGCGCGTAAATCGACATGACCGGGGGACTAGTGCGTGTTTCTCTTCCATTTGTGCAGGACATTGTTTTCGCGCGAAACCATCATCTAATTTTGTCTCTTCCAGGCTGTCGGTGTGGTCGAACGGAGTCCTCCTAGAGTACATCGAAGGCGACAAGAAGAGCGAGACGGCGTTCTTCCCGATCATCACGCTGCACTACTGCGCGGCGGTCCGTTACGTCAACGTCGAGGGCTTCAATGTGGGCGGCGGCGGCGAGCAGTTCATGCCGCTGGACAGCCCGTTCGCCAACATCCCCAACTCGCCGCACCCGCCCATCTTCGCGGCGATCTTCCGTCGGACGTCCGGCGTGAAAGTGCTCGAGTGCCACGGCTTCATCTGTACAAATGTGAAGGCGGCGAACGCGTTGGTGCGGTGCATGGTGCATGCGTACACGGAGACGATGCACCTGAAGATGGACGAACGCATTCCCGGACTCAAAGCGATTAAGGAGGGCTCGACGGGCGAACGCTCGCCAAACTCGCCGCCCGACTCGGAGCTCGAGGAGAACTCGTTCGAGGAGGACGTCTTGCAGCAGCACGAGGAGAAGGGCGTCAAGAACTGGCAGGAACGCACGCGGCAGCAGGACGGCGAGTACGACAGCGTCAGCATCAGCAGCAGTCTCGTCAACAAGAACAAGAAGGCCGCCAGCGAGACAGGTAACACAGTCAGATGCGGAGAAGGAGAAGGAGGAACGGGGTCGTCGAGGGGTGATAACATCTTGCGGGAAAACGGTTTAGGGGGTGGGTGCGGGGACGAATAATCGGCGATTCGGCGGGAGGGGACTGATACGAAATACAGAACAGTGATAGCGAAGAATTTATCGATGAAAGTTTAATGGGAGTTGACAGCAAAATTCGCCGAAATTTACCGATAAATAAATGTTTGCAGGCGGAATCCGCGGAGCACTGGTTCCGTTCGAAGAGCCGCTCCGTCGCTCGGGCTCCGACAACGACCTCTCGTACCGCGGCTCGATCCCTCCGCACCACCACTTTGGTCCTCCCCAGATGCCTCTGCACCCGCACTACCCGATGATGCCGCCGTTCTTCTTCCCGCCGCCGCCTCGTGGCGCGCATTTCCCTCCGCCGCCGCCTCACTTTATGCCACGTGGCGTTCCGCCGCAGTTCATGCCGCCGCCGCCAATGTTCGGACGACCGGGACCGCCGCCACGTGGCTTCCCGATGCCGCCGCCGCCGCATCCGATGATGTTCGCACGTGGCGGATATCCGCCGTTCTTCCCGCCGCCACCGCCGCACTTTGGAATGCCGCACCGGCCGAGCAGCCCGCCCAACGACGGCGGTCCGATCATCACCGGACCCGAATCGGTCTACGGGACCATGCGACGCGGCGCCTACGAGGAACCGGCGTACGTCGGCGCGACGGGCGGCTTCCCCGAGGCCAGTTATCAGCCGGCCAACGTGCCGGCCGATCAGTACGAGTCCTACTACGACACGTTCAAAAAGAGGGGCACGCTGAAGAAGGGCGAGTCGGCGTCGATGGCGTCGGGACGCGGCGCCGACAGCGCGTGGGACCAGTACGAGGCGGGCATCTACCGCAAGCCGCACATAAACGAGAAGGCGTTCTCCGGCACGCTCAGGTCAGCAGCATTCAATTGTTTTCAAATTTCATAACCGTTTTGTTTTGCAGATCAATGGCCGCCAAAGAGACGAGCAACGCGACTCTCAACCGTTCGGAGCACGTTGAAGTCGGCTCGCAGACTGTCGAAACTGAGGTCAGTGCCTATTTTGTATTGCTAGAGCGCACTTCCATCATACTTTTTTTGCAGATTACCCGTCCGGACTCGCCGCCCGTCGACTACGAGGCCTTCGAGAAATTAAAGTTGAAAGAGGCTCGCCGAGCTGCTCAGACCACCAACTAATCCAACTTTTTTCTGTATTTTTTCCCCTGTCATTTCATTTTTTTCATTCATTCTCGCTGCCCTGCCCGCCGTTCTAATAACCGAATTAGTTGCTAGTTAATATTAAGTACTGGTCGAGACACAGATTTATTTTCGTTCTAGAGCTGCCTGCCCTTATATTCTTGCAAAAAATCCAAAAAAACTTGAGAATTTTTACGTGATCAGTGCCTTTTTCAGAATTTATAAGTATTTGACGTGATATCATGCATTCCAAGTATATAAAAATGTTTTTGTAATAAAGTTTCTATCGACTAAAACTGTTTTAATCGCAATTCCGAATAATCTGATCGAAAAAGCCGTTTTACGCAAACGTTTCAAAGGCGCAGTAGCTAGTTTTTTGGGGCGAGTCTCGCCACGATACGTGAAAAGTTACTGTAGAATTTGAAAATTGTAGCGACTTTTTGAAAATTCTCGCAGTTCACCGTGCAAAAATGGCGAAAAAGCCGGGTTTTTCGTTCGCCGGAGAGCTCCCGATGCACAAAACGATGCGCCACTGCTTTGGACTCGTCAAAGTCACGGTAATTTTTGCAGAAAACACGGAGTTTTGGGATTTTCCCGGAAATTTTGATTTTCAGTCGCTCTGCTCGTGTTTAACCTCACTTTTATTGATCCAACTCATCCTTCTGCTCATCTGTTGCTTAGTTCCGAGCCTTTACGAGCCGCTCGCCGAGTTCTTCCACCCCGGCGACCAGTCGAACGTCTTCATCGGCCTCCTGGTTCTTTGCTCCGTCTGGATTGTCCTTTTTTTCACTTCTGTCGTCGCTCTAGTCGCGAAAAAGCCACGTCTGCTCTTTCCGCTTCTGATTTTCGAGGTATGTCCCCGAATTTCTTCAATTTATCAAATCTTTAAATTTTTTAGACCACATTCGCGTTATTGAGCGCCGCCGGAGCCGCCGTTCTCATGTGGAACCTGGTGATGTCATCGGAAGCCGACGAACGACCGATCGAAAAAGAAAACGTGCTGTTGGTCCGTCTGTGCGCGTTCCTTCTTTTCGGCGCCTACCACTCCTACTACACGTTTATCGTCCACTCGCTGTACGCGGATCTGAAGCTGAAGATCGAGACGGATCGGTTCATTGCGCGGCAGATGATGATCGACGAAGTGTGCAAGGAGATGTACTTTGAGGAGCAGGAAAATTGCCGGCGAAGTGAACCGTCACGTGTCAACTTTACAACGTACGACGTAACGAGCCCTATATCGCCGTACTACTACCCGGACGACGTCTTCTGCTCGGACAACTCGAGCGATTTGGCCGCTTTTTATCTCGACGGACCGCTTCGTCACTCAATCTAACCGTTCTTTATTGTTTTGTGTACAAATTCGAAATTTCCTCTCAATTTAGCATTAAAATGTGAATAACGCACCCCGCTCACTCTGTTACTATATGTTTTTCTCGTATTTCTTCACTGAATGTTATCATTTCTACACTTTTTCCGCTGAAAACCGGTAAAGATCCGTGAGATTTCATCGCGAAATGCGTGCCGCTGTGGTGCGCAAACGCGCGCCGCATATTGCAAAAAGGGGCGGAGCTTCGGCTGTTACACGTGTCGGCTGGCTTCTCCCGCTTAATTTCATTGTTTTCAGTGGAAATTTATCGATTTTCGATAATTTTAATCGATTTTGCAGTGATTGCGCGTCCGGTCAACGCCGGAGCGCATTGTATATAATGCCTGTGCCCAACAAACTAGTCGCTTTCCTGGTCAGTTTCTTTTTTTTTTTAATTTTTCGTGAAAAAAGTGCTTTTCAGTTAGCCGCCTGCCTCCTTTCCCTTGTAAACAATGCACTGAGTGCGAAACAAGCGGTGGTGTCGAAAAAGTCGAAACTATGCGGAAATGCGGCCTGCGAAGGTAAATTTTTGACGAAAAAATGAACAAACAAACGCCTTTTTCTTGCAGAGATACTGTTCAAGTCTCGAGTCAAGCGCGTCATGGGCGTCAACAATGATCCGAGTTTTCTGAACCTCGCCGAAAACGCGTTCATCTCGGTTGTCGCCGTCAAATTCAGCGATCGGCCGGATATTATGGAAGGACGAGTGAGTTTTTTAATGCCGCGTCCAATGTCTCGGAAAAACCGTAAAAACCGCAGATTTTGCTGTCCAAAGTCGGCCGAAATTTGCGTGAAAAACGGGGGTGTGCACAGCTCAATGAGTGTAACCGTACCCCTAAAACTACGGTATTTTTTGAAAATTTGCGCAAAAAATTTGAATATTTTCAAATAACCTCAAGAAATTAACAAATTTTCAAAAAATACCGTAGTTTTAGGGGTACGGTTACACTCATTGAGCTGTGCGCACCCCCGTTTTTCACGCAAATTTCGGCCGACTTTGGACAGAAAAATCTGCGGTTTTTACGGTTTTTCCGAGACATTGGACGCGGCATAAACGTTTTTCTCCGGACCAAAACTTGAAGTTCTATGTCCCCGCCCCGAAGGTTCCAAAACTTGAAAAACATTTGTCTAAAAGTTGGCGCAGCGATAGATCGCAACCCTAGAGCCGACTTTTAGCAAGTTTACCGCACGCGCATTTCATTTTTTCGCTAAAAAAATCTTCGGCCCGGCCCCGATTTTCGACAAGTCTGGTAAATTCCAATTTTCAGCTCAACGACGACGGTCCAACCGGATTCTTCTACGCGGGCGCGATCGATCTCGCGCCGTTTGCCGAGTTCCTGCGCACGGCGATCGACGAGAAGAAGGAGATGCTGATGATCAGCCAGAGTCCGTCGGACGTCGGCGAGAAGCGAGTCGTCGGCGTCGTTCACTCGGAGACCGATCTCGTGAGGGACTACAACGCGAGGAGTGCGGAAGCGGCTCGAGAAGCCGGACTTCCACCGCCGGAGCCTCTTCCGATCCCCGAACCGACCGGTGGGCATGGTCACAGCCACAGCGGACATGGACACAGTCACGGAGCACACGGACACTCCCACAGCCACAGCCATCCCGCACCGACTCCACCACCTGCTCCCGTTGTTCCCGAGATCGCAGAAGTTCCGCCAGCAGTCCCAGTAGTCCCAGTAGTTCCAAAAGTACCAGCTACACCGCCGGTTCCAGTTCCAGAAGAGCTAAAAGCCGCCGAAATAAACATCAATAACGTGCTCGGAACGCCGCCAACCCTCCCGCCGAACGGAGAACTGCCAAAGACCGACGAAATGGACGCGGAAATCGAACGATTGATTCAGGAAGAGGCGGCAAAGTACGCAAAAGCGCCCGAGGAGGCGAAAAAGCCCGAAGAGGTGACCCAACCGCCACTGGTGCTTACTTCTTTGCCCGACGAGCCGGTGACTCCGCCCACGCCAATTGCGGAAGAGCCCCCGGTGCCGCCTGTGGTCGAGTTCCACACGACTATTCCGACGCCGATCCAAGAAGAGCCCCTGGTGCCCGTTCAAGCGGTCACTCCGCCGCCGATCGTTGAAGAACCGACGACGACACCGGCTCCGATTCCAGTTTCTCCAGTCCAAGAGCCGATTTCTCAGTACATTCCGGAGCCAGAGCCTGTCGTCCAAGAGCCAGTCACTCCGCCTCCAGTCGTCGAGGAGCCAGTCACTCCGCCTCCAGTCGTCGAGGAGCCAGTCACTCCGCCTCCAGTCGTCGAGGAGCCAGTCACTCCGCCTCCAGTCGTTGAGGAGCCAGTCACTCCGCCTCCAGTCGTCGAGGAGCCAGTCACTCCGCCTCCAGTCGTCGAGGAGCCAGTCACTCCGCCTCCAGTCGTCGAGGAGCCAGTCGCAGTCCCTACGGAAGCGTCGCCGGTTCCAGTTCCAGTTGAGGAGGAGCTCACGGTAAGCGTAAACGTCCCCATAATGATTTTTGTGTCCCTCTATGCCCTTTTGTACGTACCTTGTGACGTGTTTCCTCTTAAGGGCGTCTGCTACAAAGAAGAGTGTGACGGATTGCAGACCACGCCACCGCCACCGTCCCCGATCGTCGAAAATAAGAGCCAGGAAGAGGAGGATTTCCAGAAATGGGAAGAGGAACGGAAGAAACGAGAGGTCGCGCAACCGTACGAAGACGCCTACGCTCAACAATTCAAGCATCTGCCGGCGAGCCCGCCCGTCTCCGCCGGCCTCATCGACTTTATTCGCACGTCGTTCGGGCTCGGAAACGTAACGGACGCCTCTGTGATCCTCTACCTCAATCTGACGTTCTTCGTCGCCTCGCTCCTCCTCTACGTCATCGTCAGAAGCCTCTCGTCGTTCTCCGATTCGGATGTTCTTGACCGACAGTCAGTATTTTCAAAAGAGACCTCCAATTGACTAATTTTGTGGATTTCAGAGCCTACATGAATCTAGTCACCAAGTACAAACAGCTAGAAACGCAGCTGCACGCCAAGAATGCCGAGATTCAGAAGTTGCAGTCCTCTGGAGTTCAACAGAAGCAGCAGACGCAGCAGCCGAACCACGAGTCGGAACTTTTGGCGCTCAGACAACAGTAGGAGATTATCCATCTGGAAAACAATAAAATCCATTTTCAGAGTGAGCCAGCTTCACACCGAACTTCAAATCGCCCACTCCCAACGTCAAGAATTCGAGATTCACTTCAACGAGCTCCGAAGTGTTTCCGAGCAAAAAGAGCAGCAAATCGTCGCGCTCAACGAGCAGATCGCCGATTACTCGTCCCGTCTGGAGAGATCAAGCGGTGAGGCTCGGGAATGGGCCCATCAGCTGGAAACCGCCCGGGCAGAGGTCAATGCCACACAGCAATCGGCCTTCTCGCACCAACAAGAGCTCGTTCGGCAGCAGCAGGAGCAGGACGCCACGCAGAAACAGATTCAGGAGCTAACGTCGGAAGTGAATGCGTTGCAAACGAGAATATCGCAGTTGGAGCAGGTGAACGATCAGTTGGACGCCGAATTGAGAGAAGCAAAGATCGAAAAGTCGTCACTTGTGGAGACTATCCAGCAGTTGGAACTCGAGAAGAGCCAGAATGATGTTGGATCGTCGCCCGCCGAATCAGGAGGATCCGGATGGTCAGATTTCGGAGACGAAGTCGAGGAGGAGAAGACTCCGGACGCATCGAACAACGAGCTCGTCGAATGTCGTGCGAAGCTGAAGAAGCACGAAGAAGACCTGAAGGAGTTGGCGACGTTGAAGGGGAAACTGAAGGAAGTGGAGAAGGAGCTGAACACGTACAAGACGCGGAATGAGAAGGAGAACAGCGGAAAAACGGAGACGTCGTCCAAGTTGCGGAGAGCGGAAGAAGAAGTTGCGGAGGCGAAGAAGAAGGTGGAGCAGCTGGAGACGGAGAAGAATAAACTGGACGAGGACCGCCGGGAGACACTCAAACTGCTAAACTCGCTCGTCGCCAATCAAACGTCGGCAGCAACGGAAGCCTCGACAATGAAAGCGGAAATTGCGAACAAGGACAAGCAGCTGAAGGAGGCGGAGAACGCTCTCCGAACGAAAGAAGAGGAACTGCAGGACGCGAAGGCCGAGTGCAAGCGGGTGCAGAAAGAGTACAGGGCTCTCGAGACGAAGAGTTTCCACGACGTGCTCAAGATGAAGAAGGAGCTCGATCAGTTCAAGATGCAACAGATCCGCATGTCGCCGGCTCATGTCGACATGCTCCGACCGCCTTCGGATCGTCAAATCATTGCCGACGACGAGCCGCCGATCTGGGACGAGCCGGATTTCGGACCGAGTCATGTGATGCCACCGCAACTCCAGCAGGAGGACTACTTCTCATCGAGTAGTCAGACGATGCCGACGAGGCGACGAAGCAGCCGCCGCAGCCTTCTTCCGTCGGGAATCGGGGGCGAACTGTCGCCGAGTGACCGCGAGGAAAAGAGCGGGAAGTCGAAGAAGGAGGGCGTGGTGGTGCATCGAAGACGCTCGCGAAGTCACGGACGCCAGATGCCCATCTACCAGGACCAGTACGGATACGGTGGAGGAGCGATGGGACCGATGTACGGAATGCCCGGATCTTCCGACTCGAGCTTCATGTCGGGCCACCTGCCGCCGTTCCATCCGTTGAGGCACAGCAAGAGCGGACACGTCAACTACTCATCCGGAGGATCGAATGGACCGACGAGTCCGCCGCCACCCGAAATGCCGTTGCTCGGAGCGATTCCGCCGCCCGGAGCACGGAAACCGATCAGCAAACGTGCCGGTAACACGAATTCAATAAAAATGAAACAGAAATTAAATTGCAGGTCCGAACATCCATGGGAAATGAGTGCAATTGAATCACGAATACTCTTCTTTCGAATTGTTTTCATTTAAATTTTTCTCTGATTTATATTTATTTCGTTTGTTTGCCTTCACGACAAGCTCAATTGTGCTCTTCTGTCTAGCGGTAACTGAACTTTTACGAGTCATTTTTCTATTGTGCAAGCTCCGCCCACTCTTCCGAGCTTTTCCCCCCATCCCCCAAACGTTTGTGATTTTTTCTTGTATATTGTGAAAGCGGATTAATCTATCACTTTCGTCATATTTATCCTTTCTAGCTTTGTTTTTTCCACCTCTTCTTTTTTGTAATTTTCCGTTCATATAAACCGAGTTTATTGCTTGGCCCGCTCATTTTTGGTGGTGGTGGTGGTTTCAGTGGCCATTTTATATCGGGACGTTTGGATGTATTGAAAAAGTATTGAAATTTTTCAGAAAATGGATAACAAACTAAACCAGAATGTGGGCAACGCGTAAGATTCTGAAGGTTTTTCAGGAAATGAACGCGTTTTTTTTGCAGAATCGCCAATACGGGAGCCGCCGGAATCGCAGTGGCCGATCGGAATGGAGTTCCGATACGTACTCTCGGCGACGTTGGGGTTAGTGGCCGCAAATTGAGGAAAAACTGAAAATTCAGCTATTTCAAAAAGAAAAAGTCATTTGCGTGCTCTGAAGTTAGAAGTGAAATTCCAGATAATGAGTCGAAACTAGAGTGTTCTCTGAAATTTCAATGAAATTGCAGGACGTCGCAACGATCGGATCGCTTCTGATCGCCGACGCGAAGAGTATGTTCCCGAAGGGCACGCGCAACAAGAAGAACAGCTACCCGATTGTGACGCTGCACTCGTCGGACGGCTCCAAAACGGTGGTGGCCAACAAGCACGGAGAGACCGTTTCACTCAATTTCCGCTAAATTCCATGATGATTTTCTCCTCAGTTTTCATGTAAATAGTTGACATTCCTCGGCTTGGAAAACTTGAAAGTTCTGCATCTTTTCTTTCAACTAAAAATTCCCTTTCCAAGTTCATATTTTTGAAACGCGTATTAGTCAGAAAGTATTTATTTAGGTAGAGTAAAACAGTTCAGAATTTGTCAGGCAGCTCATCCTTTATAATGTGAAACAGATCCAATACGGAATGAACGGTTAGCACCGGTTTTTGTCCTCTTTAACTGTTAAATTGAATACGAAAATGTCTTCGATGAAGTCGACGACCTGAAAAAATTTGTAACGTAGCTAGGACGCAATGCTGTGCATATGAGTACATAAAAATCTTTACCGGGGGGTTATTCAGGGTATGTTTTTTATTTGAAAACAATAAAAAACAAAATACAACTAACTTTAGCATATCGATAGAACTTCAACCTTACTTAGGTCTCTTAGGTCTCTCGGTGTGTCTGGCTGTTTCGGATCGGATTGAGCTGAGGTTGACATCGAAGAAGAAGTTCCGGCAGACGAGGCAAAGACTGGGTAGAAGCTGCAAGAGCGAAATTTCAGAATTTTAATATTAGGGCTGAATGGTTTTCTCGTGATGGAACTTTTTCTGAAAACATCGATTGATTCAAAGATTTGTCTTACTTTTTCACCGAATAAGTTCAGTATTGAGTGGAATAGTTGAAGAAATTGAAAAAAAATAAGGGGGGCGGAAACGGCAGAGGTGAGATCCCGAGTGAGATCACGAACACTCTGCCGCCGGCCGATCTTGGTGCCGTCGGGGAACGCGAATGATTCGTTTTTTGGGCCGAACTGTCGAACGACGTGGAAAGAGACGGAGACGGCGAGAGCAGGGCGCTGCTGACGCTTTTCCCGTGCTCTCGCCACGTAGCTTGACGCGATATCATCGTTGGGTATCAGTTATTATAGGGGCACCGCACAGAAATGGCGCTCTGTTGAGCAACTCTTCTTGCAGTGCAAATTGAGCGACCTCGGCGCCGAGTGGCACATGAACTCACAATTCAAAAAGCCGCTCAACAGACGATGGACACATTTAAGCCCCGACAAGAAGTTCAAACACGAAATTGACCATATCCTGGCCAACGGACGTTTTGTAACAGATGTCTCGGTGCTCCCCTCGTTCACGAACGGTAGCGACCACAGTCTCCTCCGCAGCAACCTGCACATGAACACCAGCGTCGCAAGACACGAGCAGGTCAAGAGGAGGAAGCCCCCGAAAAGAGTGCTGGACCCGGCCATTGCCCACGCTCTGAGCCAATCGACAATAGTTCAAACGAGCCCAGACATTGACAAAGACTACCAGAATCTTGTCGATGCGCTCAAAGAGCTACGGAGCCATCCAACCACTCAACCAATCTGATCACAAGGGCTACTCGACAACTTTTAGAAAAACGGAGATTTATAGACAGATCAGACCCCAACTTCAAGTCGCTGTCAATAAAATGCCGAGAGAGTTTGCCAGTTCCCGCTTTCTGAGCGCCGCGAATCAAGGGAGAAGCCTGAAAAGGGTGGCAAGGGACATTCAAGAATACAAGTCCTTCATCCCGTGCCTCAAATCTTCGACGACCGGCGAAAGAATCACTTCAAGGACAAAGATGGAGCGGGAGATCCAACAGTTCTACCGGAAACTATTCAGTAGTCAACGGCCCCATCACAACAGAAACACCACCACCGTTTCTCCGTGCTGCTATCCACTCATTTCCGAGCGGGAAAGCAGCGGGTGATGACAAAATCACGGCAGACCTTCTCAAAAGCTGCCACGATAATGTTATCTCCCTCATAACGGTCAGATTCTCAGAATACCTCAGAAGCGGAAGAGTCCCAAAACAATGGAAAACGTCTAACACCACCCTGATCTTCAAAAAAGGAGACAGGGAAAATTTGGAGAACTACAGGCCGATCTGCCTCCTCCCCGTCCTATATAAAGCATTCTCTAAATGTGTGCTCAACAGGATTCGGAGAACACTAGAAGAAGCCCAACCAGTCGAGCAAGCTGGATTTCGTCGCTCCTTCTCTACGATCGACCACATCCACTCAGTCCAGCGACTACTCGAGGTTGGTCGCGAGTACCAGATCCCACTCACACTTGTCTTCATAGACTTCCACAAGGCATTCGACAGTGTTGAGCCAGGAGCTATCTGGGAAAGTCTCCGAAGGCAAGGGATAGATTCGGCCTACATCAACCTACTCAAAGAGTGCTATACCAACTGCAGCACAACATTCACACCCCTCCACCGATCTGTCACGGTCCCAATCACGAGAGGAGTGCGGCAAGGCGATCCTATCTCGCCAAACGCGTTCTCGGCCTGCCTAGAACTAGTCTTCAGCCAAATGTCCTGGAACCATCTGAAAGGGCACGACTCTACTCCACGTCAAAGAGGAAGTTAGACTGGGCCGGACACGTGGCACGAAGGACAGAGAACCGGTGGACCACTCTGACGCAAGAATGGATCCCAAGAGACACAAAGCGGCCGGTCGGCAGACCGCCGATGAGATGGATCGACGCCCTCAACAAAGAAGTCACCATCCGACAAGGAAACCGAGTGGTACCATGGAGCACCATTGCCAAAGATCGGAAGGCGTGGTGTGCTGTGATCCGCGCCCACACAATGTGAGCGAGGAACGGATCGACTAAGTAAGTAAGTAAGTAAAACGACAGAGGTGAGATCCCGAGTGAGATCACGAACACTCTGCCGCCGGCCGATCTTGGTGCCGTCGAAAATGGGAAATGATCGTTTTTTTAGGCCGAACGGTCGAACGACAGAGAATGAGACGCAGACAGTTGTTGACGCTCTTCCAGTGTTCAGACCTGTTTTGAGTATCAATTGCGGTTGTCCGCAACTGGGCTTAATATTTATAAAGCCACTCTATTTTCGGGCGGTTTTCTCCCGGCCATACCAAAAATGACACTGACCATGTCTTCTCGAAAACAGTTGAAATCACAAAACATTTATTAAAATGGTGTTAAGAGTGTATATTCTTTAATTTGTGAGCAGAAACAGTGTCGTGCAGTTGCTGAAAAATTTACATTAATTAGAACGTTTATGAGGCAAAATACAACTAACTTTAGCATATCGATAGAACTTCAACCATACTTAGGTCTCTTTGGTCTCTCGGTGTATCTGGCTGTTTCGGATCGGATTGAGCTGAGGTTTGCATCGAAGAAGAAGTTCCGGCAGACGAGGCAAAATCAATTTTCTGAAAACATCGATTGATTCAATGTAGGCAACATTTTCCTTACTTTTTCACCGAATAAGTTCGGTATTGAGTGGAATAATTGAAGAAGTTGAAAAAAAATAGGGGGGCGGAAACGGCAGAGGTGAGATCCCGAGTGAGATCACGAACACTCTGCCGCCGGCCGATCTTGGTGCCGTCGGGGAACGCGAATGATTCGTTTTGTTGGGCCGAACTGTCGAACGACGTGGAAAGAAACGGAGACGGCGAGAGCAGGGCGCTGCTGACGCTTTTCCCGTGCTCTTGCCACGTAGCTTATCCGAATTGTACGGCTCTCCGATTTGGCCTCAGGAAGGAAGACATAGTAGATTCGTAGAACTGACTTTATCCACCAACGAAAACGATTGCATACAACAACAACAACAACGAGAGCTTATATACTACAGTTTACGACCGAGCGGGCCGATAAAAGCTGCAATAATATTCTGCTCCCGATCTCCTTTGTTCCTGGTGTTTGCTCTACCACCTTCTTCTGATCTTCTGATATCGACGCTTAGCTTGACGCAATATCATCTTTGGGTATCAGTAATATTATAGGGGCACCGCACAGAAATGGCGCTCTGTTGAGCAACTCTTTTCGTTTGAAAAGTTTGGCCACGTTTTCAGTGGAAAAAAACTTTGCGGCCAGGAAATTCGGCGACAGCGCGCCCTTTCTGTCCTCGTGCCACGTTACACCGATTAATGTTGACACCTAAAGCCGCGGCGGCGCAAAGAAAACACGAGTTGTGCTCCAATGAGCACAATTATACCAGAATCGGTGCACACGTCAATGAACACCGCCCACCCAATCCATTCACAACACCATCCTCCCCCATTCCGAAATGCCGCTTCTGCAAAAAGAGCATTTCAAACGTAAGCCAAAAAGGCCGCAAAAAGCACACGAAAATAGGTCGGGAATTTCAGTGCGAAAGCATACTCGCTACCTGACGATCCATCGAGTTGTCGAGCACAAAACGTGGCACGAACTGGCCTATGAGGAGCGTGTTCGGAGGGAAAACCGAAGAATACCGAAGATTTGTCGGAAGATCTTCTTGAAATGGCACCTGGAACAGTGGGCGGCGAGGCAGAAGTTCAAGAGGTTGAAGGAGAAGAACATCGACGAGAGTATTTGTGTGGCTGTGAGTTTTGGTCTTTTAAAGGACCAGGGAGCCCAAAAATTTTTTGATTTTTTTGTGAAATGTTTTTGTGACTGTTTGAATTGTCTCTTATTGCCTCATACACTGGTGAAATGCTGCCTCTCAAAAATTCCAATGAACGAAACGGCATGCAGTTGGGCCGAAAAATATATAAAAATATATGCGCTTCTCGGCCGTTTTATTTTTTCCGCTTTTTTACCGGTTTTTTTCCAAAAATTAACGGTTTCTCCCATTTTTCAGTTGATTGACATTTGTTCGGCACTTACTTATTTTTTCACTGCTAAAAAATTGTTTTCATTCAGTCGATATAAAGTGCCAAAATGGGAGAAACCGTGAATTTTTGGAAAAAAACCGGTAAAAAAGCGGAAAAAATAAAATGGCCGAGAAGCGCATATATTTTTATATATTTTTCGGCCATTGGCGCTAGGCCACGGCCACAACTTCAACTGCATGCCGTTTCGTTCATTGGCATTTTTGAGAGGCAGCATTTCACCAGTGTATGAGGCAATAAGAGACAATTCAAACAGTCACAAAAAAATTTTCACAAAAAATTAAAAAAAAATTTTGCGTTCCCTGGTCCTTTAAATAAAGAAATTTCTCATTGCTTGTTCCTGAACAACTTCTCCACGTTTAAGCACTTATATCTCGAGAACCACTGATTATTTTGTAAAATTGTCATTTGCAAAAACGTTGCAAATTTTAAATTGAACAACTTTTTAGTTGACCATTTTACTCAATAATTCTTTATTTCAAAGTTACACGCCTTTTTAAACATGCCGTTTTTAGAAGCAATGGTACTACGTGCTCAAGAAACATCCGCTGAGGCCGAGAGTTGAGTGGAGTTTTCAAAGGGTTCACAAGTAATTATCTTTTCAATTTTACTAGTCTAACAACCTATTTTCATTCAGATTGAGCCTTAAAAACGAGAGAATTGCTCAAGAACTCGAGGAGCTGATGGACTGCGCCGAGAGATACGCTCTGATCGAGCATTTGTCAGAGGACCATCAGAAGCGGTTGCAAGCGGAGCTGGCAAAACTTGATAGTGGGCTAAATATGAAATATATTATACTTTTCTGCAAACGGATCAATTCAGAGATTGAAACTTATCACTTGGAGGTCAAGAACAACCAGGACATCCTGCTGCGTTCGCAGTCTTTGGCAGCCATGAAAATTCGCATTTTTTTCGAGCAGAGGTACGTTATGAGGTTCTGAAAGTTTTTGTGTAAAATGTTCATGCCTCGTACTGTATTTGATTAGTTGAACACTTTTTTGTAGGACCCCTCTGAAGAGTACTGTAGCTTTTTGAAGCTACAAATGTACAAAACTATCGCTCAACTTTCAAGCGCTACAGTACTCTTCGGAGTGGTTTTACAAAAACGTTGTCAAGTACAAAAATAAAGTCTACAACTAGTACTTTATTTTTCTAGTTGACCATATTTATGTACAACCTCTCCTTGGACTACTGTAGCGCTTAGAAATTTAAAGTGCCTATCCAGCTACAGTACTCCAGAGACTGATGGTAGAAAAACGATGAAAACTACAAAAATACAGTACTATGAATGTACAATAAGTACGTTTTCCAGAAAAGGTCTAATCTTCGACATCACGGACCTTTTGGACCCCTTGACTGGAAGCGTGACAATCAAAAAGTTTCGAGAAGCGATTCAAGTTAAGATTATGTCATTTGCAAGTGATGTTCATACAAAGTAAGTAGTATGCAACTTAATTGTTTCGCTTTATCCCCATTTTTCAGTTTGCTGAAAAGAAAGTGGAAAAACGAGAAAGCGCGTAACATTGTCCACAATTGTGTGGTCCAAGAGACCACGAACGCCGCGTTCACAACCATCCAGAATTACCTGAAGGCGTTGCGGCAGAAGCCCTCTTTCCTCACCATCGAATGCTCGATTGTCGACCGGAGACTGTGGGTGAACGTCGAGCAAATCCGTCTCTTCCTCAAAGAGCCGATCAGTACGATGTGCTCGCTGGAGAATGTGAGAATGTCTTCGGAAGACTGTGAAATGTGGCAGGAGGAGGCCGCGATGGCCGTCGACGTACTCTCGCACGAGCACATTGTGGCGCACGCGTTCTTGGAGCCCTACGCGTTTTTGGTCGAGGATTATAAGGTAGTTATCAGGGTTGGGCGGAATTCCGTCTGCCGTCTTCCGTCTTCCGTCTTCCGGGTTTTTTTTTGTACCGTCTTCCGTCTTCCGTGGTTTTTTTGTACCGTCTTCCGTCTTCCGGGATAAGGTTTTGTACCGTCTTCCGTCTTCCGTCTTCCGTCTTCCGGGATAAGGTTTTGTACCGTCTTCCGTCTTCCGTCTTCCGTCTTCCGGGAAAAGGTTTTGTACCGTCTTCCGTCTTCCGGAATAAGGTTTTGTTCCGTCTTCCGTCTTCCGTCTTCCGGGATTTTTTCTTCTTACCGTAAAAGAGTAATAGCTTTTCAAAAGCCATTTACTAGTCCCGAAGAACGCGAATTTCCACGGGCAGTGACCCAGATCCAAAATGTCTGTTGCTTTAGTTATTTTTTTCAAAAAAAAACAGGAGAAAAAGGTTCTGCATTGACGATTTTTTTGTTCCGTCTTCCGGATTTCAAAATTCCATTTCCGCTCAACTCTAGTATTTATGGTGGGGTCGAATGCACTTGGATTGTCCTGAACCACCAACACTGTTCGTTCAAGAGAATATATCTCACCTGGTAGTGGAGATAGCCAAAAGTTGTCAACTAGTAAAATGTTCATGAAGAAAATGTGCGCATTTCATCAGTTGACAACTTTTTGATTTCTCCACCGGCAGCCGAGATACACCGTCGAGCAGACTGCTTCTAATTCACAATCATTTGAGGTCTCTTCGAAGCTGAGCGAAGAGGAGCTCATCGAAATGTACGACGCCTCGACGCACCTTCAAATCCGTCTCACCAAAGCGGCCAAATTCATCGCCATCCGTTGCTTCGTCGTTCGTTTGGAAAGCGTGTGGCTCGAGATGGAACGACGCATTCGCAGCTTTCGAAATCAACTCAAAACGGGCATCCGCCGCAAGTTTACGACGCATCTGAACAGGTTGTTGCACGACTTTCGAAAGTACGACCGCGCCCTTCAGTACCGATCGATCGATCCGTCGATGATGCTGAGCAACAAGGCGCAAGTCGACCTGATGTTGCAGAATGAGATCGGCGAGAGTGCTCGACAGTTTGTGGCCACTTATGACAAAGTGTTCGAGATTACACAGGTATGCATGTCGAGGAAGGAAGAACCCGACAATAGCTGGGGCATCTTTTCAGCACGTCGCCCTGGACACCTCTCAAATGGACACGCTCCTGCAGATCGCTTCGCTCCGTCTCTCGCTTCCCCAGTGCATAAACGATCACTCTCACTTCTTCAACAAACGCATTTCGACGTTTTTGCATTTTGTGAATGTAAGTCATCGAAATCTTGACGCGCTACAATATTCATCAATTCACGGCGACCAAAAGTGTAGAAAGGGGGGCGTGGCCTAATCGGAGACGCGTTTTCTGAAAATTGCCGCAATTCCAGCACTTTTCCGATATTTTTGTGTGTTGATATCGACGAAAGAAGAGACATTAATGAGAGAAAAAATCGATATTTTCGTGAAAACGCCGCGTTTGAGACGTTTTTGGCATATTTCGCAATTTCGGAATTTTCATACCGGCCGATCGGAATAGTTTTGAGACGAAATGAGTGTCGGAAGTGATTAAGCACGTTAATACAAGTATTTTAAGCGTTCAAACGGCAAAAAGTATCGGCGAATGACTGAAATTCGCGCATTTTCAGCACAAAACTTGAAAATCGATATCGATTCAATTGATTGCTCGTTTTAAGCTCGAAAAAGTGCGCGCGATGATTAGTTTAACAAGGTTATGCAATTAAATCGTCGAAATCGTACAAAATTTGGGTAATTTTTTACGAAAAACATGAAAAAAATGGGGTTAAATTTCAAATTTCGCGCCAAAATGGTGACAAAACCGTGCACGCTAGGCCACGCCCCTTTCTACGTTTTTTTGGTCGCCGTGATATCAACACAACATTTGTTTTAGAAAAAGCAAACAAAAGTGATGGGAAACGTTCAAAAGGCGATGGACAAGCTGAAGATTGTCCAAACGATGGCCAGTCCGCAGGAGGTCGACACGTACCTCGCTCAAATGGCAAAATTGCGGCCAATGCTCGACAGTCTGATCACCGAGATTGAGGATTTGAACAAATTCGAAAAGGCCGTCGACATTCAGATCTCCGACGTGACCAAGATGAAGCAGTTTGTCGGCGAGATCGACTCGTTGCAGAGTCTGTTCGAGGCGACCAGCGAGTACTATCGACATGTCAAGTTGGTCCCCTTTTTGTCCAGTTCTACGGACCATTCTACACACTTTCAGCGCGTTTTTCGAGTCCCGTCGAACTCTTGTGAACATCGAAGCGAGCCGTGTCTTCATCGAACAGTTCACGACGCAATTGTCGATTTTTGAGGGATGTCTGACCACGCACAGAGCTGCCAAACATTTCATCGCTTATGTAGGTTGCCGTTCTAGGGACCGTTCATTCAAACTCATATATCTCAGCTGTGTGCAGAGATATCGAAAAGTTGACAACAGATGAAATGTACACAATTCCTTGCTGAATATTTTGTTAGTTGACAACTTTGTGATATCTTCGCAGACAGCTGAGATACGTAGTCCCGAATAATCAGTATATGACTAGAGAGGACTAAGAGTATTTAGGCCAGAAATGAGGTGGACGCCTTCAAGAAGAACTTCGCCGTCGCTGAAATCATGTCGTGTCGACGTCTTCTCGACGCTCACTGGCTCAGAATGTCTGAAGTCGTTGGTAAGTGCAAAGTAGACGATTCAAAAAACGATATGTTTCGTTTCGATTTCAGGCTTCGACCTGACCCCCTACGCGAACAGTTCGATCGCCCAAATCTGTGAGCTCGGTCTCGAAGCGCACCTCCAGCAACTGAAGCCGATCGCGTTCTCCGCCGAGCGAGAAGCCACGGCGGCCGATCAGCTGCACGCGATCGTCACGTTCTGGAGCCACGAGCACCTGGAAACGCGGTGCTACGTTCAGTGGAAGTTCTCGTTGGCGCTCCGACTTCGAGAACTGCACCACAAGGTTCAGAATGACATTCACACTCTGCGCCACATGACGAACGTCGAACAGATCACCGATGACTCGCTGCCGTACGGGGGGAAAAGGGAAGGGAAAAGAGAATGAATGTTTGTGTTAAGGCAATGGATTGATTGGACGAGTCGGACGGAGAGAATTCTGAAGGCGTGGTGTGAAACGCAAAAGAAATGGATGCGAGTCGCGATGATCTTTGTCACTTGCCGCGATACTTTACAAGTGAGCACGCTTCTTTCCTCATTCCGACAAGAAACTGAAACTGTTGCTCAAATCGTTTCCTCCAGAAAGAGTACGATTTGTTGCGAACTTGCGCAAAGTACTGGATAAAGATCGAGCGGCACATTGTGAAAGATCCGTGCATCTACCGGCTCATTCAGCTGCCGCACCTTCCGTGCTGGCTCGAAAAGATTCGTGGAATGGTGGCTGTGATCATTCAGGGAGTGCGCGCACTTCTCGACCGCATGCGAATGACCAACGCGCGACTTTGTTTGTCCTCGGAACTCTCTCTTCTGAATCTATTCTCGACGACTTCGGTGGACACACGACTCCGGCTTCTCCTCAACGACTGTTTTCCATCGCTCGCACGTCTTTGTTTCAACAGACGGTAAGTGAAGGGCCAAAAAGACGTCTTCGGCGAGAGAAGAAAGTTGTAGGAATCAACTCGAGTTGGTGGATTTGAATGGTGAAAAGATTACCGTCGAGCTGACAAAGGCTGAAATTGAGGGGCAGGAGCCGTGCGAGCTCATCAAGAGCATCGAATTGGCGTTCGCGTCGAAGCTCACCGATGTAAGAGTTTGTTTGCTGTGATGTATCTCAGTTGTCTGCGGAGATATCGAAATGGGGTCAACTGACAAAATACACACAATTTCTTAGTAATCAATTTGTTAGTTGACAACTTTTTGATATCTCTACAGACAGCTGAGATATATCGCTTTGAACAGGGCCGGAGCTCTAATCCATATATCTCGGGACCGGATAATCCGATCGGTCTGAAAATTGAACCCAATACTTCCTGAATATTTCTGAACAGTTCAAAACTATAATTTCTGTTACAGATCATCACTTACGAACGTCAAGACCGATCGAAAGCGGCGAGCCGAATCGGCGCCAACGTCGGAGAGTTGATCGAGACTCGGCAGACTCTCGACCCCTTATTTTTGAGCAGAGTGGTACATAATTGGATTTAAAATATCTATGTAGCGTAAATAATTAAAATTTGACTTGAAAAACGCCTGTCACTGAAAAATTAGCGTTCTTGGAGCTCAAAGCACTCGTCTCGCTAGTGGATACCGTTTAGAAACTAGCTTTTAACTCAAGAATCACGGGTTTTGGCATAAAATGATCAACTGCAAAGTTGTTGAGCACAAAATTTGCAACAACTTTTCAGTAGACCACTTTTTGAAATAGTTATCGTAACTCGAGATATAGATGTCCAAACTTGAGCGACAAAATGTGCTTTGAGGGCCTGGAAGCGCTTTATCTTAAAGCAGTACAAGTAGTTTCAGGGCAATTTTTCAGTGACAGGAGGTCTTATCCGATCAATTTTATAACAATTTCCAGGATAAACTCTACTATGTGCAGCACAAAAGCATCAGATTCCAGGCGATGGTTTGACTCGGTGTTAGAGTAGATACTAAAGTAGATATTAGCCTAGACAGTCAATATTCACAGTTGTACCCACTCCCTAACACTTTTAAGAGGTGATTTCAGGAAAAGTCGTACTTCCTGCAGCACAAAGCCATCCAAAGGCAGTCGCTGATCACCGTGGACTTTGTCTACTCGACTGAGACGAACAAATTCATGCCGCGGAGCTTGGCGGACAGCTGGAGCAGCGGACACATCATTCTGATGGTCGGCGAGATGAGCACAACCCGTTCGTTTGTGCTCAAACTCGCCAACTGTCTGTGCTCGAATCTTCGCATCGTCAACTCGCACGATCTTCTCGAAGTGACCCTCCTCCGGCGGCTCACAAAATGCGTGCCGATGGCCAATTGGTTCGTTCTTTTGGAAAACGTCGACCTGCTCAGCCCGCAGTTGACGTTCGAACTGTTCAAAATGGTCGGCAGTCAGGCGGTGCCGTTCCCGCGCCTCTTTTTGAGTTCGACGGAAGAAATCAAGAATCAGATGCCGGTCACTGTGGCCGTCGAGCATTTGAAACCGGATCTTGTCGTTGTCGACGTGCTCGACGAGCACAACAAAACGCCGTCTTTCAAGTTTGAGACGCCGACTCCGTTGTCCAGTGTCCGCTCCTTCACGCCAACTCGTCCGACACAGACGGCCATCACGGCTGTAGCCCCACCGTCTTCGCCACACTCAATTTTGCTGGAAAAGATCGGATCGAAGATCAGAAACAGGTTGGAAAAGGATAATATCGTTCTGAAAACTGATGCTGTATTTTTGTAATTGACCACTTTTTTGTGGGACCACTCCGAAGAGTACTGTAGCTCTTGGAAGTTCGGCTATGCCCAGCTGCACCGTTCAAACTTCCAAGAGCTACAGTACTCCAGAAAATGGTTGTGGAAAAAAGTTGTCAATTACAAAAATGAAACTCTAGTTATGTACTTTATTTTTCTAGTTGACAACTTTTTTGTATCATCACCACCTGGATTACTGTAGCTCTTGGAAGTTCGGCTATGCCCAGCTGCTCCGTTCAAACTTCCAAGAGCTACAGTACTCCAGAAAATGGTTGTGGAAAAAAGTTGTCAACTACAAACATGAAACTCTAGTTATGAACTTTATTTTTGTAGTTGACCATTTTTTTGTATCATCACCACCTGGATTACTGTAACTCTTGGAAGTTCGGCTATGCCCAGCTGCACCGTTCAAACTTCCAAGAGCTACAGTACTCCAGAAGATGGTTGTGGAAAAAAGTTGTCAACTACAAAAATGAAACTCTAGTTATGTACTTTATTTTTCTAGTTGACAACTTTTTTGTATAATCACTACCTGGATTACTGTAGCTCTCAGAAGCTAGGAGTGTCGAAGCGCTATAGCCAACTTTCAAGAGCCACAATAGTCCAGAGAACTACAAAAGTCAAGCGCTAGACTGTAAGATTTCACACACAATATCCGAAAAAATCGATTTGCAATCGATACTGTATATTTGCCTTCTAATGCAACGCGTAGCGAGCGGCGGAACCCGTAGACTGTCGGCCACGTACTTACCCGTCCCTATATAACGCTCTTCCTGAAATGTCGGCCCCCAATATCTGCCATGATCGAAAATCATGCTAATCATGAAGAGACGCGTCCGTCTCGCCCTCCATGTTGCAAACAATTCACAGGCTGAGCAGACATCTTTTTGCTTTTTCCAGAGAAATCTCAGGTTGTGTGGGTCCGATGGCGAAGGGGGCTCTCAAGGAGGCGCTCGATCAGTTCCCGGAGAAGATCATCTGGATCTACGTCGACGTTTTTGTGCGGGATCAGCTCGTCGTGCGTTCGGATGAGTTCGCCGCCGGTCCCTCGGGAATCCTCTTCGAAGTGCTCTCTCCGAATGGCGCGACGATCGGCGGCGGCGGCGGCGGCGGATCGGAAAGCGAACGGAGTTATCACTCGACAATCTCGACGAATTCGATCACAATCAACACTATTGTCGTCTTCTACGGATTCTCCCAATTCTGGAACATCTTTCCGTTCATTTCGCCGCTTTTTTTGAAAAAAGACGCACACGCATACGCACAAAAACCGTTTCTCACGCTGGACGACGGAAGTACGTGCTGGCCGCAAGAGAATGTGCAATTTCTGATGTGTATTCCCGACGAGGAAGGGTTTCATTTGAATATGGTCAAAAAGTTTGATATTCCGTTTCATGTGGTCAGTGAGAACCTGAAAATCGACGTGGCACGGAGTTGGAGGAAGACGTGGCAGAAGAAGTTTGGCGAGTTGTTCAATGTGAGTGCGATATCTCTGCAGCGAGTGAAGATATCAAAAAGCCGTCAACAGCAGAAATGTTTATCAAGAAATTGTGCACATTTTGTCAGTTGACCACTTTTTGATATCTCTACAAACAGCTGAGTTATATTGTCGTAAACTTTCCAGAAAATCTCGTTGGTCGAAATAATGGACGAGCTTGTGGAGCGTCTAATTGCTCCAATGTGCACCCATTTCTCCACCTCTTTCCTCTGGCCTTCCATGCTTTTTCAAGTGATCTATCAGGATCTGATCGAAGTTTTGCCAATGTGCAGGACGACGTCGGTCAACGATTCCGTTCGGATTACTGTCGTTTTGGCCACCGCCAACTTCATCTCGATCTTTGTGGATGAGCAGCGAAAAGTGGAGGCAAAGATGGGCAAAGTGTTGAGTTCGATTAAGGAGAAACTTTCGATTCCGATTCCTGAAGACGTTTGTAATTGGAAAATTTCGTATCAGGACGCGACGAAACTAGTGCGATGGGAGGACGAACCGTTTTGTCAGAGCTCTATTGACAAGGACAGTGCGATTGGAGATATCATGGTACTTTTTGAGAGTCTAGTTCTGAAAATTTTTGTGTACAATCTTCATGTCTAGTACTGTATTTTTGCTCTTGACCACTTTTTTCTACGACCCCTCTGAAGAGTACGGTAGCTTTTTGAAGTTCGGCTATGCCCAGCTGCACCGTTCAAACTTCCAAGAGCTACAGTACTCCAGGAAATGGTTGTTAAAAAAAGTTGTCAACTACAAAAATGAAACTCTAGTTATGAACTTTATTTTTGTAGTTGACAACTTTTTTGTATCATCACCACCTGGAGTACTGTAGCTCTTGGAAGTTCGGCTATGCCCAGCTGCACCGTTCAAACTTCCAAGAGCTACAGTACTCTAGTGAATGGTCGTATCGAAAAGTTGTCAACTGAAAAAATATAGTGCTAGTTATGAACTTTATTTTTGTAGTTGACAACTTTTCACCACGACCACGATCTGTTCTAGATCGTCACTCCCAACATTGACCGTCTCCTCTTCTACAGTATCCGTCTGCTCACCTCCGGCCACAATATCCTTGTGCACGGACCCTCGTACTCTCGGAAGACAGTGTTTGTGAAGATGATCTCAAAATTCTTGATCTCCTCAAGCGGCGACGTCGAGTTCATCTGGCTGGACGGCAAAAGTCGAGTGGGAAATGAGGTGGCACAGAAGAAGTTCACCGACGTCGTCGCCGTTTGTGAGAAGATCCATCAGAGCAAGCAATTGGTACTTTCCGCTATTATATCTTTCCACTTTTTGCAATTTCAGTACGTGGTCATCGATCGGTTCTCGTTCACAGAGCCACTCCTTCCGATCATCGAGTTCTTTGTGGATCACCGAACGTACTGGAAAGAGGGAAAGTTGTGCAAATCGGACTCGCCGATTCGAGTGAGTATATCTCAGTTGCCAGAAGAGATAGCAGAAAGCGGTCAACTGATAAAATGTGTAAAATTGCCTCATGAATATTTTATTAGTTGCCCACTTTTTGAAATATCCACCGACAGCCGAGATACGGTAACTTTTTGTTCAGATGATCATAGTGACCGACGAGGAGGACTACGCGTGGCTCCACAAAACAAAAGCGTTGACGGCGACGTTCATCGGAATCGCCATGCCTCCGTCGACCGATTTCAGAGATCAGAAGACTTTAGTTCAGAGTCTGATTGCCGCTAATTTCACTGCAAAGTCAAGAAAACGTCAAGAATCCTCTAGAATCTTCTCTTCTTTTTTTCAGGTCCTTCAGCTCCGAATATCATCACATTCTCGAAGCGTTCTCCTGTTGTATTGTCGAAATTGTGCAAAAGACCTATGTCGTAAGCAAATGCGCTCCGCTGCACTTTCGACTTTTCATTTTCGTCTCCAAATTCAGAGCTGACAATGGGCGCGCAAGTGCGCCCCGCCCAACAGAGCGATACATTGGCGCGAAATTTAAATTTTTACAGCAAAATTTGTGTTTTTTACCAAATTAGCCACGAAAAATCGATAATTTCTCATTTGTCTCTCGATAGACCGATTGTATAAGCTATTACGATTTTTTTAAGCGCAAGAGCGTCAAACGCAAATCACATTTATCCGTTTGAAGGTTTTTGGCTAAAACTGCGTGAATTTCAGTTTCTTTTCGGTAATTTTCGCGGTTCGAGCGCTCAAAATGTTTGTATTTACGTGATTTATCATTCTCAAAACCATTTCTGTCTGAAAAGAAAGCGCAAAATGAGAAGTGCGCTTTTTAGGCGGCGAAGGCAAAAAAGCAAAGTCCGCGAAAAATGCGCCAAAACGTCATTAATTCTGAGAATTAGTGTGTTTTCATGTCGAACAATCATTTTTCATCGCCTTTGGCCACAAATATCAGAGCAAACCTGCTCAATTCGTGAAAACTCTATTTGGCCGAGCTTTGGAGACCGTGAAAATTCTTTTTAAAAAATTGGAGACGAAAAAGGAAAAAAGCAAAAGTGCTGCGTTTCCAGAAGAACCTCTCCTCGATGGCGCTGGCCACCCGTCTCGCCAAGTCCTTTTTCTTCGCGTTCCCCGACAACTGCCCGGATCCGGACGCTCTCCTGCGGCTGTTCATCCACGAATCCGCGCGTGTCATCGGCGACGCCATCGATCCGATTCATCGTCAGACGTTTGCGCGCGAGTTCGAATCGCTGATCGACGAGAACTTCAGCACGAGCCAACAGGCGGTTCTCAAGCACATTGCCCAGATAGCCGACGTCGAGGACGACGATTTGGAGGAGGACGAGGACGAGAGAAAACCGGCGATCAGCATTGATATGTTCGATCTGATCTACTCGGAAGTGGATGCGCACGATGTCGTCGACGGGCTCAGCTACGAGCCCGTCGTCGATAGAATTCAATTTCAGCGGAGCATCGAGAACTTTCTGTTCGAACACCATCGGAACCACCCGAAAGACCGCATCCGACTGTTCGTGGACTGGGAGACGAGCGGATGGGTGCAGCGGGTGATGCGAGTGATCCGACAGGCCAGCGAGCACATGGTCCTCACGGCAGCGCCTAGCAGCGGCCGGACTCAAGTCGTCAAAGCGGCCTGCGTGGCTTGCAACGCTACCGTACTCATTTTGCTGAATACTTTGCGAAGATCGACAGTAATCTTTACAGATGATGCACATGCAAGTCGACGCCACGTCCTACGATTCGTTCATTTCGCGATGGGAGTACGCACTGAGCCGCGCCATCAATATTATCGCGAACACGAATCAACACGTTGTGATTCTGTGTCATTTGGACTTTTGTGTGAGTCTAGTTTCGAAGAAATCCGCAAAGATTACGTGTTCAGTACGAAAAAGTGGAGCCACGTTGGATGGAGCAGATAAAACTGTGGATCGAGTGTCCGAACACTCAACATTTGGTCTCCGATGAGGTAGTGTAGTTCTCTGAAAACCTGTGGGTGTAATCTTTATGAATAGCACAATATTTTGTCAGTTGACCACTTTTTTGTACAACCACTCCTCGGAGTATTGTAGCGTTTGAAATCGCGAACTTTCAAGCGCTACAGTACTCCAGAGAGAGGTCGTAGCAAAAAGTTGTCAAGTATAAAAATGAAGTACAATACCTCGTTTACCCATAAAAGTTATCACCTGCCAAACTGTCATTCAGCAACTTCACCTAATGGGCGAACAACTGATCGAATGCGAGAAGAACTTGGCCACTCAAATGCAAACTGTCGGCATGCGATTACCCGGGTACACTCGTACGCATTCCACACTCGTCCTAAACGCTCTTTTTTGCAGGCAGAGAATGTGCAAATACCTTCCTGTGGAGACTTTGAAAGAGCCTCAAGCCCTTCGGAAAGTTCTGGAGGCCCGGATCTTCGACGCTCTTCACGTGATGTTTCTCGTGGATCCGCAGTTCAAAACCGACTTCTCCTGGTGCACAATATTCCATATGCCGGTGAGAATACGATGGAATCATCGCGAAAGTCTTCTAAAAATTCAGCCAATCGAGAGAACCGAACTGCTGGCAAAAGTGACCAAGATCATCGCGGATTGTAAACTGGAAAATACTGCCCATCTAATAATCTCAACCTTCTTTATCGGTTCAATTTTTCGTTCTTTCTCTTCTGATTTATACCGAACTTTTCAGTTAAAAAACATCTACAGTCGATTGGCATCGCACTGCCTGGAACAGTGTTCAGTCAGGTGTTCGAGGTGGCAGACACGTTTCAAATTGTGTACGGACAGCGCAAAAAGTAAGAATGATTTATTCTCGAAATGTACAAAGAAACGCGATTTACTTTCTGCGGGTTCCGTCCTCGAAGAAGACGCCTCCGTCGATGGCGCAGTACTTGGGGCAGATTCCCTTCTCTCCGGCTCCTCCGGCCTGTCCTGGCTGTCCTGGCGCTCCCGGGTTTCCGTCGGCTCCCGGCTGTCCTGGTGCTCCCGATGGTCCCTTTGGTCCCGGGGCTCCTGGCTGTCCTGGTCCTCCTGGGGCTCCTGGCGCTCCGGCTGGTCCTGGTGGTCCCTGTGGTCCTGGGGCTCCTGGCTGTCCTGGAGTCGACTCGGATTGGGCGTCGGCTCCCGGCTGTCCTGGGGCTCCGGCTTGTCCTGGGGCTCCTGGCTGTCCGCTTGGTCCCTTTGGTCCAGCTGGTCCTGGCGCTCCGGCTCCGGATCCTTGTCCTGGGGCTCCTGGAGCTCCGGCGTCTCCCTGTGGTCCTGGGGCTCCTGGGGCTCCTGGTGGTCCCTGTGGGCACGGCTTGCATGGTGGTGGGGTGATTGGCTCGCATGGCTGTGCTGGTGGTCTTCCCGGGTTTCCTGGGAGTCCGGCGGCTCCTGGGCGTCCTGGACGTCCTGGCTTTCCTGGCGTTCCGGCTGGTCCGGCGGCTCCTGGCAGGCAGCATCCAGAGCAGGATCCTCCCTGGGCTCCAGAAGAGCTCTCAACAGCCTCCTCTCCTCCGTATCCGGCTTGACGGGCGAAGCGGGAAGCGTTCTTCGGGTTGGCACGGATGTGGTTCACCTCGGCGAAGATGTCGCGGGCCGAGTGCTTGCAGAACTTGATCTCATGGTTGATCTGCGTCTTGATGCCATCCACGTAGCTGTACACCAACGGAAGAGTGATACAGAGCTGGAAAAGGTACATGATTGGATGGACTTAATGGCTGAAATGCTTACCGAGAAGACGGCGACGACGGAGAACGTGACGGCCGAGTAGGCGACGAAGCGGTAGGCGTGAAGACGCTGTTTCTCCTCCATGCTGTTGATCCGAATGATGCCGTTCTTCACTCGACCCGTTCCTTTTATACCACATCACCTGTGTGTAAAGACTGCGCCAAGCTGAGATTGTAACACGGGGGAAGTTTACAAAAAGAGGTCATTGCAAACAGTTTTGTGTGATGTGTTGGAAATGGAAATGAGGAAGTTGGTGTGGGTGTTGATAGAGATTCCGGCATCATCTAAAAACGTATGGCAATCGCGCTCTACCGCACTGCACAAATGAACAAGATTCGGTTTCGATTTCTTAAATTCCAAAGCTACAATAGTAAGATGTCAGTCTCTGAACAAACTTTTCCATGCTCACTGTTCAGTCTTTTTGCCCCTAAACTTGCATTCCTAGCACGGTCTCCAGAGCTGACAATATGGGCGTGGCCTCGGCGGCCAAATGGCGTTTTCATGAATTGAGCAGGTTTTCTCTGATTTTTGTGGCCAAAGGCGATGAAAAATGATTGTTGGGCATGAAAACACACTAATTCTCAGAATTAATGACGTTTTGGCGCATTTTTCGCGGACTTTGCTTTTTCGCCTTCGTCGCCGATCGCCGCCTAAAACCCGCACTTCTCATTTTGCGCTTTCTTGAACGTTTTCAGACAGAACTGGTTTTGAGAAGGATAAATCACGTAAATACAAGCATTTTGAGCGCTCCAACCGCGAAAATTACCGAAAAGCAACTGAAATTCACGCAGTTTTAGCCAAAAACCTTCAAACGGATAAATGTGATTTGCGATTGACGCTCTTGCGCTTAAAAAATTCGTAATAGCCTATACAATCGGTCTATCGAGAGAGACAAATGAGAAATTATCGGTTTTTCGTGGCTAATCTGGCAAAAAAACACAAATTTTGCTGTTAAAATTTGAGTTTCGCGCCAATGTATCGCTCTATTGGGCGGGCGCCGCACTTGCGCCCATTGCCAGCTCTGGAGACCGTGTTCCTGTGATTTTCCCAAATAGTATCTGTTGCTCTTCACTGTCCAATGGACTGTTCAGCTATTCAACTAGAAGTGGTCGACCGAGCCACAGAAATCGAATTTCCAGAGTATTTGTGCCCTACGAACAGATGTGGATTCATTCTTTAAGCCAGATTTAAGGAAATGCAATCGAAAGAGGAGTTCTTTTCCTCGCTGTAGGTCACGATGTCGGTTCATTTTCGAACTTCTGTAATTACCTGAAACACCTAGAATTGGTAAGATTCTCAGACTTAAGATAGTCTCCGAGCCAGGTTCAAAGCACTTCAAAGGCAATCAACAGAGTAGTACATTGAGATGAGATGAATGTTTATTGAGTGAGAATTGACTAGACAAAACACTAAATTGTCGTCTTCCTGAGTTGGCTCGTTTACTTTCTGCGGGTTCCGTCCTCGAAGAAGACGCCTCCGTCGATGGCGCAGTACTTGGGGCAGATTCCCTTCTCTCCGGCTCCTCCGGCCTGTCCTGGCTGTCCTGGCGCTCCCGGATTTCCGTCGGCTCCTGGCTGTCCTGGTGCTCCAGATGGTCCCTTTGGTCCCGGGGCTCCTGGCTGTCCTGGTCCTCCTGGGGCTCCTGGCGCTCCGGATGGTCCTGGTGGTCCCTGTGGTCCTGGGGCTCCTGGCTGTCCTGGAGTGGACTCGGATTGGGCGTCGGCTCCTGGCTGTCCTGGGGCTCCGGCTTGTCCTGGTGCTCCTGGCTGTCCGCTTGGTCCCTTTGGTCCTGCTGGTCCTGGCGCTCCGGCTCCGGATCCTTGTCCTGGGGCTCCTGGGGCTCCGGCGTCTCCCTGTGGTCCTGGGGCTCCTGGAGCTCCTGGTGGTCCCTGTGGGCACGGCTTGCATGGTGGTGGGGTGATTGGCTCGCACGGCTGTGCTGGTGGTCTTCCCGGGTTTCCTGGGAGTCCGGCGGCTCCTGGGCGTCCTGGACGTCCTGGCTTTCCTGGAGTTCCGGCTGGTCCGGCGGCTCCTGGCAGGCAGCATCCAGAGCAGGATCCTCCCTGCGCGGCACCAGATCCATGGTCGACGGCCTCATCGGTTCCGTATCCGGCTTGACGGGCGAAACGGGAAGCGTTCTTCGGGTTGGCACGGATGTGGTTCACCTCGGAGAAGATGTCACGAGCGGAGTGCTTGCAGAAGGAGATCTCGTGGTTGATCTGGCTCTTGATTCCATGGACGTAGTTGTAGACCATTGGAAGGGTGATACAGAGCTAGAAAAGGTACATGATTGGATGGACGGAATGGCTGAAATGCTTACCGAGAAGACGGCGACGACGGAGAACGTGACGGCTGAGTAGGCGACGAAGCGGTAGGCGTGAAGACGTTGTTGCTCCTCCATTGCAAGAAGTTGGGGCAAGTGCGCATCTTCCCCGCCGCCTCGTTTCCCTTTTATACGGTTCCGTTAAACAAAGAATTCCTTCGCTACCTTCAAAATGGGTTCAGGTTTACACTCGAGTAAGGGGTGGAGATTAGCGTTTGCAGTAAAACAGTGTTCACAAATCGCGGCGCCGTTGTTCCTCTCCGCTATCACATCGCTATCATCTTTCTCCCTTTCTTTGCCCATTCGCAATGGCATTGAGAGAAGAAGAAAGAAGAGGAAGTGATTGTGAGATGGCAGTGACCATGAACTGTTAATCGGCAAAGTATGCGGGGGGCTAACTGTCAATAGCGAGGAAATTTCTGTGGTGTCAATACCTAAAATCAAGTCCTTTTTGCTCATTCCGGCTATCTGAACGGATTTCAAACATTATCGATGTAGACAGAATCATTTTGAGCGCTCGGACAGCAAAAATTACTCAATCATACGTCTCAACTTCAGATATTTCCAGCTCAAACCCGTGCTTTATGCACCCTTAGACATGCTGACCTTCAATGTAATTTTGGTTTACTTTTTGCCGATCTCCGCACTTTCCCGACAACTTTATTGGATGTGAATCACTTCTCGAAGCTACCCCTTCCCCTCTGTTTGCCAATAGTTCCGTTTTCCAACCTAATCGCTTTGTCCCTCCCTTTCTCTCTCCCTCTGCTGTAAACTCTGATTCTCTTCTGCTTCACTTCATTTGGTCATCATTAGCTTCATCGGACAAAAAGTGTGAAGTGGTCACGAAAAGCCTTCAAGAGAACAATCACAACGGCACGCCCTTTTCGGGTCATTTGGCGGGTACTTGATGCCAACTTAACTTTCCCCTTTTTTCTCGCTACTATCATCGTTTGGTAGAAACCAGAAAACAGAAGGAAGCAGAGAACAGTATCAAGAATGGAATGGAATTGAAAACGGTTTTATTGATCGAAAAGAAAGTGATGATGGGATTGCATTTACTTTCTGCGGGTTCCGTCCTCGAAGAAGACGCCTCCGTCGATGGCGCAGTACTTGGGGCAGATTCCCTTCTCTCCGGCTCCTCCGGCCTGTCCTGGCTGTCCTGGTGCTCCCGGATTTCCGTCGGCTCCTGGCTGTCCTGGTGCTCCCGATGGTCCCTTTGGTCCCGGGGCTCCTGGCTGTCCTGGTCCTCCTGGGGCTCCTGGCGCTCCGGCTGGTCCTGGTGGTCCCTGTGGTCCTGGGGCTCCTGGCTGTCCTGGAGTCGACTCGGATTGGGCGTCGGCTCCCGGCTGTCCTGGGGCTCCGGCTTGTCCTGGGGCTCCTGGCTGTCCGCTTGGTCCCTTTGGTCCAGCTGGTCCTGGCGCTCCGGCTCCGGATCCTTGTCCTGGGGCTCCTGGGGCTCCGGCGTCTCCCTGTGGTCCTGGGGCTCCTGGAGCTCCTGGTGGTCCCTGCGGGCACGGCTTGCATGGTGGTGGGGTGATTGGCTCGCATGGCTGTGCTGGTGGTCTTCCCGGGTTTCCTGGGAGTCCGGCGGCTCCTGGGCGTCCTGGACGTCCTGGCTTTCCTGGAGTTCCGGCTGGTCCGGCGGCTCCTGGCAGGCAGCATCCAGAGCAGGATCCTCCCTGAGCGGCACCGGATCCATGGTCGACGGCCTCATCGGTTCCGTATCCGGCTTGACGAGCGAAGCGAGAAGCGTTCTTCGGGTTGGCACGGATGTGGTTCACCTCGGCGAAGATGTCGCGGGCCGAGTGCTTGCAGAACTTGATCTCATGGTTGATCTGCGTCTTGATGCCATCCACGTAGTTGAACACCAGCGGGAGGGTGATGCAGAGCTGGAAAATGAAAGTTGAAGGGTTGCGTGGGATGGGATGCTTACCGAGAAGACGGCGACGGTCGAGAAAGCGACGGCCGAATAGGCGACGAAGCGGTAGGCGTGAAGACGTTGTTTCTCCTCCATTTCCAGGCAGGTGACTTCAACGGCCTTCGCCGTCTCTTTTATACATCGTCTCGTCCGACCCGCCTCCCTTATTCGGTTTTACACACCGTTTCGGTTCGGTGTAATCGCTTACCTATCTCTCTCCCTCTCTCTCATTGTCCCTGAAGAATGAAAAATAAAAAAGATTACTTCCTCCTCACCTACCTGTTTTTCAGGGAGTTAGTATCAGAAGGCACACGTCTCGACGAGGCGCTGCATACTTGCGATCAAATCGAAAAGTTGGCCGAGATCGGAAGGGAGGTCGACATTTTTTCGGTGCAGACGAGGATTGTGGAGAAAGAGGAGCTTTTGGGGCGGATGAACAAAGAAAGGAATGTGAAGAGTCAAAGGATCGAAGTGCTCACCGAGCTGGTGACGGTCAAGAAGGCCAATTTGGCGACGTGGCGGACCGAAGAGGAGGCGTTGAAGGGGACCGTCGAGGCGATGGTTTCGGTGGGACCGCACTTCGAGTTAATGTTCCTGAATCCAATCGATTCGTTTAGGGTCCTCAAGAAGAGTTCCGAAAGTGTGTCGAGGAGCTTCTGAAATTCTCAAATGCCGACATCAAAACCATGGCCAAAATCACAAAGCCGTCGATCGGAATTCGACTGTGTTGTGACATGCTTCGCACGATTTTCGATCCCAACTTCAAGCCCAGTAAGTTTTGACGTCTCACGAGGACCAACGGAAACATTCTCAGAACGTCACGCGGCCGAAACGTGGCAGGAGACTGTGAAAATCGTGTGCGAGAAGGCGTTCTTCATCAAACTCGCCACTTCCGACGTCGACATTCTGAGTGTGGATCAGATGAAAGTGCTGAAGAAATACGTGGAACGTGTCGAGTTTAATGCGAACAAACTCGAGCACGAGTCCCTTGTTTGCGCGTGTCTCTGCCGATGGATCAGTGCGTTTTTGGAGCTGGCCGCGTGAGCACTACTTTATGATCTTTCTAAATACTGGTAACGCTCTCAGAACGTGGCGAGTGATGGAGGAGCAAGTGGAGGAGGGCAAAGAGCTCCGCGAGCAGATTCGGAAGACTGAGGAGAAGTGTGCGAGCGAGAGCGGCGAGTTGGAGCAGTTGAAGAAGGATGTCGATAAAGTGGGGCGTAGCACGGTCTCGAGATCCGACAATGGGCGCAAGTTCGCCCCGCCCGCCCAATAGAGCGATACATTGGCGCGAAATTCAAATTTTAACAGCAAAATTTGTGTTTTTTGCCAGAATTTCAGTTGCTTTTCGGTAGTTTTAGCGGTTCGAGTGCTCAAAATGCTTGTACTTACGTGATTCATCATTCTTAAAATTAATTCTGTCTGAAAACGGTCAAGAAAGCGCAAAATGAAAAGTGCGGTTTTTAGGCGGCAAAGGCGAAAAAGCAAAGTCGGCGAAAAATGCGCCAAAACGTCATTAATTCTGAGAATTAGTGTGTTTTCATGTCGAACAATCATTTTTCATTGCCGTTGACCACAAGAATCAGTGAAAACCTGCAAAAATTTTATCCTGAACAACTTTGCAGTTGGCCATTTTCGTTCAAAATGAGTGCTTCTCAAGTTGTGACAGAATCTTTGCAGCTAACCTCTCTGATCCGCGAGAACGACCAAATTCTGGCGAATGACCGTCGTCTCTGCGACTATCGGTTGCGAAGTGGGGACTTGTTGGCAACTCTCGAGCCGCATCGAAAACGATGGAAGTCACAATTGAGGCACAACGAGAAGCGGCAGGACGAACTCATCGGCAACACGCTCCTCTTCTCCATTCACAGAGCGCACTTGCTTTGCCACGAGCGGATCGTCACGTCGGTCAGTTTGTCAACATTTTTTTCGCGAAACTCTGAAAAATCTAGCGTTCTTTTTTTTTGAGAAAGCAATTTCAGATGTGTACCTCGTTGTGCACCGCGCATCTCAGCTCGCTCGGCGTTGCGTTCGACGCGTCGGTGGCCACGCCCGCCTCGGTCGTCCACCGAATTCTGCGCACGCTCAAGTCGTCCCGCCGCTTCTGCCTCTTCGTGTGCCCCTCCGAATCGCTGCTTCTCAACGTGCGCGCCGTGCTGCCCGTTGCCACGTACGTCGATATGAGTGTGATGACGTGGAAAGACGCCCAGTTGGCTTCGGCGCTTCCGAAGCACGTCTACTCGATCGTTCCGACCGTCTTCTTCAATATCCGCGAGGTGCCGCCGCCGGAAATGTACGAGATTCTGATGAAGAGCGAGGAGAAGGAGGTGTGCTATCGGAATCGGTCTCTCGAACTTCCCGACGATATTCTTTTCGTTTTTGTCGCCGAACAACTCGGCCATATTCCCGATCAGATTAAGAAATTGGTAAGTTATTCCGAGTTTCGACCGGAAAAAATCAATATTTCCAGATGGAAGTGATCATAATTTCAAGCCCGCTAGACCTTATAGATGACGGCAAAAAGGCCGAGAGGTTTGTGGATAGGAAAAGTTGTTCATGCCAAAAAATGTTTCAGAAATGAGTTGTCAAGTCTTTTGGGCGAGTTCACCGCCGCCGATATTCTCGAATCCCGCGAGTTGACGCGAAAAGCGATGCAGTTGGCGTCGGCTTCTTAATTTCTTAATTAATAAAATAAAATGAGATAATTATTCCTCCATTTTGACGCCGTTTCCATCGCCTTCTTCCTCTTCCTCTTCCTCATTCTGCTTCTGCTCCTCCCACTTCCTCTGACGTCTTCTCACTTTCTCCATCGTGTCGGTCACCGTTCCGATCGTGTTCTCGAACATGTTTTGCACCGCTTCCGTGTTGTCCACAAAAGTCTGCACACAATTGATCATGACATCCGCGTTCAGATCCTTCGTGCTGCGATCCATGAACAGCTTCTCCAGTTTGCCCAACTGCTTCGCCGTCTCCAGCACCGTCGTCAGCGTCCGGTCGATCTCGTCGCACACCGCGTGGAAGTCGTTCGCCGCCCGTTTGTACTGCGCCTTCTCCTCCGTGCTCACCTCTCCGTCCTCATCTCTCTGACGGACGAGGGTGGCGCCGCGGCGGTTCATCTCGACGAGCGCGTTCCGCAGATCCTTCTGCACCAGATTCCGCACCATGTCCACCGGATCCTGCACCATTCGGATCTGCTCTTCGTTCGGTTTCAATGGCTCATTGGGCTTCGGTGGTTGGTGCGGGGCCGTCGAAGCCGATGCTCCGGAGGGCGGTGGTTGCTGGCTGGCCGGTGGCTGCACGGATCCCGGCGGGAACACAGACGCCGGTTGGACGGAAGTGGGTGCTGGCTGCTGGGATCCCGGTGGTTGGACCGAGCTGGGACCGTAAGGCTGGATAGATTGCGGCTGAGGTCCATGAGAGGCTGGCGGTCCATGGGATGGAGGCGGTCCGTGGGAGGCCGGAGGGCCGTGCGATCCCGGTGGTTGAACGGAGCCAGGAGCAAGGACCTAAAGAAGAACCATATGGGGGTGTCTGGGTCTAGACTTTCGGACAATTTGCAATATTCCGATGGGATCAAACTTTGCAGACGCCTCCCGAGTAAATGATCCGATCGGTCTAAAACTTGGCTCCAAAATACTTTAAGTCTAACCCATCGGAATATTGCAAGTGGCCTGCTCTTCACTAACCGATCCGGGTCTCTGGATGCTTCCCGGCTGCTGAACGGACTGTGGTCCACCCGGAGGCCCTCCAGACCCTCCGCTAACATTCAAATGCTGACTGGCTTGCGATCCAGGACGGGACGGGGTCTTCTGCGGCTGCAAGTGCATCGGATACTGCTGTGCCGGCTGCTGTCCGCCCATCTGCTGATCCATCTGATGATTGCTCGGCGGACCGCCGGCCGAATGAAGTACATTTGCAGGGACTGAGGCTGGCGGAGCCACTGAAGCCGGACGGGAGACATGCGGAGCTGGCAGAGACATTGGCTGCTGAAAAGAAGCAAAGATAAAGATGAGATAGCCAGAGAGGCAGTTACATTCATGCCCATCTGCTGCTGCATCATCTGCGGAGTGCTCGGGTTGGCGGGCACCGATCCCGGTCCCGCCTGGACCATCGGGGACCGTGCCTGAAGGTGCTGGTGCATCTGAAGATGGGCGGCCGGGGATCCGCCCTGTTGCTGAAGCTGTTGCGGCGTGAGAGCCCGTTGGAACGGCTGTTGCTGTTGTTGCATGTGATGCAATTGCTGTTGTTGCTGCTGAAATTGTTGCTGCCGCTGAATCTCGAGATTGTGCTGTTGTTGTCGCAGCATTTGCTGTTGGCGCAACATTAGCTGAAAAACGAAATCAATAAAAGGCGCCGAGGTTGGGAGATCAAACCTGTTGTTGCGGCGTCATTGGCGGTTGTCCTCCTCCTCCGGGCGCCGACATTTTCGACCTAAATTTTTTATGAAAATTCTAATAAAAACACATGTTGAATGCAGTAAAGGTATCGAAAGAGCATTAAACTCTCAAAAAACTCAACAAAAAAAAACAAAGAAACAACAAAAACAAGATGCTTATTAGTAAAATGAGCAAATAGCATGAAAATCTCTTTATTTTTGCTAGATATGTACAAAATACAATTAACTATTTATCAGCCCGATTAATGAAACCAATGGTCCCATTGGCACTCTTCTTTCCATTCGGCCACACACTTGAAGCACCAGTCCATGCCGCACGAAGTACAGTGAATGTGGGCGCATCCGCCGTTCCGTTCCGTCGGAACCGAGCACTTTGGGCACCGTCTCGTCGTCACGTCGATCGTCATCTTCGTCAGATCGTCGACCCGATGGCACACGCACTCCTTTTCCGAGCATTTTCTGCAAATGCCAAGTTTTTGTACAACAGGGCTGGGCAAAAGACATAGGTGCGGGATGTTTGAGAAACGGCAAAACATTTTTCCGGTCTGGCGATAGGATTGCAATTTCCGAACCAGCGGCAACCACCCACATAAGTAATTTAGACAGTTATAGCAACTTGACAACCTATTACAGTCCGGGTAAATTGGCCTGCAAAGCTCGGATCCGATCGGAAAACTGCAATCGGGTCAAAAGTCCAGGACTCCAAGAGCCTGTGCTGGTCTTTTTCTGCTCTACACTATATAAAGTCGCTATTCGTACCTGCAAAAAGTGTAAAAGCAGTCGGGACACTGTGATCTGCCGTCGTCGTCGTACGGTTCCCAGAAGAAGCTCTGTCCACACGTGGCATTCGGACACGTCACTCCTTCGTCGTCGATCGCCACGAGCCGTTCAGTGGCCTTTCGCTGGTACTCGCTGTACGAGGGCTCGCCCATTAAATGGAAATGGTGGACGTCCTGGACTACTCCTGAAGATCTTACGCATTCCGGGGAAATTCTAAAGTGAAAACTTACGATTACAGCCAGAAAACGGGCAAGAAATGGTGAAGCCGAACGGCGGTTGATTCAGGAATCGGAACTCGGACAGCGTGCTCAGTAAGTACTCCTAAACTATGAAAATTGTCAATACTTTCAAATTTTTGCGTCGAAGCCCACTTTGAAGCACTGTTGACACGTGATGTGATTGCAGCCGAGATCCAGAACGATCCGATCTTTTCCGTCGCACACACAGCATTCGGCCATCTGCCAATTGCCACGTACGTGCGTCAGGGCGGCCGCCAACTCGTTGCAAGTCAGACATTTGAATTTGAACTCGGCAAACGCCTCCGCGGCTGAACAATTCTCGCATCGAACCGCTATTCTCTTGCTGAAAACGTTTTCCAGAAATTCTAAGAGACATTTTCAGTTTTATGTACCTTCTGAGCACGTCGGACCAATTTTGCGGTTCGGCTTTCACTAAAACCGACGTGGAATCGCATTTCTGGCAATAAACTCGCAGTTTTCCGCGTTTTACACCTTCGCATCGCTTACACCAGACGTAGAAACTGCCCAAAATCGAGGAATCCGTTGTTAAAGTTGCAGAATTTCCAGAAGTTCCGATCGATTTCTCGCTATTTATGGCATTCCTAGGTCGGAGAAGCATTATTTGACTGAAAAGTCACTTTTCTCGAACGTTTCGAACAAGTTTTCGATTACGTTGCGGGAGTCAGTGACAAATCTCGCATGATTGTCGATTTCGACAATTTTTTGCCGCAAAACACGACTTCCAGCTCTTCGCTAGGAATTTGCGTTAATTTCTCTACATTTTTCGTCAATTCTTCGATATTTTCACTGCTCTTGACCTGAACATCTCGTTTGAATTTCGAGTTTAGAAGTTTCGCAAAGAAAACGTACATTAACGGTTAGATTCCTACGCTGACCCGTTTTTCGATCCTGTATTAGTATTGTGACGGCATCGGACATGCCTGAACAGTAAATTTTGCAAGGTTTTTTGTGTTGAAATTGTTTTGTCACGGCCAGAATAAAATCGACTTCAAATGGAAGTGTCGAGAGACGAGAAAAACGCGCGAGATTCCTAGTCCGCGCGGCGGAAGTGCGCTCTAAGACAAGCGTCGCGGCTCGCGTCGCGTGCGCGGTTGCGGAGCGTATTTTGAATTTGACACTTGTTTTCGATCGTTCCAGGCTCAATTTCGTTGCTTTTTCACGCGAAGTTTCGATTTTCATGCAAAAATCGAATATTCCAGTTCGCAGAATGAAGTCGAGCACATCAAAAGAGAAGTTATGTGGGGAAAATTCCCGTCAAGTCTTCAACAAACTGGTCAACGCTCAGAAATCTCGTTTTGATATCAATGCGATAGGTATGTTGAAATTCAGAGTAAAAATAATAAAGTTCGGTGATTTTCAGGAATGATTCATTTGATCGATGAACTCGATCGTCTTCGTAAGCTTTGGAAACAGGCAGAAGAGGCAAAAAAGCAGACTATTGGAGAGATGAGAGATGTGGAAGAGCAGCTCGCGTAAGTCACGAATTTCATTGAAATTGTTTAATTTTTTCTTACAGAAAGGCTCGGAAGGAATTGGAGATGTCAGCTCTTGACGTCAAAGATCACAAAAAGCACTTGCGGGCGATGATGGAAGAGAACAAGGCGCTGAAATTGGATTTGAATGTGCTCGAGACTCGTGAGAAGCAGCTTAAGAATGCGATGAAAAACGGAGCCTTTGACAGTCTCACCAAAGCGGACCGTGAGCAGTTTGCGTTCCTGCGGGAGCCGCTTCAACGTAACCACTCGAAACGAGTTCAACTGAGATATCCGCATCTGATGGAGGAGACGCAGGAGGAGGAGGACGACAGTGAGGTGGATTACGACGAGACGGGCGACTCGTTCGAGGATGTGATGCCGTTGAGGAACGGAAGAGAGGTCAGGAAATCTGGAAATCAGCTGCCGAAGCGGAGAAGCTCTTCTGCTCACGCCACCCCAATTTTGACGAATGCGGGCAACGCGAAACGCAGCAGAAGCCGTGTTATTACCGCTACTATAGACGAGGAGCCGGTAAGTTGAAGAAATTAGGTGAAAATTGATAAATTTAACAATTTTCTATTACAGAACGAGTCTGGGACACCGCCAAAACGCGGCAGAAGCAACGGAACGACGACGCAAGTGACCACGACCACCTCGACAACCACGACAATACTGAATCGCGAGTTCTCGCGGCGGTCGATGAGTTGCGACAACATGACGTCGATGGAAACGCCGAGCAGACAGGCGAACAATCTTTCGATTCGCACGAAGAGCACTGTGGATGTGCGTACTTTGAAGAAGGGAACGCCTGCGTGGACAGATGGGAGTTCGAGAGATATTGCACATCGGACACATACTTTTGTGGACGGGGGCATTAATCCGGTAAGCAAAATATAGCTTTTGTTTGTCTAGAGACGTCTGCGATGATGAGAATCATGCTAATCATGAAGAGGCGCGTCCGTCTCAACCTCCATGTTGCAAAACAACAACCTCTGAGCAGAATGTCCCAAATTTATATTCAAGTCGACCCTTTTCATAGTTCATTGAGCACGTTTTAATAATTTCTTTTGCAGATGCGCAAATGCGACAAGTGCGACGCGCTGATCCTCGCCAAATCGTTCAAATGCACCGATTGCCATCAGGTGGTGCACAAGGACTGCTCGAGCCGGCTCCGTCTCCCGTGCATTCCACGTCCGAAAGCCGTCATGACTCCGAAATCGGCGGGCAGAAACTATCCGAAAGTGCAGTACACTCTGCAGGACTTTTGCACTTCTGCCAAGCCGATGATACCTTCTTCCGTGGTGCATTGCGTCGTTGCGTTGGAGGCTCGCGGCCTGACCACAGAGGGCATCTACCGGGTTCCGGGCTCCACGAAGACGGTCAGCGCGTTGCTTGAAGAGCTGCGCTCGGCCAAATCGGTTCCGAACGTGGCGCTGCACGACGTGGAAGTGATCGCCGACACGCTGAAACGGTTCCTCCGCGAGCTTCGCGACCCGCTGATTCCCAGATCTTCGCGTCAGGAGCTCATTTCGGCTGCGAAGACGTACTGGACCGATCCGGATAACGGAAGATTAGCGTTGAATCGGGTGATTTGTGAACTTCCGCAGGCTAATCGGGACACCCTCGCCTATCTGTTCATCCACTGGCGGAAGGTAATATCGAGGGCCGAGTTCAACAACATGAACATTGACAATATGGCCAGAATCCTGTCGGTCGCTGTGATGGGACCGATGAAGAGTGTGCTGCAGTCGTCGCAAACGGAAGCCCGTTATCTGCAGGACTGTGAGCGCACTTTGAAGGCTCTCTTTGAGTTTGACGATGTAAGTTTGACTGTTTTTGAGTTTTTAAACTTCAACATGAACTTTTCTTTGCAGGGATACTGGCAGCGGTTCCTAGGAGCGCTTAGTACTCGAACTGCTGTGGTTGCCGAGCCGATGCGCCACGAAAGTGTTGCTCTGTGCGATCGGAGCATTCTGGGACCGGTCACGACGTCGCCGGCGACTCCGTTGCTCTCCAGAGCCCCGAAAAACGTCCGTCGTGGTGCTCACCTACTCGGACCGATGCGCGACGACTAAATATTTAGAATGTATTCCTTTTTTCGATCTCTTTTTATCCAACTCTTCGTTCTCTGTCTAATAACCTCCATAATACCGCCTACATGTACACTTGTAATGCTGATGTGGCTTCTCCTACTCGACGCGTTTGACTCAAAATTTCCAAAATTTCTACGTTCTTCCAAAGATTGTGTTCCTAATAAATAATGAGCGACAGGTTATTATTTATGTTATTTTCGCTTAATCTTTATGCCGATAAACTGATTTCAAATTTCCGTTTCTTTTTCAATTGAAATGTAAAGTGGTTGCAAGTGCGCTCCACCGATGGCGCTGCGTGCCGCGGCGCGTGTGCCCAAGAAGCAGCGAAGTTTGAATTTTACACGTTTTCCACGAAACGCCTCGTCTTTCGCCCTCAAAATTTGTTTTTTTTTATTTGAGAATGAAGACAAGCACTTCGAAAGAGAAATTATGCGCAGAAGATTCGCGACTAATGTACAATAAGCTCATCAACTCACAAAAGACGAACTTTGATATCGGCGCGATAGGTAAAACTGATTTTTTGTTCTTTTTTGAAGAATTGGTTTTTATAGGTATGATGCATTTGGTGGATGAAATTGATCGTCTCCGGAAACTGTGGAAGGAGGCGGAAGAAAGCAGGCAGCAGGCGGTTCTGGAAACAAGGAAAATGGAAGAAGCACTCGCGTAAAACCAATTTTTATAAGAACTCTTTTTAGTTGTACATTTTGTTGCAGAAAAGCTCGAAAAGAGCTCACAATGTCCGATATCGACGTGAAGGATCACAAAAAGCACTTGCGTGCGATGATGGAAGAGAACAAGGCGCTGAAGTTGGATTTGAATGTTTATGAGACCCGCGAAAAGCAGCTGAAGGAGGCGGTGAAGAACGGAGTGTTCGACAGTCTCACCAAAGAAGACCGCGATCAGTTTGCCTTTCTCCGGGAGCCGCTTCGCCGCAATCACTCGCAACGAGTCCACCAGAGATATCCGCATCTGATGGAGGAGACGCAGGAGGAGGAGGACGACAGTGAGGTGGATTACGACGAGACGGGCGACTCGTTCGAGGATGTGATACCGTTGAGGAACGGAAGAGAGGTCCGACGGTCCGGAAACCACGCGGCGAAACGGAGGAGTGCTTCTGCGCACGCTCCTGCCGTTGCGGTCAACTCGAAACGAAGCAGAAGTCGAGTCATGGCACCGACCATAGATGAAGAGCCGGTAATTGGTGATATTCCACGAAATCATATTCTTTGATTAGTTCCAGCACGAAGGAGGGACTCCGCCGAAGCGATGTCGCGACGACGGAGGCCATCCGGAGATGACGACGACCACAACGACGACGACGACAACGATACAGAACGCGCGTCAGGCGGCCACCTCCTTGCCGCGCAAAATGTCGCGTCGCAGTCTCAGCTGCGGAAGTATCCCGTCGTGCGATCAGACGCCCGGCATGCAAACGACGACCAACAACGTCGGAATGGTGTCGGCGATTCTGACTAAGAGCACGCTGGACGTTCGCTCGATGAACAAACGGACGCCCGCGTGGACGGACGGCACCGTGCAAGAGATTGCGCACAGGCCGCACACGTTCGTGGAGGCCGGAATAAAAGCTGTTAGTTGGCGGCGCGGTGTATTTTCCGCGGTAGATGAACACTGAAGATCATTCTTGACCGTTAGCAGACAAAATTAGTTTTCAAAATCATCAATTTCGTACATACAAGCATTCTGAGCGTTCGAGCAACTGAAACTTTTGAGAAACACACGCAATTTGCGTTTAAAATTTAAATTTTGCTCCAAAATGTCGCGTTGTGCGTAGAAGCGCGCTTGCGGCAAGGGGAAACATCGCAGGCGTAGATCTTACAGATGCGAAAGTGCGACAAGTGCGGAACTTCGCTGATTCTGACCAACTCGTGGAAGTGCAAGGACTGCCATCAGGTGGTGCACAAGAGCTGTTGCAAGTGAGCTTGTTTCCACGAGTATTTGAGCTCAATTTGATCGTTTCCAGCAAGCTCCATCTGCCGTGCATACCTCGCCCGAAGAACCTGATGACTCCGAAGTCGACGAGTCGCAATCAGAAGCTCGAGTACCGGCTCCAGGACTTTTGCACGCTCGCCAAGCCGATGATCCCCTCGGCGGTCATCCATTGCGTCGTGGCCTTGGAAGCGCACGGCCTCGGCCAGGAGGGTCTTTACCGAGTGCCCGGGCCCATCCGAACGGTCACCGCGCTGCTCGATGAGCTCCGTTCAAAGACGGTGCCGAATGTGAGCCTTCAAGACGTCGAGGTAGTCACCGAGACCCTCAAACGCTTCCTACGGGAACTCCGCGACCCCCTGGTGCCTCGAACGTCCCGCCAGGAATTCATCGCCGCCGCGACAATGTTCGCGACGGACCCGGACGATGGACGACTCGCTCTGAACAAGGCGATCTGCGAACTGCCGCACGCGAATCGCGACACGATGTCCTATCTTTTTGTGCATTGGCGGAAGGTCATATCGCACTCGGACCGCAACAAAATGACCGCGGAGAACATGGCGAGAGTGCTGGCGCCGTGCGTGATGGGACTTCCGAAGGTGACGCAGCCGTCGGTGAATCGCGACGTTCGGGACTGCGAGAGGACGTTGATGGCGTTGTTCTCGTTCGACGATGTCAGTTCATTGCCCTCTTTCCCGCAATCCACTCTTCTTCTTTTCAGATCTACTGGCAACGTTTCCTGGGCACATCGGCCGCCGCCCTCGCCGCCACCGCCCATCCCATCGAGTCGATCCGTCAGGAACGTGTGGCCCTGTGCGATCGGAGCATCCTCGGACCGGTCTCCAAGTCGCCGGGCACCCCACTGATCGCCCGACCCGCACAAATGACCCGCCAACGTGGCGCCAATATACTCGGATCAATGCGCGACGAATAATTTTATCGATTAAATAAAGGATTGTGACTGTGAAGTAGTGTAACAATAATTTTCAACGTTTTCTTTTTACATCTCCTTTTCTTCGCATCGAAGGCTTTGATATATATATATAGTTTTAATGAGATTGTCATGGCACCCGTCCCCCATTTAAATATATCTTGTCGAATTTTTCACCAGTTTTTTAAAAAGTAAATCGAGAATTCCCATTGTTGCTCTTTTCGCGAATGAAACGTGCATTTGGTCCGAAAAAATATGCGTGAGAGTGGATTCGAGAAGAGACGCAGAGAAGCACAACGACAACTGCTCCGCTCTTCTTCTCTTCGCGTTTTATTCACTAGTGACGCTTCTTTCTCGCCAAAGTTTTCCGAAGAGAATTTTCGATGAAAAATGTTATTTTTTATAAAAACATGAACGTTTTTCGTTATTTTCTTTGGAAGAACTCTTAAAACGGTCAAAAACAATCAAATTGTCGACCTGCCACCTTGCTCGTTTTTGATCTCCAAACTCGCCGGTCTTTGTGATGATTGGCGCGAAGAAATCAACGGCAACGAAACAAAAAAGACCGTTTTGCACGCATTCACTCTCGGTTTTTTCGCTGATTTTCTCGGATCTTCTTTTGCATTGAAAAATCGACAATTTTTCTACGCTTTTTGTCATATATTTATGCTCGTGTTCCCCGAAAAAGACGCTAAATTCACACGAAACATTGCAGAAAATGGCCCAACGACACGCCAGCGTCGGATGCTTGTCAGCGTTCAGCGAGGCCGAAGTGAAGGTACTTTGAAATGATTAAAAATTGGTGTGACTTGTGATTCGAACCACCAAAACGTCATCAGAGTTTTGTGTCCTGTAAATCAAGCACAATCGCATTTAATAAGCCGGGTGTGCTTTGTGTGAACGAATAGAGTACAAAAACATTGTGATATGGGTGGAAACATTGATAAAAGCGTCCCGTCCCTATTCCCCATCTTGTGTTGTCAATAGAAAATACGATCGAAGTTTGCGTCGTGCTGTGAATTGCCACGCAAGCGACACGTTTCACTTTTGTGTGTGTGTGTGTGTACATGCGATATTGCAGCACCGTTTTGCACTGGTTCCGCTATTATTTTACTGAAAATGGCACCGTTTCCGGTAAGTTTGGAACACTGAACGGTCGTGATCTTTTGTCGGAAGAACTATGAAGGACAAACAATGACGAGAGAGAGACAGTGTTTCTGAAAAGAGCAAAACTCCAAAGACTGCGATCAAAATGCGCTTCTCCTTCCCAACCCAACCCACCCACAAAAGAACAAATAGCGGCGAGGTTTTTGTGTGTGTGTGTGAGAAAAATATAAACACAAATATGTATACATTTGTCTGAGGAATTTAGTGGGATGTCCCCTTTTCTTTGCCGGTATTTAAGGCGTGTTTGGTGCATTTCTCAATAAGTTCGAAGAGTTTTAGGCTCTCTTGGCTTCCGTTTCCGATGTTTTTAGGCATTTCTTCGGGCCGTGATGTCACAAAAGTAGAACTGATGTAATCAGTTTCAGACTTTCGATTTTCCGTTTAGTTTGTTTTTTGCTTCCCCAGGCTCCCGGCTCTCTAAACTAGAAATCTTGACCTCTTCGAAAGCCGTTTAGGTGATTTCATCCTATTTACGCATATCCTTCCTGTTACTGGCCACCCGAATGTTTTTTTGCTGGTAGAGAGTCTGAACAAACACGGAGATATCAACAGACAGTAACAGACACACTCGTTTTCTGTCGTCTCTCCCCCTCACTCTCGCTCACTTTTCTATCTTTCAATCGTGTGAACCGCCCATCCGAACACGGCCTTAGTTGGAAAGTTGTGTTCATTTCCAACTTATTCGTCGCTATTGTCAATAGTCATGCCGGTGGGTTTTTCTATTCATTCTCTAAGGGGAATGGCGCAACATCGAGATCTCTGCTTGTTCGATAAAAGTTCATTTGTAGTCTGTTCTTCAAAATGAGCCGGGTTAGAGGTTAATGTAAGGTTTTCGTGCCAAGTTACAGCTTTACAATTTCCATGTTTGAAAATGAAAGGTTCTAGGCCTATTGTATGCCCGCTCCGCTCTCGATTTGTATTTTATCACACAATCAAAAGAAAACGGTGTTATCATCACGTGACAACGACGGCGCTGCTTTTTCGCTGTTTATTTCCATCCGATTCGTCTTATTCTCCTTCTTCTTCTCCGTCCGTCCGTCCTGCCGCCGACGCTTTTCTCTCGGTCAAACTTTCGAGAAACGACGTTTGTGTGTCGAGACTATGAACGTTTCCTTCTCGACGAGCTCTCTGTCGGTGTCGAACTCGCGAACGAGATTGGTCTCGTTCCGAGAAGCCGAACACGACGATCTGAAGGTTGGTTTTGATCATTGAAACATGTTGACGTCAGGCTTAACATCGGGATCGTTTTGCCTGATGATATATAATAGAAGATATTACGACGTCTAGAATCTGTGTCTACAAGACTGTCTGTTCCAATGATGATCACAATTGCATCAGAACCTTTGGAAGGTGTGTAGGAATTGAATTTGTAGTGTGTAGGGTGTGTTTCGCGTTCTTTGCACTCACTTTGAATCGTATCTTGTGACCACGTGTGGTGCCTCGAAACCCAAATAGTAGTCTGTGCCGCGATATCACAAATGTGTGATTCGGCGATCACATATAAATGGGTTCCGCACAAGTGTTTCCTCTTTTTCTTCTTCACCGATCTCCGAGACAGCTGCCTGTTGAGTACTTTGAAGTGTGATGCTCTCGCCGATTTTTGTTTTTCGAAATTGGAAAAGAGTCGATTCCAACTCTTTCTTCCAACTCGCAAAAAGTTGCAAATCTTTTCGAGTCGAATCTAGATAGATCAAAAGATCGAACGCAATGCCCCGTGACACTAAAAAAATGTTTTGGAAACTTCTCCGGTCGGATCATCATCGTGTTTATACAATCGTTTCGCCTTTTTGCCGTCAATGTGCGCTTCTTCTCATCCAGTTTTTCTGGTTGCCGCTTTCCACTTTGTCGCCTTCTTGTTGCCATTGATATCTCCGCTTCCGATCGTCGTGCATCTAAAATGGATAAACGCTTTTTTAGTTTTCCTCTCTCTCTCTCTCTCTCTTTCTTGATCTCGCTGACTTTTTATCTTCTAAAAGAGACTAGACGCTTCTAGAAAAGAAAGAGAAAAATGGCTCCGCAACCAGTTCATCGCCTCCATTCCATCGATCATAAGCCAGATGAGGTAGTGGGTGGGGTCCCTGGGGCAAAAATTAGAATACAAACGTTCCCATTTGAAAAATGTGATTTTATTTCAGAGCTCTGAAGAATGGAAGACGTCGACGAAGGTGGAGGCGTTGAGCCTTCTGGAGGGCGAGCTCGCGCAGCTCCTCTCGACGACCCGCGACGAGCTTCTGCCGCACTACAAGACGGAGCTCTCCGGCTTCCGCAACCTGTTCGCCCGTTTCCTCCGCGCCAAGCCGCACGTCGAGTGGTCGAAGATTGAGCCGCTTCCGGAAGGATCCATCCGTCCCTACACGAGCGTCAGTTTCCCCCATTTTCCCTTTTTCACCTGTAATCTGGGCTTTGCAGTTGTCCGCCGTTACTGGCAAGGACCTGATTGCCGCCCAACTGCGCAAGTTGGTCGTTGTGAAGCTCAACGGAGGACTCGGAACTTCGATGGGATGCAAGGGACCAAAGTCGGTCATCTCGGTCCGCAACGACCTCACGTTCCTCGATCTGACGATGCAGCAGATTCAGGTGAGTCCCCTCCGAAGCTTGAATCAATGAAAACTTGAAACATTTCAGACGCTGAACAAAACGTACGGAGTCGACGTGCCGCTGGTGCTCATGAACTCGTTCAACACGAACGAGGACACGCAGAAGGTGCTGAAGAAGTACGCGAACGTGAAGGTGTCGGTGCACACGTTCTCGCAGTCGCAGTACCCGCGCATCAACCGCGAGACGCTGCTGCCGATCGCCAAGACGCTCGAGGGCGAGGACAACGAGTGCTGGTACCCGCCGGGCCACGGCAACTTCTACGAGGCGTTCCACAACTCGGGACTGCTCGACAAGTTCCTCGCCGACGGCAAAGAGTACTGCTTCCTGTCGAACATTGACAACATGGGCGCCACCGTCGACCTGTCCATCCTCAACTTTGTGCTCAATCCGCCGGCGGACCAAGTGCCGCCCGAGTTCCTCATGGAGGTCACCGACAAGACGCGCGCCGACGTGAAGGGAGGAACGCTGATCCAGTACGAGGGACGGCTGATGCTGCTCGAGATTGCGCAGGTGCCGAAGGACTACGTCGACGAGTTCAAGTCGGTCAGCAAGTTCCGCATCTTCAACACGAACAATTTGTGGGCGAAGCTCGACGCGATGAAGCGCGTGGTGACGACGAACAAGCTCGAGATGGAGGTGATCGTGAACCCGAAGCACCTCGACCGCGGACTCGACGTCATCCAGCTGGAGACGGCCGCCGGAGCCGCGATCAAGTCGTTCAGCGGAGCCGTCGGCGTGAACGTGCCCCGTTCTCGCTTCTTGCCCGTCAAGAAGACGTCGGACCTGCTGCTGCTCATGTCGAACCTCTACGATATTGACAACGGATCGCTGACGCTCTCGCGCCAGCGCTCGTTCCCCACCACCCCGCTCGTCAAATTGGGCTCCTCGTTCGACAAGGTCAAGGACTATTTGTCGAGGTTCAACGGCATTCCCGACCTGCTCGAGCTGGATCATCTGACCGTGTCCGGCGACGTCTGGTTCGGCAAGGACGTGTCTCTGAAGGTATTTAAAAGAGCAAACGGATATTATCTGGGCTCAGAGAGTCTAAGCCGTCGCGACTTTTCAAATCTCTTTTCTCTTGCAGGGCACTGTGATCATCATCGCCAACCACGGAGACCGCATCGACATTCCGCCCGGCTCGATCCTCGAGAACAAGATTGTCTCTGGAAATTTGCGCATTTTGGAACACTAATCCCCCTCATACACTCATTTTTCCCGAATCGGTTGCCCCACTCAGAATGGCTAGTGCCTTTAACCCAAAATTTCTAACAATACTAGTTGCCAAAAAGGTTTTATTGCATCCACTCACATCTTCCTGTAAATATTTATTGAGCTACGGTAATAGTAAGTGAATACAACAATGAATGATTATCCGATAAATCGCCATACTTTTCCTTCTGTAGCGCTCAAAATTGATTTTATCTTGTCTCTTTCTTTTCCGGTATTTTTTGTTTTTTTGTCGAGAAGATGCTCTCGGCGAGCACACACACACACACACACACATTTGTGGTGCATCACAGAAAAAGAGAGAGAGAGCAGTGAGTCAGTTTGGCAGTGTGTCGAATGGCTTTTTCCGGCCTCCCGCCTGTATTTTGCGCACTTGTTTGCTTTTTGGAGGATGTGCTGCCCCGGCGGTTTTCCACTGCGCGCCCGCTCGCTTCTCTCGTTTCCACCTCTTTTCCGTGTTTATATTATGTAAATATCGGTTTTTCGGTCGTTTCTATCCCCGAGAGGACACTTGCTGTGCTTCCTGTACAGCTTTGTCGTTTTCTTGAGATTTGGTCAGTGCGTTGAGCTCTTCGGGTGTTTTGTTTTTTGAATCGCCCCCCTCGGGCCCGCAGTGACTCATTTTTTGCTCTGAAATTTTGATATTTTCTCAGGCGTTCAATTGTTCGTCTAAATATTTTGTTTTGGACTAAATTCAGTGTTTTGAGCGCTTAGTTTCCCTTAAAAAATATATGGGTTGAGGAGCTGCAGCTAGCTGTCAGCGAGTGAACAGTCGAACTTTATTGAGTAGTTTTCAAACTTTCTTTAAGTTTTTCAAGATGATTTAAAACGCTTGAGACATTGCCTAATTTTCAGCTGAATAACAGTCTTAAAGGTTTGTGCATAGCTGCTCCCTCCCCTTTTTGCCTGAGATGCTACAGTGCTGTGAGGCATTGTTAAAATTTAAGTCGAACAATTGCTTCAATCCCTAGTATTCATTCGAACCAGCAAGGAAAAAACTACTTATTGAATTGAGCAAATAATCTAAACTCTTTTGTTTTCGTTCCAAAGAATGGGAAATCGTGCAATTTCGCAACATTCGTTCTGTTCTCGCCCTGTGAATCATCATACTTTCCCCCCAAGTTTCGATTCATTCTTACACACACGTGAATAATAAAGACAGACGCACAAACACACAGAAAGTCATCAAGAGATTAGTCATTCAAATCGGAGGCCGGCCGCCTTTTAATCATTTTCTCCTCTTCTTCTTCTAAATCTTCATCAATCTTGAAACAGTTGTGTTGTTGGCGCAAAGTTAGCACACACACACACAAACAATTATACCAGCAGTACTCGTAATACTGCGAGTGGCCCCCCTCTCTCACTGGCAAAGAGACGGCCATTAAGGGGGGTCGTTCCACCTTCTGTGTCCCTCTCTCACACCGCCTGCGTCTCATGGGTTTCCACCTTTTTCCTCTCTTTTTTTGCCGCCGCTGCCGCCACTATCTTTTTGTCTCGCACTGGACGGCCGGTCATCGCGCGCGCGCGCGCGATCACAAACGACACAATCAAGTGTGACTCATTCGTGCATGGCTCGCTCCAATCAGCAAATCAGCAGCACTCTGATCTTGGGACCCTCAACTTTTCTGCTCTCATTTTTCGATTTGCATTTTTTTTTTCCGTCAAACTGTGCCAGCTTACACTTTGGTAATTATCATTGATGGAGCTGAAAGCGGAATAAATTTTCGTACTGCCCGCTCGACCCGGAAAATGAGGAAATTGTTCGGGTTCCAAGTGTCCTAAATTCACTTTTTTTTAGAGTTTTTCTCAATTCATCAGTTTAGAATAACATTTTTAGAGTCGTTTTGCGAGGAATCATATAAAAAACGCTCCGATCAGCGTTGATTTTAATCTTAAAAATCTATGTCTTTTTGCACTTCCGCATCAAAAATACATATTATCATTGTCCTCTGCTCGCTCTCTGATAGTGAACTGGCTGGTAGTGCTAGTGAAGTACACGGGTACTGCCATAAAGAAGTTATCAAGTTCAAACGATTTCATTAAATTCCAATAAAACGGAACAACAATTCATTTTATGAAATACAGTTTTTACACTCTTTTTGATTTATCGCGATCGACAGAACTTGACATGTTTCCATTTCGCATTTTCCATCAGTTCAGATCCACTTTGAAATCCCGCGTTTTTCATCCGAAACGCGTATAAGCTTTGATTCCCGGTGGGTGTCTCGAAAAGAAACATCTCTCTCTCTCTCTCTCGACATTTTCCGCCTTCCGTTCTGAAGTGTCTTTCTTTCTTTCTCTTTCTCTCTTTCTCTCTCTCTCTCTCTCTCTCTCTATCGTTTATGAATGTTTGTTGGCGCGGCGTTCCGTTCCGTTTTTCGGCGACAGAGGGGAGGAGAACCCCGAACGACATTGCGCTAATTTCGTGCCCACTTTCTTGCTTAGCCCTGCGAGTAAGCGAAACAGATTTCGAGAGATTCACGCCTTTTGTGTGGTAAAAGCCCATAAAAGTATCAAATTTCTAGTCCGCTCGCACTCATCGTTATTGGCCGGTTTTCAAGTGTTTGCTTCGTTGAATCGAGCTCAACGTCTTCTGAGTTATCCGTTTTAGTGGCTCTAGAGGGGTAGTAAATTAGTTTGCGCAGAATAACAGGCCTTATGAACGATTTTTGAACCAATGTCCAAGAGGGGGAGGGGAATTTCAAAATGAACGCGCTCTGTTGCACTTGTGATCTCCAGCCTGGCGCCAATTGAAAACAGAGAAAATTCCACCGAAATTTAAAATAAAACAACTGAAACTAGAGATGACGAAAAGAGAAGTTTCTCAACAGAGCGCATTCACTTTGAATTGCTCCGATAGTATTCAAGTATGTAAAAACATTGAAAATTTTGGAATTAGCTTACTAACCCTTCGAAACCACATCGATCATTAGAATGGAGCGCCCATAAATCCATCGGCCGACGTCATGACTCACAAATTTATCAAATTCTCGCGCGCCGAGTGTCCGCCCGTCCAATCCCATTCATCTTTTGTCCCGTAGTACTCCCCAGAAGAGAATTGTGCTCGGCGAGAAGAGAGCACAAAGAAACGGACCCTCCGACGACACTTTGTGACCCATTTTTTCTTCTAATTTCATCTTTTCTGCCTCAATTTTTGCAATGATATCAAAGCGACGGTCAAATTTTCGATTTTTGATAACGCCGCACGCAAACGTTTTACTGTTTCCACACTTTTGTCACACTTGACGTCACCTTTGATGCTATGGTCCATAGCATCGCCTATGGATTCTTTTTACAATATTTCAAAAAAGTAAAGCTTCAGATGACCCTCAACTATCACGCACACGGCAAAGAGATTGAGTCGACGTATCGAAGAGTCGGCGATGATTCGGAAGGCGATAAATGGTGAGATTTTTCAAATATACTCTTATCATATCTCATCAAAAACGCGCTCTATCGCAATTTTCGCGGTCGTGGCCGATTTTTACGCTTCTGCGATTGCGAGTAGAGTGAATTTAGTTGCAAACCACTGCGTTATTTCGAATTGTCGTTGTTTTTGCTCTAAAAAGATCAATGTTTCAAACAATTTTCTGTTTTCAGGGTAATCTATGAGTACGAGGGCAACTCGAACACTTTGCGAGTCGGTGAAGAAGGAAGTAAGTGGATTTTTTACACGGAACATTCTAAAATTGCTCGCTTTCCTTCAGAAGGCGGTCTCGACGAGTTCGCCGACAGTTTCAGCTCGGGAAAATTGCAGTTTGGCGTGATCGCCGTCCGGTTGAGCAGTGATGTGTTCCCGAAGATTGTGCTCGTTCATTGGGTAAGCCGTTGATTTTCTATAAAATTTTGAAAAAAAACGAGCTTTTTCCCTTCCTAATGAGTTGAGAACCGCAACAAATTGATAAAATGTTCTTATTCTGCAGCAAGGAGAAGGCGTTCCGACGTTGCGTCTCGCGTCGACGACGTCGCACGCCGAGGAGTTCCGTCGATTTCTGAAGACTGTGCACATTGTGCTGCACGCCCGCTCCGAGATTGACGTCGAGCCGGAGGCGATCCGGAAAGAGGTGCGGAAGCTGCCGGCGGCGAACGCGAACGCGAACGTCGAGTCGACGTACAGCCTGCCGGAGAAGGTGAACTCGGTGTATCAGCCGACGAAGCCGCACATGGAACTCAGTTCGGCGGCCCGCGAGAACTTTTGGACCGAAGCCAATCAGCAGGAGAAAAGGTAGAGCAAAGGGGCAATCGAAATATTTACAAATTATGTAAACTTTTAGAAGACAGGCGGAGGAAAAGGCAGCCGGCGAAGCGCAGCAAAAGCAGTACGAGGCGGATCGGGCGAGGACGGCGGCCGAATTGCACACGCAGGCAGACAACTACCAGCCGGAGACGGTCAACTCGGTGTACAAGCCGACGAAACCGCACGTCGAACTGAAGACGTCCGCTCGCGAAGAGTTCTGGAGCAAGATGAACGAGGAGGAGAAGAAGTGAGTTGGCGAAAGAAGGCATTCAACAGAAAACGATCGTGTTTCAGACGTCAAGAAGAGGAGCGGCTGGCTCACGAGCAGCAGCAGAAGGAATTCGAGGCGGATCGGCAGCGCGTGGCGGCCGAGATTCACACGCAGGCCGAGAATTACAAGCCGGAGCGGGTGACGTCGGTGTACAAACCGACGAAGCCGCACGTGGAGATCAGCTCGTCGGCGCGCGAAGAGTTCTGGAACAAGATGAACGAGGAGGAGAAGCGGCGGCAGGCGGAGGAGAAGAAGGCGCACGAGGAAAAGCAGAAGGAGTTCGAGTCGGATCGGAAGCGCATCGCCGACGATTTGCACGCGAAGATGCAGTTGCAGGAACGGACGGAACCCTCTCCCGCTTCTTCTTCTTCTTCTACTTCTTCTCCCTTTTCGCACTCTTCCACTTCAGTTGCCACGTCATCTGGTCTCGTCGGCAGTCGAAAGGAAGTGTTCAGTGCGAAACCATCGGAGCCACTGCTTCCGAAGCCCGTCGTCAATGGGGGCGGAGTCAAAAAGTGGCCGCCGGTGGCCACGAACAAGGACCAGGAGCCGAAGAGTGAACCGGTGAATCGAGTGGAGCAGCAGCCGGATGAGCCGATGGCCTATAAGCCCGAGCCGATGAGTAGGAGCAGTTTCCAGGTTGAAAATTATATATTTTTGAGTTTCAGAGCCTGCCGTTCCCAGCTACGATGCGTACGAGGAGCCGCCAGCCGAGCCGGCGCCACCAGCGATCATTCCCACTCCCCCAAAATCCGCATACACGGTGCCACCGCCTCCGGAGCCCACTCCGGCCTACATCGCCTCGCAGTACGACGCGCCGCCCGTCTACGAACCATTCGAGCCGACGGCTCCACCACCGGCGCCCGCTCCCGCTCACTACGCATCGCAGTACGATGCTCCGCCGGAGCCGCATGAGAAGCAGGACAAGGAGTCGTTTGTGGGGCGTGGAGGAGGAAGAGGAGGGCACGAGATTCCGGCTCACATTGCGTCGCAGTACGACATGCCGCCAGTTATGCCCGAGGAACCGGGTCAGTGAGGGAAACCATCATCCGATGGGACCATAAACTTGATAGTCTCAGTTTGGAGTGGCCACCGTGAAAGTTTAAACCAGATTGGAACATGCGATCTGGAGATATGACATTTTTCAGGGCTTTTCCGCTTTATAATCCAGATCAGATGATCCGATCGGAGAGTCCTGCCATAGAATGACAGAATATCGCAAAAAGGGCCAAAAAACAATCCATGGAACCTTCCGAACTCTTTTCTTTTTAGTCTTCTCCGCTCCGACCCCCACGAAAACCGCCGCTGCTCCGCCGGCCGCCCCGCCCATCGATCAGTACGATTTCCCGCCGGCTCTGGCCGAACAACGGGCTCAGGCCCTCTGGGACTATCAGGCGGCCGACGATACCGAGATTTCGTTCGATCCCGACGACATCATCACCGACATTGATCAGGTGAGCAAGTGCGCTCCACTCATAATTTGCTGATTTTGGTTTTCAGGTGGACAGTGGATGGTGGAAAGGACGTGCGCCGAACGGAAGAGTCGGACTGTTCCCGGCCAATTATGTGAAGTTGCTCTGAGCAAAAAACAGACCCCCCAAAAATTCATGTGCAATGCAATTGTTCCCCCATTTTACATACACAAATCGACGGTGCCCTTAGATACAATATCCCAGTCCGTGCTCGCAATTTCATGTACCCTCTTCTTTTTTTTCTCGCTAACCTATTTATTTGCACTTTGTTAAATGAAGACGTTCGAACTGTACGCCGCGCAGCTATTCAACCTTACGTTCATTCACAGAGATCGGAAAACGCAGAAGAGGAGACGGACAATAATAAGAATAAAATGAGTGTGGATGTATGTGCTGAGTACAAAAAAACTAGTTGATTTCGATGGAAAATCAAAGAGAAGCGGATGCGGGCGCGTCGGCGGTGAATTGGAGGTAGGCGGTGGGCACGAATCCCACTTCTTGATTCTTAATCTTCTTGGCCCTTGTCCATCCGTCGCCCGTGTCCGGTTCCAGCGTGATCAGCTCGTCGCCGACACTTATCGACATCGTCTCCGGCGTCGTTTTTTCGAATTCGAACGCGGCGACGGCGGAGATGATCGGTGCGTCGGAGGAGGTTGGCGGAGAGGACGTGATCTCGACAGACGGCGCCGACATTTTGCGAATGGCTCCGGAAAACGAGCTCCTGAGCACCGGCGACGAGATGTCCTTCTTTCGGCGCGTCGGCGTGCTCATTCCCGAAACACTCGGGCTCTTCGCGCTTTTCGGCGACGAAATGAGTCGTTTTGGCGAGTTGAGGAAGTGACGGAGCTGCAGAGATTGATGATATTAGTCCCAGTGAAAGGGAATCCTACCATTTTCTTCGCAGTTTCCTCTCCGAAACTCGATGTGGCGGCTAGGGTGGATGTGCAGCTGCTCGACGGATCTCCCGACTGAAAATCGAACGATTTTGGGGGAAAATGGAGAGAAAAAGTAAAAGTACATTGTCATCGAGCGTTTTGGAAGAGGAAAGATTGGCCGAGCCGCCCGAGAAGCTGCGAGTCGTGTCCGGAGTGTCTCTTCCGCCGAACGAACGTTCGGGAGTTCCTGCAAATCAATGAAATGTTTGTGAAAAGTCAGAATTTTTCAAAAGAATCTAGTTCCGAGATATACCGATTTAAAGAAAAACTGGATTTTCGCAAGAACTCGGCCTTCTCGGTCTCAAATCAGTATATCTCGGGAATTGAAAAATTCTATTGAGAAAATCAGAAAATCGGAAGCCCGCACCATCGACGCTCATCTCGAGAAGTGTGTAAAACTCTTTCAAATTCTGAATGTTCGTGTTCAACGTCTCGATTTTCTTCGCGTAAACTATCAGCTCGCCGGTGCACGCCGACGGATTTCCGTGCTGCGGATTCTCGTAGTACGCCTTCTGCAGTCTGAAACTCGTTCTTTTCGACCCTTTTCCTTGTGGTCCCTCGGTACCTGGTGAGTCCCTCTCTGCCCTGCACCGCCTGTTCCAACTGCTTCTCCATTCCGCGGATTTTCGAGCGGAGGCACGAGAGACGCACGTGCGGCGGCTTGTCCTTGTCCGTGTACGGTTCCTTTGTCGATTCCGCCTTTTTCGCGTCGTTTTCCTTTTCTTTCATGCCGAGCAAATTGCGAATTATTCGCTTTTTGCTCGGACTTTTGAGTATGTGATACGAGGAGGCGGCTATCTCGACGCGTGGCTTCGATTCTATCGATTCTGAATGGATTTTTGTGATTTTCGTGTCGGGAGCCTGTTTTCTGACCATTCGCACGGCTTTCGCAGTCCTTCGGGTCTCCCAAGTCTTCCAGTTCGAACGGAAACGGCTTTTCGATTGTTGCCCTGAATGAAAATTTTGAAAATTTTGAAAATTTTGAACGAAGTCCGTAAAGTAAATTCGCTCTAATTCAATAATAAAATCAACAACAGAAAAACGCTGAAAATCTGAAAATCCTACTCGACAGACTCGAGAACTTGCTGCGCATCGCCTTCCGGGTCGATTCGATCCACAATCGTCTGCATTGTGAGCCGGCAATTCGCTAAAATTCAAATATCAAGATTTAGGGTCTCGAAGCGAAAGTTCACCAATGCTCTCCGCCTGCATTTCGTCGACGGTGAGCATCTTTTGGAGCACTTGGCTCATATCTGCGATGCATTCTTTGTCGACCGCTTTCAGTCGCGAGAAGAGCACGGGTAGCAGCTCTTCGTGATACTTTTTCTGCTCCGAATTCGCCGACGTCACCGACTGCGAGTATTCACTCTTTGTCTTTTCGCACGCCTCGGTTCGCGTCTGAAAATGCTCTGGAATCTGATTAAAATGTGGAAAATTGGTACGTTTGCATGAGTTCTGGCCTTCTCGAGCTCTAATCTCGAAATTTCCAGGTTTTTATCGGCTTTGTAGAACTTTTGGTACGCGCTTTCGGCTTCTTTGAACGATTTTCTGCAATTTCCCAGGGAGTTTTTAAAATTTTTCGTTCGAATTACACATAAGCCTTCCCAGACTTGCACATTTCGTTAATGTGCTCCTCGAGCCGCTCGTTTATCGTTTTCAGGTCGCCTATCGCATTTTTCCGCGAGCTCCGCAACTGACACGTCTTCGACGAGACGTACGTGTTCACGTCTTCTCGGAGACTCTCGGCGGTGCTCTAAATATTCAAAAATTTCAAATCGGGCAAAATTTTCGAATTACATGATGTTTTGCGGCAATCTGATCGAGTTGCTGCAAGTACAAATTGAAGGCGTTCACGTAGGAGACGTTCTTCAGAATCTCATCCTCCTCCTCTGATTTCTTTGCGTATTTTCGAGCAAGATTTCTGGAAATTTTCAAGCAACATGCAAAATTTTGAAAATTTTCGAAGTTTACTTTAGTTTTGTAGAGTAGTCCTCTTCAATCGCGGCTCGCTCCTTTGAAAATTGACCCATTTTTTCGAAAAAGTCAATTCCTTTTTGGGTGTACGAAAGCAGCGCGTTCGACGGATCCTGCATCAATTTCTGGCCGGTTTAGCACACTTTCGGGCGCGAAATTATTGATTACCTGCACTGTAAATAGTCTGGAAACGGGAATCATGGCGAAAAAATGCACATTCGAAGTTTGGTTCGCCCTCGAATTTGCGTGGAAATTGCTGCGTGTAAATCGGCTACAGTACCCGTGGTGTAACCTTTAAAGGCGCAGAACGGAATGCGGTACCGGGTCTCGCCACGATGAAATTTTGAAAGCAAAGATTTCGTGAAAGTCGAACGAGTTTTTCAGATTTCTAGATTTTTCGATGTCAGAAATTATGAAAAACGTAAAAACAAACATTTTGAGCGTTCCAACAGCAAAAATAATCATGAAATAACGGAAATTCAAGCATTTTCAACGCAAAGTTCAAAGTTCATTAAAATACCCCATTCCTGGATGAAATCTGCACGTTTTTAGCACAAATTACACTGATTTATTGGGTCCTTTTTGACGAAAAACATGAATAATGGGGTTAAAACTGAATTCAGAGTTATTAAGCAAGTTAGAAGAATATATAGTCAAAAAAGCGTGAATACAGAAAAAATGATGTCATTTTCGATTACTTCTCAACCTCTGGCTCGGCCATCTGCAGATGATTGTTGAGAAAATCGTTGATGTTGACCTTTCCCTCGACGAGTTCGATCCCGAACAGCAGATTCTCGACCTCCTGATTCGACAGCCGCTCTCCGCTGTTCTGCAGAAGGTTCTTGAGCTCCATGAGCATGATCAGTCCGTTTCCATCGCGGTCAAAGTGCGAGAGAAGCGCCTGAAAACAGAGAAATGAGTTTAAAGGCGCATAAATAGCTGGCAACTTGCCTGAAACTCGCGGAGAGTGGTCGATCTTCCGCACGCGGCCTCCACCTTCTTGTAGATCGGCACGAACTCGTCGACGGTCACCCGGGCTCCAGGAGCCGCTTCGGCAACGACCTCCTTCAAAAGCGCCTCAGTCGGGTTGAGCATCATCGCTCTCAGAGCCGCCGGTATCTGAAATTGCATTATAAAGCTATGAAAAACAGGCCAGGCGGGGGCGGTGCACGGTCTCCAGAGCTGTAATAACAATATGGGCGTGGCCTCGGCCAAATGGCGTTTTCATGAATTGAGCAGGTTTTCTCTGATTTTTGTGGCCAAATGCGATGAAAAATGATTGTTCGACATGAAAACACACTAATTCTCAGAATTAATGACGTTTTGGCGCATTTTTCGCGGACTTTGCTTTTTCGCCTTCGCTGCCGATCGCCGCCTAAAAAGCGCACTTCTCATTTTGCGCTTTCTTGACCGTTTTCAGACAGAAATGGTTTTGAGAATGATAAATCACGTAAAGACAAGCATTTTGAGCGTTCGAACCGCGAAAGCTACCGAAAAGCAACTGAAATTCACGCAGTTATAGCCAAAAACCTTCAAACGGATTAATGTGATTTGTGACTTGACCAAATTTAACGCTCTTGCGCTTAAAAAATTCGTAATGGCCTATATAATCGGTCTATCGAGAGAGACAAATGAGAAATTATCGGTTTTTCGTGGCTAATCTGGCAAAAAACACAAATTTTGCAGTTAAAATTTTAATTTCGCGTCAATGTATCGCTCTATTGGGCGGGGCGCACTTGCGCGTCCATTGTCAGCTCTGAATTTGGAGACGAAAATGAAAAGTCGAAAGTGCAGCGGAGCGCATTTGCTTACGACATAGGTCTTTTGCACAATTTCGACAATACAACAGGAGAACGCTTCGAGAATATGATGATATTCGCTCAAATCAAGTTTCACGCCAAACGTCTGCTGGCTCAAATCTCGATTGCGCCAAGAAAAACCGTCGAATCTAATTAGGTCGCGTTTAGATCAGTAACTTTCTAATTAGATTAATATCGAATTGGCAGAGTGCGCCCATTGTCAGCTCTGGAGACCGTGGCGCGCGGTGATATATAAATGAACTTTTTAAATGCTTGTTTACCTGTGTGGTGGCGATTTTGCCGTCTCCGTGGCTGTCGAGAAAGGCGAAAACGTCCTGAATGTCTTCGAGCGGAATTGCCATTTTTCCTTTGATTTCTGCAAAAAAAGGGCCGCAAAAAGTGTTCGAAATTCAGGGAAAAGTTCAGAAATGCAAAAGTTTCATATTTCACTGAAAATTCACCTTGACTCTGTACAGAATGAAGAAATGTGGTCGCTTGCTTCTCGCTCGCCGCCTCCTTTCCCTTCGATGATTCATTTTTATACAAAAACGTGCGCCTGTGAAACAATATTAATATTAAAGTGGGCGGGGCGAGCGACGATGACTCATTTTTTGTTTTGTTTTTTGTAACGCCTTGGGAAGCAGGCAACACAAAAAATCGATCCAAAATAATGATATTTATTGTTTGTCTTCTCTCTTTCTAATAAAATACAAAACTACACGTGGCGAGATCTGTGTCAAAATCGGGTGGGCGGTTGGGTTCAGCAGCATCAGGGGGGACCGTTTTTACAAGTATATAGGAGAGGGGCAGTGTACAAATAGGCGAAGGACTACGGGCGGTCTCTGCTAGTAACATTTATCCGTGACGTGGCACTTTTTTCGTGGCGTCCAGCTCTTGTTTCAACGATTTCACCTTCTTGATGCGGTTCGTCACCTCGGAGAGCAGCGATTCGGAGATTGATTCGCGCAGGTGCTGGTCGACGGGCATCGGGATGATCTGAAAGTATGCATGGCCTAGAAAACGCTCGGCCGTCCCGGACTACTCACCTTTCCGTTCTTGAAGCACTGCGAATCGCGTGCCAACGAGCACTTTCCGCAGCTGTCGCGGCAATTCTCGGACATAAAATCGGCCGATTTGCCGTGACACATCTTGTCGGCCTTCCACGCCTTGCAGTTCACATGACGGTCGGCGCACGCGTCGCTCGTGTTGTAGCCCGGCGTGCACGTGTGGCAACTCGCCTGGCAGTACTGGCTCATAAACTCGGGCTCGCGTTGGCAGCCGCCCGTCTTGGCCCACGCGTCGCAGCACGGCATCCGGTTGTAGCAGTCGACGAAGAGCGGCGCCGTCATTTTGACGGTGATGCGTTTGATCAGCGGCACGCGTTCCACTTTTGTTCCGTTTACGGTCATCGCGCGGTCGAGGTCGAGCGGAAGAGTGGAGTTTGCGTGCGTTCGGGCTCCCTTCATGCGGGCCGCGAAGTTCTGAACGATCGAATTTTGTTGGCAAACATAAAGTCGATAATTTGCGCTCCGAACTTACCGCATTCACACACCGTCCCCACCAGCATCTTCCAGCGTAGCACGCGTCGTAGTTCTCGAATCCGCGGCAGTTTCCGTTCATTCGAATCTTCGAGACACAGTGCGGGTACCTGAAACTTTTTTATTCCTTTTTTGTTCTTTGAACCTTCTCCCTCTCACCCTCTGGTATCGCAGAACAAGTAGGGCGATCCGCACGTGGGGTTCTGATGCGAGCACGTGGCACGCGGGGCGTAACGGTACATTTGATCGGTGTACGAGTTGGAGAGTCCGTCGCGGTTCTGCAAGTACGGGAAGGGCCGCATCGGCGCGTAGCTAAAGTGTTGCCAGTTGGCGCACGTCGGGTGATCGGCCGAGTAGGCCTGCTCGCGGAGCCATCTCGGCTGCTGCAACTGGCGCCACAGCTCCCAGAGGTAGTCGACGAACGAGTGGTGCATGAAGAAGACCGGCTCGTTGGCAGACGTGCTTGGCGGCTTCATGTCGCCGCCCATCCAGAGATGGATGTTCGAGTGCGAGTACTCGATCGCGCCGTAGTTGTTCGGGTATGGACATCCTGAAAGTTTCGCAATTTTTTTTAAAGCTCGTTCCTCACACCCCTGGTGTCAAAGACTCATAGTTATGCCCCCCCTCCGAGGGTCAGACTAATAAACGTCCGCCGCCTATTTTTCAATGAAAGGTGTTGAAACCAGTTTGAGGAGGCATACACAAAAGAATTGAATTGAGACACACATGCATCTCTGATTGCGGGAAGGAAGGAAGGAAAGAAGGGCAGTAGCAGTGGGAGTGGGAGGAGAGGAAATGATAAGTTTCGACACGATGTTTTCTCGTTCGTACCTGGCTGTGGTGCCGTGTACGCCAACGTGTTCTCGATGGTGTTCTGCGCCACAATCGTGTTCACCTGATTCTCGTTGAACAGCTGACCTTCGGCTCCCAGATTTCTAAACTTGTGGTGCTTATATGCTAGAATTATGGATGACGGTACCTGAGAATGGTGGATCTTCCCTCCAGAGTTCTCCAATACGCGAACGGACCGGTGATGACGTTGCCATAATAGTCGGTGCCGCCCACAAACAAATCCGAGAACATGATCGAGTCTCGCGGGTCGGGAAGGTACGAGTCCATGACGGAATCCCAGTACGGAATCGAGACAAGCGGGTCGACCATGCGCAATGCGATTTCCACTCTTTTGAGGTACTCTCTGTGCCACGGCAGGAAGCCTGGCCCCGAGTGGGCTCCGGAGCCGACGCCCACTTCAAGATGCTGACGGGACAGACGATCGTACTCTCCGTTGCGCTTCAGCGTGTTCAGCGCGTTGTGCCATCTTCTTCGCTCGTCCTCGCTCATCATTCGGTACTCTTTGCGCCACGACATTTGCAACACGACGCCATTCGCCAGCACGCATTGTCCATTCACGTTGCGACCCTGTAATAGTAATAGGATTTGGGGGAGGGGAGGAGGTGCTGGCCTTGAGGTTGTTGGGACGAAAGAGATAATCCCGAAGAAACGATTCGAACTTTTGACCGACTATTAGTATTGCGACTCACATTGAAGAAGGGACAAATACAGAGAAGAGTCATGCAGTCGTACGGGTGGTAGGCGGCTTGACCACGGGCGTTCGCTGGCACCGGGATCGGTTGGAGCCAGTTGGGCACTTGGTTCGGACGTGTTTGACGGACGGATTGGCGGGCTAGACGGCGGCGGGTCGCAAGGTCCATACGACGGATCTGCAAAACGTTTGTGCTTTGGAAACTCGCTCGAACGCATTGGAATAGCAAACTTTGGCAAAAATGCTATACAGAGTTTTGTTAAATAGATCTATGCTCAACTATCTAATTTGGCTCTCAAACTCACCATCAAGCAAGTGCTCTTCAAGTGTTTCGGAGCGTCGGAGCAGTCCCTCGGCGGCTCCCTCCACCGCTTATTGTTCAACCGATGGATATTTTTGTCGGCCACCGCCGGCCGCTTCGTCGCCGGTCCCTTGACCGTCGTGGCCGTTCCGCCGACCACCGAATGTCCTCGCTTCGTTTGTGATTTCTCGGCGAGAATCACAATTATCGTCGTCGTGCATAATAGCGCCAAAATTGGTGTCCAACGCATTTTCGGTTGGCAGTTGGCTGTTGGCGGCGCTGAAAAAATTTCCAGTTTTCCTACAGACACAAAAAAAAATAGAAGAGAAAAACATGGTAAGAAGTGAGTAATGACACCTCTCCGACAACGTCTTTTATCAGGAGAAGCGAGAAGAAAAGAGTCGTCTTCATAGTTGTGAGTCATTTGTGAAAAATGCGAGCAATGTAGGTTCCACACGTGGGCAAAGCATCGAAAAAAAAGAGGGGAAAAGTGAGTGACCTCTTGGCACGTACTCAATTTCAGAGAGGACAACTAACATGAGGGGGGGGACGCCCAGCCCAGCAGAACTGGTATTTGGCCGCCATTGTAAACCTTTGAGGGACAGAGATGGGCGGCCCCTTTCTCGAGAAATATGTGCGAGACGCAAAAAGTGTGTTGACCTTTGGGCCTCCTCAAAAAAAAAAAAGATTACAATCGTTAGCGGAACCTCATATTTTTGGGACCAAAACAACTTGTTGGCAAGATAAGAAGTTTGACGAAAAACAGTTTGTGTTGTTGCAAACCGGTGTCAACAATCTCGAGATCGGATGATATCAGGCGGGCGGGAAGGTTACCCAAAATTTTAGCGAAAATTGCAATTTTCTTCGAGTTTTTTTTAGCTAGTACAAGCCGGAAAATGTAATTTGGAAACTGAAAATCACAAAAAAACACGACTTTTGAGAAGAACTAAATGTAGAGAAGCACCCGGTTGCTCGCGCTCATGTCACCGCTCTAGCAGCGATAACACTGACTGTGCGCGTGGTCGAGTGGTTTACGCTTTTGCATTTTAGCAATCTGGGCACCGGAGTTCGATCCTCGGGCTCGATTTTTTTCTTTTTCTTGATTGTTAGAGCAAGGAGAAAAGGGAAAAACCGAGGTAGAAGTAGTAATGCTCAAGTTTTGCAGCTTGCGCTTCTCGAATGAATGGTAACGTCTAGTGACCCGTGTCCGCTCTTTTATAGTGTCCACCTCCTTCGGTGAATTTGTACGTGCCTGTCGACCACTACAACCTCCCCCCACAACCAAATATTACACACTTCTCCTTCTTCTTCTTCTTCTTCTTCTTCTCCGCTGCCGGCCATTGTCTTTGTGACCCCCGATCGCAAAAAAGGAAGCGAGAGGAAGAAGAAGCTTACTTGTAACATACCAATTAGTGCTGATTCGTCAGCAATCTCAAGATGATGAAATTATTTTGGAATTTGGAAGTTCTTCGACGTTGAGCCGTTTTACCGAATACTCTTAATTTAGGACCATTTATCTCAGCTGCCAGTGGAGATATCAAAAAGTTGTCATTTGATAAAATATGCACAATGTCTTGATGAATATTTCATCAGTTGACACTTTTCTGATACCTCTACCGGCAACTGAGATACATCGTCTTGAACTTTTCTTCAACTTTTGGTCCTTTCTCGAACGGTACTTTGACGAGAGAAGTGAAGGCAATAAAAACGAGTAATTTGGAAACGGTTTTTAACGGTTTCAAAGGAAAACCACTTGGAAAAGTCATAGAATAGTTGTGGTCGAGAATAATGGCGGTTGGGAAACGAGGAAGGAAAAAAAGACCACGATTTTTGAGTTTTCCAATATTTAATTCAAGATGGTTCAAGTTTTATAGGGTTTGCGGACTTTTGGAGTCTTCTTCTACGGTGTTCAGAAGTACGTGAAATGTCGTAAAGGTGTTCGAGCTTCACGGATTACTGTAGATTGATTAGTCTGAAAACATCTCACGACTTGCTCTGATTCTCGGTGTTCTGAATGCTTTTAGAACCTATTCCAACCCGATTTTCCTCGTAAGTACCCCATAACTTTTAGCACAGAACCTTCCGGGAACCTCATCAATTTTTATCGCCCTCTTTCTTTCTTTACCTCAAATTTCACCCGCAAACGCCGAAAAACCGTCTTAAATTTTCATTTTCGATGAATCGAGTGGAATCGGAAGTGGCGAAACGGTCAGTCGGTTATCGAAGGTGTTTGGTTTCTGAACTTGTTTTTTCTCCCTTTTTCCTGGCAAAAATGTCGTGTTGTTGAAGTGTGGGTGTGTTCAAGTGGTTCAAACATCTCGGCCATACACTTGCATCGAATTTGACGACAACTTGCACACATTTTCGGACACTTCTGTTCTTTGGCCGAAGAATCGTTCGTTCTTCTGATTTTACACTGTTTTGGGCGAACAGGCGGGAATTCAAAAGTCAGTCGTTTGAAACAATAAAAAAATTGTTTTAATCAACACGTCAAAAATTGGACAAAGCTTTCTCGACCGCTCGATATTCCAAGGTGACTGGCCATTGTCCATTGCACGCGAATTACTTTCACAGAGACACAGATTCCATTGTCATCGGAAAGCGGCCCGCCCGAGTGTAATACGGTTTTTCGGCATGTGTCCATCTCGGCAGCAGAACAATGGCATCTCGGCCGACGCCGGCCGCGCAAATTTTTGCGGTTTTTTTCGTGGTAATTGGACTAGAGGGCATTCGAAAACGACATTGTTTGATTCGACGGGCGACGACGACGCATTTTCATCAAGGTCTTTTCTTTTCTGAATTTTTGGGCATGATGAAATGAGGTGGCGAGGCTATATTTGGAATCGGGAGAAGCTGAAGTGGAGAAGAACTTTGAACTTTTGATTTGCGAATTGCGTTTTCCGAAGAAAACTTCAACAAAAACGTTGCAATCACGCTTTATCGCTGATTTCCAGGCGAGCGGTTCCAGAAGGATTTTCTCTTGATTTGAGCGAAAAATTCGTGAAAAAGGACTGCTTTGACAAAAGTGTTGCATTTTTCTCTATACCTGGCCTAAAATGCGGTAAAAATGTAAGAGCGGCTGAAAATTCCGCAAAACTTCTCGAAATTCACATTCTGGACCGCTTGTGACACGTTGTCGAGGAATTCTAGCTTTTTTTCCAGAGTTTTCAGACTTTTTCAACAGAAACCAGCCATAATCTTACTGTAGCTGACGATTTCTGCAGTGTTCGTCAAATCTGGTGCATTGCGGACGTTCACTTTTTCGCTCACTTTTTCGAATTTTTCAGTTGAAAATCGCGGCTTCCAGTGTCGTAAATGAGTAATCTGTTCGCGTGTGCCATCTGCGGACTCTGTCGGTACAATCACGACGTCGTGCGGGCGCCGAAACTGACGACGGGCGGTCGAAAAGAGGACTGGCACGTGGCGATCGGCGAAAATGCGATGAAACGAATAAATAAAGTGAACGCGGCGTTCATTTGCGTCGAACATTTCGGCGATGTGAAGTCGACGTTTGATAAGGACGGAAAATTGAGAAAACGGGCGGTGCCGACGTGGATTTCGGCGGGCGAACAGCGGAAAAACGATGATTATTTCAACGATCACGGATATTTCAAATTGGATAAAGTGCCAGAGAGACAGGATCGCATGCTGAACGTTGTTAATTGCTCGCAGTGCAGTCAGATGGTCCCAAGGTTATAAAAATGTTAATAAACTTCAATTTTTCAAGTTTCTGTTCAGAAATGAGATGACTTTGCATGCCGAAACGCACGCTCCGGTGTACATGAATCTTTACGAGCATCTCTGTAAAGAACACGTAAGAAATCCGGTAAACCACTCAAAAAACGAAAGCGTTTCGAAAAAATCTGAAATTCCAGAAGCCGCCGACCGAATTATTCTCGTCGGAATGCATCAATTGCTCGAATATTCAGTCGAGAGCGGCTTACACACTGGCGCAATCCGAGGCCGAACGATGCTTTCCAATGTTCAAATTTGTAGGCTTAAAAAAAGAAATAAGCTTTTTTCGCAATTTTTTGTTGCAGAATCTGATTGAGCAGCGCGAATTCCGTCATTTCACCTACATGCTGATGCCCGAACTTCGTCGAGAATATCTAAATGTGAAGATTTTTTGTTAAAAAAAATACAAAAATTACAATATCATTTCCAGGCACGCCCACATCGCTGCGGACGGGAAAAAGAGAACGATCCGCCGGGAAAAAAGGTGAAAATTGAGGAGGAATCGTCGGATTTTGATTTAGTCGATATTAAAGAGGAGAGTTCGTTTGATGAAGAGCCCGAAAATGCGGAAACGGACGATGATTACGGTAGGCTGGGTCTCGCAGCGAAAATTTCCATTTTTACCCGAATAACCGTGAAAATAGTCTTGAAATTTGAAGAAACTTACAACCAATTGTTTTCCTACGGAGCGCACTTTCTTTCAGTTCCATCGGAAGAATCGGACGACGAGGAGGAACTGGAGAAGGAATGGAGAATGGAAAACGGCGACAAGAAGAGCTACCGGGCGCGCGATGTTCCGTGCCTTTCACTGGAAGACGAATACGACGAGGACCCGCATCCGACGCTCGAGAAGCTCATTCAAATCTGCGAGCGTCTCGGAGTGTGCCAGTTCCACACCATTTTCAACTTTTACGAAGTCCGCAGAAGACTAGAGCGTGTGAAGTGTGCGAAAGGGGACACTTGCTCGCGGATCCGCAGATTTATGGAGATGGAGAATCTGCCGATCGAACTGATCCGATTGGATCCCGAACAGAAACAGAAGATGTTGGAGGCGTTTGCGCTGCACAAAGAGACTGGAAAGAACTTCTCGACGGGCTTCTCCTATATGGTACAACTACAGTAATCCTATGCAATTCTACTGTTATCTGACTTTTCAGCTTGCTGATCAGCTGAAGTTGGCTCCGAATTTTGTGCGTTACGAGTACAAAAAGTTCAGGGTAGGATTTTTTCAAGATTAGGCAAAAGGCCGACCTACTTTTAAACCACTTGCAATATTCCGATCATATCCAAACTTTGAAGACTTGTTAGACTTGGATTGAAGTATTTTGAGTCCATGGTTCAAACCGATCCGATTATCCAGTCCAGAGATATACTGATTTAAAGAAAAACCCGGGTTTTCTTTAGATCACCATATCTTCCAGATAATCCGATGGGTCTGAAACTTGGTCCCAAAATACTTCAATCCAAGTCCGAAAAGCCTACAAAGTTTAGATCCGATCGGAATATTGCAAGTGATTCGAAAGCCCAGACCCCTCGAATTTCCAGCGCCAGGGACCTCCAACGACGCCCGCGCAGAAGAGATTTCCGGTCGTCCGTCGATACACTGCAGAAATGACGCGTATTCTCGAGGAGGCGTTCGAAACCAAACATTTGTTGGCTCCGGATCGAGAATGGCCACGTGGAATGCTCAAATTGATTGGCAAAAAGGCGGGAATCACGGCGGAACAAGTGTCGAATTGGATGGGAAAGAGAAAGTTGAAGAGCCAGGCACAGGTGATTTTCGAAATTGTCAATTTTTGAATGTTTACCTAATTTGGCGATTTCAGACGCCTCCAGAACGTCGTCACACATTCACTCGTCACGAATTCGAGACGCTTCACAGCGAATTTCTGAAGAACGCCTACCCGAGCACAATTGCGCTCAAACAACTCGCGGAACATTTGAACTTGGCGCCGTTGACCGTCATGCGCTTCTTTGACACTCAACGAACGACGGTCCGAAAACAGAGGGATCTGAAGACGTTGACGAAGGATTTGGCCGAAATTCCCGAGGAAAAATGCGCGGTCTTGAGAGATTTCTACGAGAAGAAGAGCAATTATGCGAACGAACGAGTTGCGGTGAGCCGGAAATCTCTGGAAAAAATGGTTAAACTTATATGAATTTCAGTTGGCCGAAAGTCTGGGACTGTCGTATCAGCTGGTGACGCACTGGCTGGAACAGTACAAGAAAAGTGTGTCAAAGGGCCGAGGAAGATCGATGAAAATGAAGAACTCTTCCGGCGAACACATCGATTCGGACTGCTCCGAAGAGCTTTAACTTTCTCTCTGTTTTTTGTTGTTTTTGTTGCATTTTGTCATAGTTTTATGAATTTCTGTGGATCGGAAATCGTCGCAGTGTCCGGATAAGAATCTTGCGCGAAACGAGGTCATTTATTGTTTTTTATATAAGGCATTCTCGCTGCAAACACTTTTGGAGACCTTGGCCCAAATTGTGAGAACACTCCCTTTACGCTGTTTTGTTTTACCTCGTTTCAACTGGTCTAGACCACTTTTACTTAATTTCTGTACAACGCCAAACACAGTTTTCTTATTCGAAGACGCAGACGACGAAGACCGGTCAGAGAGGCTTCTAGAAGCTTCCACGAAACGAATATAAAGACGCAAATCGTCTCGCGTTGAGAACAGAAAACAGAAAAAACCGCGGCCGGTTTCGTCTAATTCTCTGCGCAACGCATCGAGAAGATGAATAAGGAAGTCTTCCGCTTTTTTTGAAAGACATTTTTCGATTGTCGTCGCTTCTAAACGAGACGATTCTTTTATTCATCGAAATCGATTTCAGAATGCGACACCTCGTCGCGTTTTCCCTCTTATCAGTGGTTTTAATGGCCGATGAGACGACGGAGAAGGAGAAACTGCCAAAGTGCGAACACGTGGATCCTTATGAGAAGTATGTCGTTCATTTTGACGTTATAACAATATCCTATTCAAATAAATTTTCAGTCTTGAAGGATGGCTGGCGTTGGGAAGTGTCGAGGAGCGGAAGTGTAATCACACGACGGTTAAGGAGGATTTGACCGAAACGGTGAGCGTTTTTTGTGGTGAAAAGTGCGAAAAGTTTCTGAAATTCTCTGTGCAGCACTGAAGCACGTGAAAAGTAGGGCTACCGGCTTAGCCGTTAACTCTTAGAACTACAGTACTTCGCAAAGAGGCTGTATGTAAAGTTTTATTCTTAAAAAGTGGAGTACCAGGCATGAAGACTTCAGAAAAAACAACAAACAAACAAAAGTATGCATTTCAGGAGAACAAGAAGCACGAGTGGGGAGTCAAAAGTTTCGCGTTTGATGGACTGGCTTCAGAAAAGTTGGGACCGCTCAGAAAGGTCGGAAAGAAAGCGCATCAACTGTAAGAATTGCTCCATCTGCCCACAAATTCTCTCTTTTTCTCTTTCAGTTGTGAAGAAGAGAAATACGACGCCACATTCTCCACATCGGTCATTGTGATCCATCACAACGAGGCGCTCTCGACGCTTCTCCGAATGATCAACGGACTCATCGAGTTCACCCCTTCCTCGCTGCTCAAACAGATTGTGCTCTACGAAGACGCATCCGATGAGGACCACGTGCTCACCGAGCACTTGAAAAAGTTCGCGAAGCTGAAGGGATTGGAGGATAAGCTGGTGATCGAGAGGAGCGAGTACAGACAAGGACTCATTCGGGCCAAGGTCCACGCCTCCCGTCTGGCCACCTCAGAAGTCATCGTTTTCATGGATTCGCATTGCGAAGTTGCTGAACGATGGCTCGAACCGCTTCTCCAGCCGATAAAAGAGAATCCAAAGAGGTACCGCGCGCTTTTTAGCTATTCTCGAAGACATTGAACTTTTACAGTATCGTTCTGCCAGTCGTGGACCTGATCAACCCGTCTTCCTTCGATTATTCGCCATCAATGGTGGCGAAGAGTGGATTCGATTGGGGACTCACGTTCAAATGGATCTACCTGCCATGGGAGTACTTTGAGACGCCGGAGAACAATGTCAAACCATTCGAGTAAGCGCTTTGATATAATACAATTCCCAGTCGGTTCCATTTTTCAGTTCACCAGCCATGCCAGGAGGTCTTTTGGCGATCAGAAGAGAATATTTCGTCGAACTGGGCGAATACGATATGGGAATGGAGATCTGGGGATCCGAGAACATTGAGCTCTCGCTCAAGGCGTGGCTCTGCGGCGGTCGCGTCGTGGTGGCTCCGTGCTCGCGCGTCGGCCACGTCTTTAGAATGCGCCGCCCGTACACGTCGAAGCCCGGCATGGACACTGCCCTTTACAACGCCGTCAGAGTCGCGAAGACGTGGCTCGGAGCCTATGAGGTATGGGTGGTTCCAGATTAACTGAATATCGGGTTTCTCTCCAGAAGAACTTCTTCGCCGCAAAGCCACGTGGCACCAAGATCGTTTTCGGCGACATCAGCGAGAGTATCAAAGTGCGCGATCGGCTGAAATGCAAGGATATGAAGTGGTTCATTGAGAATGTGTATCCGGAACTTGAGCCAAAAGTTCACGATGAACTCTAAACTGGTAATAAATAACAAGGAAATGAAATGTAGAGAAGAGATTTTGAATAAATATTTATTTTCTTTTACTGTAGGCCCGGTACTATAGACAAGCAGTCTGTGATATGAGTCAATTAAAAATAGAAAATGTATTATTAGCCGGTACAGAAAATTACAAACGACAAGGAGAGGTATAACCTAAATATGACACCAGGAAATTCAAATAAAAGACACGTAGTTAGATAATAGGCTTTAGAATCAATCAATCAAATATTATAGTTTCTTGCAAGGCTCTGGCGGCGTGTTCTCGCAAGGATCCAACGACAGTTCAATCATTTCGGGCGACTCTTCGTCCGTCCGAACGACGGCTCCAGAAGACTCCAGACTCGGCTCCGAAGACTCGACGTACACAAAATCGGTCCAGTTCAGTCGGCGTCCACACACCGGCACCAGGGGTCCTTTGGCTTTCGGAGCCTTGTACTGCAGCGCACACTTTATCGAGTTCTTGAACGTCACGTCGTTCAGATCCAACGGTCCGGGTCCGTAATCGCAGTTGTCGAGAAATCCGAAAAGATCGCCGAGGTCGATGAGTGGGCTCGGCTGCGGACGTCTTCGAATGAGGGGCGCTGGCGGCGCCTTCAGCACCGCCACCGGGAACCTTCGTTTGTTGTACTCCGATCGGCTGTTCTTCATCAGTTCCATCTTGAGTGCTTTCACTGCCGGGTTCTGGAAAAGAGGATTTCCCGAAATTCCCGATTATCTCCACTCACCCTATAAGAACAGACGGCGATGAATTCGGTTTCCGTGAAGCACACGGATTGCACTTTCGCAAAACGGTTGTCGAATTGTCGATAGATGCTCACGACGGGCACGTACTTGAACTGACTGCGAACGTGAAGCTGAAAAAGGGTGAAAGTGTGTCAAAGTGTGTTATTCCACTCACCATCGTCTTCTCGCACTCTTTGATCTCTTCCGCAGTGAGCATTTTGGCGGGTCGATTGTGCAGCAGCGGCACGTTGAACAGTTTCGTGTCGACTCGGATGCCGTCCCTCATCATCGCCTCTCCGCACTTTTTCATCACAATCACCTCGTTGGTGATCATCGGACCGCCGATGCTCATCAGTTGCCGCTGCCATTCGCGTTGCGCATTCCGCTCGATGTACTTGAACGGCGACGCCGACTGGCACTTCAGATAGATTGTGATCACGTAGAACGCGTGCGGCGCCAGGTTCGCGATCGTGTACTGAAGCGGCGGGCACATGTGCGTTCCCTTGTTGCACGTCGTCATCTCGTTGAGCAGCCCGTCGAACTGGTGCCAGACGGCCGAGTTGGACAGCGTGACCGTCAGTTTCGGGTGTTTCATCAGCTGGTTACGCATCAGGATCGGAGTTTTCGGCCGCGCTGGAACATTTCGGTTTCCTAAAGGCACATTGGCCGGCCCGGGCTTTTCGTTGGCCGACCATTCACCTGGACTTTTGAACCAGTTGCAATATTCCGATCGGACCGAAACTTTGCAGGCTTCTTGGACATGGGTTGAAGCATACTGGGACCAAGTTCCAGCTCGATCGGATCATCCGGTCCCGAAATATGTGGATCATTGGCCGAAATTGGCCGGAAGCCCGGGTTTTTTGGAAAAAATCGGCCAATGATCCACATATCTCGGGACCTGATGATCCGATCGGGCTGAAACTTGGTCCCAGTGGCCCTCAATCCAAGTCAAAGAAGCCTGCAAAGTTTGGGTCCGATCGGAATATTGCAAGTGGTCCAAAAGTCCAGGTCAATGGTCGGCCAACGAAAATCCCGGGCCGGCCAATTGCCCAGCCCTGATCTCAGCGGTCTGTAGAGATATCAAAAAGGTGTCAACTGATAAAATGTGCACAATGTTTTGATGACAAATTTGTCAGTTGACAACGGTTTGATATCTTTAACGGCAGCTGAGATAGCTCGTACATTCTTCAAAGTTTCCCGCTCTTATCTTAAGATATCATAGGCACCTTGAAGGGCGTCCTTCGAGACCATACAAAAGTTGTGATTTCAAATTTCAAAAGTCTCCCAACTCACTATTGAACACGCCGGGTTTTGCACTTTGGCGCAGCTCCGCTTGGGGTGGAGAAGGATCTCGAGACGGTCCGGGAACGTTCTCTTTGCCAGACTCCTCCTCTTCCCCCTCTGGCTCCGGCTCCTCTTGCGCCGCTTCCGTCTGCGGCGGGTCTGACTCTGATTCTGGCTCGGCCTCTGCTGTTGTCTCCCGCTTTTCGACACTCTCGTTGCTCGACGGTGGCTCCAGAAATCCGTGCGAACTATTGAGGAACGGATCGACGGGAAAATCGGACGGCGTGTAGAATTGCATCTGTTAATGTAAGTTAACAAAATCAATCGATAATGCAAGAATCGATGAGTGAGAACGGCAAAAAATGAGCGAGCGAGAATGAGCGAGAATGAGTGAGAATGAGTGAGAATGAGGGAAACGGAGAAAGGAGGGGGGAGAGGGACAGTGCGCGAACAGATGGTCACAAAAGAGGACGGTCTGTTTGCCGCCCCCGTCTCCAGAGGGCGGAGCAGTGGCTGCGGTGTCCGGACATTGTTATTACGCTCATATAATAGAGCAACAAACAATAGATCTTTATGGAAATATGGAAATGACAAACTCTTTTTGATCTACACCCCGTTTCTCCGCCTAAACAGTGTGAAAGAGATCAAAAACTCGGAATAATTGGCACTGTGGTGGAGATCGAAAAGATGCGCGGAAAAGGAAGATCTCTTGTCCTGCCGTGACCTTGCCCTCGCCAGTAACATCTTCGAAGTTTGCACAACAACACACAAGTGCTTCGAATTTCGCCTCCGAAATGGACAACATCCTCCGTCAGAATCACAAGAAGAAGGTGGAACAATTCGAGAATGACATTAAAAAAGAGTTTGAGCAAGTGAAAAAGTGCTCTTTCTTGGCAGACACCTCATCACATTCGCATTGTTTGCAGTGAAATGGATTCGATTCAAATCGACGTCGAGCCGAACGACGTGGAAATCACTTCGGACGACCGTGGCTACTGGGAACACGACATCACGAATCGGTCGCCGTTCGCGCTCGTCTGCCGCGTCCGCGCCACCAGCTCCTACCTGCTCACCGTCAGTAAAAACGTGTTCCTGCTCGAGGCCAACGACACGTTTATGCTGAAAGTGCTGCGTGCCGCCCATCCCATCCGCTCTCATCATCTCAAGTTCGACGTCGTCAAGTATTGTGCGACTTTTCATCCAATCAATTTGCATGACTACTTCTCCGGACCGTATCCTTACAAAACGTTCGTCGTTCGCTATCACGGTGCACCCAGATATTGGTACACAATTGAATTTTGATCGATACCAATCTACCGTAATCCAGGTCGGACGCGTTGGAGCTCAATGATTGGTTCATGAATCACGACGATCTGAAGGAGATGATGGACGAGGAGATGAAGAAGACGTCGAAGGAGAAGAAGTCGTCGCAGCAGGACGAGACGGACAAACCGGCGCGGGAGCAGGAGAGCAGTGACAGTGAGTACGAAGAGGCGATGGACGAGATTCCCGACGGCAATACGGTAGGAAGCACATGTGCAGCAAAAGCAAGAAACAATTTTAGGCCAACGTGAATCTGACGAACGTGTTTCTGATGGCGGTGCAAGATGTGGACGGAGACAAAAAGAGCAGCGGATCGGACAGCGACGAGAAAGACGACGAGGCGGCGGCGCCGGACCCGAACGAATTCGACGGATGGGGCGAGAGTTTGAATGGATAATGTTCAACAGTTTCACAAATTCATTTCATTGCGATGAAAGAGTGGGAACGGCGGCGGGAAGTGTGAAAATGGGCCCGGATCCGTCCTCAACTGTTCCCGTTTCGACCGTCGACAGGAGGCCCGGATTGGCGCGGATAAAGTCGCCGACAAGCGGAGCACTCTCCGGGTTCCGCGCGTTTTGCGCCGTCTCGTGCGCCAGCGCCTTCACTTTCTCGATCTCGTCTTGGTCGTAAATCGGAGCATCGATCTCCTCCTCCGATTCGGGCACGTTCGTACCCGTGATCATCGGCGCGAGAGCTGCAAAATGTGAAGAAAAATGACAGTTTGGCTCAGAAGGTTACCTGTCGCGTGGAATTCCGGTTGCATCGCGTTGCCGAGCGGTGCTCCGTGCGCCGTAAAACCAATGGAAACGAGGGCGAAAAGAACGGAAATCGCATTCATTTCGAGCAATGCGTCGGAGCCCGGGGCGCCACAAGGCTTTATAAGAGCTCAAGAGCTCCAATAGGCTCCGCCCCCATTTTCGCTGGCTGGCTAAACTCAATTTCCGAAAAGTTTCCAACCAAAATACATTTATTCAGTTATTTAATCAAAAAGTCGCGATGATCAAAAGGATCCAGCTAGAAATGATCGGCATTGAACTGGAAGTCTTGGTCGTGGTCTCGACCGGAATCGGGACTACTGTAGTTGCTGTCAGGGATACGGTAGTTGGCACTTTTGTAGTTTTTATGGTGGTCATGCCGATTTCACCGATTAGTTCTGGAAACAAGTTTAGGCCCGAGTGCAACGAAATTGAAAACCTACGCGCTGTTCCTTGAAATCTTTCGAATCCGAGTAGGGCAAAGAGGAGAAAACAATGAAAAAGTGAAACTTTTCCCATCATGAACGGGAAAAAAGAGGATGTGCGCGATTGTGGTCGACCAAAATCAATCCGAATGGATTCATCACAATTTCCGCGTTTTCCCACCCAACTTTTGGCAATTTCCCATGCTTCCGGTTTCCTAATCTTTTCGCCAAAAGTACGCGTGATCAGATATGTAATATTCATTCCTGAAACACACAACATTGAACATTTTCAGTGTTGTGCACTTTTTTGAGGGGGGGGAATTTGAAATTTTGGTTGGTCGTCAAAGTAATAGAATTTTGGGAGTTGGGTAGAGATTATAGTAGGCCCCGGAGAGGCGAGAGGTTACGGTATTACACAGAGACTATTCGCTTTCGAATCTACACTTTTAGCGGGATTTGAGGAAGAAATTACGAGAAAACCGAGTGGGAGAAATGAACAAAATATGGCAAATTTGGGAGGGGATGGGTGGGTGGGTGGAGAAAATAAACAGGGAGGAGCTCAAAATAGAAACGCGCACAAAAAAGAAATAAAAACAGGTATGAGTAGAGTGGGTAACAATGAATTTCCTAAGTGCGTGTGGGGAACCGATCGATATCACATTTTCAACATCAAAAGAGTATTCGAGGAGCAACTATGCACAATGAGAAATGGACGAAGAAGACGACGACGACGACTAAAACGGTAAAATTGATGGGCGAGAACACGAGATTTCAGCGGAGATTTTCTGGCGAGAGTTTTTCAAGTCGAATGGGGAAGGGAGGAGAGCATGGAAAATTAGGGGGCCGGCGTCTACATTCCGTCCTTTTCCTTTCGGCAATACAGCTCTTTCAGCGTTTTCAGCTCTTCGATCAGCGCTTTGTTCTGGTTTTCGAGCACTGACACGCGGTTCTCCAGACACTTCACGTATTCCTGAAAAAAAAACGAGTTGTGGGGCGAACGTTAGGGGGAAAAATAGGGTTCTAACTGTCTGATGGGCTAGGCTTTTCGAAGGCCAAGACTTTGACCCACTTACAATTATCTGATCGGACCCAAACTTTGCAGGCACCTTATTCTTGGATTGAAGCACTTTGGGACCAAGTTTAAGGCCAATCGGATCATTTACTTTCGGGATATGACGATTAGAAGCCAAAGAGGCCAAAATTTTCGCAGAAACCCGGTCTCTTCGGCTTCAAATTCAGGACCTGATAATCCGATCGTTCTATAACTTGAACCCGAAATACTTCAATCCAAGTACAAACAGTCTCCAAAGTTTGGGTCCGATCGGATTATTACAACTGGGTCTAAGTTCAGGCCACCAAAAACCTTCGAAAAGCCTGTTTTTCTAGCTTTTACAGTAAATCCATAGGGTTTGAGCTTCGTAGAAATATGTGATCTTCAAAACTTTACGGCAATATTCTAACCTTCTTTTTCCTGCGGCACTCCTTGGCGGCCTCGCGATTCTTGAGCAGCCGGACCTGTCTCTTCCGGTTCGACTCGTCCTCTCCGCCGTGCATCGGTCCTCCGCCCATCCGCATCGATCCGCCCTGCATCGTCGGCGACGGACTGCTACTGTATCCGCCCGACAACATCGGCGACTGCCAATCCGTCGTGCCGAAATCTAAACGACCACGGGAGGCGTTAAAAAGGAGCCGAAAGACCGCGATTCTTACCTGAAAAACTGACGGCGTCCATGCCAGGCACCGGCTTCATCGCGTGTCCGACGAGTCCGGAGGTTCCCTCGATCGACTGCGACGGTCCCTGCGGCGGCTGTGCTGGCTGCGTGGTGCTGGGTGGCTGGGCGGACATTCCGGTCAGACCGCTCGACGGTCCCGGCACTCCTCCTCCGACGACGCCTCCGACGCCCAGTCCGTTTTGGGGGCCTCCTAGAAATGCTGGGAAGGATTAGTCAAGGGGGCGGTGATCCGAGAAGGACGCATATCTCAGCAGCCCGAAAAGGTATCGAAAAGTTGTCAACTGATCAAATGCACATTACAAGATGGTGTGCAATTTATCAGTCGTCAACTTTACGATATCTCCACTGTTTTCATTTTAATGAAAATTGTGTAGGTCCTATCAAAAGCTAACCAAAACCGTCTCCGTTTCCCGTTTTCCGTTTCCGGTTGACACTAACAGTTTATGATCGCTCTTTACTCTCTCCATATTCTCTGATAAGTGTTCAAATGACTTTTTGCCAAAAATAACTTTCCAAGATTACTGTATTTTTCTTCTCAGGTCGAAAATCTCGTCAACAAAGTTTGCAACAAAGGAAACACGATATTACATTGCATCAAAGTGGCGTGGCGATCGCAGCGATCAGTTCAAAACACACAACCGGCAATTCGCTTTTCGCGTGCGAGGAACTTTCGAGAAATTGAACGCGTCCTACCGTTTTGACGGCCAAAACTCAACGATTCCATCATTCCAGAAATAATCAGCAATAAAGGAAAAAGAAGAAGAAGAAGAAGAAGAAGGACTGTAGGAGAAGAGTGAGAAACAGGCGAATAAGAGAGAGAGAGAGAGAGAGAGAATAGTCTCTGGCCTTCTCTTTCTCCCTTTTCTCTCCGATTGTCACACCAAAAAGTGACGTCAGATTGTATATGAAAAGAGAGAGAGAGAGAAAGAGACTGTCCGGGAGCGCCCGCGAGAAACAGATTGTCGCTCGGGAAATGATGATAGCGAGACGCGCAGGCACTCTTTTCTGATAACAAATCTCTCTCTCTCTCTCTCTCTCTCTCTCTCTTTCTGTACCTCTTTTTCTCTCTTTTTTTCGCAAAAATTTTCCCGAAACTCGAGGTTTGAACGCTACCCAGCACACTAGACTTCAAATTGTTTTGACTACTCAAATTCAAACAATTTTAGTTTAGGACACGGAAAATAGTGCGATAGGAGCGTATCTCCGCGCCTCATTTGGACATGTATGGATGCGGCTACGACGGAGAAGAAGGAAAAGAAGAAGAAGAAGAAGAAGAAGAAGAAGAAGAAGAAGAAGAAGAAGAAGGTCTAGATTCTCCGCTATCACACGCCTATCAGAACGGCGAAACCGCGAAACAATTCGTCTATGATATGCTTTGAGGAAGGGATCCACAATTAGTAAATTTGCAAAAAGTGCACTAGATGAGGGCTACGGAAGTTTTCGCTTACTGTGCAGAAAGTACAGATTTTTAGGTCTCAGGTATCCGAAAAATTGGACCAAAAAGTATATTGCATGGCACGGGGTCATTTTCCCTCCTACTCATATTGCCTATTGCTCTTCCCTTGTCAGAGAACGGTGGTGGACTCGTCTAATGACTGTAGCACCTCAAAACCTTCCCCCTGTCTTGTGGTATCTTTCGGCAGCGTCCCAACTTTTCGGATACCTGTTGTTGACCTTACGTCTCTAGATTATACAGTCCAATTCTACTTCATTTCCTACTCTGGGACCCTAACCGCGCCTTTTCTCACCTGGTTTCGGCTGTGACGCCGCTGCGATGGCGGCGCTGAAGTCAAAATCGCCATTGATGGGCGGGAACGGAAGGACGAGCTGCTGGTTGGCCAGGAGCGACGTTCCGAGCGGCGATCCGTACGGCGAGACGGCGCTGCTCGACGTGACCACCGGAATTCGGGGCGGTTGTGGAGGGACGCCGCCGCCGGGTCCGGCGCTCGACGCGATTTGTGTGGGCGGCGGTCGCATCACCGACTGAAAATACTGACGGGGAGTTAGAGAATGTGCTCCGGTTATTCTATAAATATTCAGCCAACGTTGTCTACGAATCACCCCGGGTAACCGAGTGAAACAAGAAACAAAATGTTCTCCGTCCAAAAATTGTGCCTCGAATGACGTGAATGTCCGGAATGTGCATAGGGAAAAAAGTGAGGGTGGATGCGGAGAGCAGGTGCACAATATCCCGTCATTCCGTTTCAACACACACTTGTTTTCAGCTTTTGGAAATCTATTGGCGCTCAAACCCTACTCGTTTGATTTTGAAAAAGTGCACATGTTCAATTCTTAATTTTCCCGTAACAACTTTCTTTTTTGACTGACAAGAAGCACTAGGAAAATGAATGTTACCTGTAATGGTGATGCGTCGACGCTCGACGGTGGCGTCTCCTCCGGCTCTTTCTTCATCACTTTGTCCGCCGTTTCCAAGTCTTTCAGTATCATGCTGAAAATCGAAAAGTACACGTTTGATCGTGTTTAATTTTAGGGTTATTCAGTGTATGTTCTGAATAACCCAACTATTGTTCAACTACAACTATCAACTCTGAAACCCCATCATCAGAATACACTCACTTGACTACAAAACCTTCAGCTCCGTTCACAATCATAACACCATTTTTGGGGGCGCACAATTTTTGGGCAGTGCAAAAAGTAGTAGTGGGGGGCCGCACGACCTTTTCTGGCCAGTTGTAAACTGTCCCCGATGGGGCGATGACGACACTTTCGGCCGAGTAACAGGAAGACGGAGAGAAAGAAGAAGAAAAAGAAGAAAACTGATAAAAATTGATAAAAACGATCAGTGACGTCATCGAAAAAAGCGAAAAAAGCGACGACCGACTGTCTCGTGCACGCGTTTCAAATGGAATTCATCTTTTCTGCTTCTAAATATTCATTTGTCATTTCTCTGCTGTCATCATATCATTGGTTTGCCCGGGATCCAAAAAAATTGCTCACATCAGAGTGTAATCGTTAATTTATGTGTCTGGAGGGTGCCTTCCAAAAAAAATTGCTTATAAATGCTGCCGTCGCTGGCCAAAATGGCGTGTTCTTTGCCGTCTGAGATCCCCGAAAAGAAGGCGCCCAATGATTGACATTTTCCGGGCGGCCCGAGGTATCCCGGAAAAGAGTCATTTGGTCAGAGCAACTCAATTTCCAGGTCATTGATCGTCTAACCTCGTCGGCAAGAGGCCCGGCGGAGAGGGCTGCTGAGCGGTGCCAAGCAGCGGCGTCTTGTTGACCACCATCCAGAAGCACTGTTGCCAACGCTCGCGCGCGTTCACCGCACTTCCATCGCCAAACGGCGGCGTCGTCATCGCGAAAATCACATTGGCGACCGCCTCGTTCACTCCGTTCTGCTGATATGCGGGCGGTATGAGGGCGGTCGGCCGCACCGGCGGTGTCATTGCAGAAGACGTTGAAGAAGACGTTGAAGAAGAAGAGGAAGAAGAGGAAGAAGACGAAGCGGAAGAGGAAGGCTTGACGACCTGAATCGGCCGAAACGCTGAAGGCGTCGGGCAGGGAGCCGGGGAAGACGTGGCTCCTTCTGAATACCGTAGTGAGAAACGAGACGAGCAAGTAGAGTAGGAGAAGAAAAGACAAAAGAAAGGAGGAACGGAAAAAGATGCATCATAGGTCGGAGAATTGTAAAGCTGTAACTTCCCACAGAAACCTTACATTTACCTCTAATTTGATTCATTGTGTTTGAGATAAATTGAATCGCCGGGCCGTTTTTCTGCGGAAGTCGAACATAGAGATCTCTGTTCTTTTGATAAAAGTTCAATTCTATTCCGCTTCTCAGAATTCTTCAGGTTAGAGATAATTGTAAGGTTTCTCGGAAAAGTTACAGCTTCACAATTCCCATAGACTTTGTCGGCTGATGAGATGAATAAGAAGAATCAAATTGCTCTCATGTGGGTACAAATCGTAGCGCCTCGAACAAAAAACAATAATCGGGTAGGGAATGAGGGTGGAAATTGGAAAAAAATGAGGGTGGGGAATTCCCCGAAACATTCTGACCACACGAGAAAACCAATGTTCTTGTGCTCCTTCTCTCTGGCCGCTGTGCTCCGTTTGGTCGGTCGGTTGGTGTGAGGGTGCTCATTTCTAATTAAATCAAGGGCGAAAACGAAAAGGCGGACGACCAAGACGACGACGAAGAGGAAGAAGAAGAAGAAGAAGAAGAAGTAGAAGAAGAAGAAGTAGAAGAAGAAGAAGGGCTCATCACGCGTGTGCACTCGGAAACAACATTGCTCCAGGAAAGCTTGTGGATAATCCACCCTCCTCTCAAAAAGGAATGAGGGTGGTGGTGGTGGTGGCGACACGAAAAACAGGGAGCTGATATCAGATTACTTTGTGCAGAGTGGGGGGATGGCTAAGGGAGAATGTGGGCGTGGTGGTACTCCTCTGGCCCCGCCCCGCTTGCTACCTTCTACTACTGCTCTCCGGTGCTCGCCCAACCACCACCACCACCCACAATTTCTTGTTGTCCTCCCTCCCTCTCTACCTGAATACATTTATCTTGTCATCGTGTGATCAGGGGCATGTTTGTTGTGCGCACTGCACCAACTTGTGGGAAAAAAATGATGGCAAAATGGCAACATGGGGGAGCTCACGAGGGCTCCTAGCAACTTGACGGCTACCATTAAATCGAGCCATTTGATGTTGTCTGCTCGGCGCCGAAAACGTGAAACGTGAAACTTGAAACGGATCTTTGAAGAGCGACGGGCCGGCAAAGCCCACGGGGACTGGAAGTTGTGAAGTTGTAGTTTTTCACAGAAACCATTGTATTCTGTTCTTCAAAATGAGCTAAAGGTTTCTGTGGTAGGTTAAAGCTTCACAATTTCCAGAGAGATGATCTTCTTGATCTTCACATCACCATCAACTTCCGCGTTTTGCCAGTTCGCACTCTGATCTCTAGTCCCAGAAATCCGAGCCCCGGATTTTCAACAAGCGCAAGCTTTCAGATTATTCTCTAATCCCTTTTAGGAGCGCAATCCTCAGCGGACGACACGAATCACTTCTCTCACATCGGAAACCAGACTACAAGTCACAAAAAGATCGGCGCGTCTTGGTTGGGCTCCAAACGGGTACCACCCCCAAAAAGGTTTCAAATATCATCTGGGCTGCAAGCTCTAAGCGCCAAGTGGCGTGCTCGGGTCTCGAGGAGGGCGCCTTATCGAAAAAATGTGTTGGAAGCGTAATTTCAAAGTGACTTTGATTGTTCAAATGATCCAAAAAAGGTCCTGCATTTTTCGAAACGACGCACTGGCCACGTGGGTGCTCACCGAAGACATTACTAATCAAACGTTTCGCTGTTTTGCACGCTTATCAACTGATTCTCACACGCGTCGACGGTTTTCAGAAGTTGAAAAGTCAAACCAGAAGGTGGTTACGGTGATGAAGAGGAAATGAAGCGCCGCGGAAAGGGAAAAAAGCGGACGGGAGGGCTTCATAACGAGCCGATGAGGGTCTTCCCTACTTTCGAAAGGGATCCATTTGCATGGAGGGTTCACAAATCAAAAAATGTTTAATTCCCTCAAAAACTGACGACATCTTGGGCGGGCTTCCCGGAAACTTTTCTCGGACGAAGGTGTAAATGAATAATTCCGGTGAGGGCGGCACACAACGCGCCGCGTGTGCAAACTTTCGCGTCCTTTCTCGAGCAAAAAATTGGCCAAATCAGGCGTTTTTTCGGGTAAACATCCACACATTTCCGCGCATAGAAATGCCAAATGGTAATCCTTGGCCTACCGTAATCGCGAAGCTCAGCGCACTTTTCGCTGCCTAGTACAAAACATTGGCAACGTGGCAATTATACGAAAAAGTGCAAACTAGACATCATTTCTCTTTGCTTATAGGATTTTGTCCGGCAAGTTGACCAGACGAGCACGCGAAAACGCTGAAAATGTTAATCCCTCGGGAGGATCGGGTGGTGGATATTACAGATTAAGAAAACGTGCCAGGAGTTGGGCGGCACAAGAAAAGTGACGTTTTTCGGTTTTCAGACTGTAAAACTGGCAGAAAAATTCGCAGAAGAAGAAGAAGAAGAGGAAAAGTGGAAGGGAAAATGGAATGCATTCGATTCATCATTCGCCCCCCTCTCAATGTGTTTTTCGTCGTAGTTGCCGTGGCCAGGAGGGTGGCCCCGATGATGAGCCCTGACGAGAAGAAGAAGAAGAAGAAGAAGAAGAAGAGTTCGCAACATTGATGAGAAAAAGTGGGGGTACAAGGCGACACGAAAAAGAAGGAGAAGGAGAAGAAGGACGTGAAAAAGGAGAAGGAGTCGAGGTGACGTCATGACGAAATACAACCATTTTATGGCCATTTGCGTTCGCTCAAAACCGTTTCAGCGAGCTTTTGCCGATCAGAAAACATCGGAGAGGGGGAGGGATGGAGATGAAGAACGGCGCGGATTCGGCGGCAGATGAGGATTAGGGCAGACGGAGAGAGAGTCACTCTACTCGAATTGATGCCACGTCATGAGCGGTCTTTGAACAATTATGCCCATTCGAAACCAATGATATGCGTACCAGTCCATTGAATGGGGCGTCAATCAGCGGCGCATATAATTTGAATCACTTTGTTAGGAATCACCTAATTGGCTGCGTAGCGACTCAAAAGCGTTGCGGTGATACAGAGTTTCAGTGTTTTTTCTCCAAAAGAAAGTCGAAAAAGTTCAAAGGTGCCACTGGATCGTCTTGACTTCAAATTCTGAAAGCTCAGACTGTGCGTGAAGCGTGCGTTTCCAAATTTTGCGGCGGATACGCTAGATCCCGATTTTTCCAATGTTCATGCTGAATCTAGTCCGATCCGATCAACACTTCAAGCGTACACCGCCCGCAAATTGTACGTTTCTCTCCGAATTCTCGTCACTTTTTTCAGAGCTTTCAAGAGCGGATGTTGAAAACCTTTCCGCCAACCCATTCATTTCGACGCCTGAATCACACACACACACGCAACAAGTAAACGAGGCCTCTTATCACTATAATTGTCAGGTTTCGAATTTTGTCAGCTCGGCTAATTGGTCCCCGGCCGATCGGGTTCCAAATCTCCAGTGTACTACTACTATCATTGGGGGGTCCCAAATGAGCTAGAGTTTGCTAATTAATTATTTCACGAACGAGTAGCGATGGGATTTTTCCATGAATTTTTTCCAAAACTAACCGGTAGGAGGGTCTCCGATTGAGCTGTTCTCGGCGCCTTCGAGCCTCGTCCTCACTGTCTCCGCCTTCTTGCATAGCCTGCAAAAACACAAAGTTAAAAATTATGTTTGACATTCTTTTCCGTTTGCAAAAATGACATGGAAACCTCATTCTACTTGTGATTACCGTGTTGTTGGGTACCTTAAACAGAAGCATCATGAGCGGCGAGCCGGCGACGGGCGAGCAGTTCGACGTGCTCGTGATCGCAGCCATCACACCCCGCTTATGAGCTGCTGCTGCTGCGATCCGAGGTGCTCTCAAGTGTGTGCGTGGCTATCCGGGAAGACTGACGGCGGCGGTTGCGAAACGTCCAGACGGGCCGGACGGGTGGCGGTGAAACGGAGAAATCACCCCCGGAAAAGAGACGATTAGGAATCGGGTCGGAAGAACGGAGCGGAACGGAGCAAAAGTGAGGAGGATATTGTGCGAAATCGAGAATTTGATAACCATAAGAACGAGTGGAGTACGAATTCATTTCAGATTGTCACGATTATGTCGATTACCCATTTCTCTTATCCGCTAGATTTTCCATTTAAGAAATACGTTATTTGGCAGAGTGGTGACAAAACCGGCTGATAAGAGGCGAAAGCGGGGATGATCCAAATTCGAGACGGCCCAGATTTCTAATTTTCAGACAGACACAAGCTGCCATTCTTATTCCATGAAATTTGGTCTTTCGCGCAAAAAAAAAACATTTTGTCGAGGGGAGACAGGTATCCAAACGGCTTGGGACCGGGGGTGGTCCTGGTGACCGTTTAATCATCCTGGCTCATGGTACCCTCGTGGTTCCGTTCGCCCGCGTCCCAACTGTTTGGATACCTGGAGGATAGACGGACGGATTAGAGTCTCGATCAACTACGAATTCTCCTTCATTTTCCTATGTTTTTTCATCCATCGAACAAAAAGAACCTCGTGAGCCGTATGACGTCACTTTGTCGAATCCCCTCCGTTTCTACGCAAACTACAGTAAACTTACAGGTGCAAGAGCAAAAAGAAGAGGACGCGGAAATGAGCATCATTTGGGAAAAGGATAAAGAAAATAAGAGGAGGAAGAGGGGGGAGGGCAAAAAAAGTTGTTGAATAATTAATCGGAGAAAGAGAAGGAGGAGGGGAAAGGGCTCTTCTCGGGGCGCCGATAAAATATGATGGAAAATATACATATCTAAAATTCCACGGATAAACGCGAGCCGACGAAAATCCACGTGCTAAGCGGTTGATATGGGAAAAAATGATGAAGACGCAATCCCGAGAACACATGAATAAGTGCGCTTTCCGAGAAATGTTATAGAGCAACTTGCGGCAAGCATGTACTCTCTCAAAAGTCAGCGAAACATTTTAAACCTAGAAAACTGAAAAACAGGTGAGAAACGACCGGATATTATCCGAATCGTGGCTGATGAGCAGTGTTAATGCACATTTTTTAAATGAATGAATGAGGTGGCGAGGAGGAGGAAGAGCACGGATTAGTCGATTAGTCGTGGATCATCAGGTGAGTCACACAGAATCGGAGCATGGGTTTTGACCGAGGAAAATGTTAACTAACGGTTCTGTGATGACGTGGAAACCCATGCGTAGTCCGAAAATGCCGATCGATTCTATGCTTCCTAAATCAGAAATCTTTGACATTTCTGGCTTTTTTTGTCAACTACACACAGGACTACCGCATTGAAGCAAAATGTTCGGAATTCATCACAAATGCATAAAAATGGCTCGTGGGGGGTGTCTGACCTCTTAAAAGAGCACACAAAACGCTGGTGCTTTTCGGGTGCCCGGACAAGCGGACATCCGGCTGTGTCTTGATTCTTTGCGAGCAACAAGGCAGCTGTTTTGAGAGGAGCCAACCATGAAATCAGATCTCGAGCATGAAGCAAAAAATGCATCAGAAACACTTTTACCGCTTCAAATTCTCCCAATGTTTGCCGATTATTTCGATTATTGCAACTCGAAACCTTGGGGTCCTATAGGTATTTCACCAGAAAAACATTAATTCAAAAAACATCTGGCCGTGCAGAGTACATTAGAAGCACGTGAAGAATCACAACAAATGGAAGCCAATAAGAGTTCGCCAGGACTGATCCTCGCGGATTACGGTACTTTTTCTTATTATCCCCTCTAAGGGTGTGCAAAGTGTGAAGAAGAAAAATTGCGGACTTAATTGAAATGGCGTCGCCGCAAAATGAGGAAATCGAGCCTGAAAAACGAGGGGAGAGAAAAAGAGCAAAGACTTTAGCTCACGCGACCTACTAGGGGTTGAAAGACACACTCGGAGAGGACTCGAGTTAATAGAGATGCACTACATCATCATTTATACATGCAGTTTCTCTCCTCCTCCCTACTTTTAGTTTGATGAAAATCCGGAAAAGATGAAAAGATGAAAATGAGAGTGATTCTACTAGAAGCAGTGAGTTTTCATAGTCTAAAAAGTGACCGAAACAACACTTTTAGACACAAAAATCATAGGTAAAAGTAGCTTCTAGTCTAGAATCTCTAGGATCAGAAAATCATCCCTTAGACTACATTTTCAGACCTTAGACCGAGCAAAAGCGAGAACGAATAAAGCGATGATCTCACATTTTGATAGTAAATATCCTCTTCTTATTTTCTGCTTTTTTAGTTGTTTACTACAGCAGCCGTTAGTGTTCTATAATCGAATTACGCAACGGACAAAACAGATGCAAAGTCTATGATAGTCAAAAAAAAATAATCAACGGGGGCAAAACTGTGGTCACTAGGGTTACAATATCTTGTCTTTTACACGACTTTGGAATGCGAAAATGGCGAACAATGTCCAATCTCCCGAATCCTTTCAATCATGGGTCCAATTCATAGAGCTCTTGATTCTCAAGACTGATATTAGGAAAAGAAAGGAGCTTATCACATCACACCCCATTTCTTTCTGTGTCATAATAATAATCTGTGCTTATGGATGATACACATGGGGGTTCTAGCAATTTTAATGGAAAGAAAAACGGAGAGGGGTGTACAAAAACGCGATGAAAAGTGTACTTCCCATCCATAGAGATCTTCTGCTGCTGCTGCTGCTGCAATTGACAACTTCGTCAAGTCGCGGGATGGGGAAAAAAGTCGGAAAAAGAAATGTTTCACGGCGTGCGAAAGGGGGCGGAAACGCATTTCTGCCCGAGTTGAGAGCAGGTGAAATTGGGCCCGAAACGGGCGAGTCCACCTTTTCGGGGCACCGATGAGTGACGTGGCCATCGATCAACGAAAAAAAAGTGTTTTCTTTTTTCGACAAAAGTGAAATTGCAGGGCTTCAAGTGTGAAATTGACCAGAACGCGCTCAGAGATCTGCGGAAGTGAAATTTAATGTTTGCGGAATGCGGAACACGGAATTTTTTATGATTATGGGTTCAAGTAAAGACTCTTTGTTTGGGGCGGAGGATAGATGAGACAAAAACGTTTGAATATGATTTTTTGCGGAATGCGGAATGCGGAATCTCTAGTACTTACTATTAGTCCGCATGGTTCACTTCTAGGGCTCAAAGAGCCCAATCACTTCAAAAAGTGCGTTTCGATGCCGTGGAGACGTGTAAATGTACCAAAATCCCATCGCAACGTTTTCCCGCAACGACAGAAAGTGACGTGATCTCAACTAGGACAAAACAGACAATCTTGTCGATTGATTTTCTTTTCGCACAGACGCAAAAGTGCATTTCCAGACGAACGATACAAGTGTACACAATTCTGGGCAAACATTCGCCAAAACTGTCCAGATTACTGTGGAGGAACTGATATACAAGTGATGGGGGGAAAGAAGGGAAAACAGAAAACAGGCAAGACACGGCTGATGACGTCATTCTCATCATTTCGCTATCCGTCCAATTCGACGAAAACGTGTGGGCGCTGGTGATGTTGTTCTGTGTTTTGGCGACACAACTTTTCATGTTTTTTCTCAAACTCGACACCTTTTTCGTATTCTGTGCTCGAAAATGACAAAGTCCAAAAGCTCGGCAACATTTTTCTCAGATTGCCTTTTTCGCCGATGTTTTCAAAGTGGGGAAAACCGTAGGTCCCTAAAACGGTATTTTCGGCAAAAATCCGGAAATTTCTAATTCCGCACACTCCTGATCGGGTTGGCGTGAGAAAAATGAAAAACTGCGGGAGACAGGTGATATATAATTCAATCAAATCAAAAAAAAAGGCGGAAAAATGTGCTTTTAGGGCAAGACTGGGCCAACATTCTCCTCTTTTTCGAGGGGGGAGGCTGAAATTCGATATTGTATGCGGAAACGTGACAGCGTTTTTTGGGGCTTTTCCCTGAAAATCTACAAATTTCCGCTTAAATTCACCAATGACAACGTCATCATCATAGTGATAATGAGAAGAAGTGAGCCACTGCTAACGAGCCACAAATGGTCTGAAGCGGAACCGAAAAAACAAGACACGCGCGCGCGCGCGCGAAAAAAATCTCCATTTTCCCTCGAGTCGAAGCGAAAAGAGATAAAAACTCGTGTGAGCAAGAGGCGGGGAAGGCACGTCACCCTGACGACAAACGCGGACAGAGACTCAGAGAAACGGCACGTGGTCCCCGAGCGACCACCGCCTAATTAGTGTTATTCTACGTTGAGGGCAACAATAATAATGATAATGATCACTTTTCAGGGTGGAATGTGATGAGCTGACCAAATGTACATTAGAAAGAACTCTGTTCATAAAAAAAAATTGTAAACATAACTTTTTTGTATGGAAAGTGCACATTTCGTTAGCTCATCACATTCCATGAAAAAACCCGCTCAACATTGAAGACTAGATATCAAAACTCTTCATTTCTGCTTGAAAGAGTGCAATGGCCATCAGATTTTCGTGTTCAAAATTCAAAATCCGGTCAGTCAGACTAAAAATCGGATAAAACCCGCTTAGGACTACAATTTCGAACCCACGCTACAAAGCGGTCCAACAACCATCAATCTCGATTCGCTTGCGGCCAAATTTCGTGATAATTCGAACCGCCTGTCAGGTACTAGACACGAATTGGGAGGCGACCGAAAAAAAGATTGTAATCGAGTAAAAGTCGCAGCGCGAAACGACAAGAATCTTGTGGAATTCGCGTGTTTCAAAGTACCTCCCATTTTCGACTTTGTCCATTCATTAAAAAAAAAGCGTAGGCCCGGATTTAAAATGTCTTTTAAGGAAGAGTAAAAGTTGAGTTTAGGACAGTTTGGACTAGACGAATAAAGTTTCAGCTTAAAAAATGGACGGGAAGTTTAAAAACAAGAAAGAGCATCAGAATTAACAGCTGAAAAGGCGAAAACGACGAAAAGATCAATAGGAGCGGACGGGAGAAGGATTTTTAATTCAAAAATATTAGGTTTTTGTTTCAGCAACATCAAAATCGAATAACAGCGAGGCAAAAGGAATGCGTGGGCGGATAAACGGCGGAGAGGAGCGGAGCGGAGCAGAAAAGCAGAAAACGAGGGCTCCAAATGCAATAACCTGCTCGGGACAACACGGAAATTCTAGATGGCCCTCTCAAATATTGAACCTTTGAGCGTGAGCCGGAAAGAGCAAAAGATGGAAAGCAAAAGTTTCAGGTCAATCCAATTTCCACTTTTCCAGCAAACTCTACGCCGAGTTTAATAACAATGCAAGCTCATCAAATTCATAGTATTCAAAAGCCAGAAATTCCAGTAAAATCGTCGTGTCGTCCCATATGTGTGTGTGTGTGTGTGGCTGCGATGTGTGCGCTCTGGCTGTGACTGTATGCAACTCTAGCCGCCTTTTTTCGCCGTTCTCCTTCTTTCTCTCTCTTTTTGAGCTCCGCGCAGACAGTGCTGCCTGTGTAAATGTCCGTTCGTCGTCCTCCTCCTCCTCCTCCTCCTCCAATTTTGGGCAAACACGAAACGTTTCATTCCGAAAGAGAGAGAGAGAGATTTCCCATTTCTCTCTGATCCTCCGTCGCTTCAAAGAGGAAATGAGGAGGGAAAAAGACGATGGGGCACTTTAGGATCGGATTACACGCGCCAGCGGTTTCCAGACTAGGTTGCACCAATTTTTGCCTACCGTAGTCCAAGGGTTCTAGCCGAGCAAAAGAAAAGAGGAACAAAAAGAAGAAGAAGGAGCAGAAGCAGAAGAAGAAGAAGACGCGAAACATTCAAAAGAGTTTCGTGTCCTTTTCTCTTTTTTTGCGCTCTAGTTGTGACATGGCAGATGACACATTGAATAGAGCAAAAAAAGAGGGAAAAGTGGAGTGACAAACACACACTTTTTCTCTTTCTCTTCTCCTCCATGGGATAGAAGAAGAAGAAGAAGAAGAAGAAGAAGAAGATGAAGGTGGTTCTATTGATAGATGGGCTCAAAAGTCCGAAAATCACACAAAAGTTTGCAAAATTTTTTCTAGTCTCGAATTCTTCTATTCTCAAATTTGTCATCGTTTTAATGAAAATTACTTTAACTAGCATGGCCGAGGCCTAGGATTTTCAAATTTCGGCTTAATATTATATTACATGGCGTACTTGAAACAACTTGAGTATTTGCATTTTGGCAAGCTTGACCTAGAAAACGTTATCGGATTCTAGGCCAAGTTTGCTAAAATGCTTCTCAAATTGCGACTTTCAGATTGTTTTCCGAACCAAACAGGAAAGTTCAAGAACGTGTCGTAAAACAATTCAGGGGTCTATTCACTCAGGAAAAAACACTAAGTGATCTGCTGGTCTTGTTCCTTCAAAACTCGACCAAACTTCCCGTCCAACCAACTGTTTGACCTGCTCGGCTCTCCAAAACCATTTTTCTGCGCGTCTCGCCCGTTCTGCGGAGGGGCCGAAACCGAAACTCAAACAAGCGACGGGACGAGCCGTTTTTTGAGCCGATTCGATCGAAACCCTTTCGAAACATTCACACACAAGAAGAAGGGAATCCACAGAGCGAAAAAAGAGGGGGACGGAAAGAAAATGGGGGCGATGGAGATAGATAGATACACAAGGAGGGAGATGGAGCACACAAAAAAGGGTGTCAATCAAAGCTCTCGTCAGAGAGAGAGAGAGAGAGAGAGAAGGAAAGAAACGGACGGAAAGAGCATGTCCTTTAGCCGACTGGGCTCAGACTTTTAAACTACTTACAATGTTCCGATAGGGCCGAATTTCCGGATTTTTTTTAGCCTAAACGCATTAAAAGTTCAATAGGCTTAGACTTTTGGACCACTTATGGGGTAACTTGGATCCAAGTTTCAAACCGAGAGGCCCAGCTAATCCGATCGGTCTGAAACTTGGGCCCAAGAAGCCTGCAAAGTATCGGAAGTGGTTCAAACTGAAAACTCGTTCAAAACGGCCAACTTTCAAATCGTCACGGGTTCCAATTCAAAAATTACTCGTTCCATTCCATTCGGCGGAGAAGACGAGATGTGACTAGTAAACCGGTAAACCGTGGCAAACGAGACATCATTCAAATTGGCGAAACACCGAAAATAACCACTTTTCCGATTCTAGAGAGAGAGAGAGAGAGAAATCACGAGGTCATTTCGAGTGAAACGGGAGGAGGACACACTGAAATATTGTTGGAGACTCCGAAAGAACATTAGATTTTGTGACCGAAAAGGGGACGGAAAAATGTGTGCAGAGGGAAGGCCTTTTGACAAAATTGCGCGCGCGCGCGCCCAGCGCCAATCCAATTTCAGAACATTGAGGGGGGAAATAATTAAGTGAATGAGTTTTGGTGCGTTTCGTCGATTTAGATCAAACATTGAAGCAGACTGTTGACGAGTTCATTCGATTACTCTCACTTCAAAGGTTGGTTGCACTTTTCACCGACACCGACAAATATTGTTCAGGTCAGTTAATATTGTTGCCACGGGTAGTTGTTGTCTAGTGTTTTATCTAAAAAGGTCAAAGTTCTGACAATTTTTTTTAGAAATTCTGAATGAATTGAAAAATCTAATCAAAAACTCGATCTATACGTCACAAGATTGAGTGTTTCGATAGAATTCAGAAGGCTTTATATTTTAAAGAGCATGAAATATCGACTTTGCAGATAGTAGCATTTGAAAATAGCATTCGGCGAAAACGGAAAGACATTTTCAGAGCCGAAAATGCGAATTTTCTAAACATCCGCCTCTTTTCTCTCTTTTTTGTTTTCTAGGCAACAAAAGGCAGAAAACTGGAAGCATTTCACAATAGCTTTGAGAGAAATCAAGAATTTTGAGGATTTTTCGAATTTAATTGAGTAAAAGGCAGGAACAGATGTATTTGCGAATACTAATTGAGGTTCTTGGTCGTTTCTCATCGGATTTTCATTCGAATGACTAATTTCTGCGAAAAAACGCTTTGGAAGAGAAATCCACGCTTTTTCGATTAAAAATCGGAGAATTTAGTGCCCAAAGGCGTTTTTTCTTGCAATATTTTTACGAGCAGGCTTTCAAGTACTTTTTTAAGGTTTCCATGTCATCTTCTCACATTTTTCAGATTAGAAAATAAGTGTTGAAATAGAAAAGACTCACTTTGTGTTCAGACGATCCGTTACCCTTCGATGTCATTGTTTTACTCGTTTTTAGTGCAAAAAGGCCTAAAATAATGGGATTAGTGTAAAAATTGCATCGGAAAATGAGAAGAAGCGGAGAAGAAGTGTGGAAAAAGTTCTGAGAGAATTACGTGAGATAAGTAAAAGTGAAAATAGCGCTGAATTTTTTTGAAAGTCAATTTTGGCGCTTGGAAAAATTTGAAAAATTCAGGCGGCAAATTCAAAAGTCTGCGGGGATTCTTCCTGAAAAAAAGCAGGCCAAATGATAATTTCCGCTTATTTTCCGGACATTTTTGTGCGTAAAAGGTAAAAGGTGTGTAAATTGGGAAGTTGTTGACGTCACGTGAATCGGGGGTGAAATGAAATCAGATGTTTGTCGAATCGGCGAGAGACAACGGCCAGACGAGAGACGCAGAGACGGTTCATTGAGAAGCCACGGCGAAGAAAAGTCCGCAATCCGACGGCGGATCCGGTGTGTTCACGCCTCGCGCCCGCCGCACTTTTCACCTCCGAATTGACGACGGCTTCTGGAAACACGGCTGCAAATGGATTCTGGAACGACGTCGGCGTAGAGTTTTGTGCTGGAATTGGGCCTGGATAATAGAAAACCATAAATATCTAAGTTTCAACTCAAATTTCGGAGAATTCCGATCAAAATCCTTGTTTTGAAAAACAAGTTCACTCTGTCATATTTCCGTTTTTTTGCATAAAATATATAAATTGAATAGAAACTATTCTAAACTGTCAAAAGTATTCAGAACTATCAAAAATGTGCCGTTTGATTTCACTTCTTGGCAGGCCGCCATCGCCCTTCAGTCGTCGGCCGTGTGCCCTCTCCCCACTATTTCACTGTCGTGCGCCCGGCAGGTTTTCGGGCCCGGTTAGCTCAGTCGGTAGAGCACCAGACTCTTAATCTGGTTGTCGCGGGTTCGAGCCCCGCATTGGGCTGATGCTTTTTTGCAAAATTTAGTTGACGATCAAAACGTTTATTTTTTAGGCGGTTTGCTCATAGGACCATGGAATTTTTCGACGATTCTCATCACTTCGAGTACGGTTTCCTCCTCGTTCGGCAATCCGACAATTTGAACGGCATTGGGCATCGCCTCCGAGTTGGCGCACGCGTCTCTTTGTTTACGGAGTAGCAAATCGTCTGAAAATTGATATTTCACTAAAATTGGGTATTTAATTGTTCGTACTTATCGGAAACATTTTCTCATCGTTCAAATCGGCAATATCATCCGCCGTCACATGTCCGGCCGGCACAATTCCAGCCGGTAAATCCAACAAATTGTAGAGGCCGGTGGACATGACCGTATTCATCATTTGGGGTGGGTACTTGTGAGGTATGGTCGGTGCTGGAAGTATATTGATTTGGGACCTGATCGGGGGATCTCAAATTACTTTTTTAGGTCATTTATTTTCGTCTTCCCAACGCCCTAGTGAGAGTTGCTTAGAAAATAGCGCATAACTCTAGAAGGACAAATTTTGAAATAAAATGATCAACTAAAAAGTTGTTAAGCACACCATTGGCTACATTTTTTCAGTTGACCACTTTTTGAAATAATCACAGGATCCCGAGATATATGCGTTCAAAGACATTTGAGAAACTTACTGCAAAAAGAGGGGCAGATGAGGGCGTCAATTTCGAGACTTTTCCAATATTGTATGAACTGAAAGAAGTATGTTTTGTTTTCCAAACCACGATTTCCCACTCACTTTAAGTCTATAAACATCCGTTTCCTCTTGATTCCTCCTCGCCTCAGCCAATGTCCCGTTTCGAGCGCTCGCAATAAGAGCTCCTCTTTTCGAAAATAGTGAAATGATGGGAGTGGCGAGAAAACGGAATATTGTCCAGTCGTTTAACTACATAAAACGGGTACTTTTGTCAATTTTAATTCACAGAACTCACGCGGAGCATCGTTGCAAACGAGCCCATGTGCGGGTCTTTTGGCTCGCTTTTGTACAGCTCCAAAATGAACTTTCCGTCGTCGGCGAGGACGTTTTTGAAGAGCATAGATGCCACGTGGAACGGCTGGAACTTTGGATCGACGTCTTCCAATCGAAAACGGACGACTTCGTACCCGTCGTTCTCGAGTTGGGCGACACTTTCGGTCACGGCTCGTCGGTTTCTGAGTGCTCTGAATGATCTCTTGGGTTCAGGACCGTCACTTACGAAGGGACGGGCGGGTTGAACCCGTCATCCTCGTAGTATCCGATGCGGAACTTCCGTCCGCGAACCGATTTCATTTGAAGAGGAGCCGGAGAGGAGATTGGCTCGAGCGAACGGTATTCCGGAGATCCGACGATGAGCTCGAGCAGGAACACTTGCTCCTCGACACGTTTCGTGTAGAACCCGTAGCTGAGGCCCATGCGGCCACCGTAGTTGTAGGAGACGTGGAAGCGGCTCTGCGTCGGTTTTAGGGTCACAAGTCCACAAAAAGCGGCGGGGATTCGTAGACTGCCTCCCAGATCGGATCCGATTCCGAACGGAGCGCCTCCATCGGCCACCAGAGCCGCTTCGCCGCCAGAAGATCCGCCGGGGGTGCAATCAAGGGCCCACGGGTTGCGAGTGGTGCCGTAGAGCGGATTCGAGCTGATGTACGAGATGAATCCCGGCGCGAAGTTGGTCAGAACGAACGGAACGCCGCCGAGGTTCCGTAGATGGGCCACGAACGGACAGTCTCTCTCGTTCTTCGGCTCCGAGAGCTTCTTTACGAAACCAAGTGTCGTGTTGTAGCCTTTCATCTAAAAATGATATAATATTTGTTCAATTATCGCTAAAACCCTTACATCAAAACTGCACTTGACACTGAACGGAACTCCGTAAAGCGGCGGTTTCTCGTCCGAATCGAACCAGAGCTCGTCGTGCCGTTCGGCCGTCTCGAATGCCTCTCTGATCACTTCGGTCACACAATTGAGTCGCAATTGACTTTCCAGCATTTTCTGGGTGTACGCGCAGAGAACCGTGTACGCGTTCAGGTCGTTTTTCGCTTGAAGACGGTCTGAAAAGGGGAATATGAGTGTGGAAAAGTAGTACTGTCTTTAGACCCCTATATCTCAAGAACTAATAGTCATACCAAAAAGAGGTCAACTGGAAAGTTGTAGCAAATTTTGTGCTCTATAACTTTGTAGTTAGGCATTTGGTTTCAAAATTTGTCATTTTTAAGTTATGAGCTTTTTTCTAAACAACTTCCGCGTAAGCAGCAAGAAAGTACGTTTGTCTTTAGAGCCCTATATCTCGAAATCCTGTGATTATTTCAAAAAGGGGTCAACTGAAAAGTTGTTGAGAATTTTGTGCTCTATAACTTTGTAGTTGATCATTTTGATTTAAAACAGTCTCCTTTTGAGTTACAGACTCATTTCTCAACAGTTTATTACTGTTCTAGAACAAAATCGAAATTCCTTCCTCACTTTGCGGTAGAATCAGACACTTTGCAACCGAACCGTACCTATCAAACTCTGCAAATCCAGCTCAACAATATCTCGCAGAAACTGCTCCAACTCGTGCGCCGTCCGTCTCCCTCCACCACGTATCCGTTTATCGTTCACCAGGTTCTCGGGCGCACATTTCTCGCGAAACGTTTCGAATCCGTCCTTCCGAAGCCTGTTGAACTCCTCCTGATTCCGTCGCATTTCGGCTGATGGTCCCTTTGAAAAAGAACAGTTTCGGTTGCGGTTGATACGGTCCCCGTAGACTTACGTTTCCCATCGTGTTTGCTAAAAGTTGTAGGGGAGGAGGTGAAACAGAATTGAGAAATGATGAAGTGAAAGGAGAAAACAAGGAGGGAAAGAGATAGCAGAATCGAAAAATCAATCGAAAGAATTCTCTGTTTCTAGATAAAATCAGGTTTGCCCGAGGGGGAAAATAGGAAAGAAAGTTATGGTTCGTGATCTGCTCGAATGTTCTTTGATGATACTTTGTCCAGTGATATCATCACTTCACCGCTCCTGCCCTCTGAGAAAAGCCCGCGAGGTTCAAATGGAGCCCCGCCCCTTCAGCGTTCAATTCTTGCAAGTAGCGCGTGCAGTTTTCGCAAAGGTGCCGCACGCATTTTTCTCTTCAGTTTGACAGTGAAAAAACAAGTGAAAAAACTTTCGTTGGCGGTTTTTAGTGTATTTTTTCCGAAAAGAAGATGCAACAAGGCGACAGAATACGTTTTGATAACAAAAAACATAATTTTCTGCCTTAATTTTCAAGAATTCGGTGTTCAGAGCAATGTGTGCGGGCGTGGCCTAATCGGAAACGCGTTTTCTGAAAATTGCCGCAATTCCAGCACTTTTCCGATATTTTTGTGTGTTGATATCGACGAAAGACGGCATTAAAGAAAGAAAACATCGAACATTTCGTGAAAACACCGCATTTGAGACGTTTTTGGCACATTTTGCAATACGCCCTCCGCGGCCAATCGCCGCCGCAATTTCGGAATTTTCATACCGGCCGATGTGGATAGTTTTGAGACGAAGTGAGTGTCGGAAGTGATTAAGCACGTTAATACAAGTATTTTAAGCGTTCAAACGGCAAAAAGTATCGGCGAATGACTGAAATTCGCGCATTTTCAGCGCAAAACTTGAAAATCGATTCAACTGATTCATTTCTGCTATGAAACCTGCTCGTTTTAAGCTCGAAAAAGTGCGCGCGATGATTATTTTAACAAAGTTATGCAATTACATCGTCGAAATCCTACCAAATTTGGGTAATTTTTGACGAAAAACATGAAAAAAATGGGGTTAAATTTCGAATTTCGCGCCAAAAACCGTGCACGCTGGGCCACGCCCCTTTCTACGTTTTTGGTCGCCGTGAAGCTTGTCGAGCTCCGGAGGACACTTTTTCAATAAAACGAGCAGGAAATATAAAAACTTCATTGAAACATGCAAGAGTTCATCAGAAATCCTCAAACTTCGCACTCGTCCTCATCCTCATCCTCCTCCGTACTTCCCACGATCACAAAGTTGTTCTTGCGTTCTCGCGGTCTCTGCTTCTCCTTCTGATTGATCACAATGATGTTCGGTTGGGCGTTCTGCGGATAGTAGGCGGGCGGATAAAGGTATCCGGGCGGGTACGGATAGGGATACGGGTACGGGTAGGGGTACGAGCCATTCGGAGGTCCGTTCACGTTTCCATTTCCATTGCTGGCGGAAGATCCGGATGTTCCGGATGCCGAGCTTGCAGAATTTCCGGTACTAACACCAACACTGCCTCCGGACACACTTCCACTATCCACAGTATCACTGGAAACTGCAGAGTTGGAAGCGGAGCTGGAGCTGGAGCTGGAGCTAGAGTTGCTCTTCACAATATCCGATCCGCTAAAACTTCCCGGATCCGCGGCGATCGGGTTCGCAACCGTGCTGCTTTGGACGGTCACCGACGAAACCGTCGTGGACACACTCGGATCGGCCGTCGTCGTCGTCGCTTCGGCGGCTCGCACGCACAGCCTGTAATCTTGATGAGTGGTCGGTGCAAAGTGGCCGGGATCTTACATGCTGACCGAGTCGATGGACCAGTCTCCGTATCCGACCATATTTCCGATTTGCCAGTTCAACGGATGGCGGATGTTGTAGGTGTGAAGAAGCGTGGAACCCTGATAGACCTCGTAGGCGCGTTGTTGTTTCACAATCGAGATGGTGTACGCGGTGGCCGGTGTATAGGGAAGGCTTCCGAACTCTTCACGTCCCCAAATGGCGCCCGACGCCGAGTTTCCGAGCATCGAGTTGTAGATTATCGATTTTCGGAGGTACTGGGCTCGAACGTGGATGGACACGAGTCCGGGCATGAAAGAGTTGTCGAATCCGTGATACAAGTTGATGTACGACCTGAAATTTGAGACATCATTTCTAGACTTCAACTCTTCTTACATATTAGCATTTTTATAAACAGTTCCGGTGACAGTGAGTCGGTCCCCGACCTCCATTGCTCGCGAGAAACGAATCATTTTAAAGTGCAAGTCTTCTGTCTACAACAAAAACGTCTCGATGTACACGTAAACTAGTGTAGCAACGCACCAGAGTGTTACAGTTGAGCCACGGCACACTTGTGTCGGCTGACGTGGCAACCGCCAACAGCGGAAGCACGAAAAGCATCATTTTTAGGCGAGGGCGAGAAGAGGAAGAAGAAGAAGAAGAAGAAGGAAAGCGACCGGCACCGCGTTTTATAGATCTCGATTCGATTGAGGTTTTACGGCGCCGACATAAAGTTTTGCGGTGAATCGAACGAGTTATGCGCGTTTTTGAGCTGTTCCGGGTGTTTGCTGCCGCTCCGCAAAAGTGTGTGGACAGGAGCAACAGCGTTTATTCGAATTTTCTTCAAAAATCATCTTCTCGTGGAACACCAGCGTCTGCAGGTTGACGTGCACAATCTCGAGGCCTTCATAATACTCCAACACATTCTTGAAATCCGCCGCCGACACTTTGGTCGTGTCGTGAAATCCGAACGACTCTTGTCGTTTCGGCGCTAACGGCAGCAGGACGTCGATCACGAATCGCATGTCGCACTCGGGTTCGGTGCCGTAGTCTTTCATGCGAAACACGTTGTCAAAGTACTTGAGCGCCAGCAACACTTCCGACTCGGAGTTCTCGGATGAAAGAGACTGAAAATCGAGACGGTCCGCGTGTTTTGCTCTGAAATTCGAAGACGTTTCAGTGCGTTCGGTGACACACGCTCTCCAGAGCTGACAATATGGCGTTTTCATGAATTGAGCAGGTTTTCTCTGATTTTTGTCGTCCAAGGCGATGAAAAATGATAGTTCGACATGAAAACACAATAATTCTCACGATTAATGACGTTTTGGCGCATTTTTCGCGGACTTTGCTTTTTCGCCTTCGCCGCCTAAAAACCGCACTTCTCATTTTGCGCTTTCTTGACCGTTTTCAGACAGAATTGGTTTTGAGAATGATAAATCACGTAAATACAAGCATTTTGAGCGCTCGAACCGCGAAAACTACCGAAAAGCAACTGAAATTCACGCAGTTTTAGGCTAAAACCTTCAAACGGATAAATGTGATTTGCGTTTGACGCTCTTGCTCTTCAAAAATTCGTAATAGCCTATATAATCGGTCTATCGAGAGACAAATGAGAAATTATCGGTTTTTCGTGGCTAATCTGGCAAAAAACACAAATTTTGCTGTTAAAATTTGAATTTCGCGCCAATGTATCGCTCTATTGGGCGGGGCGCACTTGCGCTCATTGCCAGCTCTGGAGACCGTGTGACAGGTTTATCGACTCACACTTTCGCGAAATAGACGCCGTCGACATTGCGTGCCGCGCCGTCTCCATGCACATTCTTCACAAACTGCCACGTCGTCTCTTTGAGGCGTTTTCCGAACAAAAGTGTCGTTTTCGACGGCCCGATCACGATTCCTTCCACTTCGAATTTGCATTGTTTGACGACGTTCCGTGCGGTTCGCGAGCACATTGACAAGTCGAGTCCGTAAAAATCGATATTTGCGTTTTGTGAGCTATCAGAAACTTGACGGATCTATGAGGCGAAGCGCATGCTTTCGGGCACAACACAAACAATATCGCCGGCAGAGTTGAGCGAAAATGGAATTTTGAAATCCGGAAGACGGCAGACGGCAGACGGAAGAAAACATTTTTACGGAAGACGGAAGACGGAATTCCGCTCAACACTGATAGCCGGTAGAGGTATCAAAACGTTCTCATGATATTCTATGTTCCCAGATTGTTCCTGCAGGACAGGTTCTTTCAAGGTAAGTTAGTGCAAGTTAATATTGTAGCCTAGACTGTTGTGTCATCTCACAAACAACAATCTAGTACATATCCCATTGACGGTCTGCGTCGCTCCGACCAATTCTCTCCCGATTACTTCTTCTTTTCATCATCATCCGTTTCTCCTCCAATTGACTAGGCCTACAATAATATCTCAATTTCAGATGGCTCTGCTCATTCTCACCGCCATTCTTGCCGCAATTTTGGCCTTCATCGCCTACATCATAGACGCTCGGCGAGAATTTTTCAAATTACGCGCCAAAATCGGTCTCGACGGTCCTGAGCCGCATTGGTTTTTGGGAAATTTGAAGCAGATTATCGAGTGAGTCCGCGAAAACTGGCATGCGCCTTTAAAAAGTACCGTAATAGGTCGACTGCAAAACTGGGCTACAGTGATTCGCACAATTGGCATCAGGAGTTGCACAAAAAGTTCGGAGAGACTTTCGCGTATGTTATCTATATTATCCAATCGGTTTTTTTGAGGGGGGACATTTCCATTTTCCAGTATCTACTTTGGGAAACAGTTGAATATTGTGATTTCAAATGAGGAGGACATCAAAGAAGTGTTCATCAAGCACTTTTCCAATTTTTCCGATCGAAGCTATCCGCCGATATTCGAAAGAGCTCGTGAGTTGGCACACCGGGAACTGATATCATACATTTGGTGCTCAGAATTAATGACCTCGCTGCTGCAATCGTCGTACGCGAATGGCTGGAAAACGACTCGAAGCGCGATTGCTCCGATCTTTGCGACGAGCAAAATGAGGGCGATGCACGAGACGATAAACGAAAAGATCGAGACGTTTCTGACGATATTGGCGGAGAAATCGGAGAGCGGAGAGAAGAAGTGGGACATCTACGAGTGAGTGGTGGAGGCCCCCCCAGACGGATTCTGTAGTTCAAAGATTCCAGAGACTTCCAAGGACTCACTCTCGATGTGATCGGAAAGTGTGCGTTCGCGATCGATAGCAACTGTCAGCGGGACCGAAACGAGGTGTTCTACGTGCAGGCGCGCAAGTTCATCACTAACATTGACATTCGACACAGTCCCATCATCAGCAGCTCTTGTGAGTACCCTCCAGACATCGAAGGAACTTTCAGAACATCTGTTTAGTGGTGCTCCCCGAGTTTTCATGGCTTTGGAAGTTTCTGTACAAGTATACCGGATTGGCGGCGGCTGAGAAGCCATTAGTTGAGGGATTGGCGGATGTGTAGGTGTCGAAGATGTTTGAAACTTTGAACAAACGCTTGTAGATATGAGAGAAGACGTGGTGGCGAAGGAGCCGGAAGCATAGACCTTCTGACTCTGCTCCTGGACCGGGAAGACGATAAGATCGGGTCGATGACGAAGCAGGAGGTGATCGAGAACTGTTTCGCGTTCCTGCTCGCCGGATACGAGACGACGAGCACTGCGATGACCTACTGTTCGTACTTGTTGTCGCGGAATCCGGAAGCGCAGCAGAGACTGTTCGCGGAGATCCGAGAGACCAGCGAGACGGTCGGACTCTCCTACGACTCTATTCACAGCATGAAGTATCTGGACGCGGTCTACAAGGAGACTCTCAGAGTCTATCCACCCGTTATTCAGTGAGTACTTTTACACTAGTACAGAGGACGCCTAAAAGTGAGAGTTTCCATGCACCTACTGTTGAAAAAAAAAAGTTTCGACATTGGAATCGAAGCTGGCAGCGTGCCAAGGCCCGGCCTCCCAAACGCATATGCTGCGCGCCATTGTTGCAACATTGCCGCACGCTTTATTGTTCTTCGTTTTTGTCTTTATTTTTCGGCTAAAAATCAGCAGAAATTTGGTTTTTTCCCATTTTTTACCCCTATTTATTCATTTCAATCGGCTTTTGCTATAAAAAATCAACTTTGAAAACAGATTTATCGATTTTTAGCTTGAATTTTCGAACATTTCTTGATTTTGTGTTTTTCTCCTTTCCATTTCGGTGAATTTGAGAATTTTCAGGATTTCCACCTACGGAAAAGTCGAACAAGCAACAAAATGGCATGGATTTCTTATTTTCGTGTTAGTTTTTGACGTAACAATAATTTTCTCTCCGATCAACGTTTACAGACTTCACTCCTCCGCCGTCTTCTCCACTCCGCCGTCAGCACACAACGGAAAGTTGAAGAAGCATCTCCCGTTGGATGATTGGCACTAATAACAATTATTTTAGATGTATTTATAACGTTCTCCAATAAATTAAATGACATGACAAGTGTAAGAATGTTATTATCAGTGATATTCAATTTTCTTCTCCTTTTTTCTGGATTGAAGCGTCCACGGACTTTGGAAAAACGGTCGGAGAGAAAATATCTTCGTTCCTCTTCAAACTAATACGACAAGTTTTTGTATACCGTTGTGTGCTGACGGCGGAGTGGAGAAGACGGCGGAGGAGTGAAGTCTATAAACGTTGATCGGAGAGAAAATTATATAACACGAAAATAAGAAATCCATGCCCTTTTGTTGCTTGTTCGACTTTTCCGTAGGTGGAAATCCTGAAAATTCTCAAATTCACCGAAATCGAAAGGAGAAAAACACAAAATCAAGAAATGTTAGAAAATTCAAGCTAAAAATCGATAAATCTGTTTTCAAAGTTGATTTTTTATAGCAAAAGCCGATTGAAATGAATAAATAGGGGTAAAAAATGGGAAAAAACCAAATTTCTGCTGATTTTTAGCCGAAAAATAAAGACAAAAACGAAGAACAATAAAGCGTGCGGCAATGTTGCAACAATGGCGCGCAGCATATGCGTTTGGGAGGCCGGGCCTTGGCACGCTGCCAGCTTCGATTCCAATGTCGAAACTTTTTTTTTTCAACAGTAAGAAGGACCAAACAAGTACGTCCACCCTATTTTCATTTCCAGTTTCGTCAATCGTGTCTGTCTGAACGATATCACCCTGCGCGGACAGTTCTATCCAAAAGGATCGAACGTCGTCGTGCTCTCCTACACGGTTCATCGGAACGAGGCGAATTGGGAGAATGCGTGCGAGTTCCGTCCCGAGCGCTTTCTCGATTGGAACGAAAAGAGCTCGTCGCTCAAGTGGATTCCGTTCGGCGTCGGTCCGCGCTATTGTGTGGGCATGCGATTCGCCGAGATGGAGTTCAAGACGACGATCGCCAAATTGGTGGACCGGTTCGAAATGAGCATGCGCGGAGAGCCGGACCTCGTGCCCGATTGCAACGGAGTCATCATGCGACCCAAGGATCCCGTCAGGCTCACTCTCACCAAGAGGGCTTAGTTTTTGTCTCGCGTTTTTGAACAATAAATAACGATTTAGTGATTTCACGTAAAATCTAGTGTATCTGGCTGAAAATTGTACTTTCCGAGTGTCATTTTTTGTGCTGCGTCACACAACAAAACAGCCATCAAATGGTTGATTTACGCGCTCGAGCCGAAGGTGAAAAACAAGAAAATAAAAAAAAAGGCGAGTGGGAGGGAGAGAGGGAGATGTCGTCGAATTTCAAGCAGAAGCCCACGACAGCACTCATTATTTTCGTTTCTCTTTTTCTCGATTCTCTCATTTGGTTTTGTCAAACTTTCGCAGAAATCTATGCACTCACTTGTCATGTTCACACCTCTAATTAGTCGAAAAACGCGCGAGAATGCGGTTTTCCTCACCAGTTTCGCCCTTTTTTTCTTGTTTTTCAGATTTTTGATTGCGAATGCAAAGCGTGGCAGTCTCGGTGTGATCGCTAACTTTCGGCCGAGCTGAAATTGAGTTTTCAAGTGATTTCTAACGGAGAAATTCACTTTTTTGCACGTGAAAAAACGCAAAACTCGAAATTCTGTGCAATGTGTCGTCGAATCGTGTGCATTGACGCCAAAGCGCACACTTTTGCACTTATCGGAATATTAAAGCGACCAAAACTGCAAAACTGATCGCTTCGAAAATGAAAAGTTTTTAACTTCATTAATGATTTGCTAGCCCTTTTCCCCGCCGACGTCCATGTCACCGCGTTCGCTGATGACTTGAAAATTTTCGGAGATAACCCAAAAACGCTTCAAGAAAGTGCAAACATTGTCGCATCATGGTGCGAAACCTGGCAACTAAAGCTAGCAGAAAATAAATCCGCAGTTCTCCACTTTGGAAAGAAAAATCCCAAAACCAGATATCTCCTGAATGGCATCGAAATCGAATCAAAAGATTCCGTTAAGGACCTCGGCATCTGGATAGACGACAAGCTCAAATTCGATAAACATATCATAATAGTTAGCAATACCGCCCTCTTGAAATGCAAACAAATTCTGAAAGCCTTTCGCTCCTCGAACCCCAGTCTCTACTTTAAACTTTTTCAACGTTTACGTCAGACCCATTCTCGAGTACGGCTGTGAACTTTTTCCATCCCTCATCGACATCCCTCTCCAGCAAATTAGAGTCTCCCCTTAGATTTTTTTTCAGTAGAAGAGTCTTCCAAAGATGTAACATGCGGTTCTCCTCCTATAGCGACCGTCTCAGTCAATCTAATTCAAAAATCGATACTCCACAGAAGGGTTCTTCTTATTCTCAGAACATTCCACAACATAATCTCGCACAAGTACCATTTCCCCTCCCTAAGCATGTTCCTCAAACCCGGCGTCTCCCCCGTCACCCGTACCTTCTATCCTCCCTTGGCCTACCCCATGACTCTTTCTTACATACCCATCTTGCCCTTTGGAACCGAGTGGCCAAGTTGTTTCCCGAAAGACTGTCCTCTGAGGCCTTCGCAGCGCGCATCGAGAAGATCCCCCCTAGCTTTTTGTATTCTAACTGACCTCTGGCTACTGCCGGCCAATGGTCATGTCAAGCCATTGTTCCTTCCCCCACCCACATTCCCCCTCTTTTTTTTCTCTTCTTTCTTTTTGTTGTAATTTTATTCCTAGGTGGCTGAAGAGAATAAATGAGTTATTATTAAAAGAAGCCCTAATCTGATGTGATCCCTTCTGCCTCTTCTAGTCCAATCTGTTTCGAAAAAAAATAAAGCCACCCCACTTTTTTCGTCATTTAACACATCTTTTTGCATGTGTTGCTCACAAACTCTTTGTTGAAGGGGTAGTAAATTAATTTGCACAAAATTTTCAAGTTTTGCGCATACCAACCCTGGTTTTTGGCCATTCAAGCGAGACGGGTCGGATTCTGCATCGATCCATGTAAAAACATTGATACTTTTGCTGTTTTGTCGTCAACCGAGAAATTATCGACTCTTTGACTCGGTTCACTTCGCTTTTTCTCACTTTTTTCTCCAAAAAACCGTCCGTGTTTATGAGTTCTTTTGCACTTTCCAAATCCCCATAAATTCTCACTCTTTTTTCCGCGGTCTTCTTTGCATTTACTCGAGAATCCGGTATACATTCGCCAGAGTGTTAAAAACGTTTTGTATCCAACTTTTTTCTTTAGAAATCCGTCCGAAATCGGGTTTCCTTGTCAAAAACGGGGGAAATTTTGACCTACCGTGTCCCCCCTCAAATTTAAAGGCGCACAACCCAGCTTGAAAAGTTTCGCACGGTTCGAGACGTTGCACACTCCGGCGAATTTTATTGATTTTTCAGCAAAATCGGTTGAAAACGTGCTCATGTTTGTTTCTCATTCGCTTGCCATGCGATTATGGACGGAAAGTCATGTAGAAACGAGCAATTATCCATCTGCAGATGTCTGTGTCTCATAAATTCGAAGGGAATAGAGCACGAGCTCAAGAGCTCTCCCATTCATAATTTCTTTCTTTTTCCTCAAACATTTTTCTCTCAATTGAATTTGCCACCATTTTTCGCAATTTTCGGAACGGTGTGGTGTGAATTGTCGTAAGATCCGATGCAATAACTTTGAAAACATTAAACTCCGCTCCTTTTCCAGCTGAAAATATTCGGAAAATGCAAAAAATTGAATTTCCCGCGCCGCACAAATTCAATGTTCTTCTCTTTTTCGGGAGGCATTCAAGTGATGAATGAGCGAATTTCCGTCCCTTTTTTCTTGTTTTCAGCTGAAAAAAGAGGGACCACACCGATGAGTTCAATCTTGAAAAAGAAAGAGAGGGAGAAGGAGAGAAAGTTTCTTTGTTTTCAGAAGATTTCACTTCTTTTTTGCTGCATTTTCTCTCGTGTTCCCTTGGATCTTTCAAGTGGTCCCAACCGAATGAAAGAATATGAAAACTTCATCGAAAATCGTCCAATTTCAGACAGTTGCGGTTGCAAAACGTCCTTCCCACTTCTTCTTCTTCTTCTCCTTCTCCCCAAATATCCGCTATTATCCATTTCATTCGCACAAACCAAAAACCAAGTGAATGTATATCATCCATCACCATAAAATGAGCACGTACTCTTCGTTTCCCTCTCGAGATCATCCCACTCGGATTGCCACGTCATCGCATCTAAATATACGCCTTCCGCAGATGATTTCCGATGACGTGGCACTCGAAATTATATGTTTTTCAGTTCGAGAACTCGTGCAAACCGAGGAAAAGTTCACTGGATTCAGTCAACCAAAAAAACCCAGAAAAAAACATTTTCGCCTTCGTTCCTCCAAAAAATTTCAGCAATTCTTGTGTGTGTGTGTGTGTTTTCGCTGTCAAATATATATTGTCTTTGTCCACAATTGTTTGCTTCAGCACCAGCAAAATGTGCTATTTTTAGCCAATTTTTGTGATGCGCCTTTAAATTTACCGTATTCCATGTGGTTTTCCGCGATTTTTACCGATTTTCTGGTCGGAAATGTTGCAATCGCGCTCTACCGCACCGATTGTGGCCGCGACACGAAAGTTGATGGATTTCCAGGCCATCGGTGCATTTTCAGGCCAAATTTTACGTTTTCGCTGGAATTCTAGGTTGTATTGGATTTTTAGCATGAAATTTCGTCAAATGTTATCATTTTTTGAAAATTGCGAAAAAATCACAGAAATTGATGTGCTACGGTGGTTTAAAGGCGCAGCGCGAAAAACGACAAAAGTTTCGTTCGTGGCGAGACCTTTCCATGCAAAAAATCTGGAAAAGGCGCTAAAAGACGAATGGAGAAAAGGGAAAGAAACATAATTAACTTGGTTATTTCTGCCGCGCCACCCGTCCCTCATTCCACCCTCTTCCCGTGCTTTTTCGTGCTCGTTCAATTGAAAATCTGCAGTTTTATTATCGTTCTTGTGCCCGTTTTCAGATGCATCTCGACTTGCCCTCCATCGTCATCTCTTCATCGGACGATCCCATGACAGGTAGGGTATGCGCGACTTTGCGGGCACGTATCTCCGTCAAATTTGAATATTTTTCTACGTTCTAAAAACCATTTGATAGATATTTTCTAGCTCTACAATTTTGTAATTGGTCGTGTTTTGAGAAAAGGCAAGTGCATTTTGATATTTCCATTAGAAGAGCGGCGACAAATATCTCAAGCACACCTTTCAGTAAAACGACAATATCATAGCTCACAAACAGATTCGGAAAAAGTGAGCAACTACAAAGTTGTAGAGCACAAAATTATCTATCAAATGGTTTTTCATATTTGAAAAAATATGCAAAATGAACCGAGTTACGTGCACGCAAAGTTGTCGATTCTCAATAGAGCGTATTTGCATTTCCAGAAGGCACCTCGCTCCTCCATCCGCTAATGCCGTTGATGGTGACTCAAATGGCGTTCTCGCAAAGGAAGTGAGTTCAAAATTGTGTGTTTTCAACTCGAAGAACGCTCATATTTATTTTTCTCTTCGAAAAAAAAGAAAACATAAAGTGCGCTCTACCGAACTTTTTTTGCTCAACCGACTCGGAAGATCTCAAAGATCGGCGCATATTCATCAAGTTTCTCGCGCGGGCAAAAATGTTATTAACATTTTTTGGCTAAAAATGTTTTTTCCCATGTGAAACTGAAACCAGATGCCCGTCGTTTCTCCAGAATTTCCGCCAGTCCCCCCTGTTCCGATAATATTTTGTTTTCCGTCTTTTTCGTGGCGAGACCCGGCCGCACTGATTGTTGGCTTTGCCACGTCACTGACCCCCGCATTGACCAGTAAGTGTTTTGGAAGAAAAGCGCGTGCAAATGTTTGTTCTGTACATTAGTGTTTTGATGCGCCTGGCCTAACAGTTTCGAATGGAGAAAGTTAGGCCAGGAAACTCGACTAGGTGGCCTAGTTTTCACGTGAAAAAGCTAGGCCATGAGAAAGCTAGGTTAGGACATGGGGACATTGCTAACCTGTAATAAGTACGAGGCCTAGGATCGCAAATAACAAATAGATGTCCAAGACACTCGGGCATTCGATTATGCTGATCATGGCCTAAGTTTCCGGGCGAGAAAGCTAGGCCACGTGTGGCCCTGGTCTAGAACTTTCTGCGCGGAAAACTAGGCCAACAATCGCAACTTTGCGCTGTTTGCGATCACTTTTTCAATGTCCTCGGTCCAAAAAGAAGGTTTTTGCCCTTTCCCCCCTAGGCGCACCTGACTTTTTCGCGTTCCACCACTAAAAAAATGGATGAATCTCTGCGAGGCGGTCTGTTTGCAGAGAAGAAAAAGAAAAAGAAGAAGAAGAAGAGAAGAGAGAGGAAGAGGGAACGGCCGAGTGGTAAACATGTGTGGCCGACCCCACGTGTCCTTTTCTCAAAGAAGAAAATGATGATGAGGGGAGGGGAAAAGCGACGCGCAGACGGAAAAACAACTCTCTTTTTTACTCTCTCTTTCTTTTTTTTTCCTGCTCGCTGCCCGTCTCTTTTCTCCGCTTTTTGTGGTCGTTGGCACTTTGTCTCGTCGTCTAACTCTCCGCCTCCGCCCGTAATCTCTAGAACTTTCGCCGTGGATCATATGAGGGTGGCCGGCCGGCCAACGGCGGATCTTTTTAATCTCCGAGACGCTTTTCTTCTTTTTCTTTTTCGGGCTCACACGTGCTCTGGTCCGAGAGTTCAAACAACACGGTTTGCTCAAAAATTGATGTGTCAAAGAAGATGTTTATGAAGAAAACCGTGTTTGTTCGAACATTTTTCAACTGAAGCTGCAAACACGGTAGAAATTGTATAACATACATCTCCGAAAACGTTTCGAATTAATTTTTTGGCTGGGTTTTTCAAACGAGAAACCGAAAAAAGAAGCGTTTAAAAGTTAACGAGCAGCAGAAGCAAACTCCATTCTGTTTTCAACATAATTTTTCCTCTCCCAAAAAAAAATGGGCGCCTGCCGCATTCACAATTACGTGTCTTCGCACAAACATCCGTCTATCACGTTTCATGTCGGCGTTCCCGTCTCGGGCCGGCGCCGAGATGACATTGTCCTTGCATTAATATCTTCGTCCTTTCCCATATACAATTCATATTCCTCTTCGCAAGGCCGTGTTCGTTTCGAAAACACTGAAAATTGCGTTTTCTACTCTCGATCGACAACACTGCGATAGATAAAATTTTTACGAGCACCCAAACCCCAGCCACGTTCGATTTTTCTCGTGCTTTTCTGGAAAAATTGTTCATTTTTTGTTAAGCGGTCTTGTGACGGACGATGAAAAGCTATAAATAATAATAATTTTCTGTTTCCGCTCTCTCACTCTCTCTGAAATAATCGAATTGCGTTGTCTCGTCTGGAAGATAAAAAATGACGATCGCCTCGAGACCGATCATTGATCGCCTGTTTACAAGCGATTTTTCGGTTTTTGCGTGCATGTTTATGCACTCGTCGCGAACTATTTTTTGGTTTGCCGATCAGCTGATAAGCCCCTTTTTCTTATTTTGCTGCAGAATTTTTTGTTTGTCGATCGCGTGGCGACTTATCACTGTTTGAGTAATTTGCACTTTTCTGGGCGACGTGATCTTTGGAATTCATCGGAGTAAAACAAAATATATACATACTTACAAGTTTTGTAAGTTACAAAGCTGTGCGAATATTAATTTGAATTCAAAGAAAATTAGGTCGCGCAATTTTTTAACACAAAAATCGGTGTTCCGACATAGGTTTCTAGAAAAATAGTGGAAAAGCGGATTTTGCGAAATAATATCGAATAGACACACTGCTTCTACAGCTCGACCAAAAATTAAAGCATCCGCATGTGTGTTTATCGCAAAACTTTTGAAATTTCCGCGATTTGTGAACGAGAACTCTGTGCAGGCCCTTGGATTTCCTCGCCGTTCTACTCGCCATGTTTTCCAGTGCTCAAAGAAGCGAAAAGGGACGCGCATTCCGTTTTCTGTGTTATTCTTCCGTCGCTCCTCTCCGTTTACTCCACCCGTTTTTCGTCGTCAATGACCACTCCAGCAGGCCAGTTGGCTCATTAATTCGTATGAAATGAATATGCCTCTCCCCCACTCTCTTTCTCGCGCTTTGCCGTTTCTCTCTCCTAAAAACCAACCGCAGAGGCCATCTGGCACTCGTCCCCCTTCATTTTTTGTGCCGTCGTTATTCTTTCTCACCAGCTGCTCTGGTCACTCACTCTCTTTTATGCGCAATGTCCGGCCGGCCAGGCGCCACAGTCACACTCGCGTACACAACCGACACGCGCACACACACACAAAAACCAATCGATTCGTCCGTTCCGATTTATGCACTTTTTGTTGTCATTCATTGCCAGTGTCACTGATGTTCCGATTCACAGCGGCTATCATTACCCTGGCCCTCTTTTTGTAAAAAATGTCAGGCTAGAAATTAGGGTTAAACAGAGAATCCGTTAAATAAATTCAAAACAATAGCCGCAGCATTTTTTTCTGGAAGAATTGATGCAGCGATGTGGAAAACCCAATTTTTTATTAGAGCGGAAAAGCTCAGTCAATTTTTTCGCAAACGTTGAACTGCCTCTTGACTTTTTTGAATTCTTCAAGAATATGTCACCCCTAATGAAGTTTTCTCCAGCAGTTTCAAGTTTTGATCTTAAAAGATTTCCGAGCGTCGTTCCATTTCCGTCTAGACAAGATAAATTATTGCCACTCTTCTTTCTTCCGTGGAGAGCTGTTTTTGAGCTTAAAAATGTTCGAAGAACGAGGAATACCACGAACTCGTTGCTTATTCGTCCGAAGCTCAGCGAGATGGTGCCTGGAAAACAGAGAATTGAAAAAATACTGATTTTGATAGATTTTGTGGGTTTCGAATTAGTTATTTTTTTCAGATAACTCTTTAATTGTCGTTGAGGCCATTTTTATGCCAAATTTTACAGAAAACAACTCGCTGAAAGTTCGCTAAAACTAGGTATGCGCCTTTAAACTACCGTATACATTTTCCGGCGCGAAACACGTTGATTTGAAAAATTGAAGGCTTGGCAACTCATTTTTGAGCTTTTCCGGGCAAATTGCACGATTTTGGTCAACTAAAAATGATAAAGACCGGTTTTTTGTTCGTAAAAAATTAGTTTTTACTGAGGTTTCTAGAAAATTTAGAACTTAAAGGCGCGCAGTCGTTCAAATTCGAACTTCGCTCCCACGGCGCGCCTATGTATTTGCCCACCGCCTGACTCATTGGGCACCATTTGCGCCCTTTGCGCCGTCTCCGTACCCCCGCCCGTCGCCAATTCCGCACTTTTTTGCGTCCTTGCCGTCCGTCTGTCCACAAGGCCGCCCGTCTCTGCCAAACACACACACACACACACACACATTCGCTCATTCATTCAAATCGTTCTTCTCAATTTGCGATTCTCGCAGGTGGAAGACAATGTCATCGCTTCGCCATCAGCCGGCGACGTCGCCGACCGCCGCCACGTCGTCGCCGATCGCCCGGAATGTGTACTCGCGCGGCTCGGTCGACGTCGAGAGCGGCGAAGTTGTGCACAGCCACAAGAGACCCTACACGCCCGGCGCCAGTCCCAGAGGTTCGTTTTTTGTTGAGAGATCTGCGGCCTAATTGTGACGATTTTGCAGAAATTCTACTAGCACAATCACAACGACACCTGCCGTCGCCGTCGCAGACTTCACCGCATGGGTCCAGGTAAGGAAAATAACTTGTGGCCGAGCTTTTACTTGAAAATTTTGTCTTTCCGTTCGGATTCTGCGTCGATTGTGTAAAAACATTGATAATTTTAGAATTAGTTGACTCCAAATTTAATTTAAATTCAATTTTTCAAATTACGGTCAAAGTTCACGTGAATAATCACAATCTGTCTAAAAATCCAACCGCCCACCGCATTGCCCGTTCTCAGCAGATTCATGGAGGGATACCGACGTCGAATGCGACAGGCGAGCCTCAATTTGCCGTCGGAGACACTGCTCGACGAGGATCTCGGCTTCCCGCCCGTCTGCTCGCCGCCGCCCGAAGTGTTTTGCGGTTCGATCAGCGGAAATCAGATGAGGTCGCGGTCCAACTCGGACGCCTACTCCGGAATGAGGTACGGACGCACAGCAATCGGGCCAGAGGGATCGTTTTCGAATTTTAAGCGTTTTCTGCTGGTTCGGTGACAATCATTTTAAATTCAACAAGCTATTTTAAGAACAGTGACATACGCTCCGAACCAGGCGCGTAATAGTTTTCGAGAAAAAAATCTTCAAAGTCAGAATTTTGGTTTGGGGCGCAAACATTCCGCACATCAGCTGTGTTAACTTTTTTAGGCCATTTGAACCGACACAGCTGAACTTAGTGATACAGTTTCCCTCAAATCGTGACGAGAAATGGCTTGTTGTAGATTTACGCCGCAACGCTTACAGATGATTTCTGCCCATGTCTGATCCCGCACCTTATAAAATTGAATTTCAGAATGCAATCGTCAAACAGTCTGGGCCAGGGCTCGAACGGAAGCGCGGGCGGCGGCGGCCTGCTCGTCTTCTTCCCCACCTCGCCCTCGTCTTCCTCAAATCACTCGGGCGGTCCGCTGCTCTCGTTCGGCCGTCGCGAGAGTCACACGGACGAGACGGCCGAGGAGGCGATCGTCTGGTCGACGGCGAACGACGTCAACGACGAGCTGATGCAGGACGAGGAGATGTGCATCGAGGAGAACGATGTGAGCATGAAGGACGTCGAAGTGTGCTCGGCAAAGTCGCTGAAGAGACCGCCCGATTTGAACGGTTTGTTCGGAAAAGTGGAGATTGATCGGTCAGCAAAAAAACGGGTTATATTGGGGGGAAAAGAATGTCCTATCCACTCCAAATTAAGCTCCCCCCTCCCGTTTTCTTCTCTGTTTTTTGCCCAATCCATTTGATGATGGGCTCTCTCTCTCTCTTTCTTTTTCTCTCTCGGGAGACCAGCCACTGAGCACTGCTTCTTCTTTCCTTTTCTTGGCCTGAAAAAGTGAGATGAACTGAGAGCAGGTTCTCACGGGAAACAACACAAAACAGACAATGTCGTTTATTGAAGTGATATTGTTCGTTTCTTTGCCATTTCTTCTTCTTCTTCTTCTTCTTCTTCTTCTTCTTCTTCCATTCTTCTTCTTCCCTTCAAAATCTCGGAAATCGAAGCGCCGTCCCAGCTTTTCACTTCTCATCTCCTCGATTGGAAATCCGGCCTCTTCCGCAATTTTTGCTCGATTTTTGAGCATTTCGAGCCTCGGAACGACGTCATCACCAGAATTCCATTCCGCCTACTACTATTGGCGATTTATTAGCTCCGGTCACGCAATCCGCGTTTTTTTTTCAAGAAGACGCTCAATTTTGAGATGAAGAGTGCCTTGAGGCAACAAAAAGCTAGTAAACTTTTATGGCATTTTTTCTTCGTGGGCCATCAAAATTGTTTGGAAAAAAATGGAAAAAATTTGGACGACGTCGTCGTTTTCGACCCAATATTGTGGAAATGTGCGTCCGATCCAAGTGACCTTAGGTCCTTGTCCATTCCCGCGACCACGTGATGTTGGGCATTCGGAGAGAAGCGCAGAGAAGGAGAGAGAGAGAGAAGAAGAAGAAGAAGAAGAAGAAGAAGAAGATTGGTGCCGGCTGATAAAAGAGAAAAAAGTTTGGGTGCATGTGAGTGCCCAGATGGCTACTCGCGCCCGCTTATCACACTTGGACCCTTATCATCTCCTTCTTCTTCTTCTTCTTCTTCTTCTTCTTCTTCTTCTTCTTCTCTCTCTCTCTCTCCCTCTCTGTTTGCTGGTTCTTGGTCTTTTGTTCGACGACTCTCCCAGCTGATAATAATTTTTATTTATGTTGGTCGTCCTCAAACAGTTTTAAACACGCCAGAAACTGGCCCTTTTTTGTTGTCGCACCCGCCGCGTTTCTCGTTCGATTTTGTGTTTGCGAGGGCAATCCGCCTGCCCTGGTTCTAATCATTCTTCGTGTCGATCGACGGGACCGTAATGTGGTCCCACTTGACCGGGCGGACTAATCGTCGTATATTTTTAGGGAGGACTCCAGAAAATCTAGAAAGACTCAACGATTGTTGTGGTGGACACATGAAAATTGGCTTTTAGTCGCTTCACTTTTGTGCTAAACGAATTGACTCTGAAAATTTTTGTAAAATCAGGCTGAAACCTGGACCCGAAGTCCGAGAAGTCTGCAAAGTTTGGATACGATCGGATTATTGCAAGTGGGTCAAAAGTCTTGCTGAAAGTCATTTTGCACTTTTTGTTTATCAGATTTCAGCCGTCTCTCCTAGACTCTTGTCAATATCTCAATTTCCATAATAATTTGCATAATTCATTAGGGATGCAATATAAAGAACGACAGTTTTTGAACAAAAGTGTCACATTGTGCCGATCGTTTTCAAAAATCGACAAAACATTTACTCGTTTGGATCATGTCTGACGTGGAGAATGACCGAACATCGAATGGTCATCAGTTGAGATATAAGTTTGAACTTTTAGTATCATCGAAGAATTGTACGTTTTTTTTTGCCATTGTTATCGTCTGGCAGCCAGCAGCTCTCATTTCCTCCCGGAAACCCCTTGACATTAGAGCTCTTTGCTAGAGAAGACAAAAAAAAACACTTTTTGGGAGGGGAGTGGCGTCTACAGTATTATCGTGAAAATGGAGAAGTAGGAGGAGGGAGAGAGAGAGAGAGAGAGGACAAAAACATCCTTCTTCTCTGTCTTTTTGCCTTTTTCTCCTCGTCTTTTGTGATAAACAAAAAGTGCAATCGGGCCCAAGTGTTTTTCTGCAAAATGAGAAGGGGGAGGGGGGCCGAGTCGGATTCTAGGTCATGTGCCAGCTGATTCGAATTCCAATTCCAATTCGATCACGTCACTTTGGTAGAACCAAGAGTGCTCGAGGCGACGCCCACTTTTGAGATGATTTTGTATTTTGGTTATGACAATTCATGAATGTTTTGACAGATTTTCTCTAGAAATCGAGTTACGGTATTGATTAATAGGTTACGCCACTTACTTCTCGTCCTTTTGAAGCATTCTCCAAAAAAATTCCCTGGCCAAACTCGAATCGTCTTCTGGAAGAGATAAATCACGTGCTCGGGCCTGAGGTCCAACAATTTTTGATGATTTGCCACCCGCCGCCGACCAAGAAGCGGATAATATCACAACACGCCTCTCTCTCTCTCTCTCTTCCCCTGTTTCTCCGCACGAACCCGATGGGACAGCACGTTTTTCCGCGCCGACTTTTGTAAAATGGGTCATTGCGGTCTGAAAAAACGACGTGTGATTTGTAGTTTGACGCCTCCTCGCGTTTTTTCTGGAGATTTCTGATTGCACCTGACACGAGATTGGCCCTTCCGGCTTTTTGCCCAGTTTCCTTCCGGCTCCTAAATTTCTGCTGACATTTACTCTTTGAGAGATGTCTCTAATCCCGGCGCCTCTATTGTTGTTATTGGATTTGTCCGGAGATGTATATGTCTACTTTTCCTGTTTGCAATCATCTCGTTTCAGTCTCTGAGCCTGGAGCATTTGAGAACATATAAGTCCTGAAAAGATCAGCTCATCTGGAGATGTATCGATTTGAGGCCTAAAGTGTTTCGGGCCTAAAATCGATACATCTCTAGAACTGATGATCCGATCGGACGGAAACTTTCAAGACCGACACTCCAAATCAAGACTGAAAGTCACAATTTTTCTTGTACAGGCTGAAACCTTGCAAATATGGCCTAAAGCCTCTATAGGCCTTGCTCTCAGTAAACCCAGTACAATATTGGCTCCTTCGAATTGAAAAGTGAAGAAGACGACGATGATGATGTTTTGTTTTATTCGCTCGCATCTGTTTGTGTTGGATCCATCTCCCTCTCTCTCTCTCTCTCTCCCTCTTTCGCTGCCTTTTTTGTTTGAATCACTCCTTCTCGCCTCCTCCTCCTCAGCGGTCGCTTTGTTTGATTTTACGAGCCCCCATTCTCGCTCGCTTTTCTCAGTTTCAGCCTTGTGAGAATCTGCATAATATTGTTCGTTTCCCAAGGCGAGGACGGTATAAAATGATGGGAAATGGTAGAAATGTACATTCGTAGAGGCCTAAACAGCCTAAACGGAACAGATTTCGAGAAATCGGGGACTGTTTTTCAAATTCTGTATTCAGGTTGATACGGACTAATTTTAAAGTGCATTTCTGCGGTTTCAGATTATTATTTCGTTCGGATACCTCTAAGTAATCACCTGCCTTCTCACTTTCCTCTTTTCTTCATCTCTCTCCTCCTCTTCCACACTTTTCAAAAGCTGCCCACTTCAGAACCCCTTCCCTCCTCCGTGTTCTTCCGAAAAACCGACAATAGTGACGGGTATGGCGACGAGCGTATGCAGTACGGACGCCGCGAATCCTCAGCCGCCGCCGCCCGTCGTCTTCCCTCCGAGACCGATGCCCGATCCGTTCCACACACCCCGATCCGCCAACCCCTCGGCACTGATTGTCCTTTTGGCCGCCCAGCCGTCGGTTGATCCGGATGGCGCCGTCCGAGATAGTCCGAGAAGGAGATGGTTCAGCCAACGGGGCGAAGGAACCAAGAGTGCGCCGTGCAGTGCGCGTCGCCTCGACAAGTCGCTCTCGTTGGACGGAGAGACGCCGTACTTGCAAAGCCAGCCGAAACGGCAGAGCATGGAGACGATCGAGCAGGAGCCGGAGTGCTGCTCGCTCGCCGAAGATCATCCGTCGCCGTTGCCGCCGAAGGGATTGATTCGCAAGTTTCGGAAGCGCATTCTCAGCTCGGATAAGTCGGCGACGCCGGCGGCCAACGGGTTTAATCAAAGTATGGCGAACTGAGCAGGGACTCAAACACGCCATTGGCTCAGTAATTGCATGGAGTGCTCGAAAAAACTTTACATTTGCTGTCAAGTCGCATTTTCGCCATTTTTCTCGCCGCTGTCAGGAAAAATTAACTTTTTTGCGAGTATTCTATGCAATTACTGAACCAATTACATGCCGGTTAAAAAAATGTTCATTTCAAGGGCGTGACACAATGGGTGTCATTTTCACGACCCGTTTTTTAGTGTCACTTTTAAACGCGAGAAAGCTGACCGATCAATTTGCGTTAAAAAATTGAAATTTGAATGTGGACGTGTTTATTTGCAGGCTCAAACAATGCGGGTTCGTCGCACAACGGCGGTGGTGGAAATTCGCAAAATGCGCACCAAGGTATGATCCCCCTCTCCGAGCTGACAAGCCAATCGACAAACAGACGCTTGTATGTATGTGTGTGTGTGTGTTACAGCGTCGAACACGTACTCGTCGCCGCGCTCACGTCCGCTCTTCGTCGACACTCAGATGGCGAACATGGACTCGTCGCTGAAGCGCCGCAGTCCCGTCTCGCAAGTGGTCGACTTTGTGCGCGGCCGCAACCGGACCTACTCGCTCCAACTCTCGAGCAGTCCCATGATGTCGCCGCAGTCCGTCGCCGCGAGGGCCAGCGCCTCGGCCGATACGCAGCCAAGTAAGAACAAGAGTTTGAAAAATGCAGTTAACACATTGTTTCGGTGAAAGCTTTCTCCCTTCAAATTGACTAGTTACGGTAGCCTTGCAAACCGTCCAAATTTATAAAAATTCAAATGCGTGACTTTGCAGTAAACTCGCCGGGTCGCCGCCAGACGATGTCGGGCCGAGTGCACCGCGCGTCGTTCACCGCGAGCGGAGCACTGAAGAGCTTCGACTCGGGACTGGATCTCTCGTCGCCGACGATCAACCACACGGCACTGCTCATCAAGGAGGTACGCCCCCCTCTCTACATTCTCTTTTTATTTTCTGTTGCCCATAAAAAGTCATGACCGGATCGGAGAGGCGCCGCCGCCGCCGCCACCGCGTGGCGTGGATGATAATAATAGTAATAATGATATGCGACGACCACACACACACACCTGACGACGTGAAGAATCGAAGAACACGTCATCGGTCTGTGCGGAGACCAATTCGGATCGAGACACGGAATGCGAAGAAGCTCCCCTGTCACTTTCAGCCAATTTCAGTCGTCGCAAGACGCGACGTCTAATTTGTTTGAGGCCAAAGACGGCGAATCCTATTTGGCGGTACTAAATTAGATTATCGATACCAACTGTACTGTGTTGTTTTTCAAGACCTAGCCGACTGGAATCCGTTAAAAACACTCTTTGTGTATTCATGATTTTCGGCGTCTTTCAGTTGACCGACCACTTACTTTTTGATAACCTTTTGTCAATTTGTCAAGGAGTCTTTGAAAAGTTTGTGAGGATAATTAGAAACGTAGATACTGTAAATGCTGTAATAGCAGGGCGCCCAAATGCTGGTCATTCAACTCAATTTATCTCGGATGTTTGTAGAGATCAAAACATTGTCAACTGCTAAAAAGTAAACTATGCTTTCAGGAACATTTTGTAAGTTGATCACATTTTGATATCTCTTCGGGCAGATCTGAGATACGTTGTCTCGAATGGGCGGTACTTGTTTATTACAGTTTTTACGTAGTTTTTCGAAAATGAAAAAAAGCCTTGTGGTTCGAAAGATCGCCTTCTTTTTCATGCTCGGTAGACTTTAGCGCGCGAGGACACTTTGTGGCCCTTTGCTCGTGTTGACCTTCTCCCGGCTTCTTCTTCTTCTTCTTCTTCTTCTTCTTCCTCTTTCCGTCCATCCGTGCGGTCGTTTCGCCCTCTGCGTCTCTGTCAAACTCGGACTGTCCTTGCGTTTCGCCGTTTCTCGCCTCTTTCTCTCTCTCTCTCTCTCTCTCTTTCTTCCGAATGACCACAACCTCCTCAGCCTGCTGCTGCTGCTGCTGGACAACACAAACGAGGAAGCTGTCGTCTTGAGAAGCATTGATTTTCAATTTTCCCTTTTTTTTGTTCAACCTTTTAAATTACTAGTTCTCCTAATGTTCTTCTACAAAAAGTGAAATTGTGATCTCGAGCCCGGCGCCAATCAAAACCGAGATTCACATTGACGTGGCATCTTTTGACTTTCTACACCACAACAAATACTAACTAATTTATGTGGCGCAATGAATCCTTGATCGAAGATCGAGAGAGACGGAGAGAAGCCGTCGAGCCTGCAGATGACGTCATTCCGCAATTGGACGCACGCGTGACTCGTCTACTAGTACTAGAAAAGCAAAAAGTTTGAAAGAACAGAAGCAGCAGCAGCAGCAGCTGACAATCCGATTTCATAACTTTCTTCGGCTGTTTCTTCCATCCAAACTCCTCGGAACCACCACGTGCTCCGCCGTCGGGGAGAAGCTTATCTTTTCGTTTTCTCTCTCTCTCTCTCTCTTCAATTCTCTCGAGTAAACTGTGCTCTTTTTTGTGTTGAGACGCTTTGAGGAGGGATTGTGACGAAACACAGTCATTTGATGGTTGGATTTTTCGAGCAAAAGTGCAGTGACGCACAAATTTTCACTTTCATAGCCAATTTCTCGAAAAGAACTTTGGAAATCAAAAATGAGTCACTTTTCATCTTACATTTGGACACATTTTTACTAATCTGGAATAGGTGGCTACGTATCAAACTCAAAAAATAAAAGTGCCACGTGGCATTTGCCAGCGCAACTAGATTTCACAAAGGCCAATGTGCTTCTTTGGCAAAGAAAATCACTTTCTCTCTCTCTCTCTGTTTTTTTTTTATGAGCTTTGATGATTGGGCCAGAATTAATTGAATTTGTGGGGGTTTAGAGGTCGAGCGCTCTTTCTTTTTCTTTGTTTTCCTTCGCTCTAAAACCTATGCGTTCTCAGCCACAGCTGTAAACCATCACATAAGCTCTCGTCGTCTTCCGTCGTCATTTTTGATCTGGAATTGACCCGTATTACACTCGCTCTGTCTTTCTCTTCTTCATCCGCGTTTTTCTCAAACGCTCGCAGCCAACCTTCTTGTTTTCAACTTTTTCTTCTTCGTCGCCTGGATCGCGTTTTCCGGGAGTTGTTGGTGGTTGTCTAGTTGCCACGGGACACGTTCCCAAAACAGAGCCCCCCTCACTTTTTACGTCTTTTTTTAAGGAAAGGCACACAATTTTTCATTACAACTTTTGGAAATAATGCATTGAGCAATGAGCCGCCTATTCCGATTCTTAACAAGGCGGTCAACCTAACGTTTTTTTTTTAGGTTTGAAATTTTGACTTTTTGAACTTTGACTGTTTGCACGTAAGTGTGTGCACGTACTTCCATATTTGTCGCATTTACAAAAAGTTTGTGCTTTGGTAAAGTGTGCAATTCATCTAGCAAGGTTTCTGGAAAAGATGCTCATTTAGAGAATGCGCGTCGACCTCTGATGCCCTTTTTTTCCTTTCTTCTTCCACTTTCCTCCTCCTCCTTCTTTTTCTTCTCCTTTTTCTTCCTCTTCTTCTTCTTCTTCTTCTTCTTCTTCTCCGTCCGTGCCGGCCGGCCTCTCGGTTTTATTATTTGTTCTTCTCAGGCTCATCGATCGACTCGTCGTTCGGCCGCCGCCGCCGCAGCCGCAGAAATGTTTCTCGATGCTTTTAGTTTTTAGTTCTTCACACACACACACACACAAAATGACACGTAAAGCTGGAAAGGCGATTATTCAAATTTGCGGTCCTTTTTGTCTTTTTTGTGTGTGTGTGTATGAAAAAGAGAGTTCTGGTATGATATGCAAATATTTCCCGCCCCACTTGGCGCCAACATTCAATATCGAAAAATGTCGATACGTTCTCTCGTCTCCAGCCCTTTTTTTTTTGGCCTATTCTTCATTGTGCCATTGCTCGGTCATTCATTCGTTTCCCCCTCGCATTCTTTCCGTTTTTGCTGCAAAAAGGTTCAGAAATCTAGAATCGCTAGGCTTTCTTTTAATTCGGATTAGAATGTTTGATGGTGTGTCGTCCCAGAGACTTTTGTTATCCGCTCGGAGCGGAGCCAAGATTTGTACGGATTATCATTCGAGTATCATTGCTTTGAAAGTTGTAAATCGATCGGATTAGTCTAATCCGAATGGACTAGAATTCTGAAAGTGTACACTAGAAGTCAATGTTGATGTTCGTGTAAAGTTAGGAAAATATCGAAAATTGCAGTTTCTGCGAAATTTCTTTGAATCTATACGAAAAGTCCATGTTTTGGGGATGTGAACTGACTTTTGATCTGTTTCGTTCTATTTTGACACTGTGTCTTATGTGAACATTTATCTCCTCATCCCTGTTCAAAAAGATGCAATGAAACGGGCAATTTCGTGGAGGTTTCAAGCGGGGCCTTACGGAAAACGCGTAAGACACCAACGTCCAAGATTGGATTCGCATTTTTCTCCTCCTAAAAAACATTGACATTTGATCTTTCTTCGCTTTCTTTCCCAGTCGAGATTGTTTGTTTGCGAAGACGATCTTCGAAGCACAGTTTACTGCCCTAATCAGGACAAAACTTGTCGCCGTCGCCGTCGTCGTCGTCTTCTGATCGCTTTCTGAACCGAATCTCTGTTTGTCTCGCTCTCCGCCCTCTGCTCGCTCTCTTATCACACATTCGCACAGATAAGTACACCATGTGACGACGGTCGGTCGACCCGAATGGGGAGAAGAAGAAGAAGAAGAAGAAGGAGAAGGAGAGGGAGAAGGTGATAAACTCGAAAACGGGGTCCATCTCTCTCTCTCTCTCTCTCTCTTTCTCTCCCTCGCTTTCAATTTTTGCGACGATTTTCGAATGATATAATATCGGTTACACCGCGCATCTTCTTCTTCTCCTTCTTCTTCTTCTTCTTTTTCGTTTTCCATCTTGGACAATAATATTGATTTGTGTGGCAACAAAAGCCACGTATCACTTATCAGCCTCTTTGAGGAAGCTTTTGTGTACATAAGGAAATGATGGTCACTCACTTTTTTCTCTCTTTTTCTCTCTCTCTCTCTCGCTCTCGCCCTGTTTCGCTCTTTTTCTTCCGCAAACTTCTTCAAAATTCCAGAACTCGGCACCTCGATCCTACCACTTTTCTCGGCCCCACCCCCCGTCCCATGTCGCATCGTAGATTTGTTGCATCGCACGGCACAACTTGAACAAACCACTTTTCCCGATTTTCCTTCGACACTCTCTTCAACGCTTCCAACCTGAATTCCGCCAAAAACGCCGCCCGAAAGATGGTGGCGAGGGGCAGTCGGAGTTCGGCAGCGCCCGCCAACTCCTCGTCGCTCCAACCGCCGCCCATCGGCGATCTCGTCATCTCGGTCGACGAGGAGCCGATCGCGGTGACGAGTGCGCCGCAGACGAAGCCGCCCAAGAAGGGATGGGTGAAGGCGGCGAAGACGAAAGCCACCGGGACCCTCCGACGGACGTTGTTCGGCCGGAGCACGAAGCGACGCGCCAAAGATGCGGAGGATGTGATCCGCGAGGTCGAGGACGAGGAGGACGACGATTTCAGTCAGGACAACTACGATACGGTCAAATCGCTCCCAGCTTCGGGCCACTATGGAAAGTCGCGTGTGGGCAACACGTCGCACAGTAAACTGCAAGACCTCGCCGACGAGATCCGCGCGAGAACCTCGGGCGCGAAGCAGGGCTCGGAACCGCCGGCGCCAAAACCGCCCGTGATCATCTTCCGGGTGCCGCGGAAGCACGCCAACTCGATGTCGTCGTTGCGCATCTCGCCGGGAGCCGGCGGCGTCGTGAAAGCGCCGCTCTCCGATCCGGTCTTTGACTTTTACACGTGGCACACCTCAGAAGCCGGTTAGTGTGTCTTATTCCGTTCCCTTTTGCAGGCGTCCCTATTCTCGTCGTTCGACTCGATGTCCATCGGTACCGCGGTACCGGACATTAACGCCATCTTCTTTGGTACGCGGCCGGACGATGAAGAAGACGAATTTTCAATGTTTTCCCATTCCCAACCCTCACTTTTGCAGACAACCACGACGCGGTGTACTCGTTGTTCATGAAGGCGCACAAGTGTTACGATCTGATTCCGACCTCGTCGAAGTTGGTCGTTTTCGACACTCACCTGCCGGTCAGGAAGGCCTTCTACGCGCTGGTCTACAATGGAGTCCGCGCGGCGCCGTTGTGGGACACAGAGAATCAGCGGTTCACCGGAATGCTCACCATCACCGATTTCATCAAGATTTTGTGCAAGTGAGTGTGGGAATTTCTGTCGGGGATGGGAAGGCGTAAATCGACACCGCGCTCTATTGATACCGAAATTGAGAATCTTATTGATGTTTTTACAGGCACTACGATCAGGGCGACAATGCGGAGCGCATCCGCGCACTCGAAGACCAACAAATCAGTCACTGGCGCGATCAGTTCGAGCAGGAGGGAACGCTCCGCCCGTTCGTCTACATCGACCCGAACGAGAGTCTCCATCGCGCGGTCGAAGTTCTTTGCGAGTCGAAAGTGCACCGACTGCCGGTGCTGGATCGGCGGACAGGCAACATCACGTACATACTGACGCACAAGCGCATCATGAAGTTCCTCTCACTGTACATGCGCGACCTGCCCCGACCGTCGTTCATGTCGTGCACACCGCGCGAGCTGGGCATCGGCGCGTGGGGCGACATCCTCTGCTGCCACGTCGACACTCCGATCCACGACGCGCTCGAACTGTTCCTCAAGAACCGCGTCTCGGCGCTGCCGCTCATCGACGAGACCGGCAAAGTGGTGGACATTTACGCGAAGTTCGACGTCATCAGTCTGGCCGCCGAAAATTCGTACGATAAACTCGATTGCACAGTGCAGGAGGCGTTGCAGCACCGATCCGAGGTATTATCGATTGGTTTTGTGTAGAAATTTCAATGTTTTTCAGTGGTTCGAAGGAGTGCACACGTGTCTGGAGACGGACTCGCTCTTCCAGGTGCTCGAGGCGATTGTGAAGGCCGAAGTGCACAGACTGATTGTGACCGATCAGGACAAAAAGGTAAACATCTGTTTAGCACAATTTTCCGAAAACTGAAGTACATTTTTTGCAGGTCGTCGGCGTCGTTTCGCTCTCGGACATTCTCAAGTACCTGGTGCTGGATCCGTGCCAGAAACCGCCGGCCGCCGCAGGTCCGCCGACACGAAACGCGAGCGGCACGTCGACGGGCGGCTCGACAGACTCGCCGCCCAACAGCATTCCCGAAGGCGTCGAGATTGAGGAGGACGAGGAGCCGGCGCCGTGCTCATCGACCTCCCGCGCCGCCAACTAGATCACCAATTTTCTTTGCTTTTTTCTCTTCAGTTTGTGCCTCACACTCACATTGTATTTTAAATTTAATTATTGTCAAGTACGCCCGTTGTAGATTCGAATCGATTGATTGTCAATTGTCAACCAAAAAAAAGAAGAATAGATGTGCTTTGCCCCCACCCAAATCTAAAGGACCAACCCCCAAAAAAAAAACGAAAAAAGACGATTTTTCATGTACATAGATGAAAATTTCCCTCTCTTTCTCCCTCTCTATCATTTTATGTTTTCTCACATTTTCCAGCCACACGCCCCACAAAAATAGTATTCATTCGGTTTTGTTTCCTCTTCGTTTCTTTTTATTAATCTTGAAAACGGATATTTGTCTATCTGCAACGGGAATTCCATTTTTTTTTCCTCTTTTGTTTTCTCTCTGTTATCTTATTCGTGTCTTGGCACAGTGCCAAAAAGTGTTTCTCTCTTTTCTAACGCCCACCGCCCGTCCGGATTACGGAATGATTTGATTGGATTTTCCCGAAATATTTTTCTGCCATCCTCCCCTTTTTTTCTGATACGCTTCTCCATTGGTTAGTCTTTTTTTCGATTGCTCGTCGTCGTAGTTGTCATTATTTTTCTCACACACACACAGACAATGGACCTGTAAAAAAATATGCTGCAGATAAATATGGATAATACTGGGATTTCTGTTTTTTGTTATGCCGCGTCCAATGTCTCGGAAAAACCGTGAAAACCGCAAGTTTTTCTGTCCAAAGTCGGCCGAAATTTGCGTGAAAAACGGGGGTGCGCACAGCTCAATGAGTGTAACCGTACCCCTAAAACTACGGTATTTTTTGAAAATTCGCGCAAGAAATTTGAATATTTTCAAATATCCTCAAGAAATTAACAAATTTTCAAAAAATACCGTAATTTTAGGGGTACGGTTACATTCATTGAGCTGTGCGCACCCCCGTTTTTCACGCAAATTTCGGCCGACTTTGGACAGAAAAACTTGCGGTTTTTACGGTTTTTCCGAGACATTGGACGCGGCATTAAAAACTTGAATTCCTAACGAATTTTACTACGGTAGCCGACAAAGTGTGCAGTGCGCATTGCGGGCTTTGCGCAACAATTCACGTCGTTTTTTGGGCGGTCTCCAGAGAACTTGCGACGCTTTTTTAACGTGTTTCAGCCGATTTTTTCCAAATTTTTAGCGCTGAGAAAATATTGTGCATTAAGAATATGGTGTCGCCGTCCGCCACGCGCAACGTGCTGCACACCTACGGCAAACGGGGCATCTACATTTCGTTCGCCGCCGCTGTCGTCTCGACTGTCGCCTTCAACGCGTTCTACGTCTGGCCACGTCACAACAAATACGAGGAGTTCTTCGCGTAAGTTACTTTTTAAAAAATTCGAGAAGGAGGTCAATATTTAAGAATTTTCAAACGTAAAAAGCCTAAAACACGTTCATTTTTACAGAAACTACGATCCGTACACGCGCATGAAGGAGATTTGCGCGGCGAACAAGGGATACATGCACACGTGCCCGAAAGAGCTCGCCAAACTGTACGAGGAGAAGGGCAAAACGGTCGCCGAGCACTAAAAGCCGCCGCCGCCGAGAGGTCTCCGAAATAAAATCACCCCCCACATCTGAACGATTGTAGAAATGGTTGTGTAGTGAAATAATTGAGTGTTTGTGTGTTTCAACCAATAAAAATCATCGATTTCCCCTTGCTTTTCTCGATTTGCGCTTTTTTTTCCGGCCTTGAGTTTGGATTTCAGCCGAGCTTTAAAGCATAGTTGCCACGGGCCGGGCCGGGCCGGGCCGGGCCGGGCCGAAATTTCCAAAACTCCGGCCCGGCCCGGCCCGTCGGCCCGGCCCGGCCCGGCCGGCCCGGCCCGGTCGGCCCGGTTCAAAAAGCGGGAATTCAAAATTTGAATTATTGATCGCATGAAGCCATTTTTTGTAGAATTAGGGGTTTTTTGCAAGCATCGAACATTGAAAAACAAATGTATTTCTCATAAAAAATTCATAATAGCAAAAAAACAAAGAAGAAACACTAAAACTTTAGTTCGAAATTTTTTTGTAATAACGAAAAAATTTCCGCGAAAAATTTGAATTCCCGCCTTTTTGAACCGGGCCGACCGGGCCGGGCCGGGCCGGCACTTCACCGACCCGGCCCGGGCCGACCCGGGCCGGCCCGCATGGCCGGCCCGAAATCTGGCAAGTCTGCTTTAAAGGGACAGAGTGAATTTTTCAAGCCGGGTCTTAAGACGATTGATGTACAGTAAACGGCGCGAAACGAAGATTTTCGAATGTCTGACCCCAGTCTCTCTGAACTTCTCTATTTTCTGAATTTTCCAGCTGTCAAGAGCAAAAATGTACGACGAATACGACGAAGAAGCGACAAATTGGGAGACGCCGGAAGGAATTGCCGAGCAGAAAGAAATTGCAGAGAAAATCGAAACTGTAAGCCTGAAAAATAGAAAAAAACATCTAAAATTCGTTCAGGTAATGAAAAGTTACAAAAAGTACGCGCCGGATACGGATCTATTGAGGAGTTTGCTCGCACAAAAGTGCGATTTCATCTTTTACGAGTTCTACAGCGGAAACATTGCCAGAGAGTTGGTTTTTTCCGCGAATGTTTTCAAAGTATTCAATTTTTTCACTTTTTCAGCATGTCCGAACGTTTCCAAGCGGGAATCACGCAGCGAAACGAGGAGGCGAACCGAGATTATATGTGCTTCCTGCGAAAACTATACAGTCTGTTCACCGAGAAGCACAAGGCGCTGTTCGCGCAGCTGCTGCTCGGCCAGTGGCAAAAGTTCAACACCGACTACACGCCGTACTTTGAGAGCATCTGCCGGGTACGCTCTCGGCGAACGGTCTCTCAAAACCGTCGAATAGTTGCAGGACTTTGACGACATTTTGTCGAGCGCGCTGCTGAAGTTGACGGCCGACGAGAACGCGTTGGAAGTGGTCGATCCGATCCGCTGGAGCATCATCATCTCGCCGCCCGCCTCCTGCGTCAAAATGCTCTTCCAGAGCCTCCTCCGCCCCGAAATAATGCCAACGGTGCTCGGAATCTGTCACTCGATCCCAATGTATTTCCACGAGCGCCCGTTGCGAATGTGGCACACCGAGTTCGAGGTGGACCAGTTGGAGCCAGTCATGACCGCTGTTTTGCGACGTTTGATCTTCAAGTGCCGGTCGGAAACGATGGAGGCCGCGCAGTGGGACAATCTGGAGACGCTGGCCCTCGCGCTTTGTGATCCAGTATGATTAGTGACCACAATTCCGATTATAAATTCATGTTTTTAATTTCAGAACGCCCCCGATCCGGGACCTCTGATGGATCATCACTCGGTATTGACGGTCGTGCTGGCGGATCTGTACACCCCCAACCGAATCCCCGCCAAATCCGTCGAGCTGCTCGTCCGAATCGCCGCGCGCATCCTCAACGCCGCCTCCGGAATGCCATTCAACAAGCAGTTTGCCGTGTCCCGCCGCGAGCAACCGAAAGAATCGCTGTTCATGACGCCCACCATCATCCATCTGATGCTCCAGCTCATTCGAGATTACGCGCAGAGCGAGGAGCGCATTGTCGCCGCCGCTGTTCAGTGTCTCAAGTCAATCGGCGCGCGAATGTCCGAGGTTTTTGCGGTGTTCGACGAGGAGACGCGCGAGCGACTGATCGGAGAGCTCGCCGAGCTGCCCTGGTGGATCGAGTACGCCTTTTTCACGTGGTTCTCGTCGGTGCTCAAACCAGAGAGTCGCCGAGTTCCGCACGCCGTCCTCGTGGCGTTGCTCTCGGAAAACGAGCAGTTTGAGGCGAAGCCGGGCACGGAGCACTGCGATCTGCTCACCTCGCTCGTCGAGTTGGCACTGTTCGACGTGGATTGTGCGACAGAGCTGCTGCATGAGTGCTCGCTGATCAAGATCGACGGGAAGGTGGTGGAGAGTTTGACGAAGGCGTTGGCGGAGAGTTGCGGAATGAAAATGGCGTTGGGCGGCGCGAATCGACACTTGATCGGACCGTTCTTTCTCGATGTTCTGACGGTGAAGGAGATTCCGGCTGAAAATGTCGAGCTGGAACTCCAACGTCTTCTCGTGCTCATTCCCGCGGCTTCAACTCCTCCGCCAACTACTACGGTCGCCAGTGCTTCGCTTCTCGAGGCGACACTCAATATTCCAGCTCTCGATGAGCCGATCGTCGAGTGTGGAACATGGCCGAGCACGCCCCGTAAGACTTTTTGCTGAAAGCCATGAAAAAATTTCCAATTTTCAGCACTGATAATTCTGGAGACGTCGTTTAGCGAGGAGATGCGCCTCCGCCGCTGGTACGACCGAGAGACTCGTCGGCGCGCGGCCGAACGCGTACAGGAGCGAATGGACCGTCTGCAGGCGACGTGGCGCGAGAGCATCGCGTACAAGCAATGCGAGGTGAAGACGCAGGCGTGGATCGACCACAAGACGAAGCGGGCGAAGGAGGAGGAGATCTACTTCCGACGCCGCGGCTGCCGACGATCCGTAGACGAAGAGATGTCGCCGGAGGAGGAGGAGAGCTGCTTCTCGCCGATCGGATGGCAAGAGAGGGAGGAGCTCGCCGCGGCGCTCTCCTGAATTTTTATATTGTTCTGATGAACTTCTGATTTCTGCTATAAATGCCCCCTGCTGTTTAAAAATTTTTTTACAATAAAACGTTTTACTCCAGAGATTACGTGTGCAAGTGCGCGTGGAATGTGACGTGTACACGCGACACGCGCAATTCGCCGGGGCCGTGTACTCCTCTCGGACCAAGAAATTTTTTGCGTGGATAACTTTCCTCCAGTTTTTCTTTGATTTTATGCGAAACGTCTTCTGATTTTCAGCGTTGATGCTAGTGAAATGGCTTCATGGCTTCGAAACATTCAAGGTCAGATCACTGACGTCGTGAGCGAAGTGCTGAACGAAGCGAGCGACGTGCTCGCTGAAGCACGCGAAGAAGTCGCCGATCCGGACACCGAACTCATTGTGGGCTCGATTATTTTGGATAAAATCATTCGATAAACGTTCAGGTTGTGCGGAAGAAATGCGCGGAAGCCGAGAAACAGTTGGCGATCGAGGCGTCGCGGGTCGAGTCGTTGGAGGGCGAAAAAAAGGGTTTGGAGCAGCAATTGTACGATGCGCACGTGGAAATGGACACGATCGGACAGAAACTGAACGGAATGGTCCGGCAGAGAGACGAGGAAATCAAAAAACTAAAGGTTTTGCGTGTTTTCACAAAATTAGCCACGAACAATCATGAGAACAATTGAGAACATCATAACGAAGTTTTTAAGCGCAAGAGCGTGAATTTCAGTTGTTTTTTTTTGTTAATTTTTGTTAATCGAACGGCCAAAATGCTTGTATTTACGTGAAAACGTTAGAAATTTCGAGAATCATCATTTTCATAGCTTTAGACCAGAAAAAAAACGGGAAAAATGCTGAATTCATGATAACCCCATATTGTAAGCTCTTCAGAACCAATTGGAGCAAATTCACGAATCCGGCTGGAACGACGCTGGCGATGAAGGAACGGAGCACGCAGAGCAAATTTCCGAGCTGAAGAGCCAAGTTGCACATTGGAAAGAGCTCCATGAGAACTCAGCCAGTTCCGAGGGCTCAGTCTCGAAAACCGAGCTCGAGCGGCGATTAGAAGAGGCGCAGCAGCGGAAAGAGCACGAAATACAGGCGCTGATCGAGTCGCACGCGGAAAGTATGGTCGAACTGCGCGAGATGTACGAAGAGAAGATGGCCGCGTTGGCCGTCATTCCCTACAACGCCTCCTCCTCCACGTCGAACGCCGACGCCCTGGATGCGGTGCTTCTGGAGCGCGACGAGCTGAGCAACAAGGCGAAGAGCAGCACGAACGGCAGCGATTTGGGGGACAGAGATAGACCCGTGGTCGTGGATTTGGGCAGCCACGACGAGCTGGTCGACGAGCGCATCCGACAGATGGAGGCGGAACTCGAGAGGTGCAAAGAGGAGAAGGAGGTGACGATCGAAAGTCTGCGCAGCCAGAACGAGGAGCTCGCGAAGGCCTACGACGAGCTGAACACGGAATTCGAGCAGTTCAAGATGCGAAACGCGCAGACCGAGAACCGAAACGACGATCTGAACCGACGGATCCAGAGCCTCAAGGCGAACGTGATCGAGTACGAGGAGCGCTACGAATTGTGCAAGAAGGAGAACATGACGACGGTCGCGCAGCTGGAGAAATTGTCCGGCGACTTTGAGAAGCTCCGTGCGGGCGTGGCGAGTGTCAGTCAACGGAGGGAAGATGCGGATTCGCTGGTGAACGAGGAGGTCGAGAAACTGAGGAATGCGCTGGAGGAGTCGAGGGCGGAGAGGGAACGGCTGAGGGAGGACGTCGCGCGGTTCACCGTGTCCGTCGGGGAGATCGACGTCGAGCTGGAGAAGTTGAGGGGCATGAATCGGCAGTTGTTGGCGGAGAACGAGGCGCTCACGCAGAACCTGACCACGTGAGAAATTTTGAGCATTTTTTCCTAATTTTCATCACTGAAGATTGAAAAAATCAAAAGTTCACTAACTTTTAATCAAAAAATGTTTAAGCCAGCTCAAAAACCATTAATTTTCAGGTACGAAAGAACGATGCAAGAAGTGATAACGTCGAGCGAGAACGACATTGGCAACTTCCGCGATCAATTCCGCGAAATCCAACATAATCACGCGAGACAACGAGAAGCGGTGCATGCGGAGAACGCAGCCCTTCGCGACGAACTCGACGCGATCAAGAAGCAAAGGGACATTGTGATGGAGGAATCACGGCTGGTGAAGGAGGTGAACGAGAAATTGAAGCAGAAGGCGGCCGCAGAGGAGAACAAGATCAGACTGCTGACGCAGAAGGTCGATCTGCTGCAGGAAACTGTCGATGAGGTCAAGAAGAGGAATGTGGAGCAAGAGGAAGAGCAGAAAGATCCAGAGCTGGCACTCACGAACCTCAACGTGCTCAGAAAACAACTAAGCGAGGCGCTGAAGGCGAACTGCGAGAAATCGGAGGAATGCGATCGGATCCGAGTGGAAGCGAGGGAATTGGAACGGGAAGTGGAGCTCCGACAGAACTGTGTCGACGAAATGATCGCGCAGACGAACACGCTCCAAATGCAGCAGGAGACGATGAGCACGGCGAACCGCACACTTCAGACCCAATTGCTCGAGCAGGAACGGCGGATTGTGAAGCTCGAGGAGGAGCTGAATATGGCCGAGGAGCAGAGTCAGCAGCTAAAGGTGCAGATCCAGAGACTGGAGAATGTGTTCGTGCCGGCGGAGGATACGGAGGAGAGAGAGCAACCGGGACCCGAAGCAATGAGCCGGTACATTACGGACCTGCAAGAGAGGCTCTCGTCGAGCGAGGAGGAGCTCAAAGCGTTCCGCGAGCAGCAAATCGACGCAAACAAAGCGGCGGAGGAAGTGCGGAACGAGCTGGAACGGAGTCTTTTCGAAGCGGAAGAGGTCGACCGCGGACTCCTCGAGGGCATCGAGGAGCGAGTGAAAGAGCTGGAGACGGAGCTGATGAGCAAGGCAGAGCAGTTGGAGGCCGCGGAGGCGGAGAAGCGGAGGATCGGCGAATCGTTGGTGCAGCTGACCGAACGGATTAGGAATCTGGAGGCGGAGAGCTCGAAGACCGATGTGCTCAGAGAGCAAGTGGAGATGTACAAGCAAAAGTTGGAGGGAATCGAGAAGGAGAAGGAGATGTGTGAGTTTGAAATTTCAACCCAATTCTTCATTGTTTCATGAAGAATGTGCTAAATTCTGCACATTTTGAACTGAAAACAAATTGCAGACGAAAAGCTGACTGAGGAGAACACGTACTTGAAGACGGTCGCGCAGACGCATCACGATGAAAACGTGAAATATTACGAGAAATGTCAGGAGATGGCGGCGGAAAACGAGAAAATGCAGGCGCAAATGCAGCAGATGAGCCGGCGAGTCCAGGAGTTCGAGGGCAAGCTCGCTGTCGAGACGGACGCGCAGGAAAAACGCGCGAAGGAGCTGCAACGACTACGCGAGCACTTGATGATTGTGGAGGAGAACTCAACGCGCGAGGCCGTCGAATCGGAGCAACGGGAGACGGAGCTGCGGGCGAGAGTCCGGGAACTGGAAGCACGCGGACACGCGGCCGAGGAAGGCGCCACGGAGAGCACGCAACAGTACCAGGAGCAGATCGGAACGCTCGCGACGAAGCTGGAGAGTGCGGAGAGGGCGGCGACGGAGTGGCGCGGAAAGTACGAGCACGAGGTGCGGGCGAGGGAACAGACGGCCGAAGCACTCGCCAGTCTCCAGAACGTGGTCAGGGAACTGTCGGTCGATCACGAGAGGGACGCCGCCGCGGCGAACCACAGGAATCTCGAGCTGCAGACGCAGATTTCGGTAGGATTTAGGGGGAATTAGAGCCAAAATTTCAATTCTCGTATCAGAAAACGCGGTGAATGAGCCGCAAATGCAAAAAGTGCATAGCATTGAAGACTCACACCCTGAAAGTTTCAGTTTAACCAAATTTAGCGATTTTCGGTTTCAACTCGCTTCATTTCCAAATCAGATGATCCGAATGAGCTGAAACATTCAAGAATATGATTTTCCAGACTCTAAACGATGAAATCGCCCGATTCTCGGAAGCGTTCGACCGTCAAACACTGGCTCGACAGGCGGCCGAAGAGGAAAATGAGCGTCGGCAGCTGCAACTCGTTTCGAAACAAAAGATTGTCGAGGACCTCGAGCAGCAGATCGAAGAGCTCCGATCGCCACAAAAGACCGACTCGTACCGCATCGACGACTCCACCCTCCGCCAACTCTTCCTCAACTATTTCTCGGCCGAACCGTCGAAACGACCCGACATCGCGATGCTCCTCGCCAGTATTCTCGAGTATCCGCAGGACGAAATGGACAAGTTCCGATCGGCGGTCCGGCAGTCGTTCAGCAACACCGGCGGCGGCTCCTCGTTCTTCTTCGGCTCCCGCGGATCGACTCCAACGGGCGGAGCGTCCCTCTCCGAACAGTTTATTCGCTTTTTGGAAGTGGAGTCGGAATCGTCGAGGACCGCACCGCAACTGCCGATCAGAGGCGGACAAACGGAACGGCAGGCACCGCAGATGTCGTTGGATTCGCCGCGGCAGAAGTAAGCTTTGTAGAGATCGATAATCCACTCGATGTTCTGTTCAGATCGGCGAGCCCGCAACCGTCGCAAGCATCGGCGTCTTCCTCGGCGGCGGCCCTCGACTCGCTGCTTCGCTAGTCCCTTCTAATCCAGATCCTTCCGCCTGCAGGTCTCTTCCGGGTCAACCGATGAAAAAAAAAACGAACAATATCAACATGAACAAATCTTTTAGGTCTTTTTCTATTGTAAATACCAGAGTTAGTTTATACATATTTTTGTTGTAATTTTTGTAAAAACGGGAATAAAAGATTACATTTATTGCTTTCTTCTATTGTTAACTGAGTACCGGAGGACAGGATATTATCCGATTCTGAAAAGCCCTCGAAGAGTCTCCCTCTACTATTGTAGCTCTTGACAGTTAGGCGTGGCGCAGACCTTTTGAATTTCAACGCAAACTTCCAAGCGCTACAGTAGTCTTGTGCGTGGCAGTACAAAAAAGTTGTCAACTGGAAAAGTAAAGTACTAGTCGTGAAGATTTCACTCAACAGCTTTCAGACCCATCCACCGTCTAAGAATCCGACAATATCCGTTCAAAGTTTGTCGTTTTCAGTTTCAATTTTCTCCATTGCTTCCTGTAACCAAGTCCCTTGGCAAAGTGGAAAAGTCGAATGTGTTTGTCAGCGATGGAAACGGTGGTGACCCCCCGGACGGACGGCCGAAAAGGACACACGGAGACGATTTTTATGTCCTTTCTCTCTCTCTTTCTTTCTTTCAAAGAAAGGGCAAGAGAGAGAGAGAGAGAGAGAAATGGACAATAGTTGCCACGTCACATCTTGATCGTATTTCTACTTGGTTGGCGGACCGGTCCGATTGTTCGCGCGTGATTCGATTAGGCCAAGGACTCTTTCTCTCTCTCTCTCTCTCTCTCTCTCTCTCTCTCTCTCTCTCTTTCTCTCTTTTCCTTTTTCCGATCCAAAATCTGCTGAAGGCCGTCTTTCGTAAACGGCCCGAGATGACCCTGGACGCGGGAAGGCAATTTGAAGGCGCGCAGAAAACTGGATAGGCTCAAAACGTCACAAATCATCTTTAGAATACTAGAAAATTCGTCAAAACGCTCCAGAAACATCTTGGCATTGTGCCAAACGCATACAAATGAAAGGACATGGGAAAGAGGGAAAAAGAGATGAAATGAATGCGAATGAGTATGTAAATTTACCGAAAGAGAGAGAAAGTGTGAGAGAGTGTGAGAGAGAGAGAGAGAGAGAGAGAGAGAGAGAGAGAGAGAGATACTGTAGTTTGTGAAACACTATCGAAGCTCTGACTAGAACATTAATGGGTCCTGATATTTTTCAGATAGCACAGATGTGAATGAATGAATCAAAAATATTCTATTTCACAAAGCGACACAACATAAAACTGAAATACCGTTTGCTATTTTTTCAAATCGACGTATCTCGATTGTCTGTAGAGATATCAAAAGGTTGTCAATTGATAAAATGTACAGAATTTCCTAATGAACATTTTATCAGTTGACCACTTTTTGATATCTGTTTAGACAACTAAGATACACTGATTTAGACTTCAGACGTCCGTCGGAATCGTTTCTCCTGTCAATCAACCTGCAATTCACTTTTTTGCACTCAAATGTCGGCCTTGCCGTTCCGTATTTTTCCAGTATATTCTGTAAGGGACCAAAAAATGGGTCCCAGTTATTCATTCCGTTTTTTTAAAGTTTTTCAGGTCAAAGTCCCTCCGATTGACCTCCCCAGTTCGTCCATTGTGTCCTCTTCCAAATGGCTTCTTCTTCTTCTGCCTCGAATGTGTTCCCCTCCGGTTAATCCAGTTCCCTCTCTCTCTCTCTCTCTCTTTGTCCCCCCATTCGTTCCCGTTCTGTCCACCTCCAATTATCCGCGCGTTCCGTCGTTTTGTCCATGCTTATCACACTGTCCACTTCAAATCGTCATCGTCTTCTTCTTCTTCTTCTCAATAAAAAAAGAAGAAGAAGAAGATGACCTCCAGAAGGAAAACAAAAGAGTGAGGGAGGAAAGAGGGAAAGTTTTTGCGCTTGTCCTTGAAGAAATGCCGCTCAGTTTTAAATTTTTTATTATTTTTTTGCGCATTTTTTGTCGGGGTTTTCGGTTGGGTGGAGAAGGTGGGGCGGGGCGGGGGCGGCGACGATTTTTAACATCATCAGAAAAATCAACGTTCCAATCACAGGTATCAGGATAGGAAACAAATAGAATAGTTGGATTACTCGTGCAAAGAGGTCGTTTGTTTCGATTTAAAAACTTGAGAGAGGGAAAAAGTGTTGTGTTGGATGGGGAAAAAGAGAGACAAATAGAAAAAAGATGGTGTCAAATAGGAGGATCGAGGAAGGGTGGGGAGCGAGTTACGTTCATATTTTACAATAGTCTAACACATGTGGTTTACATTATATATCCGAGCCAACAACGTCCGGATGAGCAGAAGAATCAAATGAAAAGATAGAGCGAAGAAGCCAGGGGGAGTTTGCGGGGAAAAAGAAGACACGACCTCGTAATTGTTAATGAGGAAAATAAAATATTCAAGATCATTAAGAGGAGACTGAGAATTGATAAAATAGGATATCAAATGTGAAAAAAACAAGAAGAACAACGGTTTCGAATGGATGGGCGACAGAGAATTCGGCGGCGAAGCGAATTATATGGTTCTTCTCCGAGGAGATAGACACGGAAATACTACAAAGTACAGAACAACTACCGTTTTTGTTAAGGGGGACAAAAAATAAAGGGGAGAGAAATATTCTCAATTATTCTCAAGGATGGGACAGAGAGAGATGGAACTGACAACGGAAATCAGATATCATTTTGTGTTATGTGCATCATTTTGCATTGTGTTGTAAAAAGCGGACAGAGTGGTGTAAATACATTTGCGAGGAAGGACACCGAGAATCAGCGGGTTTTGCGACGACTACTGGGATGGTGTACGTGTGTTGAGGGCCGGATAAGATGGAGGAAATGAATGAGGTGATGATGAAAAAGTGCATGTGAATCTCGCCGATTCTCGTCAAGAAAAATCAGAAATATAACGACTACAAGATAAGAAGAAATCTCCTTCTCGCGTTGTCGGTCTTCTCCAATGATTCCAAGTCTTCTCTCGGCTGCACTGCACTTTTTCCCACACACATTCTGAGATGGGTCAGTTCTTCACATCACATCCCGATCGTCGAGGGCATCATGAACTTTTTTCGCTCCAGCATTGTTACCGTTGACATCGATCTGAAATTCTGAGCTAATTAGCTTACAAGTCTTCGGAATGGGCTTACAGACAGTTCTAGAAAAAGAAAAGGAAAACTAACGAACTCTTTGATGGAATGATCGTGTCCTCCTCGCGCCGGCGACGGTTCCTCGTCGTCCACATTCATCAGTTTCGCCTTGAACGACACGGCTACCTGCTCTTGCGTGTAGCCGCCCCACTCGGTCGACGAATTCGATTCGGACGGCGATCCGCTCGGCTCCCTCCACTCATCCGAGTCCGATACCGTTCCGCACATCTGGAGACTCTAGACGCGTTGAAGTGGCGCGCGGTACACTAAAATGCCTACCTTCGCCGGAACCGGCGTTGGTTCCGCTCTGTCCGCTCTTCCGTTTCCCGAAAGCGGTGGAGAATGTTCTTGCAGCGGTTTGATCTTTCCGCCGCCACCGTTGATGCTGTGCCGAATGCGCTCGACGACCATCGTCGACGCCTCGTCCACATCCACGTCTTCCACGTCCTCGTCCTCGTTCTTATCGTCATGTTTATTATTGTCTTGCCCGTTTCCGTTAATAGCCCGTTCCTCTTTCGAGACTGTTATCTGAGCCTCTTCCGCCTGCTCCTCGTCCACATCCATTCTCTCCACCTCACTATCGTCGTTCTCGCTCGCCGTTTGTTTCGGCACTTCTACTGCTTTTTGTTGTTGCTCGAGATCTTCAAATTCTAAAAAGACACTCGATGAGGGATGAAATGGGGTCAAAATCGACTCACTTTCAGATGGCTCATCGTCTTCCATATCTTTCCACGCATCGTGAAGATATCTTGAATTCCATTCCCGTTCAGTTTCACCATCGTTGTAGTTGACCCGATCACTGCGAGCAAAGTACCGCGCTTTCGGACTTTGCTCCTCCGATTCCTCTTCGGTTCCCAGCGAATGTTGACGTTTGCGGAACGTTCTGTAAATCGACGGCAATTAGTGAAACTGAAGGTCGAAAAGAAAAGTACCTAGACTCGTCCGAAATGCAATACTCGGCCCACGGATCCATGACCTTCTCCTGATCCTCGCCTCGCTGGATTGGCATTCGGTCGAAGAGGACGCGTCCTCCGCGGCCGACGCGACGGCGGGCGAATCCAATAGAGCGCACGTTTCCATCCACACCCGGAAGCCACGTTTCGTAGAATCGCGAATGAGCCGGCACCGGTTCTTCTGGTTTCGCAGACGTCGTGGCGACCAACGCAGGCTGCGGCGGCTGTGGTAACGACGGCTGCGATTGCGAGATCGTCGACGGAACGGATGCGGACGCGGTGGCCGGTCCGGATGCGGTCGACGGGGGCGCGGTGGCGTAAACCTGACGCGCGGCACGGTAGATGCATCCGCGGCGTCGTTTGAACGAGTAACGACCGTCGACGGTCGAGTCGCGCACCGGTTTCGTCGACACCGCCACGTTCTGCGAGCCGCTCTGACCGAAAAGCGCCGGCGGACGGTTCCACGTCTCGACGTTCTTCTTGAGGTAGGCTCTCGAGATAAGGTCCTTCTCGGCGACCGTCTTCCGGCGCACTCGCTTCCGCTTCTTCGCCTCCTCCTGCGAACTTCCGTTGATCTCCGCGAAGGGCTTCGTCGGACTCGCCACCGTGCGCATCTTCTCCGCAAACTCGTTGAAGACGCTTGTCGCACCGAAATCGGACATCTCCATGCGCTTCATCAGAATCTCCGTCTCCATGTCGAGCAGTGCGAGCTTCTGCTTCTCCCGCTTCGCCGTCATATCGAACAGCTGTTGGGCCTTCGACATGTCGTGCACCAGCTTCAGAATCTTCTCGTAACTGTCCTCATCGTTCTTTCGATTCTTTCGCGTCTGCATCTTCTCGGCACGTCGTCGGAACGCCACGTACGGGTTCACCGCTCCTTGTGCATCCTTTCGGCATTCTGTTCGCACGCGCGGAATCAGTCCGCCGACTCCCACGCAGCCCGACGTCGTCGCCGCCGATGTTCTCTTCGCCAGCCAGTACTCGTACACTTCGTACACAATCGACGAGTCCAACGCTGAAAAGGACACGTTGAAATGAATTAATCGAATCGATTTTCGTTTCCCACTCACCATTGTGAATGTTTATCACCGAATCCTCGCTAGCGATCTGCGTTTCCGACGAGTGACTCTCCACCGTATCGAATATCTTCTCCAGGACGCGCGGCTCGATGTGCGTGTGCTCGGCGAGCCACGTCTCGTCTTCTGTGTCGTAGTCATATTCCGGCTCGTCCCGCTCGAGTGCTTGCCACGCTGAAAACGATACACTTTCACTAACGAGTACTCTCAAATTAGGCGGCGGCTTGTATTTTGGTTGGACAAACAAACACACACACACACACAAATGTGATTCAAACACGGCCGTATCTCTGATAGTGAGCGCGGAGACGAAAGAAAGAGAGATAAGGGTCTAACAAAACATGCACTTTTCGAAAATCTTGTTTTTTTTGTGTGCCCGGCGGTGCCAAAGAACGCGAAAACTTTATCCGGCTTCGTTCCGAGAACACAAAAAACGAATTAACATGTTTACGATTCCGGAAATGCGAATGCAAACGACTGGGAGAGCAGGAGAGCAAGAAGGAATACGCGGGAAAATAAGCAAATTGCCCACAGGGGCTATCCGGTTGGAAATTTCGAAATAGAGACGGCAAATAGAGATATGGGGATGCGCAATAATAAAAACAAAGTAAATGCGCTCTGCTGAGAAACCGTGTGATCTCAAAAACAGACAAAGTTCTTCCAGAATTCAACTGAAATTAGTTTCACGGCTGAAAAACCAGAAAATCAGAGGATGATTGGACAAAGGTTCAATGATCGCCAAGCGGGCAGAAACCTAACACTATTTTTCGGCGATGAGGGCCATGAGAACCTCTTGTAGAAGGTAACCGAGCGGAACAAAAAACACGACGACGACCAACGGACATGTGCAAATCACACGGAGATCCAATTAGAGTGTGTGTCCCCCACACCTGTCACATTCAGACAACTACGGTGGATGGATGACGATGGAAATTGTGGCAATTAGCGGGGCGCGGAGCCACAGGTGATATTCACGAGCTTTTGGCGAAAACAAGTATAGTAATTAACTGGCGGCTGCTCGGCGGAAAGCCGTAATTGGTGTGGTGACTCGTACCGAGAGGAAAAGAGAAAAAAAGGAAAGGGAAGAGAAGCAAAATTAGCAATTCAAACATCTTTTTGGCACCACCACCAACACCATGTTTCAAAACGACAAAACTCTCTGGGGAGAAAAACGGGGTGAAAAGCAGAGAGATAGATGTTGACGGGGGGCGCCCTGGGAAAGTCAAACTTTTTGTTACCACAAAAGGAAAGAGAAAAACGTCCTCGGACAAGAGAGAGGGGGGAATAAAAAAGAAGACCGTCAATCGGCACCATGAATTATTCATGGGAGGACAGCGTCGGAGATCGGCAAAAAGGGAAGAGAAAGGGAAGGAAGTAGGAGAGAGGGGCGAGGAATAGGATACGAAAAGATTGAATTACGAGGTGAAAGGGTGAGGGGAAGAGAACAAAACAAATGATATATAGACGGAAAACGATGAATGGACGGCTTCATTCATGCGCGCGCAAAAGAAGAGCTCAGTCAAGGCGGCTTACCGTGAACTTTGATGTATTTGGAGCGCTGGTTCTTGTTGCGGCTCGGATACGTCGCGTCGTAGCGATCCACCTCGACGGGGTTAACCTTCGGCGTGGGAATGACATGGTTTAATTGGAGACCCGATGTGCTGGCTTGTTGAGCGAGGATGGCATCTTGCAGATGGGATTCCTGCAAATTAAGAGGCGCTTGAATATGTGCGAGAGTAAACACGAAAAGAAGCCGTAGTGGGGGTTCTAGTATTTGTCCCAGGATGACGTGGTGTACGGTCAACATAACCTTCTGTTGTAATCTTTGCCGTCGTTCCAAATAGGTTAAATCTCCCCCCGCTCTCTCTCACTCTCTCTATCTCTCCATATTGTAATCAATACGAGTCCAAGTTACACATCGAACCCCGAAGCGCGGCCTCTCCTCTCTGACAACAAACGAGCGGCCGCCGCCGTCGGAGGGAGACGACGGGGGTTGCCCCTCCGATAGACTAACGATCATTGAAGCGAAAATGAGGGACCGGCCGAGCGAGCGCCACTTTCAGTCATTTCTAGAACAACTACCCTGTCAGTGTTAGAGTCACGCGCGGTTGATGATTGATCAGCGGGGAAGGGGTCAGAGGGCGGCGGGTCGGTGACGTCAACGAAATTTCGAAAATTCAACGGAAAATGGGTTAAAATTGACGGTTCGTGGACATGAATAGCATTTTCGAACGGGCAGAGCATGGGGGAGACGATTTCGGGACAGTGGGGAGCCGTAACCGGGCGGCGTGGGGCTTAAACTCACCATTTCTTCCTCTTTCTCCATGCCGGTGGGCATTTGAGTGACTGCCCGGTTTCCAACACTGCATTCTGCTACGTCCGGCACTTCGTGTCCCCAATATACGGTCATAGACCGGTTGGAGTCGAAGGCCCGAGCTCGAAACGCCTTTGAAACGGTGGCCATCCTCCTGTACTCCCACGTTGTAACTACGTTTAAGAAGAGCGGCGGAGACGCCGCACGAATTGAAATACCACGGACGTATAGATGGATTCATCCGCCGAGAACGGCGCCCATAAAAGTCAAAAAGAAATGAGCAGCACTTGTGCAGTACTCTATGGTCTTCGGTAAGCAGTGAATACAACAGGCCGCTTGGCCAACTATCGACTGGTGGGCGCGTCTCCTCTCCACACTAGCCGGCGTCTCGCACACGACGCTCTAGCGCACCGCGCGCACTCCGCCTCGCGCGCACTCTCTCGCCGCCCGTCTCTCCGCTCGTCGCTCTGCGTCTCGCCGTCTGTCGCACACGCTCACCGCTCTCTCGTCGTTTCTGCGCGCTCACACAGCCCGCCGGCCACGTCGCACAATCGCACACACACAAATAGGCACGCGACGCGACCGCGCCGCGCCACTCTCTCGTCGCGTCGTCGTCGTCGCCGCGGGGACGAATATCGTCGGGCGCGCGGCGGTCGCGTCGCGGCGCCTCGTGAATTTGTACGGAAACGCAGAAGAGGAATTCAGTTGAAACACTATTTTTTGCCAGTTTTTCTCGATTTTTGGCCGAAAAAACATTGGAAAAGTGAGAGAAAACTTGAAATTTGTGAACTTTCTGCGCGGAGACGTGCTTTTATAACCCGAAATTGTCGATTTTCCCTCGAATTTGTATAGATCAAACATTTTATGATCAAACTTCTTTTAAAATATTCTTCTTGTGCAGGCAGCTCAACATGGAAGACGATAACAATCGTATAGATGAAAGTGAGATCGCTGAGGTGATTTCTAGGGGAAAATGAAAAAAAAGCTAAATTTTTTCCAAAAATTTCAGATAATTGAAATTGACGAGGAGGGCGAGATGAAGTACGCGAGCGACGATGACGAGGATCAGCAGAGCACCTCGAAGTATGCTTTTTCGCACAAGCTTCGAAATTATTTTCATATTTAGCGCCGACGTACCGGCCGAGATCGTCGACGACTCGCTGCTCTCGCTTCAGGCGCACGCGCAGGACTGCTTCGCCATCGCTCTCGCCTCGAATCGGTGGCTGGCGACGGGCGGCGAGGACGACGTCGCGTTCCTCTTCGATCAGAGCGTCTCCGACTCGGAGCCAGTCCTCAAGATCGAGCACAAGGACTCGGTCACTTTTGTAGCGTTCAACAATGCCGAAACGCTGCTGGCCACCGGCGATTTGAGCGGAAAGATTCTCATTTCCGAGCTGGCCACCAAGAACGTTCGCGCCGAGGTATTCACTGCTTTTTTCCCGGAGAAACACGAGAATTTTCGCGCGAAAACGGCTCTTTTACTGTAAAAAGACTAAAATGTGCACATTTTTATCGCAAAAATGTCCGACGTGGCCGTGGACTAGTTCGTGTTTCTCTTCCATCTGTGCATGAGGCATTTGAATTATTCTCAACAGAGCGCGTTCACATTAAAATACCCCGATAGTAGAGAAAGAAAAAGGAAAAGTTGAAAAATGAAGCCCCGCCCGTTTTCAGTGCTGCCGGACAGTTCAGTTTAGAAAACTGAACGAAAAAGGGCAGGGCTTCCTCAAAAAAGTGAGAAAAAATTGCAGATCGATGAGTGCAACGATCTGGAATGGATAAAATGGCATCACACGGCCGACATCCTGTTCGCCGGCGACAAAGACGGCATTCTGTGGATGTGGCTGATCGGAAACAATGGAATTGCGCAGTCGAAGGTTGGTAGCATCTTGTTGGGACACCAGTTGACCCCTGGACTGGAAAAGAGAGCCCCTACCTACCATCTGCCCCCACCCCGCCTCGGTCATTTTTATATGAGTGGTGGTGGGTCTGCCAACATCTGTCGGCGTGTCTTTACTGTAATATACGACCTTTTGACCTTGGAAAGAAGGCAGAGCTGTTATGAACCAATCGTTATCTTTGTTTAGATAATTTTCATGGAATGTGACCAATTGATGAAATGTACAAAAGATTCGGCTTGGTTTATACAAAAATGACGGTTGGAAATTGTACCTACAGTGATTTTTCTGTAAACCGAGCTGAGTCTGTTGTCCGTTTCATCAATTTGTCATATTCCATGAAAGATTTCTGTGGAAACCCCGAAAACGTGATCTCTTGATCTCTCTGGTTCACAGATTCTCAGTTTCCCATGGCATTTGTTTACTCAATATACCTGTGTACCGAGTCACACGCCCGACAAATCTATATTCAGCTGGTTTCCGTAGAATTTGAGTACATTTTTTTTTCATGGAATCAATTCAGGTGATATAACAGGGAAAAGCTGAAAAGAAATTCTGAGAAGGGGGTTTTTGAGCTCGTAAATCGTGTTCGTTTCGAGAGCCGACATGCACTTTTAGCTAATTCAAATCCCCCCAGATGATTTTTGGCGGGCATTTAAACTATTTATTACCATGAACACGATTAATGAGTTACCTACTGGTAAGCTCCGCCCCTTTTTTGTGCGATTCTTGACCTTTTCGGCAGGTTCTCTGATTTCAAGGCTCTTGTTTACCCCGACGTCGTCTCCTTCTCCTTCATCATCATCATCGGAGGGCACTTCTGCCGCTGACGGCTCTTTCTCTCTCTCTCTCTCTCTGTCCGGCTCAGAATTGGACTTGCGAGTGAGAAATCTTGTAAAAAGAGCGGCCAACGGCCGGTCTCCGTGTCTCTCCGTCTCTTTTCCCTACTTCCGTCGTGTTCTCTGGCCCGCCGTCCGCCTCTCACGCACTCTCCGACTGGTCACTTGTCTGCGTCTCCGTGTCTCTCGTCGCTCCGTCGCGCTCTCTATCCGGTTCTCTCTCCCTCTCGCCGTTGCACAACATGCAGAGAGTGAGGGAAAAGTGACAGCGGCACACCGCCCCGGGGGTTTTGACGAGCGAAACGATGGCTTCGAGGGACCTACACGATGAGAGCCGCTTCTCTTCCGCTTCACCTCTCTTCTCCCTCTTTCTCTGCTCAAAAAAGGAGCTGAGAGGGAAATTGCTATTTTCGAGGGGGGCTTTCCATTCTATGAATAAAACATTAGTTTGCTGACTGACTTGTGTGTGTGTGTGTGTGTGTCAAATACTTGTTGGAAAAGAGAGGAAAGAATACATAGCAGGGGTGCTGTCGAATTTTTTGGCCACACAGCGTAATTAGGGTAGCAGTTTTTCGTAGAATGTGAAAAATGAACTCTGCTCATGAAAAAATGCATGTAAACATACGCACATCACTTTTTTTGTAGAGAAAGCTATGTTTGCAATTATTTGTTGTACATTTCGTTGGCCGATACCGTAATATCCGGCAACGCATTCAGACTTTCCGAGTTCAGCGGCCTATTTGTAAGCCTGAAAGTAAACGGCGCACAGTCTTCTCCTCCTCTGTGGCCCGAAAGTAAATTTGCTTTCGGGTTGTTTGTTGGGCGGTGGCGGCGAAATTTTATAGTGCAGCGCTCCTTTCTCCTCCTATTTGAAAGAGTCTGAGTGACTGGTTGCGAGGCGGGTCTCTCTCTCTCTCTCTCCCCGATGACCCCCTCTGTTTCCACACAAGTGTCGCCTTGTCGACTGGTCGCGTGATAACGGTCGTTTGCTGATGTTTACGTGTTGTGTTCACTTGAAAGTCATCAAAGCTCATGCGTGGGCCAGGTGTTTCGGCGGACACGATTAGAACATCGTGTAAAGGACACATTAATGACTAGTACTAGGCGAAAGCGAAAGTACAATGGATCGAGAAGAAGTAGTTTGTTGTCGCCTCCGCTCGGAGCCACACAAAGAGCCCGCTATTGTCCAGTGAACATTGTCGACGACGACGACGACGAAAAAGTTGGACGAATGACGTGTGCGATCATAGATTTGGTTGTCATGGAAATGGTTTTTCGTAAACAGCCGACGCCGTTTTGCTGTTTTCGCTTCGAGAGCCCTCCAAATTGAATTCGTCGTCGTCGTCGTCGGCTGCGTGAGTCTCTAATCCGTAGAACTTGTGCGCGTGCGCAAGGGATGTGCTATTCACGAAGGATAATCCGCGAGCAGATGGCGACGTCCTCGTCTTCGTTTTCGTTTTCGTTTCATTTTTTATGAGACGGGGGGGCATCTGCGCGCGCGCGCGGCACACACTATAATTAGTGGAAATGAGGGAGGAGGAAAGAGCTATTGAAGGGTTCCGGGCTGGGCCCCCACTCTATTGTCTGATGGGACAGGCTTTGTTTGGAATATTTAGATTGCAAATTTCAGGCCGATTCGATGATCTGGAATGGGGATATATATAGTTAATTTACATCTGCGATAAAGTGATTTGAAGTCGAAAAACTCGCATTTTTCGCAAAACTATCACCAGATCAGCTAATCCAATCGGCCTGAAACTTTCAAGATGCATAATGCACTTTTGCACTTACTTCCCTCGCCAAGAGAAAGAACAGTACAAAGTATCGCTGCGGGGTGGTATGTACACACTTGTTGACACCCCTTTCCGCTCCGCTCCGTACTATCTCGAGTATGCATCTAGTCTATGTATTATTCATTATCATGTGATCATGATCGCAAGAGTGGGAAAGAGGAAGAGAGATAGCGGTTAGAGATAAGAAGCGTTTTTGGCGCCAAAGTGGAAAAATTCGAATGGCTGCTTGCAGGTCTACTCTGGAAACGGCGCCTCGTGCACGGCCGGCTGTTTGATGCCGGATGGAAAGCGCATTCTGGCCGGATATTCGGATGGAATCGTCCGTAAGTCAGCTGGATTATCATGAGTCCCGAACGAATCCCCTCGTACATCCGCTTTTTTTGGACTGAGCACGCGGTCCAAATGGAGAAAGGGGACAATATCTGATAGAAAAGGGGTGAACGTTTTTGAGAAGTTTCTTATCTTATAAAAGACGCGGTGAAGGACACTACTACAAGCATTTTGAAGGCGAGAACAGCAAAAATGACTGGAAAACTTTAACGGAATATTTCTGTTTTATTTCTGGACGAATTTTGCCCGTTGTTGGCTCAAAATGTGCGCAAAACCCCTGTCCATGATTCTTTTGATAGCAAATTTGACGAAATGTCGTTTTTAGGCCTGTGGCTGCTGCGCGAAGAGACCTCCACCCATCTGTACTTTCACTCGCCGATCACCGCCATCGACCACCACGTCAGCCAATCGGTGGCGATCGTCGGAACGCAGAGCGGCACGGTTAATGTGATCAACACGGCCTCGCCCGAGCACCAGCTCCGCAAGATCTCTCTTCTGCCGCCGCCCGGCGTCAAATCGACGACCGTCACCGCGGCGGGCACTTCGACGGAGCCGGAGGAGGAGGATGACGTGGCGAACTGCGTGGAGAGCCTGGCGATGGCGCCCTCGCATCCCTGGTTCGCCGTCGGACGCAACGACGGATCCATGTGCATCTACGAGATGGACTCGAATGCGCCGAGAAGCATTTTCCAGTCGAATCAGATGATGGTAGGCCAGCATTTTCAAAAACTTAGAAGAATTTCGGATCGGAACTGCTCTTTCACACAGTTTTGTATTCTATCAATTTTTATGGCTCAAGCACACTAAAATTGCAGAAATTGGAAAATTTTGATGATTACTCGCTTATTTTGATACTCGCAGTCCCCTGCCACCTTAAACTGCCCAAAATGGTAGAAATTCACAAAAAAATAAATTGCAGGCAATCGTGAAGGTGATCTGGTCGATGGAGGGCAATACTCCGTACGTGACGGTCGGCTCGATCGACGGGACCGTCCGAGTGTTCGACGCGCGCGACAGCTCGCTGCTCAAGGAACTGCACAACGGCGGCGACGAGGTGCTCGACGTGCTCGTGATGCAATCGAATCCCCATCGGATCATGACGGCCGGCAGCGGCGGAATCGTCCGTGTTTTCGATTTGAACTGAATTTTTGCTCATTTTTTTCGGTTTTTTTTTCTGAGGTCTTGTCACATTAGTTCACTTTTTGTTGCTCCTAATCCCTGTTTTGTTTTTTTTGTTTGTTATCATTCTAAAATGAATCGTTCCTCACGTTAATCTAATCCGTTTCCCGCGTGAAAATCCGATTTCCGGTCGTCATATCTCATTTTTCCCCCGTTTTTTTCCCTAATTCTTCGGCTTCAGACATGGAAAAGCCGAACTACCAGCTGTACCGAAACACGACGCTCGGACAGGCCCTGCAAAAAACGCTCGACGATTTCGTCGGCGAGCAACTCATTCCGGACAGTCTGTCGAAGAAAGTGATGGACTCGTTCGACAAGTCCATCAATAAGACGCTGCCGCAAAGGGCCAAGAACAAGGTGCGACACACTTTAAACGATTTTTACTAGTCTGCCGCTCTGAAAAAATGGCCAAATTGTCATGAATTTGTGCATTTGCAGGTGACATTCAAGGGCGAGAAGCTGGTGGCGTACCGGTATTGCGACAACGTCTGGACGTTCATCATGCAGGAGGTGGACTTTCGGGACCAGCTGGACACGAACGGACCCGTCGGCCGGATGAAGATTGTCGCGTGCGACGGACAGTCGAACAAACTGCCCGGCGCCAATTGATCCTCTGCTCAAATTGTGTGCCTTTTTCCCGTTTTTCTCCCACAAAAAATATATTTATTTTGCACTTTTTAACCCCATTTGCCCAGACCCCGTTGGATATAGTCATTGATAATTGTGATAGACACCCGTATTGTGATTAATTTCGAAAAATACATAATTGTGATAATGAATTTGATTTCGTTTTCCTTTAAATCGATTTTCTCGCTTCCACCATGTGGGCCGGGAGGGTCATAATCAAACACACCAGTTATGATCGAGGGAAGCAATCCTTCCGAGTGTGTAAGATCTTCATGCACTCATAATACTTCGACCCCTCCTCCAACCTATTTCATATAATGTCCGCAATTGCGCGTAGGTTCATGCGCCCCCGCGCCAATATACACAAGCTTTAGCCCCGTCAATTCCTAGGTGTTTCATTGAACTGATTACTGCTCGAGTGAGATTTTAGGAGTTAGTTCATCATTATTTCCTTCGTTCTTACTATCATTTGTGAGTGGTGACTCTCATTTAAGTTAGATTGTTGTTGAGAATAGGCCTTATCATTAATGTCTCCTCTTCTGTTATAATGTTAATCGGTTTAATTAGCCAGTTTGAGAGATCAATAAAGGAGATTCAAGCGAAAGGTGATTAAAGGTTCTTTTTCACTTCCCCGAATATCGTAGCCATCGTTTCGAGACCCATTTACTTTCGCGGCGAGAGCAATGCAAACGCGCTTCATCGCGAATCGCGCCTCCGCATTTTTTGGCTCATCGATTTTCCCTCTCGAATATTATCCTTTTCGACATTCCGCTTTCGCAGACACGAAATGGACTCGATAATGGGCACGAAGAAGAAAAAGAAAGCGGCGGAGAAGAAGAAGAACGAGGAGCAACTCGTGCAGATTCGGATCGAGGTCGCCAAGCCGGGCAGCAAGAAGTATACGCACGTGGACTGGCAGGAACTACTCAAAAGCAACGTGAGTCCGCGCGTTTCCCGGAAAATTCAACGAAAAATCGATATTTAGGGTCGGGAAAAGGACGAGGAGGTGTTGCGTCGATTCTACGATGAAGACACGCTTTTTATGGCGAAAAAACTCAGCGAAACGGTAGGAGAAATGACAAATACAACAGATTTTCCCGAAAAAGCGTCGTAAATCCGTAGGTTACATCTGTTTGAATGATTTTTGAAAACATTAAATCGGAACGTTTCAAAATGTCACTAATGTAGTCTTTTATCGCATTCTTTTCGGAGATTGCTCTGAAAAAGTTTCATCAATTTCAAACCAAATTTGCCGTAAGAGTAATAATTATTTGCAGAAGAGCAAGAGCGGAAAGCAGTTGCGCGTGAATCTGGACCACATTCAGTACCTGAACAGAAATTGCGGCTACGACATGGACGACGAGTTCATCGACGACACGGAGGCGGTCGACGACATGAACATGACGGCGAAGAAGGGCCGTTTCTACGTGGGAAAGGGCGAGGTGAAGGCGATGGACGACGTCGACGAGGAGGAGGAGGAGTCGGAGGAAGAGGAACTCGAGGTCGAGGTGCAGCAGAGGAAGCCACGTGGACCCTACAAAAAGAAGGAGAAGGAGGGCTCCTCCGATTCGGAGCCCGAGCCGCCGGTACGCATGACCGGACAGGCGCCGACCGCCCGGATGACTGGAGCGCCGCCGACGAAGAAAATGAAACGGCCGAGTCCGCCGGCGGCCAAAATAGAGCCGACGCCGCCGCCGGAGAAGAAGAAGAAGGTGGAGACGGAGGAGAAGAGGCCCGAGCCGTCGAGAATTCCCTCTGTCGTTTCTGTCGCCTCCACGTCTTCGACCGCTGCCAGTTCGGTGATTATCGAGAGCCCGACGAAGCCGGCGCCAGTCGCTCCTTCTTCTTTTTCTTCTTCCACTCCTTCCACGTCTTCTTCGTTGTTGGCGTCGTCGACGACAAAAGCGAGTGCGGCCGCAGTTATGGCGAAGAAGATCGACAATATCCTGGTAAGTTTTGTTTTTCACCCAATTTTTGGCCCTTTTCTAAAAACCCTGACGAAATGCTTGCCTGAAATCGTCAAAAACGTCTTCCAGAAGAAGCCGACTCCGCCGACGACGCCCTCGAAAGACAGCAACGTGGCGTCGATAATCACGAGCAAATACTCGCAATTGGCGGAAAAAGGCAAAATGTTCAAGGCGGCCGGCATGAAATCGGTGGACGCGACGACGAAACAGGAGTTCAAAGATCTGATCCGCATCGCCAAACATCACAATCTCGAGAAGGCGAACATCGAAAATCTTGTGACGACAATTTCGATGGCGTTCGGGCTCTCGACGCAGGAACTCGTCAAACTGGTGGAAGTCAACGAGACGGTGTCGGTGAAGAAGGAGCCGGAGGTGTCGGAGTGGCGACTCACGGCCGCCGACGTTCCGTTCATGACCGACGCCGACATTGCGAACATGACGACGCTGGTGAAGTCGTGGCGGAGCAAGAAGCAGTTGCCGAACGTCGTGCTCACCGCCTGGCTCAAAGACGTCAACCAGGGCCGGCTTAATGTGGACCGTGCCCGCCAACGGCTCTTCGACTACGTGAACGCGCTGCCGGACCTCGAAAAACCGATCGCCGTCGACGCGGGATTCGATCTGCCGAAGCACGAACGGTCGAGGAAAGCGAGGATGTTCCTGCATCAGTGGGTGTGGCTCTCGCGGAAATACATCGAGACGGTGCTGCCGACGCTGAAGAGACCGCCCACTGACGGGTACGCGAAGAAGCAAGTGATGGCGGTGAACTCGCTGAAAGAGGCCTACCGAAAGCAGTTGTCCCACTTCGAGTCCAAAGTGAAAGAGTGAGCAGCGGGTTTTGAACGGTCGGAACGCACTTTTTTCAGCAGAACCGGCGCGGACGCAATCTACACTTTTCAGTTCACCGAACCCGTTCTGTAAGTTCTGCATTTCCGTCATTTTCAGTCTAAACTCGAGTTTTTGTCTCGATATCTTGTGTATGTATTTTCAAAATTGGACAATTCGATAAATTAATAATACATTCAGTTTTGATGAGAAATGCACTTTTTCAGCGCGTCGATCTGGACGTACCTGGACGAGCTGGTCGACTACTCTCTTTCGTCGGGAAAACTCGATATAATAGTGAAGGGAATCGATTCTCTGCACCAGGCGGTCGACGATAAAGTCACTCAGATGTGAGGCTCCTATTCCATGACGCCCACGCATTTCCCGCCCGTTTTGCAGCCAATTCTACATCGAACTGTGCCGTCGCTTCCAGAAACTCTCGTTTCTGGCGGTCGAGGAGCCGATGAAGGGCCGGCTCGCGACGGCGAAAGAGCTCATCACGAAGCACCAGGTCGTCCAGAATGTGAAGTACATGATCAAGTGGCCCGGCGGCCAGGAACCCTCGATGCGCGGACTCAGCAAGGAGTTTTACTGTCAGTTTTTCAATAGTTCTTTAAAATTCGGGTAAATTGTATATTTCGTCGAAAAACAATTCAATTTCAGCGTTCGAAACTTCGGTTCTGGCCAACTGGAAGCCGCTCTCCTCCCCACGTGCTTCCAATTTGAGCCGTCCGTCGATGGTCCCCTCTAGCTCCACGGTCCCAGCCGTGAGCGTTCCCTCGACCAGCACGATCGTCAAGCCGTCGGCTCCGGCTCCGGCTCCGTTGGCGGCGCGTCAGCCGACCGACGAGGAGCGGCGGGCGATGAATCCGATCGTGCAGGTACCGTCTTCGCGGCCGCTCGAAATGTCCGATTACGTGCGACTCCAGCAGCACCTACAGCGACAGCTCCAGCAAAAAGTGAAAGGCGAACCGCCGTGTTGATTGAATAATTCGCCCTATTTGACCCCGTTTTTTATCCGATTTATACCAATTTTAGAAGTTCGGGGACCGGCGAGAGAGCGAGAGAGAGAGAGAGAGATTTTCAGACAAAACCCCCGATTTTCAGGTCTATCTGGGAAAGTACCTAATGGCCAACGGCAATTCAGTGAGTCTATTTTGGTAGAGCTTGCCCTTGGTTTCTCTCTCTCTCTCTCTCTCACTCGCTCTCTCTCTCTCTCTGTCCTCGTCCCGGTGACGGTACTAACTACTCCGTCACAATTGTTTTTATCTTTTAACGGGCTTTTCAAAAGCCCGTGCATGTCTACTCGGTGTCCTTCTTTTTCGAATTCTAGATCTTGGTGAGCATCTTGGATTACCAGTCTAGAAAGTAGCGAATTTTGTAAAATAAATTATTTTGTCAGATTTTCGCCTGGAAAGTCTGTTTTATCAGTGAAATTAGCTAGAAAATACAATCAGTAAACTCAAAATTGCAAAAAATCACATTCTCGGAGAAGATCTGACTGAGAAATCATGACAAGTCTAAGGATAACCGCATTTTTTGTGAAATCTGCAAGTGGGTCTAAAGTTCAAGGCTCTAAATATCCTGGTTTTACGAAAAAGCGCTCACCAAGATCCCCTTTTCTCTCTCCTTCTTCTTCTTCTCCCCCCTAAAATCTCAGCCCCAACCTCTCTCTCTCTCTCTCTCTCTCTCTGACAAACGTGTCCTTAAAATCTCTCTTGAAATTTCAATTTAGAAATTCTCGTCCTTTCTCTGTATTTCCACACTGATATCTGACGATGAACTTGTTCCGTTTTTGCACTTTTCTCCTCTGCCGTGCCTCCTTCTCTCTTTCATGTCGTGTAGGTGGTGGCGGTGGTGCATGTTCGGTCTTTGGCACAAAAACATTGGGGCCCTGATTGCAGACGGCCGACATCTGCGAGCCGAGCGCGCAGCCGATGAGCGACGAGCTGCTCGTGGCGGCCATCACTGCCGTCTACGTGTGCGGAGTGCCCCTCTCCAACCAGATGATCATGCTCAAAGTGGGTCCGGAATTCCGCATCCTTTAGAAGTTTTGATGTTTTTCTGACGACTGCCGCGTTCCGGAAACGTAAATTATGTGAACGTTTGAGAAACACCGACTTTTGAATTAAACTTTAAAAACTACCGAGAAAAAGCGCTCAAAACCTACGCATTTAAACAAGTGGACTAGGAAAAGCTAGGCCAAAAAATCCAACACTTTGCAGAACGTGCTGACGCACGCGGGCCAAATCCGAATGGCGCAGGCGATTGCTGCTCACCGAGCCCGAACGAGCGCGGTGTTGACGACGAAAGAGTACAAGGGTCTCTTTGAGTATTTCACGAAATTCGAGAAGACGATCGAAGCGAAACGCCTCAAAAACAAAGAATTCGAGGAGAAAGAGCGGCAGAGAACGGAGGAAAAGCAGCGAAAAGAACGGGAAAAACAGGCGGAGAAGGAGAAGAAGGAGGCGGAAAAACAGGCGGAACGCGAGCGGAAAGAGCAAGAAAAAGCGGAAGAGCGAGAGCGGAAGGAACGCGAAAAACGGGAGGAACGGGAGCGGAAGGAGCGAGAGAAAGAGGAAGAGCGCGAGCGGAAGCGGAAGGAGGAGGAGGACCGACGGACGGCGCAGATCGAGATTCAGCGGAGGATCGACGAGGAGCGACGGCGGAAGGAAGAGGAAGAGACGGAGAGGGAGGAGACCGAACGGAGGACTCGCATGGAGACGGTCAGTCCGAGCAGCACGTGGGTCTCGACGCGAAATTTGATGGGATGCGCCTTGGAAAACTTTGAAGAAATTGTCGGAAAGTTTGACAAAATAACGACGGAATAACCAGAAATTACGATTTTTTCCATGGCGCATCGACCAAATTTTCGTGGCGAGACCCTCGCGTTTCCGAGATTATCCCTTTTGTGGAATGAGCATAACACACTTCCTTCTCCTCGTCGTTTCGTACTTTTGTGATTGGTGACCATTTAGGAGGCGACGAACGCGTTGTTGGGTCTGGAAGAGGACAATCTCATGGACGACGTCGACTTTATTTCCGAGCAGAAGAGCCGCGAAGACGAGGTTCGGAACGAGGGAGAATGGCATGAAAATTTGATGCTTTTTTTTTTGTTGCATGCACTTACTTCTTTTGTTTCTTTGAAAAGTGTGTGGGGAGAGGAAAGTTTCGCAAAAAATGCTATTGTAGGAGCGTAAAATCGCGGAAGGGCGCCGAGCGGTGGAGCGCGAGAATCAGATCAAGATGATGAGAGCTCAGCAGCTGATGCGTCAGGGTCCGAGCGAAGGGACCGTCGAGGAGAATAGTCAACTAATGGGCGCCGAGGTGGGAAACTTTGCATCGGATCCCAAGACACTTGTTTTTTTTTCAGGTCAATCAACCTGATTTTGGAGGGGTTCAACCTCAGGAAACTGCAGTTCAGTGGACAAATGTAAGTTCGACCACAAATTTAGAGACCTACAATATCTTAACTTATTTAGTCACAGCCTGAACCACAACAACAACAACAACAGTTGACTGCAGATGTCAAGAAAGAGCACAATAGTCAGGTGAGTTTTGGGTCTCACCACGATTGGGTTCAATTTTATCGGATAAGATTGCCTAAAACCCTATATTTTCTTCAGTTCGACATCCTGAATGCAGCCCAAGAGGCCGCTGGACTGCCCGCCTTCTCGGATCCCCCAAAGCCACGTGGCGCGTTCGAAAAGTTGGCCCAATTGCGAGGACGGACCCTTTCGGCGGACGCGAAACGGCGCAGCGAAATGGAAGCGATGCAGAGAGAGTGCCAAGATCAGCCAGGGACCGGAATGGGACTCGACCAGGGTCCGATGGTCATGAACAACCAACCGGTGGATCCGCAACACTATCCGCACGCTCAAATAGACCCATCTCCGTTCGGCAGTAAGTTTAAGTCTCGCCACGAAATCAACAATTTATCATTCCATGCTCTACTGCGACCAACAAAAACCACATTTTTCAGCGCCGAATGCTCTTCAAACCCAACAACAACAACAGTTCTTTCCGATGCCCTCCACAAACGGAATGACAAATCAGGATTCGCAACTGATGAGTCAGATTCAAGATCACCTCCAATCGCCCAATTCGGAGCACTACAAAAAAGTGACCGAGATGGGCAATCGCTTCGGATATCATCCGCCGCAACTGCCGGTGGACCTGCAACGCCAAGAGCACATGAACCCGGCACCGACGCCCAGCGCCCAGCACCTCCACGCCCTCATGCAGCACCAGGAACGACAGCAGTGGCGGCCGCAGCAACCGCCGATGACCCATATGAACGGAGCGTTTCCTGCGGGCGGCCAGCGGTTGAGCAGTCAGCAAATTGTACAGCAACAGAGCGAGTTCGTCGCCCGGCAACAGGCGCATCAGCAGAGAATGCAGCAGCAACAGCAGCAGCGGCAGAAGGAGCATCGCGAGAAAATGATGCAGATGCACAAGGAGCAGCAGGAGCAGCAGCAGCAGCAGCAGATGTACGCGGACAGTCAGGACCCGGGCAGAAGTACGTTTTCGACCCGTCTATCTTGACTGGATATCGTAGAATTAGACGGTCTTAGACGGTCTATGAGGGTCAACATTTTGGAGTGAATTCTTCACATCTACTACTTCATTTTCTGAGTTGACACCTTTTCTGTAAGCCCACGCACAAGACTACTGTAGGTTACTGTTCGTAGTAATATTTTTCCTCAAATCTAGTGTAGATTGCTTCACATTCAACCGAGCGCCGTAGCCCAACTTATCAATATTAAAACAGTACTTGTAAAGTACACTTTCCAGGATCCATGTCAATATCGCAGGGAATGATGCCCTCGCAACCTCGAACCCCGCAACAAGTGGCGCCGAACCAACAGTTCCCCATGTCCGCCTACCAGTCCCCGATGACCAACTCGTCGCTGATGCACACCCCGATGAGCAACAGTTCGATGGTCGCGCAGAGTCCGCAATTCCCGTCGCATCCGGTGAGTCCGTGACCGCCGAAACTTCTAGTCCCCCTTCGTTTTTCAGTCCCCAATGTCGCAGCAGTTCCACACGCCGCCCTCCGTCGGAATGCTCAATCCGACAATGAGTCCGATGGGTCCGGCACCGCCGCCGCCGCTTCAGCACTTCAACTTCCCGCCCACGTACTCTCAGCAGCAGCCGCAAGTTCCGATGCATCGGCAGATGAGTCAGCAGCAAATGCAGCAGAATGCGTAAGATTTGGTGGCGAGTGCGCTCCAATGCAACTTTCGCATTTCAGAATGATGCATCGACAAATGAGCCAACAACACCACAATTATCCACCACCGCATTAGAAAGTGCTTCCCGGAGAAGTAAAACACGTGTAATTATTATACATCTTTTCAAACTTTATCGCGTCTCGACACGAACGAGCACTCATCGACTATTATTTTTCGTTCGTGTCGAGACCCTTTCATCAATCCCACCGTCCAACGGTAAAATCATTAAAATATCTAGCTTTGTAATGTTTCTCCGTGCAATCGTCTGGCCACCAAATTCCCATTTCTTTCACTCATTTTGCCACGTCATCAGAACCCCTTTTCAGTTGTGATTTAAACAAAAAGAAGATAGAATCATTTGTTTGTCTTGTGTGGGCAATAGTTCAGGTTAGCAGCAGCAATTACATATTACAAGAATCTCCCCGCATTGGTAAGAAACGGAATTAGTGGCCGACGAAGAACTTGTTGATCGAGTGATCCGTGTCGAGCGTCTCGCGCGACACCTCCCGATGTCGCAGCTCCTGCAGATTCTCGCCGTTGTACGAGCACAACGTCTTCAGGAACACTTCCTCGGCGAGCCCGATCTTGCCGCCCGCGCGCTCGATCCAAATCGCGTTCAGGTCTGCAAAAAAAAGTGCATTTCTAGAAAGTCACGACAACTTTGGCTCTTCTTGAGATTATCTATTATCCAATCGGATTCTGACTTTGCTAGCCTAAACGTTGGCGAACAACAATTTCGGAACAGCATGTTTTCCTGCTTGTACTAGAAAATTCCAAGTAAAAATCTGGAAAATCGATATTTCTTTCAAAGTTGAACACTATGAGGGACAAAAAGAAAGGTCCCCAAATCACTCACTGGCCAGATCCTCCTTGCACGTGCTAAGACAGTCCACTCCGGCCGCCTCGGCGTTTTTGAGCGGCGAGAATTCCTCGTTGCGCGGCACTTCCCAGATGAAAAAGTTTTGCGAGTGCTCGAAGACGTCGAAGATGAACTGCTCGAGTTTGATTCCGTTCGGCTTCGTCGGCTTCTCCAGCTCGCCGCGAGCATTGACGAACGCAATCTTCTTGTGCGCGCGGTGGTACGGAAGACGGGCGGTCGGCGAGCACACTCTGCAGAGAAAAAAGGGTTTGAAGGAAGAAAGAGTCTAGAAGACGTACTTCTCCATAAAGTCCATCGTGAAAAAGTGGTTGGCGATGGAGCCGGCGCCGAACACGTACTTCCCCTCGGCGGTCTTTGAGTCGGCGAGCTCCGGCGGCAGCTCCGAGTACTCGACGACGCGCGGGCGGCCCCGATCGAGGCACACCGAGCCGACGAGCTCGCCCTTCTGCTTCCGCACGCACTTCGTCGCCACGTCCGCCTCGTTGGTGATGGCGAAGCCGATGAAGTGCGGATCGGCCACTTTGCACAGAATGTTGTCGACGCAGTACACGTGGAAGTACTTGATGCCCTTCGCGCGCAGGCGGGGCAGATGGGCCGAGAGCGCCGAGTACAGGCCACCGTTTCCGTCTGCAGAATGCGATTACGTGTTGAACAAGCGAGACCGTTACTTTGCACGATTATCAGCCATGTTTTGGAAACTCCAAGACAACCCTAATAATCGTGCAAAGTCATAGGACCCCATCGAAACTCACTTGGCGCGGCGACGACGGATCCCTTCGTGGCGAGCAGAAACTCTCCGTTCTCGTCGTACGCGGCAATCTCGTCCTGCGAGAAGATCGTGATCTGCTCGTCGAAATCGAATCCGTGATGCGCGGCCAACGCCTTCACGTGTTCCCGAGTGGCGGCCTCCGTGCCCGGCGACGTCATCACCGCCCAATGAATCTTTCCGGGCGTCAAGTGATCGCGTTCTCCTGCGAGCGCGTGGAGCAACGCAATCTTGGCGGCCTGGATGCCGAGCAGCGAGTCTCCGAACGCGGCGTCGATGCCCAACGGGATGGTGCCCTTCGGACGGTCCGAGCCGAGACGCGTCGCCTGCCCGCCGGCGAGCACAATCGCGCACACCTCGCCGCGCTCAATCGCGTCCATTCCGGCCTCCCAGTAAGTGTCCATCGCCGGTCGGTGCATGTCCCCGGACACGAAGTAATGCGACAAAGGGACCGGCTTCAGATCCTCCGATGTCGCCGGCAGTTTCTGCTCGGCCGACTCGACGAACCATTTGCGGGCTTCGGACAGGTGGAGCGACTTCAGTTGGGCCACCAACTTGGCCTTTTGCTCGACGGACAGCTCGTCGTAGTAGCGGAGCAGGTGCTCGGCGTCAGGGATCGAACGAAGGATTTCGGATTTGGTTGGCACGGTGTTAGTAGTCATTCTGCAAAAATTGGGACATAGATGAGGTACGGTCAGGAGACTTAGAAGAAAGAATAAATCAAAAACAACACGATTTTCCAAGCTAGAGCTCGAGAATGTGAAGACTTTAAGACCTAGTGAGCCAACAAACGTGGAATCGCTGAATGCAGTGAAAGTTTGCGTCTAGCGTTGATTCAACTGAGAAACAGCTAAAAATAACCCTGCGGAAAACAAAATGTTCGTAACAAAACAAAAAGGGGGCGGAGTCGAACGAGTCAAACCAAACGAAGAGTAAACTTGTTTTTCACTTCTCTCCCGCACGTCCGTCCGCTCAGTCCAAGCACACAATTGACACGTGTTGACCGCCAACAAAATGCGAAAAAGCTTGAGAATTCGATCTCTTTTTCTTCGGCGGACTCGGAATCTGAGAACGCAATAAAGGGCGGCAATAAACGGGAGAAAAGTTGGAGGCGATGCACGTTTCGAACGAAACAAAAGTAAACAAATGTAATATTAGCTGCGGAGATTGAAGAATCGAATCGAAAAGGGGCGGAAAATGGATTCTGACGGGCAATATCTGAATTGGCGCCGATTTTTGGCACTAAAAGTACCGAGACGAGATGTTACCGACACCGCCACGAAAGATTGCACTGAAAAATGGACAACGACGAAGCTATTGCGAAATCGGCCGGAATCGCCGTTTTGCGGAGGAAAACGCGGAGAAAAGTCGAAGCTTAACTATATTTTCGACGTTTTTCATGATGTTGATGGTAAAATTAAATTCTTAGGCCGATTTTGAAGAGGTTTTCGAGTTGGAAATGTTGGAAACACAGATTCGAAGCCGAAATATGGAAAAATGAGGAAAAATCTAGAATTTGAGACCAAAACAACAACAAAAAGCGGTTCGAAATTCAAAACGTTGCGCCGAGCTACCGTACCGAATATATAAAGGCGCATAAGTGTTTTTGGAGAAGTTTGTGGGTCCGGGGGAAAAAGGAGACTCTGATAATTACTCAAAAACAGCTCTATTCTGCCCAATTCTATTATGTCGGACCGCCGGGTCGGCACAAGTTCAATTATCTTTTGGAAAACAATTTTCGAAGGCCCGCGACAAGTCTGGAAAAAAGAAAAAAGAAGAAAGCAAAGTGATTTTATTCAGAATTTTCATTTCCCAAACCCAAAAAGAAGTTTCAATGCGACGACTTCTTCATGAGATTCGCGACTTGCCGAGCCGCGTACACGTCGGACACTTTCAGCTTTTGCCTGCCGGCCGCTTCGGCGATCTTGTCGGACGCGGTGAACATCTTGACGAGCATCTTCTCCGATTCCGTCTGCAGCAGGTCCATCGCACCGCCCGAGAAGCCGATCGGTCCGTTTTGCGCCGTTTCCGCACCGATCTCACGCACTGTTTTGCAGAATTCGACCTGAAAAGTTTTCAGAATTGTTGGTGGCCGAAGAATTGTTTTCGGCTTCAACCTTTCCGATGCAGAGCAAGTCCTTCTGCAGCACCCTGCGAGACGGTCTGACCGCTTCTCCTTCACTTTCGCTCTCACTTTCCTCTTCACTTTCCTCCTCATCCACCACATCCGTCGGCACCTCTTCGGCTTCTGAATTTTCGGAATTTACAGAATCCTCATCGAAATCGCGTGGGCGTCGCGGCGAATATTCGTGTCTTCCGAGCGGAATCGAAATGCTGTCGGTGGCCGAGGAAAGCGGCGAGGACGGTCCCAAAGGGATCCGCACTCGACGTGGCTCCGGAGGCGTCGATGTGCGAGACGGCCGCCTCATTTGTCGATAGTTTTACTCGATAAAATAATTTGTTTTATTTTTTTATTTTTGTTTATGTTTGTCGCGGAACAGTCCACGCTACACGGAGAAGGGGGAAAACTTTTAATTTTTAAATTCGGAAAGTGTTTATGGGGTGGGGTTATTCACAGACTTGCAACGGGCCGGGCCGGGCCAAAATTGGAAATTTTCCGGCCCGGCCCGGCCCGGGAGGATGCACCTAAAAATTCAAAGCGAACTAGAACTTCGAAACGAACATAATTTTATAGACTTAATATTTTATAGACTTAAAAAGGCAATGTTATAGCATAAAAACCTGTTAAAAAATAGAAATTGCTGTTTAAAGTCGCAAAATTTTCACAAAAATTACGAAAATTTTCTCAAGAGTGGGCGGAGCCGGGCCGACCGGGCCGGGCCGGGCCGACGATTTGCTGGCCCGGCCCGGGATTTGGCAAGTCTGGTTATTCAGGCTGTGAAAAAAATTATTTTTTTTCCGTTTTTTTTTCGTCAAAAACCCCAATTCAGCGGTGTAAAAAAACGGAAAAAACGGAAAACAAACATACGCTGAATTATTTCGCGTAAAGTCGGAACTGTCCGGTTTTTTCTATAATTTTGTGGGGTTCTTATCACTTTTGGTTCGGGAGAAAAGCGCAAAAAATGAGTGGCTTTATATATATATGTCCAGGAGTGTACTGAAAGGAAAACATTGTTTTCATGAAAACTTTATTCAGCGTAAAGTCCAGGCTGTTTTGTTCAAATGTACATGTAGAAGTGTGAGATTTTCAAAAGTCGAGATCAGAATCCAAAACGCTCTTCGGCCGCCGACATTATTTTCCACGTCCCGGGCATCCGAGGCCATTGCAGTGCAAATATATTCCGGCGAGTTCGTTGCCGACGTAACTGTTGCCCAGCGAGTTTCCGGATTGATGGCCAAAGTACAGGGGCAGGTTGTCGAGACCGCCGCCGTACCATTGACACGTGGCAATCGAGAAGAGGGCGAAGAGCAGGAGAAGCGAGCAAATCGGTGAAGAAGAAGAAGAAGAAGAAGACATTCTAGTCAAGAAGAAGAGAAGAAGCTGATGAGGGCTTCGCAGAGACGTTTCGAGCCTTTTATACGGCGGTGACGCGTCATCCGAACACTCGGAGACCGCGTGATCAGTGGAACAACGACGGCAGTCCGATGACGTCGTTGGTCTCCTTCTTCAAAGCCACGCGGGTCTGACAGAAAAGGCATGGGATCTTTGTAACGAGGACGGAGATCATTTTGTTCATGAGATTGCGGTTTTTGAGATCGCTCACAATTCTATCGCAGCAGTTCGCACATTTTCGCTGCCCAAAAGAACCTGTCCGACACGTGAACCGAACAAGATCACCGTGTGGCAATAATGTCGATAAAAAGCTCGTAAAAGTGTTCAAGTTTTCAAGTTCCACACAAAACAAACTCTGAACATTGGTATCCGTAGATGACGTGGAAAGCGAAGAGTAAAGTGCAGAGCCGTAAAAGTGTTGACCGTGATCCGTACGACAAAAACGCTCTATAAAAACGGTACCTCCCGCGACAGCCTACAATCATGACTTTTCCAATTCTCGTGCTGCTCCTCGTGCTCTTCTTCTTCTCGTTTGCCACGTGTCAATGGTACGGCGGCGGCGGCGGTCTCGACAATTACCCGATGTTCTTCGGCCATCAGACCGGCAACTCGTACGGCAACAGCTACGTCGGCAACGATCTCGCCGGCCTTTACCTATTCTGCAATGGCATCGGATGTCCCGGACGCGGATAACTATTTTCTCAGTTTTATAACAATTTTCATTCAAAAGCTCAATCAAAATAAACATAATAAATATGCAGGGGTGAAGATCAGACTATAGCAAAATGTGAAAGAATTCGGCGGGGCGGAGATATGGACTAAACTAGACAAAAATTGGTATGTAAAACAAGAGAATCGTTAGTTGCCACGTCGGCTCTTCGCCCTTCCGCGACTCGACGGCTTCTTCTTCTGCGGGGGCGGCGAAGGCGTCGGCGAGAGGTCGCTCTCCGACTCCTCGACCTTCTTCCGAGGCTTCAGACGCGTCGGCTGGTCGTACTCCTCTTCCTCGTCTTCTTCTTCTTCGTCCTCCTCCACTGCCGGCTGGTGGTACTCGGCCCGTCGTGGCTGCTGATTCTCCTCTTCCTCGTCGTCGTCGTCGTCGTCGGCGAGTCCGAACATTTTGAGGTCGATCGGCGCCAGCTTGCGCTTATGTCCTGTAAGAATAGCAGAATAGCAGAGCTGACAATGGGCGCAAGTGCGCCCCGCCCAATAGAGCGATACATTGGCGCGAAATTCAAATTTTAACAGCAAAATTTGTGTTTTTTGCCAGATTAGGCACGAAAATCGATAATTTCTCATTTTTCTCTCGACAGACCGATTGTATAGGCTTTTACGAATTTTTTAAGCGCAAGAGCGTCAAATTTGGTCAAGTCGCAAATCACATTTATCCGTTTGAAGGATTTTGGCTAAAACTGCGTGAATTTCAGTTGCTTTTCGGCAATTTTCGCTGTTCGAGCGCTCTAAATGCTTGTATTTACGTGATTTATCATTCTCAATCGAATTCTGTCTGAAAACGGTCAAGAAAGCGCAAAATGAGAAGTGCGGTTTTTAGGCGGCGATCGGCGGCGAAGGCGAAAAAGCAAAGTCCGCGAAAAATGCGCCAAAACGTCATTAATTCTCGAGAATTAGTGTGTTTTCATGTCGAACAATCATTTTTCATCGCCGTTGACCAGAAAAATCAGCGAAAACCTGCTCAATTCATGAAAACGTGCTTTTGAGCGCGTTCGCACCCATACAAATCGCAAGACATACTCTTCTGCAGTGAGCACCGCTTCAGCTTCTCGGCCAACCGCTTCGCCTCCTCCTCCTCCTCGTCGACCTCGTCTTCGTGCGGCGATCCGTCCAGGTCCGTCTGTTCTGTCTGCGGTTTGTTCGGTTTCCGCTCCAGATAGGCTTGCAACTGTTTCACCGTCGACTTTGCGCGCTCGTTCTCCACATGATCCGGGCACACCATAATGTTGGCGGTGCGTCCGTTCACCTTATACACGCCCATCAGTCGACTTCCGACGTCGAACATTTGATTGCGCAGCGAGACGATGATGAACTGCGCGTTGCGCGTCCGCTCCGAGAACTTGATGTAGTGGGCGATGAGGTTGACGTTCTGCAGGTCCAGCGCCGCGTCGATCTCGTCCATCACGTAGAACGGCGAGGCGCGGTAGTGGTGCATGGCGAACACAAAGCACAGCGAGGCGAGCGTCTTCTCTCCGCCCGACAGGTTCTCGATGAGCTTCCATGACTTTTTGGCGGGACGCACCGAGAACTTGATGCCCGCGTCGAACGGATCCGAACTTCTGCCCTCCTCGACAAACTTGAGACTCGCGTCGCCACCGTTCGTGATCATCTGGTAGAGCATCTGAGTGGTCGTGCCCAAAAAGCTGAGCGCGTCCGAGAACTCTTGCAGTCTGGCCGATCGCAACTCGTTCAGTTTTGCTCTGTGGATCGACACCTGCGTGTTGTACTTGTCCCAGTCGTGGCACTCGTTGCGATGAAGGGTCTTGAGGGTGCAGTAGTGCGAGATGCCCTTCTCGTCGAATTCCCGCCGGAAGCGCTCCGTCGCCTTCTCGTACTCGACAATCCGCTCGGCGAGTTTCGACTCCTCGCTATCGAGCATCTCGAAGGGCACGTCCTCAAAGTTCTTCTTGTGCGGAATGATCATCTCGATCACTTCCATCGGCATCAGCACATGATCATCAGCGAGCTTCTCCTCCACGTCTTCCGCGTCCGCACGAACAATCTTCGTGTGCGGGTCAAGGTCTTCGGGCTCCAGCCACATGTGCTCCAGCGCCTCGAGGTCGTTCGTGTCTCTATTCAAGTTGAAATCTAGCGTATCCATCATTCCATCCAGCTGATCGTAGTCGCGTTTGTACGTGCTATGCTTGTCCACCGCATTCCCGTACGCGACCATCGCCGTTGTCCGTTTTTCGCGAGCCGCAATCAGTTCCGCATCGATCGCCGCTTGTTCCGCCTATAAAAGTGTGGATAAAGAGATGTTTAGAAAAATTGTTCTCACCTTGATCTCCTTGACCGCTTTCTCAATGGCAATCATCGGTTTGATATCGCTCTCGGCTTCGTTCAACGTCTCGCTGTGCTCCTTTTTCGCCGTGTAGTCGTCCTGCGCCTGATTGATTTTCACATCGAGTGCTCGCAAATGTTGTGGTGCATTCGAGATGGTCGCCTCTTCCGCAGCCATCTCCTCCTCGAGCTTTGTGATTCGTTCGCGAGTCTTCGTCGCCTGCTCCTTGTTCTTCGAGACCATCTGCTGGAACATCTTGTTCATCTTGTCCTGCGACGCGTCCGACGACGCCTTCAACGGCTCGATCTCCTTTCGCAGCTTCTCGACACGCTTGCGCAGCTTCTCGATCGACGCCTCCTTCTGTTTGAGCTCTGCCGGAGAAATCGTCTTGCCGCCGTGCTCTTCAATCTTTGTCCGTTGCGCGGCGATCGACGTGTCCAAGCCTTGGATTCTGACCGTCAGGTCCGGAATGCCAGCCTCTATCTCGGCGATACGACTCTGGTACTTGGGCACGTCGGGCGACAGGCGCTGAATAATCATATTCTGCTCGTTGAGCCGTCCCTGCAGATCCGCGCGGTCCTTCACCAGCTGATCGTGCGACGCTCTCAGCTTGTTCATCGCCGTCTCGTCGTCGGTCACCATCGGTCCTTCGCCGGTGATTCTCATGCGTCCGGTCCACGGCTTGCCGCCTCCCGTATAGTTTCCGCTTCGGTCCAGAATCGTTGCGTCTTCCGTCACAATCCGATACTTGCCCTTGTGCTTCTTGTCGAGCTTCTGTGCCTCTTCGAGATTCTTGCACACCACCATATCGCCGACGATCGAGTACCACAACTTGGTCATCATAATGTCGTCGCCGCACTGAATGAAATCGATGAGTCGGGGCGCCGGGAATCCCCGCGAAGGTCCGGGCATGCTGTAGTCGTGGAGATGGTCGAGGAAGAGCATAGTCGTGCGCGGGATGTCATGATCCTGCATGTAGTCGGCGGCCCAGTCCTGATCGCGGGCCGAGCGCACGATTAGCATGTCGAGCTTTCCCGTGTAAATCGTCGACATCACCGCGTCGTAGTTCTTGTGGATCGTGCCAAGATCTCCGAGTCTTCCGATGAATCCGTCGAACTCTCCCTCGTCCTTGAGCTTTTGGAATGCTTGCTGCGCGGCCGTCGAGCGAGTGAGCACGGATCGGTGGTTCTTGAGCTCTTGCAGCTCACTCTTCACTTGCTCGCAACGTCGACGCAAGTCCGCCTCGGCTGTGACCAACGGGAACGCACGCTTCTTCGCGTGCTCCAGCTCTTCGTGCATTTTTTTGTATAACGGCTTAATCTTCGGCAGTTCACTGAAAATGGCGTACATAGTTGGGTAGGAATGGGGGGAATACGGGTAACTTACTCTTCGTCCGCTCTGAGTTTGGCGACCAACGCGGCCCTGCGAGCCACCAGCTCCTCCAACCTCTTCTCATCTTGAGCGGCCGTCGTCGTGACCGCCTTGAACTCCTCCTCCTCTTCCGTCAGCTTGGCGCGCAAGTCGTTGTAAATGGTGCTCTTCTCCTCCAGCTCTCTATCGATCTTCTCCTTCTTCAGCTTGTCCGCCTGCGACTTTGCATCGTACTTCATGATTCCGTCGCCGGCAATCTTCTGGAATCGCTCTTCCTGCACTCGGAGCACGCCGACTTCCGCGCGGATCGCCTCGAGCTTCTGTCGTGCCTCTTCTGGCGCCTTCTCCGCCACCGCACGCTCGACCATCAGCTGCTCCAGCGTTTTCTGCGCGGCCGCCATCGCACGGTTCGCGTCTTTCATAGCGATATTGCGCATCTTCTCTCTGCGCGACAAGTCGTATTCGGTTTTCTGCGCGTCGTGCAGTTTCCCGGTCACCTCATCGTACTTTCTGATCAGCTCGTTCTCGACGTCTTCGCACTGCTCCAACTCCGCCTGCTTCTCCCTTTTCTCCTCGTGCAGCTCGTCCATCACTTCCTTGCGCATCTCGAGCTCTTCGATGAGTCCTGCCTTCGTGGCCAACGTCTTGGCGATGACGTGTTTGAGTTGGAGGCCGTGAAGGAACGTCAGCTTGTTCTTTGTGTTGATGTACGCGACGGCGGCTTCCATTTGCGGATAGAACTGCTCCTCTTGGTCCTGATGACGACGCATTCTGGAATCGAATCATTCGCTTTATAGATCCTATATATTATATAAAAGAGCTATATGATCTAAGGCGTTCAAAAAAAGACTCACCCAACACTGTACTGTGATGCCTTGACCTCAAGAAGCGCCAATCGGTGAGTCAGCTTGGCAATCGGCACGACGAAGCGGTCGGTGCCGACAATGTCCTCGATGTACTCGAGCATTCCCTGCTCATTCGTGCTCTTCGACGTCGGCTTCATCAGCGCGATCGCCTCGACTTCTCCTTGCAAAATCAGAAATCGATTGTGAGTGAGATCGATTCCGGCACGTTGCAGGAAATCGGTCACGTCCCTCTGCGGCACCACTTTTCCGTCAATTTCGTAGAAGGTGGTGCCGTCCTTGTGAACGGTGCGGCCGACTTTGAACGCTGATTTCGGGATGACGCGGTACTTGTCCTCGTCAATGTCCTGGATGTAGAGGAAGTTGATGATGACGCGGCACTCGTTGCATCCGAGCTCGCTGTTGATCAGCGACGTCAGCTTCTTCGTGCGGATCTTGGAGCCGCGGAAGCCGAACACGAAGAGCAACGAGTCGATCACATTCGATTTGCCACTTCCGTTAGGGCCCAGAATCATTGTCAGATTCTTGTGCAACGGTCCGAGTATATGATCGCCGTAGTAGCTTTTGAAGTTGTGCACGTGAATGTCCTGGATGATGAGTCTCGCGCCGTTCGCGTTCGGATCTCTGTCCTGGTACTTTGGCGGGATGATCAGGTTGAGCAGGTCCTCGTCTTCGCGGTACTCGAATCCTTCGTACGTCCATTCCGGCTGCACCTCCTCGGCCGCCGCTTCCACAATATTCACCGACGCCATCATTTTCTTTCTTCGCTCCGGCTCGAGCTCGACTGCCGGCATCGGGACGGACTGAGCGGCTGGGGTGCCGTGCGAGGAGGTTACTGCACGCTTCTTGGCGGAAGACATTGTTCTGAAAAAAAAAACGAGAATTAATCAATCAATAATAACGATCAAGATCCATTGAAAATGTTTGAAAGTTTAGATGAACAGAATAGCAAAGGACTGGGGGCCTAACGGGACAGAAGAAGAAGAAGAAGAAGAAGGGGCATCTCTCTCTCTCTCTCTCCTTTTTCTTCTTCGTCACCCCGACTGCCTTAGCAGTGCGCGCTCGTACACGCAGAGACGCTGAGCTGACCAGGCGAGAGAGCGCGCAGACGCAAGAGACGCAGACTTTCCGTCACGCTCTGACACACTGCGTCTCGTCGATTTGCGTTGTGTTTGTTTGAGTACGGAGAGCGGACGGACGGACTGCGTGTTGCTGGTCACCGCGGAGACGGAGGGGGAACCGAGCGGCCCGGCGGGAAGGCGAGTAGGAGAGAGAAAGAAGAGCGCACCGCATTGGTAAACATATACAGACAGTTGCGAGTGGAATGCTAGAGTTTTCCAGAACGAATGGGCAAGAAAATGATGGCTTGGACGCGACGCTGTATGGTACAGCATGTATGCAATATAGGAGCTACATGAAGGATCCTGTAGGATCTAGCTTAGAAATTCGAATTCATGGGATCTCATGGCTACGTGTAAAAGATGTTTAAAGGAGCTACATAGGAACCAGAGTTGAGCGGAAATGGAATTTTGAAATCCGGAAGACGGAAGACGGAATTCCGCTCAACACTGATAGGAACTATGCAAAACTATAGAAACTGCAGGAGCTATTTAGGAACTATAACATAACTATGTATAGGAAAAATGAATAAGAAATAGAAGAGTTATTGGAAATATATGTTTAAATTTAGAATCCGATGCAACTATGCTGTCTGAGAACTCTCCAACTGATCAGACTGACCTGCGAAGGGCCGGCCCGTGCCAAAGGGGGCGGAGCTTGTGTGAGCACTGAGACACAAAAAGAGAGAGAGAGCGGGAGAGAGAGAAAGAGACATTGTGACTAATGAAGGTGTACAAGGACAGATGGCAGAGAGAAGGACACGAGAAGAAGAGGAAGAAGAAGAAGAAGGGGAGAGGTGACACAACGGACCAGACTCATGAAGCTTTGTCTATGAATATATGAATAATCTAATCCGTTAATGGGTGTAATGGGTAACAGACAAAGTCTACGTAGGAAACATCATTAACCTTGGAAAGTTAATGTACTAGTAAAGTGTAATGCAAATTGGGGGTTTACCGATTTCGATCTAATACGGTCCCTGTGTGGGAGGGATCCAAAAAGGTACATTTGACTGTTGACAAGTACACTAACTATACAACTTTACACACAAACTCGGCTGATCAACAACATCACGCGCGCGAGGCGTGAAACCTCTAATTACAGCAGAAACCAGTCATATTACCTGGCTCTCACATGACTGAGCTCGTGCTCCAAATGAGCTCCGAGTCGGCCGGGCTCATCGGAGCAGTGCCTGGCACGTCGGCGGCTTCTGCTCGGGCTCAAAGCGGATGCTGATCGCATAATTGCAGTGTAAATCTCTTCGGGGATTTTGCGAAAAACTAAGCGGATAATTGTGCGCTCTCAAAGAGTCTCCGCGCCGATCGAAGAAAAAGGAGGAGACGTGCCCGTCTAATTGGGGTATTAGGGACCACGTGGAGGAGGAGGAGGAGGCGGAGATAAGGATCAATTTATAATTGGGATGGTCATGCTGCATGCTCACGGAATATGAGAGATGTGACAGGTGTGAGAGCACCGATCAAACTGGACACTTTGCAACTATGTGACTTCTAGTTCAATAGTTAAGATAGTACCGCATCCGGTTGCGAAGTGTCCAAAATGCACCGACACTTTGCACACTTGAAACAAAAGTGTCTAGTTGCAAAACGTCCATAAACTTAGTTTGTCGTAGAAGTGGACGCTTTGCAACCAAGCGTCATGGTTGCGAAATGGGATACTACGTGCGGAAAAGTAAGACATGATTTCGATTTCCAAAAAGGTTAATCAACTCCAACTCCCGCGGGACCATGAGTAATATCCTCTAGTGCAGTGGTACTACTAATGATGTGATGCCAAAAGCGGACAAAATATTATCAGAGTTTGCGGACCGAATCCTAATCCCCCCCGAAACATTTCGGAAATTGAAGGTGGGCGACTGGGAAATGGCACGGAAATTGAAGTGTACACAGAGATTTGAAACAAAGGGGGCCAACTAGAGGGGCACAAGATTCAAGTTTCACAGATTTTTCTAGACCACGGCCACTAGAGTAAGAGACGAGTCAGACAGACATTCGGAGCGTTCCCTCTCCCGGAAATAATTCAAATTCACACGCTGGAAACGAACGACGGCTGTGTCGTAGAACAATAAAGTTTCAGCGACACTTCTGACATCTCTGTCTGTCTTGAAGGACCAGGAAACCTTGTCAGCCCTTTAAACACTTTGTACACTTTTGTTTCACATCGTAAATATCCAATTTCCAACGTGCGCATCAGAGTTAAGCGGAAATGGAATTTTGGAATCCGGAAGACGGCAGACGGCAGACGGAAGAAAACTTTTTTACGGAACACGGAAGACGGAAGAAAATTTTACTCACGGAAGACGGCAGACGGAAGACGGCAGACGGAAGACGGCAGACGGAAGACGGCAGACGGAAGACGGCAGACGGAAGACGGCAGACGGAAGACGGAAGAAAACTTTTTTCGCGGAAGACGGAACAAAAAAATCGTCAATGCAGAACCTTTTTTTCCGGTTTTTTTAAAAATAAATAACTAAGGCACCAAAAATTTTGGATCTGGGTCACTGCCCGTGGAAATTCGCGTTCTTCGGGGCTAGAAAATGGCTTCTGAAAAGCTATTACTTTTTTACGGTAAGAAGAAAAAATTCCGGAAGACGGCAGACGGCAGACGGAAAAAAAAATTTTTTACGGAAGACGGAACAAAAAAATCCACGGAAGGCGGAAGACGGAAGACGGAAGACGGCAGACGGAATTCCGCTCAACTCTGGTGTACATGTACTTTTCAAGGCCGCCAGTTGATTTATAGGATCCTTTAAGTGTACCCAAACCGTTTGTCCCGGTCCCTTTCGGATAGCAAACATCACCGGCGTTGCGTCCGTCGAAAGGCATTGGTAGTGTAGTGATCAGAGAGCGAATTAAGGGAGAAGGAAGAGAGAGAGAGAGAGAGAGAGTCGAAACGTGTTCTAATCACTCGGGGTCCTACTCGCTTCGGGGACACCGCCCATGATGTTCGTTTTCGTGGGAGAGAGAGAGAGAGAGAGAGAAAGAGAGAGAGAGAGAGAGAGAGAGTAGTTTCCGGTACGAATTAAGAAAAAGAGAAAGAGAGAGAGGGGATTAGTGGGATTAGAGGAAAGGAAACACAAAAAGGAATGGTTAATTAAAGTGGTAGGACGTTTTGCAAACTGTGTTCTTAGTTGCGAAACGTCCAGGTTTACTTTCTAGCCATTTTGCAACCGAAAAATTAAGTGGTTTGGTTGCGAAACGTCTTTTCAGTTGCTATGGACACTTTGCAGCCAATTTCCCACTGGCGTGGTTGCAAAATGTCTTAGTTGCGAAATGTCCCGGTTGCAAAGTGTCGTGTGGGTTGCGAAATGTTCCGATCACTGATCCTCTCTGTTCGAATGCCGAAAAAAAAAACACATCAGGTCCATCTGGCTATTCTCGGTGATATTATGAAAAACTTGCCTCACCTGACCCTCTCTCTCTCTCTCTCTCTCTTCTTCTTCTTCTTCTTCTTCTTCTTCCTCGTCATCATCATCATCGTTTTATATTATCATTCTCCAAATTCCGTGAAAGAAGATGATCAGCGATCATCGGGAAGGCCCCGTCCCGCCATCAAAAAATTACTGTATAAATGGAAAGCGAACGGGAGAGAGAGAGAGAGAGAGAAAGAGAAAGAGAGGGAATACTGTACACAGGGTGTGGTCGCCGTCAAAAATAGCGGCGAAAGTGGGGAGACGCGGCCGGCCGACGGTTATCATTCATTTATCATAATGGATCGGCCGAGGGAACGCCCACGCCCACGCATTGTTTCACTTCCGAACCCTACAATATCATTCGGATTAGCTTAACTTACTCTTAGTCTCAAACAGTCTCAATTTTCACTTTTATAACTGTACAATAGCGATTGGCAGTCAATTCAAAAATTGATCAACTTTGAATCGATATTGTAGAATTCCTAAAAGTTCCATTGATCCCAAAATGTTTTTTGTGAATTCTTCATGTTTAGTAGAGTATTTTTATAGAGGATCACTTTTTTGTACGAGCACTCTCTGAAGTACTGTAGCTCTGGGAAGTTGGCCTTGAAATTGATAGGTCTTTTGATAGTTCTAACTTCCACGAGCTCCAGTACTTTTAGAGATGGTCAAATCAAAAAGTTGTCAACTACAAAATTAAAGATCACATTTTGGTCTATTTTTTTATCTCTGGCAACTTTTTTGTAGCAAAACTCCTAGAGTTACTGTAGCCCCGGGAAATTAAAGCCAAATAAGAGCCCTCGATTTTCAGTCCCAACTTCAAAGAGCTACAGTACTCCAGGGAGTGGTCGTACCAAAAGGTGATCAACTACAAAAATGATGTATTATGTGTCGAGATATCCCAAGAAAATTTTCAGACCAACAAGCCGGCTGTGAATTCTACAATATCGCTTCAAAGTTGACCGTTTCCAATTTCCACAAATATTGCCCGCCCACTTTTTCTGTCTCGCTGACCATTTCATCACTTCTAGACATCAGAAAGAGAACAAAGTGATCAAGGTTCCTTTCTTTAAGATCGGCCGAATATTGTCGGTGTCTGTCCTCTGGGAGCGGCCCTCCAGTCTCGAAGGTCAGGTGATAGGCCCGCGATCAGGATTACTGTAGTTTATTTTTATAAAATTGTAAAGACGACGAATTAGGGCTATGATATGTGAGTTTGGGTGTGGTTTTGGGGTTAATTTGTGTCCAAAGCTACAATATCCACTCTGTTTTGTCGTCTGTATAAAGTTTGAAAGAGGGACTCGCACAAAAATGAAATGTCATACTTCGATTGGATATTGTAGAATTCTAGAAGGGTATTTGAGGCTGAAATTTCTTAAATATGTTTTTGACATCTAGTAGAGTATTTTTGTAGTTGATCACTTTTTTGTACGAGCTCTCTTAAGAGTACTGTAGCTCCAGGAAGCTAGAGCCGTGTAGGCGCCCTCAAATTTCAGTCCCAACTTCCCAGAGCTACAGTACTCCACGGAGTGTTCGTATCAAAAAGTGATCAACTACAAAAATGATGTACTAGGTGTCAAGATATCTCAAAACATTTTTGACAGCAAAAAAAAGTCTGTGAATTCTACAATATCCACTCAAAGTTGATCAATTTTGGACTGTCCGCCAGCCGCTATTGTCCGATTCTATCGTCGAGTTTTCTCACATTCAATGTCTCAAAAAACGCTCACGCGTTCAGGTCAAACGTTTTTCCACATCTTCCAACGTCTAAGATCCATTCGCTGTTCCGTTCCAACGCCTTCTTCATCTCACCTCCAAAAACCAATTTGACCTCTCTCTCTCTCTCTCTCTCCTTCTTCTTCTTCTTCTTCTTCTTGACACGCACTGATTGGTCAGTAACACCCTCCCGCGAGTGCCCAAAAGTGGTCCGCCACACGGGTGGTCTCTGTTCCTTTGTTCTTTTTCCGAACATTTTTGTTCTCCCTCTCTCTCTCTCTCCCACTTCTCAAGTCATTTTCATAGTGAAAAAAAGTGAAACACAAATAGTTCGCGCTGGTGTTTCGAGTACTTTTTCTCATTTGTTTGCCGTGCTCCTCCTCCTCCTTCTTCTTCTCCTTCTTCTTCTTCTTCTTCTTCTTCTTCTGCTCTCCTTATCAGTTGGTGTGAATATTTCGCAATTTTTGCCGATTTTCGATGAGCCGGAACATTCCAAGAAAGTCGGATGACTGAACGAACTGATAACTGGACGCTTATCAGTCCGTTTTAATGGTCTCCTCCTTCTTCTTCTTCTTCTTCTTCTTCTCCTCCTTCTTCTTCTTCTCGCATTTCATTTTATGATTGGAAGAATCTACTTAAAAGAGGTGACGGGCGGTGCCAGGGTCATCACCGACGAAACTGATAATAGCGGGAAGGATGGAAATGAGAAAAGGACAATAGCGGGTTGAAAAGTGTCCGCCAGTTGCGAAACGTCCAACCAACCCAAAGAAAGGCAAAAGTTTTAAAGATCCCTACGAATTTCTTCTCAATTAGACTGTAGAGTGAGTTCAGAGAACACTTGCAAAACGTCCGTAACCATTGACTTTCGGTTTTGGACACTTGGCAACCAGTACTGGTTTCAGAACAGCCTGTCGTTTTTCTTGTTTGACCCTCCACTTTTCTTCCTCATATCTCGGTCAATCTTAAAGATTTTGACACATTCAAAAAACCAATCGAAAGACAATTTATTTCTCTACAACTTTTCAGTTGACCATTTTTTACAATATAACTTGTGCGCCGAGATATTTCACTTTTACTCAAGCCCATTTCTCAAATACTCGCTGTTTCTTCCAAAAGTGCGAAAACCATGAATAATGTCGTCAAATAGGCTGGAAAAATGTCACCAGCTTCTTTAAGGCTTCAATTTTGATATATTTTCGATTTGACAGTACCTACAGCACCCCCCTAGTCCAGCTATTATCCTTCGAGGGTGGTTGATCGTGAATACTGTATCTCCATTCTCAGAGAAAACATCTCAGTTGTCTTTAGAGATATCAAAAAAGTGTCAACTGGTAAAATGTTCAAAAATATATTGTCAATATTTTGTTAGTTGACAACTTTTTGATATCTCTACAGACAGCTGAGATATATGGGTTCGAATGGACAATAACTTCGCTCGCCACTAAAGACCACAGTCCAGTGAATTCCAAACGTCTATTGTCGGTTTCGTTCCTCAACAGGTGGCGTCCACATCCACTGGATCCACGCCCTTATCTTTGTCCTCCCCCTAACCACCACAACAGTCATTTTTCTTCCTCTCTCTCTCCAGAAACCGCATCTCCTTCTTCTTCTTCTTCTTCTTCTTCTTCTTCTTCTTCTTCTTCTTCTTCTTCTTCTTCTTCTCTCTCTCTCTCTCTCCTCCCGGGCGACTCCTCCCCTCTTAGGAAAGTGGGGAGAGGGGCGCCCGCGGCGGGAGGGAAGGGGGGAAACGAGGCGAGGCAGCCAGCGCCACACCCTGTTCTGTCCCCCCACTTTTCTTGTGTCTTTTCTCTTCGTTTTTACCCCCCTTGTGTGTGTGTGTGTGTGTTGTGTCCCTTTTGACAAGTACCTCCCCCAAAGATCCTATATCGATCACTTTTTCTTGTCTTCTACACCGCCTGGAACCCTTTTGAATACCGTAAATGACACCATTTGTTCAAAGCATGATATCTCAGTTGCCTGTGGAGATATCAAAAAGTTGTCAACTAATAAAATGTTTATTAAAAGCTTCTGTACATTTTATCTGTTTACCACTTTTTGATAGCTTCACCGACAGCTGAGATATATAGCTTTGTATTGGAACTATTTTGAATCCAGATACAACTCATCGATATCTAAAATTTGCACTCTCAACTTGTACAAAAATATCGTTTTCAATCCTATTTTCATCTTATCACAAGTTTTTCTTCCCCCCGCGGTCCCCAGTTGACACAAAGCCTCAAGATCAAAACTTTCACTCTGTGACACAGGGAACTAACGCGTCGTGACAGTTTTCGGGCCGGGGGGATTTGTTACACTATTTTAACGGTTTCGCGTGTCTTAATTGATTTTATTGACTCTAGTCAGGGCTAGAATCATCTTTTTCCTCGTTTCCATCTTGACAAAAGACGAAAAATCGAACCCGGGAAGCGAACTTTGGTAGCTCGCGCGTTGGCAAAACGCAGGCCACTCGGCCACGCACCCACCAGCCGCGCGATGTCGCCAGGGCAGATATAAAGGCGCTGCTCCTCGGGACTTGCCACGGCGTAACATTTGGTTAGAAAATGTTGAATGTTTCGAAAATTTCAGTTTTTTCCGGTCTTTCCCAGTGGTTAGGTCCAGTTTTTCGTTTCAAACACCAACATCAATGCCAAATAAACCTTCCCTCTTCCTTTAAAACTTTTAACACTCCCTAACCCCAATTCCGAGTTAAAACTGATGTATTCTTCTGGAAAGAGTCAAAAATCATGCTGATAAGAAAAAAAAGTGTGGCATGAGACGTGTTAGTAAAACAAAAGTTCAGGTCAAACTACCAGCACCACCTCCCCCCACTATAAACGTTTTTTTTTTGGAGGGAGGGGGGGGGGTCAGTTGACTTGACCTTTGTGTAATTTACAATACTTTAAACTTTGGGTAGGATGTGGGCAAGTTTTTGCGAAACTACAGTAATCCCACACTACTTTTTGCGCAAATTTACATTTTCTATTGTCTCAAAATCTCATGTGATCCCCGTCGATCCGTTCCCGTTCTCAGCTGACTTCTTCTTCTTCTCTCTCTCTCTCTCTCTCTCTTTCTCTCTCTCTCCCTTCCTTATCAAGTTTTGTGTAGTTCCCCGTCGCTTTATCAATGCATTTTTGTCGCCCCCCCCCCCCCAATCAACCCCCCAAAAACCATCAAATTTTCAGTGAAATGTTCGGGCCGGAAGGCTCTGGAGGACCTTCAGATACGTCGACGCACTCTGCCACTGCCACGTCATCATCAAGCAGCGCCGTGTTGCGGGCGTCGCGGGAACGTCTGGTGCCGATTCCGAACAAGCCGCTGCTCAAAATTGACCCGTCGGCGCGAGCATCGTCACATGTTTACCTCTCGCCGTCATTTCTCCAATCAGGTACAGAGAGAGAGAGAGAGAGAGAGAGAGAGAGCGAGTAGTTTGTGTCTGACTGTTTGTCCCTCTCTCTGATGACAAGTCACACATTCCTCGTGCACTTTCAAGAGAGAGTGTCAATTTCTTGGAAGCCAGACGCGTTGGAACTTTTTATTTTACGAATTTTGAACTCAAACTGCGGCAAAACACAGTCAGACGCTGCTGAGCGCTGCTCTGATGTATCTCAATTGCGGGTAGAGATATCAAAAAGTGGTCAACTGAAAAAATGTGCAGAATTACCCAGTGAACATTTTATCAGTTGACAACTTTTCGATATCTCAACAGACAGCTGAGATACAACGTCTTGAATGTGATCGATTTCAGCGTCCTCGTCGGTCTCCTCTGAAAACGACGACGTCTCGCAGCGGATCCACGAGGCGACGCGCAGTTTCAATCAGTTTGGCTCGCAGTTCTTCGAGTCGTTCCAGGAACTTTCAAGGACCAAGAGCGCCTACGAACGGCTCAAGGAGAACTCGTTGAGGAGGAAATTGGAAAGTGTGAGTTCCCAAATACGCCCGCGCATTTTGCCCTTTTGCGAGACGAAGAAGAAGAAGAAGGAACTTTCGGCCTTCACAAACGAATCGATTAGTCAATCCGGTCTCTCTGCGTCTCCTTATCACTTTCTCTCTCTCTCTCTCTCTCTCGCAAATCAAAAGAGAGAGAGAGAGAGAGAGAGAGAGAGGAAAAGAGAAAGGCAACGCCCATGTTCTTCTTCTTCTTCTCTCTTTCTCTCTCCTTTTTCGGCCGACCGACCGGCCCCCATAAAGGGTTAACCACACCCAAAAACGCATACAAAACAGATAAGGTTAACTGTGGAACGGATGGAATTTTCTTCCAGAGATTCGCCGGAGACGACAATGAAACTGCGACGACTTCGACGTCTTCGCTCTTCGATAGACATGCCAGTGGTGAGAGAAATGAAGCAAAAGAGGGGAACCGATCGGGGGAATCGAACTTTGGAGTGTAACTTGGAAAAAGTTAAAAGCGGTAGCCACTAGGCCATCCGCGCAGCTTTCGAAAGCAGCCGCCAGGTTATTGATATAAGGGGATGCGGGCGAAGCTGTAAAGACACAAAATCACTGAAAAATGATTACAAAACGTTCAATGCTAACTTTTCAGAGTTCTCAGCCTTCACTCCGTACCGGAACACTGCTTACGAGTCGACGCAGAGCCTCTTCCAACCGTCCACATCGATGAACGACCGAATTGAGCAGATCAAAAACGACTTTTTCGCCGAGCATCAAAGTGAGCACATTTTTCTCGTATTCTTTTAGATGATTTTGGTCATTTTAAGCCGTTCTTTTTCCAGAATCGTTCTCCTCGCTCTCCGGCTTCAACACCCCGACAACAGCTCTCGGAGCCGCTCTTCAAGGCCTCAACATGAAGAGTGCCTTCGCGCCGGTCCGTTCGAGCCGTTCCAACCTGACAGACCCCAATCGGACCCATCTGATCTCGGACATTCTCAAGGAGGACCCCGCCGACCGACTGAAGGGCATCCGGAACGTGCCGATTCGTCTGATTCACTCCGCCTCCAACTTCGACATCGCCTCGTCGAGCTCCGTCGATTCGGGCCACCAGGACCACGAGAGCATCGTGATCGAGGACGCCGACATGGACAGTCCGACGAGTCCGCAGGTGAAGAGGCCCGCAAAGAACGACTACTTCTCGCGCGACGACTGTCAGCCGCTGACGGTCAACGTGGAGAGTGTCTCGTCGACGTCCGACCTGCCGAGCTCCATCTCCTCCTCCTCCTTCGTCTACCAGAACTTTGACCCGTCGGACTTCCAGCGAAAGATCGAAGAATTGACGGCCGCCTCGTGCCTGGCGGTGATGCCCGACGCCAACGGAATCGTCGATCCCGAGAAGATCCGGACGCAACTGGACGCGGTGCGGAGGCAGATGGGCGAGATGCAGACGATCATCTCCGAGGCGCAGGGCGAGCTCCGCGCCTCCTCGTCGCCCAATCTCAACGTCGACTCGTCGTTCGACGACTCTTCCAACTGCGAACCGTCGCCCAGCTCCTCGTACAACGATTCGGAGACGTCGTTGAAGAGACTCCATCATTGTACGCATCCGAATTGCGGCAAAGTGTACACGAAGAGCAGCCATTTGAAAGCGCACTTTAGGACGCATACTGGTGAGCACTTTTGGCGCCACAAATTTTTTGAAGTAAAAAAACGAAAAAAAACGAAAAAAAAACGAAAAACAAAAAACTTTTTTTTCACAGCCTGAATAACCGCATTACTTTTAAAAGTGGCATTTGGCATTTCCTTTATCACGGCCGATTTGAAACTTTAGAAATATATAGCAAATGCGCCGGCTCAAAACGCTTGTGTGATTTTCTGAAAACTGGACGTTTCTTGCAGGCGAAAAACCGTACGAGTGCAGCTGGCCGAGTTGTACTTGGCGCTTTGCGAGATCCGACGAGTTGACGAGGCATTATAGAAAGCATACCGGTAAGAAACCTTTAAAAACGTTTTTATTTTCATCCAAAACATGTTTTTTTTGCAGGAGACCGCCCATTCAAATGTAACCAGTGCTCGCGAGCGTTCTCGCGCAGTGACCATCTCTCGCTGCACATGAAACGTCACTTTTGAACACTTTTAAATAATGCAAAATTTTTTCATTTTTTTCAAGCCAATCAAACTAAAAGTATTGCCCAACACGTGTACGGGTTCAATCACTTCTCCTTCCGGTGCTTTTCTCTTTTTCTCTCTCTCTCTCTCCCAGCCACCCACTTTCCGATTCGACTGTGATTTATTTTATTTAGTCACTTGCCAGTGACGCCCCCTCCCCCGCCCACTTTCTTCCGGTTTCGAAACGACGAAGAGGTTTATCTCGATTATTTATGTGTAATTTTCATGCAAACAATAAAAACTGTTCAGTTTTACCGTTTTTTATGTCGCAAAACTCACGTGAACTGTCGGCGGCACGCTCCTCAAGCCTTTTCCCGTGCGCCAACTCGGGTAATTTTGAAAAGTGAAAAATATTGATTTGTGTGGGAATTTCATTGAATTTGAACGTTCTTTTTCGAAGAAAAGTGCATGAAATAAATTTATTATGCGTGTTTTGTACAAAAATGCTTATTGCGAGAAATTTCGGCGCCTAAATTGCTCCTTGTCGTTTCGGCGGAGCCATTAGCAGTTTTCCGGCGACGAAAAGGCTTCCGACGATGAGAACGAGACCGAGAATCCCGAATATTACGCTGAAAATTTAAAAAGAAATTCGCTCTACAGCGAAGTTCTTTTTCTTTTCAAACAAATTGGAAAGTGTTTGCAATATTGCGAATTTATGCTTTCCAACGAAACTTTTTTTTCAGGCGGGTAAAACTGTGGTAAAAACGAGTTTTCCGCTTTTTTCCGTTAAAAAAAAATGAACTAACATGGCCCAGGTTTCGAAATGGAAGCAGCATTGGAACGGATTGTCGTCGCAGCACGAGTAGTAGTGAACGAACGAGTCCGACGGACAGCTGAAGCATTTTTGTTGCAAATGCGATCTATCGAGAAGCTAGCGGCCGTGGCCGAGTTTTTGCAAAACTCACTCTTCTCCGACTGGGGCCAATCCGGGCGGCATCATTGGGCTCATGAACGGACATGACCAGACGGAAGGCGTCGCGTGGACGAAGATCGGCAGGATGGACACCGCGAAAATCAGAATCGCTGCCATTGTGGTCGGAGAAGAATCGTCGTCGTCGTCGCGCGAATGAAAAATAGAAAACAGTGAAATCGGATGATGACACAACCGAGTATTACGCCATCTGTGTTTCAGTTGACAGACTCTTTGTCCCCCTCCCGATATATCCAGTTCTTTTGCGTCCGCCCGCGCCGCCGTCTCTCGCCCATTTTTGCACTATTTCCTTTCGGGAGACCGATTATGGCGATAAAAAAGATTGAAATTGGATGGGTCGGGATCCGATGCGGTTAGTCGACCTGTAGCGGATGTTTGGGCCAAACTGGAATCATTGCGATTACTGTTGCACTGACTCAGAACCTGAAGGTGCTAAGCTGTGGGAAAAGCATTGAAAATTAAGTTAAATAATTAAAACCTTTTTTATTCACAAAACTTGCCTAAAAAGACACAGAAAATCCGCTGAAAATCGCTGAAAATCAAGTGTCCGCTACCGTACTCTTTGCAAAACTTAAAGACGCAGCACTAAACTCATTACTCGCGTCTCACCACGATTGGCCACTCAGACTGCATTTCTCACCGAAAACGTTCAATTTTCAGCCGTTTTTTCAGATTTTAAGCAGGAAATCGACCAAAATGCAAAAAGCAATCATAGCGGTTGCGAAAAAAACTGAAATTCTCACAGGATCACTCAGTTGGAAGAAAAGTAAGTCGTTTTTGGCATTAAACTTCGTTCAAAAAGTTTAAAACCATTTTCGGACGCCTCGTCGTCGAAAATAAACAAAGCGGAACTAAAATTTGACCTCAAATATTGTCGAACTAAACCGAAATCATGTGAGAACGTTTTTTGACACTTTCTTTTTCGGAAAATGCAAAAATACAGTAATTTTACGAAACTTACCGAAATTCGCGAAAATCTTGTAAATGTCATTGCGAATTTGCGGAAACTATGCCAACAATACCAAATTAACCCAAACTGTCCTAAATGTTTTTAAAACATCGTGAAAAATCGATTTACAGTCTGAAATTGCTAATTTTCCATGTTTTTCAGCCTTTACCACGAAAAACGAATCATCCCTGCAAAGCCGGAAAAAGAACCGGAAGTAGCAAAATTAGCCCGAAAATCCTCAAAATTTTCGGAAAACGTGAAAAAGATCTTGAAAAATCCACTATGCCATTCAAATTAGCCAATTTTTCTTGAGCTGGGCAATAGGCCGGCTAAGGCCTGGACATTTGGCCCACTTGTGATAATCCGGTCGGATCCAAACTTTGCAGGCTTCTCGGACTTGGATGGAAGTATTTTGGGTCCGAGTCTCAGATCGATCGGATTATCGGGTTGCAAAAAGTTCGGTATTTTCTAAAAGCAACATATTTTGAAACCAGATAATCCGATCGGTCTAAAACTTGAACTCAAAATACTTCAATCCAAATTCAAGAAGCTTGCAAAGTTTGGGTCCGATGGGAACATTGCAAGTGTGTCAAAAGCCCCGACCTTTTGCCCCGCTTTAAACACACTGATTCAGTGATGGAACATTCGTTCATCCTTTCCGGTTATCATCTAATTTTTGTGGCTCCCAAAAGTTTGCGTGAACAAGACGGCCCCCTATATATATATACATCGAACCGAACAAGAGGTCGGGATGGAAGGAAGAGCGTGTGGGACCGTCTGCGCTCTCCCGGTTCCTCTCGCTCTCTCGCCGGCCGCCCGACCACCCCGGCCCGTCCGTCAGTCATTGCTGCCGTCTCTCTCGCCGACGGTCAATGCTCTGCGTGTCTGTCGCTCTCGCCCCTCCGCCACCCGGGTCCTTCTTCCTCTCCTCCTTCTTCTTCTTCCACGTTCCGCCGTTCTTCTTCGGTTTTTCCGGACGTTTGTGCTTCCAAATCTGATAAAGAAGCGAAAAGTGTCAGATTTTGCAATATTTCGCAAAGACGAAAAGAATACAATCGCGTTCTCATCCCGCCCATCTCATGGGAACTTTCCGAATTCGAATCGATTCTCGCTCTCTTCTTTTTCGACGTTTCCGACCCGGAAAAAGGGAGAAAGCTGTGTTTTTGCGATGTTTTTTTTATAAAGATGTTACACCCGGATGTGCGCTTCTCTTCTTCTCCCTGTTTCTTCGTCCAAAACCAGATTTCCATTTTCCTTGGCTTCGCGCCAACTACATTCGATTCGTCAGCTGATCCGCGTTCCTTCCGCATCGAAATTGCTTGCAATGTTCTGGATTTCCACTGTTTTCCACTAATTCCACCTGGACCGTGTCACTTGGCGGTCCCATTCAGTGCAATTAGACGTAGTATTGGGTGTATTCCTGTGCGCCGGACGAACGGGGACAGGTGTGCTCCCGCTTCGTCTTTTTCTTCTTCTTTCGCTCGTTCTCCCCTTGTTTTGTTGGCCAGAGTGGAAAATTGGAGGGTTTGGATACGAACACAGCCGGAAATTAGGCCTGGTGTGTGAAAAATGATAGCCTTCTCTCTTTTTCGCCGAGGTTTTGCAGCTTTTGACGAGATTTGGAGCTAGATTTCTGAATTGCATCAGCTTTTCGACAAAGTGGGATCAAAACGTTTGTTTTTTTCCATCTCGGACTTGTTTTTGCAATGGAAAGGATTTAAGGCACTTTTCCACTTGATTTCGAGCTGATTAGGGTCTCCAAGTAATCTGGAACGGTTAAATTCAGGAATTCTAGGAGTTGTTCGCATTTTTCCACGAAACTGAGCTAAAAAACGCTGTTTGCTCTGAAGATGCTCAAAAATATCGATAAGAACCTTTTTTGACAAGTTTCCAGCGCTCTACCGCTCTTCTAGCGCAAAATTCCAACGTTTTCAGCAAAATGTGCACTTTTTTCAGCTTTTTGCCTGAAAATCATTTTAAAACGAGCAATTCTCCCGTTGTCACACTCTCCATCCCGCACACTCTCTCTCTCTCTCTGTCTGTACTCTAACCGGGTGTCGTTCAATTGACGCCCTGATAAGCCCAAAAAGTGCTCTTTTCGGAAAAATCACCTGATCACACGAATTTTCATTACAAATTGAGACAATTTGCAGAAGAAGCGTCGTTTCTTCTCGAAAAACCAACAAAAGCTTACAAATCGTGCAACAAGATGTCTGTGACGGAACCTGCAGACTCTGGGAGCGCTCGAGCGACGCAGCAGATTCTGCAGGTACACTTTTTTCTTGCAAAAAATGGACCCGACAACACCATTTTTACGTGACTTTTCACGTTTCACGTCGTTCGAATCAATCGATTTTCGCGGATGATCCGGATTAGTTTTCGGAAATATCGCCCCCACGAAATGAGCATGTTTGAAATGCACTTTTTGAAGGTGTGCAACGAAATGGAAGCCGGCAAATCGTGGGCTCAACTCATGGAGGAAGAGGTACAGGTGAGCAACAAGATAACTGATAACTCCGCGAAAAATAGCCTTTCTAGTACATTTTTGAGTGGAACAGCGTAGTTTCCACAAACTGGACGTTTTGCAACTGATTTGAATAGCTCTGGTTGTGAAGACGTTTCGTAACCGACTTTTTGTCTGGAACTCTTGTTGCTCAGGTTTTTGTCAGTTTCTAGATGCGCATGCCGGCAACAAGACCGTTTGTAATCTGCTATTTGCAACTAGGACTTTGTGAAACTGTTCTGAAGTGGTTGCGAAACGTCTAGATGCCAAAACCCAAGACGCTTTGCAACCAGTGATATTTGCAGTTCGAACAGTTGGAAAGCGGCGGCGACTCGGAGGCGGAGGGCACGGACGAGGTGGACGGTGGCGACTCGGCGTCTCCGGAAAGACCGCGCCGTATCCCGGATGCCGCGCCGTTCCGCGCCCAAATCACGAACATCTCGAGCACGCACTGCGAAGAGGAGCTCATCTACTACTTTGGCGGCGAGAAACTGCTCAGCCGCACCGATTTTCACAAGGAGAAAGGGAAGGCCGAGTTTGAATTCCACTCGCGGGACGGACTGCTCTTCGCGCTCACGAAAAACGACGTCGAGTTCAAGGGACGTCTTCTGAAGGTGTTCGCCCTCCAGAACAGGGAAAGTGTGGCGAGAGTGTCGGCGCGTCGATCCGATTATGCCAGTCAGGACAGTGGACGGTACGCGTCACGTGGCAACCATCATCACTACGCCAGCCAGAACAGCCTCAACTCGGACAAACCGTATGCGAGATATGAAAAAGGGTAGGGAACAGGACTTTTCTGGGAAAAAATTATTGAAACTGCTTCGCGTTTTTCGAGCTTTCCATCAAATTGTTTTGCGTTGCACGTTTCTGAGAGCTTTACACGCAGTCTGACCCAATTTCCAACATTTTCCGCCGATTTTGGCGAAACTTGAAAGAGATCGAGCTAGATTTTGAAAAAAAAAACCGAAAACCTGAGTATTTTTCTGCAGAAACCGCAACTATTCGAACTACGGAACGCTGCCGGCCGGCGGATATCACGGGGACCGTCGTGGAGGTGAGGGATCACGTGTGGAACACAGAAAGACTAACTAAAAATGAAAGCATTTGAAGGACATCGTGGCGGATATCACGGAAGTGGACAATACCGAAACAGCCATCAGGAAAGCAACGGCAGTTTCCGACACAATCAAAGAGTACGTTTTGAAAGGATTTTCGAGGTGTTTGAGATGATATTCGTCCTCTTTCAGGGTGGCTACGATCGTCAGTTCAGTCAGCCGTACAACAACAACAATCGGTACGAGCAGGCGGAGAACGGCGGACCCCTGCAGAGAAGCGGAAGCTACCAGCATCCGCCACGCAACTCCACCGACTCTTACCGCTACAATCAGCAGTCGCAACCGGCCGGCGCCGTCTCTGCCCGCTCCCGCACCGAGTCCTACTCGACCACCGGCGGTGGACTCGACGTCTACTCGCGCACCTCTTCCAGAATCTCGATCGCCGACGACCAGAAACCACGAAAACCGGCGGCGAATCCGTTTGGCGACGCGAAACCAGTCGACACGCAGACGAAACTGCTCGAACTGGAGAAGCGGCAGGCGGAGAAGGAGCGATCGGAGAAGGAGACGCTGAAGACGGAGGCGTCGGAGACGGGCGGCGGCGACACGACCGCCGAGTCGACGGTGCCGCCCATCTCGACGACGGATCCCTCGGAGACGGACGTCACGCAGCAGTCGGTTGTCTCTTCGGCGTCCCGCAGCTCGACCAACTGCTACAATCAGCAGAGATATCAGCAGTACTATCAGCCGAAGGGCAACTATCGCGGCGGATATCAACAGCACAACAACTATCACAAGTACGGCCAGAAGGACGGGTACTACGAGGCCGTAGGACCCGTTGGAAGCTCATCGTCGAGTTATGAGCAGGGAGCACCGCCCGGATCCGTTGTGTAAGTTTTGCTTTGAAACTTTGAAGACTGTTGCGAGATGTCAGTCATTTTGTGTGTAAAAGTTGAAGATTCTTGGATGTTTCGCAACTGGAAAAGCGGTTGTGAAACGTCCGGAGCCCGTCCGAACATTTTGATCGAATTTACAGTGATTTTGCTGACTTTAGTGGGAAATTGACCGGTTGACAATAATTCTACCTGCAACTGCTGAACGTTTTGCTTTTTAGAATTAAGAAGCGTGAATCGTTGGATCTCCAGCAGCAGAAGGACGAGGAAGTGCCGCCCGTCGATCCGGTCCACTATCCGCTCGAAGAGAATAAGGTATTTGATGAAGGAACTTGTAGTCAAATACTTCAATTCGTTTCATGAAAGAAAAAGTCTGGAAATTTCCATTAAAAGCGGTGTTTTTTCAGAAGCACTCGACGGCCTCCGACTCGGTACACTTGGCCGATCTTCCGCCGCATCCGCAAGGAGGATACCAGCCACGCGCCGGTCCTCGCGGCCGTCCGAACATGAGACCCTACACGCGCGGCCACCACCAGCCGAACCAGCATCTGCAGAAGAGCGCGACGATGGGACAGATTGAGAAGGTGTCACGTGGCGGCGACGGAGACGGAGAGAGAGAGCCGCATCCGAAAGGAGCGAACCGACGATACGGAGGCGATCGGGGCGGATATCGGAACGAGGGAACACGCCGCGCGTCGCTGTCCGGAAGCGAAAGTGGACGTGGAGGAGCCGGAGGAGCCGGAGGGGAGCAGAAGCCGAGAGGTGGCGGCGCCAAGAGAGGCGGAGCACGCGGAGGACCGGCCGGTATCGGGGGCGGAAGGGGCGGACGCGGAGGAGGACGCCGAAGCGAAGACGCCGTTGCGCGGAAACCATCGGAAGACGGAGGAGTTGTGGAGGCGGAGGGAGAGCAGAAGAAGGAGCAGAGCGGAAAGGAAAAGGTGAGCAGAGCGAGAGATGCATGCTGTTTCTTTGCACTTTATTTGAAAAAAATACCATTTTCCCCAAAACTTTTGAGATTTTTAGAAGAGTTTTGCGGTCTTTGGCATCGTTTTTGAGGAGACTTTTTCAAACGAAACATTCCTATTTTCGGTGAAATTATCGCAAAGTTCCAATTGTTTGCATGAAGCCTGCACCACTTCCCTTGTCTTCACACAATTTCTCGCATGCTCGGCACTCCCCAGTGCCGATTTGATCCCAAAAAATTTATAGAAAAACTATCGAAAAGGTCGCGAAGCCCCAGCAAGACGCGGTTTGTTGCAGGAAGAGCATCACGCGAAAGTGACGGCAGAAACGGCGGAGAAGAAGGAGGGCGGAGGAGGAGGAGGAGGATCGGAGACGACGAAGACGGGCGGACCGGAGGAGAAGGAGGAGATGGAGCCGCGCGAGCAGACGCCGAAGAAGAAGAAGGAGAGCACGAAGAAGAAGGAGAAGAAGAAGGAGGCGAACAAGACGAATCTCGGGCCGAACAAGTTCGCCGCGCTCATGAATTGTGACGGATGAGCGGCGGACAATCGCTTTTTCGCTTTTCTCGTTTTCTTTTTCTGAAATTATTTCTGTGCTTTACTGGTCTCATTTCGTTTGTTCCCCCCTTTCGCCACTTTTTCCCCCGTTTTAGAGGGCTAGTAAATTGATTCAGCGTTTTTGAACCGTTCCGGTCGGATTTTGCGTCGATTCATGTGTTTACTAGCCCTTTAAAACCCATTGTTTTTCTGTCCCCCCCCCCTCCCGCGCCCATAAAATTGGTGTTAGGCAACGATTTTTTCTTTTTTCAACTCACCGTTTTGTTCCCCTCTATTTTTGGCCTCTTCGAATCGAGTGCAATGATGTTTATACGCCCATGCAATTTCCGCTTTTTTCTTTTTGGAAATTACCACCACTTCTTGTTCTATTTTTTTCGATTTTTTGGGTGAAGAACGGTGAAAATTGGTATTTTTCGAGAATTTTTTCCAATTTTTGCCGGTTTTCACCCTGATATTTAAGCCCATACAACTCAGGCACTACCACCACTTCTTTTTGGGTACACATTTTGTGAGCCCCCACCCCCAGACACCATCCCAAAACACTTTAAAAATACCGGATATGATCGCATGCCTTATTATTATTATTATTATTATTTTAATTGTCTCTTTTTTTCGCCCCCCACCCCGCCTCCCTTATTGATTTGTACGACTGATTACGGCGTTGCGAGTATCCGCTTCAATACAATTCGTGTCTTTGTACCGCCCACAACTATTTATTGGTATATAAACACGACAATTCATCGACGAGGATCACAACAAATAATTGGAAAGTTTGGGACGGAAAAAGTTGAGACACTTGTTGAACGCGCGATTTCGGAAACAATTGGACGAGCACTCGGCCGCCAAATTGGGTTCGGTCACGGAGAAAACGTCGTGGCACAGGAGGCAGATGCGAGTGAGCACCTCGTTTAGGGCGGGACGTCGGTACGCCTGAAACACCGGGATTATCGTTTCTCAGCTATCATTTTTCGAAATGTATCTTGTAAAAAGGTGTGCGCCTTTAAACGTGCGCAGGTTACGGTACCTTGCAGTTGCGAGAATGATGATCCGGACGGCACTGCGAAACGGCGAGCAGAATGCCGAGGAAGAGAGAGCAGACTGAAAGGATTACGGTAGACGGAAAAGTGAGCACACTTTTGGAGGTACAGTACACTTGGAACTCGAGCTTGAGCATAATTTCTTGAGGAATAAAGGAATTGACCTCGAAATTGAGCAAAAACAATTTTTTAGAGACTAACCTGCTTTTAAATGAAGACGAGCCATTTTTAGACGATATTTCAGAGAAAATGTAGTCGACTGGGCCTAAAATTAGTTCGAAACGCTGCGAGAGTGTCATCCGAGCCGATCGGAGCATCTACGCAACTTCCGTCGCGAATTTGTTTCGTCTTGGGCACGTATCAGAGGCATTTTTATTTGCAGACTCGAAGTTTCTGCAAATCCGAGCAGACTGGCGGTTTTTGGTGACTACCGGACGGGAAACGGAGGGCTTTGCAGAAAATTCGGTATTTTTGGGAGAATTTCGACAAATTTTAAGTTGGGTTGTATAGATTGTTAAATTTTAAATCTGTTTCATCAATAACTGTCTATTTTTCCCGTAAAATATTGTGTTTTTCTCGCTTTTCCGTCAAAATCCCACTGATAACGTAAGGACTACGGTCAACATTCTCAATGGGCATAGTCCGCAAACACCGAACACGACGCAAACTTGCGTAGCCGCCGCTTCCATTTTTCGGCACCGCGCTCTATTTTCACCCGTTATTTCGCGGTTTTCAAGAGGAAATTTCAGCTTTTCATGCTTAAAAATGTAAAAAAAAATAGACTAAAATATCGATTTTTGCAGCCAACATGCTGTCGGTGCTGGGTAAGTCGGCGTCGGGCCTGGCGAACGGGCGACAAGCCGTCGTGCTCATCTCGAGCCAGAACTTTAGTAGCAGCGCCGTCACGACGCCCGAAAACGCTCATCCGGAGCCACGTGTCAGCTCGCAGACAGCTCAATTCAGAAAGGGAGGCGGTGGAAGGTTTTTCGCCTCGAAAGATTGCCCGCAAAAAATTTTTGCGTTTTTCAGAGCCTCGTTCTCCGGAAACGTCGTCACCGTGTTCGGAGCGTCGGGATTCCTCGGCCTGCCCGTCGTGAACAAATTCGCGAAAAACGGCTCGCAAATCATCATCCCCTACCGCCAGGATCCGTATTACATGCGAGAGCACAAGGTGCTCGGCGAGCTCGGACAAGTTTTGTACTTTCCGTTCGAGCTGAAGGACGAAGAGAGCATCCGAAAGGTCGTCAAGTACTCGAACGTCGTCGTCAACCTGATCGGAACTCGTGTGCCGACCAAGTGAGCGCGAAAAAAATTTATCTAAAAATCATGTTCTTCAGAAATTACAACTACTACGACGTGCACGACACGGGCGCCCGCCGCCTCGCCAAGATCTGCAAGGAGATGGGCGTCGAGAAGTTTGTGCATTTGTCCGCACTCGGAGCCACCGTCGACCCGCCGAAGGGCCATTTCGTGGCGAAGAGCGAGTTTCTGCGCTCGAAGGGCCTCGGCGAGATTGCGGTCCGCGAAGAGTTCCCGGAGGCGACGATCATCCGTCCGTCGGTGATCTACGGAGAACTCGACGGATTCATCCAGTACTACGTGTCGAGATGGCGGAAGACTCCTCTCGATACCGTCTATTTGTACAAGAAGGGAGAGCACACGTACAAAATGCCGATTTGGGTGAGGAAACAAAGAAAACGCATGTAGAAATGGACCTAAAACAATTTTTTCCCAAAATATCAATTTCCAACTTTCAAAGGTGTAAAATGAGCTAAAACTTCCGGAATTTTTATAAAAGCCCAAAATTGTGTCAGGTTGGAGACGTCGCGCAGGGAATCGACCGCGTCGTCAACGATCCGACCGCGAAGGGCCACACGTACGAATTCGTCGGACCGCACTGCTATCAGCTCTCCGAGCTCATCGATTTCATGTACAAAAAGGCGCACTGCCTCACAGATTTCGGATTCCAGTAGGCCGTTTTCGAAGCGATTCCGACCATCTCCAGTCGTTTTTCAGCTACAAGCGCCACGGACTTCCGGATCCGTACTTTATCGCTCTGACGCTCGCCACCGAGCTGTACGGGAAGATTTTCAAGTGCAAAGTTCCACTCAACCGCGAGTGGATGGAGTACATTGTGAGTTTTGACATTTTTTTGCTGAAAGTCGCATTTTCGCCGAAAAATTAGGTCGAATTAGGTAGTGTTCGGCTGCAGGAATGTACGTTGACGTTGTCACTTTTGGTCGTGTGAATCTAAAGAAAAAATAATTTGCGTCGAAAATTTGAAAAAAACGGTGCTTTTGGGGTTGATACTGAACAACGTCAACGTACTTTCTTACAGTGTCAAATTTTTTTTCAGTTTTCTCCCCTGACGCTTCCGTTAAAAAAGAAACAGCGGATTGTCTCAAATCTGTAGAAAACCCCCCCAATTTTCGTGTTGCAGGAAGTGCAAAACGACGTGCTGACGGGCGCGCGAACACTGGCGGACCTCGGAGTGCGCCGGCTGACAGAGTTCGAGTTGGCCGGCGGGCAGCAGGCGTTCTACCGATCGTTCAACCGCTACTTCGAGGAGCAGTACGGAGAACTGCCGGCACCGTCCCTCCCGCTCCGCTCGCCGCCGCTCACCAAGAAGACGGCTTCGGCGGGCATCCGATCGGACACGACCAAGACTGCCGTCTTCAATTAATTCTCTCTCTCTCTCTCTTTTCTTCTTTCTATTGTACTTTTTCGTGTTTTGTAGATCAAAATAGAGCGATTCTTATTGATTATTAAAGTTTTTTGGTAGGTGAAAACGAATGAAAGCGAAAACTGAACACTTTGCGCTTCCATGGATACCTCCCCGCCTCGAGCCGTCCTTTTATATGTTCCTCGGATTACTTTTTCCCCGTTTTTCCCTTCCGTGCGCATAAAAATAGGGATTAGCAGCTTCCATTCACTCTTGATTTATTGTGTCTTGTCACGAAAGCCGCCCCACCTTTTTTGTTCAGTTTTTCGTGTCTAGACTAGTAGTTCTTGAATATGCTCCCCCCCCCCTACCCAAAAAAATAACTGTGCTCATTTTTGTTTGTCACAGAATCGCCTTACTTGAGACTTTCTAGAATTTTCCAAGTGTCAAGTAAGCGTTTTCAAAAAACAATCACTGAACTTTTGAAAATTTCTTTGAAAAACCACAAAGTTCTGGCAAATTTTGACGAACAAATCGAGCCTGATTTTCAGCGTTTTTCCCAGAATGTCTAGACCCAATTCGTTCGAAACTCAATTATTTCGTTGCGTGAGAGCCAAAAGAAAAAACACATGTTTCTTGCAGGTACGTAATATGTACTTTTGGGTTGCAAAAACAAGGACAAGTACACTTTTCGTCGAGCTAATAACAGCTTAGAATTGGGCGTTTTGACGGGCTTCAAAATGTTCGGCCACTGAATATTACGTGGAAGAGCTTTTGTACGCGCCGTTTCTAGGCCACCACACTTTTTCTCTCGTTGTGCCTAATAATGGTAAGTGGTGGCCTAGAAAACTCTTCCAGCAGTCTGGATCTTCGAAAAAAGTCCAGGGCCTGGGATTTTCTAAGCCACGGCCATTTGTGAGGGAGAAAAAGTGGTGGCCTAGAAAACTTAAGTGCAGAACTTCTTCCACGTGGTTCATCTGCTGTGAATGTCCGGATTTTCACTTTTGACGTTTCGCAACCGATGCACTTTGATTGTAAAACGTAAAACTTTGTCGAAAATCGCATTTGCGCGATATCCAATTTGCACGCGTGCCCAATCTGAAACCAAATGTGAAAGTGATTAGCACTTTGGCCCGTTTCTCTCTCTCTCTCTCTCTCTCTCTCTCTCTCTCTCTCTCTTTATTTCTCTCTTCCGCCCCACTGTCCCTATCAGTTACCCTGACAACCCGTCCTTCTTCTTCTTCTCCTTCTTCTTCTCCTTCTTCTTCTTCTCCTTCTCCTTCTTCTTCTTCTTCTTCTTGCTCTCCGCCCCCCCCCTCGCACTAGTACACTTTTGACACGTTTTGTTTAGCGAATTTAGTACACTACTAGTAGTTTTGCACTTGACGCACAGCTCCGGCGGTCCCCACTGGATCGGCCATGCTTCGGAGGTACAACTCGAAAAGTCTGGACACGATTCTACTCAAGAACCGAAGGACCACCATCGGAAGCGCCGCCACGTGTGATGTCGTCGTTAAGGTTGAGGGCCCAGATATTGTAGAGTTTTAGGGATATAGCTTTCAACAATGGATGGCCGAGGAAAAAGCTAGGCCACGTTCATGAAAACCTCTTCCAGGGCAAGGGAATCGCGCCGGTTCACGCCTCAATTCAATCCACCTCATTGGGATTTTTGCTCCGAGATCACTCGCTTTCCGGGAGCACTCGAGTCAACGATAGACCAGTGGTCGGGCAGGTAACTTTTTAGAAATTCACACAATATCTATTTGAAGCCCAAAATGGACCGTTGTAGGTGGAAATCCAAAGCGGAGACTCTTTGCAAGTGGGCGGCTCTCCTCCGTTCGTTTTCGACGCCGAATGGATGTTCGGCACGCGGCCCAACTCGGCGAAGAGCAAAGAGCACTCTGTCGGCGGCTCGCCGGCCCCGCCCACCTCTGCCAATCATCTGCCGATCATCGGAGTAGGCGAAAAAGGGCAGATTCGGTGAAACTTGCTTTCAGAAACGGATAATACCGCTGGCAGCGCGTGGCAGTCCAACGAGAAAACCCGAAAGATCGTCGGCCTCTTCTACAGAATCCAATCGAGAGTACTACAATAGCGGCCGGTCGATCGGCAACAACTTGCTGCAGAGAGTGGTCAAATTGCAGGCGGAAGTGATTGCCAAGGACGAAAAGGTTTTGATCAACTTTGAACGGATATTGTAGATTTCAAGGAACTTTTCTTTACATCCACTCCCAAAGCCACTAAGGCGCTTCAGCTTGATGAAAAGTTTCCAGTCTTGTGCGTAGGCGTATCAAAAAGTCGTCAACTACAAAAACAACAATCTCTACAAACTCTACAATAAATTGCAATTGTCCTCTTTTGCAGATCCGTCAGCTCACTTCCTCTTCTTGTCCGCACTTCCAACCGACGCTTCCTCCCTCTTTCACTTCTTCTCTCCCTCCCCCACTCCCTTTTTCGCGTCGTCGTCCATCGAAACTTCCCGAGCTGTCCACAAAATCGTTCGAACTCTTCGCCTATCGCGCGTTCGTCGGTGCGATTGCTTCCCAATTGCGACAGTTCAACGACCGGGTCCTTCGCAATCCGCAAAGGGACGGCGCCGAGTTGTTCACCGCCATGTGCAGGGCCGTCGACGTTCCGTTGAGCCATCGGATTACGGTGGGTCACTCTTTTTCAACAAATCCCTTTTTTCTCAGCTGCCTGCAGAGTTATCAAAAAGTTGTCAACTGATAAAATGTGCAGAATTTCCTAGTGAACATTTTATCAGTTGACAACATTTTGATATCTCCACCGGCGGCTGAGATATACCTCAAAGTTGCAGGATATTGAGAAGCACTGCGAGGCGGTGCTGATCGACAACGATTTCGAGGACGGCGACGAGCTCATCTCGCGCCTGGACAACTTTATCCGCGAGAGCCGCCGCGAGAAGATTCTCGAGTTGACGAACGAGCTGGAAATGGTGATGCCGCTGATCAGGGACGCCGCCTCGAACGCCCGCGAGAACATCAAAGTGTGCAATGTTTTTACGCAATGGAGCCGCCAGTTTGGAGTGGGTTACTGTAGAAAATCCCCTATCTGAAGGGGACCACTTTTCAGGATTTGCTGCGAAAGTCGAGCTTCAGCGCGTCAGTCCTCTTCCAGGCGATCGACGACCTCAAGGCGCAATTCTCGGAGGCGCATGTAAGTGTGGCTCAACCGACGGGACCACTAACGTTCCCTTTCAGATGAGCCGTCACTGGCTGCCTCCGAGCATCACGCCGATCCTTCGGTTGGCCGCTTTGGAGCTTGAGAAGCGGGACGGAGCGGTGAGCCCGCGGGCAGAGTTCCCGACGGTCCCGGTGGTTGGAGGGAACGATCGGAAGAAAAGTATCGACATGACTCTGGACACGTGCATTTCACAAGTCGAGGCCATTGTTCACGAGATTGACTATCACGCCGTTCGACTGTTTAACAAGGCCAAGGACTACAGTGTGAGTGGGTGGCCTAGAAAAGCGGAAAAGGGAAAACTAGTCCCCCCATGTTTAACGATACCGTATCCTTTTTTAGACCTTCCAACCGCTGGACCTCGACTCGGTGACCCGTATCTCGAAAGTTGTCGACTCGATGCGGTCCTCAATAGATGTGCTCTCGGAGCATTCGTTCAAGGATCGTCCCAACTCGGTGCTTTTCTTCGAAATCACCAACGAAGACATCAGGAATTCGATGAGAAAAAGCGACGGAGAAGGCTCGACGAGTTCGCTGAGCTCTCACGGATCCGGTCCCCAACGGAAGGTCTCCGCGGCGCCCAAAATCACGGATCCGTTGAGCGAGAGCGATGAAATTGCCGAGGAACGAATGATGGATGTGGTGGAGAGGATCACTCGACTGCTGGGACCGGACGAGGGACCGGCGCGGAACGAGGGAACGATCAGTGTGGACGCGAGTGTGTTGAAGGTAATCTTCTGGGGACCATATCTCTGCAACCAATAATTATTTCAAAAAGTTGTAAACTGCGAAAATGTTGCAAATGTCATGCTGAACAACTTTGTAATTGACAAGTTCATTCCAAAACCATTCATTCCTGAGTTATGATCTTTCAAACTTTCAGCTGCTGCTCCAACAGTCGAATAAGTTGGCAGACACCTATGAATCGCTGGAATTGGACCGGGAAGGCGCGCGAAGAAAACGATCGATTCCGCCGATGATTACTGTAGAAGAGGAGTCTCCGGAAGGTCCAGAACCGCCAAAAATCGAACAAATTCCTTCGGAATCCCCGTTGGAAACTCCGATGCCGATTGAGGATTCTCCAGATGCCACGCTTCCGCCAACGCCTTCTTCTGAGACCTCAGAAGTCTCAGACGACGGATCCTTGGCCGCAAGGACCCCCGAGTCGGAAATGTCCCTCCCGGACCCGAAAGTTGGAGCCGAAGAGGAAGAAGAAGAAGAAGAAGAAGTGCCACGTCACAAAAAGAGTCTGGTGGCCGTGATGACACTGTCGAACGACTCGAAAATTCTCAAAAAGTCCTATTCAGAAGACTTGGGAATCAAGAAGAAAACAAATGGGCACGGGATTTCAAGAGCTCCACAAGTTCCGAGGGCAGCGGATCCCACAGCTCCACCAGAATCACCTCCGCCTTCTCCGGAAGCTACGCCGCTTATCGACGATGAAAGTGATGAAGATCCGGAAGATCCAGAAGAAGAAGAAGAAGAAGAAGAAGAGGGAGAGGGAGAGCGAGAGCGAAACCCATTCACGGACGACGAAAAGAGCACCGTCCGATATGTGCCAAAAAATGAGAGCCAAGAACTTTCGCCGCAAGTATCGCAAGAAACGAGCGGGGACCAGGAGCGCATCTCGAGCCACTTGAGATCCCATATAAACACGGCTAATGGAAAGCCCCATGTCACTTATCAGGTCAGCAACTTTGCTTGGTTTTCGTAGTTGGTCATTTGTTTGTAGAGCCACTCCCTGGAGTACTGTAGCTCTTGGAAGTTGACATTGAATTGAGGGGTCCTTGGATAGTCCTAACTTCTAAGAGCTACAGTAGTCTTAGGAGTTGTGGTACGCAAAAGTTGTCAACTGGAAACATGAAAAGCACATTTAGAACTATCACTTTGTCTGTGACAATTATTGTGTCTAATCACTTCTAGGAGTACTGTAGCTCTTGGAAGTTGGAGCTCCAACTTCAAGGGACAACAGTAGGCTGACAATTTAAAATAGTTGTACGGAAAAGGTGTCAACCACAAAAGTAAAGTACGAATATTGTAGGTCTAACTAAAACTTTTCAGTACCCGATCCGCAAATACTACTCACCTCCTATGAAGCGTCGGTCGAAGAGCGAGGATCAGAAGATCAAGGAGACGCTTTCGAATCGGCCCCCTTTTGTTCTTTACTAGAATTGTCTTTCTCTCATTCTTTCTTTCTTTCAGTTTCCGGACTGCCCGGTCTCGCCGCGAAAAGACCAACGCCAAAAGTTTTCGGTGAAAACGTTATGCGCCTTTAAACTACGGTAGCGGTGAATTTTCCGATGCAAATTTTCCAGATTGCTTCGATTCTCCCAGAACAAACGCGTCAAAAAGACGAAATGTATCCGCTACCGTACTTTAAAGGCGCACAACTCGCTTTTCTCTTCTTGTGCCGACCGTTTCTCATGTAACTTTTTGCCAATATCGTCAAATAAATGCTTTATGAAAAAATTGGGAAAGAAAGCCGTGTTTCGCGCTGTCGGAATTTTATACAAAATCGCAGAGCACGGTCTCCAGAGCTTACAATGAGTGCAAGTGCGCCCCGCCCCGCCCAATAGAGCGATACATTGGCGCGAAATTCAAATTTTAACAGCAAAATTTGTGTTTTTTGCCAAAATAGCCACGAAAAACCGATAATTTCTCATTTGTCTCTCTCGATAGACCGATTGTATAGGATTTTACAAATTTTTTACGCGCAAGAGCGTCAAACGCAAATCACATTTATCCGTTTGAAGGTTTTTGGCTAAAACTGCGTGAATTTCAGTTGCTTTTCGGTAATTTTCGCTGTTCGAGCGCTCAAAATTCTTGTATTTACGTGATTTATCATTCTCAAAACCAATTCTGTCGGAAAACGGTCAAGAAAGCGCAAAATGAGAAGTGCGGTTTTTAGGCGGCGATCGGCGGCGAAGGCGAAAAGCAAAGTCCGCGCAAAATGCGAAAAATGCGCCAAAACGTCATAAATTCTGAGAATTAGTGTGTTTTCATGCCGAACAATCATTTTTCATCGCCTTTGACCACAAAAATCAGAGAAAACGTGCTCAATTGATGAAAACGCTATTTGGCCGCCGAGGCCACGCCCATATTGTCAGCTCTGGAGACCGTGGCAGAGGAGTGTTGTTTTGTCGTCGCAAATGGAAAAAAGACGAGAGGCCTTCTCTGGTTTCGCACCCCAAATTAGCCTAATTTGGACTCTCTCGCTTCTGCTCCTTTCTCGGCCGAAAACCACTATTCTCAGCGCCTTCAAACCGCCCCCCGGTTTTTCATTCTCATCGAATTGGAGCTTTTCTTGTTAGTGCTAGCGTATGTATAAGCCACTGAAAAAGTGTGCAAAGTGTGTAAGTGCACACTTTAGACGTGCCGAATTCCATGCAAATATTTCTCGACTACCACACTAAGTAAGCTACTTACTCCTCATGAATACTCCCTCTTCTTCTTCTTCTTCTTCTTCTTCTTCTTCTTCTTCTTCTCCTTCTTCCTTTCAAATCGCCAGTATGTATGTAGTGTCGGACTCTGTGCTCCGGAATCTAATAAGAGCCAATCTTTCTCTTCTTCTTCTTCTTCTTCTTCTTCTTTCCCCCTTTCTTCGTCCAAAAAGAGCACAAAATTCGTACTTTTTTGCAAATTTTGTACCGATTTATCTCCAATAATCGCGTCCCACTGAAAAGTGCAAAAAAAAAAAAGAGAAAGAAAAAGCTATCGAATTCTCATACTTTTTGGAAAATGAGTGAAAAGCACGCGAGAGAGAGAGAGAGAGAGAGACTTTTGGTTCCTCTTCTTCTTCTTCTTCTTCTTCTTCTTCTTGTTTTTTTCTCCCAAAGCACTCAATAGTTGTCTGTCTCGAGCACCACTTTTGGCCACAGCCAGAAGAAGAAGAAGAAGAAGAAGAAGAAGAGGAAGAAGGAATCACCAAAATATATCATTTATGGTGCTCCCTCTCTCTCTCTCTCTCTCTTCATGTTTTTCGAGATTTTGTGGTCCCTGAGAGCCCGAGGACGGACATTACAAAACACGAGAAATTCCGTCTGTTTTCGACTGAAAATGTCACTTTTTTCGGTGACAATCTCGTCTTTTGCGCGTTTTCTCCGGCCGAAAGACACGTTGCCCAGCTTCGAAGCTACCGTACCCCCCAAGTAGATCTTTGATGCACCATCTAGTAGGGACCGTCCACGCATCTCCCCTGCGGCGCCAATTGTGCACAAAAAACCGCTTTCCTGGGTCGAATAAGCAAATATAATCAAAAAAAAAGAGAAAATTTTATCGGGCCCACGGCACATACTCACTCACAAATATGTGTTTTTTTTTTCGCTGCAGAAAAACATATTTATGCGGTGCCAGCCGACCGGCCGTCACGGACCCAATTTGTTCGCGCATTTCTATTGGTATTGTCGGTTTGCGGAAAAGGTTCGCGTTCGACGCCTTCAATTTGAAAAGTTTGGACATGGTCCCTGAAAGTTGGACCCCTCCTCTTGGCGAATTTTTTGTTGCAAGAGCTTGAAAGTTCCCACGATACATCAAAAATGAAAGAAAAGGAAGAGATCTTTGAGTAGAATATGAAAAAGCCACGGTCCCCGAAAGTTGGGTCATGGTCCCTGAAAGTTGGACGCCTTAAAAGTGATTTTTCGGAAAAGTGACAAGAGACAAAGTTGGATAACTTTTCATGCTCTATCCGATGGATCCACATCCAGCGGTCCATATGGTCCTTTTCAGATCATTTTTCTCATTTTCCATCATTGTCTGCTCTTGACTTTCACTTCCATCTCGAGGGTTCTCTACTCCAACTCAATGGGACCATTAGGCCGCACTCTCTCTCTCTCATGTGAGAATGACGCAAATGAAGAATGGAAAATGGAAGCAAGAGCTGTTTTGTTCGAGTGTGTGACGTGTGACGTGGCATGGGAAAGTAGGTGATACTGGGAAAAGCGCACTTTGCAAAGTGTCTATTGGTTGCGAAATCTGGTTGCGAGATGTCCATAGTAAGCATTTCGTACTTCTAGGACACTTTGCAACCGAAAACCGACCAACTATCATCGGTTTCCAAAATCTTCGACACTTGCCTTTTCTATCCGTTGAAGTGGCCAAGACTTGGTTGCAAAGTGTCCCTATGGATGCGAAATGTCTATAGTGGACATTTCGCAACTGAAAGGTGGCGTCAACCAGTTGGCCATCACCGCTAATCTACTCTCTCCATCTTTTTCCCTTTTTCTTCCTCCCTCTTCCACTTCTTCTTTTTCTAATCCTTGAATATTGTGGAACTCTTTGAAAAGAGCCAATAGAGAGAGAGAGAGGAAGTTGGCTGTGGAATTTGTAAAGAAAAAGTCCAAGAATTTGCAATTCCTTGCTGCCGTCACACACACACACACCTATTGTCCCTTTCTTCTTTTCATGGGTAAAAGTTGCAACTTACTCTCTCTCTCTCTCTCTTCTTCTTCTTCTTCCTCTTCTACTTCTTCTTTCACCAACTGTTGGCACCAAAATCAAAACCTCCGGCACTCTGAACGTAGTGCTTTTTCAAACTCTATGGCTTCAAAGTGAGAAGCGGTGCCAGGCCTCTGGTTGCGAAATGTCCATGCCTGGAATGGAAGACGTTTTGCAACCCGGACCCAGAGAGCAAAGACAAGGTGCTTGCAAAACGTATTCTCGGTTGCGAAATGTCTTCCCACCCTCTGCCTCCCTCTCTCACTTCTTCTTCTTCTTCTTCCACCCACAGAGACCCAGACGTCGGGGGGGGGACGCTTCTCCCTTCTTCTCTCTCTCTCTCTCTCTCTCTCTCTCTCTCTCTCTTTCTCCCCAACTCTCGGTCTCCACTCCGCGCGGTCCCAGTCGCTCGGCCGCCGCCGCCATTCTGATTATCCATAGAGCATATTTCGCCTCGAGAGCACTTCCCTCTTTTTTTTTGCCATTTTTCCTTTCTACCCCAAAAACTTTCGTTTTCCGCTTGAAAATGTTTGTTGAACACGAGCGTTTCAGCAGCAGTTTCGCTTCGAGTGATGGGTGATTCAGAAGACGGCACCACGTCTTCTTCGGACGGCTCCACCCGCAAAATGTTGCCACGTCACGGGTCCAGCGACGAGGAGAGGGTCACTTTTTCGACGATGCTCGACGAGGAGAACGGTCTGATTTTGCGATGCGTTTTCCAGTTTTCCAGTTCGAAACTGTGACTTTTTGTCGTAAAATACACGAGTTTTGTGAGAGAAACCGCGGAATTTTTCAATTTTCCCCGAAAACGGCGTACTATTTTACCAAAAATCGGCGTCAGAAGCCGTAATCCGGCTGCACAATGCCAAGAATGCCAAGAGATGAGTTGCAAAGTGTCTGTCGGTTGCGAAATGGCCTGTTTACCCGCACTTTCCTTTTTTCAAGTACTTTCCCTCTCTCTCTCTCTCTCTTCTCCATTGTTTTCCGCCCATTTTCGTCCGTCTTTTGTGCCTCCGAATGTTCTCGAATGGAATAGCGGATGAGGTGAATGCGAAACGAAAAAACGGGCGTGGGAAAGTCGAAAATTCACGCCGTCCTCACCATTTCCACCACTGTGACACTTTGCAACCGCCGTTTCTGGTTGCAAAGTGTCACAGTCGCGAAAGTGAATGTGGATGTGTGTGTGTGATGTGTCACGCACGCGGCACAAACACATTATTATGTAAAATGCGCGCCTCGTTCCCTCCCGGCCAAAAAAAACCAGAATTCAGTTCAATTTCCAAAAAAAAAAAAAAAGTAAAGTGTTTTTGTGTCGATTCGAATCGTTTCCATCGTCGTTTTTTTCGCGGAAAACACAGTATTCAACGCGGCAAAAACACATTTGCGCATTTCCGATTCGCTTTTGCCACGTCACGAGCCCATTTTCCGTTTCCGTGCCCCATTCCGTCACACACTCAAATCACCTCGTTCCTCCGTTTGCTTCCCCCCGGTTTTTTGTCGATTTTCCCATTCTCCTCGAGCCTTTGGGTTGCCACTATCGAAGCCGTTTCGCAACCGAAGAGACACTGCGCAACCAAGTCGCCTAACTATTGATTTTTTCTGGGTCTGCTGCCACCCGTACGGTTTTGGTGTGATCGTCATTTGTACCACACTTTTTCCGTTTTCCAGTTGCGAGTTATAGTTGCAAAGTGTCCGAATCGCTCACCGCGCTATTCTCTCTTGATTCATGTCAGTTGCAAAGAGCCCTTGAGTTCGCAGTTGGTTGCAAAGTGTCCAGAGTTGCGAAAAGTCCCTTAGTCAGTTGCAAAGTGTCCTAGACACCCTTTAAAACCGTTTTTCGACCTTACAATAGCCTAAAACGCATAATTTTCACATTTTGCAGAAGACACGGTCTCGGATCGCCTACAATATCACCAGATGAACCCGAATCTTGTGGAGGAGTGCGATCTTTGCGTTCTCGAAAACGGCCGCATTTTTTATATCCAGTAAGTATCCAAAATTGCCAGTTTTCAAATGCCTCGAGGGCATAACATTCGGAATCAGAATCAGAATCGGATAATAGCCGAGTAGAGAGTTCGTCAATCTAATTTGAAGTGTGCTTTTGCTTAAAAGTCAAATATCTCGTAATACAGAAAATTTCGGAGAAGATGATCAATTATAAAGTTGTAGAGCATAAAATTATCTTTCGAATCGTTTTTTGATGGTGTACAAATCTTCAAAATTGACCGAGATAAGCCAAAAGCAACTGCGCTCTACTGGTAATTCAGGCACCTCCTTGTAAATCGACAATATCTCAGCACACAAGCCAATTTGCAAAATGTAATCAATTGCAAACTTATAGTGCAAGAAATTTGCTATCAATTCATTTCTTAATTGTTTAAAAATCTTCAAAATTGACCGAGAAACGCCAAAAGCAACTTTGCTCTACTGGCAATTCTAGCACCTCCTTGTAAATCGACAATATCTCAGCACACGAGCCAAATTTCAAAATGTGGTCAATTGCAAACTTATAGTGCATGAAATTTTCTATCAATTCGTTTCTTAATCGTACAAAAATCTTCAAAACTGACCGAGATACGTGGCGGCAAAGTTAGGTCAGCCCACGGTTATGCCAAGAATGCAAACGCGCTCCATTGAGAATACCTCCATCTACTCTCAACCTTAATCTCTGATCAGTTTTTTCAAAAACCCCCTAATCAAAATCCGGCCCGTGTATGCCCATTTTGTGTGTCGAACAATTTTTTTTGTGTTTTTCTGCGGCTCCTCATAATATTGTTGTTTTCCACGTCTTCGCCGAGGTACTGTAGTATTGTTCAGTGTTCGGTGAGCATTTGTTGCCCTTTGAATGCGCGTTCAAACGCTCCTCAATTTGCAATTCCGCTCTCTCTTCTTCTTCTTCTTCTTCTCGGTTTTTTCGGTCCGCAAATGTTTATAGATACACACACACATGTGCCATTTGGGACCAAGAAGGCTTGTGCCTCCTCAAGATGAATTCGACTTTTCGCATTCACTTCCCCCTCTGCCCATTTTCACTTGCCAACTCAAACTTTGTTCCTTCCTCACTTAACTCTCTCTCTCACTCCAACTGCTTGGCGGCACCGGCGCCGTGATCCCAGTGCCCTCCGGCTATTATTAAACAACGTTTGTTCCCGCGCACACAGAAGCCAATAAATATGCAAAGTTGGCGTGGCGGGGCAAATTCCATTCGCTTTTCTTTTTTGTGTTGGTTTGAATTACTAATTGCACATTTTAGCACTAACCGGATAGATGTCAAATGCCCTTCAACTTTGTCGCCACGTATCTCAGTCAATTTTTAAGATTTTTTTAAAATTAAAAAACAATTTGATAGAAAATTTCATGCTCTACAACTTTGTAATTGATGACTTTTCTCGAAAATGTCTGTGCGCTGAGATATTGTCGATTAACCAAACTGCAATATGATTTATCTGCCCCCCGCACATTACGCGACTATGACGTGGCAAAATGATGTACACACCTGAGCATAGTCTAGACTGGTCCTCTGGGGATCTCAGCGGGCAGCGCCACAAAATGAGCCCATAAAACTGGGCGACGAAATCAGAGACCGACGGCTAATTTATGCAAAGTGATAGGCCTGCTGACGTCATTCTCTCCTTTTTTGTTTGTCAAGAAGACTGGAAGGAAGTTAGGAGACGGTGTGCTGCATGGCCTAACTTTCTCCATAATGGCCTAGTAATCCGACGAGTTGAACGATATTTTGGAGCAGAGATTTACTCATCCTAGTGGCCTAACTTCTTCCCAGACCGAACGAACTTTCACACATTTTCCTGCCAGCCCGATACACAGACAGACACACATGTGTGCGTGTGCACATACACACAAACATCGTTATCTGCGTGTGTGTGTCTGTTTTGACTAGTGCTTTTTTTCGCTTGCCTCCCCCCTAAGAATATTATTTTGCCTCCAACTACTGGTAGTACCGGTAGAGGAACGAAAAAAATAAAGCAAACAAGGAAAAAACAAAGAAATTCGCGAGAACACTTGTTCGCACACTTCCTTCCGCTTGTTTTTGGGCCATTTTTCCGCGAAAAACGATTAGAGCAGTCGGGGTGGCCTAACTTTTGCATCGAACGGTTTCTAGGCCACGCGCGACAATTTCGTTCGTGTTCGATGATTCATGTCAAAAGTAGGAGCGCACTGTAGGCGGCGGGGCGAGAGAAATGTTTTTTTTTTTTTGATTGAACGTCGTTTCGCCACAAACAAACCCGAGCTTTCCGCGCTTTTTTGAGCTCTCGGACAAGAGAGAGAAAGAGAGAGAGAGAGAGAGAGAGAGAGAGAGAGAGAGAGAGAGAGTTGACTAAAAGTGTCAACCCATCTGCCCAACCGGAGGGGACCAAGTTTCTCTCAAGAGACCTCTTGGTTCCTTCCTACACCAACTTTTTCACATTCAAACGTCTGTGCGCTTTGAGAGTTGGCCTAACTTTTATTCCGAAAATTCTAGGCCATGTTTTTGTGTGGCCGAACTTTTTCCTCGCTTGAAATCAATGCCATTTGCTCCTATCACCGCCCGTGGCCTAACTTTTCCTAGTGCAATCCAAGGCCATTGTCGAGCGAAAGTTGTTGAGGTGTCATTCGTGGCCTAGCTTTACTGACTACGGAAATCTAGGCCATCCTTGGTTCCCTTTCAATTTTGGCCACAAATTCTTGTTAGAAAGCTAGGCGGTGGCCTAACTTTTTCAAGGGAAATCTCTGGCTGTGACCTAACTTTGATGAAAACTAGGCCGATGGCCTAGAAATTCCTTTTCCTCTTCCACTCCCTTAACTACAGTATCCTTTCCAGTTCCGCTCCTCGGGATTCCACGGGACCAAGTCCACATTTGTCTTCCACTCCCTCTTTCTTCTTCTTCTTCTTCTTCTTCTTCTTCCATATCAAATTTCATTCGAAGAAGACAGAGAGAGAGAGAGAGAAAGAGCACGCACACAAATTCTCCCCCCGCTTCTTTTTTCCAATTCGTTTCTTTCGTTTTCTGTCTGGCCGTCCGTCGTTTTTTTTTCTCGAAACCGACAATAATTGTGATCCTACAATAGTAGAACCAAATGATCAAGTCGAAAAGTCTTCAATTCCACGCCGCCGGCTCACAATCGCCGCCGAAACGCATTTGTTGCTCGGGAAGTGTCGATGAGATCAAGGATTTGATGTGAGCACACTGAAACCGATATTGTGGGGTCGTGGAAAGTGGCGCGGCTCTGAAAATTTTTGTGCCGTATCTTCATGTCTTGTACTCGGTTTTTGTAGTTGATCACTTTTTTGTGCGACCACTCCTAGGGTTACTGTAGTCCAGAGTTGAGCGGAATAACTCAATTTTTATCTTTTTTAGCAAATTTTTTCATGAAATGTGATCAACTGACGAAATGTATAGAAAAATGAACTCTGCCCATAGAAAAATAATTGCAAATTTAACTTTTCAGACAAAAACGTTATTCGAGCTGTTCTGTTAGCCCCCTTTTTTACGCAACAACTCGTATAACTTTTTTGGATGAAAAGTTAAATTTACAATTATTTTTCTATGAGCACAGTTCACTTTGCTATACATTTCGTCAGTTGATCACATTTTATGAAAAAATTTTCTAAAAAAGATAAAAATTCTTCCGTGTTCTTCCGTTGAGTTCTTCCGCTCAACTCAACTTCTAACACAGCACTTGAAACCCGGGGGGTAACTATGGCTATTTGAAGGTAAAACAAGTGACTGGGACCTAAAATTAAAAATTGATAGTATAATATTTAGAATAATTTTCCGACTTTTCAGTCACACGACGCGCAGCTCGCACTGGGAACCGCCATGGGCCTCGTGGAGGTGTCGACTCGGACTGCCGTACGGATGGGAACAGGCGAAGGACAACGACGGAAACACGTATTACATTGAGTGAGTTGGGAGGGGGGGGGGAAGAGGAAAAGCTAGGCCATGACCGAGAGTTTTCAGCCATTTGAATCGCACGACGACCTACACGGATCCGAGGAAAACGCGGCCGCCGGAGGGCAGACGGACAGTCAGTATCCGACGGGGAAAAGATATCGGATTCGGGTTTGTCGCCGCTGGACAACTACCCACTATTATACAGTTTGTGTCGCCAGGTAAACAATAGCGAAAAATCGAAAAAAAAACCGGAAAATGTAACGTTAACTTTGAGAGCTTATAGTAATATCACCGCTAAACTTCTAGAAGCTACAGTAATCTTAGGAGAGGTTTTACGCAACAGTTGTCAACTAAAAAAATGTGGTACTAGACATGTACTCCACTTTTCTAGTTGACAACTTTATTGCACAACCACTTCCTGGGCTACTGTAGCGCTTGGAGCATAGACACGTCTCCTAACATGCTGCCAACTTTCAAAGTCGAACATTTCAAGACAAGTACCGATTTCAGAAGGACCGTCCGACGGACTCCTCTACGCAAACGATCAGATTCTCGAGGTGAACGGTGCGGACGTGCAGAACGAGTCGAAGGACAACGTGGTGAATGCGGTGCGGGCGACCAAGGACGAGCTTCAGATCACCGTTCAGCAGCTGCCGTTGCGGCAGAAGAACACGCGGAAAAACTGCAAAGTTCGGTTCACGGACCGGGTTCTCGTCTCCTCGGCGAATGATAACGTGAGTCGGGGGACTAGGAAGCTGCAAGTCAGGGGTGTGCGGAAAATTTTTTTCGGAAAATTTCGGAAAATCGGTTTTTCCGAATTTTTTTTTTCGGAAAATTTCGGAAAAATCGGAAAAATCGGAAAACTCACAAAAACACGCTTTCTCACCGTTTTTCCGCCCAGTTAAATATACGTCCCACTTTCCCATTACGTCAGCTTTTCTGAAAAAACAACACAAATCGCAACAATCGGTTCATTAGAATGAGAAAAACGAAAGAAATTGCGTAAAATTTAAAAATCAAATTTAAAAAGACGCTCGCTGCTAGACCCTTCCAAAAATTTTGTGATGCGCCTTTAAAAAGCATACGGTGGTTTCGGACAAATTGACCTTGAATCCACACTAATTTTCCGAACATTTTGCCGAACATTTTCGGAAAATCGGAAAATTTCGGAAAATCGAAATATTTTCCGCACACCCCTGGCTGCAAGGCCACCTCAATCATTTCAGAACTCTGATTTCCCGCCCCTTCTGCCCAATGTGCTCCGTGTCTACCTGGAGAACGGACAAACGCGCTCGTTCAAGTACGACACGAGCACGACGGTCAAGAATATTCTGGAAAGTATACTGGAGAAGCTGCAGATCACCGCCAAATCGCACTTTTCGCTGGCACTCGAGTATTCGTTGGGCGCGCGCACGAGTAGAATCAGTTTGTTGAGACCGGATTGCAAGATAAAGTCGGTGAGTTGGATCTTTACTATTTTTAGTGTATTTTAGCGATGATTTCCGTCTCTAGAATGGAAGAAAAGAGCCCAAGTGTTCAGATCATCGACCTGCCCAACTCGGAGCACCTCCGCTGCGTGTTCCGGCTCTCGTTCGCGCCGTCCGACGCGTTCGTCCTCCTGCTCTCCGACCCGAAATCTCTGGAATACTACTATCAGCAGTGCGTGAACGACGTCGTCCGCGGCCGATTCGCAATGGAAATGCGATACGAGGCGTGCATTCGACTGGCCGCCCTCCACGTTCAGCAGGTCGCCTACGATTGTAACATTCTCAAGGAGAACTCGAAAGTGTCGGTGAACCGGGTGGAGTGAGTCAAAAAGCGGCAAATCATTGATGCATAATATCCTATTTAGAAGGGAGTACGGTCTCGGCACTTTCCTGCCCGCCATCGTTTTGGAGAATGTGAAGCGGAGGGACATCCGGAAGCACATCAGATTCTACCTGAAAAGGGACACCTCGCGGCTCGTGGACTGTCTCGGAAAGCCGAGCATCAACAGCGGATATCCACCGGAACTCGAGGCTTGTAAGTAGAGAAAAATGAAGAGTTTGAGCAGCCAAAACTGGAGTTTTTAAAGTCGGTCACCCACGGTCTCCAGAGCGATGTATTGGCGCGAAATTCAAATTTTAACAGCAAAATTTGTGTTTTTTTGCCAGATTAGCCACGAAAAATCGATAATTTCTGATTTTTCTCTCGATAGACCGATTGTATAGGCTATTACGAATTTTTTAAGCGCAAGAGCGTTAAATTTGGTCAAGTCGCAAATCACATTTATCCGTTTGAAGGTTTTTGGCTAAAAATGCGTGAATTTCAGTTGGTTTTCGGTAATTTTTGCGGTTCGAGCGCTCAAAATGCTTGTATTTACGTGATTTATCATTCTCAAAACCATTTCTGTCTGAAAACGGTCAAGAAAGCGCAAAATGAGAAGTGCGGTTTTTAGGCGGCGATCGGCGGCGAAGGCGAAAAAGCAAAGTCCGCGAAAAATGCGCCAAAACGTCATTAATTCTGAGAATTAGTGTGTTTTCATGTCGGCCAATCATTTTTCATCGCCTTTGACCGCAAAAATCAGAGAAAACCTGCTCAATTCATGAAAACGCCATTTGGCCGCCCCGAGGCCACGCCCATATTGTCAGCTCTGAAGACCGTGCGGCACCCAATTGCTCTTGCAGGCTCGGCACAATTCTCGAACGAGCCGTCGATGATGGTCCGTCTCAAGTACATCCACATCGTCTCGCACCTTCCTTCGTTCGGCGGCCGCTCGTTCTGTGTCACGTTCAAAGAGTCGCAAATCGATATGCTGATGCAGGTGGAGCCTCGTACCGGCCTGTTGGTGAGGCATCCGGGCAAGTCCGGCCAGCCGTCCATCTCGATCGGATTCGATTTGATCGGCAAGCTCGTGGTGTGCAAGGAGACCGACGTGGCCAGTCTGATCAGCATTCGGCTCGCCAGCAATCCACATCAGGGACTCGAGTTTTTGGTGGACAAGGACGATTTGGACGATCTCGTCATGTATATCGTCGGATATCATAAGGTACATCTCAAGAACTAGGCATTTTTTCAAAAATGTGTAACCACAAAAAATGTAGAGAATTTTGTTCTGATCAACTTTCTAATTGGCCATTTTATCCTACCATTTGCGCTGTTCGAGTTATGAGCATTTTTTTGATTAAGTTTGGACCTTTTAATTATAGGTAACCTACGAAAAAGAGCTGGAATGTGAGATCGACGATTCGCCGCCGAAAGCCCGTGAACTTCCGGACAAAGCCCCTCCGTACTCGGCGATTCACACCGTCATCAAATCGGATTGGAACTACAGCGGCGACTCCGGTTCCATCGAGAAGGCGTTCGATCCTTCGGACGGTCCGCCGTCCTACGAGATTGCCAATTCGTTCGTGCAGATCGCCGCGTTCGAGGAGCCAGAGAAGAAGAAGAAGGAGCCGGTGGGACCGCCGACGGCACCACGACAAAGCTTCAGCGAACCGAAGAAGCTGCTGCGGGCCACCGACTCGCTGCTGATCAAGAACTCGCGCGAGCTGCACGCGAAGGAGACCGACCAGCGGTCCGAGTCGTCCGACACAGAGGACTCCTCCTTCTCCTCGCCGCTCCGCTCGCCGAACATTGACCGTCTCTGCGACGGAATCAACCTGCTCGTGACGGGACCGCCCGCCAGAAGGGCCTCCATCGAGACACTCATCCAGAAGAGCCAGCCGAACGCGAACCTCGAGAGCCTCATCCTTCAGTTCCCCACGATTCCCGACGAGGAGGACGAGGAGGAGGCGGGAGGAGGCGGCCAAACGAACGGAGACTCGATGCAAACTTCGACGACGACAGTGGTGGCCAACGGAAGAACGACGTGCTACGTGAATCGGAACGGATCGTGCGCCAAGTCCTATCGCGACGAGTACAATAATCATAGGTGAGCTCCGAGTTCTGCGCAAAAATGCCTTGTATTTTATAGGGGCACCGCACAGAAATGGCGCTCTGTTGAGAAACTCGTTTTGCAGTGCAAATTGAGCGACCTCGGGGCCGAGTTTGAAAAGTTAGGCCACGTTTTCAGTGGAAAATTACTTTGCGGCCTAGAAATTCGGCCAGATTGTTTTTTGTTTGGCCAGAACAGCGCGCCCTCGGTGAAAAATGTTTGTTCGACATGAAAACACACTAATTCTCAGAATTAATGACGTTTTGGAGCATTTTTCGCGGATTTTGCTTTTTCGCCTTCGCCGCCGATCGCCGCACTTCTCATTTTGCGCTTTCTTGACCGTTTTCCGACAGAATTGGTTTTGAGAATGATAAATCACGTAAATACAAGCATTTTGAGCGCTCGAACCGCGAAAATTACCGAAAAGCAACTGAAATTCACGCAGTTTTAGCCAAAAACCTTCAAACGGATAAATGTGATTTGCGACTTGACCAAATTTAACGCTCTCGCGCTTAAAAAAATCGTAATGGCCTATACAATCGGTCTATCGAAAGACAAATGAGAAATTATCGACTTTTCGTGTGGCTAATCTGGCAAAAAACACAAATTTTGCTGTTAAAATTTGAATTTCGCGCCAATGTATCGCTCTATTGGGCGGGGCACAAGAGACTGTGTATAGCACAAACTCGTCTTCCAGTTTTTCAGCGAACTAACGCCCGTATCCGGAGACTCTCTGCTGCTCGCCGACTCTTCCTCGATTGCGGCCATCGACGACGACGTCCCACTCTTATAATACTAATTTAAAATCGCATAATTTCCTTCCTTTTCTTTGTGTGTGTGTGCCAACCCATTTTCCATAATTCCGTCCCGTGTTCTGACCGGTGCGCGCTCACCGCCCCATTCCTTCTCTCTCGTTTCGTCTCCGATTCGTCCGAATTGTGATAATTCTCCGTTTCTTCATTTTTCTGTCAACTCTCACCGATCGAACCACCAATACATCACTTTTGATCAATCCGAAAGAGTACTGGAAGTGGGGAGGGACCAGAGAAATCAGGGGGACAGCTGTTCTGAACCGAGACCTCGGGGGGTCATTGCACACAACACACTCGCTTCCTGAGCTCACTGAGCTCCGGACTTTTCCTTTCACTTTCATTTTTATTTTCAATTTTTAGAATGAAAACCCTCGCTTTCCTTGCCGTCTTTGTCGCCATCGCCGCCGCCGCCGAATTCATCGACATTGGCTACAAGACGTGCAGTGAGTTCTCGAGTGCAAGTTGATCCACAATATCCTTCTAGAAGCCGACGGCACAGTGACTGGCGTCAAAGCCGACGGATGCGACCTGACGATCAAGGACGGCAAGAAAGTGTGTTTGTTCAAGAAGGGCACGAAGCCGGTCATCCAGATCGCATTCAAAGCGAGCAAGCCGGCCGACAAACTGAAGACGTCCGTGCGCGCCAAAGTCGGCGGATCCGCGTTGGTCGACTTTCCGCAGACCAACTCCGACGCGTGCACTTATGGTAAGCCAAAAATGTATCCGTGATGCTAATAATTTTGTGAGACTGCCATGCGATTAGACACTATAGCTACTGTATGATTGTGTCTAAACCAACTCAAAGCGACATTGTTTGCAGGCGTGAAGTGTCCATTGACCGCCGGCGCCGCTCAACTCTTCCAGCAATCGATCGCGATCACCGAGAACCATCCGTCCGGCGAGATCATCCAAGTCAACTGGCAACTGGCCCGTCCGGACCAAACGAAGGAGGTCTGCATCATCTTCCTCGCCGAAATTGTCGCGTGAACCTGAACCTTGTGTGTGTGTGTGTTTGTTCCATCAAAAATAAACGCTTCATCGTATTTATTTCTGTGTGTTCTTGATCGAAACGGCGCGCGCGGAATCATGTCCGACGACAACGACGGAGCGTCGGTGAGATTGAATCTTTCTGGGCCGACCGAGATATGCATCATCCGATTGACCGCCACCGCGGTTTTCTCGCTTTTCCACACAGCTTTTTGTCGCCTCCTTCTCGTTCCATAACCCCCTTTTCGATCTTTCAGACGACCGTCGACTACACGCACTCGCAGCTCGAGTAATATCGCATTTCGGTCGGAAATTGCAATTGCTTGTGGTTTCAGATTGCTCGACGCCGATTGCAAAACTGCGCTGCCATTCGACGACGATCTCTCGTTGATTAGTAGGCAAGAACAGAGAGGAATGAGAAGAATAGCACATTTGCAGAGGAGATGGGACGTCGCGCGAAGGCGAAGAGACGCGCCGCGCGGATTGCCGCCGACGTGGAGAGCGTGGTGACGGCCGTCAGTTCTCGAGCCACCGACGAGGATGAGACTGATTGCGAGGTACTCGTGCATTCAAAATTTGCATGTTTTTTCATGAATCTACGCAAAATCCTCAGAAAATCGTTGCCAACCAAACATTTCGCCCAATTTGTGCTGCGCCTTTAAAGAATACCGTGTCCTCGTGTAATTTACACGAATTTTGTTTCAAAAAAGGGTAAAATTGTCGGAATTTTGTGTCGATTTACACGATTGTCTGAAAAAAATGGAAAATTTATCGTCCGCTCGTAAATCGACACGAGAATTCAGAAGTTTAGTGGCGATTTACGAGCCTCTTTGAGTTTTCAGCCGCGTTTCTCTCATTTTTGCGGTATTGTATTAGAGGCGCAGCATGAAAATTAAGAATTCAGGTCCCGAGCATCAAGCGCAAGGCGTCTCTGTCGAAAATCCCGGTGCTCCAGAAGGACCACGCGGTCGCGAGAAGCTCTTCTTCTTCTTCTTCGTCGCAACTCGTCGACTCGGGAAGCGCGTCGAAGATTCCGAGACCGAAAGCGCATCTGGTGTACCTGAAGCCGAGATCCGTCGAAACGGACACTGTGGAGTCGCTGTCCGAGAAGCCGAGTTTCACCGCCAGTGTATGAAATCTCTGGAAAAATCAATACCGTTCAATGTTTCGATGTTTTGTTCAGGACGGCTCGACGTTCAACCGCTCGAACTCGTCGTTCACCGATCCGAATCCGGCGACGATGCCCGTCGATCTTCCCTCGCTGCCCAAGTGCGACATTCCGAGTGTAAGCACGCGATGGCCTAACTTTTTCACGTCCCGCACGCTTTGCAGGAGTACGAGCCGAAGACGGAGGAAATGATGAAGGACGACGAGGAGGCGCTGATCGTGGTGGCCGAGGCGAACGGCGTCGAAATGAAACTGAACGTGTCTTCGATGCTCGACGGACTCGCCGGACTCAATCTCGTCGGTTTCAGATTGCTCTGAGCAGGCGCCGTCCCCTTTTTCTCCGATTGCTCATACATATTTGCTCCCACTCGAGCCAATACTACGATTTGCCTCTATAAAGATGTTTTCCACGAGATCTTCGCTTAATCTAGCTGAATTTCAGCATCAACTCATGTACGAAAATAGAAATGAGGGACTAGTGCGTGAGTTTCTCTTCCATTTGTGGAAATGAGCGATGCGCCTTTAATTAAACCTACCGTACGCTTAAGGGCCTAGTTTTAAAGGCGCATGCCTCATTTTGTGCCCTTTTGTTCGCCGTTTCCGCTTCAATGTTTTCTCGTCGGCAATTTTTTGAAACCACGCCATCAAATCCATCATTTCCGCCCATTTTTTTGCCGTTTGAGCGCCGGAGACGAGTAATATCCGTTTTCGCCGGCTTCCTTTCCTTTTCCGGACCCATTTTCCATTTTGACCTCCGGTTTTGCGAGTATCGAATGCTAATGAGTTGAACGGGGAAGTCGACTTGGACTTTTGACCTGAAAAACCCCTGGCCGGGGTCTCGCCACGAAATTTACAGCAAAATGTTCGGTGCAAAGTGTTCTGCGCCTTTAAACTTTGCTACCGTACTAATTTTACCGGAAATTTTAGCGGTTTTCGCTGCAAGACCAAAAAAAAAGAATAGTGTCCGAGAAATGTGTTCTGCGCCTTTAACATCTACCGTAGTCCAGTTTTCAAAGCCGCGACACACTTTACGGTCGACATACCCCGAATATTTCGCCCATCCATTCAATTGGAAACGCATTTTTTGTCTCCAAATGAATGCAACATCCCCCCGTGTCTTCAAAATGTTCAAGCTGTCATGAGTCACGAGCACTGACATCATTTTTCACATTTTTCTCATTTTCCGAGTCATAGTTCAATTACTCAATTCTCGTGGACCCGCAAATGCTCATTTGCCATTCCGAAACCAATTAGGTTTCGAAGCCCTGGAGCTCTGGAGCCCAGGGCTCCAACTCGAGAGTCCATGAGTCTCACGCCTTCGGCTCCAGAAGACGTCAACACCAATTTTGTTCTCATGACGTCTGGATACGTGCTGGATCCGAGATTCGGCGCCCTGACCACTTCATTTGTAGCTATTGTCAGCACATGCACACGCAATCACCTTTTGTATTCCGGACTTGAAGCTTTGACCATTTGACTTCTGAGCTTCCGCACATTTTTGAGTAGGAGCAGGAGCCACGTCATCATCTATCATCATTTTGAAGTGGAAAGTGAAAAGAATTGACAGAGTGGATGGACATGTTTTCTGGTACGATGACAAGTACAACTTTTTTCGAGAAAATTCGCTCGTCTTTGACTAGTGTGCCTACAGAGCAATCTGATTCACAAAGATCCGAATATAATTGCCATGTGTCAAACGACGAACGACACAAAAAATGGGCCGGAGCGAAAAGAAAATTACCCTATTCTCTTCTCCTGGCCCAGACTTTCGGGAACGACTTAATTGTGGGCGGAAAGAGAACTCTCGTGGCTCATGATTCAAAGATCTTTGAGGGCTTTTGGCCGGAAATTTGAAAATTTGTTGAATTTCCGCCTGCGGTCATCAGGCCAAATGGAGAATTTTGAGCTTGTTGGACTCTGGACCTAAATGGATCATTCAAACTAGGAAGAAACAACGGGTGTGTCAAGTTCTGGTCATTTCTATTTGCATGTTCATACTAGTCTTCAAAACGTTTCAAAGTGTTCTTTGCTCCCTACACACAATCAAACACCTTCACAAGACCTCAAGCCACAAGACCTCAAGCTCTCGAAGCTCCGCCCCTTTTCCAGAACCTCGCTCCACCTCCTCCCCCCTTTCCCATTCATTCTCTCGATTCTTGCGTGCCCGTCAGCCTCCTCAAGCCTACTCAATTGCAGGTACCACACAATGAGCTCTCTCATCTGCATGACAGCCACTCTTCTGCTCGTCCTCGGACACGTGAACACCGGCGATGCGATCCCGACGAGTCCGGTCGTCGGTAAGCCGCTCTGTGTGAATCCGGTGCATGCGCGTCCGTTGATAGCCTCGTTTCCAGGAGTGAACACCGCTTGCACACGCGCCTCCATCGAGGCGTTCTGCAAGCCGGAGCATCTGTTCTGCGTGAGATCCGCCTGCAGTCAATGCATTCTCCGCGACCCGTTCAATCCGTTTGGTAAGGAAACGACGGGCCTAGGAAAGTCTAGAAAAAAGATCGTCCAGAGCTGACAATGGGAGCAAGTGCGGCGCCCGCCCAATAGAGCGATACATTGGCGCGAAATTCAAATTTTAACAGCAAAATTTGTGTTTTTTGCCAGATTAGCCACACGAAAAACCGATAATTTCTCATTTGTCTCTCTCGATAGACCGATTATATAGGCTATTACGAATTTTTGAAGCGCAAGAGCGTCAAATTTGGTCAAGTCGCAAATCACATTTATCCGTTTGAAGGTTTTTGGCTAAAACTGCGTGAATTTCAGTTGCTTTTCGGTAGTTTTCGCGGTTCGAGCGCTCAAAATGCTTGTATTTACGTGATTTATCATTCTTAAAACCAATTCTGTCTGAAAACGGTCAAGAAAGCGCAAAATGAGAAGTGCGCTTTTTAGGCGGCGATCGGCGGCGAAGGCGAAAAAGCAAAGTCCGCAAAATATGCGCCAAAACGTAATTAATTGTGAGAATTAGTGTGTTTTCATGTCGAACAATCATTTTTCGTCGCCTTTGACTACAAAAATCAGAGAAAACGTGCTCAATTCATGAAAACGCCATTTGGCCGCCGATGCCACGCCCATATTGTCAGCTCTGGAGACCGTGTGATGCATAAATGGGCTCCCTGAAAATCCGTATCTAAGAATCTCCCGATTAAAAAAAAATTAGTCTAGGATAGCATAAAGTTCAAGTCCGTGAGCCTCTGACATGCTCTTTTTGACCGGCAAACGAAAAATTTCAAATTTCCACCGGCAATCGCAATTTTTCGTAATCCTCTTTGGCATCACTGATCGATCATAGGACCTTAGCTCAATTTCCTGCTGAAATTGCTTCGAATCCAAATTCAAATCTGCAAAACAATATTTATCAGGCTGGAGGGGGTGTGTGAGAAAATTCAGTAGTTAGGACGTGGGAATGTATAATGTTAAGAAGTTGGAAGGTTCGGGAAAAAAGTGAAACTTTAGAAATATTCTTGAAAAAAAGCGATGAATCTCGGTTGCGGGTAGAGGTATCAAAAAGTTATCAACTGATAAAATGTACAGAATTTCTTGAGGAATACTTTCTCAGTTGACAACTTCTTGATAACTCCACCGATAGCTGAGACCCCTTCATTATGCAGTTGCAGAACGTCCCTCTCATGTTTTCTTCCATTTTCAGCTTCGTTCTGCGCGCGTCTCACCGACTGCGTCTGCTCGATCAGCAACGACCCGCAATGCGAGCAAAAGGTCGAGGAGACCTGTTACTAAATCTACTACTTTCTTCATTTCCATTTCCATCACGAGAATATTCAACAGTGTTAACCTTTCTTTAGCCGAAACCAAACCCCCCCCCACTGAAACCAAGACGAAAATATAAAACAGCAAATGACGACGACGAATAAATATATTGTCCTGTTAACAAAAAAAAGTGTCTCCCGCTTGTTTGTACAAGAACACACCCATTAAGGCTTCATCAACAACGAATATCATTTGGGCGCACCGATTGTATTCGAATGTTGTGAAGTCCTGACGGGCGGCAGAGACGTGCGTTCGGATGGGGTGAAGAGTAAAATGGAAGAGAAAAGTGAAGGAGAGATGAAGGAAAGGTGAAATGGACGCTCAATTTAATGGGCTTTCCGAGGGCTCCGCCGCACGATGACAGGTTTATGGCCGTTTTGGGCATGATGCAAAATGGTTCCGACACTAATTCGGAGCGAAATCGATTGGCGCCGAGCAACATTTTCGACATTTTCTAAAACAGCTACTCTTTGGTCTGGGACCCTCAAATTAATGGCGGAAAAATTGCAGAGGTTTTTTTTTCCTATTTAAATGGTATAGAAGCTCATCCTGAAAGAGAACTGCAATCAGAGGAGTTTTGGTTAACTAGCATTGTAATTGAAGTTGGTAAATGCGTCTTGCAGTATAGCTTAAAGCGTCTACGCCAGAGTTGAGCGGAAGAACTCAACGGAAGAACATGGAAGAATTTTTATCTTTTTTTAGAAAATATTTTTTATGAAATATGATCGACTGACGAAATGTATAGCAAAGTGAACTCTGCTCACAAGAAAATAATTGTAAATTTAGCTATTTATACAAAAAAAGTTATTCGAGTTGTTCCGTGAAAATGTCCTTCCGTCTCACAACTCGAATAACTTTTTTGTATGAAAAGCTAAATTTACAATTATTTTTCTATGAGCAGAGTTCACTTTGCTATACATTTCGTCAGTTGATCACATTTCATAAAAAAAATTTCTAAAAAAGATAAAAATTCTTCCGTGTTCTTCCGTTGAGTTCTTCTGCTCAACTCTAGACTCTACGCTCTAAAATTTGAAGGTTTTTAGGCCTGTTCAGTCGAAAAGTCCCCTTGAATTTCTCATCCTACACCACTAATCCCGTGAAACAAAAGAAGCGCCGCCGTGTGCCTAAAATGCTATCAAAAATGCATGAGCATGGATGCCTATCATATTCATACTCAATGCCCTTTCTCATCTTCTTCCATCTTTTATCACTCTTCGCCTTCCAAAAAGAAACTCACCGCGTCGGAAAGGAAGTACTAGTCACTAGTCGGCAACCGAATCAGAATGCATTAGTGCCAGTGCCAGCGGTGGTGGTGGCCTTCAGAAGGACCCTATCGGCCAGTAAACCAATCCCTCTTCTCTCCGTCTCCTCATCTCGCGCTCACTCTTTCCGTCTCGTGACTACTGTAAAAAGGGGGCGGAGCCAGCTGAAACCCGATACTGTTTGCTCAGGCTGAAGGCGCACGGGCTTCTACGACTACTATGGAGTGGAATATGGCATGTGGCAGATGGAAGATATTGAGTGGGTGGTGTGAATTGGAAAGAAGGACGGAAGGACGGAAGGAAGCGAATCGTATATTGTCGACTCAAGGGCAAGGAGCTCAGCAGACAATAACAATTAGTTGAGTTTCTCAAAGTGAGCAAAAGTATGAGTTTTAGCGGTTAGCTCTCGTCAATTATTTTCTAGAGCCTATGAGATACGTTAAAGCTTTGAGAAACATGATTAAAAGGAGGCCTGTCACTAAAAAATTAGTGTGTGAGATATTTACACAGTCAGCTCTTCAGTTGACCACATTTCAAAAAAAACCAAACGGTTTTTGAGTGCGAACAGCGAAAAAAGCGAAGCGAAGTACGCGTTGAGGCCTCAAATGTGGCAATAAAAGTGTTTCTTTGGAAAAATGATGTGGTGGACAAACTTTTTACGCTCTATCCGATAGTATAAGTATCTCACACATTAATTGGGACTAATTGAATGAAAATGTGCTAAAAAGACTGTCTGAAGCCCTCAGAAAGCCAATCAATAATTTTTGAAAGCAGAAAGATAAGAAACAAGCATTAAAGCAGCTGAATCACTGAAAACAAGGTAATACTGAACGATTAAAGGATCGAAGAGAGACAAAATTTCAATAGATGTACTGAGTTGGTAAAACAGTAGATGGACGAGGCGGGCCGTAGAAAAACAACGCAGTGAGATGAGTAGAAGAGAGTCGGCTGATAATCGCATGTTTCGCGGTAGGTCAAAACCGAGAATTTGACAAATAGTAAGTAGGTGTACGCGAGGCAGGCAGTGGACGGGGAGAAAGAAAAGAGATCGAGTCCGCTCGGAATGGACGGACCGTCGAGGGAAAGGACCGCAACGCGACACCAGACTACGAACACGTGTTTTGATGATCGGATGCCAAGAGAAAACTCGTAAAAAACTATTGATTTGTGTGACAGGTGTGAACGGTCACTAACCCGGTCACCAATGTTCGTACTTTGGTGTCGCGTTGCGGTCCATTCCCTCGACGGTCCGTCCATTTTTTCCTCCCCGTCCACTGCCTTCCCAAAGGCGAACGCTTCGCGCGCACAGTAACTTTAAAGGCGCATCGCTTTTTAATTGGCCTACCGCAGCGCGAACCTCGAAACTTGCAATTTTCTCTGCTGTTTTTCTCGTCAGCGCGGAAGAATTTATTTTCTGCTCGCTTTTTTTGCCCTTCGATGTGTTTGCCAACGATATTCTCCGTGTTCTTTTGCCAGAAAAGCTGAAAAGAGTGTTCCCAATTCAAAACCAAGGAAGAACGCGCATTTCGACGAACGTGCCTGCAAAAAACCATTATTCAATCGAAAACTTGATATTTTTCATCAAAACATGTGCAATTGTGTTTTCTGATTGATTTTATGTAAGAATACTCGGAAAACGAGAGTTTCACAATAAAAATTTCGGAAAAAACGCGTTTGAAACCGAAAAATTACTAGAAGAAAGCGTTTTTCTCGAAATTGATCAATGTTCGATGTTTTTCGATGAAATCAGGTAAACTTGTGTTCTTTAAAAAATTTTTTAAACGAAAATGTAGAAAAAACACGGATTTCCAGTGGAATTCCAGCAGAATAGCGGTATTTTGCGACGAAATTGAAAATCGCCGAAAAAAGTGCAGTGAAGCGCGTTTGCTGACCGACGTCAAATTTTTCAGTAAAATCATTGGATAGGCCTCTGAACGCTCTTTTTTGTATGCAAACAAATCGTTGTATCGTTTTGTTAATGAAATTTTGCAAAATCAACTCGAATTTCCTTCATTACCGCCTCGATTTCATTTGATTCCGCTCCCAAAGTGCCCTCTTTTTCGAGAGCCTTCTAATCTCATTCCGCCGTCTTTTTCTCGCTCTTTTTCTCTTCCCGAAACATGTCAAAAACGAAAAACGGGAAGGCCAATCATTGAAATGTTTCTTTCAGAAGGGCGGAGTCTTCAGCGGAGGGACCAAAAAGAGAGAGCGACGCAGACGGCGGAGGGCACGCGCCTTCGAGGGACACTCGGACCGCCCGCCACTCTTCTTCTGGTGCCCCCATCCGAGCAAGTCGTCGACGAAACAACATCATGGTAAGTGGTGCGGCTACAGTCTTTCTTTTTTCCAAAAAATTTAAAGCCTCTCTTTGCGCTTCGCGCGTACTGTTGAAAAAAAAAAGTTTCGACATTAGAATCGAAGCTGGCAGCGTGCCAAGGCCCGGCCTCCCAAACGCATATGCTGCGCGCGATTGTTGCAACATTGCCGCACGCTTTATTGTTCTTCATCTTTGTCTTTATTTTTCGGCTAAAAATCAGCAGAAATTTGGTTTTTCTCCTTTTTTACTCGTATTTATTCATTTCAATTGTCTTTTGCTATAAAAAATCAACTTTGAAAACAGGTTTATCGATTTTTAGCTTGAATTTTCGAACATTTCTTGATTTTGTGTTTTTCTCCTTTCGATTTCGCTGAATTTGAGAATTTTCAGGATTTCCACCTACGGAAAACTCGAACAAGCAACAAAAGGGCATGGATTTCTTCTTTTCGTGTTAGTTTTTGACGTAACAATAATTTTCTCTCCGATCAACGTTTACAGACTTCACTCTGCCGTCAGCACACAACGGAAAGTTGAAGAAGCATCTCCCGTTGGATGAATTGGCACTAATAACAATTATTTTAGATGTATTTATTACGTTTTCCAATAAATTAAATGGCATGACAAGTGTAAGAATTTTAATGTCAGAGATATTCTACTTTCTTCTCCTTTTTCCGGATTGAAGCGTCCACGGACTTTGAAAAAGCGGTCGGAGAGAAAATATTTCCGTTCCTCTTCAAACTAATACGACAGCTTTTTGTATACCGTTGTGTGCTGACGGCGGAGTGGAGAAGACGGCGAAGGAGTGGAGTCTGTAAACGCTGATCGGAGAGAAAATTATTGTTACGTCAAAAACTAACACGAAAAGAAGAAATCCATGCCCTTTTGCTGCTTGTTCGAGTTTTCCGTAGGTGGAAATCCTGAAAATTCTCAAATTCAGCGAAATCGAAAGGAGAAAAACACAAAATCAAGAAATGTTCGAAAATTCAAGCTAAAAATCGATAAACCTGTTTTCAAAGTTGATTTTTTATAGCAAAAGACAATTGAAATGAATAAATACGAGTAAAAAAGGAGAAAAACCAAATTTCTGCTGATTTTTAGCCGAAAAAGAAAGACAAAGATGAAGAACAATAAAGCGTGCGGCAATGTTGCAACAATCGCGCGCAGCATATGCGTTTGGGAGGCCGGGCCTTGGCACGCTGCCAGCTTCGATTCTAATGTCGAAACTTTTTTTTTTCAACAGTACCTCGGCTAATTTTGAAGATTTTGGACCGGTTAGAAAACGATTCGATAGAAAATTGCATTGTCCACAAATTTGTAATTAGTCACTTTTTACGATTATTCTTGTGTGCCGAGATATTGAAGATTTTCTGAAGTTAGAAATAGAGATCGCTTGCCGACTTGTATCTCGGTCAGTTTTGAAGATTTTCAGATGCTCTAAAAACCGAACGAAAGAAAAATCGATGGCATACAACTTTCTAATTGGTCGCTTTTCATGAGAGTGTATATTCGCTTTGAAATTTGTACCTGAAAACAGCCTTACTACACCTTTCGAGAAACCTGATTTTACCTTGAAATATCTGAAGACCCAAAGATTTTCTCAAAAACTCATCAACTGCAATATTTCGAAGCACAAAATTCGCCGTCGATTGGTATTTTAACTTTCAAAAAATATGGAAAACAAACCGAGTTACGACGCTTCAACGCTAGACTAAGCCTACAGTACCCTTTTTAAAGGGCCTAATCTAATTTAACCCAAACATGCGCGCACATTTCCTCGGGTTCTTGCTTGGCTGAGCACACACCTGGCAGCACCGCCCGTCAGGGACCGGACATCCGGTGCATGTACGCAAGAAGCCGTGTGCCAATTCAACTGAAAACCTCCCCTCCCCATCTTTCGGGGACCGCTCCATTTTGTTTGCGAAAAAGAGGCGAAAAGTGCAGAAGAGAAGCGGTCCCTCGCAAATTGATCCAATTTGGAGGAGGCGCGCTCACACTCGAAATGGAAACATTGGCGAATATATTGTCGCTTTTCAGAGAGAGGTCATCTCGATCCACATCGGACAAGCGGGCGTCCAAATCGGAAATGCGTGCTGGGAGTTGTACTGTCTGGAGCACGGCATCCAGCCGGACGGTCAAATGCCCTCGGACAAATCACTGGGCGGCTCCGACGACTCCTTCTCCACCTTCTTCTCCGAGACCGGAAGCGGGCGCCACGTGCCGCGTGCCGTCATGGTCGATCTCGAGCCGACGGTTATCGGTGAGTTATTTTGAGAAATGTTAGCTAATTTTGAAGAGATGATTGAAACTCACTCCCGTCACTGCTCAAAATAACAGGAAATAGTTGGGGAATATGCGAAAAATAGAAAGAAATTGACGAGAATAGGGGGAACAGTTGCAATATTGGGAGGCGAACTTTGAATGGATACTGTGGAGTTGCAAAACGTCCTATGGGTCTAGAAAATGTTTAGGGAAATCTTGAGACCTTGTACTCTGATTTGCAGTTGATGACTTTTTTCTAGGACCCTTCCCTGGAGTACTGTAGCTCTTGATAGTTGGGCCGCTTGACAAGCGCTTTGAAAATGTCCCCACTTCCAAGAGCTGCAGCAGTCTGGGCGGTGATTGTACGAACAAGTTGTCAACTGCAAAAATCAAGTTCATAACTAGTGCTATATTTTTGTAGTCGACCATTTTTTCATACAGTCACTCCCAAGAGTACTGTAGCGCTTGGAAGTTGGCGTTCTTCAAATGACCGTTTGACTGATCCCAACTTTCAAGAACTGCCGTAGTCCAGGGAAATGTTGTAGAAAGAAGTTGTCAACTGGACAAATAAAGTACTAGACGTGAAGAATGGCATACCAACTCTAAGGGACCGCTATTGTAGACTTGATTTCGCAATACGACCAGCAGCTCCAGCGCGTCTCTTTCCCGTTCTCATCCCATTTCCACTCTCCAACCATTCGGGACCAATGCCATGTCAGCGGTCCCGCAAAGCCGACGGCTCCTCTTTTCCATTCCATTGTGATGCAATTAGACACAGACGGCGCGCATTTGCTGGGGATGAAAAACTATTAGCGGAAAAGGGAATGGGAATGGAAAAGCGGACAAACTACTAGGGGCCTAACTTTCTCATGTCAAAAACCTAGGCCATTGGAAATGCTCGCATCTTTTGGCTATTTGGCTGCTCCTTCTCCCTCTTCTTCTCTCTCTCTTTCCGAAATGAATTTTATGTGTGTGTGTCCATTTCGGTTGGTTTTCGATGAATATCCGATGCTCCCCTTCCCTTCCCTTTTCTGCGCCTCTTCACTTTTTATATGAATACACGAGAAGGGGGGTGGCAAACATTTGGGGAGAATTCCCACTTTCGCCCAAAAAGTTGGAGAAAAGAAGAAGAAGAATGAGAGCCGAAAAGGGGTCTCCGGAGAGTTATTCGTGCAGAAGAGTTGGGCGAAACATTGGAATAAAAGTTCCGAAACTCTGGGGACCACGATGGTTGGCTGAACTTTGAACGGATATTGTACAGTTGCGAAACGTCCTTTAGACATAGAAATTTTTTTGGGAAATCTTCACATGGTGTACTTTAATTTTGTAGTTTATGACTTTTTTCTAGAAGCCTTCCCTGGGCTACTGTAGCCCTTGGAAGTTAACACGCTTCTCAAAAGGATGACTACTTCTAAAAGCTACAGTAGTCTTGGGAGTGAATGTAGAGAAAAGTTGTCAATGACAAAAATACAATACTAGAGATAAACTTCAATTTTGTCATTGACAACTTCTCTGTACAATCACCGCCAGGACTACTGTAGCTCTCGGAAGTCATTACTAACTTGGAGCACCTAAAAGTACCATTTTTGCAGATGAAATCCGCACCGGCACCTACCGTTCGCTCTTCCATCCGGAACAGCTCATCACCGGAAAGGAGGATGCGGCGAACAACTACGCCCGCGGTCACTACACGATCGGCAAAGAGATCATCGACCTGACGCTCGACCGCATCCGCCGACTCGCCGACAACTGCACCGGCCTCCAAGGATTCCTCGTGTTCCACTCGTTCGGCGGCGGCACCGGATCAGGCTTCACTTCTCTGCTCATGGAGAGACTGTCGGTCGACTACGGAAAAAGGGCGAAGCTCGAGTTCTCGATCTACCCGGCGCCGCAAGTCTCCACCGCCGTCGTCGAGCCGTACAATTCGATTCTGACGACCCATACGACTTTGGAGCACTCGGACTGCTCTTTTATGGTCGACAACGAGGCGATCTACGACATCTGCCGTCGCAATCTGGACATTGTGCGCCCCTCCTACACCAATCTGAACCGTCTCATCGGCCAGATCGTCTCCTCGATCACCGCATCGCTGCGCTTCGACGGAGCCCTCAACGTCGACCTCACCGAGTTCCAGACGAACTTGGTGCCCTACCCGCGCATCCACTTCCCGCTCGCCACCTTCTCGCCGGTCATCTCGGCCGAAAAGGCCTACCACGAGCAGTTGTCGGTCGCCGAGATCACGAACATGTGCTTCGAGCCGCACAATCAGATGGTCAAATGTGATCCGCGACACGGAAAGTACATGGCCGTGTGCCTTCTGTTCCGCGGAGACGTCGTGCCGAAGGACGTGAACGCGGCGATCGCGACGATTAAAACGAAGCGGAGCATACAGTTTGTCGACTGGTGCCCCACCGGATTCAAGGTTTGTGGCTGAATAACAACGAAAAGAGATGCGTCATCTCTGTTACTTTGTTCTAATGTCAACATAGACATACATCGACGTCGCACTGTTGACACTTAATCTTAGGCACCCTCTGGATCAAAATGATGATACTTTGTGATAGGGAGAGCGGAAAAACTGCGCACCTTTTTTGTGATCCATGAGGAGTTGTTGAGACTATTGGTAAAAAACGGGGAAAAAACGGATGCAAAAGCCGATTTTCAAGCAAAATGTGTCCGAACTGACAGCGAATAATTTTGCAGGTGGGAATAAACTACCAGCCGCCGACGGTGGTGCCGGGAGGAGACCTGGCAAAGGTGCCGCGCGCCGTGTGCATGCTCTCGAACACGACGGCGATCGCGGAAGCGTGGGCCCGACTCGACCACAAGTTCGATCTGATGTACGCGAAAAGAGCGTTCGTGCACTGGTACGTCGGCGAGGGAATGGAGGAGGGCGAGTTTTCGGAGGCGCGCGAAGATCTCGCCGCCCTCGAGAAGGACTACGAGGAGGTCGGCGTCGACAGTCTCGAAGACAACGGCGAGGAGGGCGATGAGTATTAGAATTGCGCCCCGTTTTCCCCCCATTTTACCCATGCTTTTTCATCGAAATTCTCGTGAATTCCCCCTTCGAATAATTGTGCCCTACGCGCTTGCTTCTCGCATTTTTCGTTTCTTTCTTTCTTATCAAACTCAAATACTGAAATTCCTCTACTTTCTCATTGTCACAACGATCGATAAACTTGTTCTTTTCCGTCCCACAATACGCAAACATTGCAGATTTTCAGTGTGAAAGACGACGAAAACGTGTTTGATTCGATGACACTGACATGTACTTTTTTGGGGTTCTACAGGCGGCAAAAAGCGCTATTTTTTAGGTACACGATGGAATTTTTGATGAAGTCTTTGGAACTTGCACGGCCTTCTGCAACAGCGGTGCTGGGCTTCTCGGACTTGGATTGAAGAATGTTTGGTCCAAGTTTAAGCTCGATCGGATTTCTGGGTCCCGAGATATATCGATCTGAAACTTGGTCCCAAAATACTTCAATCCAAGGCCAAGAAGCATGCAGATTTTGGCTCCGATCGGATAATGGGGTTATTCAGGCTGTGAAAAAATGATTTTTTTTTCGTTTTTCTCGTTTTTTTACGTCAAAAAACCCAATTCAGCGGTGTAAAAAAACGAAAAACACGGAAAACAAACATACGCTGAATAGCCACATAATTGCAAGTGATTTAAAAGTCAAGACTGTTGAAAAACAGTTCTTTTTCAAAGTTTTAGTACTGAAACCCCGGGTCGTCTAGTCTGTTAAAAACGAATAATATTCACTGTTGTTGCACATTTTCAAACCCATCATTTTGCGTGTCTACGGCGAGGGAAGCCCCTGACGCTCCATGAAAGGTAATATTTGGACGGACCACCAGCCGCACGAGCAGCTGCGAGATTAATGAGCACTCCCTATTTCTCGCTCTCTCTCTCTCTCTCTCTAATACTCACATTGCTCTTCTCTCTCGTCAGCTTTTCCGCCTTTCCACTTCATTTCCTCCTCCTCCTCTTTCCTTTCCTTTTTTTGGTCGATCGGTCGAAAACTGTCCGTTCTGCTGCAGTACTCGCTTTCTTTCTTTCGCCGATAACATCGACACGGCGCAGACGAAAAAGAGAGAGAGAGAAAAAGAGAAAGAAAGCGAGGCAAGAGAGTGACAATTGTCAGAGAGACGGCGTGACGACGAGGCGAATCGCGCCGGCGATTGCAAAGTTTTGTGTGTGTGTGTGTGTGTGCGGACGCCCAAATTACGCGTAAAGCCACGTTGTTATGAATTTGTAATCGAACTTTTAATGATTTTATCTTTGTCTTACCTCTTCACCTGCTTTCTTTTCGCTTCTTAATCCAATTCACACCTTTTCTGGTTGTTTTGTGATTTTTCGACGTCGAAGTAATGACTTTCTGTCGACGACGCCGTTTTTTGCTCGAACAGAGATACTTTTTCAGTAAACTTTACTATTTTCCAAAAATTATCTCATTTTGCTGCGAAATGTCCACCGAAAAACGTGTTTTTAGTGAAATTCCGGCCATCTTTGCCAAAAATTCATATTTCGCTGCGAGACCAATCCAAAAAATGAGTCATGCGCCTTTAAAATGACCGTAATCATTTATATATTTTATTCTTATTTTCTGATTGTCCCCTCTAGTAAATCTAAAATTACGTGAATTCAGTGTTTCTCAATCGATTTTTCGCCTTCAAACGATTCGAATATTGTAATGTTCATTGTCTCGCCTGATTTTTATCAAGTTTCACCCATCTTTTTCTCCAAAACCCCCAAAAAACGCACTTTTTGCAGGTATCGAACCCAAGGGAATGAATGAGCAACCACACGCGGTAGTCGAGTCGTTTTCCGTGACTAATGATACTTTGTGAGTATTTAAATGCGCCTGAAACCGGTTCTCGGGCAAATTTTAAAAATGTTCCAAAAAAACATCAAAATAGGCGGTGATTCATCACTGAAATTGAAAATGTTGAACCGCGGTTCGGTTCACTGTCAGAAACAGACGGTTTTTGAAAAATGTCACTGATAACCCTCAATTTCCTCCGAAAAATCCCAAATTTTGGTGGCAAACTGTAAAAGCAAACATTTGGCCCCGAGAATAGGTGATAACTTTTTGCGAGCGGGCGGCAAATCCGGAAATCTAAAAAGAGAACGAGACAGTTGAAAGCAAGAAGGAGGAGGAATTAAGCAAATATTGAAAAGTTTTTGCAGTTCGTTTGCTCACATTTTCACTTCTCAGCCATTTACTCTGACGATTTTTGTAGTTTATGTTGAATTTTTTTCAAAATTTCCTTTTTTTTTCTCAAAAAGTAGCCGAAAAGTCGACTATAATCCTATTATGACCACTTTCCTTAATCCCGTGTTTGGCGGGTCTGAAACTTTAATGGTCTAACTTTTCTGCATCAAAAAACCTAGGCCACGAGTGGTTCTAGTAAAAATTGAGAAATCGAGGGATTAGATTAGATATCAAAGTACGTTTTTTATGGAAAATTTGGACTTTCTGAACTCGGGCATCTCGGAAATATTGTCCATCTCCGTCCTCCCGTACTTTCGCAAAGTTCGTGTCTTTCCGATGTGCATGTTCAGTCATTCCCCCATTTATTTGTTTATTTAGTCAGTTTCGTCTCCTCCTCCACTCTGAGTTTTGTCCCCCCACCGGCCGAAACACTCACGTGTCGATGTCGATCGATTTTTAGGAATAATTTATTATCGATGATGATTTTCCCTACGATTTTCATTTTTGTGATTTTCGGTCATTTTGAAGACACTAGGATGATGTTGGCCTAAAAATTTCGGTTCTCGGTTGCTAGGCCCTCAAGTAGGATTCCAAAGGTTCTATGGCCTAGAAAACCAATACTTAGAATTCTAGGTCACTAGAGAATTGTGAAAATCACCCCTTGCTTTTGAATGATAAAAGTGATGAGGCCTTTTTTCCCTTTTTGACAATTCTAGGCCAGCCCTGGTAGACTGAAGTTCTATGGCCTCGAAATCGTAGCTTGTGATTCTAGGCCACACTCTTACTAATAGAAACTGTCTACGGATGGACTAGAAAACCACTTTTGAGAATTCTAGGCCAAGATTGGAATAGATTGCCTAGGAAATCACATTTCATTTTCTGATTCTAGGCCATCTGATGAATTGGTACAGTAACCCTAGAATGCGATGGCACGTCACTTTTTTGGAAAACTTTTCGATCCTGCCGGCAAACAAACTCAAAACTTCCGCGTTACTTTCCTCGCTCATAGGTAAATATTACCTTTTTCTCTGAAATTTCTCTTCCCCCGCCTTCTTTCTGTTGCTGCTACAAATCAAATTAGCCCTTCTTTTCCCCCTGTGCAATGGTGTCGTCGTCTGAAAACATGACAATACTCGAACAGAAAAGTTTGTCCCCGATGGTTTGTGTGTGGCAGAAATGAGTCATATTGGATGAGACCGACTGCGTCTCTCTCTCTCTCTCTCGAGAAATGTTTGATTTGGAAAGTGACTCAACTGGTAGTACTTTCGGGGCGCAAACCATCATTTTCTGCTCTTCTGTTTGGGACCTTTCCGTGATTTGTAGTTTGAAGCGAAAAGGGGGCGGAGCAAAGCCTACTCGCCAAAGCTAATAAAATACATTTTCTAGCTCTAATTGACATCATCACCAACTCATTACTTTGGTTTCATTGGAAAGTATCTGATTGTCAAATAAACTCATTTCGCGCCCGAGTATAAACATCTAGATCATTCTTTGCACTATGCCTCTCACTCCCTCTTCTTCTCACGAGATCACAATTTGCTCTCCCTTCTGATATTTCTTTTCACCTGCCTCCTTTCAGCTCTGAAAAGTGTTTTTATCTAAAAAAAAATGCCGATCTTCATCCTTTTTGATTTCAATTTCCTTCAAAATCAGTGCTCAATGAGCACACGTCCGCACCCCGTTCTAAACCCGTCTTAACCCATTCTAAACTCGCATTTTCGCCCCAAAAATAAAGCGAGACCGACGTGAGAGATAGTCCGGATAATCGGAATTTGGCCCCGCCGTGCGCATTCTCAACTTTTACTTTTGTGCTCCTGATGTGTGAGTGCTCCGCGCGGAGTCGCCCGGAATCTAATTTTGCGGTCGCCCAGGGAAACGAGACGGCGCCTTTCGCCCCGTTTTGAGCCCAAGAGAGAGAGAGAGAGAGCCGCTCTTTCTCTCTCTCTTTTTGTTTTCGGGTGGTCGTGTAATAGCTGATACGTCTTCCCTCTCTTTTTTCGCAATTTTATGCAAATCTCCGATGGTTGTAGTCAAGTTTCCGGACAGAAATGGATATTTGTAGTGTGGACTATGATTCTATGCACTGAAGGGCTTCGCTTTTTCTCATGATCATGTTTTTCCGGGAAAGTGCGACGCTGAGAGCTCAACAATCTCGTTTCAGGCACTTTTTCGGCTCAAACGCAGTGGAGTAGTTGTCAGATTTTGAAAAATCACAATAGACAGTTTTTTCGAACATTTTATAGAAAATCTACCTAAAACGCGATTTTTGAGCTCTCAGCGTCGACATTTCCCGAAAGAAACGTGATCATGGGGAAAAGGAAACCCTTCAATTCATGTGATCATAGTTTACACTACAAATATTCATTTGTGACCGGAAAAGTACCTAAAACGAGAAAAATCGTGTTTTTTGGGGAATTCACTCTAAAAGGTCTGGAAAAAGGGTCACTTGGTCACAATAGACTTCTGATTTTGTAGTCGTCACACATTCTGACCCCTCCGTCGTCATCACAGAACTTGACTCATCTCTCTCTTTCCGTCTCGGCGCCGCCCGTATTCGAATGACGTCCTGTCACCTGATTTGTGTGCTCAAACTTGCCCAACACGGCAATTCACCTGCCCTTTCGAGAAATTATCAAGGGAATTTCGAAAACATGTGATTCGTTTTCGCCTTTTCGGTTTTTCAATCGTCTCTCATACTCTTTGTCTGGAAAAAAGTGCGCAAAATAGTTTTCTTCTTCTCCTTCTTTTCCCCGCTGATGCTTTCGATTTTTAGTAGTGCTGGCCGGCCAAAAAGATAAGATATTGTCCGATAAGGAATTGTGTGTCCCGATGGAGCCATACACACACATTTTTCTGTGCCCCTTATCTCATTTTCGGCACACGTACAGACTGTAGCCGGTTTCCCGCCCGTCCAGATACGTGGCTCTTTTTTAGGGAGTTTGAAAGTGTTTGAAAGCAGTTTCTTCACAGAGCCGTGCCTAATCGCGCTCTAATGAACTTTTGCATTCAGTCCCTTCTGGCTTAATGTTTTGGCGGCAATTCTTGTAGCGCCTCCGTGATCCTGTCTAAATCTAGAGGGTTCCAACACTCAACATTGATCCCGTGATTCTCAAGCTCTGTACCATAGCACCTCACTGAAGGTGCTGTATTAGAATCCTCTGAATATGTACTATTTGAGCTGAGCATGGTTTCCAAAAGTTATCAACGGTTTTAGCTAGTGTAGGGGGGGACCTAAACGAAATGAAATAGAGTTTAGTCAACAATAGTTCGATCTGAAAAGTTTGACTGATATTTGAGAAAAACTAGACTCAACACTGCAATTTTCCACACGTGTGTTAAATCGTGCCGAAATAAGCAGTTTTGATCTAATTCTTCTCGTTTCTTCACCGAATTTCGCACTTTTAAAGAATGAAGAACACGACAGTATTGTTCTGTTTAAACATTGTGAGCTCTTTCAAGTTTGGAAGGAAACAGGGTCAAAATGAGCCGAATTCTAATTATTGACAGTGATTAGCAGTGCCAAGCACCGTGGAACTGTGAAACAATGCAAAACACTCTTTTGTGCACATTTCTAACTTAAAAGCTCAAATTTGCATTCGTCGAAAACCTCGAAAGCCTACAATTTGCCACGTCACACATGTTTTCGTCTTCCGTCCGAGTGAATAATTTCTCGCCACTTTCTTCCACTAATTATCAGTTTGGCCCCGCGAGTCGCGGAATGCTGCCTCCCGTGTGACGTCATCAATGTGCTCTTTTGAGCCCCAAAACACCACTTCCTTTTTTTCCCCTCCTCTTTCGTCAATCGGATTTTCCTATTTTTATACCCTTCTGACGGCTTCTATTCTCGAATATAGTAAATTGTTTGCAGAATGGCGTCGACCGCATCGTCCAGTCAAGCCTTCGCGGCCGCCGAATCGGTCGGAAATTCGAACACGCTGGACGAAGGTAAATCCGCACGTGATATTATCATTTTCTGTGGGCAAAACATGCCCCCTTGCCGGCAACACGAAAATCCCATTTTCTATTATTTTCCACACTCGAAAAGTTAACCAATTTTGGTTGGATTTGACTGCAAAGTAACCCTTTTTCAATGACAAAAATACTGGTTTTAAAAAGTGTCCGTAATTTCCAGTGCACTACGCGTCGACGGACTTCTACATCGGGCTCGCGCTGGCCGTCAGCTCGTCGCTCTTCATCGGCAGCTCGTTCATCATCAAAAAGAAGGCGCTGCTGAAATTGGCGTCCGGCGACACGTCACAAAGGGCCAGCGAGGGCGGATACGGATATTTGAGGGAGTGGATGTGGTGGATGGGCGTCATTACCAGTCAGTTATCACTTTTTATCGGAATAGTGGAAAACGTCTCAAAAAAAAAAGTGTTTGGAGCTTTTTTGAAACCGTAGTAAAGTTTGACAGCTGCGAAACGTCCACAAACAAAACGTGTTAGGCCCATTGGACGTTTCGCAACTGTGCAATATCCATTCAAAGCGCATGACTGAAAAGCAGAGAAAAATCACTTTCTCGAGCGTTTTGGAGAGAAATGATCAACTAGAAAGTTGATGTGCACATGATTCGCATCAATTGTTCACTATACAACCAATTGAAAAAAGCAAAAGTTCTCGAGATACCGAATCCTCTATAAAGCGAACATTTTTTGCAGTGGGCGTCGGAGAAGCGTGTAACTTTGCGGCGTACGCATTCGCGCCCGCCTCCCTGGTCACCCCGCTCGGCGCCCTTTCGGTCATCGTCACGTAAGTACCGATTCCTTCGTGCTTCCTTCATTTTCTCGCCCATTTTCAGAGCGATTCTCTCGTCGCGCCTGCTGAACGAACGTCTCAACCTGCTCGGCTCGATCGGCTGCACCCTCTGCCTGCTCGGCTCCACCGTAATCGTGATCCATTCGCCGAAAGAGGAGGAGGTCGGCTCGATGGCCGAGTTGGCACTGAAAATGAAGGACGCCGGCTTCCTGATCTACGTGATCCTCATCATTTTGGCCACCGGATTCGTCGTCGTCTACGTGGCGCCACGCTACGGTCACTCGAACATCCTCGTCTACATCTCCGTCTGCTCGCTCATCGGATCGCTTTCGGTGCTTAGCGTCAAAGGATTGGGACTGGCGATCAAGGAGACCCTGGCGGGCCATCAACAGTTCACCAACTGGCTCACCTACTTCTGGCTCGCCTCCGTCGCCATGTGCGTCTCGGTTCAACTGATCTACCTGAACAAGGCGCTCGACATTTTCAACACGTCGATGGTGACGCCCATCTACTACGTCTTCTTCACCACATTCGTCATCCTGGCCTCGTCGATCCTCTACAAAGAGTGGTCGTGCCTCGGCGCGTCGGATGTCATCGGAAACTTTGTCGGCTTCCTGACTACCATCATCGGCATTTTCCAAGTGCGTAGGCAAAGAATGGGTTTCAAAGTGTCCTGCACAAAATTTGAATGCATAGTGTACAGTTGTTAAATTCACGCAACAAAGTTTTGGAGACTTTTCGCAACTGGCTTTGGGCTTAGAACGTTTCGAAACCGACCTTAAGACATTTCGCTACCGCAAAGAATGGCAATCCCAATTTGCGCGGAGAAAACGTTCAAAAATGGACTCGCAGACGTCTTGAACTTAAAATTGATATTGAATCTACAATTTGCAGATGCAACTGTTCCGCGACGTGAACATCTCGCTGTACCAAGTGCAACGACTGGTGTCCCGCCCGTCCGCGAGCCTCGCCACCGCCGACTTTTCGTCCTCCTCGACGAACCTCGTCGACGACTATTGCATGCGCCAATCGAACAGCAACCGGCGGATGGTGTACACCTGAAAAACAAGAAGCCTTCTTCTCCCCCATCTCTTTCGCTCTCTCTCAATCATTCGTATTACGTGTACCTTTTCCTCTGATATATCTTCCATCAACAGGCCCAGTTATAACTCTGCTCACAACTTATGAAATGCAAACGCTCTCTCTTTTTCTCCCTCCCCTTTTTTTTGCTCCAAACACGGCGGGAAGCGCGCTTGCAGACACCCCTCACATTCCGGGCGTTTTTTCTTCCTTATCTTTTCCCCCCAACCACATCCGCAACGATTACAGGTTCACTCTTTGAGGAAACATTTTTTGAAAATTTAGAGATAATAAAAATATATTTACGGAAACATTTATTCGCAGTGGAAACGAAAAAGCATACTCGTTTTTGTTTGGGTCCTCTTTGGAAAAATTAGCGCCTTCGCGATAACGGTCTTTTAAAGACGCAGAACACATGCAAATTTTCAGGCGGCCGCTCCGAATTGACGTCTTCGAACCCATCGGGTGATCAGCGGGAACGCGCAGCAAAATCCGAAGCAAATTAGGAGGAGAAGTCTGCAAAAATAATAGAAAACGTTCTGAAACTAGCGGCAGAAATCATGCGACAACGACGAAGACAACAGCAACAAGCAAAAAATCGATAATTTTTATTAATAGCAAAATCGGGGAAGAAATCGGGACCCGTATCGTGCGGCGGTGCAAAATTGAACGTGGCCTACACAATTCCGATGCGTCTACAAAAGAGGCAATGGGTGTGGAGACGCGAAAAACACAAAATTTTCGTGGCCAGACCCAAATTTGAGCGAAAAATGTGAAAGTTTGTGAGAAAAGAGTGCTAAAACAGCGTTACACGGCATGATGATCATGATCAGAATAGAAGGCGTCTGGCCAAGAAGGCGATGACAAGCGCGTACCCGATCGAGGATCCGCGCCCGCCGATCCGGTCCGAGCCGACGGATCCGCCGCCGCGGCAGCACTCGTAGCCGCAGCAGTGCTCGTAGTAGCCGCAGCCCCACACGATCTCGCGCGGTCGCGATTGGTCCTGAAACGAACAAATTGGTCATGGCCTAGGTGTTCCTAGTCCACGCTCACCTGGAAGTAGACATTTCCAAACTGCGAATCGCCCGACTCAATCGGCATCCGGCACATGTTCGAGTGTCCGGGATTCGATCGATAATAGTTGGAACCCCAGTAGTAGGGACGGTTGTTCCACCTGCAAAAACAATTGATAACTAGATTCCAAAGAGTTCCCGCCCGCGTTGACTCAAAATGCTTCAAATCATCTCTAGAACTCGAAAAACTGACATCATGGGTCCGGCGGCGGCCCGGATGATCGCTTTTCCGGCCTGATAGGTGAGGTATCCGGCGGCGGCGCCCACAATCATGTTCTTGAATTGACTGCCGCGGTTTCGAGAGCCCAGTCCAGAGCTTGTCCATCTGAAAATTTAAAACAACGTATTTTTCAGTCAAAACGTTTAGTTGAAAGACAAATAGTTAGTGAAGTGTGAGTTGAGTGAGTTATTTCTCTCAAAAAACGATAAAAGATGAAACAAAACTCCGAGTTAGAACACTTTTCGAAAAACCTGTTTGAACCCCAACCGCCGGAGACGGGCGGACGTTGCTTTCTGCCGAACAGACCGCCCAGGAATCCGCCCTTGCTGAAGATGGATACATCCTTTCGTGGAATTCATATTTTTCAAATTTTCGATCTCTACATTTCAAAAAGAAGAATTCCGAACAGAGTTATTCGCCGGAATGCAAGTGCGCTCCATTGAGAACCAACCTTCCAGTGTTCATATTCGAAGATCCCGCCCGATTGTTCCATCCGCCACTCGAACCGCCCGAATTTCCGGTATTCCATCCTCCGCCGCCACTCGCCGTTCCCCGATTCTGTCCCAAATTGGTGCCTCTCGAGTACTCGTTCATTCTGGTGCCGGAAGCTCGGCCGCCTCCGAAGATGCCGCCCGACGTCCTGGATCCACTGGATCCGCCTCGACTACCGCTACTCGCTCGGGCCCCGCTGGATCCTCGCGATCCTCCGCCCAGACCGCCGCCTCCGCCGCGACGGACCTCGATCGGTGGGACCAGCGAGAGGAGGAGGAGGGAGAGGAAGACGAAGGCCGTGCTGGGAGGACGACGCCCACGCATTCTCTGTTTGGTCCTTGGAGAAATGTACCTGGAAAAGAGGCGTTTTTCAGAGAATTTGTGGACGGCAAGTAGGACGAAAAAATAGAAGAAAGTGCAAAAAACGAGCATATTGTTTTCGTTTTTTTTTGTTTTGTTTTTCCTCCTCTTTTCCACCAGAAAGCTCTCGCGTTTCAATAGAGAAAGGGAGGGAAATCGGGAACAAAGAAGACGGGGAAAAAATGAGGAAAGCGACACATTCCGAAGATTGATTGCCACGTCGTCCGTCACAAACGGGACATTTGGACCTTTGGACATTCGCACCCGATCTGAAGTTGTGAGGCATAAAACGGAATGCGGAATGCGGAAGACGGAAGTCGGAATCCGGACCTAATACCACGGGAAAATAAAGTGTAAAAATAAAAGTGAGGATGAATTTTCGTCATTTTTTTTTGCTAAACACCCGAAGCACCACTTGACTTGCCAGGCAAATAGAGCGTGTTATTCGTCAGGACGCCTCAAATGCGCTCTATCGCACTTTTGGCGTGAAATTCGAAAATTTAAGAGTTTTAAAGACAAAAATGACGACAGTAGGGTGGTGGATAGCAAAAAAGAGTGGTTGGGCGGAAGGCATTGACATGGACAGAAGAGGAAATTGGACAACGACGACGTCTTCTTCTTCTTCTTCTTCTAACATTACTTTTCAGTGTTCTATTCTGTTCTCCCGTCACAAGGCACAAGCAGGAGAAACTTTGACGCAAGATTTCTCGCTTCGCTTTCATGATTTTTATCTGGTCAAACAACGATTTGAAAGGAAATTTTGGGCTCTACAACTATACAGTTGAACGTTTTTGACGAAAACCTCTGCGAAACCTTGATATTTCACTTTTTCGCAACGCGCTCAAAATTCGATTTTCAGCTGGTAACGGAAAAGTGAAAATACCAGGGAGAAGGAATGTTTTCGTGAAAAACGATCAATTGGAAAGTTGTAGAGCAAAAAATTCTCTTTCGAGTGGTGTTATGGAACCAATGAAAATCTTGAAATTAAGCTGAGAACCTGAGGATCAAAGTTGGACCCGATATTAGCGAAGCACTCGACGCCTCGATCATTACACTTTTTCTCACTTTTTTAGCAAACTAGAGTTACTAAGCAAAAAAAAACACAAAGTCATGAAAAATAATGAAATATTTCAGTTAGCCGCAAATTTATACTTCCAGCTGATGAAAGGATGAGTAGGCAAACAATAGCAGGTGACACACGAGTGGGCCAGAAAGAGAGAGAGAGAGAGAGCACATGGCGTCATCTTGAGAGAAGAAGAAAGAGAGAGGAGACGGAGAGAAGAAGAAGGAAGTGTAATCAGTCGAAGGGGACCGACCCGAGTGACCAGTAAATATCAGCGAGAAAGAGAGAAAGAAAGATGCTTCTGTTTTCCTTTTTCGAAATCACTCGAACGGAAAGTTATTCGGACCGACACACATATTTTAATTGGTCTGGTCAGGTCATGTTCAGTATGTCGTTTCAAAAAACAACAGCAAAGGTAGCAAGTCGGCGCTCTTTTGCGTTTCTTTCGGAAATTCCTAACATTTTAGGACAAAATGCATGCAGAGTTTCAGTAAATGAAAGCAAAAGCGAAAAGGAACGCATTTTTCGTCGGCGCGAGCAATCTTTTTCGATTGGCCCATAAATTTGGGACGGAAAAGGGATTGGACGAGAGACGGCCGAAAAAGATAAACTAAATGAGCCCTGGGGAGTCGGAAAGTGTGTCGCTTGTATGAGAAAACGAGCGAAAAAAAACGAGTTTCTGTTTCGGTTCGATGGCCGCGTGTGTTCTGAGCTGAGCAGAGAGCCGAGCAATTAGGCGACTCTTCTTTTTTCACTTTTTTCCCGCCGGAAAACGTTGCGCGACAGAATTAGTTAATTGGAATGCGAGGCACGGCGGCCGATCGATTCGAGAGCACATGAGCCATGAATATTGCATTTTCGACGACGACGACGACGACGACGACGCGGAATTGTTGCCGTTGGCGGCACGCAAACAAGTGGACGACGGGCGACGGAGGAGAGATGTGCATTAGTGAAATTAGAAAACGCTGAAAACGTCGCCTGAAAAACGTTTTTTTGTTGTTTTCAATAGTCTTTTCTCGGATTTGTCAGTGTTAAAAGATGCAAAACGAAGATTTATCAACATTTATGAATTCCCCTCATTTTTCAACTTTTCTCCAGATTTTTCCTGTCAAAACACGTGAATTCTGCTTGAAAATTGTTTAAATTTGAAACACAGCCTTCTGAAAAACTCGTAAAAACCCCAGAAATTTCATCCGATTCCATTGAAAATTCGAGGCGCCCGCCGAAAATGTTTTGAGCGGTGGTGTTGCAAGTGCGCTCCACCGCACACTTAGATGTGCAGGGTGTCAGGGTGTGTTGCAGGGTATACGGTAGAATTTCGCGTAGGCCTCGCAATTTTCCACTGAATTTCCTAGTCTTTGCCCTAAAGTTCCCAAAATCCGCCGTTTCTTCCGTTTTCTTCCGTTATAAATTTATTTTCTTTTTAAACATTGTTTTTTGCCAGCAGTATCATAATAATTGAATTTTTTTGCAGAAACTAGGGTTTGAAGGTCAAGCATGGTCTTCGTCAAGACACTCTCCAAAACCTTGTACCTCGAGGTCGCTGCCAACGAGGATGTGCTGAGCATCAAGCAGAAGATTGCTGAGGCTGAGGGAATCCCAGCCGAGGAGCAGAGACTCGTCTTCGCCGGTTAGTTTCGCTCCATGCAGAATCTCGAGAAAGTCGCTGGCGACTTTTGAGGACAGACCCTGCCTAACACATTCTAGATGGTAACTGTTAAGGACGTCAGCTCGAGGATAACGACTGCGGACTCGATGCCGAGGCTACCCTCTACCTTTCTTTGGCCCTTCTCGGAGGAGCCAAGAAGAGAAAGAAGAAGGTGTACACCACCCCAAAGAAGAACAAGAGAAAGCCGAAGAAGGTCAAGCTCGCCGTCCTTAAGTACTACAAGGTAAATATACAGTTAGAACAGCTTAAACGTATGATTAGCGGTGACCGGGAGTAACATGGATCGGCGGTGATGATGAATTTATTGATATGGTGTCAGGACCTCTGAGAGTTTCGTGACTGATGTTTAGAGTTCCTGAGTCGTTCCACAACCCCACGTACGGCTTTTTAAGATTTTGACTCATTAGTTCTTTTTGCGGTAAACTCAAGTTTTTTTCAGATCGACGAGAACGGCAAGATCACTCGTCTTCGCAAAGAGTGCCAAGAGCCAGGATGCGGAGGAGGTGTCTTCATGGCCGCTCACGCCAACAGACACTACTGCGGAAGATGCCACAACACCCTTGTCGTTGACACCGCTACCGCTGCTGCCACTTCTGGCGAGAAGGGAGGAAAGAAGGGAAAGAAATAAATCAATTGTTTTCTCAACCCAATAAATTGTTGATTTTTTAAACAACTGTTGTTCTTTGTATTCGTTTGCAAGCGGACTCGGATTATTTTAACGGAGTCTGAGGGAGGAATAGCGAAGTGACTTGTAAAAGGGGGACGTCTGAATTGAAAGGAAATCTCGACTGATCGTTCAGAAAATGGATGGGCTCGGCTCGTTTGGCTAATTTATCGAGAAAAATTGTTGGCCCAAAACCGATAAGCAAGTGCGCTCCACCGCACTCACCTTTCCAAACATTTTCGTCGGTTCCTATCGCTATTTTCGTCGCTTTTTGCTCGAAATTCGCCATTATCCGCCTGAATTCTCGTCTAAAATTGTGAATACTTGCAGGGTATAACAAACCTTTCTAACCAATCATGGGAAAAAAGGTTAAAATCGGAAAACAGCGTCGCGATAAGTATTACAAGCTTGCCAAGGAAGCTGGTTCGTTTTCCACCCCTAAAATTCCCCAAAAAACGATAATTCCACAGGATACCGATCGCGTGCCGCTTTCAAATTGGTCCAGCTCAACAAACGCTTCGAATTCCTTCAAAAATCGCGAGCCACTGTGGATTTGTGCGCGGCGCCGGGAGGATGGATGCAGGTGGCCTCGCAAAACATGCCCGTCTCCTCGTTGATCGTCGGAGTCGATCTGGCGCCAATCAAACCGATCAAGAACTGCATCGCCCTGCAGGGAGACATCACCACCAACGAGACGCGCGTCGCCATCAAAAAAGAGCTCAAAACCTGGAGTGTAGGCGATTTTCCCTCAATTTGTTTTTTGAAATGATCGATTATTCAGGCCGACTGTGTGCTGCACGACGGTGCGCCGAACGTGGGTCTCAACTGGGTGCACGACGCGTTTCAACAGAATTGTCTCACACTTTCCGCCCTGAAATTGGCGACTCAAATCCTGAGAAAAGGCGGTACTTTTGTGACGAAAGTGTTCCGATCCAATGACTATTCCTGTCTGATTCGTGTTTTCGAGAAGCTTTTCAAACGCGTTCACGTCTGGAAACCGGCCGCCTCTCGTTTGGAATCCGCCGAGATCTTCGTCGTCTGCGAAGTCTATCAGAAGCCCGACAAAGTCGGCGCCGAGTATTTGGACCCAAAAAAGGTGTTCGCGAACCCGGACGGCTCGGAGGGCACCAAACCGAACCCGCAGAACTTGCTGATCGGAAAACAGAAAAAGGCAAAGGCCGAAGGATACGACACCGATTCGCTGGCGATTTACTCGACGGTCAAAGCCACCGACTTCATCAAATCCCCGGCTTATCTCGATATTCTCGGCTCTGCGAACGTCATCATTTTGGACGAGGAAAAGTGGAAAACGCACGAGAAAACGACGGAAGAAGTGGAAGAATACATGAAAGATGTGAAAGTCTGCGGCCCGCGTGAGCTGAGAGTGCTCCTCCGTTGGCGAAAGTCGATGATCGAGATGCTGGACGCGGAGAAGAAGGCGGCGGAAGGAGAAGCCGAGGAGGTGGAGATTGAAGAAGAACTGACCGAGGACCAGATCGAGGACAGAGCCATGGCGGAGATCGACGAGCTCATCGCGAAGGCCTCCGAGGACGAGATCTCGGCGTTGAAGAAAAAGAAGAAGAAGATGCTCAAGGCGAAAGCCCGCGTGCTCAAAAGAAGAGAGCTCAAGATGATTATCGATGGAGACGAGGGTCCGAGGGCCGAGGATCAAGAGGTTTTCCAGCTGAGCAAGATCCGAAAGGCCAGAGAGCTCGCGGAGATCACGAAAGATCAGCAGGCGCCGAACCACACGCTGGACGACGATGAGGACGAAGGGCTGGGTGATGGTGAATGGGAAACGATCGAGGGAGAAGAGGATCAGCGCGACGACTCGGACGAGGAGGAGAACGGGTTGCTGCACACTGTGAACAGCGGAAAGAGCAAGGCGGAGAAGAAGAACGCGCGCACGGAGAGCTGGTTCGACAAGGAGGAAATCGCGGGGCTCATCTCGGATGAGGACGACGACGACGAGATGACGGCGGTCGAGAAGCATCTGGGCAAGCAGAAAAAGAAGGACAAGTACAAGGGGACGGTGTCGTTCGAGGTGGAAAAGAAGCGGAAGAAGAAGACGGACGACGATGACGACGGATTCAACACGAAGGACGGAGAGGAAGAGGAACAGGAAGAAGTGGAGGAGGATGAGGGGATGGACGAGGCGGCGAAGAAGAAGATGAGCAGATTCGACGCGCAGATCGATTTGGACGACGACGAGGAGGAGCGCTACGTGGACGAGGGGAGCCGCGCGACGAAGCGCAAGGCTGACAAGCAGATCGTCGGCGAGGACCTGAAGACGGTGGCCAAGAAGCGACGGCTCACGCCGGAACAGCTGGCTATCGGCGAACAGATGATCTACTCGAGTAGAGCGGCCCGCGAGCTCGAGGACAACGCGTGGAATCGGTACGCGAACAACGACGAGGAGCTGCCCGACTGGTTTGTGGACGACGAGAAGAAGCACTACTTCAAGCAGACGCCCGTCACAAAGGAGCAGGTCGCTTTGTACCGGGAGCGGATGCGCGAGTTCAACGCCCGGCCCACGAAGAAGGTCGCCGAGGCCAGGGCTCGCAAGCAGAGAAAGTAAGCCGCGGGGAATTTTGAGCCTTTTAGAGCTCTGAAACACATTTTTCGACCCACTTGCAATTGTCTGTTGTTCAGTCTTGATTTGAAAAATCTGTCTTGAAAGTTTCACCCCGTTTGGATCATGAGGGCTGAAAAAAATGGACTATTTCTGGGGTTTTTTTTAGACTTCTAGGTCCTCGGGGCTCCAAGAACCTCGTAGTCCCCGTCTGTAATCACACAATTTTCAGAATGCAACGAAAGTTGACGACGGCGAAGAAGAAGGCGGAGGGAATTCTGGAGAACGATATGATGGAGCACTCGGAGAAGGTGCGCGAGATGAAGAAGGTGTACGCGGTGGCGACGCGAAAGGAAAAGAAGAAGGTGGAATTGGTGCGGATGACGAAGGGCAAGAAGGGAAAGAGCGCCCGCCCGAACGGACCCTACAAACTCGTCGACAGGTTTGTCATTCCTTTTTGAGTTAAATTTTATATAATTGTGAATTTTCAGTCGAATGAAGAAGGATTTGCGCGCGGCGAAGCAGAAGGAGAAGACGAAGGGACGCGGAAAGAAGACGGCGGGACGCGGAGGCCGTGGCGGGCGTGGCGGACGTCGATAATCGATAATCTCCTCAAATTTTATGATTTTGTTTTTGTTGTTTGCTTGCTTTTCTTCCTTACTTCCTCATCTAAATTGTTATTTGTTGAACACTCATCCATTACTTTAATAAATTGTTTGGTTGGTGGCCTCCGCGGGCGCATTGGGGACACGAGATTGTTGGGTGCAATGGCTATTTGAATCTCTCCCATTGCCAATTAAATGAAAAGGGACAGGTGGTCGGACACTCGATGCGAGCCTGCCTTCTCTTCCGATCCCAACGCATCCTCTTTCGGACGGGCGGTCCTCAGGTTTGTACCCGTTTTTGGGTTAATGTCTCATTTCTCAGCGTTTTCTGTGAAATTAGCAAAAAAGTTGAGCCTATTTGCTTTTAAAACAAAAATCTGCATAACGCCTACATCTTTTGCGCTTTTTGATTCGTTTTTTCGCTGAAAATTGCCGCAATTACTAGTCCTTGAGCTCGCTTTTTTTCAAATACAACCCAAAGTTCTCTCAAATGCTCAAAAAAAAAACGCATTTTCCCTTACTCGAAATCTAGGAAATTCAAGTGTCTCCGGTTACTTTGTTCCCCCCTCATCCATTTGATATACGACACTTTTTTGTTGTTGCAGAGACTCTTCGTTTCTCGCCTCTCTTCTTCTTCTTCTTCTTCTTCTTCTTCTTCCGGCCTCATTCTCGATTTGGATTCGAATGCGACGAAATCAAACAAAAGTGAGAGAAACGGAGAGCAGAAGGGGAAGAGGAAGAAGAAGGGGAAGCGGATCGAGTGGTCCGCCGGATCCGTCGCCATGCTCGCCATCCCGACGTTCGCGTTCTCGCTCGGCTGCTGGCAAGTGCTCCGATTGCGCTGGAAGCTCGACCTCATCGAACATCTCAAGTCACGACTAGCACAGGAGGCCGCACCCCTCCCTGAAGCCTTGAGCCCGTGAGTTTTGAAATTCTGCCCATATTCACCTGAAAATCTCTCCCATTATTCGTTCAGAGAATCGCTGGAACCGCTCGAGTACACCCGCGTGCGGATCACCGGTCAATTCCTGCACGACCGGGAGTTCGTGATCAGTCCACGCGGCAGATTCGATCCGGGCAAAGCGAAGAGCGCCTCCGCCGGATCCCTTCTGTCCGAGAATGAGATGAGCAGCCACGGGGGACACCTCATCACGCCGTTCCGTCTGCAACACACTGGGTACTTTTTAACCCAATTTTGATCATCCGATCGGAACGAAATTTTGTAGAGTTCTGGGACTTAGCATGAAGTATTTTGGGTCCAAGATTCAGACCGATCCGATCATGTGGTCCTGAGATATAAGTCACTATAAATCATGCCAAGTCCTGAAAGTCTGCAAAGTTTGGTCCCATCGTGGGTTTTCACAAATGATGTTTTTTTCTTGCAGCCAGACAATCCTGATTAACCGAGGCTGGATCCCGTCGTTCCTGTTCGAGACGTCGTCACGCTCGAAGACGAACCCACAGGGACCGGTCACTTTCGAGGCAATCGTGCGGAAAACAGAGAAACGGCCGCAGTTCGTCGGGCAAAATGTTCCCGAACAGGGCGTCTGGTACTACCGGGACCTCGGACAGATGGCCCAAAAGTACGGAACTCTGCCGGTCCTGCTCGACGCCGCCTACGAGACGACGGTGCCGGGCGGACCGATCGGCGGACAGACCAATATTAATGTGCGCAACGAGCACATGCAGTATTTGACCACTTGGTGAGCGGAATCAATGAAATTTTCAGCAAAATCTTGAACTTACAGCCAAAAGTGCAGTAGAGCACATTTGCAATTAGTTAAAATTGATATTTTCAGGTACACTCTAACACTGGTCACAATGCTCATGTGGCTACACAAATTTCGACGATGAAGCGCTTCAAAATTTCAAAAAAAAAACGGGTCTAATTTAGGCTAGATTTGTTGCTGTTTTGTTATTATTCTTGTTAGCTTCAATAAAATATTCCTAACCTCGCAATAACGTTTTGCAAAACAATTTGCTCGTTTCTCATCGAGTTTTTCATATTTTGAACGAATTTTCATTGTTCAATTTAAAACAAACTAAAAAAATGCAGATTGTTACGCCGAAAAATGGAGCCGCCGGATGAAATGAGCAAAGAGCCGGAGAAGGTGAAACAAAAACACGTTTTCATGCAAAATGAGTGCGAAAAATGGTGAAAAAACTCGATCGATTCAAAATTTTTATTGCGCAATGAAATCCGCTCTTTTTTAAGCCAAAATAGGGCAACAACACGGAAAATTTGTGTCATTTCCGACGAAAGTCCGAATTTCCACTTCCGCGGCCCAAAAAAGAGTTGTTTTATGGGTCCCTGGCGCCAAATTTATAAGAATTTCCATCGGGAATCTCAGTTTTGTTCGCCGTCGTCCGAACGAGGCCAATTGTCTCGAGAGAGTGCTTGAATGCGTATCCACAAGAAGCAGAATTCTCATGATTCTCAGCCTTTCTCTCCTTTTTTTATACGTCTTTAGATACAAATAATTGTGGAGCGCGAGCAGAGAAAAACGCGGAAAAGTGTGTATTTCCTACGCTTTTCAGCTCCGTCGCATTTATTTTATTTTTTGTTGCTGTGCTGCGTGTCAGGAACCTCAGACTTCCTCCTCCTTCAGCGTTATAAGGATTTATGAAAAGTTCCCGAACATTCTGAAGCAGTTCTTCAGAATAATCGATGAGCTTATTAGCGTTTAGTAATGGATACTTTTCCCGGGGAATAAAGTTCTCGGGTAACGTTTTGTAGACTCGTTTTTCACAGCTATGGTTGAATTCTATTAGAAAATCATAGATGTCTTCAAATGTTCCACAATGGGCCTAATTTGAGTAAACAGGAGAATCACGGAATCCTTTTTCACCTTTTGAAAGTAAGGTGTTTGATGTTTTCTATGCTTTGAATTCTATGCTAATTTCCTATAGAAGTCAACAAGTTTTACCAATGGAATAGCACGAATGTCAACTAACTGTTCTGAATAAGCTCAATAAGAAATGTTTATGAATCTTGATAGGTTTTACTTGTATTATAATACTTTTGCATTCAGAAAAGTTAGCTCTCTCGTTCGCTTTAACGACTTTTGCTTTTTACAACATTCTTCGATTCTGCATAGCCTTTTCCTGAGCCGATTCAAAAAGTGCAGCGTCTCTTCCGATCATTCTCTAGTATGGAATTCGTTCGGAAAAATTAGCATAATCGGAAAATCGCTTTCTTTGAATACATAGAGAAAAGAGCGTTTGAAGTGTGTTCCTGCTTCACTCAAGAGTTTTTTAGCGTTCATTCTGACCTCCCTTGTAAGTGATTCGATCGAGAATTTTACGGAGAATTCGAATCTGCTCTTTATTTTTGCTGAACCTTACTGGCTTACGAGAAAAGTTCCACAGCAAATGTTTATTTTTTAAACAACGAAGCACTAACGCTAATGACTAATGGAATATTCGATACCTTTTCTTGTCTACTCTTACTTTCTCTCTCCGTTTTCAGCTATTCATAGACTACTGCTCAGTGCCACGTGTCACTTTTGATAAACGAGCCAAACAGAACCGTTTGATCCTTTTTGCATTGGGAAATGAGCCCATTTCCCGTGGCGGTCCCCCGTAATTACCTCGCAGGTGGACCCCTCTCGGTTGCCCCTCTCAACGAATCCCTCATCCATTTTGCCGAGAAAGCAAAAACATTTTTATTTTAAGGCCGCTGCTCCTGCTCCTGCTCCGAACTCGGATGACGTCATCGGCACGAAAGACGGCGAAATGTATCTAAATGGAAATTCGCCCTACTATCCGGGATTCTATCCGAATCGATTTGTAAGTGCGCACCAACGCGCCACCAAAATGAGCGAAAATGTTGCATTTCCACAAAACACTATCCCGATTCCCCGGCAAAAAAAAAACTCTGTTTTCCCACATTTGCCAACTTTCGCATTCCCATGCCTTCGGATTTGAAGCGAATAGAAAGAGGTGTCTCGTGGTTTGGACATGAGATGCTCGCGGAGCACACACACACACACACACACAACTAATTAATTTGGTCCCCGAGCCCGTCGACGCCTCGTTTCTCACATTTTTCCTGAAAATTCGATATTTTCCGCTCTATTATGAGGGGTAGAAGTAAACATTTCTGTTCGCTTAAAAACACAAAGTTCGAAATGTGAAAAATGTGTTTATTGTCCGACCGAAAAAAGAGATTTTATTATCCGCGCACTGGTGCGTGTACTGCTTTCTTGCTTTGTTGCTCCCTCTCTCTCTCCCTTCCAATTCATCATCTTCCTCTTCTTCTTCTTCTTCTTCATCTTTTTCTGCTCACTTCTTGTTAGATTCTTATTCGAACAACAAAGAAAACTTCTTTTTTTCTCGTTATTCTCACGTTCGCTTAACCTTTTCCCCACTTTTCCCGCACGCATTTCCGTTTTCTGCTCGTTCTGTGTGTCTCGAAACGAAACGGCCAGTTTTTTGAACGCTGAAAACACTTTGAGGCCAGAAATCACTCGAAATCGTTAAAAACCACTTTATTAGCGATTTTTTTTCAAAAATTGAGCCATCCGGTTCAAACATTGTCTGTTTAACGCAATTTTTACAATAAAAACTCGGCGGTAGAGCGCGATTGCCAAACTTTAGCGAACCTTCGTCGAAAAGCGTCGTGTTTACCCGTTGCGCTCAAGCAAAAGAAGGACATTCTCTGCTTTTTCACACTATCAATTGATGTATGGAATTCGAGAGTGAGAGAGCACACTCCTCCTCTCACTTTCACTTCTTCTTCTTCTTTTCGAGAACACCCACTCGTTCGAGGGCCTTTTTTTTTGTGTTTGTAAACCAAGAAGTGCCCAATTAAGCCATTGTTGTCCGTTTTCTCGCCGCCCAATCGCGAAAAGAGCGGGTAATTGGTGGTAGCCATGACAACCGTGTCTCGAAACGAATTTTGCACATTCTCCTTTCTTTTGACTTAATTTTGTTCGTTGCCCTGGCACGTTTTGCAAGACACTAATCGGCGGTCCAAAATAATAGAACTGGGCACAATATAACTCTTTTTGAGTATTTATATGAGCATTTTGTCCGTTCCTTTCAGTTAACTTTCGCAAAATTGTTCGTCTCTCGAACAATTAAGCAGAAGACCACAGTTTGAACCTAGAAAATTGGTTTCCATTCGTTTTTGATAGTACAATAAAACTATTTTCTGTGGGTTTTCGTTACCGTAGAGAAGAGGGATCACGATGGAAGTGAAATTAGTGAATGCAATAAATCGATCACAGAAATTATCTTTTTCTACGAAACAATTATTCTACAGAAAGGTTTAAAACGCGCTCGTTATATTGTGTCGCGGTTCTATTCTGCACAGTTCTATTATGTTGGACCGCCCACTAAATTTCCGAAAAATAAGACCGCTCTAGCGTGGCCGTGGCCGAGCTTTTTCGGAAGTTCGGCCACGACCACACCGATGTTTTCAGCTGCCGTTCGCATCGACATCCGTGCAGGCGACGACGTCTTCGGCCGCGGCGTCGTCCTCCTCGCCGCCCACGCTTTCCGACGGAAGACACCTGCAAAACGGAGGGCAATATCGGCAGCAGAATTCGAACAATTTCAACTCGAATCATGTGATCAGCGATACGGTTGCAGTCGCCGGCGACGATCTGAGCAATGTTCCCGCCGCTGTTATCATACAATTGGGTAGGACTTTTCGACGAATTTCTTATTTCCAGCGGGAAACCGCGAAAATTCAATGAAAAACGGCTGTTTCTTAATTTTGGGGTTTTAATCGATGAAAATCGTAAAAATCGAAAAGAATTCCGAGAAATTCTCTCCACCGCAATTTTAGCGCAAAACTCGATCACGGCCTCGAAAAAACTCATTTTTCTTTCAGAAAGAGCAAATCGAACGATCGCCGCGCAAAATGTGGAACTTGATCGGCTCAAAACGTTCCAAAATCAGAATATAGAGACGCATTTGTTGCGGAAACAAATTGCGGACCTCGAAAAAGAAGTGCGAACGAGTCGGGAGCGATTTCTGGAGCAACAAGAGCTGCTGGCCGAGATGAGCCGCGAAATGGACAAAATGCTCCGCGAGAAGCACCAAATGCAGCACAATTACCAGGAAGTGGAGAAAAAGTACAAAAAAGCAAAGTTCGCGAGCCGAGAACTCGCAAAAATACTCGAAAACGACTTGTGCGGCACACCGACGACTTCAAAAGCGATCAGTGGATTCGAGTCGGACGACGAGGCGAACGAAGGACTGTTTGGGCGGTCGCGGGCGCTGAGCCGCCAGCAGGAGAGCCACGAGTTGCGGGCGAAAGCCGACAGAGTCGTCGAGCAGGCGGAGCTCCGGAAGCAGCGGGAAGGCGAGAAAGTGATGGAGAAAATACTGGGCGAGAACGAGAACCTGCAGCTCGAGCTGCAGAGGGAACGTCGGATCAACGAGTCGCTGCAGGACGACCTCGAGACGAATCGACGATTAGTTTTCGATCGGGACGAGACGATCGAGGGGTTGCGGGCCAAGCTGGGGAAGGCGGAAGCGAAGGCGACACAGTGCGAGACCGATCTCTCGAGGACCAGCACCGATCTGGCGTTGGAACGCGCTCGGTGCGACGCGTTGACGCTAGAGCTCCACGAGTTGGACGCCATCTTCAATCATGTCAGTTTTTCAGAATTTTTCTAAACAAAAAGATTAACGTTTTTTTTCAGACGCAGTCGACCGTTCAAGCATTCGCCATCGAAAACGAGGATCTGGAGGAGAAGTGCCGAGACGCGCACAAGACGATTTTGACGTTGAACGCCAAGTTGTAAGTGCTCTAAATCGATGTTCTCGTTCCGACAAGAGACCATTCAGAAATGACTGTCCTCTGTGCTGTCCTTGTGAGTTTTCACAATCATTAGAGAATGATCCATTGCAAAAAAGGTTTTGCGGAACATGATTTATATGGGTCGAAAGATCTGAACGACAGTATTCCAAAAGGTCGGCAGCAAAATTGAAAAACATTATTATAATTCTTCGGTTAAGATCTTTTGACCCATGTGAATATTGTTTCAGATAACTCACCAAAGTTGTGTAGCACCAATAGCACAGCTTTCATAGTCGCTAGTAGTTGATGACCTAGAATCCGACACAATTCTTCCATTTTTGCAGAGAAGCGCAAGGAATGGACCTGGCGACGACGAAACGGACGCTCCGAACGATTCGAGATGCGAACGAACAGAGAAGTGGACCGTACTAGGAGAGGCCACGCCCCCCCCCCTTTTTTCCCAAAAGATCTGTAATTTATGATGCTCACAATCACAATGGAAATGAACTAGTCATGTTTATTCGAACATTTACAAACATTTACAAGAAAAAAAACAAGCTGCTTCTTTTTGCACTTTTTCCGACAGTCTCAAAAATGTGAACTCCTCATCACTTCAACACCAATTTCGTCTGCTCGCTCACTCCGAACCGTGTCTTGTGCGCGTCGAACAGTTGGGTGAGGTTCCGCACGTACTCCTGGTGCAACTCGTCGATTTGCTCTTTGCTCGGATTCTCCACTTTCGCCACGTGGATCGGCGCCCCGATCACCGTATCGATCGGTTTGCGGAACGGCAAATAGCCGAAGGTGAGCTGGAGAAAGCCGCGGCCGTGGAAAATCGGGTACGAAATGCCGAGAAACCTCTTGGACCACTCTTGGAAGTTGCGAAGTTTCGATCCGATCGGATTGTCCATCTGCTCGAAGACGTCGTTCTCGCCGAACGAATAGACTGGGACCAGGGAGGCGCCGGTGAGAAGGGCCTCGCGGACGAATCCCTTGCGGGAGGCCAAAGTGAGCACGTGATAGCCGGGATGCGCGTCGAGAGCTTCTTCCGCGCCGCCGATCACCAGCACGACCGCCCGTCCCCTCTCGCCGCTCTTCTCCAGAACGTACTCGATGCTCTCGCGCGAGCAGTCAATGAGGCCGGTGAGCAGCAGCAGTTCCCGGCGGATCGCCATCGTGAAATTGATGGCCAGTGTGCACAGATTGAAGCGCACGCCCGGAAACTTTTCGTAGATGCCCGTGCCGTTCGTCGCGAAGTTCGCCCACGCGGCCATCGCGATGATTCCGTGTGGATGACAGCCGATCAGGTAGTTCCGGTCCGGTGGCAGCTCGGCCGTCTTGTGCAGGTTTATCGGAAAGTACTGCGCGAACCAGTCGTTGATTCGCCATCTGGAAATTCGAAAATTTTCGCGGTCACTTTAAACAATCTCGCTTTTCGCAATTTTTGTGCATTTTCTCACCGGAAATTTGTAAAATTCAGCGCAAATGGATGTTTGCTCGTTTTCGACAAGAGATTTGAATTTTGCTGCCATAGAATTTCTTCGAAATGGTAAACGCGACCGCAATTCGTGTCATAGGGGTCATAGCTTCATTTTTGAAAGCATAATACGTGAAAAAGGAAAATAGTGCGAAAACATTGGTGGAAACCGAGCTCCACCGCAATTCTCGGCAAAAACTCGGCGTCGGCCACCGAAAATAACCAACCTGCGGACCCATTCACTCGCGTAGCCGCCTTGCTTCGGCGAATTCTTGTCGTACGCGTACCAACACGCGTAGAGCGCCAAAATGTGCCATTGGAAAGTGAACAACTGCAAGTTAAAATTGAAAATGTTGGCATATGATATGCGCTCTATCGCAAACTCACGAGAAGAAACGGTAGAATTGTGCAGAAAAGGCCGAGTGGATAGGTGAGAACAAAGTGATAAACGACGCCCAAATACGATTTTTTGCGCTCCAACGACGAGAAAATGTCGATCCATTCGACGCCGAGAAATTGCGGCATTCTGAAATTTACACCGATAAGGTTACTACTCTCAGCGCCTGTGGAGCAGAGTGCTCGCGAGGAACAGTGGTTGTTCTTTTGAAATTTTAAAGTAAACTAAAAGACCGAAAGTTCGAGTCCATCGCGGCGGAAAACGTTTTTGCATAGTGAAAATCGATAACTGCTATCATTTTTACTACAATTATAGGCGCATAACTTGGAAGAAAACGAGTAAGAACAAAAATACGTTGATTGATCGCAGAACGAGATGTGAGAGAAAGAGGCGAGGAGAAAGAGAAGGATCCAAAGTACACGGGGGTTCCATTGGGTGTAAACATCGATAAGATAAGAGCGAAAAAGAGGAGAATGACGATTAAACTCATCTTTACACCCTTCCGTTCAAAGAAACAATCTCGCTCGGCTACAGTGTAGTCAACCAGTTTTGATCTACAATTGAACTATTGTCAGTGTAGACATACTTGTCAAGAACCGAAAAAGCAAAGCTAAAAATCATTCTAAGGTTTAAAATTAAGCTAAAAATCACCGAACCTGAACACTAAAAATGGTTTTGTCTCAGAGCAATATTTCTCAGCTGTGGGTAGAGATATCAAAAAGTTGTCAACTGGTCAAATGTTCACTAGAAAATTCTGTACATTTTTGCAGTTGACCACTTTTTGATATCTCTGCAGACAGCTGAGATACATAGGTTTGAATGAACAACAGTACGGAAGTTGGCAAGGGAACAAAAGTATACAATGAGGTCAAATTTTCTTTTGACCTATTCTTAGACCAAGAAAAAGACCATCTCTTGCGTGTAGCCTACACCATAGTTCTCCGACCAATTGTCATAAGTGAACGTACTTTGTACCCCTCACTTTCTTATCTGACCACTCATTCGTTATTATATTGTACTTTTTTCTCAAAACTTTGCTTTTCTTCCAGAAAAAGACAATGCCAACGCTTTTCGGAATCGAATGGATCGACATTTTCTCGTCGAAAGAGCGGAAAAAGACGTACGCCGGCCTCGTGGCTCACTTCTTTCTCACCTATCCAATCGGCAATCTGTTGGTGTTAATGCCCGTTTTTATGGTGAGGGTCTTGTTGCGAAAATGTTTTTTAAAAAACTACTATCGAGGCATTATAACGTAAAAGTTGAGAATTTGCGCGCACAAAATTCTCAACAGAGAAAGGTTCAGTTTCAAAACGATATATCACAGCTGGCAATAGAGATATCAAAAAGTTGTCAACTAATCAAATGTTCGTTCAGAAACTTAGAACATTTTGTCAGTTGACCACTTTTTGATATCTCTGCAGACAGCCGAGATGCATCGAATCATTCAGATACTGTCGGTCCACTGGTACCTGATCGGTGTCTACATTGCCTGGTACCTCTTCGACAGACGGTCCCCGTCGAGCGGCGGCTACTCGAGCCAATTCATGCGTCGACTGACTGTCAACCAGTGGTTCGCCGGCTACTTCCCCGCCCGCGTCCATAAAACGGCCGAGCTCTCCGCGGAGCACAACTACATCCTCGCCTACCATCCGCACGGAATCATATCGATGGGCTCCTGGGTGAACTTCGCCACCAACGGCTCCGGAATCATGGAGAAGGTAAGCGCCAGATAATTCTGAAAATCTCCTGAACTTTCAGTATCCGGGTCTCGACTTCTCGCTGTGCACGCTGGCGATGAACTTCCGGATTCCGTTCCGTCGCGAGATGCTCCTTGTGTTCGGTTGCATCGATTGCTCGCGCGAATCCATCGAATACGTGCTGACGGGGACCGAGAAGGGAAGGGCCGTTGTGCTGGTGGTCGGTGGCGCGGCAGAAGCACTGGATGCGCACCCCGGAAGACACGAACTGACGCTCAAGAGTCGGAAGGGATTCGTGAGAGAGGCTCTCATCACTGGCGCGCACCTGGTTCCGGTCTACTCATTCGGAGAGAACGACGTGTTCAGACAGGTACGGGGATGGCCTAGGTTTCGCCCGATTAGGCCACGTTGCGTTCAGGTCGAGAATCCGGTCGGCTCGACACTCCGCAGATGGCAAGAGTACGCAAAGAAAGCGATGGGAATGTCGTTGCCGATAGTGAAGGGACGCGGATTCCTGCAATATTCGGTCGGATGGCTGCCGTTCCGACGCCCGATTAACACGGTGATCGGCGCGGCGATCCACGTCGACCGGGTCGAGCATCCGAGCAAAGAGCAAATCGACGAGCTGCACCGGAAGTACGTACAGCGGCTCACGGAGCTGTTCGAAGAGCACAAAGAAGAGTTCGGAGTGGAGAAGGATGTTCGGATCTTGTTGAAATAAAAATGTCGTGAAATTGTGATTGTTTCTATTAAAGTTCCAGGTCGCACGGTCTCCAGAGCTGACAATGGACGCAAGTGCGGCGCCCGCCCAATAGAGCGATACATTGGGGCGAAATTCAAATTATTAACAGCAAAATTTGCGTTTTTTGCCAGATTAGCCACGAAAAACCGATAATTTCTCATTTTTCTCTCGATAAACCGATTGTATAGGCTATTACGAATTTTTTAAGCGAAAAAGCGTCAAATTTGGTCAAGTCGCAAAAAACATTTATCCGTTTGAAGGTTTTTTGGCTAAAACTGCGTGAATTTCAGTTGCTTTTCGGTAGTTTTCGCGGTTCGAGCGCTAAAAATGCTTGTATTTACGTGATTTATCATTCTAAAAACCAATTATGTCTGAAAACGGTCAAGAAAGCGCAAAATGAGAAGTGCGGTTTTTAGGCGGCGATCGGCGGCGAAGGCGAAAAAGCAAAATCCGCGAAAAATGCGCCAAAACGTCATAAATTCTGAGAATTAGTGTTTTTTCATGTCGAACAATCATTTTTCATCGCCGTTGACCACAAAAATCCGGGAAAACCTGCTCAATTCATGAAAACGCCATTTGGCCGCCCCGAGGCCACGCCCATATTGTCAGCTCTGGAGACTGTGGGTCGGATCATCATCCTTAAAACAATTATGCATGCTCAATTCGTGTTGGAAGTGGGAGCAAGGTTTCCAAAAAACACTTTATTTATTGGTCCAAGATCATCCGGCGGCCTTCCAAATCCGCTTCGCCAGTCTCTTCACCTCGGTCCTCGTTTTGTGCGGGAACTTTCCCTCCAGCGCCCGCCGCTGCTTCTTGTACTCGGCAAAGTCCTGATTGAATGCGGGCCGAAACGCGCGCGTCGGTCGGAACGCCGAAAGGATGCGCTTGCGGAGACCCAGTCGGAACACGGTGGCCATCGAGCAAAAGAGCACCGGGAAGAGGGCGAAGCGGGCGACGAGCACGCCGTTCGCGTACATGTCGTAGAGCACCGGGAGCTGGAAGAGGAAATGCATTGTTGGGTGTTCTGTCGGATGAATACTCGTTCTGTCCACTCGATTCACCCTCGCACAACGATGAAAACTGACAAAGAGACACAAAATGCACGCATAAACAGTTTTGCGAGTTTCTTGTTGCTCTTTGCCAGTTTTGATCACAAAAAAACGCATTTACAAAGAGAGCGATCAAGATGAATCAGTATGGGTGGCCTAGGATCCGACATACCATCGAGAACAGCGGCAACACGTATTGCAGATAAATCTCCATCGTTTTGCGCTTATTGTACACCTTCAATCGCCGCATCTTTGTGACGGACTGAAAATAAAAAAGAGTGGTGGTCTTTGGGATTTGCTCGTCCATACAATGAGAATTGCAAACAAGCGTCGATAGCGGATTGTGTTAAAGGCCAAAATTTGCAGAAAAACCGTGTACGGAGCAACCAGAAACGGCACCTGAGGGCTCTTCTGAAAATGTGCTGGCCTTGAAAAAGCTAGTCCCCCCAAAGATACTCACGTCGAGGAAAAAGTGAAGAGAGAGAAGGGCGACAAAGTGAAAACTGAGCACTTTGTAGCGGATCACAAATTGCGGGAGACGTACGGTGCTCCGAAAGACGCGGTAAAACGAGCCGACCGTCGCCTCGGCCATCAACATCTGCGTGGGTGGTGGACGAGGTTTTGCGTCGGGTGAAAAGTTAGGCCGCCTACCAGACTCGAAAACTGCCACGCCGTAAAAATGAGCATGAAGGCGATGAGCCACAGTTTGAAGGCGGCACTTTGGAAGAAGAAGACGTAGAGAAAGTGGTAGACGTTCTCGTCGTTGAATAGCAAATTTCCTGAGAGAGAGAGAGAATTTTTGCAGGAAAAATGTGAAAAACTGCAATGAATTATCGATATTTTGACCGCTCGAGTGAGTTTACATAGTTTCCCTGTCTAAAATGCACGGTCTCCCAGGGGGCGCTAATGCTAAACACAGTGCGCTCGAGAATTGCGGAGTGTCGTTGTAACTTTTGAAAATTTGCAGCTCTAAAAATGCAGTTCAATTCGAGTTTACGACCTTTATTTCTTTCTTTTTGACTTGAAAAACGTCTAGAAAACAATATTTTACTGATTGGAAACCGTTCTTTACAGAGTTTAGAGTTTTTCATGTTTTTAGCGTCTTTTTCGCATTTCGTCAAAACTTCAAACCTTTATATTTCAGCTCATTTTGCATTTCATGAGCCCAACGAACGATAAAAATGTTCGCTGAATCTTTCTTCACAAAATTCAGGTTCCGGCGGTTAGTTTTCTTGAGCAGTTTTCGAAAACTATTCGAAAAACATCAAAATCCAGGCCGAAACCTTCAAATCGAAATAACTCGGCTAATTCTCAACGATATGCGAGATTTCTGTTAGAAAAACGTAGCTAGTGCTCTAATTATTCAAATCCAGGTTCCAGGCGTACAAAAAATAAGTGTATTGTACAGAAAACATGGAAAGAACGCGAACTCCCGTTGAAAGTTAATTAATCGGCCGCCGCGTAAATCGGCACAGCCCGCCTGTTGCAAGTGCGCCCCATTGAAATCTTTCGCACCGTGGGAGACCGTGAAATGTCGATTCTCAACTCAATTTTTTAAAAATTTCATCTTAACAACGCTCAATTTCCGAAAAGTACGGTATACGGTAGCGTTAAAGGCGCAGGCTCAAATTCGCCAATCTTTTTGCAGCGAAAAACCCGAAATGCGTGTAAAGTTTCTCACTGTACTCGACGACGGTCATCGTGCGCTTCTCGATTGCGGCAAAATGAATGCCGGCGCCGACGACGGTGGCCATGCCGAACACCCAGCCGAACATGAGACACGCGGCCACACTGCCGATCACCGTCCGACGCATGTCCCGCAGCAGATCGTTCTGGAAGCGGTTCACGGCGCCGGCCGCGTAGAAACTTCCGTCCGTCGTCGAGAATATAATGAACGATTGGATGGCCGCAATTGCCCACGTCTTAATCTCCAACAGCTTCGACGCGTCCGCTCCGATCACCTAAACGAGAGAGGTTTGGGTGCAGTGCTTCACTGCAGCTTTATGGGGCTTTTTTTTCGCTTTTTTACATCGCTGATTCGAATTCGATTTTTTGACGTTAAAAACAAAAAAAACCGAAAAACAATCATTTTTTCACAGCCTGATTAACCCCATTAGCGGGAAAATTCTAAACATTTTGCAAAACTTCAGATTTTTTGCAGGCGCTCAAAAAAAAAACGACGGACCCTCACAAAAATGGTGGCCTGCTGGTCCCACTCGCCGACCATGTACACGCCGACAACGGTGCACGAGAAGATGGCGCCGAAGAAGACGACGTGCTGCGTGCGCGTGAAAAACGTTTTGATGCCGATCAGGGCGACGAAGAAGAGGGCGATCGCGTAGACGGTGGCCGCCGAAATGTAGTGAGCGTCCTGGTAGATCGGGTTGAACACTCTGCAAGTGTGGCGTAGAAATCTCGCAAAAGTTGTTGGGCCATACCTATCCGGCGGAGTGTCGGCTGTTGCGAACGCGGAAATCGTCGGATCGTCTTGGAGAAAGTTGCGAAAGTTCTCGAGCAAATTCTGGCGATACGACTGTCCAAAGTGGTGGTGGGTGTCGGGATTATAGCACGTTCCCTCACGGAACACCTCTCCCGGCGGACACACGTTCACAAAACCGTCTGAAAGCGGGCGGCGCTTAGATTGTGGCGAGTTCATCCGAAATAATGTGCTCACTCAAATGGCCGGGAACATTGGATGCTCCGCGGAACGGGGGCCGATCGGCGACCAACGAATAGAACAGTTCGAATCCCATCGAAACGAAGCGGTGATCGAAGCGGACCGTCGACGAGGTGATGTATTGGACGAGGAAGACGAAGAGTCCGAGCGAGAAATTGATGGGAGCGAGTCGGGGCAGAAGGACCGCCGGCGGCATTGTCGAGAATTGAGACAGGAAATATTGGATGAAGTTGACGGGGAATGCGATGAGGAATGTGGAGAGCAGGAATGGAATCAGAAAGTACCCTGCAAACACACGGATTCACAGGATCTTTGACTGAGCGCCGAGAGTTTGGATTCGAAAAGTGTGTTGCCAAACTCACATCCTCCGTAGCGCATCATGACGAAGGAGAGCATGATCGCGTGCGAGATGTTCGTTCCGGCCATGATGGTGAAGAAGCGGCCGCGCCTCCGGTCGTGGACCGTCTGCCGCGGGATCGCCTGCTCGTACGCGCCCCTCACGACCCTCCATCCGTCGACCGCATCCGTCGGCGGCGGTCGCCTTCCGTTCGTCGGCGACTTTGGCCGCTTCGCCCTCTTCCGAATCGTGTAGTACGTCGCGTCGAGGTCCTCGTCGTTCAGCTCCAGATGCTCGCATTCAAAGTACTCGTCGAGCACCTTCGCCGCCTCTTTTTCCACCCATTCTTGCACGTTCGTCTCCCGTTCCACCTCTTTTTTGCGCGGCCAACACAGGATTGGCGGGCGGGAACTGGAAAACTGACTTTTTTAGTCTGGAAAAGGCTGAAATTCGCGAGGTTTTGCTCGAAAATTCACAATTTCCCGCCAAAAGTGCGGCAGTGCGCACTTGCGAGTTGCAAAACGGACCTTCTGAAATAGTCGAATTGTTTTGCCAACTCACTTCTTATTCTCCTCAAAAAGCGAAGCGTAATCGGCGGAATCCTCGGAAATGGTGTCCGAAAGCTCTTCGCTGTCGTCACTTTCATCAGCTTGCTCCGCTTTTCGGTCAATTCGATTTTTAGACATGTTCAAGACGATAGATGGTTTCGTTGTTTAGGAAAATATGAAAGCACTTTTTTATTTGTATTCAGGGCAACATTTTCATGTGCAAAAGGTCACGGGACGGACAAAAATTAAATAATTTCAATGGATACTGTGGCAACGGACACGGTACATCTTCTCCGGCTTTCTCTTCAGCGTCGGCGTGCATTGGACGACGATTTGGCCGTTCGGGAGCACTTTCAGACGTTGCCCGTATTCCCTGAAAATGGTATGCGCCTTTAAAACTACCGTAGGCCCAATTTGAGTTTTTGCACTTTTTTCCCGGAAATTTGGTTAGAAAGTACGCATTTACCGGAAAAAATCGCAGAAAAATCTAATTTTGCTCAGTTTTAGCCAAAAATAGCGTGCTGCGCCTTTAAAACTACCGTAGTCGCAACTTGCCGGCACTCTTGGGTTTTTGCTCAATTTCATTCCAAAAAAGTCTGCAAAACCTGTTTTCCTTACAAAATTCCTCAGAATAATGCATTTTTTCGGTGAAAAACCGATCATTCATATTTCTGGAATAAAACCTGTGCAAAATCACAATGCGCCTTAAAAATTTCAAGTTTTTAGCAGAAAAGTCGTAGTGCGTCTTCAAATTGTACATTTTAAGTGAAAAAAATCAAACTAACTTTTCGGCCTTGAGCAGAAAGACGAGTTTGCGATAGAAATGGCTCTGGAGCAACATTTTCGCGTATTGTCAATGTGCGGAACGAACGAAAGACTGACGGACTCGGAAATTCTGGGCGGAAGGCGGGCACGGATGTACGAATTAATCGGGTTAGTCACAGAGCAAATTTTATTAGAGCAAATTGTGTTTTTTGCAAGAAAATCTTGCTCGAAAGACGGAAATTTGATTTGTTTTTCGTCGCATTTACAGTCTTTCAGATTTTCAGCCAAAACGAACGAACAAACAAACAAAATGGGCGTGGCTTTTTCTACATTTTAATCTTCTTTTTATTGATCGCTCTCGCCAGAATCAGTTTCGAGCGCGCCTCTTCGAACTCCATCAGCACTTTGATGATTCGTTGATAAAAGTCGGAGCGTAATCTGAAAAAGCGAGTATGGCCTAGAAAAAGCTAGTCCCTTCCTGACCCCATATCGGCCATTTTCGATCCGTATTTGAGTTGGTACAAAATGTCGCGCGCCATGTAATGACGTGATTGAGAAACACACGTGCATTCGATTCGGACGATTCCCGATGGTTGGCTGTCGATTCCGGCACGTTCCATCGGGTTCTATAAATGAATTTTTATCCATAAATTATCGATATCGACACAATTTACCTTTAACGAAAAATAATCGACATCGACCGCCTGTCCGACGAACATTTCGTACAAAGCGTTGTGGCTAATCGGGCGCCACAGAGCGATTTTGGATTTGGATCTAAAATAGGAAAGTTTTATCGATAATAATAATCGATAAAATCGGTCGAAAGCGGCCATTTCGTTAGCGATAGAGCGCGATTGCAGCCTCAACGTCATCATTCGTTCAAGAGGATGTATCTCGGCTGCGCGTGAAGCTATCAAAAAGTTGGCAACAGATAAATTGTACAAAATTTTTTGATACACATTTTTGTTGTTGACACCTTTTTTATATCTCCACCCGCAGCTGAGATATACTGCTTTGAACAAAAAAGACACAATACCTGCCAGGCGTGAACGAGATGAAAGCGGATCCGTATCCGGCGATATATTGTCGTCCCCAATAGTCGACCGCCATTATTTTCAGCATTAAAATCGGCGAAACTTCTTCGGTTTGCGCCGTTTCGAACACAAATTCCAGACAATATCCAAAGTGCGCGTTTCCGTTCTCGTCCGCCGCAAATCGTTGCGATCGCCCCGTCGCATTTTTCGATTTGAGTCGAACGCCACGTGGCAATCGGATCTTGTAGTCGATCGTCAGACCCTCCTCGAACAACAGCGACCACGCTTTGGCTGCGAAAATCGATATTATGCATTTCGAAAGGAGCAGTGAAATTTACCGATTTCCACGTTGACTACAGACTCCACAAGCCCGTCGCGTGCCGCTAAAAAGTGCTCCGCTTCCGGAAGACTGCTCTGTAAAAACAACGTGCGAAACGTCGATTGGAAAAAGTGGAAACGGACAATAGAAACTCTTGATTTTCGGCTCCGACCACCAATTTGCTCGTCAATCCCGGAATCTTTGTCCTTGTCCCGGTCCTCAATTTTGATTTTGGCTAAATAGTCGCCGAATTTTGTCTCAAGAGGAATTCCCTCGTTTTGGGCCTCGTCTAGACACGGTTCGACAATCAGACGATTGCTGGAAGTGGCCGTCAGACGGGCGATCAGTTCGACTGCCGATGGATCGCTGAAAATTGCCAATATTGTAGGCTTAGAAGATATTGCATAGCTCGATAAAATTGTTTTGGAGAATCTCGACATCTAGTAGAACATTTTTGTAGTTTACCATTTTTTGGTACAACCACCCCTAGGGCTACTGTAGCCTTTGGAAAATATGACTAGTTTCTTAAGAGCCCTAACTTCAAAGAACTACAGTAGTCCAGAGAGTGGTCGCAGAAAAAAGTGGTCAACTACAAAAATGTTCTACAATACGTAAAAATTTTACAAAACAATTTTGAGAGCCATACAATATCCCGTAAGCCCACAATACTCATTCAAACCGGACTCACTCAACATCCATCGATCCGAGCCGCGCAAAAATGAGCAAGTAGCTTTTTTTGACGACCGGACGCGTGGCGGCGGTGCTTCGGAGGACCACAAACTCATTGACAGGGTACCTGCAACAATTCTATGAAATTTTGTTTTAATTTGCGAGCTCACTCGTATCCCTTCACATTTTCCGGCTCTTTCTCATTCGGCGGCGGTCGGAATGCTTCGAGATACTCGGGGAACGGATCCTCATCGCTCAGGGTGAATATTCGACGATTACTGAAACACGGGCCTAGTTTCAGAAAAGCGAAAAACTCGGCCCCACCTCTGTGAAATGCGCTGTTTCCATCCGAAAGTGACGTCGTCGAGCCGCGATTTTTGCGGTTTTTCGTCAATTTGATTCTCCTGATGAAATCGATCGAAATCGAGCGTTTGCGCGCCTTTTTGAAAGAGTTGCACTCTGGAAAAGTGGAAAAGTTTGCGAAAATTGAAAATCCGAAAACTAACCTGATAGAAAGTCTATCGATGGGACCGGAAAAGCCGAAAACACTCGAATAACGTGGCATTTAGAGAGTGAGTGAGTGCAATGGAAAAGGAAAAGAAGGGGAAGAGAGAGAGAGAGAGAGCGTGGGCGTCATGGCAACCGAGTATTGACGTTTCGTGGACAAATGTTGGCTACGTTCTCTCCAGGCCATGGTTGCTGGGAACGGATTCGGTTATATTTTCGTCAGAGCTTTGAGAAGACAGCTAGAACAGCCTGTTACAGTCCGGGTAAAGGCGGAAATTACTAGACTGGAGCACCGTAAGGACTGGCTCGTTCCATCGGATTCCACAGGGTTCATTTTCCTACTTTTCACGGAACCCCAGCCTTCCAATAAAAAATTCCCTTGGCACGCAATTCACGTGCGCTAAACAAGGCGCGTAACGCGTAATTCCGGAGCGTCGTTGTAGAGTTTCTCATTTCAATTTTCTCTTTTTTTTGCATTATCCCCATCTTTTTAGAACTAATCAGTGTCAAAACTTGTGATAATGATTAGAAATGAATAAAAAATAAAATTTTAACTGCTTCGTCATCAATTTCGAAACGTTTTATGTGAAAATTACAGAATTTTTTCCTTTTAGAATCGAAAATTTGCCTCAATTATCTCAATTCTGTATATTTTTCGACGGTTGAGCGCTTAAAAGATGCGCAAGAAACTGCTTGTTGACTGGACGGTTCGAATGCCAGTGTCCGAACTCGATTCGGCAAATAATCGTTAAAACTCCGTTTTTTTTCAGTAGTTTTCGACGAAATCCCTCAATTTGGTCAATTCTGAACGAATCTGCTCCGTTTCGCGCTTAAATCGATGCTTTTAACTCAGACAATCGCCCTACGGTTCGCAACGAACAAAATTTGAGTGTTTATTAAGAGAAAAGCGAAAGAATTCTGATGTTCAATTGAAAAAAGAAACTCCGAGTCGACGGTGGATGCAAGCGCGCCCCATTGACAACTCGCTTGCGCATTGGAATGCTGGGGTTCCGTGCTTTTCGGGAGCTTCACGCGGAAAACGTAACCGCTCGACATTTGGAAGTGTAAACCAGAGCAGGAAAGATGTGGAGCAAGTGATAAGGACGTCTATAAAGGGGAAAACACTTCAGAGTTCTCAAGTAAAGAAGAAATGGCGCAATCGGTTCCGCCGGGAGACATCGCGACGCAGCCGAGCGCGAAGATCGTGTTCAACGCGCCGTACGACGACAAGCACACGTACCACATCAAAGTGATCAACTCGTCGGCGCGCCGTATCGGCTACGGAATCAAGACGACGAACATGAAGCGTCTGGGAGTGGAGCCGCCGTGCGGAGTGCTCGACCCCAAGGAGGCGGTCCTGCTCGCCGTCTCGTGCGACGCGTTCGCCTACGGACAGGAGGACACGAACAACGACCGCATCACCGTCGAGTGGACGAACACTCCGGACGGCGCCGCGAAGCAGTTCCGGCGCGAGTGGTTCCAGGGCGACGGGATGGTCCGCCGCAAGAACCTGCCTATCGAGTACAATCCCTGAGCGAGGGACCGGGACGACGACAGCGCATCGACTAGCACATGAAATCCAAGCGAACAAAAGTGAATTTGTAATAAAGTGTTTTGATTGAAATTTTAGAAAACGCGGTTAGTTTCGAAAAAACCGAAAATTCGACGGCCTAGAATGCCGAGCGATTCTTGCGGTTGCGAAGCGTCTGGTTGCAAAGTGGCATCGTGTAGGATCGTCCCAAGAGCCTATTTTCAGAATGTTTACCTCGTCCATCTTTACCGCACAAACACGCTTGCTTATCATTTGGCTCTGTTCGCTGCGTCTCTCGCCTCCGCACACTCTCTCGTCGTTCTCTGACGTCACACTGATCACCTCATGATTTTTGGCGTTGTTTTTATCGTTTTTAGTCGACGTGTCACACTTGAAATTATAAATACTCAAGTGTTTGGTGATTGCTTATCGAAAAATGAAGACGTTTCTTTTGATTTCTCTACTGCTCCTTCTGGCCACTTTTGAGTGCGTCAAGAAGCAAGAAAAGTGAGTGGTACCGTAGTCCTACAGTAATCCTTGTCCGTTTTCTTGTAGAACAGTTCACAAAGTGGTTTATATCGAGAAAGTGGCGCCCGCAGTTCCCAAACCGGTCAGTTTTTGGGTCTCGAACGGAAATACCATTATTTTAAAAGAGATTGCAGCTCTCCCAGTACGAGCAGTGCAAGCGGGAATGCCGAATTCAAAGGGACGCGCAGAGCAATGCGGAACGTGTGGAGCAGCTCAAAAAAGAGATCGACGAGGCCGAGGCGCTGCTCGCCGAGCACAATAAACACGTGGATGCTCCCGAGATTCCCGAAGAGCGGCAGGAGGGCTCTGGAGACAACACGGCAAAGCAAGGTAATCGGAAGAGCGCAAAAAGTTTAACATTTGAATTTCCTTGCAGCCAGTCGTTTCGATCATCTGAAAAGGGCGGCGAGCCGGATCGTGGACAGCGGCAGCGAGTTGAAGAACGCCATCACCGGCGGCGGAGACAACTAAATGACCCGATTCTTGTACATAAATAAATTTATGTTTGGATTTCTGGAGATCTTTTTTTTTGTTGGTAAATTAGAGTTAATTCGGACGTCTTCATCATATTCACGAGTCGAAGTCGTCGTCGGGTGCGTGTCTTTTCAGAATGCTCTGTTGCACTTGGTCGGCTCGCCAAACGGCCGTCGGCGGTTCGATTATGTGGCCGGGACGCGGGGCGCTGCTTTGTTGTTGTTGTTGTTGCTGCTGTTGTTGCGTTTCCGCTCTGAAACATTAATAGTTAAACACAGTGGATTTCGCGCCAAGACCACGACTCACTGTTGATACTCTCCGTCCGTCTTGTAGGTGACATTCTGCTGCAGTTGGCAGAATCGATCATTCGGCAGTTTCAGTCCGTAATTGTGTCGGATCGACGGCAGCGGCTGCTGATTTTTGTCGTTCGCCAGCTGGAGCATCCGTTCCCGGTCCGGCGCGCGCGTCGACAGCACTCCGAGCACATCGGCCGCCGTCTGCACGTCGTCCGAATCGATTTGCTGTTTGCTGGCGTGTCGCGACAGGCCCGACGCCATTTGCAGTACTTTTTGTGTCACCGTGTACTGGACCTGCAATATAATTGGGTAAAATAGCAGAAAAAGCATTGAAATTTTCAGAGCCGGGCCTGAATCTCTCTCTGTTGACTCACTTACAATAATCTGATCTGTCTCAAACTTTGCAGGCTTTTTGGACTTGGATTGAAGTATTTTGGGCCCAAGTTTCAGACAGACTGGGTTTTTCGGCATCAAACCGGTGTATCTCGGGACCAGATGATCCGATCGGTATGTAACTTGGTCCCAAAATACTTCACTCCAAGCCTAAGAAGCCTGCAAAGTCTGGATCCGATCGGATCGTTACAAGTGGGTCAAAAGTGCAAAATTCAATAAAAAGCAAAAATTGTCAGAAAAAAAATCGTACATCCATAAGCATGGAGACGACACGTGGATCGAACTCGTTAACTCCGCACTCGGCGAGCAGCTGAATGATCGCCGCGGCCTCTTTGCTGCATCCGTTCGGCTCGCTGCCCATCTCGCCGTCCTTGTCTCCGGGATCTGCCATTTTTATCTGAATTTGACATTACATACAAACAACGTATAAAAAATGATGAAGAGTAATATAAAACGAGGCAAAAACTCTATAAATACATGGAAACAAAGATAAATGATTGTAATTTTATCGGGTACAAAGTTGGTGTGAATGTTCGGATTGGATTGACTGGCCACACACGGACAAAAATATGCTTGTAAAAAGGGAGAATTTGTAATCATTCGAATAAATAATAAGATGGGGTCGGGGTATAGTACATGTTTAGGAGTTCATGACGGCGCGGACGAAATCGGAGATATTCACGTTTCCGTGCGAGTCGTTGTGTCCGGCCAGCAGTTGATCGACGTCCTCATCGGACAGTTTCTCGCCGAGCGAAGTGAGCAGGTGTCGCAGCTCGGCCACGTTGATCTGTCCGTTTCCTTCCTTGTCAAAGTGTGACAATCCCTCCACAAACTCCTCGACGGTGTGCTTCTCGCTTAAAAATTAAGAAATTAGAGAAAAATCAGTCGAGAATTGTGTGCCTACCGATTCTTGGAGACGGACTGGAAGATGGGTACAAAGTCCTCGAACGAGAGACGCGCTTCCTTGTCGAACGAGCCGACGCATCTGTGGATTTCCGCTTCGGTCGGGTTCTGGCCGAGAGCACGGAGCACATCGCCGACCTGAAAACGGTTTTTGTTAAGCAAAATTTTTGGAAATTTGTTTCACCTGCTGAACAGAGATGCGTTCGTCGCCTTTGCTGTCGAAATAGGCGAACACTTCACGGCAATCGGCCAAATCGTCCATTTCTTCCGGGCGCTCTGGAAACGGCGGGGGTAGATAAATGATCGATTATCGGCGGGTAACGGGCAATGACAAGAGAGAAGAAAAGCGTGTGAGTCAGAGGGAGGGCGGAAGAGAATGAGAAATCAACGGGAAAACTGATGAACCCATGAAAATCACTTTCCCTCGATTTCAAACAGAATTTGCCAAAATCTGGCACTCTCTCCGCAACTTTTTTCGGTTTTTATCGATCGAGGGCAGTCTATTTGAATAGTAGGACGGACGGACAACAACAGCAAGAGACGAGTATGGAAACGGCGAGCGCAGGGTGTGTTTCGTTTTCCGCCCGCCCGCCCGATGACTGTCCCGTTCACATCTACGTCCGCAGAGAGTGCGATTCGAGCGGAGAGGCAGACGATCAGAGGAGGGTTCCGGACTAGGTGGGGAAGGGGGCAAATATGATGAGAAAGTGAGACGATTCGGCGGGAAGATACCAAAGTTCGGAATGTTTTGCTTCAGTTCGATGTGAACAAGAGTGGGCGGATAATTGGGACGTCGTGTGATTTGTATCAGCCGGCATTTTTTGAGGAATTTGCTGAAAAAATAAAGTTTTGCAAACTTGTGTACAATTTTTTTGAAAATTAATTTAATTTGAAAACATGATTTCTGGCTCAAATTTTTCCACAATTGTGGCCAGGCTTTCACGGAAATTAGGAATTTTCGGATATAAATTTAATTTGAAAAATTTTGAAAATATGTAACTGTGCTACCCAATTCTGATGAAAAAATCAATTCTCCGAGTGGAAAACCTGAAAAATCTACCATTTCTTCAAAATAAAAATAAATTGTTTGAACCCTGGCAAAGTTTGTAATGCAGGGTAATAAACAGTGTCATTTATACACATCAGTTCACATGATTCGAGAATCTCTATGACAATCCATTTTTTTGTCGTTTTTTTCCCGAAACTTCCGGCCGATTTCGCAACTTGTTTACGCTTGGAAGGCGTGAGGAGGAGAAAGGGGTATATTAGGGGATGGAGCGTGCGGAGAGCGAGCGTGCCGCGTGAGTTGCCACGGAAACCGAATTATTAAGAAGACGTTGCCGCATTTGTTCAATTTTCCATATAAAAATTTACTTGAACGCAGAAAAACGGCGGTAAAATTGAGAATCTTAGAGCGAAATGCGTTAGCGCGAAGTTCAAATCACAGCTGTTTTCTGCGTATCGAGCGCCATAAATGACGCAAATTTGCACAGAAAGATGTTGGAAATCGTTCGAGAAGCTTCTGAATCTGCTTGTTTACAACTTCAATTCAGCCGTTCTCACTTGTTTTTCTCTCAGAAAATGTCTAGAAAATGAACTCTTGGTTTTTCATCGATTTTTGCCTAGAGTGCCGCCTCCAGATGGTCACATGACTTGCGATTGTTTACGCTTCGGTTTCCGCGCTTTCCCGTTCCATTTCGTCGTCTATTTTTCACATTTTCCAGAATGGATCACGTCGCTCTGCTCAAGCAATTCATCGGCATGTGCCAAGAGAATCCGGCGGTGCTCCACGCCCCGGAATTCGCATTCTTCAGGGACTATCTCACTTCGTAAGTGCTTCCCCTTTGAAATCAATAAAACTCAAAATTTCCAGCCTCGGCGCGACTCTTCCACCAAAACCGGAAGGAAATCCAGCCGCTTCCGAGCCGAAGGCCAAGGCGCCAAAGGCCGAAAAGCCAGCGGAGCCGGAAATCCCGAAGCCGGAGGAGATTCCGTTCCCGGATATCGACAACGAGGGAGTGATCAAGCCGGAAGAGGCGGCCCCGTTGCCGATGGGTGACGCGAACAAGGAGCCGTCGGAGGAAGACGTCGAGAAGGCGTCGGACGAGAGAGTCAAGGCGCAGGAGGCGTTCGGGGACGGAGAGTTCGAAGCCGCCCTCGGCCACTTCACCAACGCCATCGAGGCCAATCCCGGATCGGCGATGCTACACGCGAAGCGAGCCCAGTGAGTTGGAAACCGTAGAAAACACATAAGAATCTCCGATTCCAGCGTGCTGCTCAAGCTGAAGCGTCCGATCGCGGCGATCGCCGACTGCGACAAGGCCATTTCGATCAACCCGGACTCGGCGCAGGGATACAAGTTCCGCGGACGTGCGAACCGCCTGCTCGGCAAGTGGGTCGAGGCGAAAACGGATCTGGCGACCGCGTGCAAGCTCGACTACGACGATGTGGCCAACGAGTGGCTAAAGGAGGTCGAGCCGAATGTGAGTTTGAAGAAATTTATTTATTTATGCGAAGTTTCTACGTCAATTCTGTGCTGAAAATGATACAAAAATGACGAAAAAAGACCGATAAAATGGCTCGGTCAGTTGATTCTAGAAGAAACTAGTAAAGGCACACACGGGGATTTGAGGGATGGATGGAGATCTGCGGGAATCAGTCGGTCTTCTTCTTTCGGCACAGCCGCTTGCCCTTCGGACCCATTGGCGCCTTCTCCTTGGGAGGAAGGCCCATCGTTTCGCGACACGACAAGTAATAAATATGACATTTCTGACCGCTTCCAGCTGCAAAATTATTGAATTTCAACTAAGAAATCTTAATTTTTGTGAAATCTCACCTCTCCTGGCCATCGTTCCCGAGTGATCTTGCTTCGCAGCAGATGGTTCGACCGAAGAGTAGCACGACTTTCGGTACTTGCACCAGCTCTTCTCGGCCGTCGACAAGTGCAGCTCCTTGTGCTCCTGCTCCAAAGTCTCTTGATCAGTCTGCTTGTGCACCGCCGCCTCCTCCTTCCGCTCCTCCTTGTTCTTCTTCGGTTTCTCCTCTAGCTCCTCGTTCTCGTCGTCGTCATCGTCCTCTTCGCTCTCCTTCGGCTCCTGATGCTTCTTCTTTCCGTGCTTCGAGTGGTGATGACGTTCCGTCGGTGGCTCCACTGGCTTTAGCTTCTCCTTCAGATGAGGCTTTTTGAGCTCCTCCTCCTCCGTCACTTCGGCTTCCTTGTCATTGAGTCCGGCGGCTTCGTAACAAGACTTTCTGTACTTGCACTTTTCCATTTTCAGATTTTTCGAGCTAATCTCGATGGTTTCAAAGAGAGCTGGTGCCTCACTCCACTGCTGAATGCTCGGCAAGACTCCGCTATCGTAGCATGATCTACGATACTTGCATTCGAGACGACGATCCGCGGCGCTCAAAAAAATTTTTCTCTCTTTGTCATCGTCATCATCATCATCATCGTCGTTGTCGTCTTTTGCCGAATCATCTTTGACTGTCCGCTTCTGCTCCCTCTCCAGAACCTTCTCATCGACCGGCAGTCCGTACTGCTCATAGCAAGATGGACGATACTTGCACGACAGCTTCCGATACGACATGGCAGTATCCTTATCCTCAAGATCCGGAATACCATCGCCGTCCGAATCCTTGTGCTTTCCGTAGTTGTGATGCTGCTGAGATGGAGGGGCGGCCCAGAAGTGCACGAGATGCCAGAGGGAGAAGTCGTACGGTTCAATGAGCCCACGCTCTCCCGTCTCGTAGCAAGTCTTACGGTATTTGCAGTGAAGACGGTGATCACGTTTTGGGTCGTGCTTGTTGTCGAACTCGTTGTCATCATCATCATCGTCGTCATCATCCTCTTTTTCTCTGCTCTTCTCAACAAACTCAGGCTCGGCACTCTCTTTGTATATCTTCTCAACTTTGACTGGTGGTTCTGGTTCTTGCTCTGGCTCTGGTTCCGGTTCTTTGGCCTTCTTTGAGCTCTTTTTGTTCTTTTTCACTGGCTCTGGTTCTGGCTCTTGCTCCGCCTCCTTCTCTGATTCCGGTTCATATTCAACTGCTGGCTCTGGTTCGTCTTCAGGTTCCGGTTCCTTCGCCTTCTTTAGGCTTCTCTTGCTCTTCTTGGAGGACAAATTAACTGGAACTGGAACGGCAACAACTACCGGCTCTTCTTCCTCTTCAGGCTCGGGCGCAGGCTCTGGTTCCTTCACTTTCTTCGAGCTCTTCTTTGACTTTTTCACGGGTTCTGGTTTGGGATCCTCTTCTGGTTCCGGTTCTGGCTCCGGTTCCTTCTTCGAGCTCTTCTTGTTTTTCTTGACTGGTTCTGGCTCTGGTTCTGGCTCCTTATCATCATCCTCATCAGCTTCCGGGGCTTCCGGGGCTTCTTGAACAATCTTTGAAGCTTTTTCCTTCTTCTTAACTTGAATCTTGATGGATTTCGGCGCCAGAACATCCTTTCGACTTTCGCGAGCATCGGCGATGTCCTGCAGTTCCTTCTGCGTCTTCTCAACCTTCTCGTACTTGCTGGACGGTCCACTCGTCATCCCGTATCTGCTCATCATCGCACGTCGCTTGTGAAGTCTTCTATGACGGCGAGTTCTTCTCTTCCTGACCTCCTTCTCGATCAGTCGTCTCTTCCGAATCGATTGAACAGTGTCCACACTCGGCGCCTCGATAATCTCTTGATAACACGACTTGCGATACTTGCACAACGTCTTCAAGTCCTGAACGGTCGACGGGACAATCGAGCTCACTTCCTTGTTGGCCACTTTCTCGATGTGCTCGTCGTCTTGGCTCAGATCGGGCAGAACGCCAGTCTTGTAGCACGATTTTCGGTACTTGCACCTCTCCTGAACAGTAAGTTTTCGGGTCTCCACGATGTTTGGAACGTCTAGAATATCGTGGAAAGACTCAACCACCAGCTCGTTCTCGATCTCTGGCTTTTCTCCTGTTTCGTAGCACGACTTGCGGTACTTGCAGTAGTGCTTCTTCTCTAAATCTTCCATCTCACCGAACGATTTCTCCTCCTTCTCGTCGTCGTCATCATCATCATCGTCTCCGGATGAAAGGAATGGGATTTTGAACGTGAAGCTGGAGTCGTCAATGTCCGGCAGCTCGCCAGTTTCGTAACACGACTTGCGGTACTTGCAACCGACCTTTTTCTGCAGCTGATCCTCGATCGCTTGGAGTTTCTTCTCGACAATCAGCGAGTTCGGCAGTGGCCGCGTCTTGACCTCCTCTTCTCTTTCCTTTACTTTACTCACAGCCTTTTCAGCAATGTCCTTGAGTGTTCGCTTCTTTCCCTGTGGTGCCTGAAGTTTGGCTGAGATGAAACTCCGTTCCTTCTCCTGTTGCTTGTCGCTCAACGGGATGTCGTGCTCCTTGTAGCAAGTGGTACGGTACTTGCACACGAGTTTGCGATCCGCAAGGTTCACATCGTCGTCTTCCGAGTCTGGCACTCCGTCCTGATCGGCATCCTCGGTCTTAGGCAAATGATGCTGCTGGGAGGCGGGAGCTCTCCAGAAGTGGAAGAGATGATCGATCGAGAAGTCGTATGGCTCGATGAGGCCGCGCTTTCCGGTCTCGTAACACGTCTTGCGGTACTTGCAGTGGAGACGGTGATCGCGTTTCGGATCGTGCTTGTTGTCGAATTCATTTTCATCCTCATCATCATCATCATCATCTTCATCATTTTTGTTCTTCTTCCTCCTCTCGACCGTCTTCATTGTCTCATCGACAATATCTTGGATCTCATCCTCCAGCTCTTCTTCCATCTGAAAATAGGACTGTGAATTGAAAAGTTGATAATTTTAGAATACCTTTTTCTTGTCAACACGATACTTTTTGTTAGCGGCACTGACGAAGAAGCTGGATGCGATCGGAGTGAAGACTTTCTTTTCAATTGGAATTTGAGCGGTTTTCAGTGAAAATGGCGGGAGAGCGTCTTTCTGAAAGCCTATTTTTTTGCAAGTTTCCCTATATTTAGTTGTTTACCTTGTTGCAAAAGTAGACAGTGTTCGATGAATCGGAGGCAACCGAGGAAGTTGCCCAACAATCGGCAACGTCCGTCCAACTTGGCTCGTTTCCCGAATCGAAATCGACCACATAAAGCGATCTTTCGGTTCTGAGCAGGACTTCCAGTGCTTCGAGTTCTTCGGAGTTCAGAGAGTCGTATTTGGTTTTGGTGTAGACGATGGTCGATACGTTTTTGTCGATCTGAACTCCTCCGAACTGCTCGATTCGCCGGGTGAGAACGCCGTGAACATTATCCAATTCTTCTCTGTGGAAAACCACGATGTTCTTGCGAGTGGATTGGGCATCTAAAATGGAAACATGACCAGATGTTTTTCGTTTGTTTCAAAATAAAAGTTTCAACGTCAACAGTTTTGCCCGACTGGATAGATAGAGTTGTCAAAAAGATTGATCGGCATCTGTTCCCCGTCTTGTTTTCCCGCGTTATCTCTCATTCACTTTGCAGTAGTTTCGTTGGTGCTCGCCGAGCCGATAGTGTGGGCGGTTTGTAAAACAGATGTGTTATGAGCGCGGGATCCCTTCCTCTTCCTTCTTTTCGATTGAAGAGAGTTTACTATCAAACACTCACTTTTCACAACAGATTGAGGAACGTAGTCGCCGAGGAACTGCTCCTTGGCTGCATTTTGAGTCGTCGAGCCGGTGATGAGGATGGTAGGACCGGCTGAAAATGAGCTTGGAGCAGTTAGATCTCAAGGAGATCCTTACCATGACAAGTGCTCGCAAAGAGGAGCAATAAAAGGAATAGGGAATACAATTGGGGCATCTAGTAGTGATAGGGCATCAGGGGCGGCCTAGCGATGATATATAAATCAAACAAATCCAATGAAAACGGATCTATATATCACTGACTGTGGGGATAGGATTGAGTAAACAAAGCACACAAAAAATGTAGTTGGGGGGTTCGCGTGGAAGGGTTCGTTTTCGAGGGATAAAATCGGAATAAATGACGGAGAGACGGGCGGTGCTCTGCCGAGGGGGACCCGCCGAGTTGTGATGATGATGCGGATTGAGCACAGGAGCAACAAGAAGATATCTCTCGTTCTCTGGCTCTGATTCGTTACATGTGAAGAAATAGATGCCGAGAGAGAGAGAGAGAGAGCTTCTTTTTCTTTTTTCGCCACTCGGCCTGATTTCCTTGTTGCCCTCTTTCTCTCTTTTACAAAAGACAGAACGCAGCTGTTGTTTCCGTCGTTTTGCCCCTCTCTACTTTTTGTATCTAGTACAACTAGCTGCTGAATTCCGAGCAAGACGGCATTTCAGAGAGCTCTCGATTGTTTGTCGTTTTTGCACGAAAACACTCGCAAACGGTGATAGTAAAAACGGTGGCTGGCGCACAAATGTTCTCTGCTGTCAGATTATCAATACGTCATAGTGGGTGATGAGTGAAACCGCTAATAGGTGTCTCGGAATGTCGGAAAGGGATCTTTTTTTGTACTTGAACTTTGTCTACAGTATCTGGGTTGCAAATCCTCATCGAAGGCCCAATAAAACCAGTAAATCGACAGTACTGTAGTCTCTGGTTTTGCTCAATTCCTAGTTGATCTTCAGAACAAACAATTTACCTTTCTAACTTTAGCGCCTGATCGAGAACGCTCCAATCTTCTTGAATCCCACATTTCTCGAGATTTATTGGGCTCTGTTCCTCTTGGTTTCGCTCGTTCTCTCGGCTGTTCTTTGCACCCTTTTTTCCCGTCCAGATTTCTCAATTTCTTGTTTATTTGAAAATTGCCGACGAGAGAGATTGGTTTGATATTGGTTTGCCAGATTCTCCCCTCAATAAACTGGTAAAAATTGAAGGGAAAGGGGTGAATCAGGTGAAACTGACAAGAGAAGAAGAGGTGATCTTGTAAATGTAGGCGGAAATTCTATTTGTTCATCGCCTGCGTGATATTATCAATGTTTGTATTGTCCTGTTGGCAAAACCTGAGATTTGGTATTCTTTGATCGCGGGGAAAAGAAGACAATTAAATGAATTTTCAGGCACACAAAATCCAAGAGTACAACCGTGCCGTCGAGCGTCAGAAGGCCGAGATCGAGTTGGCGGAACGTCGGGAGAGAGTCCGTCGCGCCCAGGAGGCCAATCGAAAGGCCGCCGAAGAAGAGGCCAAGCGTCATGCCGACGAGGGAGAAGACTTTGAGGGATTCCCCGGAGCCGGAGGATTCCCGGGCGCTGGAGGCTTCCCTGGCAGATTTCCGGGTGCTGGTGGATTCCCGGGAGGAGGTGCCGGAGGACCACCCGGATTGGACGCGCTCTTCAGCGACCCGGAGCTCAAGGCGGCTCTGCAAGATCCGGAAGTGCTGCCGGCGCTGATGGACATTATGCAGAACCCGGCGAACATGGTCAAGTACATGACGAACCCGAAGGTGGCCAACCTCATCACCAAACTTCAGGCCAAGACCGGAGGAAGTAAGCGCTTTTGTAACTATTACTCAACCTAAATTCTCTGCTTTCAGTGCCTGGATTCGGAGGAGCTGCTGCAGGAGCCGGAGGGTGCCCGGATGCCGCGTGCGGAGGCGGAAGACCATGCGGAGGAGGCGGCGGCGCTTCGGCCCCGCCACCGCGCAGAGCCCCGGAGCCGGACCTTGACTAACAAGGATCCAACAAGGAATTCGTTACTTTCTTTTTTTATTGATATCGACATGATTTATTGTATCCATTATATTGTGGCATTAAAAGTAATATTTGTAGGAAACTAGAATCGAGTGGCGCCAAGGGGAGTAGAGATTTCCGTTTTCGGAAAGATCAATTTGAAATCTTTGCCCGCAATCGCTTCGATATGCCTTTTGAACCGAGCAGATTGGGCGGCGCCGACCAGAGCCAAACAACTGATCTTGAGACTTTTGAGAAGAGATTCCGGGTACATTGAGAACAAATTATCGATGATTCCGAAGTGAGTGGCCTCGAGAATCTGAAGATCGGAAGTATCGGGGGAGATTCCGTTAACGGACGGCTTCTTGGAAAGGCCCCGTTCCGGAATGAAGATCGGATCGATTCGGAGATCCGACGGAAGAGGTGGAGCTAAATAAAGTGGGTTAACGGAAAAACGGGGGAAAATGTTGGATACCATTCCGATCAAGATCCTTGAGAAGATTTGCGAGTTTTTGGGTGGAATAGGGAGAATTGGAGTGCAGCTTGAGAACGGTCTCCAGCGCGTTTCCGCCGTTCATCGAACACGCGGCCATCAGTTGTTTGATCTCCGAATACGGAAGTTTGACCACACTTTCGGTCAAAGTTTCGGGAATCTCCTTTGGATTTACGAGGCAGCACAATTGGGCGGAAGTGCCCAGAATCAGGTCTGAAACGGCCTCATTTTTGTAGAACAAGATTACTGTAGCTCTTGAGAGTTTTATGTTCGTTTTTTTTTGAAACGCCGAAACTTCCGGGAGCTACAGTAGTCTAGTCTTGTGCAAAGGTGTACACAAATATTGGCCACAACTCACAAGCAGTGTTCTCCTCGTAAACGTCCAAAGAAGCGACGGACGCTTGAAGATCTCCGGAAGCCACGTGGCACTTGGCACCGTTCAAAGTGCTCACCACGCGCCGACAGTCCCTCACAATGATTGGAAGTTGGATCCAATGCGGCAGGAGCGGAAGAATGTCCGCCTGCCAAGAGCACTCGTTGCTACAGTATCCCCAACTGTGAGCATTGTGATGGCTCATCGGCACCGCCGTCTCCCTTGAATGCAACACGAGAAGAGTGACGAGGAACAGGTCCATGATGGTGCCGCAACGATTGTACTTCTGAGAATGAAAACAATAATTAAGGTAGAAGTAGAGGCGATTGTTTAGACACTTTAAGCGATTCGGGTTCAGATCGGTAGAGGTAGGCGAGAGTGGCGAGACCGAATCCCGGACGCACTTGGCCGCAAGACCATTCGGGAAGAGTTGACAAGAAATCGGATTGGTCTGGAGGACTGTACGTCCAGTTGTAGAGGGAAGAAGTGACCGGAGAGTCTGGAAAACGCACGGTCTTCCAACACAAGAATCTACGAAAACCTGTCGTCAGAGACTCTTGGTTCCACAACACAATCCCGTGCATTTGACCGCACACCCAAACTTCGTCAATCCTTTTCGAAGGCTCTCGAGATTCGAGGACTTTTTTGACATTCTGAAAGCATGATGTAGCACAAATTCTGTACATGAATTCTGTACAAGCACCTCGAACAATTCCATCGAAGTTTTCACAATTATTTGAGCATTCTGAACTCCATTCTCATTTTCATTCTCATTTTCCTTCTCCACTGAATAGCATTGTTTGAGCGCGCAGATTATTCTGTAAAAAATCGAAACAAGAGACGTTTTGCAACCAGTTGCGAAACGAAACGTACTCGTCCCCGATCGTCGCGCAAATTTTGGCCGACGTGGTGCCAATGTCGATGCCGACCACTGTTGTCATTCTTCTTGTGACGCACTCGAACTGATAAGAAACCGGGGCGAGGTTTCCTGGAACGAGAAGCTTGTAATGTGGCGCGGCGCGGTGATTAAATTTAGAGAGAAATGAGCACAAAATCGAATCGAGCATGATAAGGGCACGACGCAAAAAGAACAAGAGGCAAAAATTAGATGATTAAGTTGTTGGCCAACTTTGAATGGATATTCTAGAGCACACAGACGTTCTGGTGTTCTAGAAACTTCTGGACGAGATCGTGACATCTAGTACTTGATTTTTGTAGTTGACAACTTTTTCGTATAATCACTCGCAGGAGTAGTGTAGCTCTTGGAAATTGGGACTAGTCAGGCGATCATGGATTTCAATTCAAACTTCCAAGAGCTACAGTAACCTTGGGAGTGGCCGCACTAAAAATGTGTAAACTACAAAACAAGAGAATCAGCTATAAACTTTATTTTTTTAGTTGACAACTACTTCGTACCACGACTCCCTGATCTACTGTAGCTCTTGAAAGTGAGGGGTTTTGTGGGAAGGCGTCGTACAACTCCTAGCTTTCAAGAGCTACAGTACTCCGGTGAGCGATTCTATTGAAAAGTTGTCAACTACAAAAATAAAGTACTAGATGTGAAGATTTCACCCGAAAATGACACACTCAACGTTTTGACCGACTGTACTTGAATATTTATGCAAATGAAATGAGAGTTCGCATACTCTATTCGCATTATATTGCAGAGAAATTGTCCGTCTGCACACTAACTGTTTTCGGTGTTTTTATCGATTTTTCTGTTCACCCACTGTCTTCTCGGCAATTTTGCGCAAAAATTGTGAGCCCTCAAAATTCTCGTTCCCCTCTTCAGTTGTGCTCCAACTCGGCAACTTTGTAACAAGTTTTCCTTCTTCCGCCCACCAAAATGTTTCGATTTTTCATCTTTCGTCCATCGGCATAAACTGATAATAACCGACCCGCACAGTGCCGCGCCCGCCGCATAAGGATAATAGTGGAGAGAAAAGACGAGTACAGTAAGTACACTTTATGCGCACTTCAATCGGATCAAAGATTTGCAATTCTTCAGCATCTTCAAGTTGTTTTGTGTTTTCAGTCTGACTCACACCTTATCAGTCCGTTTCATTCCAAAATGACTCATTTTCCCAGTATGGCACTTGTGGGCGGCGGCCTCCTTCCACGCTATATAAAACAAGACAGAGCACAGGATGTTTTCATTTTCGCTCTTAAACTTTTCCTCTTCATTTTCAACACCCAAACCAGGTCCTAGCACTTTTAAAGCTTAGAATGCTCCAAGTTCAAGTTCAACCTGACTTGCATTAGATGACGTGTCATTTTCACTTTCAACTTTGTCATGATCATGATCATCATCACCTCACTCACTCTCTTCCAAACTGTGACTATGTACGATGTGACGTGTGTGTGTGTGTGTGCACACAGTGATACGTACCTCCGATTCCTAGAACGAGAAAGAGAGAGAGAGAGAGTTATCACTATCAATCGACCACATATATACATACAAATACACACAGTCTTTGGTGAGTTGGCGGCCCGCGGGCACACTGATAACACTTTGCATTTGTACGCACGCAACATTTCCATTTCATGCCATTCTAGTTGTTGCCAACTCTCGCTCTCTCTCTCCTTCTTCTTCTTCTTCTTCTTCTTCTCCTAGTTTTCCGGCAGACCGACAATATCAGCGGCGTCATTACAGAAATGGAAGACGAAATCGCGGCGCTCGTTGTCGACAACGGCTCGGGAATGTGCAAGGCCGGATTCGCCGGAGACGATGCTCCGCGCGCCGTCTTCCCGTCGATCGTCGGACGGCCACGTCATCAGGGCGTCATGGTCGGCATGGGACAAAAGGACTCGTACGTCGGAGACGAGGCCCAATCGAAGCGTGGAATTCTGACGTTGAAGTATCCGATCGAGCACGGAATCGTGACCAACTGGGACGATATGGAGAAGATCTGGCATCACACGTTCTACAACGAGCTGCGAATCGCCCCGGAAGAGCATCCGGTTCTCCTCACCGAGGCGCCGTTGAACCCGAAGAGCAACCGCGAAAAGATGACGCAGATCATGTTCGAGACGTTCAACACTCCGGCCATGTACGTCAACATTCAGGCGGTTCTCTCGTTGTACGCCTCCGGAAGAACCACCGGAATCGTGCTCGATACCGGAGATGGTGTCACCCACACCGTCCCCATCTATGAGGTACGTTAGCTCAGTTAGCTTTGACAGCGGTGGCCCCGTAAATACCAACCAACTGATTGATATTTAGGGATACGCCCTGCCACACGCGATCCAGCGCCTCGACCTCGCCGGCCGCGACCTCACCGACTACATGATGAAGATTCTGACCGAGCGCGGATACACTTTCACCACGACCGCCGAGCGTGAGATCGTTCGTGACATCAAGGAGAAGCTGTGCTACGTCGCCCATGATTTCGAGACCGAACTCGCCACCGCCGCCTCCTCTTCCTCGCTGGAGAAGAGCTACGAGCTGCCCGACGGACAGGTGATCACGATCGGAAACGAGCGCTTCCGCTGCCCCGAAGTGCTCTTCCAGCCGGCGTTCATCGGAATGGAGGGAGCCGGAATCCACGAGACGACGTATCAGTCGATCATGAAGTGCGACGTGGACATCCGCAAAGATCTGTACGCGAACACGGTGCTCTCGGGCGGAACTTCCATGTTCCCGGGCATCGCGGACCGCATGCAGAAGGAGATTCAGAACTTGGCGCCGAGCACAATGAAAATCAAGATCATCGCGCCGCCGGAGCGCAAGTACTCTGTCTGGATCGGAGGATCCATCCTCGCCTCGCTCTCCACCTTCCAGCAAATGTGGATCTCGAAACAGGAATACGACGAGTCCGGCCCGTCGATCGTCCATCGCAAGTGCTTCTAAACACTCGGTTTTCTCTCTCTCTCTTCCTCTTCTTCTTCCTCTTCTTCTTCCTCTTCTTCTTCGCCCTCTTTCCCCCCGCACATCTCGTTTGCCTTTAGGCCACTTTTGTTACTCTATTTTATTTATCATAATGATACTTTTTTCCAATAAAATTGTTCCCCACAATCAATCATAATGCAATTTATTGAGTTGTAAATGAAGATCCATGAGTTGTGAATGCAACAGTAGACGTGTTCACATTCGGCACGATTTTGTTGGATCGAGATCGGCAGAACAGCGCATGCTTGCAAAGAATGAGCACATCTGAACACGTTTGGGTCTGTCTTCTTGCCACGAACAAATTGTTGTAAATTTTAGTCGGCTCTGCGCCTTTAACACAGTACCACGAAGAGTGCGAGAAAACAAAAAGGCGGATACCTATCACGGCGGTCCGATAACTTTTGACGATGAAAATGGTGGGAAGCGGGTTGAGTGCCGGATACAGAGATATTGTCATTCCGAGCGTTTCGCCCACAATTTCCGTCGATTTGTTGAAGAAGATGGTGACGTAGACGGCCGTCGCGGGAAGGTGCATCAGAAAGACGGGGATGAGCGTTTGGAAGATGAGCGCGTGGAACAACTGCGACTGCACACTTTTGTATCTGGCCGATCCGCTTGCCTGGCCGATCAGAGCGTTCATGCTACGGTAGCCCTTCACGCCGAAATACAGCATTATCGAGGTGGAGAGCGACTGAAAGACGAATGTTGTTTGGTCTCTTCGACACTGTTCATTCAAGACGATATATCTCGGCTGCCTCTGAAAATATCGAAATGTTGTCAACAGTGAAAGTGCGCAGAAAGACTTTTTGCACATTTTATCAGTTGACCACGTTTTGATATCTCCATCGGCAGCTGAGATACATTGTCTTGAATGAACATTGTTCCCTTTTGTCTCGTCAAACTCACAATCAGAGCCATAACAATGAGCGATCCTCTGGCACCCTTCCAACTAAAGTACAACTCGTCGGATCGCTCGATTTTAGGCCAGAAAAACGGTCCCATGTAGTATAAATCTTCAATTATTGTCGTGTTGTGCAAAAGCGGCGGATAATTGTCGCTGAATACGTTTCCGGTCGCACGTGGTTGACGCATTTCCAATTTCCGCGCTCACCTCATAAACCGGTCCGTTTCTCGATCGGCACAGAGAATAATACCGCCGGTGAACATGAAATTGACGCCGTTCAACAGAGGAGCCATGAACCAGAGGACGATTTTCCACGTGTTGAACGATTTTATTCGTTGGTCACTGAAATACGGTCGGTTACTGTCCCGGCTACTGTAGCGAACCAACTTGGTGACACTCAGATAACGGTAGATGAAGTGGAGTGCGAGAAGGGCGATCGACATGCCGAAAAAACCGACGAATAGCACTGAAAATCTGCATTTTTTTGAGAGATGAACGGAAAAAACAAGCCTACAATCCAAAATACATGAAATGAACTTGGGAAACAACGAAGTTTTCCAGTTGACGATAAGGAAAAATGATCCCAACTTTGTGAATAGGTCCTGAAAGTTTAAACACTTATATCTCGAAAATTTGTGATTATTTCAAGAAGTGATCAACAGAAAAGTTGTTGCAAATTCCATTCTCAACAACTTTTTAGTTGAGCATTTTTGCTAAAAACGTCAAATTCTCTAGTTATATAATGTTTTTCACAGCTTGCTCTGATCATAACGGATTCTAGTCAGAAATAGGCTTGTAACTTGAAAATTACACGTTTTCCAAGAAAACTGTCAACTACAAAGTTGTTTAGCATAAAATTTTCATTAATTTCTCAGTTGACCACTACTAGTTCCGAGCATCCATTCGTGAGCTACATACGATTTGAGATAGACTAACCGGTTTCTCAGCAACGTATAAAATTGCGTAGGTGAGCTCGAAAAGCGCAATATAAATCATGAGATATTTGTAGGATCCCAAGTATTTCGGAGATTTGAACACAATTAAAAGAATGAGAATAAAGTTGATGGAGACTGCGAGAACAGCAAAAAGATTCAGAAAAAATGAGGCGGTTATTGTCATCACCTCTCTCTTATTATTCAATTAAACGAATCGGGAGGGGGGGGGGGGCTTGTTTTCTCCTTTTTTCGAGTAATAACTTTCGAGTACTCATAGTCTGGTCTGACTGAAATTGTAGTCAAACCACATTTTATTGAATCCCGCTGAAAATGAGTAATCATTGACCATACACATAAACTGAAAGTTCTAGACGTCGCCCCCTTTCGGTTCGTTTCCGCTTCAGTGGGAATTGCGAGAAGTCACGTAGAATGTTCGTTTCGATTAGAACTTGTACACCCTTTTTTCTAGTCATAATCTTCGTCATACGCCATTTTTACTCACAGAGAAACATTCGGAATGACGTCGAGACTTTCGGTTGATCACACTTCCAGTTGAACGACCATAGACGAGTTTGACAACTTTTTTTCGCTTCGAAAATAAAAAATCTGAAAATTTCACATCTGACACGTCTTGTTTGTCGTTGATCATTTTTTACTATCGTCACTGCCAGGATTACGGTAGCCTCTTGAAAGTTAGGAGTGCTCAAATCAGAGGGCAAACTTCCAAGAGCTATAGTGGTCTTAGAAGTGATTGTTTCAAAAAATGGTCAACTACATAAATGTTGTACGAACCATGTGCTACATTTTTGTAGTTGACAATATTTCCGTAAAACTACTCCCTGGACTAGTGCAGCTCTTGTAAGTTGCAACTACCCAAGTGAACATGTATATTCTAGTGCAAACTTCCAGGCGCTACAGTAGTCTTAGACGTTATTGTATTAAAAAGATGTCAACTACAAAAATAATGTACTTGACATGCACTATCATTTTGTAATTCACTATTTCTGTCTACCGTCACTCCGCAAAATACTGTAGTTCTCGGAAGTCATCACTACCCGAAACAAACGGAAACAAACTTTCAAGCGCTACAGTCGTCTTGTGCGTGGGTGTACCAAAAAGTGGTCAATTACAAAAATGATGTGCTAGACACGTACTATAACTTTTTAGTTGGCCATGTTTCTCTAAAACCACTCCCGCGGCTACTGTAGCTCTTCAAAGAAACAACTCAAATGGCGCCTGTTTTTCGTGACCTTTGGATGAACTGGAGCATCCACGTGGACACATATGGGGCGATTTTGGAGGCGGTGCCCAAAAGAAATCAGTTTCTACTACAGTATTTACGAGCGACACTCGGAGAGAAGAAAAAGAAGAGAAGGATACGGCGTTGAAGTAAATGCTGGAAAAATGTGCAAGTTTGTTGATTTCGAGAGAGAAGATCTCGACCAAAACTGTTTCAGAAACTCAATTGCAAAGCCTGTAATGCAACGCCGACGAGCCGAGTGGGACCGTCTTCAAAAACAACTCTCCGGACCCTGACGACACAAGAGAAAAAAAACAATGAACATTTTCATAATAAAGGCATTCTTATGCAGAAGTTTGTGAAGAACTACTCAAAACGAAACGTCGTGTCCATTCATCTTTTATTAACGACCGACAAATTGTAAAGCAAATACAGAAAAATCATTCCTCATCCGAACACGGTGCCATTGGATCCCGCTCAAGCGGTCTCCTTCTGTTTCTCCTTCTGCTGCTGCTCCTTGGCCAGTGCCTCCTCCTCCTCGTCGGAAAGGATGCCGAAGATCTGTCGGAGTTCTTCCGGCGACTTTCCGATGGCCATATTGGCGACGGTCTTGCACGCCACGTTCATGAGCCCCTTGACGTCGAGGTAGTTGGACGCGCAGATCAGTTCGAACAGATCTTGGTTCTCGATCTTCAGGAACTGGCTCTCCCAGTCCGAAATACGGACGACTTCCCGCTCGGACGAGTTGAGGACCTCCTCGACCGGCTCCTTTTCACGGTATTTCTCGCACCACTGGACCACCAGGCTCAGAATCTTTCCGTCCACGTTCGCCACCACGATCGGCTCCTCTTGGGCCGAGCATCCGAGCAGCTCCGTCATCGTTTGGAGCGTCGTCGAGTGTCTCAGCGCAAGATCGCTGATTTCTTCGATCTTTCCGTCCCGCGACTTTAGCTTGTACATCACTTTTGGTTCGAGCGGAGCTTGCTCGGTCGGAGCAGCATCGGATGGGGCATCGTTGGCCGGAGCTTCGTTGTCCTGCACGTCCTGGGCCGGAGCTTCGTCGTCCTGCACGTCTTGGGCCGGAGCTTCGTTGTCCTGCTCGTCCTGGGCCGGAGCATTTTCGACCGGAGCTCCCGCGACTAAAAAAGCATCGTCGACTTGAACCTCAGCAATTTCGGCAGCAACATCGTCATCAACTAGGACAACGGGACCATCCTCGAGCTGAAACACTTCGGCAGCAAGACCGGCGACACCGTTGTTGTCCTCCTCAGCCATTCCGATTTAGTGAGAGCGGAAGATTCTGGAAGACGGAAAAATCAATATGTGGATCGATAAAATCCGTATAGGAACGGCGAGCGAAGGAGGGAGAACGAATAGGATTATTGAGCGATAGGACCAAAAAGCGGGTACTAATGAGGACGGGCAGCGAAATGGACCAAGAAAGAGCAATAGAAACGCGCTCCGCTGCACTCGGCACTTCACTTTTTTCGTTTCCTTCTTTAATTGCTGGTTAAATTCGATCGAAAAGGCTCGTTCCTTCACTTTTCTTGATCTAGAATCGTACAGAGAACACACTTTTCTAACCGATTTCATCAAGAAAACCAACGAAAATTGATCGATTTGGCGAAAGAGAAAGGGGACCAAGAATGCGAGCGAGGGGGAAGGGGAGAGCGAGCGAGCGAGCGAAAGAGCGTGCAAATGAGTGACCTGCCCAGTCTCGTCTCCTTTTATACCCGCCCTCTCGGGTGTGCGTACAACCGAACAGGCCGAGAGGCAAGGATGAATTGGCTCGATGCCAACGGTCTCTGACGGCCCGTCCACGTACGCAATCAACTCAAACCCATCGCTTTAACAACAACATCAGAATGGACAATCACGGTCTTCAGAGCTGACAATATGGGCGTGGCATCGGCGGCCAAATGGCGTTTTCATGAATTGAGCACGTTTTCTCTGATTTTTGTGCTCAAAGGCGATGAAAAATGATTGTTCGTCATGAAAACACACTTATTCTCAGAATTAATGACGTTTTGGCGCATTTTTCGCGGACTTTGCTTTTTCGCCTTCGCCGCCTAAAAATCGAACTTCTCATTTTGCGTTTTCTTGACCGTTTTCATACAGAATTAGTTTTGAAAATGATAAATCACGTGAATACAAGCATTTTGATCGCTCGAACCGCGAAAATTACCGAAAAGCAACTGAAATTCACGCAGTTTTAGTCAAAATCCTTCAAGCGGATAAATGTGATTTGCGTTTGACGCTCTTGCGCTTCAAAAATTCGTAATAGCCTATACAATCGGTCTATCGAGAGACAAATGAGAAATTATCGGTTTTTCGTGTGGCTAATCTGGCAAAAAACACAAATTTTGCTGTTAAAATTTGAATTTCGCGCCAATTTATCGCTCTATTGGGCGGGGCGCCGCACTTGCGCCCATTGTCAGCTCTGGAGACCGTGTGACAGGTTTATGCGGGGGAGCAAGAATCAGAGGTTATCGAGCGTGTCCTCGGGTCCAAAGTCGTCCGTGTTCGATTCGGTCGTCGCGCGGTCCTCGGTGATCACACTCTCGTCCACCTCGTTGAGTGTGTCGGTGCCGCCGAGCAGTTCCGCGTGGTCCCTGCCCGACACTTCGTTGTTGTTCTCGTCGAGTTGTTGTCCTTTGAGGTTCCACTCGTACGCGTCCGTCCTGCAATCATTGGTCCTTCTCGTTGATTTATTGATGTTGGCACACAAAAGAGTACATTTTCACACCTTTCGGCAGGTCTCCTTTCAGTTTTTCCATAAACATCGAGTATGGCGGCGTGTCAAAGTAGGTGAGTTTGCGAAGGGCCGACGCGATTTCGAGAAACGATTTCGGACAGTTCTGCAATTCAAAAATGAGTGCGGTGGAGCGCACTTGCTCACCTTGCACAAGACGGCGTCGGCGGTCTTCTCCTTGGCGCGCATCGTCTCTCTCGTGCCCATTCCCTTCCACGGCAACGTCGCCGTCACCGTCTCGATCATGCTGTACAGGGCGCTGAGAAGATCGTCGTGCCGTCCCTGGTCCCTGTGCTGGTGCACGTTCAGACTGCAATACCGCACGGTCCCCCGGAACATGGACTTGTTTCTCGGCTCGCGCAGCTTCAGAACGCCATTCACGTCCGGCAACATGATCTGGCGGGACAGTCCGAAATCGAAAATGTACACGACTTTCTCGTTCCTGTCGCCCAACGCCATATTGTTCGGTTTCACGTCTCTGTGCACGATGCCCGCCTCGTGGATGTCCTGAAGGCCCTTGACGACTTGGATGAATATTCGGACGGTCGAACTCGACGACATCTTGCGGCCCGGCATTCGTCTTCTGATTCCGGCGATCTGGAAATTGAGAAAAAGGTAATTTTCCGGCCTTGCGATTAAGAACTGAACTCAAATACCTCTTTTCCCAGAAGACTCATGACAACATACGTATAAGTGTCCGTTTTTCCAGATCCGAGAAGCCGGCACACGTGGCGAGAGCTCTGCAGTTTCTTGAGCACAAACACCTCCATCTTGAGCACCTCGTACTCTTTGTTCTTCATCAACGGCTCCACCTTCATCGCCGCTTTTCCCTTCTGCAAACCAAAAAAAAATGTGAATGAAAAAAAATCGATAATCTGGTGACCCCTTTGAGGAGATCGACGAGGAACACTTGTCCGCACGCTCCTTCGCCGAGCTTCTTCTTCACACAAAACTGTCCCTTGATTACGAGTCCCGGTTCTATTTTCACTTGTGCCAACGGAGTTGCCATGATGGTTTCGATGAGAAAAATGAAATCCGTTCAAATGATACGAACAACTAGAAAGTCCACGTTAACGAATCAAAGAACTGTACTAGAACCAAAGTGTGGAATTAAAGATTCAAAATGACACGTGAAACTGTATTCAAACTACAATCGATAGCTATGAAAATGTCCTGGATTCTGCGCGTGCTGAGCGAGTAGTTGTTGGGATTTTTGTACACGTTTTTGACGGGCAATATCATCATTTTCTTCCCACTGTCGACGTCCGTTTCCAAACTGAAAATGTGAGTTTGAACTTGACACAATTGTCCGTTCTACTTTGCCAATCGCACGCCTCTCCAGAGCTGACAATATGGGCGTGGCCTCGGCGGACAAATGGCGTTTTCATGAATTGAGCAGGTTTTTTCTGATTTTTGTGGTCAAAGGCGATGAAAAATGATTGTTCGACATGAAAACACACTAATTCTCACAGAATTTATGACGTTTTGGCGCATTTTTCGCGGATTTCGCTTTTTCGCCTTCGCCGCCGATCGCCGCCTAAAAATCGAACTTCTCATTTTGCGCTTTCTTGACCGTTTTCCGACAGAATTAGTTTTGAGAATGATAAATCACGTAAATACAAGCATTTTGAGCGCTCGAACCGCGAAAATTACCGAAAAGCAACTGAAATTCACGCAGTTTTAGCCAAAAACCTTCAAACTGATAAATTTGATTTGCGACATGACCAAATTTAACGCTCTCGCGCTTAAAAAATTCGTAAAAGCCTATACAATCGGTCTATCGAGAGACAAATGAGAAATAATCGGTTTTTCGTGGCTAATCTAGCAAAAAACACAAATTTTGCTGTTAAAATTTGAATTTCGCGCCAATGTATCGCTCTATTGGGCGGGGCGCACTTGTGCCCATTGTCAGTTTTGGAGACCGTGAATCGGTAATCAAACTGTGCGGAATCTTCCATACCTAGTTAGGTTCTATTAAGGAGCAAGTTCGTCGGGCCTGGCCGGAACTCACATTTCGTTCTTTGAGCCATTTCTCCGCCTCCTGTCTCCTCTCCACACTGCCCAACACGTTGTGCAATTTCCAAACGTATCGAGTGGCCACTGCTTCCGGATCTTCTCCGTTAAAATTCGCATCGACCATTCGCAAGGGAACGTCGTGCTCGACGAGCCGACACGTTCCGAGCATGTTTTTCGGCTGCACCCGTCCGTAGTACATCTTCATCATTTCTCTCCATTTGCAGTAGTTTCCCCTGGGTTCTGTTACCTGAACAATAAAATAAACACTCTTGTATGTAATGCACTCGCTGTGAGATGAAACTTACAAATTCTTCAACAATAACGCTGCCAACATTCAGACTCTTGAACACGGGAACATCGGTGCAGAAGGTCCAGTCCCTGAAATTGGTATCCAGGCGGCTCAGGTCCATTTGCAGATCCGCCTCGAACTCGAATTGACTGATTTCTCGAACCGGGAAAGGCGGATGCTCCAGAATTCCGCTCACTTCCTGTTGAGCCCAAGATGGACAATATAGACGTAGGAGAGACTCACCATAACCTCCCAGACCAGCAAATCTTTTTCTGGAATCGATTTGTAGAAGCACTCGAATGAAACGCCGACGCCCAATTGATGGTATACTGGCGTTCTGTAAATTGGAAAAAATACATTTAAAAAAAAATGGTCGGACACGGCGACCAAAAGTGTAGAAAGGGGCGTGGCCTAATCTGAGACGCGTTTTCTGAAAATTGCCGCAATTCCAGCACACTTTTCCGATATTTTTATGTGTTGATAGCGACGAAAGACGACATTAAAGAGAGAAAACATTGAAATTTTCGTGAAAACGCCGCGTTCGAGACGTTTTTGGCATATTTCGCAATACGCTCTCCGCGGCCAATCGCCGCCGCAATTTCGGAATTTTCATACCAGCCGATCTCCTCAGGCAAATCGTTTGTAATCTAGCTAGGAGATTTCGTAATCTAAACCGAGTTCCGAATCTAGCTAGGTGAAAACGGAATCTAAACTAAACCTAGCTAGATTTGACTGTAAAAACGAAGGCGCGATCTCGAATCGCGCCAGCAGACATAATTGCTAATCTAATTAGAAAAAATCCGAATCTAAAGTCAACCTAATTAGATTGACGGGAATTTGAACAGAAATTTGAACAGAAGGAAGACACGCCGTTTTCGATCGATTTCGAACGTTTTTTTTTTAGCTGTTATACTATTATTTTTACATTTTTGTGCAGGAATGTGTCTATTTCAGACGGCAATCATGCCACGTGTGAAAATAACAACTCGATCGTTTCTCCGCACGTGCATGAGTATGTTTCCCGGAGCACGTATAACACGGACTTCTGCTTTCAGCAACCACAGTCGTGCGACGAGCAAGAAAGAATTGAAGAGAGCGAAAGGAGTGTAGGCTGACGCGAGCACATTTAAACCGCCGAAGTCGAAATTTTCTTCTAATTTTTTAATTTTTTACTTTTTATTCTGTTATGGGGATATTCAGCGTATGTTTGTTTTCCGTTTTTTTCGTTTTTTTACACCGCTGAATTGGATTTTTTGACGTAAAAAAACGAAAAAAACGGAAAACAATCATTTTTTTCACAGTCTGAATAGCCCCATTAAACTCTTATTTGTTGTTGTTTTCCCAATAAATTTGTCGATTTTTAACGAGAATTTTGAAAATATGGCCAAATCTAATTAGGAGATATCCGAATCTAGTTAGGAAACTTGTTAATCTAATTAGCCGATTTGCAAATCTAATTAGGTGATAGTGCAATCTAATTAGGTCCGGTTAGAAATACTCTCGACTCGGTTTAGATTACGAAATCTCCTAGCTAGATTACAAACGATTTGCCTGAGTCGATAGTTTTGAGACGAAGTGAGTGTCGGAAGTGATTAAGCACGTTAATACAAGTATTTTAAGCGTTCAAACGGCAAAAAGTATCGGCGAATGACTGAAATTCGCGCATTTTCAGCACAAAACTTGAAAATCGATTCAATTGATTCATTTCTGAATGAAACCTGCTCGTTTTAAGCTCAACTAGTGCGCGCGATGATTAGTTTAACAAAGTTATGCAATTACATCGTCGAAATCGTACAAAATTTGGGTAATTTTTTTGCGAAAAACATGAAAAAAATGGGGTTAAATTTCGAATTTCGCGCCAAAATGATGATAAACCGTGCACGCTAGGCCACGCCCCTTTCTACGTTTTTGGTCGCCGTGTCGGAGCGACTCACATCCAGACGCCGGCGACTTGTTTGCAATCGTTCAGCCACACAATCATCTGTCGTTCCTCTTTTTTTATTACAACTGCGTGTTTGCACTTCAAATACGCGTCCTGACCGACCACTGGATGGTTCTGTTGGAAAGCGGCGGGCGGGAACGGACCCTGTAGACTGGTTGGCCTTCTGAAAATGTGAATGTAACGTTTGCAGAGACCTAGAAACTCTACTGATGCTCAATATCCGATTGTCTTGCCAAGCCCATTTGTCCAACTCCATTGGCGATCGGAGAAACGGGATAGAGGTCCTTGACAGTCGGGATGTGGCCCCACTCGAGTGGAGTCACGTCTCCAGAAGCGGTGGGCAAGACGCGAGGCGCTGGGGACTCTCTGCAAAAGTTGGAGCAACTTTATAGAATTACCGGGACCCCTAGAACTGCTAATTTTCACTTTTTGTCAAGAACTAACCGAGGAAAGACGTTAGAAATTGGTGCAGATGGTGTCGCAATTCGATTCGGATTCGGATTCAGATTGTCAAGAGGAACAAAGGATGGTCGGAGTGGAGTTTTGGGCCGTTGAGTGTGGTCAATGCTTCTAGTCGGACGGACAGGCCTGCAAAAAGTTTGACTACCAATTGGCCGGCCTTGGACCTTTGAACCACTTGAAGCATTCCGATCGGGCTCAAACTTTGCAGGCTTCTTGGACATGGGTTGAGGGCCATTGGGACCAAGTTTCAGCCCGATCGGATCATCTGATCCCGAGATATGTGGATCATTGGCCGGAAGCCCGGGCTTTTTGGAAAAAATCGGCCAACGATCCACATATCCGATCCGATCGGGCTGAAACTTGGTCCCAATGGCCCTCAATCCAAGTCAAACAATCCTGCAAAGCTTGGGTCCGATCGGAATATTGCAAGTGGTTCAAAAGTCCAGGTCCAATTGCCCAGCCCTGGAGCACGCGTTACATACGCTGGTTCCATGACAGACTCGTTGGCTTGCACTGCTCTTCCGTTGTTGTTGGGCTCCTCAGATGTTGTAGTACTGTAATCGAAATAAACGTGAAGCAACGGCGACTGAGGAGTCCCGAAACTCACCAATTTCCCATCAGTCCCTCCTCGTAATTCCTGAGTTTGTGCCTGAACGCTTCCGCCTCCTCGAACATCCGTTTTCCTTTAATCGCGTGTCTCTTCGTGTCAATTTTGAACAATTTTGTGCCGTTTTTTATGAAATCGAGATCGTTTCTAGACCGAATAGTTGAAGGCGTTTCCTGGAATACCGGGAAACTTACACGACAATGAAGCTGCCATAAATGTCGAACGGATCGGTGAACTGGAAGCCGGCGCAGTCGACGAGACCGTACAAGTCGGCGAATGCGACTGTCCGCTTGAACGTTTGGTGAGCAGGATTGGGGCTGAAGCCGATCCACGCGGAGATTTTACGCACTCCACAATCCACTTTTATATAATCGGTCGTCTCACTCGGATCCTCCATACGAACTTGCGCTCCTTTGAGGGCTACGATTCCGTCGTCAGTCGATGGAATCGACGGCTCTTCGAACACGAGAAAAGATAGGTTTTCTGGCCTGAAAGTAGGGCAGATAGTTGAGCAATCAATGAACAACTAACTGAAAGGTGAGCGGCTCAATGCGTATTCTCATAAGTGTAAAAGATTCAGTGTTCCAGCACGAGATGACTCCGTTTGCGGCGTTAAAGTCGACGATTAGAACTCGCATGTTGCTGAACAAAACGTACGATATTGTGAGGGGGAGAGAATGAGCAGAAACACGGGTTTGAGCACGTGTTGTGTCAACGTCGACAATGAATGACGTCTTCAAAGCTGGCTCTATCTAACAACTTTATACTTGCAAATGTTCGTATTGGAGAGCGAATAAAGAAAGAGTTGTCAAAGTTCGCATTAAACTTGGATTTGTATTTTTAGAGCGAGCTAACCGTTTTCGTCGGCTCCGGGACATCTGGAAACCAGACATTTCGAAACCAATTCAGTACAAGTATTGAAAAATTCAAAAAACCGCGAAATTCGCGGTAGAACTGCATGTTCAGTGTATTTTAGCAATTAATTATGATTTCGGACTATTTCTACTGACACAAACGTATAACTTGACAAAATTTTTCGCGAAAACAACGGAACAATTCTGCGGAAAGAGAACGATCGAAAAGTTAGAGGCGGAGAAGGCGGAAGAAGTAGCGGAACACAGAGAGTGACAGGAGGAACTTAACAAAATTATTCCCGAAAACAACGGAATTCTAAAGATTTCTAAAATTTTAAAATTTCGCTGCTCTAATTGCTTTGAAAAACGGAATGCCTTTCAGTCGTCTGGACTGGCTGGCTGCTGCTCAAGACACGAAGGACGCGTTCGTCCTTCAGCTCATCTTTTCGTTTTATTTGAGAGCAAACCTGTGGGAAATGACTATATATTTTAAAACAAATTGTGACTACCTTGTTAGAATGTTCGACAAAAACACAGAACAAAGCCGAAAAACAGTGAAACAGCCATTTCCAGCAGAAAAAGAACACATTTTTAAGCTGAGCAATACGAAAAATTACTGGCCATACTGCGAATTTGGCGGTTTTTTGAATTTTTAAATACTTGTACTGAATTGGTTTCGAAATGTCCCGGAGCCTTTTCGACAATTGCGAAACTTGTGAATGAATGGAAAGGGAATGCAGTCAGTGCACTCTCTCTCTCTCTCTCTTCCCTTATCAGAATGCGAGAGAGAGAGAGAGGGGCAGGGACACTGAGGCGGCAGGAAAATAAATAAATGCGAATCGGTTTGGGGTTTCGATGGAACTTATGACACGTACAATTAGGGAATAGAAAACAAAAACGAAAAGAGGAGAAGCTGCGAAAATCATCTAAAAAACAGTGGTTTTGACCGAAAAAAGTGACAAAATATATCAGGTCCAATTATCAATTGGCAGGATTTGATGGACCTTCCAATGCGCCTTGAACCTGCGGTCCCACGTGTCCACCGGGTTCAGTAGCTTCATGAATAGAACCGGTCGCCTGCAAAACGTTAGCAAAACAACGCGCTTTTCCAACAACAACTGACCACTTGTTCTTCGCGTACTCTTCGAGTAAATCCTCGTGGCACCAGACGAATCCGAACTGCGGATGGCCGAATAAATCGTTGCACACTTGATTCCGCGGCGACGTGTCCAGACTTCCTTTCAGCTGAAAAAATGTCGATTATAGATATTGTGGATAACGCGCTTGAAGTACATATACCGTGAGATAGTAGTGTTCCAACCATTTCAAGTGTACCGGCGGGTCGCGGAAGCTCGTTTTCTCCCACTGAATAATGTTCGAAACCATCAACATCTCCTGCTCTTTTTCTTTGACCTTCTTCACAATTTTCCTGAACACTCTTCCGATTTGGAACATTTCGACATGAAAGTGACCAACTCTAAAGTGACGGTGATCCAGTCGCCGGGCAAGAGACCACTTCTTCTCCTCAACTTCATTTCTTGATAAAGATCGTTGGGAACGGCCGCCTCGCCGACTTCCGTCCAAACGGTTCCAGCGTAACTCGGCTCGAACACCTCTATTTTTTGCCAGTAGAAAAGTCCCAAATGCTCTTTTCTGGCGTAAGTGAGTTCGGCGGATGGGCTTCGTCTGAACGTTGTAGCAATGGGGGTGGACGGATTTGTTGGATGTTCAACTGACCTATTGTAGTCTTCCGCCTTTTTGTTCCAAGCAGAAGGGCGTTCGAGCGAAACAGGGGGACTTGTCGACGGACTGAAAAGAAAGAGAGAGCACTTTCCCTGTCTTCGGATTGAAATTTCATCGAAAAGATCCTAGGACCAGGGCTTTGAACCACTTGCAATATTCCGATCGTACCCAAACTTTGCAGGATTGTTGGACTTGGATTAAGGGCCATTGGGACCAAGTTTCAGCCCGATCGGATCGGATATGTGGATCATTGGCCGAAATTGGCCGGAAGCCCGTGCTTTTTGGAAACAATCGGCTAATATCCGATCCGATCGGGCTGAAAGCTGAAACTTGGTCCAAATGGCCCTCAATCCAAGTCCAACAATCTTGCAAAGTTTGGGTTCGATCGGAATATTGCAAGTGGTTCAAAAGCCCTGCCTAGTACAATGTACTTGCTCACCTTGGTTCAGAGCTTTCCGCTGACACGTCGCCCAAGGAGCCACGTGGCAGAGAGTGTGCAAATGGTCGACTTTCTCTGAAATTTACCGTAAATACTGTATTAGATTGTTTAAACTTTGCAAAAATCCGACTAACTTACTTTGCAGTGATGTTCTCCACGTTTATGCCCAATCTGAGAATTGGCATGTAATCAGTGAACTTGCTTTTGGCGACAAACTTTTTCATTGCACGAACATGCTCGATCGCAGACAATTTCCGTCTGAGCTCGTTCGTTTTTTCCGTCAAATCCACTTCCGTGGCCAAAATCGGCCCCAAGCTCTTGTGAATCGTGAACAGTGTTGTTCCATTCTTCACGTAATTCAAATCGTTACTGAAAAACGACGCATTGACTTCCGTCACACTCACAGAACCATACACTACTATAAAACTCCTGAACACATCCGCATTTCTGGGAAAATCGACGCGCTCGACGTCCACAAATCCGTACCAATCGCAAAATGCGACTTTTCGGTCGTACGTCAGGTGGTACTCGGTTGGACTGAACCCAATCCACGCCAAGATTCTGAGCTCTCCGTCCTGATCGTGTCGGATGTGATCCTCATGGGCTGGCGGGGTGAGGTGCACATTGCACGCCGACACTTTGAGCTTCCCATTCTGCTGATCGGCCGAAACTGATTCGGAGATGTTGAAAAACCATAGAAGTTTGTGTCTGCAATCACTAACCTCTAGCATTATTGCGTTCTTAGCGCCGAATGGACTCACTCTGCGGCTCCATTGACTATTTGCACTTGGAGCAGACGCATGTTCGACTTGTCCCAGCAGTAGAAGACGTTGGGTTTTGTGTTGTGGACGGCAAGAATGAGGAGGCGGTGGTACATGTTGAAGAAGATCTGCAAAAGTCCATGTTGTTAGGTTTTCTCTGATTTTTGTGGTCAAAGGCGATGAAAAATGATTGTTCGACATGAAAACACAACAATTCTCAGAATTAATGACGCTTTGGCGCATTTTTCGCGGATTTTGCTTTTTCGCCTTCGCCGCCGATCGCCGCACTTCTCATTTTGCGCTTTCTTGACCGTTTTCAGACAGAATTAGTTTTGAGAATGATAAATCACGTAAATACAAGCATTTTGAGCGCTCGAACCGCGAAAATTACCGAAAAGCAACTGAAATTCACGCAGTTTTAGCCAGAAACCTTCAAACGGATAAATGTGATTTGCGACTTGACCAAATTTAACGCTCTTGCGCTTAAAAAATTCGTAATAGCCTATACAATCGGTCTATCGAGAGACAAATGCAAAATTATCGGTTTTTCGTGGCTAATCTGGCAAAAAACACAAATTTTGCTGTTAAAATTTGAATTTCGCGCCAATGTATCGCTCTATTGGGCGGGCGCCGCACTTGCTTCCATTTTCAGCTCTGGAGGCCGTGCTGTCTAAGAGTATTAAAATGGCAAAGTGAAACTATCACATGGAGAACACCGATTCTTAGAAGATTTTGGAAAGTCTAAGCAGTTATCTATGTACCCAATATACTTTATCACTAGAGATGAGTCAATACTTCACACGGTACACATAATCACTGACTGTTTTGAGGATTGTACCCTTTTCACCAGAAAGAACACACATCTGATTGTATTGCAAATCAAACTGGCACATTTCTGAATTCCCACACTTGTATGCACACTGTTTCTCGACTCGGTCAGGTGCCACACACGATAAGAAAGCTTAAATAAACACCCGAGCTACGTTCTTGACCACTATCGCAAAAATGGTCACTTTCGCATAAATAGAAGGCAGTTCTGGGAATCTCTATGAAATTTAGCGTCGAGTCATGAATTCGTGTTGCTAGAACGTCCCGCTTCGTCCCTCGAAAATGTTGCACCAATTTTCTAGCGACGAAGCTGTGCATCACGGGAAAAGTGCACAGCAATTCCCCCCCGAAGCTGTCACATGCACCGAACACACATTCATCAGGGCCTAACCGAAATGAGGAAATGATAAATGTGTGTTGTTGTTTAGATGGAAAAACTGACGAAAGGAGGTGAACAATTCATCATCAGACGCAACAGATGGTTTCGTTCAAAGACCGCCTTCTCATTCCGCGTGTGAAGTTCTTTCTGACACTTACAAGCAGCAAAGTAAATGTGCGTTTTACTCGATATCAATGTCGTATCATTTTTTGAGAGATAAGAGAGCAGAAAGACGGAAAGTGAGAGTAAAAGAATAGCGCAAAAGTAGGCGATGTGACGATGATATTCGCATATTTCTCTTCTGTGCGCTAATCAACGATACTGATGATAATCGCATCCCGCAAATTGTATGAAAAAAACGACCTTTGAACATTGGGCAACGAAACGTGGGCGAGAAGAGTTGACACTTTTATCGGAGCGGAATAAAGCATAAACTGTTCATATTTTATAGCATCGTTATCGCAAAAACGGCAGTTTTGTGTTCTTCTGAATTCGAACAAAAACGCGGCGGAGAACAAAGGAAGCAACGACGCCGAAAAAGAGTAAAAAGAGTAACACTTGGACACTTTGACCTCCCGGCCAAAAAATTCCTTTTTCAGAATTTGTAACAAAAATAATGATAATCTGGAGCGGACTTGACGGAAATGGCAACAAAAAAACACAAGTATTATCTGCTAATAATCCAAAACATAACGCGTATCTTTTGAGTACCAATATGGTACTTTACTCAAGACAAGTTCTTCTGGAAAAATCGGTTGCCAAACAGACAGTGTCGCCTGCTTTTGCAGACAAACTGAAGAAAAGCCTCGATTCCCATGCTTTATTGTCAGTTTTTGAAGGTTTATTTCTTCACGCACACGACCCGTGAGGGAAACAACAAAACGATTGAGGAAATGAATGGCGTAGAACATGATTAGTTATGAAATGACGAGTTTGTGCACCTTCCAATAGGCAATCTTGAGTCCGCATCTCGAAAGGACCGGCGTCGACAGCTTCTCCAACCGGAATTGGCCTCTGCAATACGGTAGTGTTTTCACAAGATTTTGTATAATGGGTAGCGCATACAAATGTCCGTTGAAACGATCGTCCGGCAAGTAGATGTAGCCGAGAGCCATGCTATAAATGAAATCGGTGCATCCTTTTTGGCGCCATGTCAGATCGAGAGAGTAGGTTGCCTGCAAAACAGAGCTATTATTGATTGGCGACCGGCTTTTTAGGACTCACAAAGTATCTGAAACGATCCTCGGAGAACTTGATAATCTCGGTCCGAACCGGACATTCCGCTTTTTTGAGGAAGGCTGACACGTAAAGATCGCCGTTTTGTCTCCTGCAATTGTAATTTATTTCTGAATCCCTATCACTTTCACACAGCCGAGCTGACTTGTAAATGTCAAAAGCAGTGTGTCAATGTTTTGAGAGACCTTAGCAAACATCAAGGTCGTTTGTTGGTGAGTAACCAGCGAACAAAATATGGACATACAGTAGCGAGTCATTGCAATAGCAACTTTAGAAAGTTGATTGATTGAATGCATGTAAGGTTAGGTAGTGCGCCCGGGGAATCAGGCACCGATGAACAAAATTGGACTCTTTCGTTGAATTAGAAAGTGAAGCAGAGAAAATTCGAGTTCTCGCGCAAAATTAAAAAAAAATGAATCAGGTAACTCACTCCAAAGTGACCCAGGCCCACTGGTTCAGTCCCAAGAGTCGGGTGCCATCTTTTCTGCAAGGCGGCACGTCCTCCCGAATAAACGCATCTCCCTCCTGCGTCCAAACCATGCCGAGTCGATGTTCAAATGGTGCATCGATGAGTACGAAGCAGTAGGCCAAGTAGACTCTGGGCAGTGGGATGATTGTGGACGGGCGACTGAAAGTTGGACCTTTGTTAGGTCAATGTTTCTGGAAGTTTCTTACTTTGGAGATTGCTGAGACGCCGGAGTAGACGGAGCGGACTGACTGCTGCCGTCGGTGTTGACTTCAAGGTCTCCGTTGCAAATAGACACTTTTTCAGGGGGTCTGAAATTTTCAATCATTTTTTTGCTCATGCTCAAGCGCCCCTTCGCCCCGCGGGTGAGGCGCGGGGGCGCCCCCTCGCCCCGGGGGAGAGGCGCGGGGGCGCCCCCTGGCCCCATTTGTGGGGCGCCCCCACGCCGTGGATAAAGCTAAATTTTTCAAAAAACGGGTATTTTTCAGCAGTATTCTGGGATTTCCAACATTTGATAAATAAATACGTCTGTTCTATACAAGGAAAAACAGTACATATAATTTTGTTATGTTTTTATTCCTATAGTTAGGGGGCGCAAAGGAGGAGGCGTGGCCTGACGAATTTTCTCCCGATTTCCGCTTGTTTGGTCAAAATTTTAGTTTTCGGGGGATTTGAGGGTCAGAAGTACCGTACACGTGGCCAATTTTTACACCATCGGATTCAGCATAAAATTTCCGACCAATCCATGCTAAATATTTTTATTTAGCTGTTGTCCGAAAAAAGTTACAGTCAGTTATGTTTTGGATTTCAGCCCGCAAAAGCACTAATTTCACCATTAGAAGGGGGCCGCGCACACCGAACTTTTCGACGCCATTGGCGGTCGGCGCGCCTTCGCCCGATTAGCGCAGTGGCAGAGTGCTCACTCGGCAGTCTGGAGGTGTCGGGTTCGAAACTTTTGACCTTGAAAGATGATTTGCTTTTTTAGAACATCATTTTTCTTCAATATATATGTTGCTTCCCCAACTTTGAAGGGGTGTAACTCGGGATGTACCTAAAATTTTGGAAAAAAAAATTGGGTGTACACGCACAAACGTCACAACTTTCCCACTTTCAGTTACTACAGTTATTACGTTGCTGCTCTTTTCACAATACGTTCGAAAAAAAATCAGACACACATTTAATAGCGGGGCGAGGGGGCGCCCCCTCGCCTCACCAGCGAGGCGAGGGGGTCGCCTCTTCTCGCCCCATTGCCAACCCTACATGACATACGGAGTGATTGCCAAGAACTTGCGTGAACGACATTTGGACACGATGGGAGGTCTGGAAGAAACGAGTGTGTTACTAGGTGTCAATTACAAAAAAAAAGATACCTGATGCCAATGTTTGTCTCCTCGTACTCAATGAGCATTTCACGGAACACGTTGGCCTCGGCGAGCTTTCTCATCGATTCAATCGAGTATTTTCGTCTGAACACTTTGAAAAGAGTGGTCCCGTTTTTGACGTATTCCAGATCGTTTCTGAAAGTATTAATCTGTGAAATCCCCTCAAAAATAGACACTTACACAATCATGTAGCTGCCGAAAACGTCCCATTCGGCGTTGAATTTGACACCGCCGCAATCGACGAGTCCGTACAAATCTGTGTAGCCGATCCGTCGGTCGAACGTCTTGTGAGTGTCGTTTTTGCTGAAACCGACCCACGCGGAGATGTACTCTTGGCCCATGAACGATCGGATGTAGTCCGTGAACGCAGGTAGTTCCACGCCGGCTTCTGATCCGTTTATGTTCACAATGCCCTCGTTTTGGTCGATCGGAATTGTTGAGGAGATTGTGAGGATGCGGAGGAGTTTCAGGCTGAAAAATGTGGAGGTCTAGGAAGTGCGGCTTGGCGGGAAGACAAGGGTTTACTTATGCCGCGTCCAATGTCTCGGAAAAACCGTAAAAACCGCAGATTTTTCTGTCGAAAGTCGGCCGAAATTTGCGTGAAAAACGGGGGTGCGCACAGCACAATGAATGTAACCGTACCTCTAAAACTACGGTATTTCTTGAAAATTTGTTAATTTCTTGAGGATATTTGAAAATATTCAAATTTCTTGCGCAAATTTTCAAAAAATACCGTAGTTTTAGGGGTACGGCTACATTCATTGAGCTGTGCGCACCCCCGTTTTTCACGAAAATTTCGGCCGACTTTGGACAGAAAAATCTGCGGTTTTTACGGTTTTTCCGAGACATTGGAAGCGGCATTAAACAAGTCGGAGACTCTGCTGGTCCCAAGGGTCTGCTCAGCCATTTCCCAATTACTCACCGGAACGCCTTCTTTCCGTGAATTCTGACTTTGACGAGCGCGGAAATCTGTCGGCTCCAGCCCCAAATTGTGCTCGTTTCGGGGTCATGACTCAAAATGAGCAGACGGTGACGATTCTTCTTCGTCTCTTTGTCGGATTCAGATGCAGAATCCGAAGTGGATGATGACGTTGAAGATGGAGCGGTGGAGAATAGCATTTTGTGAAGAATAAAGTAGATGATGACGCCAACGCCGGCGGAGACAATCGAGAACAGCGACTCGGTAATTTCGAACATCCTGGCTCAAGTACCCTCTAAAAAAAACGTTCTCAATGCCGAAATAAAGCGTATTTTTCGGGGGAGTGGGAAGAAACACTCATTCCGACCTTACACACGTCGAGCATTCGCCCCTTTTTTCTCTGTTTCTCTTCGTGTGCCAGCCGACGAAAAAAAAAACAGGGAACGACAGTTGTGCACAAGGAATGGGCGGAATCTAATTGAATCGAATGCGAATGTCGGAACATCTGCCTAACTAGTATATGCCGATGCTTTGATGGATGGTCTTTGAATTCACAAAACATGCGTTTCGTTTCGAAATTTGAACGGCGGCGCATTGTTTAGGCCAAGTTCTCAGAATCGCGAACAGAGGCTTCGTGGAAAAATGTCCCTGACTCGTGTGAGAAATCAATAAATGGGTCCAGAAAGACTGATTCGATTTCCTAACTAACTTTTGAACTTTCCCCTAATGGCGTTATTCAGCGCACATGTTTGTTCTCGTTTTCTAACACATTTTTACGTCGCTGAATTGAGTTTTTCGCCTGAGACAGGTAAAAAAGAAAGATTTTTTGGTAGTACCGGAATTAATCCAGAACAAGTAACGCACACGAATATCTTCGATGAGTCATTCGTTGATGGGTCTCGCCACGAAAACGATTTTCTCTCAGCTAGCTTCGGTGTTGCGCCTTTAAGTGAGTATTGTTTAAGAAACGTTTGATTTCCCAAAGGAATTACTCGAAAAGATACTATGTGAGAATATGCATCTTCTAGGAGAGTGGGTCTCGCCACGAAAACGATCCTAATTCCGTAATTTCTCATATGAAAATGACGTTCGTTCGAATCAATTATTACACAACAGCAATTGCGTCGAAAACTCTTCGCTGACTGACTGACGGACATGTGTTCTGAGCGCACATTGAAAAATCTCGAAAAACACTCGGAAAATGTGCTAGAAACTCGAAATTCATCAAAATCAACATCAACTAGGTCTCCTCGTAAATCGACACTAAAGGCGCATAATTGACACCGCAGCACCAGTTGCACGGGCGGTCCAAAAAAGAGTGGTGGTCTCGGGGCGGAGAGGAAGAAAAAGGGAAAACAAGAGGAGAAGAAGAAGAAGAAGATAGGCGGGTAGTCCTCCGAGTCGAACCCTGGGAAAAAGGGGCGGCAAATGAGAGATGGAGGGGCGAAAGAACGCTTCCTTTTTAGGCGCGAGCAGCCATTGACGCACTCATCTCGGGGGGATTTATCAAGAAATAAATTGCTAGAGAGAGAGAGAGAGGTTGATAATATCAGCAATGTATGATAAGATTAGACAGTGAAATGAAGACGGAGGAGCAACTTTTCCATCGCTGTGTCATTTACGGTCGGGTCTTTAAGAAAACTTCATAGTTAGTTACCCACACGATTTTCGGTCAGGCTCCGTGGTTCCTGGCCTGGGCACAGTTGGGTCTTGCATCTTTCAAACAGACAAGAAAGCCAAAATCTTCAAATCCAAAACGAATTCAGTTCAACATTCCAGGCTCTCAAGTAATCGTCCCTTCCGGCCGTCAGAATCGTCCGTCCATCGTTCAGAATCTCGGGCGCCGTGAATATTTCCTTTTCGCTCATTGGAATTGCGCGCATTTCGTCCAATTTTCCGAGCCGTCCGATCAGAATCCATCCGTTCTTCGACATCAGAATAATCTCGCCGGTTTCCCAGATTTTCGGCGTTTTAACAAACGAAATTGGCGGTAGATCAAAACGAAATTCCTTCCGAACTGTCAAATTCGGCGTCCATCTCAATTGAATCAGTTTTCCGGATTGCGTGGCGACGAGCAAATGCGCGCTGTCGATTATCAGTGGAGCGCAGAAGCAGTGCTCATTTTCCAGAGTAATTTTGTCCTAAAAACAGGTTTTATTAAGGAAAGCAGCGACAATTCTCAATATTACCTGAATCTCTCCAGATTCCGGGTGTAAAATGTGCAGTTTTCCATGCACATTAAGGACAAACATCGATTCTCCCGAAAAAGTCGGCTCGGCAAAAATCGGTCCGAAATCTCGTTGCCACGTGCATTTTTTCGATGCTACCGTAATCCTGGCTACCGTACCGGCCGTCGTTGTCGCGTAAATGGCCCCATCCGGTCCCTGCACTGGTCCAACCGATGTTCCGCCCGGTTTCTGGCCAATTTTTAGGTTGAAAACCGGGAGACGCGTCTGAAGAATAGCATAACTTTCACGTCGAAAAGCAGAGGATTACTGTGGGATGGACGGCGTGGAAGGTGCCGTTTTCGGACGTACAATAGAGGAATTGTCCGTCGAAAGCGCACGATGCTCGCACTCCGATTTCGGCCTCCACATCGTATTTGTGTTGAGCCAGAAGTTCGCCAGAGTCCAGAGAGAGGAAAAAGAGTCCGTTCACTTTGTTGCCTGCAAAATATTGTAAAATTACTCCGGTATGCCGACACGATGACGAAAAGTTGAGAAAGGGGCGTGGCCTAGCATCATTTTGGCGTGCAAACAGCAAAATGAATCGCGTGGACATTGGGAAATGGGATTGAAATGCGAGGCCAAGCCCCTCTTGTGCAGTACCCAAAACGATCTGTCCATCCGCTAAAGTGGGCGTGGCTTCGAACCTGACTCCGCACTCGGTTCTCCACAAACACCGTCCGTTTCGTGGATTCATCGCGACGACGGCGCCCGAATGAGAAGCGCAGACCACGAGCGATTCGTTGACGATCAACACGTTTCCGTCGATGCACTTTTTCAGATCGACCGCCCATCTCATTCGTGGTTGAGCCGTTTTGTGCACTTTCACATGCACAATATCTCGTGTTTCCTGCTGTCTTGGTCGCTTTTTCGGTTTAAACTTCTCGAGAAACGCTCGAATTGTTGTTTTCGGGTCGAGCATCGCCCGCATGGCTTCTCCCTCTATTTGAGCTCCGAAATGGGATGAGAGCACGGCGGCCTGAAGGGATTTTAGACCGAGGCTCACAAAAGTCTCCTCTGAATCTTCATGGATCATCGAATCCAGTGCCTTTTCCAGCTTTTCCAGAAACGTTTCGTCTTCGTCGGTTTCCAAAATATCCAAAATCTTCAGCAGCTCCTTCTCGTCCACTTTTCCGCTCGAATTGATCGGCATCTGTGCCACGTCGACTACAGTAACCGGGATTACGGTAGCCGCATCCAATTTCATAGATTTGCAATGTTTTTTGGTGGAGGAGGACGTTGGGCCGACTGTGAATTGCACCAGATTCCGCTCGTTGTGATGGAGATAGTGGACCGCCCGAATTTCGGGGTTTTCACGGAGGGCCAAGGCGGTGAGGTGGTCGAGACATATCCGGATGCCACGATGTTTGATCTGCAGGTGAGTACAGTATACCGTAAGCAAAAAAACGATGTATCTCAATTTTCAGTGGAGATATCGAAACGCTGTCAACTGACAAAATGTACAGAATTTCTAAATGCACAATTTATCAGTTGACAAGCTTTTGATATCCCTACCGGCAGATCTTTTATTACAGTATTCTACAGTAATCGATTACCAGTCTGTCAATCCTTCCCGTGATTCTCAGTCCGCCCGTCGTCCGTTCCACTCGATCCCCGCTGTGATGATTTTCCTTTTTCACTCCATTCACGTAGCATTGTCTCGGACCGCCTGTAACTGTAATTACCGACGAGAGCTTCAAAAACAGCAAAATGGAGAGCATTTTTCACTGATTCCATACTTTTTCATTTCACAATGGGCTCAAATCTTTTCTCTAAACCTTCGATGAAAGTCAGCAAGACGCCCACCGACCTATGAGAAGTTCTCCCTGCTCGGTCACTTCCACCGTCGATCCGCCGACCTCTTCGCCCAAAAGAACGTCTTCGCACTCTGCGTCCACCTCAAAAATCGTGGCCCAACAGGACACTTCGGTCACTCCGTACACATTGAACACTCGTGTCCTGTTGTCCGGATGTCGTGTCGAACGGACGAGCTGCAGGGGGAAATGAGAGCCGCCGAGGAGCAGGATGCGGAGGGAAGAGGCGGCGGAGAGGAGGTTTCCCGAGGGAAGCATCTCGAACACGGTCGGAGTGAACTGACCGACGGTCGGACGGAATCGATCGATGGCCGCTTGCATTCGGTGCGGTTCGGTGCGGAAAGAGTCGGCGGTGAGGATGAGTTGGCATCCCGATCGGAAGGCCATGAACAGTTCGACGATCGACGGGTCGAAGAGGAGCGACGTGGAGAAGAGAATCGAGTCGGAAGGCGTCAGTTGGAAGAGCGAACTGGAAAAAAGAAGGTTTTTTTAAAAAAAATTCTCCAAAAATGCTCATTTTCGCCCACCAAAAGTGTTCAATATTTCTCCAAATGCACTCCTCCGGCACCGCCACTTGTTTCCGTGCTCCCGTCGTTCCGCTCGTCGTGATCACGTAACAAACATCGGAAAATCCATCGATTTCAGCATTTTCACCGATTCTTCTAACCTAAAACCTGTTTTTACGCAAGCAATCGAAAACAACCGCGCACAGGGCGCTTATGCTAAACCCAGTGCGCTCGTAAATTGCGGAGTGTCGTTGTAACTTTTGAACAGCCGCGTAAATCGACACAGCCCGCCTGTTGCAAGTGCGCCCCATTGAGAACATTCGGCCCCCGAGGAGGGATACCGTGAACCGTACTTTTGGCGGTCCAAAATAATAGAACTGCGCAGAATAGAACCGCGACATAATATAACTGTTTGGAGCGCCTTTAAACCTTTCCGTAGAATAATTGTTTCGCTGAAAAAGATAATTTTTGAATCTCGTGATCGATTTATTGTATTTATTAATTTCCCTTCCATCGCGATCCCTCTTCTCTACGGTAACGAAAACCCACAGAAAATAATTGTATTGTACTATCAAAAACGAAAGGAAACCAATTTTCTAGGTTTAAACTGTGGTCTTCTGCTTAATTGTTCGAGAGACGAAAAATTTTGCGAAAGTTAATTGAAAGGAACGGACAAAATGCTCATATAAATACTGAAAAACAGTTCTATTGTGTCGCGGTTCTATTCTGCCCAGTTCTATTATGTTGGACCGACGTACTTTTTCGCCGTCAAATGTGAGGGTGGTCCGAAATCGGTCGTATTGATTGATTTGACAAAATGTGAAGGCGACTTGCAGTTGAAGACACCTAAAAAGCACACTTTTTCTCGAAAATTGTGCACTTTCTACGAAATGATCGCCAAAATAGTGTCCGGACTGCGCGGAATCGCGATTAAAACGACGTCGTCCGGGCGGAAATTTGAATTTCTTAAAATTTCCGCATACTTATCCACTTTCTCTCGAATTTCCCGTTCTGAAATATGTTTTTTTTAAGGATGCAGTGCATTTTTCCCACAACCTCCAATTTTATCTCCGTTTTCCGCATCGATTATTGTGAGCTTCGAGTGAATTTGAATATGCATTCTGAATCAAAAAACCATCAGACATTTTTAAGTAAGAACATGAAAAATAATTTTAAAAGCGTAAAAATCGCATTTCAGGTCAAAAACACACGTATCCGTCTGCATCCATCACTTTATTCATATTTCTAGAGTCATCGACCCTAGAATATCCGCATCCGTACTGAATTAACACAAAAAAAACGATAATAATGAGAATAATCAAAGAAATTATAAATGATCAAATCAATACTTACGGGGTTATTCAACGGATGTTTTTTTTTGGTTTTCCATTAAAAAAACATACACTGAATAGCCTTTGAAACAGCGAACTTTAGTTCCAGAAATCTGTGTGTAATACAAGAAAGAGCTCAAAATATATATAAGAGATAAAATAAATGAAAATAGTCCGTTCAAACATCCGAAGTTCCAACTTCGTCTCGCTGCGGACTCATCGTGTCGTTCGAGACCTTTTCCGACTCTTCCGCGTACACCACGTTCAGCTCATCCTCCTGAAAAAAAAAACCGATAAAACTAGCATATTGTCGAATTCTCAGCGTTTACGCCCATTCCGCAACTTACGAGCTTCTTGAGCTGATATCGCTCCGAAATAACCTTCATCTTTATCTGCTGCCACTGATACTCCTGCTGCTCCTCCTTGAGCATGTTCCGCCGATTCTCGAATCGATAGTCCAGCGCGAGAGGATTGATTCCCTCGAGCCGTTTGTTGAGTTTGATCTGCTCGCTCCACTCCAAATGCTTCGTCTCTGTTCCGTACTCGTATTTTAGCATCTGGATGACGTCCGCCGCGAATCGTTTCTCCTCGTCCGCCGTGAGCGGCCGTCCGAACTTCAGATACTTTCGGTTGAGCAAATCGACGACGGCGCCCCAAATCAAAATGGAGAACGAGTCGAAGATGTCGAAATGGTCGTAGCCGGATATGTTCATCGAGTAGAACGAGGGCGGCTGCCAGATTTGCTGGGCTCGGATCCAATCGGCTCCGCGCAGGGCCGACTGATTCTCGAGCGCTTGGCGAATCATTGTGGGCGCCTGAAATACGTCATCCTGAGCATTTATCAAACAGTTTTTTCTAAAACACGATTTCCAGAGCTTACAATAGGCACAAGCGACATTTTGGGGCGAAATTCAAATTTTAAAAGCAAATTTCGTGTTTTCACGTCAAAGTATCATTTTTATTGCTTTTGACCACAAAAGTCGGGTTAAAAGTGCTCCAGACACGTCCTATTGTAAGCTCTAAATACCGTGAAAAAAGAATCATACCACTAGACCATCCGGTCGCGGATTTTGCGCGGAAATGCCTTCTCCTCGGAACTTGTTTACACAGCCCGACCGCGAGAAGTGCGCGCGTACCGTGCGTATCTACGAAGCAGCGACCGCATGTTTCCGTCGGCCGAATGGTCTAGTGGTATGATTCTCGCTTTGGGTGCGAGAGGTCCCGGGTTCAATCCCCGGTTCGGCCCATCCCTTTTTTGGCCCGCCCTCCACTCACTAACTCCTCAATATACTGTCCCTGACACCACTCCTCGAGTATCGTTTCGCCCATCGTCGTGTTGTTCAGCACCTCTTCCACAACGTTCGCTGGTTGTGCCGATGGTGGTGCACGCGGGGTGTCCGCTCGAAGGCTATCCGCGGGCGCCGGTGGGGGAGGTCGTGGTGGCGCCGCCGAAGACGGCGAATCCGAGTCCATGATCGACTTTAAACGTGGCATCGGACGGTCGTTGAGCAGGAACGACGAGTCGTTGGCGCTGTCGTTAAACGAAACATCGGCGAACGCGGCGGCACGTGGCACTTCCGGCTCTTTCTCGGCCGGCGCCGAAATATCCTCCTCTTCCAGTGTGCTGTCCTCGAACTCGTCCCGATTTCGGAACTGTGCGTGCTCGTCGCCCTCGTCTTCTTCCTCATTCACCGGCGGCGTCGGCGTCTTCTCTTCCTTCTCGTGCTCGAACAGTGTCGCATCCAGATCCTCCTCCTCCTCGAACTTCATCGCACTATAGTCTTTCTTTGCCATTTCCGTCGGCGAGTCGAGATTCCAATCGGGAGTCTCATCGGAATCCGGAGGCGACGGCGACGACGAAGATGAGGTCGGTCCGGTGAGTGTGATACGTGGCACGCGCGGACTCGGATAATGCGCTTTTCGGAGCGGCGACGGTAACGAAGACGTGGAGGATGAGGAGGAGGCCTCCTCGTCCGGTTGCTCCGCGATTTGCTCCAAAGGCGGCGATGCGTCCGATCGTTTTTGGGTTTTCAATGGTGGAGTCGAAGGTGGGACCGCTGATTCATCTGCTAGCTTCGGGATTTTAGGTTGAGCAGAAGGAGCCACCGCCGAAGTGCCAGGCCGTTTCGGGACGTTCGATGAAGATGACTGATCTGCTAGCTTCGGGATCTTGGGCGGAGCAGAAGTGTCAGGACGCTTCGGGACGTTCGATGAAGATGAAGAAGGAATTTTCGGTGTGGACGGCAAAACATCAGGCTTCTTCGGAACCGGAGGAGGAGACGAAGAAGGCTTCGGAACTTCCGGGGAAGTGGACGAAAGCGTTGAAGACGAGGATGGTGACGATTCGTCCGAGAGTTTCGGAGCTTCTGGAGTCGATGAAGATTCTTCAGAAGCAACTTTTTGAAGTTTCGGAGCTTCGCGCGAGACCGCCGGAGTCGGAGGAAGAGGAGCACTCAAAGCGGCCTCAAACTCGGAAGAAGTTTGGTCTCTGCCTGGGGTCACTGGTCGATCAGACGGTCCTTCCGCCTCTTCTTCTTCCTTCTTCTTCAGCTCCGTCATTCGAATCCATTCCGCTAGGATATGAGACGCTCCGTTCGAGAATCTTCTCGCCGAGTCCTCGTGGAACGACTCTCTTTCGGATCGCTGAGTTTGCGCGTCGGCTGGCGGGAAATGAGTGAACGGCAGCGGTCCCTGCCGGAGTTCCACTTGTGGCGGACCGATGCTGTCGAGGCTTCGGTCGTGGAGCGAGATGCTGTCGAGCATGTTGTTCAGATCCGATATGTGTTCTTGTTGCTGTGGAGCCGGAGCCGCTCCCCTAGGCGGCTGAGAAGCATGTCGAGCACGAGCCGCATGTATATATTGGAAAAATGAAGCAGGCGGTGGCGGAAGATGGGCCCGGGCCTCCATCGAAGCGGCTCTTCTCAGTGAAATCGGGCGGGCCGGGGGCGGGGCCGAAGCCTGACTCGCCGAACGAACACGGTACAGATCGTTGGTCGGTGGGGAGGAAGAAGAAGAGGAAGAAGAAGGCCGTCGGGGGCTTTCTTCGCCGCGGAGAGAGCTCAAGTCGAGCCGTTCGATGTAGGGACTCGTGAAGCGAAGGGGATCGGAGAATGAATCCCGACGGGCGCTCTTTTCCGCCTCCACAGTCGAATGGTTCGCACTTTTCCGAGGAGTCGGCGCCTGTGGACGTGTGCGTGGCTCCTCGCTGGAAGACGATTCCGAATTGGTCGGCAGAACGCGCATAACGTTGCTCTGTCGTCCGATCGATCGTCTGTTATGCGATCTGCGAACTGCCTCGTCAATCTCCCACGGCGACAGCGTTTTTTCGACGGATTTCAGCAGCAATTTGAGAAGTTTCGCCAATTCGAGGGCCGTTCTTTGATCGAACTCGGGCAACGGCAACGGGAACCAGCTGTCAATGTTCCTCTCGAGGTCGACGACATATCTGAAAAGAAATAGATTGTCTAGAAGCATAGTTGTCATGGGCGGAAGCGAAGGCGATCGGGGAAAGTATCCCGACGTGCGCTTATCAAAATTGGGAAATAAAGGACCGACCTGGAGACGCGTCCTCCGTAGTTGTTCCTCTGCACTTCCATCACTTTCCGGCACCGGTCCTTTATGCTCGCCGTCACTTCCCTTTTTCTCTGTTCCTGACACTCCCGCTGGCCTCGGTGGAACGCCCGTGCGCGGACCTCTTCCGGTGCCTCGTGCGGTCCGGTCGGATCCTCGTTCATGGTCGCTTCGAAAAGGTTCTGAAGGAACTTGGCAAACGGCGATGACGCGTGAGTCCTTCCGAGTACGTACCTGCATTCTTTCGAGTTTCGCTTGCTGCCGGTCGATCTGCGCCGCCGTCACGTCCGCGTAGCGCATCTGCATTTGATGCGCGGCAATGAGCGTATCCACGTACGATCGATGCACCGGTTCCGGAGGTTGCGCTGTTTCCACGCTTTGCGTGGGCGTCGCCGCTCTTTGATTCAAATAGGAACTGCTGGGACCGGGCGCGTTGAACGTGTCGATCGGAGGCGGTTGCGATGAACTTCGCGAGTGAATGACTCGACGATCGGCGCCGCGCGGGCAGCGAACGGAGGCGGCCGTTTCGACGAGCACTTGCTCACGGGCGGCTTGACGCGGCGATCCGTTCTGGATGAGATCGTGCATTCGGGTGAAGTTGTGCTCCATTCGGCTGTTCAGGTCTCTCGAGTACACTCTTCGCTCTTCCACTGGAACTGGGCGGAATTAAAATTCAGCAATGTTTCACCAAAAGTTGAAAAGAGGTGGGGTTAGCTTCAGCTATTTTTCGCTATTTTCTCTTTAAATATCGAAGAAGACATTAAAAACACTAACCGTGCCCTTTTCAACTTTTAGTTGGTTTTCGAACTCTTTAAGATAAATCTTCAAAAAATGACAGAATTTCGGGAAATTCCAGCACAAAACTCGGAAATTTATTCAACTTTTTAACCGAAATTCTACTTACACGTCGGCTGTCTTTGGGGACTTGCCCTTTCTCTCTGATTGTTCTGCGGACTTTTGTGCACAAATCGCTCGTTGGGCACATCTCTCAGACTGTGCGAAACTCGCCCATGACTCTGAGAGCAGGAATGTGCTCTCGAATGCTCCGACACCCCACTTCCTCCACGTGAAACTGGCGAAACTTCGTCTCTACGCGACGGCGAGCGGCTGAACGACGACGAAGGCCCAGGATCTGCCGATTCGGGCGTCCGGGACCGTCTTTGGGCTATTCGAAGGTCTCGCGCTCTGTAGCGAAGGTTCCGGTCCTCATCGTAACGCTGGTAATCCTCTGCGCTCGGCTGTGGGTTCGCTGCAATTAAACCAGGGTGTATAATTATAAAAATCGATCAGAACATACTGAGCGAGAACGTCGTCGAGGCATCGGACGAATAATCGATAGGGACGGAACGGTCGGCGCTCTCCGCGTTCTCTTTGTCCCTGCTCGGCGTCTTCTTCCGATTGCTCATCCTTTCCGGATGATTTCGATAATGTTTCGACTCGTAAAGTACACTTTTCGTCGGCTTTTCCTCGTTTTTATTGAGCCACGACCTGAAGCCACCCTTTGGAATCGGTATTTGGGATGACATTTTCGCGCAGCAAAATAATATTACAGCTAATAAGCAGCAGAAAATAAAAGTATGAATCGTGGCGAGAATTGTGTTCAAATTCGATTGCATCCGCGCCGTGCGCCGTGCCAATGTGTGCAAACACCGCGACGAGCAATTGCGAAGTGGAGGAGAGACGCAGAGAAAACTTCTGAATAAATACAAAAAAAAATGTGGCTTTATGAAAGACTCGTTATCAAATGACAAAGAAACGAATGAGGCGAAACGTGTAAAACTTGAACTGAAAGCGTTTGAATTTGGCGGGGTTTTTCAAAAATCAGGAGGCACTTTGAACGAAGGCTATGAATATTTTCAGATCGATCGATATAAGTAGGGATTTTCAGGTAGAGATGTGAATGAGAAAAAATGAAATAAAGAGCACAGAATATGAAAAGTGATAACACGAAAAAACCGGGGGTTGTAACGCCGGAATGAATACAAGTTTTGAACAAAACAATATGAGTAGGATTGACTAAAATTGGTGAAAAACGCGATCATTGCGCGTGTTGTCGTTGTCGAGAAACAGCCGTGGATCGGTGCTGGAGACGGGCGATCGCCTCTTTCAGAGATCGCGGCGGGCCTTCGCTGAAATGACAGCAAGAAATTAAGTGAAAGAGTGAAATAATGAATCAAACCTCCAATTATCCAAATCCGGATTGAGCTCCTCCTCCTCCATTTCTTCTTCCTCCACCTCCTCATTTCGCACGGATTTCGGTGGCGTCGAAGCCTTCTCGATCACTTCGTCATCGTCCAATTCCGGCTCCGTCTCGATGATCTCCTCTTCTTCGGAACCTTCTAAAACTTTCTCCGGCTCTGGGACCTCATCTATCAGCTGTTCTTGCTCGTGTTCTGACTCCGGCTCTCGCTCAGGTTCTTTCATCTCCTCAACATGATTTTCAAGCCGTTGCTCCAGATTTTCCTCCACAATCTGTGCCATCTTCTCCGGCGTCACACGCTTCTGCTTCTGGAAGGTTCTGAAAGTCTCCTTCTCCTCCACTTCTTCTTCTTCTTCTTCCTCTTCCGTCGTGGATCTTCTCGGTCGCTTCTGATTTTTCCGACCTTTTTTCCGTCCGCCTCCGCGTTTTCGTTCGGTCCCATTTGCTCGCGGAGTGCTTTTCGGAGTAGCCGTTTCTTCTGTGGAGCCCTTTCGATAGCAAGTGGCCGGCAGTGGAGAATCTTCGAGAATCTCCGAGCACTCGTCGACCATCATGTACTCTTGATAGGTCTGGATTCTAGTTTCTGGAACTTCCGGCTCTTTTGGTTCGTCCGGAATGTAGAGTGGTTCCACGTGCTCGAGCTCCACGGCCTTGTAAAGTTCGTAGATCACGATCGGTTCTGGCTCAATTTGCTCCACTTTCTCCGGCTCCTCCACTTGCTCTTGAATCGGCTCTTCTGGCTCCTGGACCTGATGGATCTCAGTCTCCTCCTCAATGTGGTCCTGCTGGATCTCCTCCGCCTCCTTGACCACATGATTGTTGCGGACCGCCTGTTGTTCTGGCGACGGCGATGGAGTCGGTTCGACGATCGGAGCGGGCAATCGGTAGGGCTGCTCCTGCAAAATTAGGGAATGTTTCGGACTGAAAAAGTGCGAGAATTTCCGCTTTTTCGGGAGCCACGCCCTTTTTTTCAATTCTTCATAGTTTTTGTCTATTGTCTCCAAATTTCGAGCAGTTTTCCCAAAAAACGCCAAAATTTCTCATTTTCTTCAGTGCATACCTTTTCCGGAATCTTTCGAACAATTTCCTGCGGTTTGGCTGGCTCCGGCTCCGGCTCCGGCTCCTTCTCTTTCTCTGTCTGATGAACCTCTGGCTCCACTACTGGCTGCGGCTCTTTAACTTCCTTTGGCTGATGGACCTCTTGCTCCGGCTCTTTTTCCAGCTGCTCTTTCTCTTTCTCCGGCTCCGGCTCCGGCTCTTCCATATGCTCAGCAACGTGTCCATTCAGTTGGAGTGGTTGAATCTCTTCTGGCACTTTCGGCTCCGGCTCAGCCATTTTCTCCGGTTCGGGCTCCGGTTTTCCCGATTCTTTTTCTTTCACGGGTTCCACTGGCAGCTTCTGACACTCTTCGACCGGCTTCTGCGGCTCAACGGGCTCCGTCGGCTGTGGTTCCATCAGATACTCGCCAAATGGTCCTTCCAGCACTTGCTCCGGCACTAACTCCATATACTCTCTAGCTGGCTCTCCCTGTTCAGGCTCCAAAAACTCTTCCATCGGCCTGAGCACTTGGTCCGGCTCAGTTTGCTCCATTTGCTCAAATGTCTGCAGTTGTTGGGGCTGCTCATAGTGCTGCTGCACTTGCTGCTCCTCATCCGACTCAACCTCCATATCCACCTCTTCTCTCACCTCCCCGAACATCATCATCGTGTCCTGATGCTCTCTCTCCACATGCTCAATAAACGTCTCCTGATGGTATTGCGGCGAGAAGACGGGTGCTCCGTTGTTGATCGGCGTCCACGAGCTCCGCGGTTGTTGTGGCGTCAAATGAAGGGTCTCCAGGGCCGGCTCATCGGGTGAATTGAGCCGCATGTGCAGATTCCGATGCTGCTCATCGGCCCGCTGCACCAGCATCGTCACGTCGTCCATTTCCAAGTGCCCCGAAGTGATCGGCTGATGATTCTGATTCTGATGATGATGTTGATGGAAATGACGTGGGCGTTGATGATATCGTTGATGTCCGAAAGAAGGCGTGAGCGGCGATGGAGTGGCGGGAAGATCGAGTCCCAGGTCCATCTCGAGGTCCAAGTTGAGATGGAGATGGCTCGGCCCTGCGACCTCCTCCTCCTCGTCCGCCATTATCCCTTTCGGAGTCGTTGACTCGAGCATTCCCTCCAGCGTCGACGCCATCAGCGGCTCTTTCATCAGGTATTGCGAGGGATAGTCGTCGTACTCGGGCTCCGGATCCGGTGCTCGTTCCACGATTCGGTGCCTGAAAAAGGATGGTTTTACAGGTTCATTTCGTCTAAAAACGGAACAAGTTTTCGAGACCGAAACCTTTCTCGGTTATCAGTCCTGGTTTCGAGTATAGGTCGGAAAGTTTAGGGCTTTTCGGCATATATCACCGGACCAAATTATCCGATCAGGCTGAAACTTTCAAGCTAGATACTCTTAACCATGACTGATAATCGAGCAAAGTTAGAATTGGACCGTGCAATCGATAATTGCACGTGGACCTAAAAACCCCTAAAGTCTTCTAATCCTAATTTGAACAACTTTCAAACAATTTCTCATCACATTCCAAAGTGCTTAAAACTCACGGCTGCCGTGCCTCCAACTCCTTCGTCCTCGCCACAATCCTCTGCATCTCTGCGAGTTCTGCGGCCGCCCGTCGCTCCTGCTCCTTCCGGTCCCTCTCGATCTGCCGCTCGACCTTGCGTCTCCTCCGTTCCTCCTCGTCCTCCTCCATCTTCCGCTTCTTCGACGCCTTCCCGTTCTCCTCCTTCTCCGCCTCGTGCTCGATCACACACTTTTCCTCGCACGCCGTCAACGTCGCATCGTCGTCTTGTGAGCACGATACGAGCAGTTCCATCTCGTGCTGGGAGGCGGGGCGGGAGCACGGAACGACGCTCTGATAGGTCAGGAGGCTCAGGAACTTGAGGAGTTCGTCGCGCGAGCAGTGGTCCGAGTAGTCCACCCGAATCACCTTGTCCTTGTGCTTCAGGAGCATCGGATCGACGGTCGCCATGTGGGAGAGCATCGAAATATCAAAGATGACAAAATCGAGATGCTCCTCTCCTGGGACCAGGTCCCACTGGTTCCTCTTGACCACTCGGATCGTGCGCGCGCCGTTATGAATGCCAAATTCGAAGAAGAAGCTCATGGTGCACACGAGGGACTTCTTCTCCTTGTACGCGATCACCGGCTCCATCATCTGCCTGCTCAGCTCTTCGATTATCTCCTCCCGGCCCATTCGGTGGATCGGAATGTAGATGTTCTTGCCCCGGTGCTCCTGAACGCCCTTAAAGAGCTCCGCAAAAGCGGTTTCTCTATCGGGAAACGGCATGCTCAGTGAAAGGTACTGATTGTCGAGGTATACGGTCGCGAACTTCTTCTCCGTCAGCCAATTCAGCTTCTGCTCCGGCTCCAACAACTTCATAAACTTCTTGTCGGCACGGAAATCGCCGGTGACGAGTACCCGCCCGCCCGGGATCGCTTTTCCCTCGAACACGTACATCACGGCGCCGGGCACGTGATTCGCGTCGATCAGGTAGACGGTGAAATCTTCGAAGCGGTGCGGAATGTCCTCCACGAGCACATGGATTATTCCCGGCGGCACGTCGCGTTCCGACTCGAATCTGAAACGAATCTGAATGATTTTGGAGGCGAAACTCTGGTAAATGTTCTCGAAATTTCTAATTTCCAGCCGAAATTCAGTAATCTTTTCTCAAGTCTCACCCCATAATTTGCGGTAAAATCTGTGCGGTCGTCTTGCTGCAATAGACTTTCTGTCCCCATTTCGTGTCCAGATTTTTGCAGTGTTCATCTTGAGCGCCGGTCAGAAAATGGTGCTTTCGGGCGTCGCGTTTTCTGGAAAAATGATTATATTCTGAATAATTTAAGCATCGTCCAGAAGAGTGCTTACCCGAACCAATCGACGGCGATCAAATCTCCAATGATAATCTTTTTGCACGGCTGCGCGAACGCCTTCTTTCCGGCGCTCACCGCCGCCGCAAAGTTCTTCCATCTTCGCGAAGTGGTCGGAGGCGGAGGACGAACGACTGGGACCGGCGGAAGTGAGGGAAGCGAAGGTTCCAGTCGGACCACCGGAGGAAGAGGAAGAGTGGGAGGCGGAGGGAGAGAGGCAGAAGCAAAGGGCGGCGGGGAGACTGTTTTGGGCGGCGAGGCGAAGAGGAACATCGACGGGTGGTGATAGTGTATCACCGGCTGGATCGTGTTCGCCGACGTGGAGGCCGACGCCGATTGCATCGAGGCCGTCTGCGCTTGCTCGACAAACTCGACGAACGAATCGCAGTCGGGGATCTGCTCGAGCGCTCGTTCCACACGTCTGAAACCATAGAAATTTGGTATTTAAAGGGGGCATGGCACTATAGAGTCTCTTGAATCTTGACAATGTTTTTCAGACGTAAATGAATACATTTCGAATTTGCCTTTTTGCTTAATTAAGTGTTGCGGATATTTTTTTTAGGACACTTCACCTTTGAAGGGGCGTGGCACAAAGAAACAGTTGTTAAGATTCAAGAGTAGAATTGTCTAATTGAGCATGGAAAAATTGCTAAAGATCACTTTTGACGGGTCATTCGAAGCTCTAAAATGCGCAAACTCCGCCCGTTTTAAGCCTTCAACTTTTCCAACGTTTCGCAAGGCAATTTCAGCTTTCACACAATCTATTTGTGCTTCAATTTCTATCGATATTGTCACAGTCTTAATCGATATGCGACAATATATCAATCAATGATAAGAACAAAATGGATGGAGACAATTGTATTGAGAAATTGTTGACCGACGATCTTTTAGCTTATAAACTATTCAGGCTTCTGATAAACTTTGTTCCGAAACAGGATTCATTATGAAAATTGGCCTGAAGCCGTGTGTAATCGACCGTCAAATTAAGTGCATTGACGGTAAAGCACACAATTGAGCGCGAACAGATAGGAAAAAAACGACAACGTCATGAAGGGGAGAGAAAGAGAAAGAGAGATAGAACACTTCTCGTCTTTCTGTATGTTATGATAGCCGCCCTTCCTGGTTCTCTCCATTTTCACAATTTCCCGTTTCTCAACCAATTTCGCAACCGCCGTGTAGCGCCTACATTGAGCGGTAAAAGTGCCGAACATCCAAAGATTTTAATGTACTAGCCGATCTCTAAAAATCGGCCATGCCAACAACATACAAATCGATGATAATTGCATAAAATCTTCACGAAAATGGTGAGAAATGTGCGTGAAAGGCTCTGTGAGAGTTGTAAAAATGGAGAGAACCTCGTTGGCGGTTATTCAAATATTTCGCGAGCATCTCTCCGGCAATTAAATTCTATCAAAGTAAAAACGAACCTTTTGATGATGTCAAACTTCTCGTGTTCGGTGTTCACCGGAATTTTGCTAATTCCGCGATTGTACGCCATTCCGCCGTGCAATTTGAGCGAATCGCCGAATGTGCTGCGCGCGTAGTGAATGTTTGTGACAACCACAAAGTCGCCCGACTGAAAATGTTCAAAAATTGCTCAAAAGCCAGAAAAGTTGTTCAGAAGAATTCGAACTTACCTGTTCAGTCTTATTCTTATGCAGTCTGGTAAAAACTGGTGGAAAACCGGTAAAAACAATTTTCTTTAACGTTTTCACCACTTTTCGATCCGACCAAACAAAGAAAACATGGTCTAGGATCCCATGGAGTTTTCTAGGCCATATTCTCCACGAAGTATGCAAATTCCAGCGTGTTCGCCGTAATTATACACAGTTTTTTTTTTCAAATTTTGAGCCAGGAATCTCTATCTACCGCTCAATTCGAATCATCGGATTTCAGGCCAAAAAAGATTTTTCTATAAACTGAAAACGTACATGGACAGTCTCGAGAATGTCGCGATGCTCGTCGTACACCTCGATTTCCATCATGTACTCTTTTCCGTAGTACTCGATCGCTTTTGCGATTCGCGGTTCCGGCGGCACAATGTACTTGTTGAAGTACTCTTGTGTGACTCGGAAGAAGCGCGTCTGGTGCAGGTCTCGGCTGAAATAGGTGAAAAGTGAAAAATGGAGGGGGCGAAAGGGAAGCAACAAACTATTTCTCGGGTCCGAATCGAGTGGCTCGCCACACTCGGAGCATCCATGTGCCGTGGCGGGTCTCCACGACCGAGTGGACCTAAAAGAGAGCAATTTTCAAAAGGTGTTCTCGATTGATTGAGAGCCGAATTTAATGAAACTTTCAGGATCTTCACAGGAGCCGAAGCCTTCAAATGACTTTTCTCGACTGTTTCTTGAGCTCCCAGAACACGCCAGCTCTTCATTTTTTTGTATCTTTTTCCCTAGTTTTCTACATTTCTTCCAGTTTTTTTGTGCAAACAATGTCTCACCTGTGCAATAATGTCAAAGTATCTGAGGTATTGTAAATAAAAGTTGTTGTCGACGAAATTACCCGCCTGCTTGAGTCGTTTCTCTATTTTCGGCGACGCCTTCATTCTCTCGAGACTGAAATCAAATTGCTTTTTGTGTTGCTAGCTGAAAAAAGTACGAAGCGAAAATGAAGCGAAACAAGTGAGAAATCTCTTTTTTTCCAGTTCAACCACCACAAAATCCGGTTAAAATAAATGCTACTTTTCGAAAAAATAGCAAATAAATTCCGGAAAAATCGCATAAAATCCCGAATTTTTAAGGATGTCTTCCAAGACGGCCGCCGAAAAAATCGATAAAAAGGGTTAGTAGTGTCTCGTTTGAAAACGCGCTCCGCCTGAGCGTCTGCGTCTCTCTCTCTCTCTCTTTCTCGGCCGAGACGGACCGACCACCGAGTGTCCGATAAAAGTACGACGAGTCGGGCGGAAAGAAGAAGAAGAAGAAGAAAGTGTGGAAGGTGTTTCCGTGATCGGATTATGTCGAGTGGGACGATAATATTCAAGTGCGTACATCTTCCGTTTTAGGAGCCAACAATAAGTTCGGATTCTTCTTCGAGTCGTCGTAAAATTCGCGATCGCCTTAAAAACACCACAACGTTTCTGATTGAAATTGCATTCGTTTTTCTGCCATCTTATCACACAAAAATACAATTTTCCACTCGGCACATTATTTGTGTCAATTGTTATTAAAAATTGAACATCGGAAAAGGGCCCGCAACTGATGCAAGCGCGCTGAATTGATAAAACAGTTTTTTGTCAGGAAAAACTCAATATAAGAAGTGTTCCGGTGCCACGTGCCACCTAGAAAATCTGCAAAATAAAAATGTGCGCGCATCTCCAATTTATTATACGGGGGGCCAATCGGACACAACGAAAAGTTTAAAGAGGAGGACAGAGTCATCAATAAAATAGGAAAACAATATCGAGAGTACGGAAAGGCAAAAAGAGGTGGTGGGAGGCTAATAAATTTCAAAAATTGACATCAATCATGGTATTCTCGAACTTCTAGGCGGGAAAACAAATAGATGGCGAGCGCTTTTCAGTCGGTTTTTTTCAGTTTGAAAGGGGCGGGGCTTCTGGACGGCTCCAAATGATATAGCCAGATTTGTGTGTGCAGGGGCGGCGGCGAGCGGGGACAAAAGAGCTACACATTTTGAAATCACAAAGAACATTATATAAAAAAAGGAGGGGGGCGGGGGAAGGGGGCTAGACGGACAAAAAAGAGGATATGAAAATTTTAGGAACAAAATTTTCAGGTGTAAGATTATTGAAACAAAAACAAAAATTAGAAATCTTGTGGGGGCACAAAAATCAAGTTTTCAATGAAATGTAATGGAGAAAAATAAACATTATTAGAGCAAATGTCAAGGATACCCTATTTGAGTCATAAATTGGGAAAAGTGTGGGGAGGGGAAAAAGAGGGGCAAAACTCGCAAATTTTCGAACAGAGACACATATAGTTTAAAAAAAGAAAACGGGGGCAATTATACCAGAATTACAGAGATTTTTCGAGAGGGGAACGAGGAGCAATTCACAAAAACACAAGATTTTAGACGGGAATGCTATAGAAAAAGGGGCGGGGCGTGGACGGGGGCAACTCGGATGATGAATGACAAAGAGGGGAACAGAAAAAGGGGGAAAATTCGGGATTTGTGGTGATGATGATGATGATGAGAGTGGATATAGAGGGTGAGAGAGAGTGAGAACTCGTGCGATCGCTCCGATTTATTGCTTGCCATCTCTGTTCGACGACCTGTAGTACACCGGCTCTGAAAATGGGAAACTTGACGGTATGGAAGCAGTATTTTTCATTTTTCTAGTATTTTCGAGCCTTGTTTGTGCGCCGCTAATGCGCGACTTGCTCCTGGTTTCTAGCAAAATTTCCAGCGTGTAAAGCGCAGAACTAGCTTTTTTAGCACCCTAATTGATCCGACAATCCAATCGAGTTGAAACTTTAAAGGTAGATACTCCAAATCAATACTGAAAGTATTGTAGAGTTAGGATCTGGTTGGATGACCAAAAACGGTCCCAAAATCTCAAACAAGCCTATCGGCCAGCACTTCCAGGGAGATTGACAACTTTTCCAGCAAAAGCAACAAAGAAAACAGCTTCAAAATTTGAATCTCAACTCACTCGGTCCTTTGTTGATGAAATCATCCCAAAGTTGCTTCCAGTTTTCGAGGATTTGAACGGCACTTTCGGTGGTCTGAAAATCACAATTTCATCTCAATATCCGCCCTAAAAATGCTCGTCTCTTACCGCTCCGTTGGTAGGCATCTGACGGAGTTCCGCCGATCCGTCCTCCTTCTGCTGCTCGGCGTTCGTCTTCTGCGTGTTCGCCAGCGATTTGATCAGATCCACTCCGTTCATTCTTTGCTGCTGCTGCTGTTGCTGCTGCTTCTGCGGCGGCGGCGACTTGCCCTTCTTTTGCTTCTGCTGTTGCTGACGCTTCTTCTTATCCTCTGAAACTGGCGCAACTTGCTCATTCGGTCCCTTGGTCGATTTCTTTGACTCACCCGGAGTCTCTTCGTATCCGAACGAAATGTCCGTGGCGGCGGCCGTCGAAGGTGGCAGTTGAACGGCTCCTCCGGCGACGGCGGTGGCAAACGTCACTGCTGGCTGAGAAGAAGACGGCTGCGCGGCGGCCACGTCCTTTTTCTCCTCAACCACTGGCGGTGGGGACGACTTTTTGGCCGAAGAAGAGGACGGAGAAACGGCAGAGGCGTTGAAGGCTGGTGGCTGTGGCACTGGCGACATCTCGTGGGCCGGAGTATTGTCTCCAGAAGTTTTCTTTGCGGCGTCGGCGTAAGAGAAAGCGGGCGCCTGCAAAAATGACAAAAATGGAAAAAATCAATAACAATCGGAAAGGGGAGGCGGAGGGTACACACAACAACTGTGTGACCAACACGACCGAAATGGCGGAGTGTGGTTGGTGCATTGCTACGCGCACATTACGTACGTCGTGAATACACGCAATTCTACGACACAAACATACCGTATTCACAGAAATCGGCGTCTCGGCGGCAGTGTCCGCAAAGTTGGGCGATGCGAGCGGAGCCAACTCGTCCAGCGGCTTCTTCTGTTGCTGTACTACCGGACTCGCCTTCTTGTGCTTCGCATTTTTGTGCGTCTCCTTCTTTGTCGCCTCCATAAAGTCGCCGAGAGTGGTCGGATGCGCCACCGGCCGATTGTTGGATCTCTGATTCTGATGACCTCCAGAAGATCCAGAAGACGATGCACTGGCGACGTTGCTGACAGAAGAGGTCGAGTCGTTGGTGCCACGACGGCCGGGCGGAGATGAAGAGGAAGCCGTCGAGGACGTCGAGATGATCTCCGTCGTCGTCGAAGAGGATGTCGTGGTTGGCAGCGACGACTGCTTCTTGTTCTTCTTCTTGCTGTTCTTGCTGCCCACTGTTATAAACTCCTCCTCCTCGGCCAACTGCTTCGCGAGCATGTCAATCTTGTCGTTCGCGCAATAGTTGTTCAGATCCGACATCACATTGTCAAGAGCGTCGTCGCGGGATTGGCGAGCGTCGACGAATTCCGTCTGTAAAGTTGGAGACTGGCAGGCGGTGTGATGGGTGGCAGAGTCGAGTGTTACCGGTGGTGTCGACAAACGGCTCGTCGATCCGCCGAGGTTCTCCTGCGCAGACACGTACGACTGATCGTCGTCCTCCTCCGATTGCTGGCCGACTCCAGAAGAGCAACGTTTGCTGAAAATACTATTAATTACAGGAATTGACGCAAAATTAAGGGGTAAAATTGTTCCGAAATCCAATAAAAGCCTTTAAAGTTTCAAAACTGTCAGTTACGGCATTTGCAGGCGTCTGCAAACACCACACCGCAACAAAAATACCGTAAAAATAAGGGTAAGAAGAAGAAATTTTGGAGAAGACACACGTACGTGATAGAAGCGGCAACGGCGACCTCATCCATCTTTTTTCCGCCCTTTTGCTGCTGCTGCTGCTGCTGTTCCTTCTTCTGCTGCTGCGCCTGTGGCTGTGGCTGCTGTTTCTTGTTCTTTCCAGCGTCTTTTTCGGCGATGACCGTCTCCGAAGTGCTTTCGTCGTCCGATGGTTCAGCTTCCTCTTTCTGCTGCTGCTGCTTCTTCTGATTCTGATTCTGCTTTTGCTGCTGTTGTTGCTGCTTCTTATTGTTGTTGTTGTTGTTGTTACTATTGCTGTTCGCGTTGGTCTTGTTCTGATTGATGTTCTTGTGAGCAGCCGTCGGATTCGGCGTACCGAATCGCTCGATATCGCGATCACGCTGCAGCGTTATCAGCTTCTTCTTCTTCTTCGGATTCTCCGTCAAATCCGAAAGAGTGCCAATGTCGAGCTCCCGCAGCAGTTCCTCCAGCGCTCTCTCGTGCTCTCCTACAATTAAAAATTGGAAATTCGCGACAGAAATTGAGGGAAAACATGGGAAGCAGGAGGGAGAATGAAAAAATGGATCGGGGGAGAGAGAGAGAGAGAGAGAGAAAAGTTAGGAAGGTGCAATCCGACTTCCAACGTGCTGTGAGTACAACCCAACCGAAAACTGAAAAGAAAAGAAACGAACGTAACTATCGATTCGCATGAAGATGGGTAAACAAAACGTGTGTTTCGTTTCTTCTCGAGAGGCATTCATTCGAAACCGCAAAAAGCCAGAGAAAGAACGCAAAAGTGAGGAAAAAAGAACGGCTAAACTATCGATGAGTCGCCTACCGCCGCCGCCGTGTCATTTTTTTCGTCTCAGAGGGCCGAGGACGCGCGCGCGCGCCAGTAAAAGCTTGGCGACCGAATGTGGAGAGACGCAGAGGGCGAAGAGTGTCCAATCCAATCCACTGGTGGTCAGAAACGAACCGAACCGAACCGAATCGAAAAAACACAGATGGGCGAGGGCGCCGCGCTGCGCGTCCCCGTGCGGAGCGGAACGAAAACGACGTGAGTCTATCCAACCGTCTTTTTCTCTCTTTTTCCTCCTCCGTTTTTCCATTCCTTTCGTCCAAAAATGGACCAGCACGCTTTCGGGCGATGCGCAGACACACCGAGAAAGGACTGCGAGCAGCAAGGTCACGGGGAAGGGAAGAGAGAGAAAAAGAAAGAGAGGAGAGAGAAGGAGACGTCGTCAGAAGCGACGAGACGATGCGCGCCCGGTCGAAATGGGCGAGGAACAGGCTTTCTCGGAAATTCCGAGTTCTAAGAAAAATATAAGAAAGACTATAGATAAAAATGTGTTTTATGTAAGGGATCCGTCCATTTCCTGCTTGTTATTCATAAAAATGGTTATTTGTTTGACAAAAACCAATTTTTATCGGAATTGTTGGGAAGCAAAATTTTCCGTGAAAGCCTGGGGAAGAAGACAGGAGAATCTCACACCAAGTAAGCAAGAACACGACAAACAGAAGCAGAAGCGAATTCTGACTGAAAAAAAAGCAGACTCCAAACACTAGACCAATAATTGCTAATACAAATGCCATCGCGACGTTTTTGCTATTCCCCCGACCAAAATAGACCATTGAACTCGCAAAGTGCAGCGGTGGACACTCAAGTTTTCGTTTCCATTCCTATCCGATTAGCCTAATCCATCTGTTGACCAGTGTAGTACGTCTTCTCAAATTTCCGTTCCAAAGTGGAACGAAGAAGGAGGAGAAGAAGACAATGTTAAGTGGCAGTTGGGACGACGGAAATTATACAATCCTGTAATAGGCGACGCCGAACGGAAAAAAGGAACGAAACGGACAGCATTTCCATGCAAAACGAAGGAATGACACGCAGAGAAAGACGAGAGGGGCGGATATTGTAGGTGTTTGTGTGTGTGTGTGTGTAAGAGCAAATTTTCATTTTTTTTTCTTTCACTTACCATCAACCAGCGTCAATCCTATAGCTTTAGCGCAATCACGAACGAATTTCTTTCGTTCTGAAATTTCAAAACATATCACCACGTGTTCGATGCGCAAAGACACCTTGCATGCGAAACTTCGGAGAGCACAGTTCGGTTTCTTTGGCGAAGAAAAAGGAGACCACACTTATACAAATCAGGAACTTGGTGATGAAAAGAGAGAAAAAAGTGGGGAAACGTGCTGGGGTTCCATGAATGTTTGACAAGTTTCCGACTGGTTTTTCCAAACCCATAAAAAAAAGTCGTGTCGAAACATTTCCACGTTTTTAAATAGTTTGACTGAACATCTCGAAAGTGAAAAGTCGAATTTAGCCTCAAAACACGTATTGCACCCTTACAAGAAATCTTAGGAAATGTGAGAGATGATGATGATGATGATGGAAATATTATGGGGGTGGGCAGTAAATGTCGAAGAACAACGTCACCAAATTCAGAATTTTCTGAACGATCGTTCGTGACGAGATGGGAGGAAATCGCCTACCATCGAGGCCTTTTCAAAGTGAATGCGCTGTGCTCGAATTAAAAATAGAGAAAACTCTTCCAGAATTGAAATTAACTGAAAAAAGCGCTCACTAAACAGAGCGCATTCACATTGAAAGATAGCAGTTTCGAAAATGTTCAATTTCCTGCCCGTTCTGGTGGTTGTACTCGACATTCGACCGCCCAAATCCCAGTATAAAGAGCCAAGAGCCCGGGTGTGCGTCTCCTCACCGTTCTGTGCAACCGTGTACTCCGAGTTCACATTCTTGTCGCCCTTTTTGTTCTTACCGGCGGCCGTACGCGGACGATTAGCGTTTTTCGGCGATTCCTCTTGCGAGGAGTTCGATCCGACCTGCAAAAAGCAATGAATTAGTTTCGCGGCAAACTCCGACTCTTGTTTGTTTATTTTTCTCATAATTTTTTCTTTGACCTCGCACAAAGTACACAGTTCTGGGCTATTATTATCATGCCACCAGTCTGCGCTTATCAGCTCTCTGTTCATTCCCAACATTTTTATTACGTTTTCGCCGCAAACTAATCAATCAATAAACACAGTGTTCTTTTGCCACATCATCTACAAACCTGCTTGAAGAAGAAATAAGTCAGTTTGTAGCCGATCATGATGAGCAACAGAGCCGGAGCCAGAAACTGGCCGGGATGGTTTTGAATGACCTGGATGTACCACCACAGGTTCATCGAACCCCCTGCTGCCGAATGCCGGCCCGCGCCACCGTAGTCTACAACAAAGTGAGATGTCAGAAAGTGACAAAGAGAGAGAGAGGGAGAGAGAAAGGAAGATGCCGCTAACGGTAACGGTGACGTTGACGACAACGATGTCAGAGAGACGAAATCGAATCGATATCGATACCGAAGAGATAAGTGCAGAACTGTGCGACTAAAAGTGGCGGGGTTTGACGAATTGACGTCGGAAAACGGGGCGAAGAGTGCTCCGGCCGGCGCCGTCTTATCAGCTTGATAAGCGACGCAATCGCAAGATAGGACGTGAGAGAGAGAGCGAGCGAGCGAGAGATTGATGAATGGAGTCTACCGTAGTCAAAGAGAGCTCAAAAGACGGACGAAAAAGTACATGCGAAGAACATGTGTTCAATAGTGCGTTAGGAGGTCCGAAAACGGCAAAGACGCAGAAAATTTGGGGGACGCGAAGAAGAAGAAGAAGAAGAAGAAGGAAAAGAAGAAAGCGAGAGCAGAAGCGGACACCTCTTCTGCCGGGCGGGCGGGACGCGCCACACACATGCTCACCGGCCGCCCGCCCGCCGCCTTCTCGTGATGAAAAGTCAATTCCGAGCTGCCACACAATAGTGCATGGCCTCGGAAGCGCACGAAGAAGAATAAGAAGAAGAAAAAGAAGGGGAGCGACGCCAGTGCGTTTATACATCTCTCAATGAAGCGAAGAAGAAGAAGAAGAAGAGACAGGCCAGATCTGGGACGACACCGTGCAACGCAGCAGCAAAAAAATGGCGGAGGTGGTGGCCGATTCGATTCGCAGTATAGGACGACGGTGATGAGATTGCTTCTAGGGACTGGAAAATTGGCACGGGGCTAGAAAAACTGCCAGTTAGGAAAAACGCCGTGTCCCGACGACGACCAAGATGAAGAAGAAGAAGAATAAGGACAAACTGCCGCCGGTTCGACGTGGTGTCACCAATAGCAGATGGGAATGCGAACGCATTGAACGCAGGCGGACAAAAAAACGCGGAAAAGCGAGAACTGCGGGAAGAGAACGCAGGCGGTGATGGAAATAATCATAGCGAGAGAGAGAGAGAGAGAGAAAATGTAAAAAAGAACAGCAGAAACGGACAGTCAGATGAGTCATCCGGCCCATTTTGTTTATTTTCCACAGCGATTCCTCCAATGACTAACGGGGGACCACGGATGAAAATGAGAACGAATGGCGCGCGTGAGTGTGTGTGTGTGTGTGCATGTGTGAGAAAGAGCCAAGGCACTATACAACTACATTTTTGTCAAGAATCCAATTCGCTTCTCTCCTACTTAGATTAACGTCAAAGATTTCTCATTTTATACTCAACCCATGAATCACATTACATTAAACTTTGCTTTTTTTTGGCGTTCCCTTTAAATTTGCTATTTTGGCATTGGATATTATAAAATTGCATCACATGATTGCGGCGATCAAGATAGGAGAGAAGACGAAGAAGGAAAATAAATTGTTCGCCCTTCCCATCAAATTTGTTTTAGTGCGAAACTCACAAAAACGCTAATCGGATGGTATCCAAAAATGTGGCAAAAGTTCAGTTTCTCGACAATGCCCAACTGTTGAGCGCCCATGAAACGAGCCACCTGCTGCTGGCTCGTCTCCTCCTGATCGTCGCCGAACACGTCGCGCATCCGACGCGGATAGATCGGAGGCGATTCCGGGCGCTCGGAGGAAGATTCAGCGACGGCGACCAGTTCCCTTCCTTCCACTTCGTCCGATCTTCCAGCGGTGGAAGAAGACGGTCCGGAACTTCCAGAGACGACGATCGGCGTGGCAGATGATTCGGGCGGTGACATCGGGCGAGATTCGGACGATGCTTGTGCGGTGATGATGGTGGTAACTGCGAGAATGGAGGCGATAATAAAAAAGTGCAAAAGAGAGCGAGAGAACGAGAGGAAAAGAGAAAACGAGAAACAGAACATTGGACATAACAATCGGCGCTACGAGAGTGCAATTCGAGTGTGAAGAGGCAAATAATAACGAATATGGTTGTTGGCTTTCAAAATGGTGCCACTTTCGTTTATCGCAAATCAAATTCGATTCGGAAATTGTGAAAGAATCAGGCTCTGTTTTGCGGTGATAAAATGGAGAGAGAGAAATATTGTGAAATTGGTTTGTTTTTGCGAAAGAGACTCCAAGTTTTCCCACTGTATTTCAGGGTAGAGCAGAAGCAATAAATGGAGTAGGTCAAATCGAAAAAAAAACAATCCAAAGTTGTGGGTCTAAAAAACGGGGAAAACGCTCTTCTCTTCTCGCCGTCTTCTTCTTCTTATCACCACCGAGAGACGACTCGACTGTGCCGCCATATCGTCGTGCCGACCGGCAAAAAAGTCAATATCGGCTACGAGGCGGAATGAATGGCAACAGCGTACCGAAAGGGAGAGAGAGATAGAAAGAACTAATGTGAAATCGATACACACCGTTTGATAATAACCAAAGACGCAAAACGACGAACAAACGGAATCGAATGGAACTGCTGTCGTCGTGTCGAGACCCGCGACTTAACGAGGCTAATTACGGAGAACACGGAGAGACGATGATATGATCGATCCATAAATGTTTCGAAATGTGCTGGCAAACCCACAGGCTTAACGTTTTGTGCGTGAGTGCGACGGCCGTGTAAAGCAGAGAATTTCCCATTTTTCAATACCCTAATTGATCCAAAAATGTCATAAAATATTTTCCTCGGATCGACCGAAAACAAAACTGTTGGAAATGAACAGGAACCGCTGAAAATGCTCTAAAACCCCCTGCCAAACGAACCGTCTTCGTCTTCTCCGCCTCCTGGCTCTGCTGCTTGATCTGATTCTGCACCTCCTCCATCGCCTTCGCCTCCTTTTCCTTCTTCTGCTTCTTCTTCTCCTTCGCCTTGCGATTCTTGGCTCTACGGGCTTCCCGCTCCTCTTCAGTCATCTCCTCCTCCTTGTTCTCTTTCTCCTCCTCATCCGCCACCTCCTCCTTCTCCTCGTCCGCCTCTTCCTTCTCCTCCACCTCGTCCGCGTCGTCTCCGGCCGCGGCTGCCGCCAACGCCGCCTTCTTCGCCGCCTTTTTCGCCCGTTTCCGTTTATTTTTATCCGAAACCGTCGACTGAGTTGGCGGAGGAGGCGGCGGCGGCGGAGGCGTCGTGTCCATCGACGAGTTCGATGACAGATTTGTAGTGTACGACTCGGAAACTGAAGTCGTGAGGAGCGACGGAGCCGTGGAAGTGGTCAGCATTATCGTGACAGGCGGCTTTGGACCGCTGCGCACCACCGCACGCGGCCTGTTCTCTGCGGCCGCCACGTCGGGCGGGTAGAACTTGCGCGGGATGGCGGGAAGGAGGCGTCCGTTCGCCGTGCACGTTTGGAAGACAGAAAAGTTGGAGGCGGACACCGGGTTGACAGCGCCCAAATCGCACCCGATCACCGTATTCGCGTTGTGGAACGTCGTGAACGCGCCGCCCTTGGACGCCGGCGAAAGGATCGACTCGACGCGGCTCAGCTCGCGCAAGTTTTTCTGCGCGATAAATTCGGTTTGCTCACGCTGAAACAAGAGAAATCCGTTGTTTTTTTTTTAATTGCGTGATCAAACCTCATCACAAACATTGTTTCTCTGGCTCGAATAGTACTTTTCGCTGAGCGTCTCGTTCGAATCGTTCATCTTCAGCAGATCGCACATTTGGATTGGCGGCGAAGCGCGGCCCATTTCCATCCGCGACACCGGATCGTCATAGTAGTTCTCGAGTTCGGATCTGCAGAAAATTAAGGTTTTTCGACAGAGATGGGGAAAAAGGCGGTTTAGACTTTGCGAAGGCCCACTTACAATATTCCAATCGGATTCAAATTTTGCAGGCTTTAAGGACTTGGATTAAAATAGGCCTATCTGCTCCAGGGATTGATTCTGCATTCGATGACGGGTCTCGCACGGAGCGAAACTGTTGAAACTGGAGTTCTGCGCCTTTGAATTTGAGAGAGAATGCGGTAGATCACAATTTTCTGACAAGAGCGTCGATTTTAGACGGCTTTCTCTTACAAATATTAACAAAATGCACTAAAAACGGATTTTATACCATTTTCTTTTTGTTCATCTTTAGAAATCTGTACGAAAATGGGAAAATTTGTGATCTACCGTATCCCCCCTCACATTTTTAGGCGCCAAACTGCAGCTTGAAAAGTTTCGCTCTGTGCAAGATCCACCATCGAGAACCGCGCCAAGTCGCACATTCGGGCGAATTCATAATACTGGTTTGAAGCTAAAACCAGCATATTTTTAGATCAGATCATCTGACCGGTCTGAAATTTGGACCCAAAATACTTATGTCCAAATCCAAAAAGCCTGCAAAGTTTTGGACCGATTGTAATATTGCAAGACCAGGTCCAATTTCACGTACTCCTCCTCGTTGTGCTTCTGCTGCTCGCCGTCCAAATCGGTGACCGGATTGCCACGTTGCGGCATCAAAATGTTCGTTTTGTTGATGAAAACCGACAAGTTGAGCGGCTCTTTACCGGTCTCCTCCTCTTCGGCTCTGCAAAACGGGAAAGGGTTAGCAAGACTCGGGCGCCTTCCGAAAAATAGTTTGGTTAGTACCCGTCATCGATGAATTCGATGACCTCGTCCAATTTGACACTGAAATTTGGGACGTTTTGAATGAATGGAAATCAATGAAAATCACGACACGACATCCAGCAAAAGCGTCCGAAAATACGAGTGAAAAATCAGCCAAAAACGAAAAGGAACCAAAAATTATCTCGGAGCGTGAAAATTGAACTAACGGAGCCTTGACGGGCGACAGCGACGACGAGTTATTGTCCTTTTCGGCGGCCAGACGCTCTTTCGCGTCGTCGATCAGACCCATGATTGCCGGATTCACTCCAGATGGTACTTTTAGCAAATCCTGTAAAAATTGCGGGTTTTCGATAGAATTTAACGGGAAATGATAGACTAGCTGGGAAAAGACCTGCGAACCGCTCGAAATTCGATTATTATTCTATTTTTTGATGTTCGGTCGGTTTGAAAGCGAAAAATGTTGTTTTCTGATGTTTGATCTCGAGATCGAGTAATTTGGCTCAAAATTTTCAGGCTAAATTGGACAATATCCAATTTTAAGGCCTCACTGCCAAACGAATATTCTAGGGTTCAAAGTCACAAGATTTGTCATTACAATTGCATCACTCCTATTTTTGCAATTTCTGGAACATGCAAACAAATCTGTGACCTGGTGATGAAATTCTGTGTGCCAGAAAGCACAAAACAGATCGAAAGAGCTCATTTCTTTGCTTTTGTGTGCAAGTGGAAGAGACTACACGTGGGGGCCACGGCAGCAAAAGAAGAAGAAGAAAAAAGAGAAGGAGAAGGAGTAGGAGAGGGAGAGAGCGGGGGTTATGTCAACAGGTGATAACCGAGAAAGAACAGACTAAAAGAAGAGAGAAAAGTGGCGGAAAAGAGGAGTTTGTTGCAACGAGCGTTGTTTTTTCGCATGTTTCTCACCGGCGGCCCGGCGAAGAATCATTCGCCGGTCAATTTGAACCTTTTTGGACTTTGAGATGTTTACAAGCGAGATTACTGATCCAAAGCTTTTTCATGTGATTACTCAATAATACTTGCAAAAACAAGTACATCTAAGATGAAGCTTTCATTGATTCTAGCAGGTTACATTGGCAATTTACTACACTGATACTGCAAAGTATTCCAATTAGACTGTAAAGAGCGAACATCGGTTTAGTTTGCAAAAATGTAGATTCGAAATGCGATCAGTCTAATTAGTCGAATTTCGATTCTATTACGCTCTAATCGAACAGATTTCCGCTCTTTACAGTCTAATTTTAATATTTTGCAGTATCATTATAGTACTTTAGCAAAAATAACTAGAACTTGACTGAAAACTTATTGCTGAACGCCCTGGCAAACAGTTCGAAAACGTTGACTTCTAAAGTGAAACGCAAAAAAGTGTCCCCGAGTGCACACACAAACAGAAAAAGAAACAGAAAGCAGCGGGTACGAGTGTGAAAATCATCGCTTTAGCAGCGGAGCGCACTTGCGCAAGGGCGCCGAGCCTCTGAGCAAAAGTGTAGGAATAATAATGGAATTTGCAGATTTTCTTTATAGAACGGAAGAACACGGACGAATTTTTAAAACCCCTTTTAGAAAATGATTTCAAAGACGGTGTTTGTTGTACATTTCGTCAGTTGATCATATTCCATAAAAAAAATTCTTCCGCTCAATTCTCATCGGATGCAGAGGACGGATATATAAAAATGAGAAACGGATGAGAAGAAAAAAATATATAACGAACAAACAATTTCCTGTGATTCATCGGAAACGCTTGTTCATGCCGACAATATTTAAAGAAAACTTATTTCAATTGTTTTGAGATGGAAAATTGGAGAATGTGAGTCATATGGTTAAATATAGAGAGAAACATGCGAGTTTGACCATTTTTCCCCTAAACTAACAGGTTTGTTGGCGCAAGAAGCCGCGTTTCTCAGCAGAGATTCGAACGATGCAGTGTCCAACTGCGCGAGCTCCTCGGCGATTTGTTTCTGCAAAAAATTAGCTGAAATTATGCATTTTCATTGCCATCCCCTCCCTTAAAGTGCACATATTTTTCTAACTCAAATCGGAAAAATCGATTATTTGCTTCCTGATTAAGAAATCTACAGACCATGTGATTTTTCTGTGATTTTTCCGAAGCATCTTCCTCTAATTCGTCACAGGCCCCGATTTTGCCATGGCATTTTCGCGTTTATTTAGAGAACACGAGCATCTGTGCGTGTTGTCAAGGGTAACGGGCCGAAATTAAATTATAGGTTTGCAGGCAGGTGATCTAGAAATTTTCTCGCGACGAACCTCTCTTTTTCGAGCGATGATGACCTCGGCCAGGCTCGACGTGTCCTTCTGATCGTGCGGATTCTGCGGAGCTGCCTCGTCGGTCTCACCGCTTCGCATCAATTTGCCCAAGTTTTTCGAAGACGTCTTCTGAAAGTGGTTCTCGGACGTTTCAACACGTTTCAAACTCAAAAAGGCCACAAAAAAGGGCAAGATCTTACGGATTTCATTATGAATGTGTTCTCTTCGGAATAAGGAATTGGAACGAGTTGGAATGGAAGGACGACAGAAGAGGGGGACAGGGCGCGAATAAATGAGGCTCCTCTCTCCTCTCTTTTCCCTATTTTCGACTCGCAGAGACGCAGACAAGAGTGAAGAAGACGACGACGACGACGACGACAGGGCGGGAGCTCACGGAGCCAAGCAGGAGCAGATTAATGAAGGATAGAGACCGAGAGGGAGAGATGGAAAAAGGGCATGCGTGTGCGGATTAGGAGGTGCGGTGGCACGTGAGATTAGACGCGCTTTCGCTTTGTTCGACGACTCTGGCATGCAATATGACTAGAAACCGTTCAAATCTAATTGAAATTATATTAAAGGTGTCCTGCACTACAAAAGTGACACAAAAAAGCTAAGAAGACCAGAAGAAGTACACAGCGGGTAGAGTTTTCTAGTCCCCCGGTCGCCAAAAAAATTTAGTGCACAACACCTTCAAATTGCCATCCATTCACCAAAGAACCGATTTTTGACTGAAAACCCACAAAAAACTGTGATTTTTTCGAAAATATGCCTCTATCTCTGCCCGTTTTTTGATGTTTACGTTATCGACGCCAGTGGTGCGACGTCGAAAACATCAAAGTGCACTTTGCGACTGACGATTTTTTTTGGGATTTTCGAGCCAATTCTGTAATTTGCGCGTCTCAATTCGTCACCCGGAAGCCTCAATTGGACACGGCGAGCATCCGATTTAGGCCCAAAATTTTGGGGTGCTCGCTTTCGAAATCCATACGTAACTGACAGAATGAGTGAGCGGCACGGCGGCACGGATGAAAAATTGGCGGAAAATTGGAGAAAAGACAAATTTTGGCGACCGCCTAAAAACCGACCGATTTTCTGATGCGAATAGAGTAATTCGAAGGGAAAATCGGGCGCCGACATTGGAATCGACAATATTGACTGGAAAAGAAGAGAAAAATGAGAAAAAAATTATTTTTTGAAGGTTTTCCGAGCGAATTCCGATGGGAAATTGCAAAAAAAGCAAGTAGTAAAAGTCTGCGTCTCTTCGTTCGACACACTGTCTCGTCGGCCGCAAACATCGGAACCGACGGCAAAATACACAATTGTGGACCGTACCGCTCGGAGTCGAAAGTTCACATTTTCAGGACCGAATTCGTCCGGAATTTCCGTGTTTTCAGCTTTTTCAGCTTTCTTCAATTTTCAATATATTCTGCAAAAGAAAAACACCATGTATATTCACCCCTGAAACCACAAAAAACAAGTTAAAAATTGAAAAATTGTCTTTGCGGATTTCACATTGTATTTTATCCGAAATCCATATTAAAAAGTTGAAAGTTATCAAAAATTTTCCCAGAAATTAATACGCCGTCTTATCGGGCTTGTTCGACCACATTTGGAACGGCAGCAGATAGTTTTCGGCGGCTAAGTGCTCCAATTTTCGAATGTCGTCGGTTTTTGGGTCTTTAAGAAAGTCGTGGAACGCTTTGTCGTCGAATCCGATTTCGGCGGCCTAAAAATATGTTTTCTAAATCTCCAGAGGACCGTCGTCTAACCTGTTGCGCTGTGGCTCCGTAGTAAATCGCGTCGAATCGAGCCCAGAGGCTGGCGCCCATGCACATCGGACACGGGTAACAGGAAGTGTAGAGCGTGTGTCCGGACAGGTCAAAGGTGCCTGCAAATATTATATTTAGCCAGATTTGTAGACTTTTTACTATCTAGCTTGCAATCATTCTTTTAGCATTCTCTCGAAATTCTCATTGCAACTCAGAAAAATGAGTTGCCGAATTGAAAAAGCGACAAAAAGCGAATATCGATTGTTACAAGAATCTGCTCGCAGTTCCATACGCAAACGAATTTTTCCGAGGAGCTATAGTCATTTTGAGCGCGGTACAGACTCTAGTTTTAACAATAAACCCCGCTGCCAATCTGAACCAACCTAGCGCTTTGCACGCATTCCGAATGGCGGTCATCTCTGCGTGCATCGTCGGATCGTTGGTGACCAGCACCATGTTGTGTCCCTTCGCCACCACCGTTCCGCGCTTGTCGACGATGACGGCGCCGAACGGTCCTCCGTCGCCGCATTCGACTCCGCGGCACGCTTCCGCCACCGCTTCCGCCATGTGTTGCGCGTGGAGCGGGCGCGTCTCAGCGTGGTGCTCGATTGACGGCGTCATTCTCAACGGTCTGTAACAAATGGCACATAAAAACGTGAGTTGGCGGTAGAAAAAGTGAGGTGCGCCGAAAGCGGTAAAGTGTCGTTGAAACACGCGCAAAAATCGGGTTATCAGTTGGCATATGACACGTGACATTCGGGAACGATTATCAGCTAAACGTTTCGGGAATTAATCAGGTGACAGTTTGATAACTCGTCAAAAAAGAGGAGGGGAAAGTCGAAAGGGTATTCAACAAAACGGAAAAAAAACTGGTTTCATCGAGAATGAGATCACTGTTTCTTCTTCTCGATTCCGAATGCGATCGACCGTGGTCTTGGCCAAATATTGCGCTCGTTCTTCCAAATATTTGCCCTCTAGACACTTTTTATACACGTGCTCAATTCGCGCGACGTCATCCGATGCGCATGTGACAAAGGCCAACTTTATTGTGATTTCCAATGTTTTTTGTTAATGACGGCTCAAAGATTAGACGGTGACGTGGATTGTTTGATGATAAACAGTTGTTTGATGGTGCGGCCTTCGAGCGATCGTTCGATTGCCTTTTTGTGCTCCGACATGCTCACTTTTTGCATCGGAATTGCGGTCAGCTTTCCGGCAACTGCCAGTTTCTGAAATGAAGGAAGTTGTGGTGGGAATTTCTGATCTGTTGGTTTTATTCAAGCGTTGAGTCATTCTATCTCTTGCGTTAGAGAGAGCTCGAACCTTTTTGTCAGTTGTGTCCCGCTGACAATGTATCTCATCTGCCGGTGTGGAGATATCAGAAAGTTGTCAACTAATAAATTGTTCATTAATGGGGCTATTCAGCGTATGTTTGTTTTCCGTTTTTTTCGTTTTTTTACACCGCTGAATTGGGTTTTTTGACGTAAAAAAAACGAAAAAAAAAATCATATTTTTCATAGCCTGAATGAATAACCTCATAACGAATTCTGTACATTTTATCAGTTGACAACTTTTCGATATCTGTACAAACCGCTGAGATACATTGTCTTAAAAAACGGTGTTGGAGTGACGAAAAAAAAAGAAGCCAAACCAACCTGAACCTCGTCGACACAATAGTTCCACTCGTCCAAGTTCTCCGGCTCTCTCGCCCACATTCCCACCGCCACTCCCCTCACTCGAATATCATTGAACACCAGGGCGGAGGTGGTGAATTCGTGCGCTTTTTTCGACATTCCACCTTAAAATACGGATCAGGATGGAGTTTTCTGCTCCAAAACCATACCATAAGTGACGCACGTGCCGCCTCGTTCCAAAACCGCACTGATCTGCAGCGCACTCTTTCCGCCGACTCCATTCAGAGCCAACTTCGGCCGGGCTCCGATCGTTTTCAAGAACGTTCGGCTGTTCTCTTTGAACTCTTCCTCGGTGAACACGTGCTCGGCGCCGAGTCTCCAGAGCTCCGACTTGAGGGCTCCGATGTTATCGCGGTTCCGGACAATGTTGATGGTTTTGTAGCCGAACGCTTTGGCCAGTTCGATGACACTCCGACCGACTCCGGAGTTTGCCGAGTTCTGAATGACGTAGTCGCCGGCGGAGAGCTTCACGTATTTCTGGAGCATGATCCACGCGGTCGGCGGGTTGATCATCAGGGTGGCCGCCAGTTCCAACGGGATTCGATTGTCGATCTTCACGAGCTCCTCGTCCTCCACAATACCGTATTCCGACCAGAATGGGCTTTCCGATGAGAAGATTGTGACGTGATCGCCCACGTGGAAACGGGATCCGGGCCCAGCCTTCACGACTCTTCCGATTCCCTCACTTCCTCCGATCACTGGCGGCTCTGTCTGCATCGCATAGTTGCCTTGAATTCTGAAAACAATATATAATCCATTCTAGCTGAAACTTTTCAGGTAGACACACCAATCAATACGGATAATCGTGCAGAGTTCGAGTCCGATCGGACAATTCATTCAGTCAAACAATGATTCTGTCTCTCAGAGCTCATGATAACTAGTTCCCGAGCCCAAAGTGTTTTGCTCGAATACCTGTTGATATCCAGTGGGTTGACGGGCGAAGCAAGCCATTCCACGAGGCATTCTCCGCTTCCCGGCTGCGCCCGAACTTTGATATTGTCCAATTCGAGCACTTCTCTCGGGTCTCCAAACTTTTTGTAAACCAACGCGCGGGATTGGATGAATTGCATTTGTGGAATCAGAATTAAAGTAAAAACAGAGACGATTCGTCTATTTTCGGGTCGGTCTGTTTTGCAACGATAAGACGGAGACTAGATTGTAGTCTACACGACGATTCGCGACACAATTGATTTTATAATATCGACTACTTGTAAACAGTTTTTGCAAAGAAATCATCGTATGAATAGACAGACACAAATACATATAGTTTGTAGCGATTTTCAATGGGAAAACCCAGCACACTATGCCACTTTGAGCACCATTTGCTCGGCTTTCGACGCTTTCCGCGCGGACGTCGGGTACGAAGAGGTGCGGTACCGGTTGCCGCCGGCCGGTCGTTCCGTTTCCGCCACTTTCATGAAATTGTCTACCTGCAAAACCGGGGCGATTGGGCTGAACGTGCTCGAAAAGTGTGGGCAAATGTCACTCGAGCCTGTGCGGTGAACTTTCCTACATTTTGTCGTAAGATCACGTTTCCAACGAAGCTACAGTTTCTCTACAAAGGCCGAAAGCCATCGGGTTAATGTATTTCTGCGTTTTGTTGTAAAATACGATGCATGTTCACCATGCGGACTCCGATCAAAGTGCCGCAGTTCTAAAAAGTGTCAAATGTCACAGATCTCGAAAAAAAGAAGCTGATTGTGGTTAAAAACGGGGAAAAAACTCGACACACTTTTGCTTGTTCAGCCTCTCACGTTCTCTGGATTTCAGCGAAAACGCGACTTGAGCCTAAACGATGGTTTTCTCGGCGAAAAAGCCAAAAAACGTCGGAAAAGTGCGGGAGAGGGGGGGGGCGGGGTGAGCGGAAAAACGTACAATGATGGTGATGGGAAGGGCGAGAACGAGAACTCCGCACGCGATTGCGCCAGTCGCCACCAGTTTGCCCGCTGCAAAATGCTCTCTTCTTTTCGGAATTTGTTTTAGAGTACTTACGAACTGTGATGGGCGTCAGGTCACCGTATCCTGAAAATTATATTGTCGGATTTTCATTATTTGAAAAAAAAAAATCAGTGACACCACAACATTATTCTCTTACCGACAGTAGTCATGGTTACGATACACCTAAAGTTATTTTCTCAAAAAAAAAATAGTTCGAAAACTTCAAACAATCTTACCACCAACAAGCAGCTGGAATTGAGTAGAATTTGGATCCCGGTTCGTCCTAAAATACTTTTAGTTTACAGAAAAACTGATAAATGTTGTACTTTTTCCAAAAAGTAGACCAACGTGGAGAAGAAGATGACTCCGGTCATCACGACCATCGCCATCATTCCCAATTGTCGGAACGAGGCCTGCAAGAAAACGAGCAACGATTACGGTACTTAGGCCTACTGTATGCACCTTTAAAGTCTTTCCGAACATTTGCAGTCCGCTCGAGTATCGGCCGAGTTTCAGCACTCGGATCACGCGGAGAACGCGTAGAATTCGAATGACCAGGAATGCGCCCTGAACATTGTTTCGTCTTAAAATGAGTATGATATGCTGTGTACCTTTAAATCTCTGAGTTGTTCCGTCGAAATTCCGAATATCAAGAGGAGCATTTCGATGATGAACGGCAAAATCGCGAGCAGATCGATAATATTCAAAAGTTGCCGGAACGTCTTGCTTCTTTCGGCGCTCACGATCATTTTTAGGCCTAATACATTTTGTATAAAGGATTACTGTACGTCAAGAGGATACCGTATTCAACAGTGAACCAAACAATGCACACGTATTCGATGTATCCTAGAATTGGCAGCGGTTCCGATTCCTCGTATTCTGAAAGAATGTTATGGAGCTGAAAATTGTCTTGTGAAAACTTCACATTTCGTGCTTCATTTTTGTAGTTGACAATTATTCTGTACCGCTGCTCCTAGGACTACTGTAGCTCTTGGAAGTAAGGGCTCTTTAGAGAGCTACTGTGGATACTCACAACTTTCAAGAGCTACCGTACTCCTGGAAGTGGTCCTACAACAAAGGCGTCAACTACAAATGTCGAGTACAAGAGTTGATCTTTCGTTTCACACAAAAATCATTCCGACCCAACCTTCTCCGGTGGCGTTGTTCCTTCGTTTCGTGGTCACTTGCAGTTCGGGCAAGCTGCCCAACACGAGTCCGCTGATGGAAATGAGCACGAAAAAGACGGAGAAGACGGCGAAGAGTTGTGCTTTGCCCGAGCTCGCCGGCTCTTCGACGATATTCCAGATGGTCCGACGGATTTCGCCGAATTTTAGAGTCTTGAAGAGGTTCGGTTTGTCCTGCTCTTCAAGCTCCTCGTCGTCATCATCCTGGAAAGCCAATTGTTAAGTTCAGAATATAATTTCGTGTCAAGACCCTGTGGACTGACCATTTGTTGTGCACAACAGCACGAAGCGAGATACTCGTCGGGAACAATTCGCCAATATTCCAATTCTTCAATGATATCCACTGGGCACAGGTTTGTCGGTTGATGGATCACTCCTAAAGGTGACAATATCGAAGAAACAATTGAAAAGTGAGAAATTACCATTGAGGTAGAACTGATAGACGATATGAAAGAGGGAGGGAGGTCGTTCGAAGTAGAACTCAGAAGTGGGACTGAGGTAGGCGTCGGCGTTCGAGTCGGGCACCGATTTGTTGATTAGGTCCAGTAGGCGGCCTGTAAAAGTATGATATGGATTCCATAAAGTGTTCTGAACGTTTCCTCAAACAAAACTCAAAAGCGAAGAAAGCGTTTGCACAAATCTTTTGGGCACTGGGGACCAGAACCAATAAATAGTTATGAGGCAACTCACCTACGCCCCTTTTCCGAATCGTCTCCTTCCGAAGCATGAATCTCTGTCCGCCGACGTTCAGCTTCACAAACTGCTCGCTGATCTCCGATTCCCCGCAGTACATCTCGAACTGCGGTTTCTCACAAACCGCGTCAACGTCATCGGCGCGAACTGTCCGGCGTTCCGCTTCGGCGCTTCTGAAATCATAATTTGTGTTAGTTGCAACTGTCTTCCATAGAATCGACACCCTCGTTTTGCACCTAAAAACTTGTGGATAGCTAAAAAAACGCACTGACGTGCTGGCAGTCTGTAGTTGATAAAAAATGCGGTTGGCGGTCGGAATGTGGAAGTGCGGCCGCTGGGCGTTGTGCCGATTGAGACGGGCGATGCCGTGCGAGGTCGCCATCGCGGCACCTTGCATTATCGCCGAGTTCATGCTCCCTATAGAATCGGTGGAGATGAGATGATGCGGAGAACGAAGAGCACAAGGAACAAGTGAGGAGCACGAGAACGGACGGCTAGAGTTGAAGACTTGATGTAAGCGCCAACGGCTAGAACTTTTAAGTGAGCTTAGCTCGAGCTTCTTAGGTCAGGTTTTGTAAATTCAAAGTGAACAGACGAATCAAGATGCAACTCACAACGGAGACTCCAGAATAGACTTCTTCTGAAAACGAGTTGACACTAGAGCATTTCGAACACAACACGTCCGAGGTAAAGCTGTCAACTTTGGAAACCCGGAAACCCGGGTAAAAAGTACTGAAAACCAAAAACCAATGCGGCTTTTCCAGCTCTTTATCTTCTTCTTTTTCGTGTCCGAGACACAAGGCTCCCGTATTGAGTTTTCGAGTACAAAACGAGACTAGAATTCTGATGAAGTCGGGGTCAGTCAGCAGACACGACAATGACTAATCTAACAATAAATGGGGCATTTCTGGGCGGTAATCCATCTTTTTCAATGTGAAGCAGGACAAAAAGGAACAAAAGATTGTATTGGAAAGTGCAAAAAGGAAAAACGAAGAATGGGAACACTAATCCTTCTCAATGCTCCGCCCGTCTTTCGGAGTTTGGAGGAGGAAAAAATAAGTCATTGTTGTGAACGTTTCTTCCTAAAACTTCAAGATGTCGGTTATGGAAGTGAATATTTGAAGTTGGGACACACGAATCCGACTTTTTTCAGCGAAAGCTCACGAGAAAACGAAAAGTTCGTGTAGCGAGATTTCCGGCGGAACAAGCGGAACATTTTAATGAGCATGATCACCAAGTCTACGTAACTTTGTGCCGTGAATCCGATTTTGAAGTCGTCGGGCCGGAAATACTTCCGAGCGTCACGTATTACCTAGCGAGGGGTGGTCGTGAATGTACTCTACGAACTTTCGGGGCGCCTCCATTTCCTGTGGCACTTCCGGTCATCCTCTTCTCTCTCTCTCTCTCTCTCTCCCTCTCTCTCGGATCATTTCCATTCACATTCATTCTTACTTTCTATTCCCCTCCATTATTCAGGATTTTCTAACGAGATAACAATATCTAAGGATTAGCATTGATTAGAGGTAAGAAGGGTACAAAGTACACTTTCGGTTAGGTTCAGGCTTTCTTAGTCATAAATAATTTCTAGAGGCCTCTATCGTCATAGTCGAAAAAAAGGGTACTTAGTGCGTAGGTACAGTAACCCCAGGCCAAGTCTAACCTAACAAAACTTCGCCAAAAGTCTCACAAGTCACATTTCGTCTTGATTTCACGCTCGAAAAAACAGACATGTGATATCAAAAAGGATAAAGGCAAAAAGATTGGGCTAGAAGGAGGGCAGGAGAGAGAGAGAGAGAGAGTGATAAGAAAAGTGAAAGAAAAAGAGGAAGAGGGAGTGGTGAGAAGCTTCTTTTCGCATATTGCATAACAAGAAAACGTCCGAGACGAGGGGGGAAGAAGAAAAGGAAAAAGAGCAAATCCTTTTTTTTCTGGTCTCTGGCTCATGATAATCGAATAATGAGGCTGGAGAGAAAGAGCCAGAGTCGGAGCCAAATGAAGTGTTGCCAGGAGACTAATAGCTTTTCAAACGTTTCATTGCTCTTTTCCAAAAAGACCTCCAAACTGTCAGTGGCTTTCTGACGGATTTTCGCGGCGATTATCTACGGCGTCGAGGATGAGGAAGGTTTTTTTGAGCGATAAAGTTCCACGTCATCAGTTTTGAGATCGGTAGCTACAATGGAACTAGGAGCCAGACGGCAGCCGTCAAATTTGTACGCACATATTCATCAACGAATTTTTTTTCTCTCGGTTTTCAGCGAGGTAATCACTAGTTTTCACTCGTTTTTTTGAAGGTAAAGCGAAAATATTTTGAAGTTTTCACCGGTGAAGTGAGTGGGGGCCTACATTTTTCTAGACCACAATGTTTTTTGCCACATCACTAAAGTCATAGGTTCCTGGCGGCCTAGGGCCTGAAAAGATTAGGCCACTGTACAGTCCACGTTCGTTTTTCCCAGCAAGTAGTAGAAATTTATTGTAAACTGATGTGATTTTGATAATTTCACAAAAGACTCGAAGAAAACCTCTGTGGCCTAGACCCGAAACGATTTCTTCGGCCATCAAACTATCGAATGACACGTACAAAGGTCTCCAGTCAGCAAATCAATTGAATAACTCGGAAAGAGCACCTGCTCTTGCTCTTTCTCCGCGAAATTCCATTATTTCCCGCCGCTTGAGTCTGTTGTTTTCACAATTCCCACACTGATTTCGGTGGCAATGGGAACACTTTGGCGAAAACGAAAAAGAGAGCGAAAAATGGGAGAGGAAGGATTGGCTCTGGCTCCCATTTCCATTTTTTTTTTTTTGATGAGTATGAATATGGATGAGCGAAATGAAAAGGAGGAGGAAAGTGGCAGTCACATATTCTAAGCGAGCTTCCAAATTTTCAGTGTTCTAGGGTTCCTGAGAGCTCGCTTTTTTGAATGAGAGCTATGAAATGTTCAGAAAATGTCATTACTTTAAGATCCCTTTACGTTCATTTGTGCCTATTCTCGAGTCTAGACAATCTGAAAGTCGGCATGTTAGCCCACGTCACTCGGAAAACGCTGAGAATTGTATAGTCATGTTCCCAGGACTGGGAAAACGGGTAAAGTTCGCGTGGACTTGTGTGAGGCTTGAACTTTTGAAAGGTTTCGGGCCGGATCCCCTAGCCCAATGCAATTTATACAACCGTGACTGTTTGCAACTGCTGATAAACTATTTCCGACTGACAAAACATAAAACCAGGTTCACAACCTCTGGCTGAACAGTGTTAGTACAATGCCCAAGAGCTTATGGTAGCTCTGTCAAAGTTCGGCCGCAATTTTGGACTTTAGAGGCGATTCATGAGACGGCAATCACCTATCAAAAGAGCAACTTTTAAGTGAAACGCCGTTGTCAAACATATCAAGCGCAGAACTGTACAATACAAGTTCCATGCTGGTCGTAGATCTTCTCAACTTTTGTACTTTTCTTAGGACGGCAACCAGTACGGACTCACTTGACCAGTTTCTTCGTGACCTGTCTCCATCGGTCCTTCTGCTCTCGCTCTTTTTCGCGTCGCGCCGCCTCCATTATCCGTTGTTTCCACATGATTTTAGACGAGAAATAGAGGAAAACACACTGTTCAGGTGTGAATGAACTCGGGCGGCACGCGAGAAGAAGAAGAAGAAGAAGAAGAAGAAGAAGGCGGAGAAAGAGAGAAAGAGTATAATTGAATAAAGTGGGCGGAGTCAGTGATGAGAAGAAGTTGGATTGTAGTGGGAATGAGAGAGAGAGAGAGAGAGATCACAACATGATATTGCTTTTTATTTATAAGGTGTCTAGGCATATTTCTTTGATTCTTTGAAAAAAAAAACACTCTTTTTAGACCCCCTCCTCACAAAGATATCAAAAACTAACCTGTCCAAGATGAGCGAGTGCTGCGAGGCCATGTCGATGTAGTCGAAACTTCCATTGTCTTCTGGAACATACATTTACGCGATAAAGTTCGGAGTATGACTCAAAAATGTCCGAAAATTGAATAATCCGACCTATGGAAGCAGGTGATAATTTCGTAGGTAATTGCATTTTTCAGACTATTCCAGTTACGTGGCGTTTCTTGGAAATGTCCGGGCGGCCAGGGACGAAATGGCAGTTAAAAATGGTGGCACATGACTTTTCCAGGCTATCACTAGAGTCAGCATCTTCTACGCAAGTTGAAAGGGGGCGTGGCCTATGAAACGTTAGCAATTTCAGCACGATTAGCTAATACTTGAGAAGAATTCGGAAAAGGAAAAGGAGAAGACGAAAAGTTGGGTCTGAGGCCCAAAAAACTTGTTTTCTACAGTCCATGTCGTGGCATCGAAACAAAAAACGTGGAAAAGACGAAGGAGAACTGAATGTTTCGCATTGCGCGCGTAGGTCAAAACAAATGATCTCGCAGCGAATTGACAGAAAAAAAGTGAGTCTGCGCAAGACATGCAGTGTGGACGAGGAGAAAAAAGAATGGTTGTGCGGCAAGATGTCTCCGAATGGACGGACCGTCGACGGGAAAGACCGCAGACTACAGACACGTGTGCTCATGAGAAAACAACATGTGCAACTGTCAATCGAACACTCGTACACTTCCATTGATCTCTGTGACAGGTGTGAACGGTCCCTGTCCCGGTCAACACGCGCGCAATGCAAAACATGGAATCTACTAACGGATCTCATCAGTTTTCTCTACGTTTCCAATTTCCCACGGCCTTTTCTCATATCATTTTTGTTAGAAACACTCACAAACTTTCGCATGTCCTTCAAGTTAGGAGGCATGCACTGCCCAACTCTAGAATCTTCCGGTACTTACGAGATTTAATTGGAGAACTTCTGTTAAAGTCGTGATGTCTCTGGTAGATTATTTGGCCAATCGTCCAGATTCTGTCGGCAGATGGATCCATAGCTGAAATGGGCTTTGTTTGTTCAAGTTCTCCTCAAATGTATATGACCTGACGCTCGCATTAGGAAAACGTTCGACTTTTGACTACTGGTTGAGGCCGGTTCGATAACAGTTTTTATTGCTTCATGATCAGTCTATGCCTCACTAGTTAGAACATTAGCCCTTCTAGAATATCTAGACGGTCCCCAATGAATCGGTTGAGTGTGCATCAGAGTTATTTCTCGAATTGACCCTATAGCCCTTCGACGTTCTCAAAATACCCTTTCTCTAAAAAAAGACCAAGGAAGTATGTCAGTGGGTGTGCCATCTTGCACTTCTTCTTCTTCTTCTTCGTATCCTCTACGTACTATAGTATGTATTTGAGTACATTCTTTCCCAAAACCCGAAACATTTTCCATTTCTGGAAACACACATCCACTTTTGCAGACGTCATTGTAAAGAAGGTTTGCGACGTGGCAAACAGTGATCAGTGATTCCGAGAAACGGACGATCAGAGGACAGAGTGAGAGAGCGACCGGATACGATCGGCTATTCATGAGGACATGACGAGGCCGATGATTCTGCTCACTGACCCTTGGCGGAATACAGAACACAGACTTGGACTCTCAATAGAAACTGCTCGAAAAGGTCAGCATTTGAAAGAAAAGTGTGTTCAGCTCGATGATACGGTTTGTTCAACTACTCAGGTGATGCCGGATTCGACTAGGGCTTTCAAAATGAGGCTAAACTTTCATTCTTGCCACAAACTTTCTCTAAAATGACTTCCAAGACGAACACACCTTTCGAACTCGTTACAAAATCAACGACTCACGTTTCGTGCGTGCGAACGCAGAAAGTCCGCCGGCGTTTCCGTTCGATCCGTTCGCCTTCCACTTCTTTTTCACTTTCAAATGAGACGCTTGATGACTGCAAAATGGTTAGAATTAACAATGGGATAGGCGTAAAAATGGAAATGGAACAGCGACACCAAAGGACACTTTGAATGTGTTCCATGGAAACGCCGCCGCCGAAAACACATCAAAATTCAACGAGATTCAGTTTCATTGAGTCGATGTGGATGTGTGAATTCTCACCTCATTATTGTCCGATTCTGAGGGATTGGCGGCACAATTTTGAAAAAGTTTGGGCGCGAAACTTTGGCTGAAAATGGAATGCGAATGCGAGAGAGTTTGATTCGTTTACACGGACACGCAATGCGATTATTACAATTGTGCTAATCGAATTTCTTTTGAGCTTTAGATAGTACATATAAACTTTAAGAAAGTTTCTAAAAAAATGTTCAAGTCATAAATAACATTAAATGTTTAGGCCAGGTAGGCTTTTGAGCAACTTTTGAGCAACTAGTAGTCTAGGATATGAGAAATTATGCTTTTTCGGTGTACTTTTCGGGTCTCGCCACGAAACAGCGCCGCAGCAACAACAAAAAACAAATTGTGGCTGCCGGCGACGGTAGCCACTCGGAATGGGTCTGATAGAAGTTGCTCATCCGAATGCATTTCAAATCAGGCCCCGCCCACTTTTCCCCGTTCCCCCCCTACACAAAATTCATGAAAAATTGGCGGGCTTGAAAAAAGCACGGAGAGAAATGTTTGCAACGAACAGAAACGTTGCTTCGGGGAAACGGCGGGAAAATGAACGAAAACAATGAGTGGTGGGCAGCGAAAAATGAGTAATTATCCGTTTCGGAACAATGGGAACAAGGCTTTAGGAATCAGAGACCTCGAAATGTCGGTTTTAAAGGTGAGAATCATTAATTTTGAGGAAGAAAAACACAACCATCACAAAACAATTGAAATTAAGCGTGCGTCTGGTCTGTCGGCAACGCGCATTTCTGCGGCACCTTCGCCATTTTGCGCGGTTCCGTCTTGCCGGTCCGCGTCGAAACGACAGTGTTCCAGTCGAGTTTCCGCATCGGCTCTCCGAACTTTCCGCGGCACAACACCACGCCCAACTCGTCCTCGGCGATCGACAACACGAATTTGTCCTTGATGCTCGCGTCGTCGCACACTTTCGCCAGGATGTAGTCGTTCGGGCGGACAAAGTGTTTGAACGGTTCCGACTGAAAATTGTATTTTTTGAGCGTTAACTGTAAGGGCACGGGTTTTTGGATTCGAAAACATTCAAACAGCGAAGGGGAGTTGCATAATTTCGCTTCAATTTTAACGTTTCTATCTCTTTCTTACCAATTCGGGCTCCAACGGCCGCAATTTTTTCTTGGGCAACAGCGCCGAAAACCGTTTATTGTACACTTTGTCGCCGATGCTGATGATGTCGCACTTGGCGAATCTGCAGAAAAGCTTTGTTTTCGGGCCCCGCAACGACTTTTTCTCACCGCAAACCCACCGCCATCACTTTTGCGGTGACCACGGCGCCGTGGAAGGGCAAAAGTTCGTTGTCGAGCTGATCTTCGCTCCGTCGCACTTCGATCACCTGCACAAGACTTTCCGATTTCTGAAAACCGCGCAATTTTCGTGGCGAGACCTCGGACCCCCGCGGCGTACGTCTCTGAATCCGTACACATTGACGTAGCCGGCGACGGAGGCAAAAATCCGCCGATTCGCCTCGTAAAGTCCCTTTCCCATACGATAGTCGCCGATTGCGTCGAGCACCTTGTCGCCCGGCGCAACAAGCGTTCCGCATATCATTCTCGGGCTGAAAACCCGAAATTTCGGTGAAAAACAATGGAAAAATGAATGAAAAATGCAAACGAATGAAGTTACATGTGAAACTAAAACCTATAAAAAGCCTTCTGCTATAACAACAATTCATTTGAATGGGTTTTTGAATGGAAAAACGAAAACAGAACAGAAACAGCAAAAATGAGGTCAAATTGGAAGAAGAATTGTATAAAGAGGGGTAAAGTTAAAAATCAACAAGGATGAACAAGAGCATTGACGGTTTAGGCGGCGTCGACGGTCAGATGAAGGAGGGTCTCGGCGAGCTCGTCGTAGAGTTCCTGGTACTCGCCGCTCGGCTTCACGTAGATCAGAATAGACGGACGACGGTGGCCGACGGCGAGTCCGAGCTGCTCGCGAGACGGAATGTACACGTATGGCACCTGCTTCTCCTCGCAGATCGCCGGAATGTGCGAGTAGACGTCGATTGGCGTCACGTTTCCTGCAAAAAGTGGATTGTTTCGTGTCCTAAATTGAATCGAATCATACCGGCCAGAATGCAAATTCCCTTCTCGTTTCTGCGCAACTCCTTCTGCACGTCCTTGATTCCCTCGCGAAGAGTTTTGTCGGCCAACGAGGCCTTCTTGATCAGCTTGTACACCTTTTTGGCCAGTTTGCGATTGGCGAGCGGTTGAGCGATCGGGTTTACCTAGAAAAAATCATTTTTTCTCGGGTTGTTTCCTAAAAATCGATACCAATTCGCACATCGCCTGATATTCGTCTTTCTCGGTGGTCAACGTGGCGTCTCCGGCGGCCTCAGACACGACCGACTCGTTCGCTGTCTCGTCAAGATTCTTCTTGCCCATTTTCTGCTTCTGAAAAGTGGAAATATTGAAAAATTCACAAAAATCCTATTTTCGACAGTTTCTAGCGGGAATAACGGAATTTTCGAGGAAAGCTTAGATTTAAAAAGTACCTTATTGATTCTAAAACCAGACGGAACCTAAAATTTCTGAAAACTAGAAGAAAATCGACCGAAAATCGCGAAAATTGAGGAGGAAAAAGACGAGAAACGAAAATTATTTTAGGTTCACAATGGAGCGCACTTGCGTCGCGCGACGAGAGAGTGTGCGGAGTGAAGAGACGCAGAGAACATGTTGGCGATTTTCAAAATTGAGAATGCGGAGATCAAAAAGCATTGCGTTTTGGCGAGATAAAACTAGCAGAAAATTGCAGAGAGCACTCGAAAAACATGCAAAACCCGGTTTCGATCGAAAAAAGCTGTAAAAAGTCCTTCTAAACTTGAAAAATTCCCAGAATAGAAAATAAGCCGCCGGTGTTTCTTTTCCCGCATGCGGCCGCACAAAGCCTCTCACAATATCTATGGCGACAGCGAATTTTAAAAGGAAAATTCGAGAGCAACATTTCCGATTAGAAGCCTTTCAAGTCATATGTTCAATTTCAAATAAAAAGTTTGAATGTTCATTGTGTGCGAAATGTGCCTGTTCTATGCGCTCGTCAACGCCCTCTTTCTTATCACTTTTACACTTTGAGCAGTGTCCGAATAGTCTGAAACTTTTCAATTCTGTGTGTGCAAAGTATCATCTGCTTCTCAAATTGTTTTGTAGAACGTTTCACCAAAAAGACTCTTTTCTCTAAACACATTTCATGCTACTGATTTCCATTTTTGAATATTCCGAACGCCATTTTTATTGTGTAGCATTCACTTTTTTGTTGTTCTGTTTCGTTTTCGAATTTATCGATCGGTTAGCCGTGATTTTGCAAATCTCTTTATAATTAGAAACACGGAAGCGCAGTACGTTCTAGCTGCTCGTTAAATTGTTCAAATCTGCGAGCACAATCAAATCAGTCCGGCCGCAGCGGACTAAGTGTGTCACTGATCGATACTGCAGCAGTTGGTTCCGTTCGCTCAAAAAGTTCAATGCGCGCATGCTTGCGAACACATGTTGTGTTCCGGACGACATCACCAACACCACATGCATGCATTGTGTGTTGGATACAGTTGAGCAAACATTTCGTGGAAATAAAATATCGCGTTCTTCGTTTTCCTCGCCTACGTTCTCGATTTTCCGAATTTTCAGCCGGGACTGTGATGAGAAATGAGCTATGAGAGACCCGTGCAGATTTTATGTTTCTTAATGCTTGGTACGTAACATTTATTTCTTTTTGTTGCTACCCTGTGAACATTCTTTTTCAGTACTATTCTTCCTGAACTTTGAATTCGATGAAAAGTACGGAAGGTCTCGAGCAGTCACAACACAGTCTGTTTTTTTCTATTCATCTTCATTTTAAATGCGTCTTTAGCAGGGCGTTAGCCGAAATGCAAAATGAGAATTTGACAACGAGAAAAGTGCGATATTTGTCGTCGAAACTAGCAACGACCGCTAGATTAGGTAAGCGATCTTTGAAGGCCTGTATCTCGGGAACCAGTGATCTTTGTGAAAAGTGATCAACAGGAAAATTGTAGAAAATTTCAAGCTGAACAACTTTGTAATTGATCATTTCACACCAATATCTTTTATTCTCAAGTTACACGTCTTTCAGCCAACCACATTTTCGAATTGGTTTCCCTGTACGGAATGTCGAAAACCTTGCACCGAAAACCGGCGATTTTCGTGGAAGACCTCAAATATACACGATTGATGAATGGAATTCAGAAGATATTTCCAGCATTGCTGGAGAAATTCACAATATTTAAAACTCAGGTATCACCCATTTCCCCAATCTTCAAATCGCAACGTTTCTAGCCACCGCCTGAAGCGGAAAGATTTCTGTTGAGCGAAAAGTGCTGTAAATTCGATAGTCCGGATAAAATCGATAATGTCACTTCTGAATATCTGCACCTAACCGGTCATTTTTATCAGGTCACTTCGAAGAAATCGACCACTCCTTTCAATGCACAGTTTTTTCTTCAGAGCTGGCGATATTTTGACGAGTTTCGAGAAGAAGTCTTAGCATTTGTGAAGCCGGCGATCAATTTCAGTCCTTTGCCCGAATCGAACGATGAAAATTTCATGTAAGTTGGCGGAAATGTAAGAAAAATTGAGCTCTTTGAACGCTTTCAGCACTTGCATTCACATCCGACGCACCGATTTTGTCGACGGTGAACACCACGCATCGAACATCAGTTTCACGACGAAGGCACTCGAATTTGTACGGAACTCAGGTATTTTTGCCTCATTCTAGAGACGATCTCCCGTATTTTAAGCCAAAGCGGGAGTTTGTAGCATTGTCTTGAAATTGGTTACAATTTTTCATAATTGCACGGTCTCCAGAGCTGACAATGGGCGCAAGTGAGCCCCGCCCAATAGAGCGATACATTGGCGCGAAATTCAAATTTTAGCAGAAAAATTTGTTTTTTTTTGCGAGATTAGCCACGAAAAACCGATAATTTCTCATTTGTCTCTCGATTGACCGATTGTATAGGCTATTACGATTTTTTTAAGCGCAAGAGCGTCAAACGCAAATCACATTTATCCGTTTGAAGGTTTTTGGCTAAAACTGCGTGAATTTCAGTTGCTTTTCGGTAGTTTTCGCGGTTCGAGCGCTCAAAATGCTTGTATTTACGTGATTTATCATTCTCAAAACCATTTCTGTCTGAAAACAGTCAAGAAAGCGCAAAATGAGAAGTGCGGTGATCGGCGGCGAAGGCGAAAAAGCAAAGTCTGCGAAAAATGCGCCAAAACGTCATTAATTCTCGAGAATTAGTGTGTTTTCATGTCGAGCAATCATTTTTCATCGCCTTTGACCACAAAAATCAGAGAAAACGTGCTCAATTCATGAAAACGCCATTTGGCCGCTGAGGCCACGCCCATATTGTCAGCTCTGGAGACCGTGAGATGAGGTTTTACGAATTTGAATAAAAGCGAAAAAGGTATTTCCGGTTGCAAAACGGATGTTTTAGAGCAGCTGAAAATCGAAAAGACGAAAAAAATGCTGACGGTGATAATGGGCGACGACGCGGATTACGAAGAGACAATGTTCCCGAAGACGGTGCGAGCACGGAAAGGCGCCGAGGTCAAGAATACGGTAGACGGGTTACTGTAGTTCTGAAGTTCATTCGGTTCTTGTTTACAGACCCAATTCTTTGTATCGGTTAATATGCCGCAAAATGACTTGGCCTACTCGCGATACAATTGTGACGCGGTGCTCATTACAGGTAAGCACCACAACATTGTCCATTCAAAGCGATTTATCTCAGCTGCCGGTAGAGATATAAAAAAGTGGTCAACTGATAAAATGTGTACAATTTCTTACTAAACATTGCATCAGTTGACCACTTTTTGATAGCTCAACCGGCAGCCGAGATATTTCATCCTAAAATCTTGTAGCTCCTTCGTCGACATTCGGCTGGTGGCTCGGCTACCTTTCCAAGGGACAGTCCGTCTATTACCAAGACATCAGGTTCACCAACGACGTCAATTATGTACCCTTTTCCCAAATTTACAGTCCCCCCCAATTCGTACTTTCAGAGAAAAGGCGAACTGGATCCGGATGACTTCTTTGTGCCCCGATGGACGGCCCTAAACATGAATGCCAACGGGGATATTGTCAAAGTTTCATAATATTCTTTCGATATTGTTCATCTTAACGTATTTCATCGGGTTTCTTTCTCCTTGAAACGGGTCAGTCTGGGTACAAGAATAAAGTTTTTAGGGACTATCGAGTCTTGCACAAATCAGATATACGCTTCTGCGGACACTGCAAACATTGTGGGCTTCTTGGACTTGACTGGGCCCAAATTTCAGACCGATCGGATCATTTACGCGCTCGAGATATACGGATCAGACTCCATTAGATTCGTATGATAGCTGAACAAACGTTTTCAAATTCATTTATTCGGTCCGTGACACAGCAAATGGTTCAATGGAAATTCAATTTATCGCTCTTATTCCCCAGGAAAAACGATAAATTGATAATAGTTCAAGTAGCTCGGAACGACGAATCAGTTGGCCGATTTCGAAGCAGTATTCGGTGTGTTCAAACCCGATTTGGAAGCAGTATTCGGTGTGTTCAAATCCGATTCCACAACGTTTTTCATATCCTGCGATCCCGTGTACAACCACTCGTCAGCCTTCGGCTTGAAAACCTTCGTGAACAAGTTCTCCTGTTGCTTCACATACAACGCCAAGTCTCTCTTATCGTTCGCTTTGATTTTTTTGTTCATATAGTGTCCGTACTCACTGATATCGCACTTCTCCTTATTTTTCGGCTTCTTCTTTTTCTTCTTGTCTTTCGAACCGCTCTTCACTTCTCTGATGTATTTTTTATTCAAGAAATAGCAAATTTGCTCGTAACCGTCAAAGTAGGCGATATGGAGCTGCTGAACACAACGTTAAACTAACTAAAAAAAAGTTCAAAAAATATTGCTTACATCCATCCTTCTTTTGCAGATTGCCTTCATCATGTAAAAATATTGGGACTCTGTCTGAAGCGTTTTCATGCGCGCGTTACGCGTCGCTTCGGCTACTGTAATACGACTTTTTTTCGACTATTCGACAAAAATAGAACAAACTAGATGTGAATTTCAAGCTGTTGTTTTGCTGAAGCTGATAGAGACCGTTTTTGATGGAGAGAAGAGTTCCAGTACGACCGACTCCGGCGGCACAGTGAACGAGAACAGGAGAATTCCGGTAGTCCGGTGAATCCATAAAATCGCATATTTCCAAAGCTGGCACTTCCGAATTCGGAACTCCCATGTCAGTCCAACCGGTGTACTTGAGCACCTTGAACGTGAACTTCGTATTGGCCAACCTGCAATAAGAATTACTGCGATTACTGCTCTTAATAATGTCACCAACTTGTCCATCACTTCGATAGAGTACAAACCGTACTTTTCCTTGTCTACGGAGAAACCAGACACCTTCTCGTTTAGAGAGACTGCTTTCACCTCCACTCGTGGTTTTTTACTAGGCCAGCTTTTCGTTTCTTCCAATTTTACGTCGAAGTATTCCAGACACTTTTCCTTTTTATCCTCCCAGAAACTACACAATTGGACAACAAGTTTGACTTGATGCTTTTTGATCATCAGCAGGAATTTATGGACAGAGTTCTTAGTGGGAGCCTGAGAAAAAGTTTCGATGAAAACTGAAAAAAAAACGACATTTTTGTGAGCTCACCATTGCCATGATGTGCATTCTTTTGTCAATGAACATCTCGTTCGCATGGATGAACACATTATCCAGACCACAACCCGCAATGTTCACCATCGTATCAGCGCGGCAGGGAATTGTTGAGTACCTGAACATTTGAGATTGCATGTAGCCCACTAATCGGACTCACCTTATCTCGTTCGCATTTCCCACGGCGGTTTGTGTTGTTTGTCCCTCGTTTAAAGCTCTCAAAATTTCAATACCGTGTCCAACCGGGCTCAGGCCGCGTTCCTCAATTTTTTTGTGAACAGCATTGAGTGCATCGTGAACAAGCGATGTAAGCTTTTTGACTTGAGCTTTTTCAATCTCAGTCACTGAAATGGTTTATCGTTTCGTCAATGTTGGCTTAGAAATTTTCTCACATTCGACATTTCGTTCCATCACATATTTGAACGTTCCATTTATGTAGTTGTAAATGGTTGGAGCGAAACAACACCATTTTTTCCATTTGCTCAGGAATAAAAGCGCTGAACCAAACAAAATAGCTACCAGTAATGAAAGACCGCCAATTCTGAAAGACAAATAATCATTGATATACACCATGTTTTTTCTTACATATACTGCATTAAACTTGAAGTACTCGCCATGACAGTAATGGTCAGTGGAAGTTGGGTACGATTGATGAGATTGAGATGGTTTTGTATGTATTGCGCGTCACGAGACGAGTTGGAGACGGCCTTCGCGTGCTTCACGTGGAAGTTGTCGAGAGCCTTGCACGAGGCGATCGCCTCCGAGAATTTGTAGTTGGCAAAGTTCAGATCGAGCGGTTCCAACTTGCCCAGACTGCGCAAGATCGGGTCCAGAGAGGTCTTGAGATAAGCGTTCCGTTGCACGAGCGACTCGAGGGTCTCCCTGATCTTCCTCGCGTTGAAATCAATCGAAGGGATCTTGCTGGCAGCCCTCAACGCGGATGAATACGTCGAGAGTCCGTCGGTCAAGTTCGCCCTTCTCAGGGCCGTCTCGACCTTTCCGATACCATGCCAGATGCCGTTCAACGACGTCTGTAGAGCGTCGAGAACGACCAGATGTGCGGCGGAAGTGGTGTCCGAGCTCAAAACTGCGCTCACTTGCTTACTGATGCCGCCGACCATCTTCTTCAACGCCTCCAGCTCCGATTTCTTCCCGCCGGCCAGCACCATCTGATCGATTCCCTGCGAAGCGCGTGTGATGTTGTGGGCCACTTGCTGAGCATCCGGGAGCGCCGTCTTCAGAGCAGTCGCGTCCGCGTCCGTGTTCCCCTTGATTCCCGTTCCCGCCTGCCGAGCTGGCTCCAACACGCCCTGCGCGTTCTGCACGATATCGAGAAGGTTCTGCAGTTCGGCGAATATCGGAGCATTCGGGTCGTTGCGGAACTGCTTGATGACGTCGACCATACTTTTCACCAGCTCGCCGTCTTCTCCGATCTCGTGCAAACAATCGTAGAAGGCCGCGTATCCAGAGTTGGCCAACTCCGTCTGATACGTTTGTATGTCTTGAAGACCGGCGGTGATGTTGTTCGCAAAAGGGACCAGTTTTGAGAGAGGTTCGAGCTGTTTCTGCAGGCCATCGAGAGTGGAAATAGTGGAATTCAGCTGGGGAGTGATCTTCAGATTCGTGACCATGCCCGGAGTCTCAGCAGCCTTCGATGCGTCGTCTGTTCCTTTGAAGGTTACAGCAGCTTTCAGAATCGACAAGTCCTTCACACCATCGACAGATCCGAACGAGCCAAGTTTGTTCACAATATCATCCAACGAATTGATTTTGCTGAAGATGTCGTTGAAATCGGTTTTGGAAGAATTGAAAGAAGCTGATTCGAGATGTTTGTGGCACGTTTCGAAATCGGTCAACTTCGCATTTCGAATGCTTTCCTTGGCTGCCTGCTCGGTTGTCCCATTTTTGGATGTGGCGACAGTTTCCGCGGCTTTCAGATGAACATCACCGATCTTCTGCAGTTCGTCCTCCACTTTCTCGACTTTCTCCTCGAATCTGTTGAGTGGGAGCAGTCCTTTCGCGACTTCGGAGGCGGACTTCGGGACGACACGTGGCAGATCGTCGGACATTTTCTTCATGTCGGCCAGCCCGTGCGGGAATCCGTCAGTGTGCTGGGCCTTCGGAAGTTGCTTCGACAGACGGTTGGCCGCGAACTCCACGATCTTCTCCACGGGGAATCCGACGTTGAAGAGGTCGATTATGTCTTTGAATGTCTCGATGTTATTCTTGATGTCCGGATTTCCGATGCTTGGCAAAGGGTCATGTTTGAGCTTGTCTCTGATCTCCCTCTCGTTGATCAACGGCGCCAGAGCTGTGCCTCCTTTTCCCAGATTTCCGAGATTCTTGACGTTGTTCACGTTGGTTTGGAAGTCTTTTGCACCAGTCTCAACGGCAATCAATTTTTGTTTGATTGATATCAACGCTGCAGTGTCGTAATCTATTTTCGAATTATCCGAGTCTGACTTCATTTTCGTCACTTTGCTGAGCTCTCTGAGCAATTCATCCGTCGCGGTTGTAAAATCCTCCAAAAACAGCAGGTCAACCTTCTTCTGAGTCACGTTCTGCAGGTCGTTCTGGTATTTCACGAACTCAGGCAGATTCCGAATGGTTTCCTTGCTGAGTTTACTCGTCCGGATCTCGTTCATTTGGGCGAGTTTGTCCTCGAAGCTCTTCGTTTCCCCCGTTTCCTTCAATTTCGCAGACTTTCCCTTCAGTTGCTCCGTCTGGTTTTTGAGTCCAGCGACATCCAGATACATCACTTCCTTCGGCGTCATCGATCCGAAGCGGAGCAGTTCGGAGATGACTTTGTCGGGCGGGACGAATCCGTCGATGAGTGCCGACTGGAGGGCGAGTCCGTTGGAGACACGGGCGGCCGCTTGCATGTTGACGGCAAAGTCCTGGAGCGCTTTACCTGAAACACAAATGTCAGATGGTTGGCGAAGAGGGACCGTGAGGCTAATCCCGTTGGACAGAGGGGCACTTCGCCGCGATAACCTTCTAGAATCCCCCCGAAGTTCGGCGTGGAAGAAAAAAAGAGCGTGGCCTTTTGCTACGTGTAGAGGTCACGTGAATATTCATCATTTCTCAGAAAACCGACAAGTTTTTTCCGATTCGATTCCGCCGGACCCTCGGAAAACTCCCGGTGCTCCCAGGGACACAAACACGGGCGGTGCTTACCGGTCGGAGCAGAGGCGGCGGCGTGCTTCAGGACGACCTCCGTCGGGGACATTCCGGGCAGTTCGTTGCTTCTTGGAGAGAATTGAGAACCTTTTGAGCGCTTTTCTGAAATTCATGCCTTTTGCGATTTCCTGTCGCTGAAAATTGGGGCGGTGCTTACCGGTCGGAGCAGAGGCGGCGGCGTGCTTCAGGACGACCTCCGTCGGGGACATTCCGGGCAGTTCGTTGCTTCTTGGAGAGAATTGAGAACCTTTTGAGCGATTTTCTGAAATTGATGCCTTTTGCGATTTCCTGTCGCTGAAAATTGAACTCACGATTTCTCTTTCGCATCTCTTCGAGCTCGACTTTATTTGAAAAAGTTTTCCTCGCCAGTTGATCCAACGAGAGCACAGTTTAATACTGATTTTTGTCCTTCTGGTTGGGGGGAGGGTGGACGATAAGGAAAAGTAGAGTAGAGCAGTGGGAGGTCACGGAACGGACAGATCAGAGAGATAACGGTGGGGGCAGTTCACGTGGACGATTGTTTTTTTGAAAAGCGATGGAAGCACGTGGAACAAAGCAACCAATGCTGGGAACGGATTCTCGTGTGGTCCCAGCGGCCTCAGGCGCGGCCAGGCCGGGACGTAGGATCAGGGCTTGCCGGGCTATTATGGCTTGTCGTTGGTCAGAAGAAGTTGCACAACGACAAGTAGCGAAACATAAGCGGAGCCAAAGTGATCCATGAGATTCTTGTCCCGTTACACTCATATTTAGAAGCCTAGTCTCTACTAGCATCCACGGAACCCCAGCATTCCAATGCGCAAGCGAGTTGTCAATGCGGCGCTCTTGCATCCACCGTCGACTCGCAGTTTCTTTTTTCAATTGAAAACCGGAATTCTTTTGTTTTTCTTTTAATAAACACTCAAATTTTGTTCTTTGCGAACCGTAGGGCGATTGTCTGAGTTAAAAGCATCGATTTAAGCGCGAAACGGAGCAGATTAGTTCAGAATTGACCAAATTGAGGGATTTTGTCGAAAACTACTGAAAAAAAACGGAGTTTTAACGATTATTTGCCGAATCGAGTTCGGACACTGGCATTCGAACCGTCCAGTCAACAAGGAGTTTATTGCACATCTTTTAAGCGCTAAACCGTCGAAAAATATACAGAACTGAGATAATTGAGGCAAATTTTCGATTCCAAAAGGAAAAACATTCTGTAATTTTCACGTAAAACGTTTCGAAATTGATGACGAAGCAGTTAACATTTCATTTTTTATTCATTTCTAATCATTATCATAAGTTTTGACACTGATTGGTTCTAAAAAGATGGGGATAATGCAAAAAAAAGAGAAAATTGAAATGAGAAACTCTACAACGACGCTCCGGAATTACGCGTTACACGCCTTGTTTAGCGCACTTGAATTGCGCCAAGGGAATTTTTTATTGGAAGGCTGGGGTCCCGTGGCATCTTGTTTCATCTGAAACTTGTACAAAACTTCAAACATCACAATTCCTTTTCAAATCCATGTATTCTTTATTTGGGCGACACTGAACCGAGAAAGACAATTACGATATGTGTAGCAGGTCCCCGATTTCCGACGCGTCCGCCTAGAGCAACTACTCGTTGCTCATGCTCTTGCCCTTCTCCTTCTTCCCCTGCTTCTTGCCCTTCTTTCCCGTCGTCGTTGTCGTCGTCGTCGTCGTCGTCGTCGTCTTCTTCTTCTTCTTCTCCGCCTTCAACGCCTTCAACGCCTTCTTCTCTTCGGCCGCCGCATTCCGCAAAAGAGCAGCGTCCGCTTCAATGGATTCGGCCGTCACTTTTTGCTGATTCGGACCCGCATATTTCTTCTTTCTCGCCACGTGCTTCTTCCTCGCATTCGCAAGATAGGTGTCCCTGCGAGCCAAGTACATTTTCATCGTGTCATCGTTGCGGAAGTAGCCCAATTCATTGCACACAGAGTCGATGAACTGCTCGTCGAGCGTCTCTTTCAAATAGAACATTATCTCGTCCAACTGCTCGTAGTATTGTTCTCCGCCTCGTAGCTGAAAAACCAAATGTAAAACCAAGCGCATGATGGATCAAAACCAACCTTCATCAAGCCCACAACAACACTCATCAGCAAGTACCACACCTGACTCTCATCCTGAATAGATCTCAAACGTGTCTTGCGCATCGCGTCGATCACTGCAAGCGGCGTTTTCTCAAAGCAACCAATTCGCTACGATTCGACTCACAGTTTATCAGGTTCGGAGACTGTCCTGCCAGACACAATTCGATGCCCTTTTTGATGCCGACAAGCGTTCCGGTCCGACCGACGCCGGTCGAGCAGTGCACGAGGACGGGGGCTCTGTCCTGCTCCAAGTAGGCGACCATCTCGAGACCGGGGACCGGCGAGCGCGGAGCACTGTGATCGGGCCAGCCAAAGAAGCGAAGGTGCTCAAACTCGAACGTATTTTTGGTTTTGCTGCAAACGGGGAACGTGGCAATCGGTGACATTACGCAGGTTACTCACGTGTTTGTGACTCGGATTTTGAACAGAGTGTACTTGTCCCGGTCGACAGTGAACTGCTGCAATTTGGTCTGGATGTCGACCGTCTTGACAGTGTAGTGGTCCCAGTTTTGCTCGGCGTTCACCTCCTGCGGATAGTACGTAGACATCTTCACAACTTTCACTCCTTCGTCTATTTCGACGAACTTGCCGAGCTGAATGCTCCGCTTCACTTTGTAGTGCTCCAGCGCCGCGTAGTGGTGCGCAATCGTCGAGCTCAGGTATCCTTTGCCCCCCCAGAGCGTTTTGTGTCCTTTTTCGGTTCCGTCCAACGGCGCCTGTAACAAGTCAGTGGTTTTCGGCTTTTCACAACTTGTAATTCCGTGAATACCGTGAATATTGTTCATTCGAAGCGATGTATCTCAGCTGTCGGTAGAGATATCAAAAAGTTGTCAGCTGATAAAATGCTAAAAATGTCTTTCTGCGTATTTTATCAGTTGACAACTTTTTGATGTCTCTACAGACAGCTGAGATACATTACACCAAATAAACGGCATTGGAGAGTGCCCTGCAAGCACAATATTCACAATACCTGCATCATGAGGTAGCTTTGTCCTTGAATATTCATCACATTTCCGTGAATGAAATCGATTCCGGGCACGGTAACACGATCGATAATACCACAATAGATGAGTTCGTGTCTAAAATATCCAGATTGCGTCTCACTCGGCTCAAAATCGGCTCGCTCGCTCACCTCATGTACTTCTCGTACTCCTTCTCGTGTACTTGTTGAAGCTTACTGCTGCTCACTAGGCCTCTGCCGAATACGTGAGGACTCGTGCCCAAACCCATTGCGGCCTTCTCTTTGTACCGAACTTCTCTCGCGTACTTGATCGTGCTGTCCAATATCTTGAACACTTGATCGTCCGTGTTCATTCGCACCAGCTCCATAAAAGAGTCATCTGAAACGGAAAAAATGTTGTGCGCAACGCAAAGCTCTTTCTACTCTGCGTCTTGTCTTCATCATCATCCACTTCATCATCCTCATCATCAACGTCACCATCATCCTTGAAACACCACCATTTCTTGCGCGAAGCGAGAATGGCAGTTATAAGTGCAGAAATTAGGGCGACGGCGAAGATACTGTACACGAAGATCATTCTGAAAGAAAAGTGGTCAACATGCATCGTTTTCAATTCACTCACTCAGTAGACAAAGGATCGAATTTTTTCGCTTCAGTTACCAGCCGAATGGTGGCGATCGAGGTCTTCGAAGGATCGCCACCTCGGTTCCCGGAACCAGAGGAGTCCGATACCATCGCGTGCTTCATGTGGAAGTTGTCGAGAGCCTTGCACGAGGCGATCGCCTCCGAGAAGTTGTAGTTGGCAAAGTTCAGATCGAGCGGTTCCAACTTGCCCAGACTGCGCAAGATCGGGTCCAGAGAGGTCTTGAGATAAGCGTTCCGTTGCACGAGCGACTCGAGGGACTCCCTGATCTTCCTCGCGTTGAAATCAATCGAAGGGATCTTGCTGGCAGCCGTCAACGCGGCCGAATACGTCGAGAGTCCGTCGGTCAAGTTCGCCCTTCTCAGGGCCGTCTCGACCTTTCCGATACCATGCCAGATGCCGTTCAACGACGTCTGTAGAGCGTCGAGAACGACCAGATGTGCGGCGGAAGTGGTGTCCGAGCTCAAAACTGCGCTCACTTGCTTACTGATGCCGCCGACCATCTTCTTCAACGCCTCCAGCTCCGATTTCTTCCCGCCGGCCAGCACCATCTGATCGATTCCCTGCGAAGCGCGTGTGATGTTGTGGGCCACTTGCTGAGCATCCGGGAGCGCCGTCTTCAGAGCAGTCGCGTCCGCGTCCGTGTTCCCCTTGATTCCCGTTCCCGCCTGCCGAGCTGGCTCCAACACGCCCTGCGCGTTCTGCACGATATCGAGAAGGTTCTGCAGTTCGGCGAATATCGGAGCTTTCGGGTCGTTGCGGAACTGCTTGATGACGTCGACCATCCTTTTCACCAGCTCGCCGTCTTCTCCGATCTCGTGCAAACAATCGTAGAAGTCCGCGTATCCAGATTTGGCCAATTCCGTCTGATACGTTTGTATGTCTTGAAGACCGGCGGTGATGTTGTTCGCAAAAGGGACCAGTTTTGAGAGAGGTTCGAGCTCGTTCTGCAGGCGTTTGAGAGTAGAAATAGTGGAATTCAGTTGGGGAATGATCTTCAGATTCGTGACCATGCCCGGAGTCTCAGCAGCCTTCGATGCGTCGTCTTTTCCTTTGAAGGTTACAGCAGTTTTCAGAATCGACAAGTCCTTCACATCATCAACAGATCTCAACGAGCCAAGTTTGTTCACAATATCATCCAACGAATTGATGTCTGTGATGATGTTTTCGATATCGGTTGAGGGCGGATCAAGTTTAGCAGATCCGAACTGTTTTTGGCACGTCTCGAAATCGGTCAACTTCGCATTTCGAACGCTTTTCTTGGCTGCCTGCTCGGCGCTCCCGTTTTTGAATGCGGCGGCATTCTCCGCGGCTTTCAGATGAGCATCGCCGATCTTCTTCAGTTCGCACTCCACGTCCTCCAATTTATCCTCGAATCTGTTGAGTGGGAGCAGTCCTTTCGCGACTTCGGAGGCGGACTTCGGGACGACACGTGGCAGATCGTCGGACATCTTCTTCATGTCGGCCAGCCCGTGCGGGAATCCGTCAGTGTGCTGGGCCTTCGGAAGTTGCTTCGACAGACGGTTGGCCGCGAACTCCACGATCTTCTCTACGGGGAATCTGACATTGAAGAGGTCGATTATGTCTTTGAATGTCTCGATGTTATTTTTGATGTCCGGATTTCCAATGCTTGGCAAAGGGTCATGTTTGAGCTTGTCTCTGATCTCCCTCTCGTTGATCAACGGCGCCAGAACTGTGCCTCCTTTTCCCAGATTTCCGAGATTCTTGACGTTGTTCACATTGGTATGAAAGTTGTTCGCTCCAGTCTGAACGGCAATCAATTTTTGTTTGATTAATATCAACGCTGCAATGTCGTCATCTATTTTCGAATTATCCGAGTCCGACTCCATGTCCTTCACTACAGCGAGCTCGTCGTGCAGCTTTTTCACCGCAGTGACAAAACCGTTCAACAACTGCACGGGACTATTCTTGTTGGCCACACTCTTCAGATCGTTCACGTAGTCATCGAGAAGAGGAAGCTTCCGAATGGTTTCCTTGCTGAGTTTACTCGTCCGGATCTCGTTCATTTGGGCGAGTTTGTCCTCGAAGCTCTTCGTTTCCCCCGTTTCCTTCAATTTCGCAGACTTTCCCTTCAGTTGCTCCGTCTGGTTTTTGAGTCCAGCGACATCCAGATACATCACTTCCTTCGGCGTCATCGATCCGAAGCGGAGCAGTTCGGAGATGACTTTGTCGGGCGGGACGAATCCGTCGATGAGTGCCGACTGGAGGGCGAGTCCGTTGGAGACACGGGCGGCCGCTTGCATGTTGACGGCAAAGTCCTGGAGCGCTTTACCTGAAACACAAATGTCAGATGGTTGGCGAAGAGGGACCGTGAGGATAATCCCGGGGGACAGAGGGGCACTTCGCCACGATAACCTTCTAGAATCCCCCCGAAGTTCGCCGTGGAAGAAAAAAAAACACGGGCGGTGCTTACCGGTCGGAGCAGAGGCGGCGGCGTGCATCAGGACGACCTCAGTCGGGGACATTCCGGGCAGTTCGTTGCTTCTTGGAGAGAATTGAGAACCTTTTGAGCGCTTTTCTGAAATTCATGCCTTTTGCGATTTCCTGTCGCTGAAAATTGGGGCGGTGCTTACCGGTCGGAGCAGAGGCGGCGGCGTGCTTCAGGACGACCTCAGTCGGGGACATTCCGGGCAGTTCGTTGCTTCTTGGAGAGAGTTGAGAACCTTTTGAGCGCTTTTCTGAAATTCATGCCTTTTGCGATTTCCTGTCGCTGAAAATTGGGGCGGTGCTTACCGGTCGGAGCAGAGGCGGCGGCGTGCTTCAGGACGACCTCCGTCGGGGACATTCCGGGCAGTTCGTTGCTTCTTGGGGAGAATTGAGAACCTTTTGAGCGCTTTTCTGAAATTCATGCTGATTAGTTCGCAGGTTATTGAACCAAGGAGGTGGAAAAGACGGAAGACGAGCGTATCGCAAGGACACGTTTATTCAGATTGAATAAAGGTAGAAGAAAATACAAAGGGGTTTTTCAGGCTGTGAAAAAAAAGATTTTTTTCCGTTTTTTTCGTTTTTTTACGTCAAAAAATCCAATTCAGCGATGTAAAAAAACGAAAAAAACGGAAAACAAACATACGCTGAATAGCCCCACAATGGGGCTATTCAGACTGTGAAAAAAATGATTGTTTTCCGTTTTTTTCGTTTTTTTACGTCAAAAAATCCAATTCAGCGATGTAAAAAAACGAAAAAAACGGAAAACAAACATACGCTGAATAGCCCCACAATGGGGCTATTCAGACTGTGAAAAAAATGATTGTTTTCCGTTTTTTTCGTTTTTTTACGTCAAAAAATCCAATTCAGCGATGTAAAAAAACGAAAAAAACGGAAAACAAACATACGCTGAATAGCCCCACAATGGGGCTATTCAGACTGTGAAAAAAATGATTGTTTTCCGTTTTTTTCGTTTTTTTACGTCAAAAAATCCAATTCAGCGATGTAAAAAAACGAAAAAAACGGAAAACAAACATACGCTGAATAGCCCCACAAGACAGAATAATCCGAGGCCATGCCAAAACAGCGGAATTCACGAAAACCGCGGATGCCAAAACCGCGGAAGCCAAAACCGCGGAAAAAAATGCCAAAACCGCGGAACCGTGCAGGCGCAATACTTGACGCGCATTTTCAGATTTCGGCGTTTATTGAATAGAAGGAATTGAAAATTTAATAGCATCAAACAAAGTAATGAAGTTTGGAAGTTCTGAAAAAAAATTGGAAATGAGAGTTATATTTAAAATTATTTTGACAGATATCATCAGCATATTTCTATTGTCTGCAATTCCACGGCGAATGTGTGGTCCTGAATAGAAAAAGCTCGTGGTGCCTGCCGGGTTTTCACATTTAGTTGGGACTTGCAGAATATTTTTTTAAATATTTTTTTTCACGGTCTCCAGAGGAGGCTACCCCGAGCCAGAACTGTCTCGAATCAACACGACTTTTTGTAACAAAAAAAACATGCAGATAGATTCTGATTTAGGACGGTTCCGATTCAAACAGTTCTGGCTAGGGGTAGCCACCTCCAGAGCTGACAATATAGGCGTGGCTTCCGCCAAGTATTTTGTTTTTTCGTCTTCCCCGCCTGAAAACCGCACTCCTTATATTGCTCATTCCTGACCGTTTTCACACAAAATTGGTTTTGAGAATGATAAATCGCATAAATACAAAGCAAACATCTTGCGCGATCGAACAGCAAAAATTACAGAAAAAAACTGCAAGTAACGCATTTTTGGAGGGAAACTTCAAACGGATTAATCTCAATCGACCAAACGAGAAGGTGATGACTTTTTTTTACCCAAAACTGCTTTTTTTCTTTACTGCTGCCTTTTTTTTATACGTCAAAATAAATGTTTAAAGTTATTTTCTGCAAATTGTCATGTTTGATGCTATTAAATTTCAATCCCTTCTATTCAATAAACGCCAAAGTCTTTAAATGCGCGTCAAGTATTGCGCCTGCACGGTTCCGCGGTTTTGGCATTTTTTTCCGCGGTTTTGGCTTCCGCGGTTTTGGCATCCGCGGTTTTCGTGAATTCCGCTGTTTTGGCATGGCCTCAATAATCCGAGTAGCAGGAACTAGGCTAAACACACGGAAAAACTAATTGTCGTCAACTATGATGTTTGCGGCACCGAGAGAGTGTGTGCGCAGAGAGAAACCAAGCTGTGAGAGGAAAAACAAGTTTGTGTGTATCGGAGAGTACACAAATCTCTCCACGATAAATGAGAAAGTAAACGGGGGTAAAGAGGACCTAGTTATCAATGATAACTTTTCTGTGTCGGGTCTATATCGAATTGTTTGACGGCAGTTCGATTTCTAGCAGAGCGTCTGACGATCGGCACAGTCGGCGAGTGCACAGGCGAAGCAGGCAGCGATTTACCATCCAGACGAACCAACGAATCCTCATCCGACTCCAAAACATCCTCAGAATCCTTCGAATCCTCGGCATCCTTCGGAACCGCGGCATCCTTTCGATCCTCCTTCCAATCGTTTCGGCCGTCCGAGGAAGATTTCGGCGGGCGACTTTTTCTGCGGCGCCGCCGCACACGGAGTCGAACGATAAAGTTGTAAGAAGACGTTGAGCGCGTCCTCTCCCTTCGACTCGGCTTTCAGCTTCTTCAGTGAGCGCTTAAAAGTATCGACAAACCGTTCAGGTTGGCCATTTGATTGCGGATGATAGGGCGGTGCGAAGACGTGGTTGATCCCTCTCTCCTCGCAGAATGACTGGAACAATTGCGCGGCGAATTGTGTTCCATTGTCCGTCACCAGCGTCTCCGGATTCCCGAATTGCCCAAAAATCTTCTCGATGAGCTTGATGGTGGCGGTCGATGTGATCGATTTGGTCGCCATCACTTCAGGCCATTTTGAATATGCGTCTACTACCACCAAGTAGTAGACTCCGTCGACGGGTCCGGCGAAATCGGCGTGCACGCATGTCCACGGAGCAGCTGGTTTTGGCCACGAGTAGAGCACGTTCTTTATCGGATTCTTGGCAGCGGCGGCGCAGTTGTCGCAGCTCCGCACAACCTGCTCGATATCCTTGTCGATTCCGGGCCAGAAGACGAGACTGCGAGCGAGTGCCTTCATACGGACGATTTCCGGGTGTGCTTTGTGAAGCGAAACGAGAACGCGTTGGCGAAGACGTTGCGGAACGACGACGCGATGAGCCATCATCAGACAGTCCTCGACAATCGACAGTTGTTGCCGGCGTCTCGAAAATTGCTGGAACGCGGGCTCCTTTTCGAGATCCTTCGGCCAGACTCCTCGCTCTGCACACGCCATAGCTTTTTGAATAAGCGGATCCGTTTTTGAACTATTCCGAATCATTGCGGCGGTGACTGGAAGTTGGTTGCACTGACTGGCGAGTTCCGGCGAAGCTTGCACTTCATCTTCTTCAGCTTGACGGGCCTTCTGGTTGATGAGGCGTGACAGGGCACTCAGGGCAAATCGTTTCTAATCTAGCTAGGAGATTTCGTAATCTAAACCGAGTCGAGAGTATTTCTAACCGAACCTAATTAGATTTGCAAATCGGCTAATTAGATGAACAAGTTTCCTAACTAGATTCGGATATCTCCTAATTAGATTTGGCCATATTTTCAAAATTCTCGTTAAAAATCGACAAATTTATTGGGAAAACGACAACAAATAAGAGTTCAACAGAATAAAAAGTAAAAAATTGACAAAATTAGAAGAAAATTTCGACTACACTCCTCTCGCTCTCTTCAATTCTTTCTTGCTCGTCGAACGACTGTGGTTGCTGAAAGCAGAAAAGTCCGTGTTATATTTACGTGCTCCGGGAAACATACAAAATGTTTGCCAGATGCAGTTTTAAAAGAATCGCAACAGGCAAAAGGCACAAGATGATCCTTTGGACGAGTGACCTTTGATCGGGGCCAAAAACCTTTCGTCGAGCCTGCAAATTCGTTAATATGAGGAGGAAATCCGCGTTTTCAAACTGACTGGGTCGTCGAACGCGCCTGTCACAATATTCCCTCTGACTATGATTCCCCGTTCAACACAGTGCACAGTTCTAATTCATTGTGCAGCATCGACTCGCGTCCTCTGGTAAATGGATTGCGATTTAATTAGAACTCATTCACATCTAATTCAAGAAAGCATGATTTTTAGATCTAGTTAGAAGTTTTTCAGGTTTAATTTGAATCTAATTAGATGTGAAAACAGAAATTCGAATCTAATTAGAAGTTGGACTTTTCACATCTAATTAGGAGTTTTTGGGATCTAATTAGAAATGATGCAATCTCTGCGCACCGCGGAACAACTTTTTTTTCTCAATTTTTGAAATGTTCTTTTCGTCTTCTGTTGTTTATTGCATTTTTATTCAACTGAGAATATCCACGTGTGTGTTTAGTGTTGCAAGTGCGCACCATTGACAATTCTTCTGCGCATAACATTAATCATGCTCACTCGTTTGCTGGCCTTAATTTTTAGAACAATTCTCTTTCAATTTTTGCAGAATGAAAAGGAAACTTCTTCGATGAAGGGAACACTGGAACCATCTAAGTTTCTAGAGGAGCCGGAAACTCTGGTTGCAAACTTGGATTGTACAAGTGAGAAGATCCAAGTAAGACTTTACAAAGCAATAAATATTGCAGGCGAAATTTCGGTGAACGCTATTTTTTCCGAAATTCCAGCTCAAACAGGCTCGTTGAAGCATATTGTTCAGATCGTCACCAACAAATGGCTGACCGAGGTAAGAATATACGACGAATACACCAAAACGGTATTTCTTTCAGATGATTCCGGACAACTTACGCCACAACTTCTCTGTCAGCACGAAACCACAAAAACCACAAGTTTCCCTTCCGAGTCGATTCATTAACCCTCCAATCGGTATAAATTATATTTGAGATAGTATGCTATGAAATGTTTTTGCAGCCGTACTCAGTGGAGCGATCCAAATTCACGGATGCGACAGAGAAAAGGTGGCGATCACTGTGGCGCTGCTCTTCCAGCATCACTTGGATTACTGCTTGTGAGTCGATGCGAAAAACAACGTTCCAATCTACTTTTCCAGCAGTCACGCCCGTCATCGCATGCAGAAGCAGAAAAAGGACGAGAATACGAGTGCTTAGGTGCTATCCGGCGCTACAACGGAACAATTTCAATTTCCCTCACTCGTTTCATTGTCTTTTTTAAATGCTTCCCGTCAGCACTCGACATGAATTTTTTGTCCTTTACATTGTCAATATACACGAAGAAGCCGACTGTGGAACATGGGGAACATGGATCTAATTAGGAAATTTTGGCATCTAATCAGAAGATTTTCACATCTAATTAGGAAATTTTGGCATCTAATCAGAAGATTTTCACATCTAATTGGAAGTTTTCACATCTAATTAGAAGATTTTCACATCTAATTAGAAGATTTTCACATCTAATAATGACATGTTAGGCGGTAACAGACCTTAGATTAGATGTGAATGAGTTCTAATTAAATCGCAATCCATTTACCGGAGTCGAAATATCGAAGTCGAAATATCTCGAAATCGCTGAAAAAAATAGTGCGGTCATTCCGAAATCGAAGTAAAAACCTCTTTTTGATTGGGGTAGTCGACAGCAGAAAGTCAGTTCGACTCAAGTCGACTTTATCACTCAGTTTTGCCCACGATGCCACTGAAAAACACGCAGTTTCATTTCGCTAATAAAAAACGTTCAAAAAACTACAAACTTCTCTCATCGTATTTCATCGTATCGTCCAAAATCGCCTTATTTTTTCTATCCGTGTAGAAGTCTTCTTCGAACTCTGATTGGTAATCTTTTTCTGAATCGGTGCCATTGATCGGAATATTGAGGTAGATTCTTCGCTTCGGTGGCATAGTTTGCACGACAGCCACAACGCTGATCTTCTTCTTCTTCTGGAACTTTTTCGTCGACTTCTTTGAATGATTCTTGTTTTTGTAGCAAAACTTAGCTGTGTGGCCGTCCTTTCCGCAGACGTTGCACGTGACTTTCTCGATTTTGCAGTCACGGGACCAATGATTTCCACCACATTTTGGACATGCGGACGGCGGCCTTCTTCGCCTTGATGGCGTTGATTTCCGGCTTTACTTTCGACGTGCCCACTCGCTGCGAATCGTCACGAATCTCCAGAAGTCGTTTGATCTTCGTCTCCAACTCCAGAAGTGTAATTTCTGTCTTACTTTCCAGGAGTTGCAGCGCTTTCGTTCGAATGTCCGGCGATCGAAATGAGACAGCATACTTGATCGTCGGGTCATTTCCTTCCACCTTGATGTGGTGAAGCGTCGGAGACTGATGCCCGTGTACTCTTCGAGAGCTCCTCCAGTGAACGACGTCTGCAGGAAATCATATCGGCGGCGGAACTGCGACGAAGTTGACTTGAACGTCTCCTTCAACTTAGAGATCAGCTCGGAGAATTGTCCGGGTGCATCGGCAGCAGTCGATTCGCAAAGAGCGAGTATTCCCGGCCATCCAACTTTGAGAGCACGAGGCGGGCCTTAGCTTTGTCTTCCTGGAGTACTCCTTCCTCGTCAAGGAGCTTCTCGTATCGCCTCTTCCTCCGGGTCGTATTTGAAAAGCGCGAGACAGCGAGCAGACAGCGAATCGATTTTTCCTCCTCCAGTGGCGGCTGACGTGGCGGGGTTTGAGGAGCCAGCGCTGCAATCTCAGCAGAGAGGCGAGACAACTCGCCAGGATTTGAAGGTTCCATCACGTCTGGATGCGAGACGGTCTCTGTTGAGTGGTAAAAATGTTATTTACCGGTTTGCGAGCAGAAAATCCGTGATCCTGATCGCCAATTTGATGTGTTCGCAGGTTATTGAACCAAGGAGGTGGAAAAGACGGAAGACGAGCGTATCGCAAAGACACGTTTATTCAGATTGAATAAAGGTAGAAGAAAACAAAGGGGTTATTCAGGCTGTGAAAAAAAAAAATTTTTTTCCGTTTTTTTCGTTTTTTTACGTCAAAAAATCCAATTCAGCGATGTGAAAAAACGAAAAAAACGGAAAACAAACATACGCTGAATAGCCCCACAAGACAGAATAATCCGAGTCGAGGAACTAGGCTAAACACACGGAAAAACTAATTGTCGTCAACTATGATGTTTGCGGCACCGAGAGAGTGTGTGCGCAGAGAGAAACCAAGCTGTGAGAGGAAAAACAAGAGTTTGTGTGTATCGGAGAGTACACAACACACGTGGTTCCGTCTCTTCTGGCGTCCGTCCGAACAATCTAGCCGGCCGCAACATAGATGATACATCCGAACCAAATGTTTAGGAAATCAAGTAGATCGTTAGCAATTCAATTATGGGAGTGGGAATTCTATAGCCGTATTTAAGTCAGTCACGATTGTATTATCAAGTCATTGTATTCATTTGATGGAGATCCTTTACAAGAAGTGTATGATTGTGAATAAGTGTGTCTAGTTTGTACAGTCCATCTAATGAACAGTGCTTTCGTTATTTCCCTACTCTTCATTGTTTTCTGTGAGTTTTCTCTCAGAATTCTTGACACATTATCGTGTTTCCAGTCCTATTCCTCTTTTATTTCCGTGCAGAGTCCGATGCACTAAGTGCCTAGTGAGTTGTCATTCATACCGCCCGTGTACGCGGTGAACTTTCAGTTCTAACAAGTTACAAGTCAGTATCTCATTCGTAGGTGGTAATGATCCGCAGAAGTTCTTGTCGAGTGCACTCGCAGCTCCCAATCGATTAGGTACGCTTTTCCAGAGATTTCTATGAGAAAACGCGCCCGGATGTTTAGGAAATCATCTGTTCGAGTTGGCGGGTCTCTACGGAATCGCTCAAACTTTGGCCAGAACTCCGGTCTTTTGGATCGAGGACGAAAACTATCGGAGAATGTTGGAAAGTACGCGGGAGCTGGTGCCGGGGCTCGTGGAGAGGTTCACTGTTTTCTATGGAAAGGTGAGTGCCTTCCACGTACAGTAATCCCATGCGCCGTCCATTAAGGTACCGTCTACTGTCGTTGAGACCAAGTTCCATGAAAATGCTGTACATTTGACAATCCACAGAGGTTGGCGAATATTTCCGATGAGTATTTGCACCTTTCCGGTCCGTTTTATCAGGTGAACAGTGACTTTACTGCAAGATTCTAAACAGAGCACATTTGCAGAGTTGGAAATACTTTCCCGGCGTCGCGATGAGATTCTCAGCTATTTGAGGCCCCCGAAAACCTTCAAAATCCTTCCCACATCCGATGAGAACACTGTTGTGTGAGGGTTTTCGGTGCACGAACGGGAAACTACATGAAATGTTTGCAGTACGTGTGTCCACGTCCGACGGGGTGACTTCCGAGAAGTCGGCTACTTTTCCGCAGACCCCGAACTCATCAGGAAAGCTCTGAAGCATCTGGAACACCGGTGTAACTTCTAACATCTTCTAATGTCCTTGTAATCGCGCAAAGTTCGTTTCAGTTGCGGCCAGAACGCATCTCCGATTGCTCACAGTGTTGTTCGGCGACGATCGCAAGTTCATGGGCGGTCTATTTCCCAATTCTATCCACTCCAATTCCATATTTTCTCGCGTCAAGCCTACAGTAATCAACCGTAGCTCTCGCTTCTATCCCGTCGCTACCGTACCCATCTTCAGACCAAGTACTTCATCTCCTCCAATCCGCCGTCGGAAGACCTGCTCTACTCGAGCCAACACTGTGATCGCGTGCTCATCACTGGTCGGTGCATGCGTACTTTTCCGCCCGCCTACCGTAACCCTCTCCTCTTCTTTTTCAGCTCCAGTCTCCACATTCGGCTGGTGGATGGGATATCTGTCGAAGGGAAATGAGGTGTTTTACCTGGATGTCCGAACAGTTTCAGATGTTCTTTATGTAAGAGGCACCGGGCTACTGTAGCTACAAACAGCCGCTTCAGGAATCGGGAAAGCTGACATTTGACGATTTCTACCCGCCCAAATGGACGGCTCTGCGGCTTTCCGCTGATAACTCGACGCTTGTGGAGAGTGAAAATTGATGTTTTGGATTGGAATAAACAGAGAGAGAGAGAGTGCCTTCTCTGCGAGAGCTGCTTGTTTGCGTCGCTATTCCCATCCGAATTGCTCGGTGCACTAAACCAGAACTTGAGTTAATTTCCCTTCTCATCCGGCCGCGCCTGCTCATTCAATCTACTTTCGCGCTTGTTTCGCTCTGTTTTCACTCCCTCTCCTTTTTCTTGTTTTTTCTTTCGAAAGTCCGACGAAGGAGGAGGAGGTCAAATCCAGCTGTTATCAGGTGCGGAAATCTTTCGAATTTCCAGTTTATTCTAGCGAAAATGCAACATGCGAATTGTTGCATTTCAGTTGCAAAACGTCAAACTCCTTCATTTTAATCAGAATCGGACAGCTCGCAACTACGGCGCGACCTTTCAAGTTTCTCTAAAACCAAAGGCCAATCGAGTCGAGTGTCGGTTGCAAAGTGTCCATCAACTGTGTCCCTCCCTCTTCTTCTTCTTCTTCTTCTTCTTCTTCTTCTTCTTCTTCTTCTTCTTCTTCTTCTTCTTCTTCTTGCTCGCAAGGTGTATCATCCTCATCATCATCATCATTTTTGTGTCCCCGAGGGAGTCTGTCTGCCTCTCTCTCTATTTTCCTCAATACAACTTCCGAAAAAGAGGAAGAAGAAGAAGAAGAAGAAGAAGAAGAAGAAGAAGAAGAAGAAGAAGATTCGAATTCGCATCGGTCCCTTCTGGTTCCACTTTCAAACACACCCAAATTGCTCATAAACTCTTTTCTCAATTGCCCCCCTCACCGATTACTTTCTTTCCGAATGGATTTCAGTTGGAAACTTTGGAGATTTGGCGCGCATGTCTTGACTCTTATGAGAATTGCAGACAAACCAACCGGTATTTCCTAGTCTTCTGGAAATTTGCAGTATTTTTAGAGACCTGTAATAGAACATTCGAATGTCGTTCATTCAAACTTCTATATCTGAGCTGTTCGTAGAAATATCAAAAAGGTGTGAACTGATAAAATGTAGACATTTTCTTAGTGAACATTTTGTTAGTTGACAACTTTTTGAAATCTCCATCCGCAGCTGAGATATAGCGTTTTGAATAAGCTGCCTTTCAGATTTTCCGCCCAAAAAATGCACTTCTCGACACCTTTCATTAGAATGGCTTCGTTTTTAGTGAGAATTGAAAAGTCGAGGCCCTTTTGACTCCGAAAATGCTCTTTCCGTGGCCGAGTATCATAAATTTCCGTGGAACGTGTTTCTGTCCCATCTGCTCACCCACTCCCTTTTCTTTTCATTCTCCCCCCCCCTTCCAAAAGTCCTCTTTTTCACTTCTTTTCTTCAAAATTCTCTCTGGTTTTAGGGGGAAATATGATCATCGACGGTATTTCGAGCGATGATTACTCTCCGATGATCGAGGCGGATCCGTGGGATTTGGATCAGCTGCTCAGTGGGGAGCAGGTAAGGGAAACGTTCCAGCTCATCTTTGGAGGCCTCTATCTCGACAACTATTGTCTATTTCAAAAAGTGGCCAACTGAAAAGTTGTGGCAAATTTTATGCTGAACAACTTTATAATTGACAATTTTTCTTCAAAGTGTTTAGTTTTCAAGTTACACGTCTATTTCTAAAGAATATTATTAAGAACTTCAACCTGTCTTCGGAACCTTATATCTCAAGTTCTATTGTTAATTTCAAAAAGTGGTCAACTAGAAAGTTGTTGGAAATTTCATGCTTAACAACTTTGTAGTTGATTGTTTTATCTGAAACTGCTTAGTTTTCATGTTATAAGTAAATGTTTGAATGGTATTCATAGAATTGATAGAAAAAACACAACATGTCCAACTTTTAGGATTTTTCGACAAAAAAAGATGTACTACAACTAACAGGACCAAAAGTACGTACATTCATACATTTCTGTCACAGCTGACTCTCTTCTCCTCCTTGATCCCGGTCAATTTTGCAAATTTGTGCCTGCCTCGAAATGAGTCCCTCTGCCGAAAGGGATTAATTTGGAAATGGAGAGTCGTCTCTCTCGCGGACCCATCAAATAAACTTTCGGGTCCAAAAGAGTATCCGGAGACGCAGACGGTCCCTGACAGCTCTTGATGGCTCCGCACCGCTTCGGAAACCGGCTCTTCTAGATTTATTTCTTCAGTTTTTGTAAGTTTTTGCATTTGAATTGAACTTTGGGGCGCTAGGGCAAATGGAGAAGACCGAAGGGACCAAAGAGCAAAAGTTTATGGATATTGTAGGTTCAAGAAATGTCGGTTCATCGAATTGCGCCCTCAACGATCTCATTTGGAACATGTGTTCAGAAATTGACTTATAACTTGAAAACTAGACATTTTGAAAGAAAATTGTCAATTACAAAGTTGTTCAACACAAAATTTGCAACACTTTTTCAGTTGACCACTATTCGAAACATACAATAGTTGTCAAGATATAAGCCCCCAAAGCCATGTGAAAGCAAATGGAAAACGCGCGAAACGTTCATTTTCTCCTTTCCCGTTTTTTGCGCCATTTTTCCACATTTTCTATGTATCTAAAGTTTGGCGAGAGTCCATTGTGAATAATCGACTTCCTTTTCCTCAAAATCCTTTGGGACCATTTTCGAAACAAAAACGTCCACTTGTGTCGAGAATGATGATGATCCGAGTTTCGACACTTTCTCGGCACCGCGAGGACGACGACGACGACGCGTGCAAAAACAGCTGAAAACGACGAGGATGCATGTGAGTTTCGCCCTCCCGATTACCGGTTTATTGAATCAAACGCACGCCTCGGCCCGCGGCAAAAATGTTTTTGTTTGTTTGTCCAAATTGAGTTTGCACACATCCTTTGCCCCCTTCTGCCGGAAATCTGTCCGCCCGTTTAGACACTGGTCACTTTGGTCTCCTCTATCCATATTATAGTTTTTCTGAAGTTTGACGTTGAAACCTAGAAAAATTGCAGCCTTGAAAACGGAATTGAATGAGTATTGTAGAGTTTTTGTGCGACGACGTTGCACTAGTTAATCGACTCTGAAACTTCAGAAAGCTACAACGGTACTCGGGTGATTTTCGGCGAGTTGTCGCAAGAATCGGCATCCGTGCCGTTTTCTGCGGCAAATTGCTGTAAGGGTGCCGATTCCGTGCTCGCTACGTGCTCAACCCCAAAAACCTTGCTTCCCTAACATCCGACGTGTTCCTGTTGCTCGCCCTGACCATGCTGATGCCATGCCGGACCCGTGCGTGACACATGCTCACCAGTGTTGAGCGGAATTCCGTCTTCCGTCTTCCGTCTTCCGTGGATTTTTTGTTCCGTCTTCCGTCTGCCGTCTTCCAGGAGAAAAATTTTCTTCCGTCTTCCGTTTTCCGTGTTCCGAAAAAAAAAAGTTTTCCGTCTTGCCCAAAAAAAATTTTCTTCCGTCTTCCGTCTTCCGGATTTCAAAATTCCATTTGCGCTCAACTCTGATGCTCACTCCGTGCTACCGTAGCAACTTGCTGTTCACTTGCCGCTCGCGCGCCCCACCCTTGCCGGAAGTCGCCTGAGGTAGTAGTGTGCGTAGACGTTCACAGGCTACCACTTTTTACGCATTGATAGCAGTGTTGAGCGGAATTCCGTCTGCCGTCTTCCGTCTTCCGTCTTCCGTGGTTTTTTTTGTTCCGTCTTCCGTCTGCCATCTTCCGTGAGAAAAGTTTTCTTCCGTCTTCCGTCTGCCGTCTTCCGTAAAAGAATGTTTCTTCCGTCTGCCGTCTGCCGTCTTCCGGGATTTTTTTTCTTACCGTAAAAGAGTAATAGCTTTTCAAAAGCCATTTACTAGTCCCGAAGAACGCGAATTTCCACGGGCAGTACCCAGATCCAAAAGTTTTGTTGCATTAGTTATTTTTTTTCAAAAACCGGAAAAAAAGGCTCTGAATTGACGATTTTTTTGTTCCGTATTCCGTCTGCCGTCTTCCGGGAAAAAAGTTTTCTTCCGTCTTCCGTCTGCCATCTTCCGTGAGAAAAATTTTCTTCCGTCTTCCGTTTTCCGTGTTCCGTAAGAAAAATTTTCTTCCGTCTGCCGTCTGCCGTCTTCCGTATTTCAAAATTCCACTTCCGCTCAACTCTGATTGATAGCCAAGAGGGCCTAAATTTCCCAAACTAGACGCGAATTCCAAATTTGAAGGCATTGGGTCTCGCCACGAAAGTCCCTTTAAAGCCTACCGTACTCCCAGATGAGGCAACTTTAGTGCCTTCCCCCCATAGAAAGTGAACTGAACACAAAAAAACGGGGGAGCCTTTCGCCCCGTTTTGCCCCCCTAAAAGTCCCTCGAGATGATTCGTTTCTGTTCTTTCCCGCTTTTCAAACCGAAAATTCATCAAACCGCCCTCTCCGGGGTGTTGTTATCGTCGGGCGATGGATGCGAAAACTCATTTTGTGCTGCCAATTCGCACCAACTTTTATGACCTTTTTCGCTTTCGTTTTCGCTTTCGCTTTCGCTTTCGCATTCGTCCGCAAGTTGTCGTAGGGTCGTGTGCATTCACACTATAGTAGCCAGACCGATCAAGTGTTGATGAGTTTCGTCCTTCTTCTCTGCTCCTAATCCGATTATTCAGATGCCATTTGTGACTTCGCACCTACCGTATACGCCCGGAAGGGTCGGACTGTTCGTACACCCGAAAAAGCAGCGAAGAGGAGCGGCGATGCAGGATTTGAATGAAAATGATGTGTGATTTATGAATAATACAATATTGCTATGACACAATATCTAGAAGACTAATCGAAAAAGCAAAAAAACGTCGTCGCCAAGTACCCGAATCCAATCCGTTCGATTTCAGATCACGCAACGGCCGATGGCGACGTGGAAGAGCTACGCACGCATAATCCTCGCGCACGTCAGTCTCATCGTCCTTTCCGTCGTCTACGTCGGCGTCGGAGCCTTCCTTTTCTATCAGTTGGAGCAGCCGAACGAAGTGGAAGTGCGGGCGCGCAACATCGAACGCTTCAACGTGCACAAACGACAGATGATCGAGCACTTGTGGGAGATGCGCACCAGTGGTGTCGGACAGCGTGAGTTCTCAAAAAGTGTCAAAAATCATGACTCATTTCGTAGAAAATGACACGAAAATCATCTCTAGACTACTGGGAAAATGGCAATGTTAGTACAAAGCGACGTATCTCAACGGCGGGTGGAGATATCGAAAAGTTGTCAACTAATGAATTGTTCATTAAAGGTGGTGTCCAACGTGACATACAACATATTTTTAAAATAAACTTCGAAGTGGGGCATTCATTTTCCCAAAGTCCCGAATTACAAAAAAAATTCCCCGATTTTTAAGATTTTTTTCAAAAAAGTTAATGGTACCGAGAGAAGTACACGGCGAAATGGAAGAGCCGGCCTAGATTTTTCAAGTCCCCGGATGGAATTCCCTTTTCTTCCGACTTTTTTCCGTTTTCATGCAATTTTCTTAAATTTTCAATCGTTTTTCCACTGAACACACTTATTTGCAATATTTTAAAAAATTTATAATTTTATCTGTGCCGTGACGCCAAAAAAATCGATAATCTGAAACTTTTTTTTGTTGTTTTCCCGGGTTTTTCGCTCAATCTTCGGTTTGCGCGCTGAAAAATAAATAGAGTTTTACAAAAAGTGACTGAATTTCTGAATTTTGCTGAATTTTGAAAGTTCCAGATTATCGATTTTTTTGGCGTCACGGCACAGATAAAATCATAAATTTTTTTAAATATTGCAAATATGTGTGCTCAGTGAAAAAACGATTGAAAATTTAAGAAAATTGCACGAAAACAGAAAAAATCGAAAAAAAGGGGAATTCCATCCGGGGACTAGAAAAATCTAGGCCGGCTCTTCCATTTCGCCGTGTACTTCTCTCGGTACCATTAACTTTTTTGAAAAAAATCTTAAAAATCGGGGAATTTTTTTCGTAATTCGGGACTTCGGGAAAGTGAATGCCCCACTTCGAAGTTTATTTTAAAAATATGTTGTATGTCACGTTGGACTCCACCTTTAAGAATTTTTCTACATTTGTTCAATTGACAACTTTTCGATATCTTCTTAGACAGCTGAGATATATAGCATTTTGTGGAAGCTTTGTTGGAATTCAAATAGTTTAGGTTGAAAACTCAGCCAACTCTTTGATTTCAGATGTCGTCGAAGATATGGCGGTGAAGTACGTGGACAATGTCACCAGAATTCTGTTCGAAGCGTTCGATACGCATTGCATTGGCGCCAAGCACCTGAGACCCGGCGGAGAGGACGAAGATGTGGGTCTCCGACGCTTGCTCTCCCAATTTTCCGAGTTTTCAGTACAATTGGACGTACATGACCGCTCTCTTCTTCACTACGACCCTTTTGACGACGATCGGATACGGTAACCTGACGCCGGTGACGGGAAGAGGCAAGTTCCTGTGCATCCTGTACGCACTGTTCGGCGTGCCGCTCATTTTGATCACTGTCGCCGACATTGGAAAGTTTTTGTCCGAGAATATTGTGCAATTGTACACCTGGTACCGCAAATTGAGGGATAAATGTTCGAAGAAGCAAAAGTACAGTGTCATTTCGAACAAGGACGACAGAAATAAAGAGGGAGAGCTGAACTTGGTAGGTCACTGTGAATATTGTCCATTCAAGACGATGCATCTCGGCTGTCTTTAGAGATACGGAAAAGTTGTCAACTAATAAAATGTAGCATTTTTCTTACTGAACATTTTATTAGTTGACAACTTTTTGATATCTCCAACCGCAACTGAGATACATTGTTTTGAATTACCACAACTTGTTGACGTTCAGGACCATCTGGAAAACTACATCTCGATCCCGATCTTTCTGATCGTCACGATCCTCCTGAGCTACATAACCCTGGGCGCGGTGATTCTTTCAATGTGGGAGGGCTGGGACTTCTTCTCCGGCTTCTACTTCAGCTTCATCACAATGACTACTGTCGGCTTCGGAGATATTGTGCCATTGAAGAGAGAATATTACATTCTGGACCTTTGTTACATTATAATTGGATTATCTATCACGTAAGTCTTTTGTTTTTTCGGCCGTATTCCATTGAATTTCGGTTCAGGACCATGTGCATCGACCTTGTGGGCATTCAGTACATCCGGAAGATGCACTACTTCGGTAGGGCTATCAAGGTACGCGTTTTGTACAATTTATACGCATTTTCCGTGCTCTACAACTTTGTATTCGATCATTTTCCCTCCATATTGTCTGCGTTGCCAATAAATCGATAATATCACAGCTCCCTAGACGTGATTCGTGAAAATGATCAACTGCAAAGGTGTAGAGCATAAAATTATCCATAGATTTGTATACTAACCGCCCCCTAGAAACCCAGTTTAGGACGCCCGTTTCGCGCTGGTAAACGTGGGCGGAAAGATGGTGCATGTGCCGGATCTGATGAGATATGCGAGTGTGCTACAGCAAAAGTACGGTCAGAAGAAGGCGCACGAGACGATTATAGTGAAAGGCGCGTATGCTCCGAAGGATTTGAGCAAGATCAGGTGCGACTACGCTCGGCGGCCACCTACCGTACTCAATTCGACAACGTTTCAGGTTCATCGACTTTGGCGCGCTGGCCTCGATGGAAAGTTGGCAGTCGCTGTGGTCGATAATCACCGGCCGAACTCAGGAAGTTCAAGTGTGATCCGACAAGCTCTTTCTCCCGAAGAAACGGGTCGTTTCTCATCCGATATTGTACCATTTTGTGTGTGTGTGTGTTTTGCCCCGATACTCATCAATTTCTTGCCAATAAATCACGGCCTTCTCCTTCTTCTTCTTCTTCTTGTTCAGTTTGCAACCTTCAAAGTGTGTGGCGTAATGTACAACAATTTTTGTTCTTTAAAGAGACGCGAAAACCGGTTTCGGCGGGTTCTGGGTTCCGCGCGCACACATGGGAAACTGAGGATAAAGTCAGAAAGGAAGAGAGAGAGAGAGAGAGAGAGAGAGAGAGAGAGACGTCACGTGATCACAAAGGTTTGAATGAAAGTTTGAACGGAGAGGATCAAAACGATCGGTGCCACGTCACGGATTACTGTAGGTCTCTTTGAGATCCGTTCATTTCGAAAGTTTACTATTGTAGAGAGTACTACGTACACGTCACTGGTTACTGTAGCTTCTGCTTAAGACTAACATAAGACTACCACAATTGCTGTAATTGAAGAGCCGCTCATTCAGAACGATGTATCTCAGCTGCGCGTGGGAATATCAAAAAGGTGTCAACAGACAAAATGTACACAAAAACATTGTGTACATTTTGTCAGTTGACAACTTTTTGATATATCAACTGTCAGCCGAATTAGGCCGTCTTGAAAACACGTTGGTTTTTAAGCGATCAGAAAAGGATTACGGTAGTAGTATTAAATCCGACAATAGTCAGAAATCATGAAAGTTTGCAACATTTCTTATCAACGCCCCAAACCCCCGTTTGGCCTCCCAAAATAGTTTGATCTTCTCTTCAACAATCCGCCCCCCGCCGGAGACGTGTTCTTCAAAGGTTTTTCGACGTGAGTGCCTCATCAATCACTTCATTTCTGTTACGTACTAGCACCAACCCAGTACCTCCCGAGACTCCGCCCCTTTTAGCAGAAAAGCGGAGGGGGGGGGGGCGATCAGTTGATATTGTAGATCTCTCACTCGCGTCTCACTTATCACCTTGCCATTAGGCGCGGAAGCCGATGATATCGGTTGCCGAAGCTTTCACTTTTTGTGTGTCATTGAGATTGCCTAACTGAAGCTTTCGTTTGAGTCACTCTGGGTTACGGTAGGTCGTGCCACGTCACAAACTACCGTAACCTTGTCCCATGACCTTTCAATATTATCCATCCATTCAACAAAGTTATCGACGAATTCTTCGCATTGTACCATTCGGATATTGTCAATCCACCAACTTTGAGTCATTTCAGGGTACTGTAGACCTTCTTCTTCTATCCTTTTACAAGTTCCAAGTGTCTGGCAACTTATTTTGAGTCACAGGTTACTGTAGCTCGTGCCACTTCAATATTGTGCAATATTGTGCATCTATTGAAAGTGACCAACAACGTTCACCCTCTTCATCAACCACTTGGCCCACCTATGACAATTATCGATCCATTCGAAAATTGTTCTGATATTGTCCGTCTCCCTCAAACACACACACTCAATTTGCCCCATTTCGCTGAATACAAAGTGACGATGAAGACAAAAAAGATTACAAAAATGGTGGTCGGAGAGGGGGGGTATCATCATCATCACCATCATCTCTTTTTCTCTTTTTTCTCCATTTTTCGGTACTAACCCGTTTTTGGTAGGTGAAAGCGAGGGGAATTAGTCAAAATTCACGCGAATCGTCTCGTTTTGAACGCTTTTTTCTTGTTTTTTTTTTTTTGGTTTTTTTTCGATGAAAACGTTCGTTTCAGCGGGTTTCCGATGAAATTCCGGTTGCACTGGACACTGTGCTCCAGTGTCCTCGTCGTTTTGCTTTTGCTTCGGCGTTGTGCCGACGCTTACGAGGTGTCAGATGACGTCAACGTCGGCGACGGAGATCGACGTCTTCTTTTGGAGATTGCGCGCGCGGTGAAACGAGTCAAACGGAACCCTTTTGCTCGGGAGGAGCGCGTCGGAAGCGAACGATCTTCGTCGGATTCGGATCTTCGCGAGAAGGAGGTGGATAATGGAGACGGAGAAGAAGAAGAAGAAGAAGAAGTAGGCACGATCCTTCAGCTCGACAATATCCATTTGTATTTTGTAGAGAACCGACACGAAGACTGAGGTATTCCAAGGATCCACTGACGACTATTGCGACAAGTTCGAGCAGCATTTCTCGTATTTTTGTGTGGGAGAAGTGGATCAGAGCGATCAAAACGCTTACGTCATCAAGAAGTTCTGTCCGAGTTATAAGACGGCTTGCAAGCACAAGGCTGTCACGTGAGTACTTTTCCGTTTTCGAAATAGACAATAGTTCTTTGGAGACTTTTCTATATCATCTGGGAAAACAGTTATAACTTGAAAGCCAAACACGTTGAAGGAAAATTGTCAACTGCAAAGTTGTTGAGCATAAAATTTGCCACAACTTTTTAGTTGACCACTTTTTGAAATAGACAATAGTACTCAAGATATATGGCTCCAAAGATAGACTATCTTCCAGCTCTTCGGTCTCGCTGACTTCCTGGCCAACCAACCCGTTTTCCAAGTCGATTACAGTCACTAGCCGTCCGATTCCGTCTGCAACTCGTTCACGATCTCGGAGTCGTTATGAAGCGGATTCGGATTCCGACTCTGCTGAAGACGAGGAGATTTACTATACAGAGTTGCGGGTGAGCACCGTTCATTCAAACCGCTATATCTCAGCTGCTGGTCGAGATATCAAAAAGCTGTCAACTAATATATTGTTTGTCAAGAAAATTTGTACATTTTATCAATTGACAACTTGTTCATATCTCTGCAGGCAACTGAGATATCAAAGCTCAATGTCTTATCACAGACTGTTACAGTATACCCTCTATATCTCAGTTGTCTGTGGAGAAATCAAAAAGTTGTAAACTGATAAAATGGTTATTAACATATTTTGTACATGTTGTAAGTTGACAACATTTTGATATCTTCACCGAGACCTGACATATATAGGTTTGAATGTACGTAACCAGTATTCCTAGAAGCGATACCCCTGCAAACCGGACTGTGACCGCCGGATTTTCGCCCATTGCACCGAAGAATGCAAGTGCGACTACATCTATCCGATCGTTCAACGATTCTGCAACCCTCCACCGATGCCGCTGTTCCTGAACACGTGCAGGTACCGTACCAACTTCAATATTGTCCCCATCTATCCGTTTTCAACTTCAGGTTATGGTACCACGGATGTCCAAAGTACGAGCGGTACCATTACGCCTCTCAGTTCGTCTACTCGAAGGCCGAAAAAGGAAAAGTGTTACGTACGCTCTGAATATTGTATCATTTCACAAAACCCGACCTTTTTTTCAGCGGGCACACCCGAACAAAACCCGGTAAATCCGTACAATCTTCCGGGAGGAGGTCTCCATCGGAAAAGGAGCCGAGCTCTGGCTTTGGCTCCGATTCGACGGCAGAAAAGAGAAGCTGAAGCTGAGATTGGGTTGGAGGAAGAGCTGGTGGTTCCGCCGCCGGTCCCCGACGGATACTCGGCCGATTCAGTTTCCGAGGCCTCCATTGACAAGTAAACCATTCGTGTTGCTATTATCGATTCAATAAAGTTGTGAATTTGCAGAGAAACCGCGCTGACAGCCCCTCAATCCCGAGCCATCCTTCAGAATTATCAGGAAAGTCGCGAAAAGCGGCGAAGAGTGCGGCGGAAGAAGTTGCGAAGAAAGCGAAGACATCGTCAGCGATTCGACGGATTCGAAAAAGAAACGACGACACCGACGCCCAGGGAACTGTGGAGGGCACTCAAGTGAGCCGAAAGATCTACGCCGGGGGAGGGCCAAGGACCATTTTGCAGACAATTGAACGGTCTGACGTCCGGGCCCGGAGCCATCGGACTCAAGAACTCGCCGGCGACTTTGAAGGGCGCTCAGGGCGGTCTCGACGGGCTTCTCGCCTCGGTCACTCAGCCGCAAACGGATCGGGAGGAGACTGCGAGACAGTGGGCCGCCGTGGGTTCGTATTATGGATGAGTGCAAAACGTGTCTTCTAACTATTGTCCTAACATTTGTACTTGTCTGTGTTCGCCCCCTAATAAACTATTTACACGAGTCGAACGCGTTCAAATTCAGTCACAGATCCGCGCCAACTGACTGAGGATATTGTCGGCGGTGCCACTTCGATTGGCGAGCCAACGGATACGGATCGAGCACGGAGCACGGCTCGAAACGACGCTCCGGCTCAAGAAGCGCCAAGTGTCCAGGAGTCGGACTTTAACAGTAAGTGCCCAGAGACGAACACGGAAGCATTTTTATCTTTTTTAGAAAATTTTTTCATGGAATGTGATCAACTGACGAAATGTATAGCAAAGTGAACTCTGCTCATAGAAAAATAATTGTAAATTTAGCTTTTTCATACAAAAAGTTATTCGAGTTGTTCCGTGAAAAAAAGGGGCTAACGGAACAGCTCGAATAACTTTTTTGTATGAAAAGTTAAATTTACAATTATTTTTCTATGAGCAGAGTTCACTTTGCTATACATTTCGTCAGTTGATCACATTTCCTGAAAAAATTATCAAAAAAAAGATAAAAATTCTTCCGTTGAGTTCTTTCGCTCAAGTGGCCAGAAAGACGCTGAACCACTGGAAACGACTTCACAAAACGAGGTTTTTGCTGTCACGTTTTCTACACTTTTTCGCACTTTTTCTCTACTCTATCTACAATATTCGTTTCTAGAAATCCGACCGCGGATCCGGGGACCAGCGGCGGTCGCCACTGCGATTGTCGAAGAGGAAACGGAGCCGAACAAGAAGAGTGGAAGAGCAAAGTAATCCAGCTGTCACTTTTTAACGTTTCGTCTGACTTCAGAGCGCACCAGGTGCCGATCCTTCCGTCGGATTCGTCGTACGCGGCGCGCGGCGACAGCGACGACACTTTCCGCGCGTTCGACGGACTCTCCGACAGTCGCGGACTGACTCACACGCCACGCAGCAGGTCGCCGTTCACAAAGCCCGGGCTTTGGGAGCCGAATCCGGCGGACCCGCACTCGCGAGATCCGGCCAACAAGTACTGGTACCATCCGGAGTCGGTGGGCGTCGACTGGCTCAACGGACAACTTCAATGGGGAGGGCATTGGGCGGTGCCGGCGGCGGCGGTCGGAGGAACCGCCGGAATGAGTGCCGTCCACTTCCCGACCATCGGATCCTTTCTCAACATTCCCGACGATTACGATTGAGTCGAGCCGGTGCGGACGGGCGGTGGATGGATGCAAATTGACGAAATCAGGGATCGCATTATTTATTGCTTTTGTTTTATCGCTTCTTCTCGCGAAAGTCTGTACATAAATGCTTTTTGTGTCTTTTCATATTTCTCTCACTTACACAAGAGAAGGTTGTGACTCCCCCCCAACTTGGAAAATTCGGAAAAAAATTCTAAAAAATCAGAAAAATTCTGAATAGCATGCTCAATTTTTTTTGGATTTTTTTTAAAGCAGAGGAAAATTTAAATATGGTCACGTGGGAGGTCAAATAAGCACTTCAAGAGCACTTTTGAATGTTCTAGAAAATCCAAAAAAATTTGAGCCTATTCAGAATTTTTCTGATTTTTGAGAATTTTTTCAGAATTTTCCAAGTTGGGGGTCACAACCTTTGGGGGGTCATAAGAGTCATCCGAAATCACTCGATTTGCGACGAATCAAGAAGGGTCTATTAAAATTCGGGCAAATTCTGAAAAAATTTGAGCGTGCTATTCAGAATTTTTTCAGAATTTTCCAAGTCAGTAAAAAAAAATTGTACTCGTACCGCACACGCCGTGAACTTTTTTTGAGAAAAAAGGAGAGACGTGAAGGCCCAGAGTGGAAATCAGTTTGGAAAGGTTGAAAAAGAAGAATCGAATCAGTTCTTCGTATTGAATTGAAGACACTTGCGAAAAAATGAGAGCGACTGGAGGACAGTTCGACTTCAACAAGCAAAACGGCAACCGAAAGGACCAAGGGTAAGAAAGTCAAACGAGAGAGAGAGAGAGAGAGAGAGAGAGAGAGAGCTCGGAACTTTCCATCTGTCAAAAGTTCTCACGAGACATGTCCAAACAATTTCAGATTCAGTCCGCGCACGTACTCTTTGTCGTCGTCGTCGGATGCGAACCGCTCGCTTCCGCAGACAATCTCGTCGGTGCGCCCGCTGACAAGCGAGAGTCACTTGCTCACACTGGGCTCCGACAATCGTTCGATCAGAAGCCAGCCGAACATTGCGGCGGCGATGGTGGAGCCGAACCTCGAGGAGCACTTCAAGGGAGTGCTCAACAAGAAGGAGGCCGCTGCACTCACCCGCCCCGACGACTTCATCCTCTACTACCGTGTGGCGAAGAAGGACTCGAAGGGATTCTCTCTGACGGTTCCACTCTTCATTTGCGTGCGCACGAGCGACAATCAGCCGCGCAACTTCCGTGTTCAGCAAGTGCTGCAGGAGAACAACAGCACCTGGTGGACTGTGATTGTCGACAAACAGCCGACGCAGCTGTTCCGTCGTCTCTCCGAGATGGTTCGCTGTTTCCACTCGTACCGCTACATCCATCCGGACACCGGACGCCCCGAAATCTTGCCGCTTTGGCGTCTCGCCAACTCGAGCAACACTGGTATTAGCAGCAGGCAATAGACGAGGATCACAATCTTCTTATTCAATTTCCGTCAATAAATACCACTTCTTCGATACTTCAAATCCCCCGAATCTCTTTCTTGTATAAGATTTCTTTGAAATCTTCGAGGCCGTGCCAAAGCGGGGTAATTCACGAAAACTGCGGAACCGTGAAACTTTTGCGTTTATTGAATAGAGGGGACTGAAATTGAATCGCATCAAACAAAGTAATAAAGTTTGGAAGTTCAGAAAAAAAATTGGAAATGAGAGTTAAATTTTTTTTTTCACAAATGACACTGAAAGTCAAGTTAGACTTTTTCAGCATCAAAGATAATTGAAGCTAAAGCTCGTTCCAGGTATTCTCAATCGCGCCTGGTACAACCGCTTTTAATTAGATTGCAATCGAGTTCCCAGAGAACTTTGCAGACTTGCCAGATTTCGGGCCGGCCATGCGGGCCGGTAAAGTGCCGGCCCGGGCCGGGCCGGGTCGGTGAAGTGCCGGCCCGGCCCGGCCCGGTCGGCCCGGTTTAAAAAGGCGGGAATTCAAATTTTTCGCGGAAATTTTTTTCGTTATTACAAACAAATTTTTCGAACTAAAGTTTAAGTGTTTCTTCTTTGTTTTTTTGCTATTATGAATTTTTTTATGAGAAATACATTTGTTTTTTTCAATGTTCCATGCTTGCAAAAAACCCCTAATTCTACAAAAAATGGCTTCATGCGATCAATAATTCAAATTTTGAATTCCCGCTTTTTGAACCGGGCCGACCGGGCCGGGCCGGGCCGGAGTTTTGGAAATTTCGGCCCGGCCCGGCCCGGCCCGGCCCGGCCCGTGGCAACTATGGAACTTTGTTTAGAGAATGATAAATTGCATAAATACAAAGCAAGCATCTTGAGCGATCGAACAGCAAAAATTACAGAAAAACAACTGAAATTCACGCATTTTAGGCAAACATTTTTTTCCGCGGTTTTCGTGAATTCCCCCGTTTTGGCACGGCCTCAAATCTTCCGTTCGGCGCGCGTGAATTTCGCTTCGGACTACGGTCGGCAATTGCGGACTCGGACGTACACCGCCACGCAATTTTGCGTACTCCTACTTTTTCTAGAAGCTTTTCAACTGGATCTTCACTCGAATTCGCTCGTTTTTCAGTCGGATTTCGAATTTCACGGTCGAAATTTTTTTTAAAGATCAAAAACTTGCCAAACTTTCAAAAGAATCATGTCCTAACCGCGAAAACTTGAATTGTAGGCCAATTTCGAAATTCTCCGCCTTGATGAATTTTAAAGTGGCTTCGAGAAGGTCTCCGAACAGCTGTCATTGTCGGTTCTCGCCATTTCTATGTTAATTTTGTTCGTTTTGTCACAAAAAGACGAATAAAAATGGTTTTTCTCGAACTGTTCCCAGTAAACTTCTCGTTTTTTCTCGAAACAGTTTTTTCTTCAAATTGTTCAATTTTTTTCAGTGTCAATCTTCTCAGAACTTGGTTAAGAAGAGATGGCGCAATCTGCGCAATTACTGTTCGATGAGAGCGGTCAGCCGTTCATCGTCATGCGCGAACAGGAAAATCAGAAGCGTATGACCGGAGTGGAAGCCGTCAAGGTAATAAAAAATCAATTTTTTCGGAGTTTTCTGAATAATTGCTGAGAAAATCTCATATTTCTAATATTTCAGAGTCACATTCTTGCGGCCCGCGCCGTCGCCAACACTCTGCGCACCTCGCTCGGCCCGCGCGGACTCGACAAGATGCTCGTCTCGCCCGACGGAGACGTCACGATCACCAACGACGGCGCGACGATCATGGAGAAGATGGACGTGCAACACCACGTCGCCAAGCTCATGGTCGAGCTCTCCAAGTCGCAAGACCACGAGATTGGGGACGGAACGACCGGAGTCGTCGGTAAGTAGCCGGACGGTCGATGGATTTAGGTGTGGGCGAGGGAAACACTGTGATTGACGAGTTTTGATCAGAATTTAGCTGTTTTTGGTGTTGAATGAGCTAGCAGACCCACCGGCACAATGTTTCGTGCGAGGCGCTCGTGCGCTTCTAGCACATTTTTCAGCCCGGAAAGTTCGACAGTCGTGTAAAGAAAAGAATATATCCGAAAATGTCAGAAAATACCTTCCTCGGCACATTTGCCTTTGCTAGATTGATGGCTAGAGTTTCTGCGGAAACATTTTTATGCCCTTTTCCACCTGAAAGTCTGATTATCCTAAAATTCACATAGGAAATGTGAAGAAATCTGAAAACCCCGTGGATTCTCACTCTTGAAATAAATAATTTATTTCTGGTCAACATTGCCTATTTTCTCGCGGTGCCAGTCTCTTTTTGGCCTTTTCGATCGTATTTGCCCTCCGATTTTCCACTTTCGACCAAACAAGACCGCTGACTCAGTCTGATTCATTTCTTCTCGAATCCGAGATTTTTTTCTCATGATAGACGTTGAAAGAATTAAAAGAGTGATGCCGTTTTCATTAGTGTGTGAGATATTTATACCATCGGATAGAGCGTAAAGAGTTACATATGAGTCCAGTACATCATTTTTCCCAAAAATCACTTAGGCCACATTTGAGACCTCAACGTACTTCGCTTCGCTTTTTTTTTTGCTGTTCGCACTCAAACTTCTGTATAAGTAGGCATGGATTTATGAAGAAAACAGCTTTACAACGGCTCTTCAGTTGACCACATTTCAAAAAAACACTGTTTTTGTGATGCGGGTCACAGAAGTTTGAGTGCAAACAGCAAAAAAAGCGACGCGAAAAATGGCAGCGCAAAGGTTATCTTCCATTTGTCAGTGATCACGCAATGTTGGAAAGTTAATCAATCGGTTGCCCGTAGCGTTTTTGGCGATATCTTTTAAATCTAGGACTTTTGCCCGTTTTTTCGGAATCCTCATGGGATTTACTCTCAATTTTTGCGTCGGCAAACGATAAACAATGGGTGCGCAATTCCTTTTCAAGAGAGATTCCCCTACTCGTGTTTCTTTTTGCCTTTTGCAAAGGCGCAAAAACGGAGAAAAGTGTTTGTTTAGCTCCGAATGTGTGTGTGACGTCGGCACCATTGTCGTCCGTTTTTTTACGTCTCAAACTGTTCGATTTTTTAAGAGCATCTAAAAGAATTGATGGCAAAATGTTGTTAGCTTCAACTGTTGGCTCAGCTGAATCGGAGATCGATTTCCCGCAGCCCACGTAATATTCTTTTGGATTTTTGTAAAACAGCAATGTTTTGAATGCTCATGATTTATTCAACAACGCGGATGTTTATCACTCGTCGCGGGAGGATCCGATGATGATTCCGCCTCCGTTTCCACCGCATCTTTTCGAGCCGCCCTTGACGTATCCGATGGCCGAGACCGAAGAGATGGCGAGAATGGCGAAGACGAAGATCGAGTAGACGTTCATAGTTGAGAATGGAAGAAGTTTAGGCTTCTTGTGACGATCCGGTCTTCTGGCAGCGCTTTTATACTCTGAAATCTGCAATTTGATGGCTCCGCGTTGATCGGCACTAAAATTTTCATTGCAAAACTGTGCGCCTGATCTTGCGCTTCTCCGTTTTTCAATCGGACAACCGGTTAACCTGTTCGTTTTTACGAGCAGATGTGTGTGGGTGGGTGTATGGAAAGGAAAAACAACGATAATGGCGGATACTCTGTACTTTTTTATCAAGTTTTATCGCCGTGTTTTGACAACAGTTGGAAGTTGAGCGTTTAAATCGATGACGACGGTGGAAGGAATGAGCAGAATCGTTCGAAAAATTGGCAAAGAGTCTGCTGATTGACGTCATTCGAACCCGTAATACTTTTGAAAATGACCCGTCAGCTGAGTCACTCGATTCAAAATTTGTGATAATTCGTGATATAAAGGCAAAAATCATCTAAAGCGCTTATCACTGAGTCGCCACGCCAGATTGTGTGTTTCCCTGATGGCTGGTCAATGATTTCCCACTCTCACGTTCGCAAGTTTTCTCAATTCTCAATTGCGCGGCGCTTTTCGATCGTCTGAACTAAACACAAAAAGCGCGAGCTGTCTGTCCTTTTCGGACAAAAAAGGACTTTGCTCGACTGTGTTGCTCCGCGAGCACACACAAAGCGTGAGCTCAAACAGTTTGGAAGGTCTACGGTCTGTTCTTTGGCTCAACTATCTCTCTCTCTCTCTCTCTCTCTCTCTCTCTCTCTCTCTCTCTCCGCTTTTCCTCCTCATCATTTTTTGACATTGCTCAGAAAGTGATTTTGTGGCTCTTTCCCGCTGCTCCTCCTCCTCTGACGTCGGCTCTCTGTTTCTGTTTGTATGTGGTCGAGAAGGGGGAGAAGCACAGAGAGCTCGTTTTGTCCGAAGAGCAGGAACATGATAACATATCTTCTTCTTCGTCCCTTTCGTTTCTTGCTCGAAACTCGCCAATGTTCACTTCAAACGCAAAATTTTGAGAAAACGACGAAATTTCTGTTTGCTGCAAAAACGCGCGCAAATATGGGTTGGTATCGTTAAATTCCAGTTTTTATCAGTCGGTCGGTCCTTTCGTTGATAACAGCGACGCGCACTTGCCAGCATTTTTAATCTTTTTTCATAGTTTGTATGTATTTCGGCTGTAAAATTGAAATTTGGACTTGGAGAAAGCATTTTTGGAAAACCTCCCATAATTTTCGATGCCATGCCCATCTTTTTTCTTTCTTTTTCGCACGCAATAAATAATTGAATGGGCAGCAGCATACGAAACTCACTTCCACTTTTTCTCTTTTTTTCCCGTTTATGTGCTCGAGAACCGAAAGACGCTAATTAGATTGGTGTGCTCGTGCGGCTCTAACGCCTTCTGAGGTCTTCTGGCTCACAGACCATTTTGAGAAGGGAGTGAGTGATAGAGGCTTAGTTGGTCAGTTTTTCATTCGCCTCGTGGAATTTATGATTTGGCAGCGGCAGCTACGTGCGTGGAATTATTCATGCACAGCTACTCTCGTGATATCGCTCATCTCTCCCTTTCTCTCGACGACGGCTTTCATGCGCCACAAATGACCAATCGGATTGGATTTCCGTGCATTTCCGGCTTATCTCTCCCTCTCCCTCTCGAGGCTCAAAAGTTAATTTTTGATATAAAATTTTCCATCTATCTCTTCCCGATTCCACCTGCTACGTTGCGGTGGCCTTGTCGTGCCAGCAAAACGTGGCGGCAGAATGTGATTGTTGGCGAGTGCTAAAGACTCGGAGAGTGGCTGGAGAGTCCAAAAATGCGATTATATCGGTTTGGCGCCAGACTTAGGTTTTGTAGCGAGTTTCGTCTTGATCTTACTTATTTGGTCGAGTTAATAGTAGCTTTTGGATACCGCAAGATCACTAAGAACCGGTGACCTTTCCACAACCTAATGCTATGTTTCGTGTTCTTTGAAATAGGCGGTAAGCGATTAGAAATCTGAAAATTATAGTGGCGGGTCGGTGGTCACGAGTTGTTGTTGTTTCTTCTCCGTTTTCGCTTTCATGTGCGCCCACAACCGTACGCCGTCTGAATCTCTGTTCTGTATGTACATACAACCAGGTGACAAATACAGAATACCCCGATTTTCGATTCTGAACCGCCGTGCCAGGGGCTGTGTGCCTAAACGGTTGGAGAAGGGGCGAAAAGGTTGATAGAGACTGGTTTTTGTCGCACATGTTTTACTCGTGCTTCCCCCTTCACCCCCACCTTCATCGGGCTGTATTCATCATCATCGTCGTCGTTATTTTCCTCCTTCATCGCCGCTTAATCGGCGGTGAATCGATCGGATTAACCTCGGCGAGAGAAGGAAAAAATTGGTAAAATACTTTTTTCCGGTTGAAAAATTGAAACTTTTTTACAAAGTTTCCGGCCAGACAAGGTGTCTGGGGTATTCAATTTCCGTCGTTTCGTTTCGAGAAAGGTCACATGTCCGCGCGCGCGCACCGGAAAAAAGTGCGGCGATTAAAAGTCTCCGTGAGCGAAATTCATTATATAGGCTCCGGCTCACTCGAGCTCTCGAGCCGCTCAGCTCATAGAATGTCGCATTTTGCGCCGACCCCCGTTTCCACTCCTATTACTCCCTTTTTCCATCGATTCCACGAGGTCCAAACACACAAGCACATAGAAAAAGAGAAAAAGAGAGAGTAGGCTATCTTTTTTGCGCTACTACTTGTCTTCTTCTCTTTTTTTCTGCGTTGTGCCTTCCCGTTTCTTCTGCTTCTGCTCCTCGAGCTCTTGTCGATGTTGCCGTTTGTGCTCTTCGACTCGCCTTCTCCTTCTCTTCTGGCACCGATTTCGTCACACTCTGTACTCCAGCTGCTTTTCTGGAGCAACGAGGCCTTGTGTGCTCTTTTTTCTGCGATAAATGAGAACTCTGATCCCTTTTCGGTGCCAGAAAGATGAAGGAAAAGCGAGAACGAACTTTAGAAGAGAACAATTTGAAAAATTGATAGTGGAAGAGCTGGAAAGAGACAAAAGCGTGTGTTTCGTGCCGACGACAATAGAATAGGCGAGAGGAATTCAGGAGAAGCAAACTTCAGCCTCTTTCACATTCTAGACCTGAACATGCTGTCCCATTTTAATTATTTTCGTCGAGTCGCGTCTCCCGGGATTGAATTGTCCCCGCGTGGAAACTGTATAGTTTTGGAGCTGAAAACAATAAACAGACTTCTGTCGCCTTCATCTCTCCTCATTTTATTGCCCTCCTGCCTCTGCTATGGTCGTTTTTTTTTCGGAAGCCCATGTTGTAGAGCCGAGTCATCAAAAAGTCATTGACAAAATGAGAAAACGGCGCATAGAGAGGGGCTTTATTCATTTTCATCTGCCGTCCACTATTCTATTGTCATTTGAGAGCCGAAGCGGCGACGTCATTACATCAAAAGTTGGAAGAGAATTTTTGGAGCGGAAGAACTGATTTGGCACACAATGGGAACCCTAATAGTCGGTCCCTTTTTCGGGAAAGGTTCCCGCTCGTCCATCTCATTTTTTCCATCCTTCTCCTAGTCATTTGGTCGTGTCCCTCGTGACACTTTTTTCCAATGCATTTTCTAAAAGAAATGAGGACATGTTCCCCTTTTTCCTCTCTATTTCTCCCCGGGCAATTGTATTTGACAAGGTTCTTTTGGTTTGCGTCTCGCGCGCGCGTCAGTGAGTTTGTAAGGATCGGAACAAAATTTTGTCAATAGTTAAGGGCACCGGGAGCCCAAAGCTGTAAACAATGCGAATTTCGGGCGGGCGTGTGGAGATGGGAAGCTTCTGAATTATTCCGACGATGAAACGGAGACGCGTCGAGATGGGAGCGGAGAAAAACGACGTCTTTTTTCACATCTGCGGCTCAAATGTTGCGAATCCTGCGCGGCCGCCGAGACGACGTTTCTCATGCATTTTGCCCGCAGTGTCACTGATGATGATGGAGGAAAGAAAGTGTGTCAACTCCTCGACTTCTTCCCCTTTTCGCCGTCTCCCCTCACTTTTTTTGCGCCGCCTCTTTTTCTATGCTAACACACATGCACAAATTGCTCATGGGTCCTTCCTGACAAGGTTTCCCGTCGTCTGACAACTTTTCGTTCTTGTCCACCCCCTCCTCTCCTTCTCTTTTTTCGCGAGTTTGTTGGTTAGACGCAGACCGTTTTGCGCATTTTTCTTTTTTGTCTGCCATTCCGGTAGTTTTGAATGAACGTGTTGCGAAATCTCGCAAGGTCTTGTTTCGGCAGACATGAGAGGAGAGTTGTTTTTCATTGGGTTTCTCCCCTCAATTCTCTTATCCTCGCTCTTCCTTCTCCCCAGACGGATTTGTTTTCGAGGGATGGGAAAACCACGAGACTAGCGGATTTTCGAGCAAAAATTCCTTGTACTCTCAAAAATTGTGATTATCATGCAAGTGTTTGCATTTGATAGCATTTTTAGTTACCTTGACCGATTGGAAGGACGCACGCAGGTGGAAAGAGGCACTTCCGCTGCCCCCGAAACTCGCCACCTCGACGCCGTTTTCCGTATTTTGAAGGAAGTTCTCTCCGCCTTCTCCTCCCTCTCTAATTCCGAAAAGTGATATCATTTTTTCGTCCACCTGCACCACCCTAAAACGATATCAGTTCAGTTCGTTGATAATAGACGATCGCGACGAAAAATCACGTCATTCGACGTTTCCTCCTCATTTAAAAGATCGATATATTTCTTTTTTGCGATTTGTGTAATTCTTCGTGTCTCGCTGATCGAATTAGACTGATTCTTATTCGGCCGAGGAGGCGTTGAACGAAAGAGAATGATCGATGGATGGATGCGTCGCTCGCGCTCCCGTTTTCCGCTTCCCATCGTAATCATCGCAATCACTGATCAGAGTGACTAGAGACGTACGTGCGGACAGACAGACGCACGGAACGACTAGACGACCCAATCGGCTGGTTGCGTCATCCGGTCTGTACAAATCGCCAGGAGATCTCTGCGTCTTGCCCTTTTTTCCTCGTGTATTACTTGATATATCGGCCTCCTCCTTCTCCTCAGGTGGTGGTCGTTCGGAGTGCAAAAGTACCCCTGAGGAAAGACGGACCACGTAACAACACTAACAGATGGAGAGAAGGTCTCTATGTGCGTTGGCAAAAGTGATTGTGCAACCATCGACCCACCCGATGGGGACTTGTCGGACGGGCCACATCTCGCATAGTATTGTGTGTGTACTGACCTACGCATACTAGACGTTATTTATCTTTTTTTGTCCGATTTCTTCCGCTCAACTCTGCTTCGGAAGCTCCAAATGGTGCCAATTAAATTGGCGAATCGAATCGAATCTAGTCTGATCCTCCTCTCACTGAACTCGGAAATCGAAGCACTTTTCTCTTTTCCCTGCTGCTGCTCCTCGTCAATTTTTGTGCAAACAAAATCTCGACGGTTTTTTGTTCTGCTCATCGTGTTGGCTCAATCTGTTGGCCCGTCTCGGTCTCTCCGAAAAGCTTGTGAGCTGTTCTGCCACGTCATTCGCCGCGTAACGGTTTGTTCTTCTTAAGAGAGCCGGGAGGGCAAGAGGAAGAAGAAGAAGAAGACAGAGTTTGTTGATTGCTCTTAGCTCCGCCACCGCTTTCACGTCACTCATTCCTCTGCGCTCGTCGCGTTTTTGTATCGCATTCGGATTACCTAGAGATATCCTCTCACTTTTACCCAAATCCCTTCATTGTGCCACGTCACTGGCCCTCTCCAAAACTCTTCAAAACTGAATATACCCTGAATATACGTCATTATCCCCAGAAGTTTGCCCTTGTCGGTATTCCCCCTCGTCGTGCCACGTGGTCAGCAGACCTCTTTCTGACAGCTGTTCCCCCTCACATTGCAATTTTTGCAGTTCTCGCCGGAGCGCTACTCGAAGAGGCCGAGAAACTCATCGACCGCGGTATCCACCCGATCAAGATCGCCGATGGCTTCGATTTGGCGTGCAAGAAGGCGTTGGAGACGTTGGACTCCGTCTCCGATCGATTCCCCGTCGAGAATCGCGAGCGGCTAGTCGAGACGGCTCAGACGAGTCTTGGAAGCAAGATGTAGGCGTTAGAATGAGAGGATTTCTCTGAAAATAATGTGCTTTTCAGCGTGAATCGTTCGATCCGTCAATTCGCCGAAATCGCCGTCGATGCGGTGCTCTCGGTGGCGGATATTGAGTCGAAAGACGTCAATTTCGAGATGATCAAGATGGAGGGAAAAGTTGGAGGGCGTCTGGAGGACACGATTCTCGTCAAGGGAATCGTCATCGACAAGACGATGTCGCATCCGCAAATGCCGAAAACGATCAAGAATGCCAAGGTGAGTGATATTTTGGAATAATTTGTAGCCCTTATCTCCTTTTAATTGTGTCTTATCCTATTCTAATCCACTTCCTCTCTTTTTTCAGGTCGCCATCCTCACGTGCCCGTTCGAGCCACCAAAGCCAAAGACGAAGCATAAGCTCGACATCACCTCCACCGAGGACTTCAAGGCGCTCCGCGACTACGAGCGCGAGACGTTCGAGACGATGATCCGACAAGTCAAGGAGAGCGGCGCGACGTTGGCGATCTGCCAGTGGGGATTCGACGACGAGGCGAATCACCTGTTGCAGGCCAACGACCTTCCGGCTGTGCGATGGGTGGGCGGACCTGAAATCGAGCTTTTGGCGATCGCGACGAATGCGCGCATCGTGCCGCGGTTCTCGGAGCTCAGCGAGGCGAAGCTCGGTACCGCCGGACTCGTCCGCGAGATCACGTTCGGAGCAGCCAAGGACCGCATGCTGTCGATCGAGGAGTGCCCCAACAACAAGGCCGTCACCGTCTTTGTGCGCGGAGGAAACAAGATGGTAATGAGCATTCCCCAGGTGACAAAGAGTCTGTCTATTTCATCATTTCAGATCATTGACGAGGCGAAACGTGCACTTCACGATGCCCTTTGTGTCATCCGCAATCTGGTGCGCGACAATCGCATCGTGTACGGAGGAGGCTCCGCCGAGCTGGCCGCCGCCATCCAGGTCGCCAAGGAGGCGGACCGCATCGACGGCATTGAGCAGTATGCGTTCCGCGCATTCGCCGACGCGCTCGAGTCGATTCCGATGGCTCTGGCCGAGAATTCGGGATTGTCGCCGATCGATGCTCTCTCCGATTTGAAGGTAAACATTCAGCCTCCAGATTATCTTCAAATCACTTTGAAAAGCGTATTCATATAATCTGCTCTCTCGGTCTCTTCCATTTCGACTAGAATAATCTTGTGAAGCGCGACGTGATGAGCCCTCTTTTCAAACGACGATTTTCCAGGCAAAACAAATCGAGACGGGCAACTCTTTCCTGGGAATCGACGCCGTCTTCGCCGGCACGAACGACATGAAGGAGCAGAAGGTTATCGAGACGCTGCTGAGCAAGCGGGAACAGATCTCGCTGGCCACTCAGGTCGTCCGCATGATTCTGAAGATTGACGACGTGCGTGTGCCGGACGACGAAAAGATGGGAATGGGCTATTGAGCGAAGAAGGTTACGGTAGATAAGAATCTTTTCGCCCCCTTCTTCTTTTTCTCTCTTTTTCTTTTCCTAAATACTCTGAATTCTCCTTTTTCGAAATCTCTCTTCTTGCTATTATCCTGTCTGGCTTTGCGTTTCTTTCTCCTCCCCTCTTTTGTAATCGCTTTGAATTCGCCACAGTTACCCCCGCATCTGAAAATTTTTTGAAAATACGATACTCTATTGTCATTTTGTTATGATAAAGTTTGTTGCTGCTTCTACACACCCCCTTTTTCTCCACTTATCCTGTCACATCCATTCAGCGATGTCCAGTGCTCATTTCTATGATTTTGCCCTCTTTTTCCTCATTCTTATCTAATATTGCATTGTAGACATCCGAGAGAGCGGTGAGATTTTTTTTTTTGGAAAACACGGAAGGCTTCTCTCCGGCCACGATGACGAGATCACGGCTACTCCACTGAAATTTTGCTTTTCGAGGTTTGTGATTTTTCAATTGAAACTATTATAACATTTTGAAAAAAAAAACTGCCTGTCCCATTGAAAAACACTAGCAAAAACCGAATGCAATTCAATGTCACTTGAAATCCATCAATTTCCCATTTCTCCTCGAAATGCGACCTTTTTCCGCCTTTCTCTTCCCTTTTTGCGAGAAAATTTCCAATTTTTGTCGTCTCCGCTTCACCTCCTAAATACATTTCTCTTCTGATTTTCTGCCTCGATTATAACACTTTTTCCCCGTTTTCTGCTCGTCGTACACTCTTCTTTTTAGTGTGTTTGAAATGGAGTAGAAACGACAAAAAGTGTGTGTGTGTGTGTGTGTGTGGAAGTGGAAATTCCGAAAATTTTCGTTTTTCGTTTTCAGCCGGCCAGTCATGTCAGTCGCCACAACGACGAGCATGCAGACGGACTCGAATAAAAAGGTGGGTCGTGCATTTTTCGGCGAAATTTAGGAAAGGGTTGGATTTCCAGACAATTTCTAAGGGTTTCTCGTGATTTTATGGTAAACGTTGAAATTGACTGCTACTTTGCACGAAAAACGCTTTTTCTCGTCAACTTTTGCCCCTTTTCGAGTCCAGCTGTCCGAAATGACCAGCAGGTGGTCTCGGAGAGAAATGAAAAATGACGTAGAGCCCATTCGATTCCTTCTCCTTTTCCCTCGTTTTCCCTCTTTTTCCCTTCTTTCTCCTCCGTGTCGTCATCATCATTTTCATCTTTGAGAGAGGGAAAAGTCGCGAGGCACTCGGGTGCTCCCCGACCGAAAATATCGGATTTCTTCTCTTTTTTTGTGACGACGACGACATCGACGACGACTCTTTCTGCCGGAATCTCTGAACTTTTTCGCTCAAATTGAGCGCAATCTTTGGAAGTACGAAAATTTTGAATTCATCGCTAAAATACAGCAGATTCCTCAAAAAAGGTGATCATTTGGTTTGATCAGCTCAAACCTGGTCCCAAGTGAGCAGCAGCCGAAAATGATGGGTTATTCCTGCGAAAACGTGATAATTTCGAGCCGAACTTTGAGACTCTAGTTTGAGATTGACTAGAGTGGATTTCAACGTTGCTTCTTGTCCTCTATAATTTGAATGATTTCACTTGAACTCTTCCATTTTTCCTTTTGAAATCTCAAAGTTTCACCTCGATTCGCTTGATTTCACTCTGTGACCAGCAGCCGCCAAACAAGAAGAGGAATTCTGAAAATGTGTGTGTGTGTGTCGTTTCGGTTGGATCCGCCCACTTCCTCATTGAATTTCCGTCTGTCACCTTCGAGCTTCTCCTTCTTCTTCTTCTTCTTCTTCTTCTTCTTCTTTTTCTCATCACATTTCTCATTCACGTTTGCCTCGGAAACGGTGCGCCGAGGTCAGAATTCATCGAGAAAAAGATCACCTTTTTCGCCGATTGCAAATGCATGAACATTTCTGAGCACACACACACACACACATTTGATGTCGTCAAAAGTGCTCTTGCAAGCGCCGCCCGTTTTCTCGTGCTCACAGCGGCTCTGTGAGCAGAAAAAGGTGCGAGTGACACTTCTCCTTCTCTCCTTCCATCTCTCTTCCTGTCACTTTTTCAAATGACTAGGTTTGGAAGCTGCTTAATTCTCACTTCGTCACCAAGCCCCGCCCACGTTTTTTCCGTTTTGCGGCGATGCGATCAACAACAACTCGTGGTCAGTTGTATCTAGGATGCGAATCTCGGTAGATTCTTTTTTGTACCTCTAGCTGACAGTGGCCGCAAATTGAAATTTGTGCCGAATGGATCTGTGCTTCGAATCCAATTTCCAACAGTTTTGTTCGATAATACTCTGTGCTGATCATCGAAGCTTACAAAGTGATTTTTCGGTATATACATAAGTCAAACGGAAGCTTCAAAGCTTTGAAAAGGTTTCCAAGATCCTCAACATTTCAAAGTTGCTCAACATAAGGCTTCCAGCGCTTTTAGACAACTTTTTACCCTTTCCCCACACAATCTCAGCTCGGAGAGGAAAATGACAAAGAACACAACTTCTTCTTCTTCTATTCCTCTCCAATTCGTCAAATTCCTCTTCGAAATCGTCGTCGCCCGTTCTCCAATTCACATTGCTCTTTTTACTCAATTTCCATCTCCTTTCGGAGCACTCGCCCAAACGCTCAATTTCCTCCGCCCCGCTCGGTTTTGCCCATTTTTTGTGGTTTTGAACAAAATTGCTTGAAAACTACAATATAATCGTTGTTCGAGTGTCCGAATCCAAACGGCTTCTGACTAGAGCCTACAATATCAATAGCACACATAAATGTTTGCATTTATCAAATTGATAAGAGGTATCGATATATTTTTGAAAAACAATTGACATCACTTTCTTTTGCATTTCAATTCGATTCCACCCAGCGATTTTCTGCCTCCTGAATGTTTTGATGGACGACGATGTCTTTGCGACGTCATCATCATCATCAATCTACAAGAAGAAGAAGAAGAAGAAGAAGATACCGATGAAACACCCCCTGGGGGAGCGAAAGACGACGTTATCATATCACTAAATTTGGCGACAAAGATGACTTTTTCTTCTTCTTCTTCTTCTCATCCTCCTCGCTTTCAATGCTTGTCTTTCCCGTGTCGAAAATGATTAAACGCTGGCGTTTTTGTGATTTTTTAGACGGATTCTGTACGCAGAAGTCAATTTGTTTACATTCGAAAGATTAGAAGAGTCAGAAATCGCGAGAGGAAGTGAATCACGCGGCTGACATGGCTCTTTTCAAGCATGCTCGCGCACTAATCCGCATCGAATTGTCTCGAAGCTCGAAAGTTCAGTGGGATCGGTGCGGAGCTAGCTCACCGAGCCATCTCATCATTGCACATTCAGAGTGCATTTCAAGGAATTCAATTAGACGGCTCTTCAAGTGACTAAAATGTAGCTGAACTTTGAGTTCCTCACACTAATTCGATCGAATCTTCGCTCATTGAAACCGTTTCGAAAAGTTGGTGGCAAAGTTCTAGAACAGTTTTCTTGTCGTGCGGTAGAGCGTGATTTCTTTAGAATTTTGGGGTTTTTGCGCCGATCCATGTAAAAAATATCAATGTTTGGGAAGGCAGATATCAGACTAAAATGAGCCTGTTCCCTCAATTTTCAAAAGCCTGCATGTCCGGAAATCTAGCTTCTAACTTGAAGGAATGCTCCGACGAGCTTCCAAATGGAAGTTCCCTAGACCAATCAGAAAGTGATGAGACCGTCTTCGAAAGTCATTCGTGGTGCGCCCGTTCGGCCAACTGTTCTTCGATCTTCTACTCTTGTCCTTGTTTCTTCTTCGTCTTTTTCCCATTTTCCGTCCTTGATCAGACGTCATCAACAGAATCCTCCCCTTCTTCTTCTTCTTCTTCTTCTTCTTCCTCTTCTTCCTCGTTGTTCTCGCCAGTTTCTCCTCGTCCGCTCCTGTTCCAGAGATTGTCATCGTCGTCAAATAGAAGAGATCACGTACACAATCGGCGCTTTGTCTCTAGCTTCCTCATCTGACCCCCTCATTCGGCGGTAGTCCCCATCAGATGACGTTGATCATGACGTCAGCGGGGGTATACTGTAACTGGTATCGGGCATGTGACCCGACAATAGTTGGACGAGATCTCTCTCTCTCTCTCTCTCCCTCCCTAAATCGAATTGCAACTGTTTTAGTAGTGTTCCGCGCAATTTTCGACGTCATCCGATTGAGTTTCGCGCCCCGCCACTTTCACATTTGACACTTTTTTTCGATACATTTTTGATAAAAACTGTGGTCAAGTGATGTCATCGACGCCCCACTGGGGGTTATTATCATTTTCTCGTTTCCTTTCCCTTTCGTTCTCTCACCGTTTTCCCGCCGGAACATTCGCGAATCGTGTTTTAGCCGCCCACAAAAAGCTCAATCGATGAGCTGTGTGCTGGCTCCACCGGCGGCTCCTCCTCCGACGATGAGCGCTGATGACGTGGCGTCGGCGCTCTCGGCCACGGTGACGACGAGCAAGGATTTGGCGAAGACGTCAAAGATTCTCACAGACTATTTCACCATGATGGTAGGAGCGGGAAGAGTTGTCTGGAAATCTGAGTCTGAACAAAAAACAGTGAATACTCAATCCAGCAGTCTAATGGTTCGTTTTTGCAGCGCGTCCAACTGATGGGCGACTCCCAATCGTCTCCATTTTCCCTCGACACGCCCAATCCGAAGCTGATGTTCACGCCGCTCGACCTGCCGACGACCGCCGAACTCATGCAGCGATGTCTGGCTGTGAATCCGTTCGAGGCCAAGTTCCGCGAGGCGAATCAGAAGATCAGCTCGGGCAGCATGCAGCCGAACACCTCCGCGGCGAACCAATCGATCGAGGCGCTCGAGGCGAACGGCGGACTTGCGCCCTTCTGCAACACGACCACCGGATCCAGTGAGTATCGAAAAAGTTGAAAAGGTTTCAAATGGATTCGTTTTGTTTCAGTGTCCGAACTCCTGCTGAAAATCCCCCAATCGACACTGCAACAATCGCCCGGAATCTTCTCGAACATTAGCATTCTGGCGACGGCGGCCGACGGAGAGGGAACGACGAGGGAGAATCTGAAGACTGCCGATATTTCGAAACTTCTTTCGGTGGTAAGCACTGGGATCATTTAGTTGAGCGCCGAACTGAATGTATTGCATTACAGGCTGGCGACTTCTCAGCGCAAGCGCCGCGGACCGCCGACGTGCTGAACGCGGTGCTCGACATGCACTCGGACCGCCTCCACACGATCAACTACCTCAACAACAAGCCCGACTTCTCGGCGCTCCTCCGATCTCCGAGCTCGTCGGCGCCCAACTCGGCCTCCATTCTCACCAACGCGATGATTCTGGCGCCGTCGACGAGCGGACAGCAGCAGTCGAACAATCTGTTGGCGCCGCCGAAGACGGTCAGCTCGTACCACTCTCCGCTCGGAACGACGACGCCGTCGACACAGAAATCGCCGGCCTCGCATTCAGGAACCGACGGGAACTGGGGAGATCGGGGCGTCGACAAGCAGATCAAGAAGGAGATGCCGTACTTTCAGGACGATGCGATGATGCTCATGGAGAGGAACAAGTACGTTTGGAGAACCCAAACTTTGCAGGCTTATTGGACTCGGATTGAAGTATTTTGAGTCCAAGTTTCAGACCGATCGGATCATTTGGTCCTGAGATACACTGGCCGAAAAGTCATACACTGCTATCTCTCGGGGCCAGTTGAACCGATCGGTCTGAAACTTGGATCCAAGATATTTCAATGCAAGTTCAAGAAGCCTGCAAAGTTTGGATCCGATCGGAATATTGCGAGTGGCCCAAAAATCCAGGCCCAGAGCGTTCCCATCGAATTCCCCATTCCAATTCGAATTTTTCTGTTTACAGCATGTCCTCCTCGGGATCGGATGACCAACAGACCGCCGGACCGTCGGGAAACAACACTTCCAGCGGAAATCCAGTCGGCCGCCCACAAAACGGAACTCCCGGTCGCGGCCGTGGCCGAGGGCGAAGCACGACCGCCGACATGCAGCCGGACGAGCGACGCAACACGATTCTCGAGCGGAACAAGGCGGCGGCCGTCCGATATCGGAAGAGGAAGAAGGAGGAGCACGACGATATGATGGGCCGCGTGCAGGCGATGGAGGCCGAGAAGAACCAGTTGCTGGTGAGAACTGACACGGCGGTGGGAAAGTGTCTACGATAATTAAAGGCTATTCAGACGCAGAACCAGGTGCTACGGCGCGAGCTGGAGAGGTTGACGGCGCTGCTCACGGAGAGGGAGTCGCGGTGTGTGTGTCTCAAGGGCATTCCGATGAGCGACGAACAGGTTTGTGCTTCTTCAGTTTTGGCCGCTTTTATGCTAGAGAAATTTACGAGAATTGCGTTTTCTACTCATTTTCCACGAAATTTTGTTTTCCGACGAATTTCGCGCTTGTTTTTGATAGAGCGCGTCTGCACACATCTGTACGCATTAATTTCAGCACGATCTGCTGGCGGCCTCGCGGGGCGGCAACGGAATGTACTCGGGCTCGTCGGACATGCTCAACGGACTCGGCCAAATCAACGGAATGCACCTGAAATTACCGAAAATGGGCTGAAACGCCCGCAGAATCTCATGACCTATGTGTATTTTTTTTTTCGCCCCGAAGAACCTTCAAGCTTTTTTCCTCCATTTTTCGCACATTTTCCCTCCTCCTCCTCCTCCTCATTTCGCCAGAATTGTACACTTGATCGGATAGGCTTCGCACGTCTTTTTTTGAAAAATGTTGAAGAAATTCTAGAATCCCCTTGGAAATCCCACATGTATAAAGCTTTTTCTCTTGTAGATTTTCACTCCCAATCTCAATCTTGTCGCCCCCAAATTTCTAGTGTTGTGAGCGGAAAATTTCCAGGGTTTTGCAGACAATTGTTCTCGTCTCATAACTGCAATTTATGATATTTATTGATATTGTTTCACTTTTTCTGTGGTACCGTTCTCTCTCTCTCTCTCTCTCTCTCTCTCTCTCTCTCTCTCTCTCTCTCTCTCCCAGTCTTCACACGATGCTCCCCGCCCCCGCCCAGATTCTGTACATTTTTGTCCACAAACATTATTTGTTTTTTGCACCCAAAATAATCCCACTTTAGGTACCGCCTAGACAACAGTCCACTCTCACGCCCCTTCAAAAAAATTGAACAAAAAACGACTTTGAAAAAATGAAAAAATCTAAATTTATTTCGGCCCCGGGGAAATGTAGCGTTTCGCCGAGGCACACAACAATACTGAAAAATTGATGAGCCTCTTTTTTCGGGAAGTGCCACGTCACGCATCGCAATTGGATTCGAAAGCGTCGGCGTTTATGTTTTCCGGCGAAAATTATCGTTTGTCTACCGAGAAACGATTTTAGACAACATTTCTGGATCATTCTCTATTTTCTCTTGCTTCTTTCCGACTTTCGGATTCAAATTTTGCAAGAAACGGAAAAATCTAGCCCCTGTGCCGTTTTGCGTTTTAAAAACGAAAGCCCTTTTCCTGATTGCGACTTCCGGATCCCTTGGCTAGTTTGAAAAATGATGACGTGGACAAGGCGCCAAAGGACCACGTTTTGGAGGCGAAACAAAAAAGACTGAGAAGTAGAGCATTTATTCTGGCACAAAGAATTGAATTGAATTGACGTCGCATCTTGATTGGTCCCAACACGAAGGATCAGGACGGTCCGAGGTAGCACGACTGATCGGTGCGCGCCTTGAACACTTGTCCGCCGGATCCGCCGCCGCCGCCGCCGCCTCCGGATCCTCCCGACGATTGGTTGTTGTTGTTGGATCCGCCACTGCCGCCGCTCGCGTACTCCTCACGCGCGTATCCGGACGAGGAGGCGTTGGAGCCCATGTAGCCGGACGAGTAGCCGCCGGCGCTCATGTACGCAGACTTGTCTCCCATTGTTGAAGGGGGGCAGAACTGATGGCGTTCCCATCGGAACACTTTCTTTTGTAGCCACAGATCTGGGGCACCGGGGGGCCACGTGGATCTTCGAAGACTTGCTCATCTCCTCTGCCCACAATTTCCCCTAGGTTCGGCATTTTTTAACGCGTTTTCCTGGTGCAACAAGCAACACGAGCGGAACAATTTTGCAGCTTGCTCGCCCTCTCCTTCTCCTTTCTTTCTTTCCATTCTTTCTCTTTGATTTCTGATCGTTTTACGAGCAGAGCATCTATAAATTCGCGCTCTTTCTCCCCTTCGATTGACGACATCATTCTGGCGAGCACGGACCAATTACTCAGAATGGAATTCCTTCTTTTTCTTCTTCTTCTTCTTCTTCCTTTTCTCATCCGATTCCCTCCCCCACCGCTTCGTCATTTTTCACCCGCCGCGGATTATGTAAATTGAAAGAGAGAATGAAAGTGAGTGGGCTCCCTTTTGATCCGCTTTTTTCACAATTCTGGTGCAAATATTTGAATTTTCGAGCTTTTACGAGGAAAGAGAGAAAGTTCGGCCATCGTCCCGTGAACTGTCGGCTGCTGATTTCGCGGCACGCTCCCTCCTCAAGCCTTTTTCTGCGCGCTGTTCGAATAATACCGATTCATTTTTTCTAATTTTTTGGGAATGAGTTCATTGTGATCGAAACTAGCAAAGAGCAACAAGAAAATCGCAAGAATTTTTGAGGATCAGTACGAAAACAGCTTTTTTTTTCGAAATATGACTGTTCGTGCGTGCTTTTTGTGTCCCGCTGTTTGTTTACATCATAATGAACTTTCCAATAAAAATCAAATGAAATAAATCAGTATTCTTCAGACGGCACGCATCTTTTTTTTTGTACCGGACAGAGAGCGCGCGCTGTTATCAATCTGGCCGAATTAATAGGCCGCGAAGTAATTTTCCACTGAAAACGTGGCCTAACTTTTTAAACTCGGCCCCGAAGTCGCTCAATTTGCACTACAAAAGGAGTTTCTCAACAGAGCGCTATTTCTGTGCGGTGCGACTATAATAAAGTCTCGGAACAGGCGAAGAGCGCGCGGACGGCGGACGGCGAAGTTTTCCGCGTGCCGCCGGAGAAATTCCGATTCATCTTATTCATTGTCATAGTGAATGTGTTCATTATGATGATCAAAACTAACAAAGAGCAACAAGAAACTCGCAAAAATGTCTATAGGTCACTGGAAAAATGGCTTTTTTTTCGACAGCATTTGGCGCGCGGAAAACGGGCGTCGTCCGCCGCCCGCTCGTTGTTGGCCTGTTCCGAGACTTTAGAAGCGTGCCGTCAGAGAAATACCGAGATCATTTCACTTGATTTTTTTTTGGAAATGAGTTCATTATGATGTAAACTAACAATGGGACACAAAATGCGCGCACGAGCAGTCATATTTCGAAAAAAAGCTGTTTTCGTACTGATCCTCAGAAATTCTTGCGAGTTTCTCGTTGCTCTTTGCTAGTCTCGATCACAAAACACACATTCACGAAGAGAAGGAGGCGGCACGGAACCCCAGCCTTCCAATAAAAAATTCCCTTGGCGCAATTCACGTCAAAACGGAAGAATTCTGGTTTTCAATTGAAAAAAGAAACTGCGAGTCGACGGTGGATGCAAGCGCGCCCCATTGACAACTCGCTTGCGCATTGGAATGCTGGGGAACAGCTCGGCGCCCTGGCCTAACTGACGGCCCAATATTCCTCTCGCAAAGAATCACCGTGGCTACGGCGAAACACCTGAAACCTCAAGGAGTCAAACATTTTCCAATTATCTTACAATTCCGGCTACTTCACATGATTCGCTGAAATAATCAAGTTGAGGGGGGGGATTTGCGCGAGTGAAAACGTAATAAATTGGCGAAATCGAATAAAAATGTGCTGGTGTGGGAGTGGGAGAAGACGTCATTTGAGACGTCCGCTCACTTTTGCATGAAATACACACACACACACATTTGCTTTATTTTTAGTTGAAACTACTATCGCAATTTCTTTCTTCCAAAACGTTCTTTCATTCTCCTAATCGCATCAAAAGCATGACTCTTTTGGGGGGAAACGAGTGAGGGGCGGAGCCAGACTCTTCCCTCACCGATTTGTGCTCCTCTTCTTACAGCTCTTGAGCATATCAGTGTTGATATAAATTGTTCTCGGTGACGTCTTTGTGAAAGTCACTGATCTCAAAGCGGGCTATATAAGCAGTTCTTCTTCTGGAACAATATCTCGTTTTGGTTTTTGGTTCTTGAACGTTTCCCGCAAAACTTCATTCAATCTGTAACTTTTTCGATTATTTTCTCAGCTATCAATGAACCGATTTCATTAAATAATTCATATGCAGTGTTAAGTGAATACCAGGTGACTTGGTTCAAATTTTATTCGGTTAAGCATCAGAATACCGCCTTCCGCCTTTTCTAAAAAATCGATTCCGCTCAACTCTGTTAAGCATATCGAAGTACTATCAAATTTAAAATCTTGCCTCCGGTTGCCCGCCGCAACGCGACCGCTTCGCAGCTGAAAAGACCACGCCCATTTCTGCAAGTGCCGCACATGCCATGTGCACACCAGTGTTGAGCGGAATTCCGTCTGCCGTCTTCCGTCTTCCGTTTTCCGTGTTCCGTAAGAAAAATTTTCTTCCGTCTGCCGTCTGCCGTCTTCCGTATTTCAAAATTCCACTTCCGCTCAACTCTGGTGCACACGCTTCCAATTAATGTATTTTCTTGGAAAATACACAAATTAAAGTTTAGAAACTCCGTTTAAATCTATTTGTTTGCAAAGATAATTCTCCAAAAATACTCGAAAACAATTAATTCCGTCAGAAGTCGCTTTAATTTGTGTACATGGCATGTGCGGCACTTGCAGAAAGGGGCGTGGTCTTTTCAGCTGCAAAGCGGTCGCGCTACGGCGGGGGGAACCTTAGGCAAGATTATAAATTTGATTTGATAGTAGCGGCTTCACAGTTTCCAGTCGCCCTTGGAATTTGCCGATTCATACTATTCTAAGCTTTGACATTTCTGGAAGATTGGCGTGACGATCAGTGACTAACTGGAGAGGCGGCTAGTCATGCCGACACACTTAAACCCCCCCTCTCTCTCTTTCTCGAGATCCTTCAGACCTCCTTCTAATCCTTTGTGCGAACGAACACACAAATCCCCCCCAGCACTTCACACAACGTCTTCCGCACCTTTTTTTTACTTTTAGCAGTCACCTGAAACTGTGTGACTTGAATTTAGGATTTAGCGGTTGGCATTTGATATTAAGATTCAAGAATTTCACTGAAAACAACATGACATCACATTTTACCCCACTCGAATTCCGTTTACTAATTGGATCGGATCCGCGCTTCGCCGGATACTTTCTAATGAAAAGCGTCGTGGATCCATGGCAGGGCCGATTCTGGAAAGTTTGCGGCGGCACCGAGAAAGTCTTCGCCCTGCGCCCGCATGCTTACAGTCGGTGCGGTGGTGAATCGGAAAAGTTTTGGATTTGTAAACCAAAGGTCGCGGGTTCGATTCCCACCCGGTCAAAACTCTCTTTTGTCCCTTTTAATTTTAATTTTCTCGTACTATGCACGTCACCACCGCGAACCCTTTTCGATCTTAAAATCAAGATATCTCGCGAGATCAGCTACATTTAATTTCCCCAGAGAAAACGATTGGCGGCCCGCAAAAAAGAGCTCTTTCTTTCGTTTCGGCGCGTAAGTGATTCAGGAAGTGATTCAGTACTTTCCTACTGTAATCATTTGCCTATTCACGCGTCATCTGACACTTTTCTGCGTCTCGCCCCGAATACCATACTCTTCTAAATTGGCGGATGCACACTGAGCGGATGCGTGTGCTCTCTCCGCAATTATCTCCGCCCCAAGAAGAAGAAGAAGAAGAAGCGCCGACACTAACTAAGAATTGACAAAGAAAGACGGAGCACAACTTCTTCTTCTTCTTCTTCTTTTCACTCCGAAAAGCTCAAACTTTTATAGAATTCATTCATTTATTCCAGTTGCATGCTGAAAATCCTCTTTCGATATTTATCAACACCTGGGAGTCGTATTATGAGCACCAAATTTTTTGCGCTAAATCTTGACACCTAGTACTTGATTATTGTAATTGATCGCTTTTTCGTATGACCACATCAGAAGCTAGTGTAGCGCTTGGAAGTTAGAATTCGCTAAACGGCATGTGAGGAGCCCTAACTTCCCGCGTCTACAGTACCCTTCGAATCCTTCAAATCATTCAAAGTTTGTCTTCACTTTTTCAGCAAATCTTGTTCAGTCTTTTTAGGATGGAAAATGTTCAATTTTCCCATCATTCACCCACGTTTCTGATCGAATTCTAGGCGAAAGAACGAGACGAAACGAAACGAAACTTTTAGATTGAATTCGGCCGAAAAAAAGTTTGTCCTAGTGTGAAATTGGCATTTTTGTTGAAAATACTGAATGCTGTAGAGCATTTTTTCATCTAAACAACGCGTAGGATTTATGGTTTCCAGTCAATTTTTATGCGATTTTTGCGGAAATGTCATGCATTTTTCGTTCTGGAAAAATCCATTAATTTCGGGATTATCTCGATGAAATCAGACGTGTTCAAGGTGGGCGGTGCCGAGGTTTTTTGCGTTTTTTTTTTTCATTTTAAAAGTGGAAAAATCTGAAATTCTAGGCGCCTTATTCGGCGCGAAAAGTGACGGCGCCACAGGTAACCTCTTGGCCCTGAGCACCTAACCCGAAAGTGTTCTGTATGGCGCAGCAGCAACATTTTGCAATTTCAAACCAAAAAGGTCGCGGGCTCGATTCCCACCAAGTCAAATTCTCTTTTGCCTCGTACTTCCGTACTTACTTTACTTCCTCGTAGCCGAAAAGCCAACAATCTCTATGGTTTTCCCATAAAATTCGAAGAAAAGTGGGTCAAAACGTAGAGGAACACTTGAAATCCCAAATTTGTCACGAATTTTAACGATGTTTCGAGCGAAGAACCATGGAAACTTGACTGGTTTTTAAGGGATTTTGGAGCGAAAATTTATTCATTTTGCAAAGAATATTGTCTGCCGAAAACAAATGTTCGTTTTTTTCCTCGAAAAATTCCATTTTTCATTGGTGATTCTCGAGAATTGATTATGAGAAACGACAGCCGGATGAATGACGTGTATTTGAGGACGGAAAACCTGAAGACGTCGCCGTTTTCCCCCCGATATTATTATTCGTTCGCTTTCTCATTTTCTTTTTCGCTCTTATCGAACTCTTCGAAATTGGGCCTAATTTGTTTCAGGTTTTGCTGCAAAACTTCCCCATTTTGCCCCTCCGTTTTGACCGTTTAAAAAGTGAAGAGCCGTCGAAATTCGCGTTTTTCGGATGAGATGGGCCCCCGAAAACATGGGATGACGTGGTGGAGTTCCGGCCGCTAATCAACCCGCTATTCGGGCGGCGGAAAGAAAAAACGACAGTTTTTTGCTCTTCCCATCCCGCGATTTCTTCCAAATTCGTCATTTTTCGGGCGAAAATGTTCACACGAAAGGATTTTCTCACTTTTCCGCAAAGAAATTCAAATTTCCGCCTTCTCGTTCGCTCAATTTCCGTCTTCGAACTCTCAATTTCTCAAGTCACGCCCCTTGTTCCGTCCGAAAAAGTTCCAATGATTGCAGAATCTGGTCATTCTCATCACAATGTTCTCGACCAGAGGGGTACTAATTCTGATGTCCTTGCTGGCGGCCGTGGCCGCGTTCGGACTCTTCTCCCGGCCGGCGCCCATCACCCGCGACACCATCCGACCGCAACGCGCCAAGCACGGAAGTCTCAAGCTCTGCCCGCCAGGTACTCTCGATTTGCAGTAGAGCACACTTTCCTCAATTTCTTTCTTTAACAGGCGGTGCATCGTTCCTCGACGCGTTCAACCTCATCTGTCCGATGCGTCGCCGCCGCAGGAGCATCCAGGAGAACGGCAACGACGGCGGAGGCAGTCTTTTGGGTCGCACTATGAATATGTGCTGTGAGACCGGATGCGAGTTCACCGATATCTTTGCCATCTGCAATCCGTTCGGATAGAATCCATTGCAATTCACTCCAAACCACTAATAAACACCACGTCTTCTATCTTCTGTTTCTCTCTGAACTCCATCATCCGCTCCCTCGCCACCTTCACCGTCCCAGCCCACAACGCCCACCCATTCTCATCACCCGATATGTACACTTGCTTGTTGGGTTCTAGATCTCCATAAATACTTCGTTAACAAGAAAAGCGTTGCAGTGTGTTCTTTTCGGCAATTTCAGATTCTCTCCCTCCCTAATGTGGCAAGATGTGAATGCTTCTGCTCTCCAAGTGTTTTTAATTTTAACATTTATCGCAATGCGACATAACAATGAAAATTGTATTTTAAACTTCTTGTTGGACTGGTGGCTCGTAGTCGTCTGGGCGATCGACCTTCTCGCCGTCAGCACCAACGGTGATGGAATCTCCGTGGAGGTCGTGGAGTCTTCCGAGGTCAATCTTCGGTCTCTTGATGATCTTGACCTTGCGGATGTAGACCTCCTGAAGCGGGTAAAGCTTGGAGCAGGTCTTCTCGATCTCCTTGCCGATGGAATCCGGGATGAGCTTGCTGCACACTCCCTTGAGGTCGCTTCCGGTCACCTGAAAAAAATAATAAGTCGAGATAATGGATGAGATTCTCTTACCTCCTTCTCAATGCACTCAACCATCTTGGCGCGGATCTTGCGGATCTTGGAAGCCTTGGTGTAAGAAGTCTTCTTAACCTGGTTGACGGACTTCTTGGTGAAGGCGATAACGAAGACGCGGAGGGTATATCCGTCGATGGTCTTGACGGCGGTGTTAGCCTCGATGAGGGTGTGCCACTTCTTGACGATGGAGCACAGCTTGTCGTGGGTCATCGACATAGCGTGGAAGTTGGTGAGCACGTTCTTTCCCTGGACATCCTCAGCGATGAGCTTGAACTTTCTGAAGTCGGCCTCAGAGTTGTTCAGATCTCCGAGGGAGACCTCGAAGACACGTCCCTTAAGTCCCTCGGAAGCGATCTTGGTTCCTTGGGTTCTGTTGATCAGGGTCTTTCCGACCTTAAAACAAACAAATATAATGTGAACTAGAAATTTCAGTGATTACCTGACGGGTCGCGAACGTGTTCGGGGCCTTGATGTCGTACCACTCCTTGCGGGAGAATGGATCCACGGCCTTCTTCTTACCTCCCTTCTTTCCCATTTTGTTGTTGTTCTTTCCGACCGCCATGATTGAAGCGGATTGATTCCAAGTGTCTGAAAAAAAGGTTACTTAACGAGCAATTGAAAGACTGGAAAGAGAAAAGAGAAACGAAAAGAGGAAAAAATTAATGACGAAGTGAAAATCTCCCACATGTACGAATTTTCGCGGTGAATTTCATAGAAATCGGCTTAATTCAGGATAAAACACTTAATTTTAATTTTAAAATAAAAAAAATCCAGAAAAAACTGAACAAATTCGGCGGGAAATCGTTGGAAGAAAGTGAGAGAGTCCTAAAAATATTTGCGAGTGGCGAGTTGCGTCGCAAGTGTATGCCATACACTCCGCATGACGCTCCTAATCGCGAAATACCGTAGTCTGCGCCGCGTGAGGACGACTCGCTCGCAATTGGTCGCCGTCTTCGTCCGTTCTTCAGCCGGTTTCTGACGTTTTTCGGGGGAGTCTTACAAAAATGAAAATGAAAATGGATTCTCTGGATTTTCAGCTTTTCGTCAAGCCTGAACACTTATGATAACAGGCCGAATAGGCCGATTTGTAGGCCAAATGACGATTGTCACTCGGCGCGCAGTTCGAGAAATTCCGGATTTGTGGGCCCAATTTGGCAAAATTTGCCGCCTTTTTCGGGCGTTCTAGCGGTTTTCTGTAGATTCTTATCGATATTTCTCATTTTCCCACGCGTTTTCCCACGAATAATGGGCTTTTTGGGATTGGGTGGGAAAAATCGATAAAAACTCGATTACAATGCATAGCCGCGCGTGTCTGTCGTTCATCCTGTTCTCCGCGTCTTTTCGTCGCTTGTCGTGTCTTCTTGCCCTTGTTCACTTCAACATTTCTGTTTTTCAGTGTAAATATGACTAGTCAACTAGACGACGAAGGCCTGCATCCAATGGTCTCAACCCTTCTCGGTGGCGGCACCATCCCCACGGCGCCAGCCAAAACGTACAGTCGCGAGCGAATGATGGAGCTGAGAACGACGAAAGAAAGTATGACGAGGCCTGAAAACCTGTCAGAAGAATACAATGGGTTGGTAGCAAAGGTTCTGCCACATTTAGTCAATTCTTTTAGCGACGACGGAAAATTCTCTCCGTTTAAATGGCTTGAGCACCGGTGGGAAATCGAAGGAATCAAAAATCGTCCAATGTCGAAAAAAATCGAATCGTTATGCGCTGGCGCTGATGAAAATACGGGTCTTTCTCCGCAACGGAGAGCATTTAGCAGTGGCTGCAAAGCACCGACAGATGACAAGGGACGAGACGGTAAATAGACAAAAACTGTGTATTCTGTGAAAACGGGTAATGGGTTGTAGGTGAATACGAAAGATTGGGAGGTCATGGAAAGAACTGGAGAAATGGAAGCAACGGAGGTGCGGACAAGTATGCATCGAGAGGAAACGACTTCAAAACGTCATTCGTACGTACAACTTCTAGCATTTTCTGAGATCTTTTCGCATTTTTCAGCAAAAAGGCGGCCAACTAGATCGCGGCGCTCGTGGAACCGACTGGAAGAAGGACGCGACTCGTGGCACCAAATTCGGACAACGCAGGTTCCAGAAGCGTCTCATTTCAGCAAAATTTTTTAGTTATTTAAGAGATGATCGTCTTGGAAGTGTGAGCGGAAGCGAGAAACTTCCGGAATGGGCCGACGGACCGACCACGATGGACGATATGATCGAGTTGCGCGGATTTGACGAACCCAAAAGTACACTGATCATTGCTTGTTTCATAATAAACATCCGCTTGTTTCAGAGGGAAAAAACAAGAAGAATCCAAAAGAAAAGAAGGAGAAAGAAACGGCGAAGTCTGCGGACGTTCCCGAATGCGCTGGTTCGCGTCCTTCTTCGAACAAGGCGGCCGTGGAGCTTGATGACCCAGCAATCGAGTCTGCTCAATTGGCCTACAACCATTCGACGGGAGGCGGCGGAATTCTTCCGGCGTCCGATCACGAATTGGCCGCGCTTCTCGGCTGCCTGGACATTCAGAAGACGTCTCGGAAGGCGGGCGGCAAGGACGAAACATGGCCACAAGCCTCCGAGGAGTCGGCCGCCGGGTCCAGTCGTCTCAGCCGGTTCTTCGGCAAAAAGAGCAAGACTCCCGAGTTGGATCAAATGCTCGCTTCTGGTGGAGCCGCCCACAACGAAGAGAACGTGGCGAATCCGATGCTCGCGAAGCTGTTCGGTCACAGCAGTGGCGGGGACTGCAATGGACCGGCATCCGGTCCCAGCGATATGAAGGGCGGAATGCGACTGGAGGATCTGGAGAAGGGGATCGAGACGAAGGAACCATCGAAAATCAGCCCACTGCAGGATCCGTTGCAGCACGCGCAACTCCTGCACCATCTGCAGAAGGTGGCGAAGCACCAAGCGGAGGCCGCTGCTCAACAGCAACTACATCATCAGAGACAGCCAACTCCGCCGAACGGAGCTCCACAACACCCGCTTCATCATCCGATGATGCACCCGGGAATGCCAATCGTCGCTGATCCGGCTCTTCTGGCAAGTTTCGCTCAGAACCCGATGGTTTTGAACGGATACGTTGAGAATCAACTTCAGGAGGCGATCAGCGCGGCGGTTCGTGCCAACAACGGCCAACCGATCCCGCAGCAGCTTCGTAAGTTTTGCACCGATCTTCTTACCTAATTATTCAAGCTATGCTTCCAGACGAGCAGCTTCGGATGGCTTCGGTCCGCAACAAGGCGTTCCTGCAGTCACAGACGCTCACGTTCGTCCAGCTGCAGCACCAACATCAACAGATCGCACAGGCTCATCAGCAGCAGCAGAAAGGACGCACTCCGGCCATGATTCCGGCTTCAGTGCAACGCCAACTGCAGAAGAGCACGTCGAATGCGGATCAGAAGAAGGAGAAATCGAGCCAGAGTCCCCCGGAGGGCGCTCAAGATCCGTCTGAATCTCATTCTCACGCCGACATGGCGAGCCAGATGAAGAAGTTGCATCTGCAGCAGAACTATGCCAATATCGTGCAGGCGATGAACTCGGGACTCGGTTTCCGTGGTAATCCAGCGGCTGCGGCTGCTGCTGCTGCTGCTGCCGTCCAACAACAGCAACAACAACTTCCGCCGAACGTGCAGATCCTCATGGCGCAGGCTCAACAGCAGCAGCAGCAGGCGGCTCAGCTTCATCACATGAAAATGATGATGGGACGTCATCAGCAGCAACAGTTGCTCATGGCCAAGCTATTGCAGATGCAGCAACATCAACAGCAACAGCATCAGGTAATTATAAAGGTTTGGGAGGAGTTTCGACGGGGCTCATTTCAGATGGCTAGCCTTCAGGAGAGACAAATAAGTCAGCATCAACAGCCAGTTCCGTCCGAACTTGCGCAGGTACGCGCATAGCTTTTCTTTACACATAAAAAGTTATCTTTTCAGGTTGGACCAATCCAGACTCCACTCGAGAAGTTGCTGGCTTCGGTTGGAGTCCAAGGATCTCAGTTCACTGGTAAGCCCCTTCTGAATCCAATCTAATTCCTCATAATATCATTTTCAAGGATCCGGAGATCGCATTCCTTCGTCGGCACGCCCAATGTCTCTTGAGGACCTCGAGAAGCAGTTGACGGCCAAGCAAAAGTAGACGAGCTCTCTCTCTTTGCCGGTTTCCCGTTCTCAAGATAGCTGCGTTCTTTGTTTTTCCTACCCCTTCACATCTATTCAACCATGTTTATCGCTTACCTACACTTCCAAGCGGGTACACATAGTCATGTATTCGTATTGTGTTTTTCTTTTCTTTTTCACTCTTGTTCATATAATCCTATTCCCCGGCCCCGCTATAAATTTTTCGGCCCTCCCCGCACCATCATGTTCCATCCAAATTTCGCTTTACCATCTCTGTTTTTGTCGATTTCGATGCTCTCCCGAAAATCCAAATATCGGGGCGCCGGCTGGACCCTCTAGATGGCTTTCTGTAATTCCTTTTTGCCCCGTAATAATTTTGTTCCTTTTTTCTTTTCTTTTTCTCCTTTTTCTTTAATGATGTTCCTCTTTTGTTATATTGACGCATCTTCGACGTGTTTATATTGTCCATCCGCTGCTCTTGAAATTCGATTGATTGTAAAGCGAACTAGGCCCCTCCCTTCATTCTCAATGATTTCACTTCACCCCTTGCTTCTCCCCCCACCAACCACGTGTCCAACCCTCTTCTCTCGGACCTCAGACCCGTTTGGGTTCCTTTTTAAGCTGGTTTCGCACACAAACACCCAAATCCCTTTTGTCCTCAAAAAGGTTGTATAAACTTCGCAGAGACTTTCTTTAGCACCCTTCGCCGGATGCGAAAAGGATCTCTCGAAAAGCACAGAAATACTTTTATTAGGGCGCGCACTCATCACCTCCATTTCCACCACCACCACCATCCCCTCTCGTTGTGTTGTCCCTCTGAAATCTTTTCTTTCACAAGTGCTTCCGACTTGTTGCCACCCAATCCGTGCTCCGTTGTGTAGCGAGAGCTCAGGCTGCGCCTCCTCATCCTCCAACACCCATTTTTTCTGTTTTTCGCAAACAGTTCACCATCGTCTCTATTTCCGTTCAACACGCCCCCATTTTTCTGTTTTTGAAATGAGAGAAAAGTGAGCGGATAATTTGGACAAGATGAATGAATGATTGGTAAAAAACAAGTAAATACGTTGAATGTCAAGAAGCCGAAAAAGGAAAGAGAGTTTGGGTAAAATGAGAATTCGACGGGTGTCGCAACGAATTGAGCTGTGGAGAGATACCATAGTTCTCGGAAATTCTGAAATTCGTCGCGAGACCGACCAGAAACTGCTGACTGCCTGATTTTGTATGAATTTTAAAAGTCAATGCCTGTCGTGGAACACTACACGCGGAACGTATTTTCTAGCCAGTTCATTTCTGTACCACGCGAATTGGCTTTAAAAATTCATATGAAATCAGGTAGGGTCCGTCTGCAGATACTGACAACACCAAACATTTTCTCACGGTCCAATGTATCACCCTGATTTTCCTAAAAATGACTTCCCTAGTAAAACAACAGAAAACGACAATATCAACGAAAAAAGACGGCGAAAAAGTGTGTGTGTGTCTGTGTGCGTCTAACCATTGGGGTATTGCGAAAGAGGGGGTGTCTAGAAGACGCGCGTGCCCGCTCTCTCTTTCTCCCCATTCCTATTTGACTGCCCTCGGCGTCGCGGGGCTCTTGTGGCCGCGTGGCCTAATGGATAAGGCACCAGACTTCGGATCTGGGGATTGTAGGTTCGAGTCCTGCCGTGGTCGAAATCTTTTTGTTTTTTTTGGGGCGATGGAAGTGTTTTGATTTGATTTGGTTTGCCTAGTGTGCGAGGTGGAATCAATCCAATTAACGCGCCGAATGATGCTGGAGGCCGTTCTCTGTGTCTTTCCACTCGCAAACACTCTCTCGCCATGACCTCTTCCCTCATTTGGACGCGCCGGGCGGGAACACACTCGTTCATCATTTTCCCGTTTTTCATTGACAACTGGGTGTCTGGGGTGTCCGGCGGGGATCAAATTGTTGTTCCATGATATTCTAGGTGAAAAATGAGCCAGAGTCTTCGTTCGGCACTCTGAGAAATTGACCAAGGCCAACTTTTCATTCATGTTCCACTTCTAACCCTATTTTCAGACTTCCACTCGACACTTGGCGTAATGAAAACGTGAAAATCGAAATGTCCATGCAAAACTGCACAAGTTTCCAGTTGATCACCATTCCCGAAAAATCGTTTCTAACCCCATTTTCGAAGGCGCAAACTTGCCGATGCACTCTTTCCGACGCCAGGTTCTAATCACTCCGTTATCGTCCTTTTTGTGCGTCCCCCTCCACTTTTGTGTCAATTTCTGATAGAGAAAGAGAAAGAGAGAAAGAGAGAGAGAGAGAGAGAGAGAGAGAGAGAGAGAAGAGACGCAGAGTGAGAGACGGAGACGGACGGAACCGATTGGCGGACACTTGCTGCAGAATAACTGCGAGTTTTCGTCGATATCTATCACTATTATAGGCTTCCTAGGATTTTTTGAATGTATGCCACGTGGCACGCACTCACACATTTCAATGTCAATTAAACGCCAATCACACCGAATCGAAATTGGTTGCTTATCACTCTTTTTCCCACTTTTTCCCACTTTTCCAACAACTTTTGCTTGACCGGAAAACGAAAAAAAAACGGGATATTGTATGACTAATAGATAGTTGAGAAAAGGAAAAGAAATTGATGATATCACATTTCGCAACCTTTTCGAATTGATTGGTATTGGAACGGCATTCCACACAAGAGAATGGCGAAAAGTGACACTTTCACTTTCTCTCTCTCTCTCTCTCTCTCTTTCTCTCCTTGAAACTTACACATTTGTGAACGGAATACGAACAACTAACAAACGGTATTTGATAAGAATCTCTCCTCTCTTGTCCTTTTTGTGTGTTTGAAACCGTAAATAGAAGGACCTTAATACCGTTTATTCAAAACGATATATCTCAGCTCCGGAAAGAGTTATCAAAAAATGGTCAACTAATAAAATGTTCATCACAAAATTTTGTACATTTTATCAGTTGACCACTTTTTGATATCTCCACCCACAGCTGAGATATTTCGACTTTAACAACAGACTACTTTCAGCGATGAAGCGCGCGGTGCTGCTCTTGGCTCTGTGCCAACTCTCCGCCGCCTGCACCCTCTGCTCGTTTCGAACACCTCCCCGCCCGCGTCCTCTCGACCAGTACAAACTGCCGAAACTGTCCGCAACTCAATTTGATCTCGAGAAAATGCCGAAATTGTGCAACGCGTCAAAACACTTGCCGGTGGAGCCACAGTGCGGCGCTCAATTCGAAAAGATCTTCTGCTCGACGGATCGGTGGACAGGTTGGCGCGTACAGACGAAAAATGGGTGTACTACAATAGCGGGAATACTTTTTTGCAGAAACCATCGGAAACTGTCACTCGGTGGCGAACAAATCGCTGAGCGAACGGGCACAGTGCTCACAGTGTGCCCACCAGAGAGCCGACAACGAATGGGTTCTGCGCTGGTTCGACTCGCTCGGAAAGCCGGCGGCCGGCATCACCGAGGGCAACTATTATTGGCTTGGAGATTACGAGATTTGCGAGGGACTCCGAAGGTATCCTATACCAGAGATGTTGGGAATTCCGTGTTCCGTGTTCCGTGTTCCGTGTTCCGTTTTCCGCGTTTTTTTCAATATTTTTTCCGTGTTCCGTGTTCCGTAAAAAAAAAAATTCCCGTGTTCCGTGTTCCGTGTTCCGTAGAAGTAAGTTTTTTCCGTTTTCCGTGTTCCGTGTTCCGTATAAACTATATTTTCCGCGGAAAAATTCGATCACAAATTTATCTCCGGAAAGATTAGGACAATTGACGTTTTGTGGTCAAAATTTGAAAATTTTCGGATTCGGACCATATTCGTGAAAAGTGGATTTCATTTTCAGTCGTTTTTTTGACTGTAGTTGTTTACTGTTGTGTTTTTCGTTTTGTTATTTTTATGAAATTTTCAGTAAAACTTTCACATGAGTCAAACAGCTGCCTTGTCAGTCAGATAATCGAATTAAACAAAACATTATTTTTTAAAAAATCACTGGAATTCTCTTGAAAACGCTTTTTTCCGTGTACCGTAAAAAAAAAATTTCCGTGTTCCGTGTTCCGTAGAGTAAAATTTTTATTCCCAACATCTCTGTCCTATACCACTCTCTCCCCTTCGCCGAAATTTTTTGGTGGTTTTTCAACTGAAAACGATGTTTTTCCGAGTTTTTGCCATTATGCACATGTGTTTTCCTTCAAAACGTTTGCCGCGACCGATAGGCTACAAAATGATCGCAGAGTGCTCGTGTAAAAGTGAAAATTCGAAGAGTAATTTCGTTTTTTTTTTTTTAATTTGGCAAGTTTTGAGAAAACAGGCGACAGAATCGAAAAACCGTTGGCTCACGATTGTTCAGCAGACGAAGGCGGTCGTTTTGAGCACAGAGACGGCCCGTAAAACGCAAAAATCGCTGAGAAATTTCAGTTTTTGAGGCGCCGCGGACTGAAATTCACAGAAAAGTGTACGAATGCAATTTAAGGTCACAGGCTGTCTAATTAACAATTCGGAAAATAATTAACAATTGTTTTACTTCATTTTTCTCATTTTCCGAAAAAAAATCCACAAATTTCCGAGACCCGCTTTTGTTTTCAACGACACTCCGTTTTAACGCGGCGCTCAATTTAGCATTATTAGCTGTTAACCGACAATAGTTGTTCAACTGATCATTTGCAGCAGCAACAAGTTCTCGGGCAAATATTGTCGAATCGAAATGGAAGTTCCGGACGCGGGCGTCGAGTCGGGCTGCCCTCAAACCGATCCGCTTTCGATCATTCTCGGCGTCTGCTTCCCGGCGGATTGTTCGATTTCCGACCTGACAAAGGTGTCGGGAAGTGAGTGGCGCGCGCCAAAACTACCGTAATCGTGTCCGTACTTGCAGTGTACCTTCCGTATAAATTGCAAGTGGAGTGCGAGTCGCAAAGCCGCTGGTCGATGGTCACTGTAATGTTACTGTAAGTTGGAATGGATTACTGTACGTCTTCTACCGTATGCTCATTGAAGATTGGCTCTTTTCCTCTGGCTCGTCCCGCAGGCGGTCGCTACTTTTCAGGGATCCGCCGATGATTCCATCCTCAGCTGCTTCTCCATTCCGGAGAATGCTAAGAGAACTTTCTCGACGAGACGGTAGTACGGTAGACTGGAACGAGTACGGTAACCCAATTTCAGAGACACTCCGAACCTGCACATGGTCCACGGCCTCGAGTTTTTACTCTTTTTCAGCATTGTCAGTGGAATGGTCTACAATTACATGCTTCCGTATATTGGTGAGTTCTGGAGTGTTGTATTGCTTCGAAAATGATTTCGGTGAACTTTTCACGTCTAGTACACCATTTTTGTAGTCGATCACTTTTTGATACAATCACTCTGAAAGGTACTGTAGCTCCTTGAAGTTGCTGTCAGCTAGCCATAACTTCAAGGAGCTACAGTAGTCTTCAAAGTGATCGTGCAAAAAAGTGATCAACTACAAAAATAAAGTTCAAGATTTGTACTTTGTTTTCATAGTTAATCACTTTTTGATACCAACACTCCTAACGCTACTGTAGCTCTTTCAATTTATAGCTACTTTGACAGCAACTTAGAAATAGCGCTAACTTCAAAGAGCTACAGTACTCTTCAAAATGGTCGTACAAAAAAGCGGTCAACTACAAAAATACAGTACTTTTCATGCATTTTCCAGAAAACGTGGCGTTCTCATTCGAGGGCGTCTCCTCGTTCTGGTTCCATCTCGTCAACAACTACTCGTTCCAAATCGACGGACTTCTCGCTCTTTCCGCCTTCTACACCACCTATCTCCTTTTCGGAAACGTTCTGACTCTTCGCTCCGCGTTCGACTACATCCTCATGCGGTTCTTCAGGTTCTTCCCGCTTTTCTAGACCCACCGTCATCGGATCGCTTTCAGATTCTGGCCCGCGTACGTCGTCTGCGTCCTCTTCATGTACGTCATCTTTCCGGACGTCTCGTCCGGTCCCATGTGGATCCATACGGATACGATGAATCGGTGTGAGGCCGGCTGGTGGAAGAACATTTTGTTCATCAATAACTGGTTCAATGTGACCGATACGTGCGTCGATTTCGGATACGTCATCTCCATGGAAGCACAATACTATCTCATTCTCGTCTTTGTCATTTATCTCTCGTGCAAACAAGCGTTTCTCACTCAGGTAAACACCGATTTTGCAGGAATTCCGAAATATTGTACATCTTTGAGATTGTCGCCTACATTTTCTTCTTCGCCTCCATCGGATTCACATTCTTTCGCGCCTACCGACACGAACTTCCGCCCGCACCGATGCTCACTTTGGAGCCAGAACCGTAATCCTTTCTTTGTTAGCATTTCCATTATGCAAATGCTCATATTTAAAGAGTCTGGAAGATCCACGCCCTTTTCGACCAACTCATGCTCTCGCCGTTCTCCAGAATATCCACGTATTGTCTCGGATTCATCTTCGGAATCGGATGCGCCACAGCTTCCGAGGATCTTCGCGAGAGGGGACTCTCTTATGTGAGTATTGTAGTCTTCTGGAACGGTTCTATGCTTCTAGAACAACGATAAATGAAATCTTCACGTCTAGTACCGTAGTTTTGTAGTTGACACCTTTTTTGTACGACCACTTCTAAGACTACTGTAGCTCTTGGAAGTCAGCGCTCTTTCTGAGGCAAACCGTAACTTCAAAGAGCTACAGTAGCGTTAGGAGTGTTGGTATCAAAAAGTGATCAACTGCAAAAACAAAGTAAAAGTCTTAAACTGCATTTTTCTAGTTGACACCTTTTTCGTACAACCACTTCTAAGACGACTGTAGCTCATTTAATCGCATTTCAGCACCCGCACAAGATCCTGGCGGTTCTGTGCGTTCTCTCCGGCATCTACCCGTTCATCGGAGCATTTTCCTACGCGTCCAAGGCCAGCTACAGTCCGTTTATCGACTCGGCCTACGCGGCACTTCACCGTCCTCTCTACGCATTCGCATTGCTCTCGCTCATTTATCTCTGCCATCACGGAGCATTCAGTGAGTTTCGTCAACTTTGAGCGTACATTTTACACAGCCACAAGGAATCCGTGTGCTCTGAAAATTTTTGTGTGAATTGTTCACGTCTAGTACTATGTTTTTTCAGTTGACAACTTTTTTGTACGACCATTCCTGGAGCTACTGTAGCTGTTCAAAGTCGAGCCTATGCAAAAAGCTTCCAAGAGCTACAGTAGTCTTAAAAGTGATCGTACAAAAAAGTGGCCAACTACAAAAATAGAATACGATCCGTGTAGAATTTGGGCGAACACCTTTAAAGCGACAATATCCGTTTGCAGAGTGGCTAAACGCGCTTCTCGAGTGGCGCGTCTTCGGTCCGATGTCGAAGGTGATCTGGAGCGCGCTGGTCGTCGCCGAACCCATCATTCTCTACTTTTTCTCGTCCCTCAACAAACCCGCCTACGCGACACATTGGAGCACGGTAGGGAAAGGGAAAGAGGGGCACTGAATAATTGACGAGCGTCTCGAGCGGATTGATGTGTGATTGGCATGAAAAGTACCCGAAAGGGAGAAGCGAGGAAAGGGGGTTTATTCATGCGATGCTTCCTTCTTTTCTCTCTTCTTCTTCTTCTTCTTCTTCTTCCGTTTCGGCTTCCTTTCAACACTTTTACAGTAATCCGCGCAGAGAAAGTCCCTTAAACCCGCGTTTTTCACTTTTCAATGCCTTCTCCAATTTGTGCCGCTCGATTAACGGTCTGAAAAGTGAAAAGTGTCCATTAGACACAGGTGTCCGCAAAAAGGTTCCGTTTGATCTACAAATGACACCCCCCCTCCCCCGCCTAATGTACTTCTTTTCGCCCATTCACTTTTTCTGCCCATTAACCCCAGGTGTGGGTGTCGCGCCACGTTTCTTTAAAACAATGTATGTCAGGTGTGGGTGGAGATATCAAAAAGTGGTCAACTGATAAAATGTGCACAATTTTGTGATGAACATTTTATTAGTTGACTATTTGTTGATAGCTCTTCTGAAAACAGAGATATATCGTCTTGAATAGAAGAGTCAATCTACTTTACAAAATAGCGTACAGTCAAATCGATATATCTCAGCTGCTGTTGGCGATATCAAAAAGTTTTCAACTAATGATCTGTTCATTAAGAAATTGTGTACATTTTATCAGTTGACCACTTTTTCAGATCTCTAATATCAGCTGAGATATACCAATTTGAATATGTATTGTCCTATTTCACGTTTTCTTTCAGATGTATACCTCGATTTCGACCGCGCTTCTCGCCTACTTCATCTCGATGCTCCTGGACATTTTCGTGACGAGACCCATCCGATATTTGATTTATCCGGAGCAAAAACATCGATACGCACAGGCACACACTCAGGAGCAACCGGCTCGTTGAGCAGCAAATGGGAATGGATTGAGTGCAACGGGTTGATTCGTTTTCTCTTTTTCGCCTCTAGCTTGTGATATTGTAAACTAACTAAACTGTGATTTTTTAAATGAATTTGTTGCGAATAAATGCTATTTTTCCATTTAGAAATTGATGCCATGCCATCTGTTTCTACAGTAGTAGAACTAACTCCTCGGAGCTCTAACTTCACGGAGCTACACTAGACTTTGGAGTGGTTGTACAAAAAAGTGGTCAACTAGAAAAATGCAGTTCAAGACTTGTACTTTGTTTTTGCAGTTGATCACTTTTTGATACCAACACTCCTAAAGCTACCGTAGCTCTTTGAAGTAGACGGTTTGCCCAAAAGCCGTCTAGGAGCTACAGTAGTCTTAAAAGTGATAGTACAAACCAATTGTCAACTACAAAAAAACAGTATTAGAGATGAAGATTTCACTCAAAAATTTCTAGAACAACACGACATCTCAGAACTCGACAATACTCAATTCAAGCCCGTCTCCACTTTTATCGCTATTGTAGACTTCCATGGAAAGTCCCCCTCCGCCCCAGGCACAATTTCCGCTGCAGGGCGTTTCCCCCGTCTTCACACGGTCCCGCTGACCTTGTCACCACCTCAATTCCTCGTAAAAAAGTTGCAAACATCATGCGAAAAGGGCATAAAAGAGCGGGCCGGCGCGTGTCCTTCGGTCCCATTGTTTTCACAACCGACTCCCGCTTTATTATCCCCTGTGGGCCGGTGCCGACACACGCGGATTAGTGGTCGAAAAGGAGGATCCACCGGATGGATGGATAAATCACTCGGACCCCCATAAATTGTGGGTACGGTTCCAGCGCGGTTAGTTGAAAAGGAGAAGGTTGCACGGCGATGGGAAAAGTTTAAGGAACGGGGGCAAGGGTTACGGTAGCGTTGGAGACAACAATCCTAATTGTTAATACTTGAATACTTGCTCAGGATTCCGGTAGATAGGGGATTACTGTACTTTCAGGTCGTTCACTCTAATATTGTTGATGTATCTCAGCTGCCGGTAGAGTTATGAACAAATTGTCAACTAATAAAATGTTTCTTACAAAATTCTGTACATTTTATCAGTTGACAACTTTTTGATATCTCTAATAGCAGCTGAGATACATTCGTTTGAATAAACATCGTTTTAAATTAGCGTGTGGCTCTAGATGTTTCACGATTCCGATATTGTACGCTTCTCTCCTTTGTCTACATATCAACTTGCACCTACCGTAATCACGTCCGCTTCCCTTTCACCCTTTCTTTTCCCAATAAATCACCCGAAAAGACGAACCGCCTTGGCAATAAATCGCCGGGTAAAAAGGGGCACACGAACCGGTCACAAAATCGATGGGAACGGGTGCGCACAAACTACCGTAACCCGTTGTGACACCTTCTGAAATTCCACCTCGTTCGTCAGGCACCGAAACAAAGAGGGACCGTTGCGAAAGGCGACTAATTGGGGGGCACGTGGACGGAGGTGCGATAATTAAAAGTGCAAACAGTAATTGAGTGTCAGCATCTGTGTGGCTCCCCCGCTGCGGAGAACGACAATAGAGTAGAGCGACTCCTCTTTTGAATCGTGTACAATAGAAGTTTGAGAGGATTACTGTACTCCTAGGTTTGAGCCGATATTGTAGATCTGTGCACTGTGGCTCTTCGAAGTTGGGACTCCGTCCGATCACTTTGCGGAGGTTACTGTAGTCTTGGGAGTGATCAAGTGGAAAAATGAAGTGCCGGGTGTGTAGATTTCACTCAACAAATTATGGAATCGATTGGATGCCACCAGGAGGTCTGGCGCATTTCAACTGAAAACTCACCGATATTGTACGTCTCGAAATGCTGCCCAACCTCAAGACACCCACAAAAACAAAAACGCACTCTCTTTTATCACCTTATGCGGTGTTTTTCCGTTTTGACAGCTCATTTCGATGACGTGTGGCTAACCGGAAGTGCTAAGGATGGACAATAGCGGTTGAGTGAGAAAAATGTGGTCGTTTGAGGGTACAGTAAGCCTAGATGTTCAAAAATATAATCTAGACAGTTTAGAGTATCCCCTGTCCAAGTTTGGTGTGAATTCAATTATTTTCCGTCGAGATACACGTGTTCAAAGTTTTGCGCTGATATTGTAGATGTAGATGTTTCTGGAAGGGACTGGACAGGATTACGGTACTTTTTTTTGCATAGTAGGATATCCCCCCCGTCCACCCTCCAACTCTCCATTACTTTTCCATCATGCCCAACTGCATTCTCGTCACCTCTTCCCCCCTTTTTCACATTTTATTCGTCTCTATTCTACTCTACAGAATCGCTTTGGCCGGAAGTTTGTGCCGCCGATAATTGCGGGTCCCGCCGCGAAAGTCTAGAAGGACCCGGAGACGAATCGTTTCCTGAAAGAGAGAGAGAGAGAGAGAGAAGAAGAAGAAGAAGAAGAAGGAGCCTTCCTGTGTTGTCAGTTCCTTTTCGTGTTATTTATGGACACGCAGAAGGATGCAGGAGGCAAAAGAGAGAGAATTAGTGTGACGTGGCATGAAAGTACCGTAATCCTATCATGCAACTTTCAGAGACATCTATAATATCAGTGAAACACTTTGAGCAGGTGTATCTCGGCGGAAAATGATCGGATTCACGCCAAACTTGGACATGGGCTACTTTAGACGATATAGTTTCATATTTCAGGAAAATCCAGGGTTAATGTACCTTAAAACGTTCCAGATTTAGACCCCTAACTCATTGGACCCTTCTTTTTCCCACTCAACTGCTATTGTCCATCGCCCATCATTAGCACTTCCGGTTTGCCACGTGTGTCACCACCGGAGAATTAAGAAAAGGTAGCCAGAAAGTGATAAAACAGAGTCCCAACTTCAAAGCGCTGTAGCGCTCCAGGCGCTGATTGTACCGAAATATTGTCAATTAGAAAATTAAAGGTGACATCGTGCACTATATTTTTTCAGTTGATCACTTTTCCGTACGCCCACGCACAAGACTACTGTAGCTGTTAGAAGTTCGAGTGGCTTGTGTATTTCAGTGTGAACTTCCAAGAGCTACAGTGCTTTTATGCGTGGACGTATCGAAATGCGGTCAACTACAAAAACAAAGTACTAGATGTCAAGATTTCAGTAGAACGTTTCTAGAACAGTGGAATGTCCCGGCGATCCACAATATCTGTTCAAAGTGTCGGGTCGCCCGACATCCCGATCCAATATCCATTTCTGATTCAAAAATGCGTCCTATAGCCAATCGGACGGCTATCCCAACCATATGTTCGGTGCCTCGATCACCTGTGCCGACTCGTTGTTCGTCTTCTCTTCTCTTCGCCAGGCCAGGCCAGAAAGAAGATACCGCCAGGGCCGGCCGCTTTCTTCCGGCTCTCCTATAATTAGGTGCGTGTTTTGCCGCCCGCACCGAAGCGTTTTGAAAACGAGTTGCCCAGAAATGTATACAGCACGCTCCGTTGAGCACATTTACGCGTTTTCGGCTCTCACGTTTCCCGTATTCGGAGGCATACTGTAGACGAGCGGATTACGGTAGTTGTGCGTTGTTGCGTAAGGTGTTGAAAGCTGAAAAGTTTCTGGAAAAAGACTTGAACAACCAACACAAATCCTTCATTTTTCATTCAAAATAGCCGAAATCCATACCCGTTTTGCAACCACTAGTTGCGAAAAGCATGGTTGCAAAGTGTCCCTCAGTGGCGAAACGTCGTTTAGTTGCAAAATGTCCATGAGCTGTTGTAGTTGCGAAGCGTTCAGCTCGTTCTGAATACATTTAGCTAGAAGTTTGGTTGCGAAGTGTCCTCCAGTTGCAGAACGTCGCCCTGTCGCCCCCCGATTCCTGTCATTCATCCGCATCGTTCCTTCCTGTTCGGTGTCACTCTCCGCCACGTCGCATCATGCGGCGCCTTTGAAGTGGCCGAACGGAAGACGTCTGCCCATTGTCCGTCGCTTCCGTCGCTGTCAAAACGGATGCGGAAGAGGTGGAGGTGCGTGATGACACCTGACATCGTCTGCAAGAGATTCGAACAAATTTGGAACGACAATATCTGTGCCCTCCTCCCAGAAGCATGGAAACACGGAATGTTATCAATCGTCGGAAATCTGAAGAGAGAAAAGAGCACAAATGGAATTGGGTGATAATTCGGAATGTTAGGGTGAAATGCCTTAGAGATGGGGCCGAGAGACGCGTTTTGGGAAGAGGATAATATCGAAGAAGAGAGTTGTTCATTGCTGACGAAATAACTCGGCTGTGAGTAGAGATATCAAAAAGTGCTCAACTGACAAATTGTTCACAAAGACATTGTGCACATTTTATCAGTTGACCACTTTTTGATATCTCCAAGGAGAACAGAGATTCTAATCCGGTACGGTAGCTATTGTGTAGCTCTCGAAAACGGTGCAAGAACGTTGAAAAATGGGGGCGGTTACAAGAGGTTTTTGGAGGAATTTGACACATTTTAGACTATAAGCACCTAAATTGATTGAATGGCAACAAAATTGGAAGAGTATTTCGCAATTTTTCCCATCAATTCCCATCCATTTCTAGAGGTTCGTGACGTGGCCACGTGGCTCCCGGTCCCTCTCAAATCGTGACTCCCAAACACAACATTTTGTGGGCAAATCGAAAAACAAGCCCTTCTCCGCTCCCCTTTCCTTTTTTCGTATTTACAACCAACCAACCAGGCAGCCAGTCCCTCTCCTTTCTCTTCCTCTTCTTCTTCTTCTTCTTCTTCTCCCTCTCCTTCTACAGTAACCCGCGTCTGCGTCTGTGGGCAAAAAGGGGGCAAAAACGAAGAAGACAAGTTTTGACTATAGAAGGAGGGAGGGGGGCTTCAGATGAGCGAATGAGAATAGACTCAGAGAATCAGAATCTCTCTCTCTCTCTCTCTCTCTCTCTCTCTCTCTCTCTCTTTCCCTCTGTGAAGGAATAATTGTCGGTTTTGTGTGTGTGTGTGTATGGAAGAGAAGAGAAAGAAGACGTGGCGCCCACACAT